GTGGGGTATTTCTCGTCACAAACCTATAGAATTGGAGGGAAAGTGCAAAGTAATTATGCAGGTTATGTTTCATCGTACAAATTAAACAGAATGGATGGAACAAGACTTCCCGGTTTAATATCGGCCAACGATCTTCGCTTGGTTCCATCAGGGACCGTCAACGTACCAAACATGGCTTCCCAGCCAGATCCAAATGAAAATGACGAATACGAAATCGAATCAATACTTGATAGTAGAGTAGTACGTAGAGGCAACAGAAGGATAAAGCAGTACAAGGTTCTATGGAGTGGTTATGATGCGTCCCAATCAACTTGGGAAGATGAAGGGAATCTCGAAAATGCACGGGAGGCCATAGCCGAGTATGAAGAGCAAAATGGATAATAGGTTCTCAAAACTTGTCATCTAGATTTAAATCGTCATTAAGATCGTCGATATCCATCGCATCATCATCATTAGATGAGCCTTCGTTCTTCTCCCTGTGAAGATTATAATAAACTTGTCGTGTTGCATAGGAATGACCATGCTTTTTAGCGAACTCTTTTTGAACCCGAGGATCTCCGTTATCCAATTTGATCGAGTCAATCACTACAATTTTTCTAAGTTCATTGACTCCGAGTTCTTTTCCGATATGTTGTTTACAAGCGATCTTCATAGCCCTTCCAAAACCTCCGCCTTCATAGGGTTTACTTGCGTTGCGCGCTTTTTCAAACAATTTACTCTGTCCTTTAGCCTTACGAATATCAACCAGATTATCAATGTGCCTTTTGACAATGTCATCGATAACCGTAATAAGAACATCGGTGTCTCCCTTATTCTTATTACATGCTTTTATCAGAAACGTATGGGTTTCCGTATTAAATGTGACGTTATCCGTTTCGGTAATGTCCACAAACTTCGCTTCGCCAATGTCTGCTCTTCGAATAACATCTGAACCAACGAAACAAGCCGCTGCAATGAGCAACCCATACTTATATGGATCTTTGACGGCCTTTTCTTTAAGTTGATCCAATTTCTCGTAAAGAGCGTTGATTAAAGGGTCTTTTTCAATGAAGCGCTTCGTTTCATATTCTTTATCCATTACGAGATCGCGGGCTTGTATCTCTTTACAACGATCGCCGTTGATCTTGAGATAGAAATGTCCCATTTCGTCAATATGCGTAAGTTTGTCCATTGTGCACGCATCTAGGAATCGTTTCTTTGCAGTTTCACCATAGAGGCTAGACGAGAGCCAATCGTACAATCCTATTTTTTCCTCGTTTGTCATAATTTTGAACATAGCGGACAACACCTTTGTACAATTCGCTCCATCGTCTTTAGGGTAATTCTTTTTCAAGATTTTCATGACATCGGTCGGAGATGATAGGACATTCGGATCAAAAATCCCGTATGCTTCAAGTCCATTACAAGCCGACAGATATACCTTTCGGCTACTCGGAGCCAATCCTATCTTTCCATTCTTTTGTTGGACGGTATCGGCATATCGGTTGATAAGTTTCTTGGCTATTTCAATATTCATTGCTGTGTCGTTCTTTGGTTGTGCATAAACCATTACTCGTTTTTACTCTTTAAATAAGAAATTTAATCACATCGTTAATATCGATATTAAACGCATGTTTATGTCATCGCGCGCGAATACTTACAGGTGGAACTCCGATTTCATCAGGATTCAAGAAAACACCCACCCCCAAACAAAACTTTAATCAGTACAGAACCACCCCCACTTCCCCGAGTATGATCATGCAGAATCGCCCACACCTGCGCCGTCTATTCAGCCGAAACCACCCCCGCGGCAAGGTTACTAAAATTAAGCATTCACCCACATGAGGAGTGAGTAAAAATGGTACAGAAACAAATCACCCCCTCTTGGGGGTGATTTGACTCTTCTCGAAACAAAAAACGGTGGGTGTTTTCTTTCCATAACTGAGCAAAGCAAGCGGGGGTGTTTTTTACCTCCCGTTTTCCAACGCCCGCGGGGGCGTTTCCTGTCGGTTACCACCTGGGTACTGTTTCTACATGTTGATATCATTTACTTTACAGTTAGGTGAGGTTGCAGATGTTGTTCTTTCCCGTTTGCGGAAAGGAAAACCGCCACGAAAAAATATAAAAGGGTAAAAAAATGTTTGTTTCCCTTCAAAAAATTTCAAACAGTTCCTCACTCTTAACAACTATTGCACACAACCGCTTTCGCCATAACTTTCAACCAACGCACGTTCTCAACATGCAAAAACGCCAAAACACCATGGAATTGGCTCCGAAGCGCATCAAAAAAGCCAAACGTACCGTCCAAAGGGCTGAACCGGGCTCTTTGAATGTGATCAATAACGAAGTGAATTGCAATGAAGACCATATCGACTTCCCAGTTGCGTTGGACTTGGACAATATTTTCGATATCGATCCTATGAATTTGAGCATCGAGCCATTGGATTCTCCTTCGACTCAAAACACTCCGACGATCAACAAGCCCGGTCTCGTTGGCTTGCAGATGGATGTCAATCAAAGTGAAAACGTCATGATTGACAACCAAACCGATGTCAATAACGATCATCCCCAGGAACGTCTGGACGATGTGCCTGACCGAATCCTTCCGGGCACTCCGAGTGTCAACCCGCCCGATATCCCTGGATTGCAGATGAAAGTCAATGAAAACGAAGAGATCCAGATTGACAACAACCAAATCGCCGCCAACAATGATGACCCCCAGGAACGTCACAAATCTATCGATGGCAGCACCGCGCTTGTTTCTCATGAAGATCTGGCTTCTTCGCAGAAGGCAGGATCGACTCATGATATGTTCCAGTGTCAATGCAAACCGTGCACTATCCGTGTTTCGTTTTGGGAATTTGGCCATGCTTTGATAGCACACATAAACCCGAAATCAACAGAGGACAAAAAGAAAAAGGGTCAATGGGTAACCCCTGCCGCCGAGTTCTTCGAACGGTTTTATGGGCATCTCATTCGATTGAACGACACCAAAGGCTTCGTACGATGGAATCCTGCGACGCGCACAAACACCCACTTCGACAAAACAGCCTTCACCGCGTACGTTGGTCAAGTATTATTCGATTGTTTTAATACCACCGACAAGAATCAAAGCGAAGGCGCAAAGCATGAAATTGGTAAAGGAGCCAAGAAGGTTGTCGACATCATATTCGGACGATTGCGATGGAGGGAGGCTGAGGACGCCAAGCCTCCTGTGGACAACAGCCATCTGATCGCTTTCAGAAACGGCCTTGTTTACGACCGAAAAGTCGGTGAATATCGGGAGCGCACCGATGAAGACGGCGATATTGAAGCGTTTGACTATGATCTTGTTGAGTGGGATCCCGAGAAGTATCCCAAACAGCGGTACTTGTGGGATGCCTTTTGCAAAATGTGGCCTGACTCCTCCGATCGTTTCTTCGGGCTCACCAATCTCAGTACCATCCTGGGAAGCAGACGCGGTCTTCGTGAACTGCTTATACTTTACGGTCCAAGTTCCAATGGCAAAAGTTTGGTTGGAAGATTGATGAAACTTATGACATGTTATCGGTTTCTGGGAGCGACCGCCAGCAGCCTACAAAGCAAACCGGGGAACGGAAATAAGCCGTCTGACATTCACTGGAAAATGGGGCAAAAATCAACACTTATCACTTGGTTTTCTGAAGGGGATGAGAAGGATTTGTATTCCGGTTCGGCAGTCAAAATGGCTGTCGGAGGAGATTCTGCGTACCTTAGGAGGGCTTATGGCAAGAATGAAGAACTTACGATAACGGGATTGGTTGTTCTCGCTACAAATCATCTTCCATATTTCGATTGTGGACTCTACGACAACGATCACAGAGATATTACGGACAAGTTGGTTGTAATACCTTGCAAATCGAAGTTCGTCAGCGCTCATGAACATGAAGATCCGAGTCAACATGTATATTATAAGGACGGTGAACTCGACCGGCTCATCAACAACGAAGACCGGGACTTAGCGAGTGCCATGATGGCACTCATGGTTTCTTTGCATCACGATCATCTTCAAACGGAAGAATATCCATTACTGAGCAAGCCCGCGTCAGTGATTTCAGCGACTGCAGATTTAGTCACAAGAGTGCATCCGTATCGAACTTTTGTAAAAGAAATGTGCGTTATTGAAGAAGGCGCCAAAATGCGACAATGCATGGCTATGGCGTGCCTCCAAAATTGGACAAAACAGCATCCAGTATGGCGCAAATGCTCACCGCGGACCCAGGATTTCAAGGCTTTCCTGCTTCACGCGTACCCTGCCGTCTCCTTTGGTACGAACCGACGAATCGACGGGGTCCAAACAACCGGGTTTTACGGGATCCGGTTGAAGGAAGAGGAGGGGGACAAACATGGAGGACGTGATAAGTTCCTACTGAGCGATATTGACATCCTATCAAAAGCCATTGAAGAGTAGTTTGTGGAAATATGCGTTACAATTGTAAATAAGTAAATAGTTCCTTGTACATATCAATTTGAATGAATTTCAAAGAAACAATGCGTCCTTGGTATCCAAAGCGCTCTCCTTCAGGCAAAATTAATTACCCGGAAGGAACTCGAAAATGCAAGACCGCTGAATGCCAATCAGAACCTATTCCCTACATCAAAAATCGGCCATACTGCTACGATTGTTGGGTCAAGTCAAAGGAACCTAAAGGTTTCAAGATAGAATTCGATTCGGATTGATCCAGATCATCTGATTTCGAACTCAAAGGCTCCTTCAATGTCCTTTTGATGGTGATGTGTCTCCGCGTCCTGCATGATTCTACATTACCCAAAATTCGCGCAACAGTGGATGCGGCAATATCTAGTTTTCTAGCAAGATCACGGACGCTCCGGCCTGTGACAGTCTTGATTTCTCCATCCTCAAAGAGTGATGCAATATAGTTGTAAGGAATGTACATCTTTGTAGCAATAACGATGCTTCTTTATTGGTACATATATGTTTATTTTTGTTACTTGCGTTTAAATGCCATTTAAACTTCTAAGTGTATTCTTAGTAAAGCACCATGTCTTCCAAATTTGCTGCTCACGTTGAATCCAAACCTATCAGAGACATCTATCATTTCAAGGAATCTTACTTCGGAGGTGTTCCCGAGTTCAATTGGACACTCGAAGAATACGAAAAGAAACATATGGAACACAAGTGCCTTACCGAAAACTTTACAAAATTAGGCGCCAATGACAAGATCAAATTGTTTGTCGATTTCGATCTGAGATTTGAGGAAGAATCCGATCTGCCCTCTGAAGAAGTCGAGACTGAAATCCGTAAAGGTGTTGATAAAGTATTTACCTCCTTGTATTTAAATGAGGATATTACTTTTCATTCTGCGTTCCGTACAATGGGATACGCTCCTAAGCACACCAAGGACAAAAATGGTAAATACGTCGAAACCGGTGGTGGATATAAAGTCTCTTATCGCCTATGGGCAGACGGTATGTATACGACCCGGAATGAAATGAAGAAGAAACTCAAGAAATTCATCCCAGATTTGTCCGACTTCCCGGATGTTGTTCGAGACTACAATTTCAAGGATGGATTTTTTGATCTTTCTGTCTATGACAACAATCGGTCCATGGTGATGGTGGACAAAGTCAAAAATCGTTGGGATAACCGACTTCTCATCAAAAGCGAACCGGATGCACCGATCTCTTCGTATATCATTCAATATGTAGAGGCGGACTGGACCCCGGTTGAATGGACAATTCAATCTGATAGTAGAAAGCGTCCTGCCAATGATGAATTTGTCCTGGTTCCGGACTCGGACCTTGAAGACCAACCGCAACCAAAGAAGAAAAAGGTCACTCCATCCCGAGGTGAAGAGAACGTGACTTCAATTGCTCATGATATTATTAGAAAGCATTACCCAAACGCTTACCTTCTACGGGATCTGAGTGAAGCGAAGATACTCGACCACGCTGTTACCGTATTCGTCAAGGGGAAATACTGCATGGTCGAGAAGGCTGACCACGAAGTGTCAGTCTCTAAAATGTACTTCACTCTAACTACAAAGAGGCTCAAATTCAATTGTACTCACTGTAACGGAACCCGAAATTCAGAACATGGGGACAAACGTCTCGATGAGTGTTTCGACAACGATGTGGAAATTGTAAAACCTGGTGAGCGCCTGAGTATCAAACGTGCTGCTCAAGTGTACAAAACCCATGACTATGAAGGAGTCATCATGTATCTGAATAACTATTGGGCAAAAGTCACCGAGGAATCCTCCGTCTTCATTGCCTCTAGAACAACAATAGATTCACCGTGGCTTCTCAGAAAGCCGTCTGAATTTGAATCAGCCTTCGGCCATTTGAAGTTCACCTATTTAGAAGAATCTTTGGGAAACGATGGAAAAACCACATACACACAGCAAGTCTTCCCTTTGGTCGCAAACTGGAAAATTGATAACAAAATGCGAACATTCAGGCACGTGAAATTTAGGCCGGACCATGTAGGGGACCACGAAGACGAATACTTGAATCTCTTTCAGGGATTTCAGGGAAAAAAGTTGCTAGCATTTGATGAAGCAAAGTTCAAACTGCTTTTAGATCATGCCAAGAACATTCTCTGCTCAGGCGATGAGGAATTCTACTCGTACTTGATACATTGGTTAGCGCATATAGTTCAATTCCCGGGACAAAAGACACAAACAGCACCGGTTTTCTTTAGCAAACAAGGGACGGGAAAGAACATCTTTTTTGACTTCTTCGCCAAATTCATTATCGGAACCGCTCATTCGTTTTACACCAATGATATTGATCAAGTTACAGGGAGGTTCAACGCGGCTCAAGCGGTCTGTATTTTCATGGTATGTGATGAGGTTACCTTCGCGGGTGCTCATAAACAGAACAATAAATTGAAAAGCATCATCACCTCAGCGCAAACAGCACTTGAGCGGAAAGGTCGGGACATCATCATGGTAGATTCTTGCCTCAACGCTGTGTTTCTCTCCAACAATGAAGATGCCATGCGGATTGAAAACACTTGCCGACGATACGGCGTCAAACGAGCGGCCTCCTCGCGGATCGGTGATGAGGTGTATTTCAAAACGCTTGGTGCACATCTGACACAAGAAGTTGCAGATCACTTTTACACATATCTTTTGTCGCTGGATCTTTCTGATTTCAATGCGCGGAAAGTCCCTGATACCGAAGAAAAACGGGAGATGGCAGGATATTCGAGATCCCCTTTAGATCTGTTTATTGACGACATATTGGCAGGGAATATCGCGTACAAGGTAGTGAACGGACATTTCGTAGAAGAGGACATGGAGAGCAAGTGGGTTCCTGGACATACGGAATATTTTGAACTAGGTGTCTCATACGATTTAACAATGAATGAACTATTTGACCTGTTCACCACTTTCTGCAAAACCGAACAAGGTGGTCGAGTGGAGTCAAAATTGACCAAAGCCATTTTTTCAAAACGGATTAGAAGGATACTAAACATCGAGAACCGGTTGTGCAACAGACGAGGAGGAACCCCCATAACAATGGTACTGGAGCGCATAGATACTGAGTGAAGAATGTAATGTAATTTTGAAAAATGAAAGAATGTTCGTATAGGTGGATGTCACAGTAGAAGTATGAGTTTGTGTACTGTGACATTTACTGTGACGGTCTCGACAAATGTAGTAAGATATTTTTTTTGTTTTTTAGAGAAGGAGAGAGTTTGATGGAGTTGGTACAGATGGTACAGATGGTACAGTAGTTTTTAACTTCTTTAGAAAAATGGAATGGAAAAGGAAAAGGGGAGAAAAGAAATGAAAAGTACCTGTATCATCTGTACCATCTGTACCAAGTGTAATGACTCGGTGAAAAGGTCTCCATATGTAGTAATGGAAGAAGAGTATTCTACTAGATATGTCGAGTGTGCGAAGCGGGTGGTACAGGTGTAAGTGACACCTGTATCATATGTACCATCTGTACCAAGAGTTTTGAAAAGAAGAATGAGAAAAGGATGTCTCTTTTTGGTGGTGAGAGTTGGTTCGAAAAATGCCTTTTTGCCCCCCTACATAGAACAGGGAATGGGGAAGTAGTAGAAAGGTTGGTTGGACTCGACGCATGTAGGGGGGAAATTTGACTTTGCCCCCTTTCCCAAAGTGCGCAAGGGTGGTTAATGGCTGAAAGGCTTGTGCGGTTAATGCATAACACCGAAGGTGTAGGGTACATTGTTAATACATTACACCATACACCCGCCAGTACGGTTAATGCATTACACTTTCAGCAGCCGTTACGGTTAATGCACAGTGTTGAGTGGAGTCAGTACGGTTAATGCACAGTGCAATTGTATAGTGGATCAGTGCATAGCATAAACCAATGGTTTATGCTATGCACTGATCCAAGCGGCCTACGCCTTACGCATCAAACGGCCGAAGATCAGAACACCTCATATGCAACATCTCGCTCTTTATCCGCGCAACGATCCTCTTTGCCCAGCTATGGCACTTTCTCGTCTCTTGCACTGGCACGCTGAACGCCACTCGCCCGCATACCAACCTTTGTGGACGCTGGAAAATGGGACACACGCCACGTTAGCTTGGTTCGCGGGGATGTGGGCACACTTGGCCGGCATTCAACTGGGAGTTTCGTCGTTGCGGTCTGGAGGCGCTACGCAGTACGCATTCGAGGGATATCCGTTTGATGCAATACAGAGATACGGAAGGTGGAGCTCAGAAGCGTTTCAGCTTTACATCCGCTCGCACCCGCAGTTTTTAGTCGAGATCATGCTGCGGTACCATGGAAATTAGAGGAAACTAGAGGACAATGCTCGGTATTTAGCTGCCCATCCCCCTTCTCTCCGTTGTTCTGTATATCTGGTGTAAAGCGCGCGAATAAGAATTGATGTCTCGAATTCTTCGTTTACTGCTCGCCCGCAACGCCCTGCCCGTGCTCTGCACTGCCCGCGCAAAGTCACAACTTGTGCTTTCGCAATGCCCTTAGCTCTCTGCCCGTGCTCTGCACTGCCCGCGCAAAGTCACACCTCGTGCTTTCGCAATGCCCTTAGCTCTCTGCCCGTGCTCTGCACTGCCCGCGCAAAGTTACACTCGTGCTTTCGCAATGCCCATGCGGGCACACCGCCCGTGTTCTCACACTGCCTGGTTTGGATGCGCTGCTTTTACTTATCTCGGTTTTTAGGTTCGGGTCGAACATCGCCACGGACGCAGCCGGAGGAGGAGGCCCGAACATCGCCACAGACGCAGCCGGAGGGGGAGTGATTCCGAGCGACCATGGACGGTGTGAAGTCGCTGCGCAATACACATTCCCTCTCTCCGATTCTCGCTTGATACAATTTGCGGAAAGTGGACGAGGTCGTTGTAGTTCGCACCGCGAATAAATCGACCAAGGACACGTGACTGCGGTGGGGTGTGGATGACAAACGTACTGAGCTTTACCTCCTTCACCTTTTCTTTCCCTTTTCTGCAACCCATTCCTTTCCCACGCACTGATCCGCAAATCGTAGACCTGTTTAAAAACCCACCCACCTCCCTGCTTATTATTGTATTATATATTAGTGGTGTGAAGTCGCTGCGCAATACACATTCCCTCTCTCCGATTCTCGCTTGATACGATTTGCGGAAAGTGGACGAGGTCGAAAGAGTGGGGCAAAACGCGGTTATCGACGCGAACTCCGCATCCTGTCAAAAAACAAACAAATGTAATTGCCAGCATCTACGCTCATGGAGAGGCATACCTGACGCTCCACAATCAAACCAAAAAGAGCGGACCAGTTCTAACGACTCGCAAGCTTTGCCGCATTGCTCATGAACGTCCGTCGCGCAAAACCTGCCGATGTCGCAGGCATCAATCAGCTCCTGCAACGCTCATCGCAGGCTGGTACCGACGAGCCCGCAGCCGCACTGAAACGTCGATTCGGAAAGCATTACAACGTTGCTGCGATTGTGTATGTGTGGATAGTAGTGCTTTGATTCTTCAATATGAATCTCTGTTAACGGTTTGCCATCATAATTCCCAGAGATGCATCTCCGTTCAGCTTGGTCACCGCAAACGAGGACGGAAGTGAGATTCAGGGATTTTACTCTGTCACCAGTGGACCGCCATCATACATAGACGATGAGGGTAGCTCTGGGGAATTTGTTGGATCTGGGGCTACGGCGCGTGGGGACTGGACAGCCTGGATTAAGCGTTCTTATGATTGCCCAGACGATATGCAGGTGAGGGTAGACTGTGGTGCATGTTTCGGAATGGGCAAGCAGCTGACCGACGTTTGCGCAGATCCACAATACGACGTTCGTCAACTTCTTCCATGCTGAAAGCAGCCAATCCTCATCATTTCTAGATTCCTCTCTTTTATCAACCGTTCAACATCTGCCGCACATCCGATACATTTGCTATTTCCTTCCTGAGGGCAACGCACTCTTCGCTCCGTTTTCCATGCCCCGCATCAAATCATCCGATGGGCTGACATCCCGCGGAGCACAGAGTGCCAAAGACGCCAATGGCCGAAAAGCGGACGCAAAGTACTTCGCGGAAGTCGCGGCAACCAACAGCAGTTCCGCCTTCAAGTTGTTCGTGTGTGCTGCGGCGGACTTGCTGCCGAAGTTGAGGGTTAGGAATGCAAAAGTGGAGGATGCGGATGATTTACTCCCGATGTTCAAGAAGCAGAGGGTTAGTCCATCACGTTGAGCGGACCATGTGCCCTATAACGCCGGTCTGATGCCGAAAAAATCACTGCAGTTGATCAACGACGATGAGGCGGACTACTACCTTTCAAGTCTGCTGGAATCGCAGACTGCAAATGTGAAGACTCTAGTAGCGGAGGTAGGTATAGTGGATGCTATATCTTATGAGGAACGACAATACGGAGGTCTAATCACGGTTTGTTTCCCAACTACGTAGGCCGATGGCGATGTTGTCGGCTTCATAACCATCAATCGAGACGTGCAGGAAGTTGCGCTCACCCATAACTTTCAGCTGGAGCCGTTTGATCTCTTGCTCAAAGGTGTGAAACAAGCTCTGGCCTCCCACTTTCTCCTTTTTCTCTTGAGCTGAAGTTTAGGATGTTCTGGCAGAGGCTCCACTTAAAAATCGACCGCTGACGACGGGCGTCTTGAGCGGACATAGTGGGAGTTCAGAGGGTACACCCTCCAGACCAACATCCGGACGTGCTGGGGAGGACAAGGATGCAGATGAGGAGGGTAGCGGAGCAAGGCAGGCCGAGCAGGCAGGCGGTGACTTGCTGGTCAGCCGACCTGCCTCCATTCTCAAGAACCCGCACACTCCGAAGGATACTTCCCGGCCTCAGTCAAGTACCACATTCGGTCCTACAACGCAGCCTGATGGATCACGATCGCATTCCGTACAACAGAACGTCTTCAATGGTTCACGTCCACTCACCGCGGCATCAGATAGCACCATGGAGTCTGACCAGCAGCCTCATCAGGAGGAACCGCAAGGCTCCATCCCCAATGCGTTTTGCATTGAATTGTTCTCAATGGCAGATTCGTACGCTTCTCAAGCGATGGAGCTTGTACGTGCGGCGTACAAACAGTTCCCAGACTTAGATTACTGCGTGGTCACAGTCCCGACAACCATGCCAGAAGTTCCGCTATTTAGACAGTTTGCGAGGGTGTATGTCAAGACTGGAATGTCGGATCAGTAAGTGTTTGTGATACTGAGGACTCATCAATCTGGTGTGTTGTTGAATGGATTTCTCAACAACGCATCCCCAGAAACGCTTTGTACCTATCGAATCGTTTCGGGGTGACAGATGTGGTGAAGGTTGAAAAAGCGGCTGCAGAAGAAGCGGGCAGCATCGATTTCTTGTTGGATGGCGTTGCAGGCCGGGATAGCATCTTTTCCGACTACCAGACAGCAACGCAATCTCAGGGCTCGAAAGGTGACAACCTATAATACATCAGCAGTTTCTCAATCTCGCCGCTTGGGCTAACACCGGACTTTTCAAATCATTTGTAGCCAACCTGAACGCTTTCTCAATCACGTGCGCCCGTCAGATCATAGGTCTTGCGATCCTCGAGACGTGCGCGGACGCCAAACAATGGACAGACCAGTTTGCGATTCATGACTTCGTCAATCCAAAGCTGCACAAGCTTGAAGGAAAGGCTTGCATGCTGAGACATTTTGTCATCAACCCGTTGTTTGAGCACGAGTCTCGATGGGTGTTCGAGGTAGGGAAACGGTGGAAGGGTATAGGTTCTCGACACAGACCTCTGAAAAAAAAATGTGAACTACATTTTGGGTACGAAGGAACTACTTCGCTTAAACGGAACCACATGCATCATGTATCCGCTTCAAGAGGCGACAAATGAGGATCCATCGACACGGAGGATCTGCGCACGGGAGATGGTCCCCGTCAAGCCCAGACGCGAGTACGTTGCGAGCTCTTGGTAGCCTGCGGGAACCATATGATGAATGACGAGCACCTCCCCCTAGGATCCAGTTCCCGAACAATATCCGGGATGGAACTCGCGTTCCCGCACCTCTGCTTTGCGCATTACAGCTGATTTCCACCAATCTCCTCTATGAACCAAAGGTATGGATTCTCTTGAATTCACAAGCAGAAGCCCTTCTAAATCAGTATATGATCAACAGATCACTGTCAACTCTCGAATAGTGATCGTAGGAGGGTCGGATTGCGGCACTGCGGTGATAGAGAAGTTGATTTATGTACGTTCACTGGGCACGACGTTGAATTCATGCATCCGAGCTCATCATGTTCTTCGGATAGAACCCACGCTTCTGGTACCCCAACCTCACCCTGATAAGTGAGCAAGGCGCCCCAAAGCAGCCAGAAGGAAGGCCGTTTGTAAGCTCCAGGTGCTACAGCAATGTGCAGCTCAGACAACTCGGTATCCCCGACTACGTGAAGATCGTCCGCGGAACCGTCTCCGAGATTGATCGAATGATCAAACGTGTTCGAATGGTCAATGATTCATTTGCAAAGTGTGTAGCGGATGAGATCACACAACAGCGAAAGCCTATGTGATAGGTCCCTGATTTTTCACACCTCCCTCTTGATACAGCTACGACTATTTGGTGCTCACTCCGGGTCTCCAATTCCGCGCGGAATCAATCAGTCAGGAGTTCGGTGCTCTTGAAGGAGTGTTTTCGGTGAGCAGTTTCAATGAAAAGCAGATCGTCGACGGAGTCGAGTACGCTCTGGGAAACCGTGGAATCTTCGTGGTGTAGGTATGATGATGCAAGCGTGAGATCAGGCTTCGACTGATCCATTGGCCATCCATCTTAGATACGGACGACATCTACAAGCATACGCGGGCATCCAGTGTACGTGCTAATCAAATCTGCCTATGAGGGCTTCCTTCTGATAGCTTTTCCACAGTGCTATTGGAGAATAAGGTGCCTGGCAATCGCATCGCTCTCGTTGTTCCCCCTCGGCGAGACCCTAGAACTGCTCTCGACAATACAGTTTTGGATCAGAAGGTTTGTGCGAACTCGAAAGATCACAGACTGCAATGACGTCTAACACTCTCCATGTTCTCAGGTTGATAGCATCGTCCAAGCATTGGGCGTCAAAATATACAAAAACTGTTTCGTGAGCACCTGGGAGAACGACGAAGGGCTTCTCACCGGAGTCAATTTCAGAAAAATCGAAGCAGATGGGAGTACGAGTCTGATGACACTGTCAGAGGTTTCCCTGTTTCTCTATGCGGATGCCCAATCCGTATCACCGGAGACGTTCAGTAGCATGAACGATAGTTCCTTGGTCATCGACGGCAAGCTTGTCATTGATAAGTATTTCCGTACCCAGGACCCCTTCATGTGAGTCCGGGTCTTCGTAACCTGCTTGAGCTTGATTTAATGGCCTCCGTAGCTAAACCTTTGGCATCAGCTACGCTGCCGGAAAAGTGACAAAGTATTCCAGCGTCTACCGCACGCATTGGTCACAATCGCTTTACGATGCGAAGGAAGTTGGGCATAGGGTATGTGTGTGCACCCCGAGATCATTCTCAGTGTAACGGACTTTTGAGATCGTTCATCTGTAGCTGGCCAACGAACTGGTACCAAACTTCAATCCCGAGACAAAAGTTGAACGGATAGATGACGAGCGCATACTACGCTTTGAGGACGCAAAGAAAACGTTGGCCATCCTCCCAGGTACAAATGAGTGGTATTTTGGAAGAGATGCGAGGTTTTTTTTAACCGCAGATTCGGTCCATGCATGTAGGGAATCTGCTGTATTTTCATTTTGATGAACCACATCTTATTAGCCATACCCATGAGCATCGGAAGAAACTGGCCAACTACGTACGTGCTGCGTGATATTCTTCATCTTTGCAACTCACTGACCGTATTCGTTTTCGAAATTCAAGGGTCAAGACTTGGTGATAGACAAGCTTACCAAGCCGGGCCAAAAAGGGTCTTACTTCCGAATACATGTCGACACTGACGGTATCATCCGATCCATGACATATCTTGGCGAACAAAGGATACCAATCGACAACTACCTCCGGCTGTATGGATTACATGAAAAGTATCTCAACAGGCTGGTATCCAGATTCAATGAAGGAATCATACCAGATTTCGTAAGGTGCGTTTCCCGCTGACTATACTCGAGAGCTTGTACTACCTTTAAGCTCATGCGGCATGCTCAACAGCTTCTTGTCTGGTACTTGGGCGCTGCCTCTCTTCTACGACCGCTTCCCGGGGTTTGTGAATGATTTGGGCCAAGAAGTCATTGCGTTGAGAGGAAGCGGAGAGGGGGAGATAGATGACATCCTGAAGGAACTGGCCGAACAGATTGATACCGGGTTGAAGGTGCGAGGCATCATTGATGATGAGCATCATTTCAGCCTGTTTATACTGACAACGATGGCTCAGCTGACTGCTGAGGATCAGAGGGGTCTGTACAAAGCATTCGACAATGCGCCCGCACGGCGCACTTTAGACAGCAAGGTCTTCAACTATTTGGCGGAGACTGAAATTTACAGATCGTACCCATGAGGGTAGGTACATTCCGGGCCTGATTTTTGTTTGCTAGAAGGACGAAGAGCTCATGGCTCCATTCCGTTGGCTTTTCAATCTTCCAGAAAGCTGCAGAAGTTTGTTGACGCGCCGCAACTTCACAGCACTGACGAAGTTATGCAAGCGCATGTGCACGCATGGGAATACCAATGAAAGCGACCACGTAGATCCTTCCCTCATCTGGACCTTCACAAGTCGGACCTGCTTAACACAGTGTGTCTCGCTTTTGGCTGCGCCACAGCCTACATCACCGATATCTTGAGGAATGACCATTAACTGTGTATAGAGAAATTGTGCTTCTTGTTTAATAGCTACTTGGCGTGCCACTGCAGAGTTCGGAATGGAGTGCTCGGAGTCGGAGTTTCGCGCTTGCAAATTATTTTGCAATCGGACTTTCGGTCAAAACTTTGTCCGAAAGCTGCCAAACCTCGCCAAGCAGAATTCCTGACGAACGTTCCCCTACGTATCTATACAGCAAGGAATCTGTACAGCGTTTCGGAAGAACCAAAGCTTCGAAAAGGTCCCCCTATCCGGCTTTACCGCACACACGATTCTCGGTTACTTGAGCGGCAAATGTCAGCAAATAGGAGGACCTCCATTTCGGAGCCACTCAACCAGGTCCTGCAATCAAACAGCCTTCATATAAAGAACCGTGAGAAAGTCCTTGAGAAGATCAACCGCATCTTAGAAGATGGAGTGCAAAATGTTCATGTCATCAGTGGTGAGGAAATACAACCCCGCCGGATACTGATCTGGCGGAGTTCGGAAAATCCGGGTCCGAAAAACCGCCTTCCTGACCTGCGCTCTCTCTCCGTTCTAGACTTCGATATGACGATCAGCAAGTAAGCGTGAGCGATTCGAGGTCGCTGAGACATCTTGAATTGAGGCTGACCAACGTTGGCGATTAGATACTGGGTAAATGGAGAACGCAACGTAGGGTCGCATAGGTTACTGGCACTCAGCAGCCGCGTAACAGCAGAGGTGAGAGGCAAGATCTGTCAACGTAGTCGCAATGCCCATTGCTGAAGCTGGTCAACAGTTTAGAGAAAAAACCGACGCGGTATATCGACACTACTATCCAATAGAGATATCGCGGACTGTGTCACACGAAGACAAAGTTCAGGCTATGGTGGAATGGTGGAGTCAGTCTCAGCAACTCAAACCTGATTCCACAACGAACGCATGTCCTGAAATGTCCATCCAATAGCGAAGGCACACGAATCCATTCTTGAATTGAAACTCACCAAGGATGATCTGGAGAGGATAGCTCACGAAGTGCAAATAGTGTTGCGCGAGGGAGCCGTGGACTTTGCCGATCTATGCGCCAAAATGGATGTGCCATTATTGGTGTTCTCTGCCGGCCTGGGAGGTGCGGGTGTATGCGGCTAGCCACAAACGACTGCAACTGTGCTGATCGGGTCATCACAATACCAGACGCAATAGAGGCGGTCTTGAAGAACAAGGGCATGTTGAAGCCAAATGTGCATATTGTATCGAATATGTTACGATTCGACTCGAAGGGCGTAGGCGGTGCGTGTTCCGTCGGCTTCTTCGTCGCATCAGGTCCTAACTCTTAAAGCAAATCACAGTCGCATTCCATGAGCCTCTCATTCACACCTTCAACAAGAACGAAGCCGCTGTGGGAGGCCCGTATATTGAAGCGATCATAGGGAGGACGAATGTGGTACGTAATACGTATAAGGCGCACTAGACTCACGAAGCAATGAAGTTCCGGCTAATGCTTGTGTCCGCGTAGATTCTGATGGGTGATTCCATAGGGGATCTGCAGATGGGCGAAGGACTAAAGCACGACGTTCAATTGACGATAGGATTCCTGAACCATGATAAGGATGCCTTGATAGATGAGTATGCCTCCGCGTTTGATATTGTAGTTTTAGACGACGGGCCCATGAGTATAGCCATAGAAATATTATCTTTCATGAAATGAGATACTTTCAGCCTCACATTTGTTATGCATCGTCTTTCGCTGATCGAAGATTTTGGGTTGCGGGCATCTTAACGTAATTCAAGAGTAAGCCACATGGTCGAAGGGTGATGTCTAGCATCCCGCAATGAAGTGGAACAAACTCCGGTCTATGCAGCTGATGTGCAATAGCCGAGAATCAAACCTGGGTCTATGTTGGGCTCGCTCTGGAGGACAGCCTCTCAGATTTATCGTACGCTCACAGTCGTTCAATTGCCGAAAATCGACCTCGGGGTCCACCTGGGCGGCCCTCCTCAACGACGCATTCTTGCAAAAATGGAACCTTCCCTACGCATCAGACCTTCTTTCTGACAAAAAGGTTTTTCGGACGCCAGAAGAAACAACTGGAATGCATCCCAGGCGTCCCCGATGCTACTTTGCAATGGCCGAGAATCGAACTCGGGTCTACCGCGTGGCAGGCGGTAATTATGCCACTAAACCACCATTGCGCCGATGTGTGCGGCACGTTTCCATGGCGTTGAAATCTTAGGGTGCCAAACTTCCCGCATGGAGGCGCGCTTGGGATCCGAGAGAGTGGAAACGCGCGAGACTGCGCGAGTCGTCGTCGTGCCTTGGGTCCATCGATTCATATACCAGCTCCTGGCGACGAGACTTGCGCAAGTTGACGATTCTTCGGACAGAAGAACGCAGACCAGCTAAGGGCGGTGAAGACGGTAGACAAGGGTATATCGTGGTATGTGTAGTCTGCGGATAGAGCGTAGGAAGGAACGACAATGTGCGCGGCGAACTGGTAGGTGGGGTTCCGAGACAAGCAAGGGAACCTCTGCAGCATCCAGAAACGTTGCTCAACAATGTCGCTACGAGAGCTACGAGATCTTTCAAAGAGATCGCTACGATTTGCGGATAACGTTCGTGGGAAAAAGGGAAACGAAGTAGAAGGAGCTCAGTAACACGTTTGTCATCCAAACACAACCTACAGTCACGTGCCCTTGGTCGATTTATTCGCGGGGCGAAAGGCAATCGGCGAAAGTGGTGTTCGCTGCCTGTGGCGACCGTCGGTGAAAGAGTCAAGCGCTCTAATCAAGTACGGAGTACAAATTGTGGGCCTCATCTTTCAACAGAAGTGTAGATAGAAATGTGGTGAGGAAGATGGACCGCCGGCGAAGAGGGACTAGCGAGGGAACACGTTTTACGCTTATTCCAAACAAGATGGGCAATAACGCGCGCGAGTTTCCTCAACAGGAGGAGACAATGCCGGTCGTCCACACGGTCCAGCCTCCTCAAGACGGTGACAGGGGTGGGATAGTCTGCGTCACCTGCGTCCAACTTCGACAGGAGTTGCCACTACGATAACAGGCAGCCATGAGTTTCATGAGAAAGCAGCCGACGGTCAAAGGTAAGCTAAGACCCCATGTCGCGGTGAATAGGGAGATTCTGTGTTTTGACCTTGTTCTTCCCAAAGAGCAAGTCCGGACAACCAATCGCGAAGTGCGAGGGATACAGCGCGACCTAGGCAGGGATAGGACGGCTCTTGAACGGCAGGAGCGGCAGCTGGTGGGTTGCTTTATATCGGAGCTGAGACCGGAACAGAGAAAAAGCTTGGCGTTGTCCAGCTGACGAGGGCCTTGCTTCTGCCAGATTGCCGATGTCAAGAAATGCGCGAAGCAAGGGCGCACGGCGGAAGCGAAGATGCTGGCGAAGCAGGTACATCAACTGCGGCAGCAAATGGACAAGAACACGAAAGTGAAGTGTCAGGTTGGAGGGTTGAATGTGCGGGCGGCGGTAAGTAACATGCAGATGCTCGTCTTCTCGTCGCCGTACGGGAGTTTGCTGATTCGTACCGAACAACAGGCAATGGCATCTGGTGTAGCGAACGCCAAAGCGATGGCAGGCGCCACCCGAATAATGGCGGCTTCAAATAAAATGAACGACATGCAAGCATTGCAATCGACGCTGAGCGAATTTGAGCGGCAAAACCTGGCTATGGACATGAAGGATGAGATGAGTATGTCGAACACCTAGTGTTGCGTATCCCGGGGATCATCGTATCGTGAAATGCATAACGGTTTCATTAATCCTAGTAAGCGACGTACTGGATGGCCTCATGGATGAATCTGATGACGAACAAGAGTCTGCGGACGTCTTGAACGCCGTGCTTGACGAAATTGGATTGGATCTGACAACAAATGTAATGCCTGGTAATGCCAGGGCGAACGGGTCAGCCCTTTCTCTGACGCGTAATGTTCACACTTGGCGCTGATCCAATTCTCTCGCCTGTTCAATACGTTCGATCTCCACCATTTAGGCTGCCCAAGTACCACGCACAAAATTATCATCCGGACAAAGCACACCCGCCGCTTCCGTCGGTGATCGCGATACGGATCCTTTGATGAAGCGATTGGCGGATTTACGTGCCCAGTGATGGGAACACACAGAGATCCTGCGCGGAGGGCTTCATATCACGAAAACTTCCTACATATGCAGAAAGTCGATATAAGCACGTCTCCAACTTTCTGCCGATCCTTGCATAGTGTAATAGCCAGTGTAATAGCCAGTGTATTTCTTTCGAAGGCCCAAAAATCATTCAGGAAAGAAAAGTGGTAGCGACATCGGGGTATCATGCCAAAGGGCCACAAGTCTATAGGGCCCAGGAAGTAACAAACGACTAGCCTACAGGCGGGTATCGCCGATCGCCGGCCAAAGCGAAACCGGGTTCGGGGGGGATTGTTGTCAAAACAACACGGTTCAAATATAAGTCTGGCTGCCCAAAACGCTGACCCCACTCGGAGCCCACTCAAAATCCAGCATGCCTCAATGGGGCATTACGTGCATGTAATGTCCGGGCACGCCCTGCCGACACTTCTCGCAGTCTTTCCTAAACCCCATGCTGAATAGCGTCCGTTGCGGCGTTCCGGGACTGGACGTCAATGCCCGCCCTAGTGGCTCGGGTCCCTCCATCATATACGAGCTTCCAGTGCTTAACGTCCGCTGGGGTGAGGGAACGGGTGTCGATACAGGGGCGAGACCTGGTCGACGACCCATTGGAGGAGACATGCATATTGACATGGAATCCGATGCTGATCTCCTCATTTGCGGTGATGGTACAGAAAGCTGTACGAAAGGTACAAAGTTTAGTATGCGGTACGTAAAACCGTGCGGAGGTCACCGAACACGAAGATTGGCATAAGATCTTACCATCTCATCATCCACCTGCATAGGATCATAGTTTCTGCAAGCCAGCAGCTCCCTCTGCACGTCTCCGAACCCGTACGTGCCTTCGCCCATTCGCCCTTCCTCCGATATCGACCCCAGAGGCTGTGACGGGAGTAGCTGCTGCAAATGCCGGGATAGTTCGTTTTGGAGAAGCTGCGGATCAAGCCCTTCAGAACTCCGTCGGGGGTGGTCCGGAAATGGATATGCCATCGTTCCTTCCGCCGGCGGTAGGAATGGGTAGACGGTATTCATGTCGTTCGGCTCACGGTGTACACGTTTCTATAAGAGTTCAGAAACGAAGCGTCTGGTTCAGGATCAGGCAGTCGCAAGCCAATTTCTTCGCCTCCAGCCAAAGATCTCTAAGCTTTCAACGTACATAACAGCCCAGCTCCTCGACGTCGTCTTCCATGCCTTTCCGTTTTCGCCGCGGGGACGGAGGAGTTCGAAGCGGGCTGCGTGGGAAAGTTCCTGGTGGCCCTGGCGCTGATAGTGTTTCCATCGCCGTCGGCGAGCTGTAAGCCATTATGGAAGTACGGCTGACACCGCTGCAAGGTTTAAAGTACCGTACACGGCGCTGATATTCAAAATGTCAAGGACATGACCGAGTGGAATTCTGCATTGACTGAGCTCGTCCCTGAGCTCGTCCAGGAGCTCGTCTTCGACTCCGGGTCCTCGAACTCCTCGAACGCGTCCACTCTTTCTGGGTGTTTCTTCCCTCTGGATTCTTTGCCTTCGGGACGTCCAATGCCATCGGTGCACTGTGAGTGAGAAACCGCATCATCAGCTTTCATCTGACAAGCCGCAAGTTTCACTGTTGAGAACCGCTTCACAGACGGAAGCAGTAGCAGACCGAACGCCGGAGTCAAGCATGGAAGTGCTTCTACGGAACGTTCTCCGCACCGCTAGAGTAAGATGCAACATAGTACGAGTCTGACAATAGGAATCGGACGTAAGGGGAGGCGGGGCTGCTCCAATTTTGAGTGTACATACAAACTAACAAGGAGAAGTAAAAGGAGCGGGCGCGGAGGATCCCAGATTCAAGAGGCGGTCAGGCACCTCGACAGAAACCGCAGGACTCATACGAAGGGCAGAGCTTCAATAGACACAGCAAGGGATGCATAAGCATGGCAGAACATTAAAGGCACTATAAGCAGAGCGGAATATTTACGCGAGTGGATATACGTGGCTGACAAAGGACGAAAAAAATGAGCAGCGACACGTTGAGCGGGAGAAGAACCGACTGCTCGTAGGGTTCTATGGTGACTGCGCTGACTTCCATCAGCATCACATTGCACAGATGGATCAGCGCCGGTGTTGATCCACCTGTGCAATGGATTAGTGGACGCTGGTCAGGGATCATCCGCGAGGATTTCACATACAAAGACCATTCCATTGCAATCAACACAACGGGTTACGCCGACGGGAATAAAGGACCACGTTCGTCGTCCACCCTTGGGGCCTCGGATGGAAAAATGGCGAGTTGGCCTTTCCTTTTGCTAGTTGCGGATGCGGAGCGATCGACAACATGTAGATGTCGCAATTGGGGTAACAGCACAAGATTCGAAATTGAAGAAGATGCTACGGTGCTTCTTGAAATGAGCGGTGATTTCTTCTCACAGAGACCCCGCTTCCCGCCTTGGTTGTCGGGAGGAAGAGCAGTCGGCGGCGCAATCGCGGAGGATTATGAACAACAGGAATTGAATCGAAAGCGGTGTTTGCGCGTGCGATGGATCGAACATGTCTCCCTCCATGATGTAGAGGACTCGTCGCTTGGCATCTCCGCCTGACTGAACTCCAAGGTCATCCTGCTATAACACAACGCGGAGAAGATCTCGACATTGCGGAAGAAGCTATGGAGATCGTTGGGCAGGGCGGTGAAGGCCTTTCCCGGTTGACCGCTACTTATGGCGATTCCTGCGAGTATCTGGTATCGAGACTGACAATGAATATAGTTTGAGACAATGGAAGGGATTGGTATGATGAGTGCTCCAGTCAGCTGTTGGTGTCCCAATTGATTTCATTGTGTCTGCTTAGGCGGGTGATGTTCTGGGCGACCTGATGGCTTTGTCGAAGGAGATCCCATGCGCAGGCAGTACCAATACTATCCTGTCTTTTTCACATAGCTCGCGCTGATATGCTGGTGAGAATGTTTCCGTATTTCCTTTCTGTGCAAAGCGCGTTCTTCTGATTACTGAATCTTTCCGTCGTCTCGATCTGCGTCTTCTAGTTGAGAAAGCTTTTCCAGTATACAAGTGCTTGGAACCCCAGGAGCACGGAAACGGTCTCCGTTGGGGTCACCAGGGTCGTGGTAACAGTCGTATGGTGAGAGCCAATCCCGGCCGTACAGGATTACAGGGCGGTAGACGCTGAGTGTGCAGAGAACCCTGGCGAAGCGAGCCATTGACGTCCTCGTCGCGTTTGAGATGTCGGTGGGGCTCGATAGGGAAATCCGAAAAAGCGCGGCAGGATTCCAGTCTCTGGTTGGCTTTGTGTGCATCCCCGTTTGTTGCTTCAATGACGCTTTCTGATCACTTTCCCCATGTTGATTCAGCGATTGCGGGATACGGCAACCAACTGCACGAGACCGCTCACAAACGGATATGAACGCCATCTCGCATATTTGCTGCACGGAACCGTGTGCGAGAAACATGTTGGAAACGAGGAACCTTGTCTTCCAAGCGTTTGTGCTCTGGTTTCACTTTCTCGATCGTACTGTAAGTTGTTCCAGATTGGTACCACGGGATGCACAGCAACTCGGCATGATGGAGAGCGGAGTAGCATCCGGCCGAAACGAGAGTTCCCATCATTCTGCTCCTCAAAGGCGTAGCTAGACTCGAGTAGTAAGAATTGGTTACGGAGGACGAGGCTCTACAGTACACAGTCAGTGAAATGAAAAAGTGGATGCCTGTGAATCCCTCATGTAACACATTTTCCCACGGCTTTCCGTCCCCGTTGCGTGTCGGACGTGGCGGATCGAACGGGGAAGCCAAAACGAAACGGCCGACCGACCCTTTCTTTGGACACCCGAAGATTGAGGTGGATGGTTCGCAGGGATCCTGGGAACCGTCGCTCACCATTGGGATTGGTGGAGTCGTGATTCGTGAAGAGGCCCCTGGAAACTGCCCTGGAAAACCCTCTTTTAAGGCGCACATGCCGGTAAGGTCGCGTGGGGATCGCAAATTGAGGGTGTCACACTCTTTGATTGTCCATCCAGATAAGGCCTTGCAATTGCCAAAAAGCACATGCGAATGCGATTGTTACATGCGGGTGGCTGTGCCGCGGACAAGAAACTTGAAAGTTGGGAAGATGGGCGATGGGTGGTGATTGTGATGATTCATCCATTCGACTCGGGCAGCACCCGCAGGAAAAAAGTCATAATTCTCAGTGCGGTCCCTGGACAAATATCCGTCTCGCAATCAGCACCGCCCCTCCTTAACGCACATTCGTAAGAGTACTCCCGTCGCTGCTGCTCGACCTCGCCAACGGACTCTCTCCGCTCGTTATCGCAACAGGCCTTGGCTTCACAGATCATCACCTTCCGTATCAACAAGTACAATGTCCGCGGTTACAGCGCGTTGTGCGCGGTCCAGAAAAGGAGTGCTGAGCCTTTCCTCAAAGGTTCCTTCCCCGTCAGCATGTGCGAACGTTTTGGGCGCAAGTCGCTATCCGTTATGTCAGAGAAGACAGCAAAGCTCCATCGCAAGGTAAGTCGAAATGGGCCCTGCAACTGACTCTGGCGCGGAAGAAGTCCGTGGGAAATATCCTAACTCGGCCCTTTTTCCCCCTACTTCGGAACAGCCCTCAGCACGAAGACGTTTCCCACGATGCATCGCCTCAGTTCTCGTCGTCGCAGCATATCAAGGCCAATCCCGTTACGGCATCGAGAACCTCCGCGCAGGTCCACTCCCCGGCACGCAACCGCTTCACTCAGCAAGGAAATTCCCCAGACGTTGATACGTCGTTTATTGGGATGACGGGAGGGGAGATCTTCCACGAAATGATGCTGCGACATGGAGTAAAAACTGTTTTTGGATACCCAGGGGGTGCAATTCTGCCCGTTTACGACGCAATCTACAACTCGGACTACTTTGACTTCGTCTTGCCTCGGCACGAACAAGGCGCAGGGCATATGGCAGAAGGCTACGCTCGCGTAACGTAAGTGATTTCTAAGTGCCGTGGTTTTTATCGTTTGAAGTTCGATCCTAATCTAACGAACTTTGGTTCCATACAGAGGGAAGCCTGGTGTGATCCTTGTGACATCAGGGCCCGGGGCCACAAATGTCATCACGCCCATGCAGGATGCCTTGATGGATGGAACACCGTTGGTCGTGTTCTGTGGTCAAGTCCCTACCACCGCTCTCGGAACCGATGCTTTTCAGGAAGCTGACATCGTTGGCATCAGTCGTGCGTGCTCGAAGTGGAATGTTCAGGTCAAAGACATTGCCGAATTACCACGCCGCATCAACGAAGCTTTCCACATTGCGACAACGGGCCGACCAGGGCCCGTTCTCGTTGATCTTCCCAAGGACGTGACAGCGGGAACCTTACATAAACCGATCGTTGGCGGCGTTGGACCAGCTATTCCTGGAACAAGACCTCCGGCAGCCAATCACGCACCATCTCGCATTACAATGGAGGCCATCGCCAAGGTCGCCAAAGCCCTCAATCGCGCGGAGAAGCCCATATTGTACGTCGGACAAGGAATTCTCAACTCTGACGAAGGGCCGGCAATTCTTCGGCAGTTGGTCGAGAAGGCCAACGTGCCCGTTACAACTACGTTGCAAGGTCTTGGGGCATTCGACGAAGAGGACCCACGGAGTTTGCATATGCTCGGAATGCATGGCTCGGCATACGCAAACCTGGCCATGCAAACTGCCGATGTAATCATTGCTCTGGGAGCACGCTTCGATGATCGTGTGACGGGAAATCTGAGGAGTAAGTTGGGCAACCTTCGGTCAAATGTCTTCTGTCGGACAGCAAGTAACCTTTATCCCGCCACAGAGTTTGCCCCTGCCGCCAAACAAGCCGCTCTGAAAGGCAAGGGAGGAATCTACCACTTTGAGATCATGCCAAAGAACATCAACAAGGTCGTTGAGCCCACCGTCGCTGTCGAGGGTGACGTAACAGCCAATCTGAAGCATCTTATTGGGATGGTCGACCATCGACCAAGAGAATCATGGTTCAACACGTTGGCTGACTGGAAACAGAAATACCCCTTTTCGTTCTCTAAAGCGGAACCTGGAGCGCCGATCAAGCCTCAAGCCGTCATCGCCGAGTTAAATAGGCAGGTTGCTAACCGGAAGGAGGAAGTCATCATCACCACCGGTGTCGGCCAGCACCAAATGTGGGCCGCTCAGTATTACCGGTGGAGGTCGCCAAGAACTTTTGTCACTTCTGGGGGTTTGGGAACCATGGGTTTCGGTTTGCCTGCCGCCATCGGCGCCAAAGTTGCTGCACCAGAGAAAATTGTTATCGATATTGACGGCGACGCGTCGTTCTCTATGACCGGAATGGAGCTTATGACTGCCAGACAATTCGACATCGGCGTCAAGGTGTTAATTCTGAACAACGACTTCCAGGGAATGGTATGCATCTCACTCGCGGGAAGATCTTCTCCTTGTTATACTATGCTGAAGTCACACGTCCCTTTCGAATAGGTCAAACAATGGCAAGACCTGTTCTACGACAAGCGATACTCTGCCACAAAAATGCACAACCCCGATTTCGTCAAGTTCGCCGAGTCCATGGGATGCAAGGGTCTCCGGGCACGCACAATGGAGGAGCTGCCAGCCGTGATGGCGGAGTTCCTCGAACACGACGGACCTGTCCTCCTCGACGCTGTTGTATGCAAGAACGAGCACGTGTACCCTATGGTGCCTGCTGGAAAGGCTTTGCATGAGGTGTGTAGCATGTAATTCATCGCAGCAGCCATGGGTAGTACTGATATTCAACGTTTCCCTTCGCAGATGGAACTGGGCCACACGGAGATCCACGAGCCAAATCACAAGTTCAACAACTCGTATATGGCACCGTGATTGCCCGTCCTGCTCTGATCGGCGGTCTCACAGCCCACCCCATCGACCTAGATATGACCATTGTCCATATGTTTGTGTATTTATTCTTTGAGAGGTTTCAGGCGGTGTGACCGGGTGACGAATTGGGGATATTGGGCTTGTCGACATCCTCGTCAATTTTTGCTAGCATTACTTTCGCATGTCTTCTTGTTGACACCTTGTACAGCCCTTTATTTGTGAACAACATGAAAACTCGTTTAATGCCCGTTAAAGTGGACCTCTGTCGACTATGTCCATTGTGCGTGCGGGTGGATGCTAAGAAAGCGTCATTGAACTACGTGCTCCAGGCCTTAGCCTTATCACACCCTTGCCCAGAACGTCCACAGCACTGCACGCAAACATCCCCGTCGTATGCGTGCCGCGAGCGAAAGTTTGGGAAAGGGAAAAAAAAAACGCTCCTGGGCAGGCTTGAACTGCCAACCTCTCGATTGCTGCTTGGTGACACAATGTCGCACAAGATAACAGTCGAACGCGCTAACCAATTGCGCCACAGAAGCTTGGATGAAAGTTAGACCTTCAGCGTACATTATATAATGTACGTTGCCCGGAGGACATTTCAGTTGATGCATTCATCGTTCGCAGAAGGCCTGGAGGCGTTGCGAGGTATACAGTACTGCCAATTATTCGGCAAGCCACGATCTCACGCGTAAGAGGGTTCCCATAGCATGGGCGGCTTGTGTGCCACACACTGGTGCTCACTGAGGGAATCTTTTGTGAAGGCGATGGACATAAAGATTATGTATCGTCGGCGTGTGTAGGGAAGATGTCTTCGCACTCATGAGGGATGCATTGAATACCCCTCCGTCGAGGCGAGATAATCCCTCGTTGCCCGAACTGATCGAACATGCCCCATCCAGCGTAATAAGCACCGAAGGACGTCTACTTTGATTATGAAGCATACATGAAATGTAGGTGACAAACGTACATAAACGTCACGCAACGACGAGAATACGGAAAACAGCCGTAGACATTTGGTTGGAGGCGTTCAACAAGTCTAGGTGGGGATGCTTTTCCCCAACATTATGCCTCCACAAAAGATGCGGAACGGCTGGGTCACGCGGCCTACGAACGTGTGGAAGATTTGGCGACTGTTGAATCGGGAGCCCCAAATTCCGACGGCGAATGTCGTCCCAGTTGCGCTAAATGGTGGTGCGATCTACTTTCAGCAGCATCCTCCGGCTTGTTGCGTTTGTACCTTTGATCCGGCGCCGACTTGGATGTTTCCCTTGTTCGGCGCCGCGGCCGGGGCTGACATGCCCATCCTACAAGAGAAACCGTATGTCAACAGGGTTTCCGCGCGTCTCCTTTAAGCAAGAAAGATATCCACCTATCCTTGATCTGCTTTGCCATTGTCAAGAAAGCTTGCTCTACGTTTGTAGCGTTCTTTGCACTAGTCTCCAGGAATGGGATTTGCAAGTTGTCCGAGAATTCCTATGGAATCCCACGAGATTAGCACTGTGTTTGGTTACACGCTGTTGTCTGCAAGCCTATCAATGTAGATCACGAACCTTCGCGGATTCGTATTCCACCACTTTCTTGTTTGTAAGATCGCTCTTGTTTCCGACCAAGAGCTTGTTCACGCCCTCGCACGCGTACCGGTCGATCTCCTGAAGCCATTGCTTCACGTTGTTGAACGTGTCCTGGTCCGTCACGTCGTACACAACAATGATACCGTGGGCTCCGCGGTAGTAACTAGAGGTGATGGTACGGAAACGTTCCTGACCAGCCGTGTCCCACTTTTTTCCCCGATGTCCGAAAGTAAGCGTCTGCAGATAGCTGTAGTTTCGGAACTCGAGAACGTGCCACTCACGATTTGGAGCTTCACAGTCTTGCCCTCCAGCTCGATAGTGCGAATTTTCTGCAACGTTATTATCGTCAGCCTTTAGTATAACTTCCGCTTGCGGCCTGATCAACTCACAAAATCTACTCCGATGGTGCTGATGTAGCTCTCAGTGTAGGTGTCGTCCTATATTTCCAACGTTCCAGGTCAGCCGTCCATTTCCCCACATGCCAAGATATCTGCTTGCAAATACGAACCGCAAAACGCAGCAACAAGCAAGACTTTCCGACGCCAGAATCACCGATGAGGAGAAGCTTGAAGAGGTAATCGCTAAAAAGTAGGTTCGTTCGCACAGTGAGCATTATGTCCGTGACCCCGTTATCGCGTCGGCCCGAGAGGAACCAGAAGACCACATCCTCCTCGATCCATCTCCTCCTCGATCCACGCCAAGACCTCAACCGCCATTGAGCGTCTCCGCCTCTCTCGTACTCACTATTCGGGGTTCATGTTGCAGATGTGGAGATGGTATCAAAGACTAGGTGTCGAAGTTGAAATGTGAATGTGCCCCTCCCTTTCCCACGCAGTCCAGCAGGCTCGCGACGCCACCTCCTCTAAAGTCGAACCGCTTATAACTCACTCTTGAGGGAAGTCGTATATGTGTAACGTCTACTTGGGAAAGATCCCCGCCGCGTCAGAAGATGGTTAGCGGAGTTTTCCCTTTCGCAGACGTCGGACAGCTCCAAGCATAATAGATAGCTACCCTGTGGTCGCAGATACGAGCCTGAAGTGATGGAAGGGGTTTAGGGCGGTGTTTGCCGTGAGAAAGTAAGTCTGAGATATTTGCGGAGTTGGTAGCGAATCGTAAATGGAGCGGCGGGGAACCGTTAGTGCAGCTGCCTCCTTTTGTTCCCTCATCATGATTTACCCATGCTAAATCCCATGAGGATGTGATGACGAACTGCCGCTAATCGAGAAAGCGCGATTCTCAACTTCGGCCTCCGCCACATTTCGCAACCTTCCATGTGCACTGTCAGTGTGCACATGGTTAGCGTTACCCCGCAGCACAGTCTCGCAAGCAGCCTTTGTGGGAGGAAGCCCTCGCTTTGCATGCCACTGTGTCCATATGCTGCAAGCCTTTCGAGCAGCAGTACTCGAATTATGGACTTTGTGAGCGTGATGCCTCATGAAACTTCGCAAATGTAACTCATGGCAGTGGCAGCGGTACGCAAGATATCTGTCTTAAGTCCCGGCTTCCGTTATGCCTCCCCGTCGCTACATGAGCTAAGCTAATTCGATCAAAAAGGAACTCCGGCCACATGTAATGCAAGGATCGGTCCACGCAGGTATCAGTGAGCGGATGCTGTTACAGATAATGACTACGCCGATTCGGCCTCGGCCTTCTTCAATGCATCTCGTTGGGACACCGATAATGGACCGCAAAGACCATGATACGCCCGCACAAACTCATCGAAAAGCTGCATAAAGAGTTGGTCTGGGTTAGGAGGACGTGTTTCCTTGAAAAGCGAGTCGGATATCCATACCGTTTGCGCATTGGCAGAGTCCTCGAAATGTTCGTCGATTACCGTCCTGAATCCTTTCCACAGAGCGGGGTCCTTCCCCTTCGCCTGAAATACCGCCGCGCTCTCCGTCTCCTCCGGTTTCTTCGCAGCCGTCTTCTCGGCGTCAGTCGTGGGCACAACCGGCTTGGCATCTGCGCTAACACCAGGCTTCCTCAACAGATGAATAGTCGCCCCCGTTTCAATCCCATAATCCAGCAGAGTCTTGTTATCTGACAGGCCCTTCCCACTGAAAACAAGGCGTTGCGCTGCAATAGCCACACCGGATTCAGCTGCAATACGGGCCTTGAGGTCTCCGATCGGTTCCAGGCGGGATACTCGAAGCGTGAAGGGTTTGTCCCCACCCTTCAAAGCTTTGATGGTGATTTCGGCCTCATTCGCGGAAGCGGGTGTTGCCGAGGTTTCCTGAATTGGAGGTTGGAGGTAAAATGTACGTCAGGTCTTGTCTGCTTAGAATCCCCAACACTGTACTTTACAAATTGGTTTCATACCCTCAGTGGAAATGGTCTACTCGCCGGAGGTAGCTGTGCTGTGCACTCTGCCGGAGAAGGCTCGTAAGTCGGCTCATATCGACGTGGCCGACTGGCGATCTGCGATAGCCAGTTGCTGAAGAAAGCGGCCTGGGCAGAATGCGGTTTAGTATTTTGACTTCTTGAACGATTCAGGACCCCACCCAATCTTAAGTGGATTCCCACAGTTCTCAACTGAGAACGCTCACCTCGTCCGCTGGGTTCAGTGTCAAGTTCATGTTGTCGTTGTTGCGTTCAGAAGTTACGAGACGGGAGTGTTGTTATTATTGACGTTGAGGCGAGTTACAGGACTGGAGCAATCGAGCATCGAGTTACTGTAGAAGACGCGTGACGGGCAGTCGGACTTTCAAAATTCGAAGACGAACGATGCTGGGAACGACACCGTGTAGCTTGTAGTTACTTTAGTAGGCTTCGTTCTCACAGAAGGGATCTGACAAAACCACTCGCTTCGGATTCCAAAGACGAAATAGGAAATAACGGCTCAGAGTGTTCACACGCCCCGTATGGCTTGGATGAGCACTTTTCATCAAATCTTCTCAATCTCGGGCCTTCGCAAGATGCCCAGTACGCCACGACGGCCGGCACTTGGGTATAGAGGTAGGCATTGTGATTTGGAAAGTCTGTGGTCCACTCCCACGACTTCATTGTCTCCGGGTCAGCGATGCGTGTGACTGACGGTGTCCAGGTTCCTACGTACTTACGCGGAGGATTTGTCGATTGCGCTAATGTGGAGATGTAATTTAACAGCTGAGCGAGGTATGTTTCCACCTTCCTATCGCCTACAAGGGAATTTTTTGCCTCCCGACATGCCTGGACATGTTGCTGCGAACACTTCGCCGCGGTGATACTGGGGTTTGTCTGCTCTCGCATCTGCTCGTTCCTGATACATGTTAGGGACCTGACGCTCTGGCAGTCTCGAAAATATGCTCGACTTCCATAAGTCTCCTCAACCCATACATACTTCGCACCCCAAGGAAGAATTCAACCTTATTTACGAAGCGACCGTGACGGATACATCTGGGAACGACTTCCATTTCATCGCCGAAAAGTTTCTGCCCACAAGGATCCGGTTCCACTATGGTCACGCCGCTGCAAACCCCGTCGTGGCGCAGTTCGTGCGTCGCATCGCCTTTGAGCACAAGGTTACGTTGGTTACCGTGAAGCCTTGGAAATGCAGTGCTTGCAAAGACGACTGCACCATCCTCCTTAAAAGCCGAGCATTCGTTTATCATCTACCGATACAATACATTATCGGCAGTGCGATGCATTGCTGCCGGCAAGGGGGCGAGTGCGAGAGCGGAGCTCGTTTGGCGGTGTCACGAAACGCATTGCGAGGGAAGTGGATGCGGGTGCCACCACATTGCGGGTGAACTTCTGCGTGGAATGTGGGTCGATACCGAACTCAAGTGCCGCCGGTACAAGAAGGTATGGTATTGCGAGCAGGCTTGCCACGAGCATCATTGGCCCACACACAAGTTGGAGTGCCGTAGGCCGGACAAGTGAACATGGTGGCGTTAGAGATGACATGTCTAGAAAAATTCCTTTCCAAGTATGCTAATGTACACATAGTTGGTAATTTTCACAATGACGTCCCTTCTAAGCCAGTGCAGAAGGCCAGTTGGAAGGAATGTCTAATATATGGTGTGGAGGAGTGCTACATGCGGCTTTCCGCGAGGCTCCTTGTATCCGCTCCCAAATTGCACAGCCCATACGCAGGCTGACGGGACCAGCGGGTTTCCCAAGCAGAGACGTTTCCTCACCCCAACGCTGAAGGAACAGGTTTGTTTCCATTCCGACTAGCTGGGATGTCGCCACCGATCACGGAAGACGTCATGCGGTCTTGTCCGGGCACACTGCCGCTGGACAGATATCGAGAATTGGTATGCTGGTGATACCGGGCTGGCTCATGATTCTTGTGTCGGCGCGGAACAGGTATGTTCGTTCACCTTCTCGTCGGTGCGGCCATCATCCTACAGCCCGCGATTTGCCCTTTTTGGAATTGCTCTTCTTCGACTCCGGTGCGGCGACAGGTGGTATTATATCTTCCAAGAACATCAACTCGACGTTTTCCGCCACGGCTTTTGCTGCAAGTCATTCCCAGTTCGCATTAGCAAGGGATGTCCGACGCAAACTGCCAAATTGTGCGGGAAACATACCAAGATCAGCATGACTCACGGTCTTCCGGCCTGCCTCACGAGTGTATGCATAACTTTGAACCGCGAAATGTTCAAGGAACTTCTGAGCCGCGACGCTGACGGCCAGCACGGCTTCAGTTCCGACCATTTGAACGTCCCTGTCGATTTTCATGACCGACCTCACCCTTGCCTGCGGAAACATCGTTTTCGTGGGGTCGGACTCTTCGCCGTCTTTTGGATCTGAGGCTTCCTTTGGCTCTGAGGGCTCCTGTTCTGAGGCTACCTTCGGCTCTGAGGGTTCATCTGCCGTGTCCGTGTCAGCTTCATTCATCAAGGTTGCCGCGACTGGTGGAGATGTTGGAGCCACTTGCTTCCTAAGATCTTCCATCGGCGCTTGGTCCTCTGGTGGGGCGGGGATCGAGGAGGTCATGCTTCGCTATACGGGGGTGCTGTGCTGTGTGTATTTTGATGCAACGGGCTTCAGAATTGAGCAAAGGGACGAACGAACAAAAAGCGCAATGCAGGACTGCGTTGGAATAGATGCCCGAAATGTGTCCGAATCCACCCGGAAACACGGAACGCGCGGAAATGGGCGACTTGTGTGTGCCAGTGCGGGTGCCAGTCTGCCACTTCGTGCATATAAAAGCGTCCCTCTCCGTGACGAACTCCGAATGGGCGAGTTCTTGGTTCTTGGTCTCTGTCCCAAAAGAAAAGCCTTTAGTCCTTCTGAACCACCTTCTATCGATCACTCGTCCTCGTCCGCCAAGGTATACATAATCCTCCGGCAAAATGGCGGACCTATCCCACTTCCAAGATATCAAGCTTTACGGCCCTCGACTATCCTTTCGCAACACCTCTCTCGAAGACGTCCGCAACTTTACTGCTACAAACTCAGACCCGCGGGCAATGCAACACCTTCCCATGATGCTGAAACAGTGGAAGGAGGAGGAGATAGCACAGCAAATTACCTCCCGAGTGGAAGAGCAGAAGCTCGGCAAAGCCATTGGCCTTACGATAGAGACGAAAGACTTTGATCGCCAGTTCGTGGGGAAAACAGGATTCCGTCAGATCGATATTGGAGCCAAGATCGGCGAGTGGGGCTTGATCTTGGACCCAAATCATCATGGAAAGGGGTACGCCTATGAGGCGATGGCTGTAGTGATTGGCTTTGCTTTCGAGAAGTTGGGGCTGAAGCAAGTCATCATCATCACCGCCGAAGGGAACCTACCCATGCGCACGGCGTGCTCATCTGTGGGCATCAAGGAGAGCAATTTGAAGGAGGTGATAGAGGCATTAGGCACCGTGCCAGAAGAGGTGACGACCGCTGGCGGAACAGAGACTTTACAGTTTCAACTGGAAGGACAGGTCTTGTATGCGGTCTCCTCTACCGAGTGGCCTGCGGTGCAGGAGCAGCTGAAGAAGAAGATAGAAAAGCGGCTGGCATTCCAATAGTATACATTCATCCGTATACCTTTTTAGACATTAGACTTTCATATGTAATGCACAAAGGACCCTCTTTTCCATCTCAATGATCGCTCCTGCCTGTCCTCGTGGCATGGTTGGTAATAGCGGCCCGGGATGGCATCAAGCATCCCGTTGTAGCGGGGATGCAACGCCGTCCGCAACTTGTTCATAGTCAATCTCAATAGGTTCAAAATGGAATAGTTTTTACCAGGGAACAGGTTCTCAGCGCGGGTTTCCGGTTCTCGGTAAACCCTGAATTTTTCAACTTGGTGCTGTTGGCGATTCGAACATCCTTCCCAACTTTGCACCTCCCTCTCATAATTCTTCCAACCTCACACTGTCAGTCTGCACATCTGCGTGCAAAAATCCCTTTCCCCCTTCTGGTAGCCCATCTGTGTAAGTGTCGTCGCCTATTCTCCCGTCCTCAACTCCTCCCCGGAAGACTCACACGGTTGTCTGATCTGTGTTCCCCAGGCTTTCTGCAACTCAACTCTCTCCCCGGGGGTCCCGAGCCCTACTTGCTAAAATCATTATGGTACGTGGGGCAGATGAAACTAAAAGTGTTGAAGGATGTCCCGGAGTTAGCACCTTTATTTTTGTTCACTCTGTGTCCACCTTGTCAGTCGGTCACGTTACATACCGACCTAGGCGACATCAAGATTGAGCTCTTTTGCGAAGGTATGTGAGTGATCATACGGACTTCGCCAGGGATGCCTTCTGAGTCCATATTGAATTGCTTTCCATGGTATTTCTTTGTCTCTTATAGCAACACCAAAAACAGCCGAGGTATGTTTGAGTAAAGATGGGCGAATTGACGGCCTCTGAACATCAATGTTATCTTGCAGAACTTCCTAGCGCTATGTGCATCCGGATACTACAACAACAACCTGTTTCACCGGAATATAAGAGGGTTTATGGTGCAGACCGGTGACCCAACTGGTATGTCGGGAATTGCAAATGGGCTTTGCAGCCTTAAAACCCAAGAATGCTCTGCTTATGGTTTATGACTTGAAAGGCACGGGGAAAGGTGGAACCTCCATTTGGGGTCGCAAGTTCGATGACGAGATCAAAGCAACATTGAAGGTACGTTCAGGAAATGCCTTTCCGCGCAGGAGTGCTTGCAACTAACGCCCCAGAATCACCATAGCATAACGCACGAGGAATAGTGTCGATGGCCAACAAAGGCCCCAATACAAACCTGTCACAGTTCTTCATTACGTACGGTAAACAATCCCATCTGGACTCGAAATACACTGTGTTTGCAAAGTACGTCAAATACCTTGTGAGATCATATCCTTGATGCCACTGGGGCGACCCCTAACGCCTATTTCCAGAGTGATAGATGGATGGGAGACACTGGATTCTTTGGAGAAGGTGCCTGTGGACGAAAAGTCGAGACCGGTGCAGGAGGTTAGGATACGGAACGTGACGATACACGCGAACCCGATTGCGGATGCTGTAGGGAGATAGGAGACGTTGAGCGATTGTATATATATGGCGTGATGCCCAAGGCGTATTCACCAGGCAAGATTTGGGGCGGTGTGAATTCTATTGACATGACATGGGCGAGTCGTGCTGTGCTCAAGGCGTATTCAACAGACAGCAACGCGCAGATTTGACGTCTATTGACATGATATGGGTGTCGCATGAGTCCTGTCTGAGCCTATTCAAAACAATCGGAGTGCCTTCTACTGACATGATGTGGGTGTCGCATGAGTCCATGTATCGATCGATACAGTAGGCAGCATCCCCAAACCAAAACTGGGTATCATCCGCGCGAAATAGATGTTAGATCCGGCGACCAGATGAGTGTATCAATCACTCAAACCCGAGCTTTCGCCGTTATCCCTCCGCATCTCCTCGACCTGCCGCGCGCTCCCAGCGCCATTCCCTAATATACTCCTCAGAGCCTGGGCCATCAAGTCGTTCCCTTCCAAACTGTCATCCATATCTGTACCTCCACCACGCTCCACTGGGCTACGACTACCATACGGACTATCTGCTAGCGACAGATCATCAACGATTGCACTTCCCGTTTCGGAGAAATCGGGAACGTCCGATGCAATTGTTCTGGGTGATGCGATAGCGCTGCCGGTGTTTGAGGGCAGCATCAGAGCTTTCTTGGCGGAAGGCTTCAACCCGGGGTTGTCTGGCGGTGACGCGGATGATTGTCTTGTGCTGGATTTATCGCCTTTCGTCCCTCCTCGCTTTATCGGTTCCTGTTCCTCAAACTAAGAAGACGTGACGATTAGCATCTACATGCGTTTACATATTCATGTTGGCGACTCAAGTCAACAAACCTTTTGTGCCACGTAGTTTTTGCAAAGCTCCACCCCTGGAAGCTCCTGTATCAGCGACGCTATCGTAGGGTGCGCAAAGCCGAAGTAGTCTGGTCCGGATGCGCTGTTGCTGTGTTCCCGCTTCCGGAGGGCATTCGCCACCTTGATCACTGCCGTCCATGCTCCAGTTGCCGAGGTTGCCGTTACGGCTTTTTCTGGAGCGTCCTCCGGTACGATGTTGAACCGTGGACCATCTCCCCCGTCAGTAATTGAGCAAGTGTAAACGGTGCCTCTCTCAGGGTTCACCATGCTTGCATAGGTCCTGCGAGGTACGGTCAACCAAATGCCGTGGCGATATGTCATGATGCGGCGGCTCACCTCGACGCTTTGTATCCGACGGGATAGATATATCGCTCAGTATGGAAGTTCTTCCGGTCATGCACGATAGTGCCCAGAGCGTAAAGAGTAGTAATTCCCAGATGTAGAGGAAGGACAGGGTTGCCGAACTCATCCCTGGGCACAGGCTGTATCTTGCGTAATTTGGACGTGAACGGTTTTCTTGTCGTTCCTTTCTTCGCTCTTGCGTTCGAAGGAGGTGGAGATGGCTCCCGGGATGGCAGTTGTGACAAGTTCGTTGCACCTTCTGCTGTCCTTTGCCGTTTCGCTGATGGAAGGTCCTGCGAGCCATCTAAGGGCAGAAAGTGTGGCAATCAGCGGTCAGGCGCGCGTGAGGACGGACAGGTGTGACCCCTACCTGAGGATATATCAGACTCGGAGTCTGTCTCACTAAGGGAGGAGAGGGCAGAGTCGGACGAGGAAGTAATGGGTCCCTCAAAGCGGTCGAGTCGGTCTAGAAGCAGGCTTAGAGAATGGACATCAGAACAATGAACTCATGGATAGGATGAAGTGCAATGACTCACTCTTTCTCACGCTTCAGATGTGAGATTTTCGATCGGGCTTTCTTCAGCTTCGAAGAGAGGTGGTCATGCTCCTGTCGGATGTACAAGTCGTCAGGTCCAGGCATCACAGAATGCGGGGCTCAGCAGACGTCGCCCTACCTGCAAGACATCCTTCATCTAGATCGTTTCATAGATCAAGGGAAGAATAAGGTCATGTATCGCGCGTATCGTATCAAATTCGCCATACCTTCCGCTTCAACTGCCTATATTTCTCTTCATTTATGCTTGTGCTCGAACTCCCTTTCTCTTTCCTAGACCTCGACGACGTTGAAGGTGCCATGATGACGCCAGGTTCCTAGACACACCGTAGACGTGAATATCGGGCTTACGCCGAATTTTCGCGAAAGTTTGGACAGACCTACCGATTAAGCCCGGCGGTGCGGCTCAGAGTTCCTCCGAACCGTGTGTTGAGGAGCCTAGATGCTGACGATTGTATGTATTAAGTTATATCCTCTCCCTATGGACGGGTGTTGAGGATTGGTCCGTGCGCTTGGGTTTTATGGTACTCCAAGTCCTGCGTTCGAAAGTGCGGGACCGCCTGGAGAGTCTGGAGGCCGTTCTAGAATACGTAAACGAGGCGCACAGCAGAGTCTTTCCAGCGAAGTTGCGGGGGGGATTTGTTTTACGCGGGGCAGTCGCCATTGCGCAACTCGAGCTCAGCATCCTGCTCAACACTGGCTCAACACGCTCAGCAAACCCCCCATAACGGCAAATCTGCTTCGACTCCTTGTCATTTCAGCAACACGACAAACAAATATGGCGGCTGATCCCTCGAACCCCAACCCCAAACCCACCGAAACCTGGGCAGCAAGGGCTCGTCGCGGCGCGGCTGGGTCAATGTCGCAGGGACATCGAGGCTGGAGCTCTACATCAACCTCCGCCAACCCCGCTCCATCATTTTCGGGTGCACGACCAGCTCAGTTTGCTATTGCGGAGGAAATTATGGAGGAACGAATTCTCGGGGCGAACGGGGGCGAGACAGGCGAAGAGAGCGACGGACTGCTGGCGGAAACCAACACGGCCCACAGTGTTGGACCAAAGAATGAAGACCAGGACCAGCCGATTCGGTAGATATTCAAAATGGCAACCGGACGTTTGCCGGACATTTCCCTTGTCGGTGTGCTTTTGAGTATAAAATGGCCAGCTCAACGCTCCGTCGCTGGTATGCCGCTATATCCGAGCCGTGAGACCCCTCGTTGACTTCGTGAAACAGAGCTGGACGGGTGCGTGCTTCATGATTCGAGGTTGAGGGCGCTCGAAAGGTCGGTCCCGACACGTCGCATAGGAAAAGGCCGGCGACACTGGCCTTTACGAATGCATCATTGTCGAACATGGGTACCTAGTAGGAAATCAGGCCCCCAAAAAATGGCGTGTGTATCCCGCCGTGGGAGAAGATCGACGGAAAGGGACTCCTCGTGCGTGCATGTAATCGCACAGACGGTGACGGCAATCCCGGGGTCAGATGTACAATATTCACTTTGCATTTTCAAAACCAAAAAACAAATTCTATTCTGCACGTTTCCTCACCGGTATCTAAGTGCCATGTTTCGCATCGTTCTTGTATGTGCATGGCGCTTGATACACCATATGCGGTGAAAACCACATGCCACCCTCTGATCGGCTCGCATGTTCTATTTCGGAAATACCGCTTTGATCACACCAGTCCTATTCAATCGTTCAAAGAGTACCATGAGTCTCTCCGCCTCCCTCTCCTTCTCCTCCTCCGTCATATCTTCGAGTTCGGGTCCTGTATCGGGCCGTTCGTATTTCCCACTGATGGGATGAATCGGCTGGGAACGGGAGGCCGGTCGTGAATTGGCGGCGCTGTCATCGAATGGACCTCCTGCAATGCCCTTTGAATACAGGAATCCTGCTGCATGGCCGTATCCCGTATATCGGACCAGTTTTCCCGGATCCTCGTCGCAGAGCACAAAGATGAGCTCGCAGACGCTGTCACGGATGTTGGGGTGAATTATAGATGTCATGAAACCGATCAACCGGGAAGTTAGACTGGTCCCTTCGTCCAGAGGCTTTGAGCGATCGCTACAAATTGGAACTCGTCACTCAATGCCCTTTGATCTCGTACTTCACACTCAAGGTCTGAACTTACATATCCTCATGTAGTAAGATATCACGAAGCGCATCTTTCGCGTCCACGTCCTGCCTTGCGATTCCTCCCAAAACGAGAAGCAGCGAAGGCAGGATGTCCTCCACCTTGGTCTGAGATAATGACTTCCTCCGCGCATTCGGCTTGGAATCCTCGCTTGAATTGGCATCCAGCGACCCCGCCAGTATCTCACATAGTCTACCCACAAGCGGGTGCACGTCGCCTTGCTTGAAGAACAGGTCGCGGTATGGCGTCAGCGGGAAGTTGAGGAGTGTGTGGACCATATGCGAGATCGGTGGGGTCAATGGAGTAGATGGGAGGGGATGGTTGATGAGAAGATGTGTGATGACTGGAAGTAGACTGCAAGATGGAAGAATGAGAATCAGTTTCCTGCCCAAATGTACAAAAGGGCGTTTGCTCACCGAACCCTGTGGGTCTCACCTACTTTTTGAATCCGTCGATGTAATCTACATCGACTGTCACTCCAGCTAGCGTGACGACAGTACTTGAAATAGAAGAACGGGACCCTGTCCTTCCATTCAGCTTGGTTGACGACCTCGTCGTCGCTGGGGCTGGTTTTCCGACACTCATGAGATTATATACGGTCTTCAGAATCTCGCTCATCACCATCTCGGCTTTCACAGACTGCTGCTTCGTGAGCGGTTGAAGGTAGATGGTCAATGTGTCGACGAACCCCAAGTTGGGAGCGAGCATGCACCTGACTATAGCAGGATCCTCGACGCTCAGAAGGAATGTTATGCGCATGAGGAGGAATTGAAAGTCACTTGGGAGCTCTGAGTGACAATCCTGCGACCAAGGGCACGCGTCAGGTTTGCAGGCATTTAGGACGGAACGAGTCGGCTCACCTTCAGCAAGTGACATATGGACTCCACCCCACCAAGCTCCGCAACGCCTAATCGCGCGGGCGGGTGCTGCAATAGCGTGTTGCACAAGCACTTCAAGGCCTCGGTTGCACTCGGATTCTCGGTGAAATCAAACTTGGCATCTACATCTAGCCTCGCCTGTTTGAGTAACACAGCTACTCCCTGAAAACAGATCGGGAACTCCGTCAGATCCTGGAAACGCAACGATTCGGCCGCTGAAAATCACCAACATTATTGCCAAAGAGATCATCACATCCTTCGGGCTCGCGCGACAGAAAGCGCAGACAGGTCAAGATCTTGGTGACAACTGGACAAAAGATATTAGAACTTCAGCCCTCAGCTTTTGATATGTAGCAGCGCAACTCGTTTCCCCGCGCTTACGTGGATTCTCGTCATATCCTTCGTCTGCGATATCTTTATTCAAAGCCTCCAGAAGTCGCTGAATGAAAGCCCGTTTGTTTTCCACAGTCGTGACCCCAGCCCCAACAAAACTAGTCGTAGTTTCGTGCTCAGTGTTGAACCGATTAAGCGTGGACTCCAGGTTTTGCGCCGGTAAAGGACCATTCGGAAAGAACGGCATGACTGCCCTGGTCCGAAAAGTCCCAGTATCGCCGATCTTCTATCTGCAGAACCTGAAGAACGACGCAGCTCGGTTGTGAAGGCTGGCCTCAGTCTGAAGATTGCTGCAAATGAGAGAAAGGGAGCTGGATCGAGTCCAGCCCAACGCGTGACACCCGTGACAAAGTTGGAAAGCTGGTTGTAAAAGGGTTCTGCATCATTTTCCTTCCTGACCAAATTCCTGAACTTCAGAGCACGGTTGGTTCCGTTCTTTGCACTTCTGCACCCTATCCACAGCACCGCCGACGAGCTTCTTTCAATATGGCGGATACAAACGAGAAGAAGAAACTTCGCATCGGGGTGCTAGGTACGGCTTTGAGCCTTTGTTTTGCGCGGAGTTTCCAATGTCTGACAAACGCAACTCCAGCCCTGCAGGGAGCTTTCACAGAACATCAACATCTCCTGCACCGCTTGACCGAGGATGTGGACTCCACCGTGCAGGTCAAGACCGAGGCGGCTCTCTTGGACCCAACGCTCGACGCCCTGATATTACCTGGCGGAGAAAGCACCACAATGGCACTTATTGCAGAGAGGACTGGGTTAATGGAGCCACTGCGGAACTGGGTCAAGGCTGGAAAGCCTGTCTGGGTACGTTATGTTCGGATGGGAGGAGGTTCGGGAAGTCTTCATGATGACATGAAACTCAATCACACAACGTCGATAGGGAACCTGCGCAGGGATGATTCTCCTTTCCAACGAAGCACACAAGATCAAAATTGGTGGTCAATCCCTTATTGGCGGTCTGGATGTGACTGTCAAGCGCAATGCTTTCGGCGCCCAGGTGGATTCATTTGTCGGAGACTTGTCCGTCCCGGCCCTAACGGAACCAGAGCGACTCTTTCCTGGCGTGTTCATCCGTGCACCCATCATCGAGACAGTAAAGCCAGAAAAAGTGCAAGTTCTCGCTAGGGTGGTCAAGAATGCGGCACCGACGTCTGCTGAGGATGGTGATATCGTGGCGGTACGGCAAGGGCATATTCTTGCTACTGCTTTCCATCCAGAGCTTACAAGTGATGAGAGGTTCCATAGGTACTTTATAGACATGGTTAGGGAGGTGCAGGATCAGACGAAGGCGTAGCGGATTTCATGTACATACCCTTGAAGGGGTTTGATCAGACGGGTTCTATTTAGATAGATTTGGCATAGATGCGTCATTTGATTGTCGTAAATCCCACGCAGTTCAGTAGAATCCGACCTTACCGAGTCAGACGACGTTGCCTTTATATTTACGCAATGTAATGTGGTGAACGCTCTTTTCAACTCGAGAGTGACATGTTTTCGGTTTCAGTGCGAGCCGTAGTTGCGCCCTCGTGATGAAAGAATATGATAAATCGGGACGCTTTTGGGGCTCGGGAGAACCAGTGCTGGGAGAACGCGTTGGCAAACCCCGGTGACGACCAGGAAAGCCTGGCAAGAGCCTCAAGAGCTGCATTCAGAGCCGATTCAGAGCTGCATTAACAGTTATCTGCGCTGCGAAAGCGATATCGCTTGGAAGTCTTTGACCTTCTCTTTCGTCAAGGCTACCCTCCCGCAAAAGGTATACTTCATCGGTTCAATTGTGCCACACCGTTTTGCGTCTCTCTTACCGATACCACTTTCAGTAACCGTCATGTTCCAAACCGAGGCTCTCCACGCCTTGAAAAAGGCTGCCGCCAACTGGCCTGGGAGTCAGCAGAGGTTTTTATCGACAGCGACGCACCGAGCGTCTAGACTGAGCGACTCAGGAGTAAAGGCACGGCATACTATCCGCATTGCAAACCGCTCTCAACCGACCCCCCGATCTACGACGACCCGCTGGTCACGGCCGAACTCGTCGTCCTCAGCATCCGAATCTGTCCCATACCCCGAACCGATACCATCACATACCCCACAGCCTCGCGCAACAGGACTTAGACTGATCGCCCGTCGTTCCAAAGAAGGTGTTGCCTTTGTAGGGCGGTTCAAGAAGACCATTTTCGAGCTGTTTCTATGGATGGTGTGTGGGAGTTTGGCACTGGAGCTGAAGTGGATGCGGAGAGACTTTGCGGAGTACAAAGAGACGGTGGACGTCAAGGCCAGAAAGTTGCGAAAGGAGATCGAAGCGCTGAAGAGGGAGTTGAGGCCGCTGCCAGCGGACACTCCAAAGGCACCTGTGAAGGCCAGCAGGGCGGTGGAGAAAGCGACTTCGTCTACGCCAACCTCAGATGTTAGCGGGTCTCCGACGCCGTCAAAGAAGTTCGCCATATATTAGCGCTACGTTAGTTTTCGTGCAGTGGGATGTAGATCTAGAGTTTCGTGCGGCGGGAATTCTATCGACAGGATGGAATCAGACATCATGACCCATATGAGTATAAAAACCATACCATACAAGACAGTACATCTCGGGCATCGGGAGCTTCCATATGCTTCGCAAAGGAAGAGTCGACTCGCTCGAAACTGGTCCTCGTGAGAGACGACGTGACCCAGGACGTGACCGATGTTGGGACTGGAGAACACGGGCGCGATTTCGGCCGTTCAAAGTCGTCACGACGCGCTCTGCAAATTCATCTCGTTGTTGGAACTGCTTCTGGAACTGCTTGCCCATCCCCCGTCATCCCGGACGCATTGCCCACCCACTGCCGACTCGGACAGCCAAAAACCAACCGCCTTTGGGAAGCAGCTTCACCCTTTCTCGGAAAGCGCTGGCAAACCGACAACTCCAACCAGTCCGTTTCTCGCTCGTCCATCATGAACATCTTTCGCCTCGTCGCGGATCTGATGCACCTGGCATCAATCGTCATTCTGCTTCTGAAAATAACGCAAACGCGGTCGGCAGCAGGTGAGACGATCAGTCGTTGATCAGCAGGCCCGCTTCAGCTTTGCGGGTCGTCTGTCATGGAAATATATCAGAAGACGGAAACCCCGCTTTCTGAAATGCGACCGGAAGGTGATCTCTCGTCACTGGGACTGACGTTCACTCCCTTTCCCAGGCATATCATTTAAAACCCAAGCGCTCTACGCCCTCATCTTCTGCACGCGGTATCTCGATCTCTTCGTCAAATTCGTGTCCCTCTACAACACGGTGATGAAGCTCTTCTTCATCGGGACATCCTTCTACATCTTGTACCTCATGAAGGTGAAATATCGCGCAACGTGGGACTCGACGCACGACACGCTTCGTGTGGAGTATCTGATGGGGCCGTGCGCGGTTCTGGGGCTGATTTTCCATGAGGGAGGACCTTTCAACATCATCGAGGTACGAAATACAGCAGAGGTTTAGGAGAGCTTAACCTCCATTTTCAGAGCTTGGAGAGCTGATGGCAATGTCGATCATCCATCACAGATCTTATGGTCTTTCTCGATCTTCCTGGAATCCGTGGCGATCCTTCCACAGCTGTTCCAATTGACGCGGACAGGGGAAGCAGAGACCATTACGACGCACTACCTCTTTGCGTTAGGCGCCTACCGAGGGCTGTACATCCTCAATTGGATATATCGGTATTTCACGGACGGCCATGTGGACTATGTGGCCGTCATCTCAGGGATCCTGCAGACGGCCCTGTACTGCGACTTCTTTTACGTCTATTTTGGGAGGTTCGTCATTTTCTCTGAGAGGGATTCTATGCTGCAAGTTCCGTCACACCGCACAAACTGATGCACGTTCCATTTCGTAGGGTGCTGAAGGGCAAAAAGTTCAAGCTACCTGCTTGAGATTTCTATACGAATCATGAGATTACCCTGTTGCGGCGGAGGGGGCGACTCGGGAAGCGTCAGTCGGTCCGATGAGATGGGACAGATGGGACTTGCGCACAACCATATTACATAGAGAACAAATACCCGTCCTGTAACTGGCGCCGTGATCTTAGAGATCACAGAGAACAACCCAATCAGAATCTCACAACTGAATGCGGCCCTGATGGAGAAGAAGTGCAGACCATCACGGGCTGGTGCGGCGCAGACCAGGGTTCACGGTCCGCTTTATATTATTTCAAAGAGCAGCGGCTGGGCAACGGCCGCGCTCTTCATGCCGTATACCCGTAATGGGATAATACAATCAAACGCCTCTACTTTGGCGGTCGGGATCGCGTGCGTGTGGATGAAGGTCGAGTTGCTGGAGGATTGGAGATGGAGTTGCTTTTCGGTGCCTGTTATGAACTCTAGGCGGAGGGACCATCGTAGAGCAACTGGTTTTGAGAATACGAAGGTTGAGCTAAGAAAAGCGCATCCCAAACCACCAGCGTCAGTTTCCCTTCTCTCCTCACCTGCAGAAGTCTCAAAATCCCCCGTAGAGGTATTCGGCACGAATAGGTCGATACCGATGCGTTTGTGATTCAGCGTGAACTTATGCTGCTCGGCATATACGCGCCGTGACAGCGTTGCGCTCTCGCCGACAGGCCGAACGCCATATGCCTCGTCGACGTATTCTTTGCTTTCTAGGAATGCTGATACCTATGTGGTTGCAGATTGCGTAGAGTTCAGGTACTCAGTCGATCGCGACGGCAGTTTCGCGCAATGAGTGCTTACCCGAAAGCACGGAATGGTGCTATTGCTAAAGTTGAGTATCCCCATTAACGTCTCGCCCAGCCGGTATACATTCCGGTTGAGGGTCAACTTCGCGACGTTGTCCGTGTTTTTGCATATATCGTACGAAACTGCATTGCGTACAGGTATCAGCATTGATCCCGTATAGTCCCGTATAGTCTCCGTCCCGGTATGTATAAAGCAAGACCAACATACGCACCCTTCCGCGACATCATACAAACAGAAATCGTCCGCGACAAACAGTCATTAATGTCGTCTTTGTCCAGCAAGGACGCCTGGTTGCTGTTTGCCTGCCTGTCCAGATCTGCCATGTCAGCCAGTCAATCGGCCATACATAGATTGTACATGCTTCAAAACATCTGTGCGTAGCTGTGGGGCAACTACCGACCTGAGTGTTCGTTTTCCACTACGATGCTGGCTTCGTCACGGGTATATGCTGCGGGGCTTGTGAGGCCGTACAGTGGGCGAGAGCCGTCGCCTGTTGCAAAGAGTGTTCAAACCCAGCTGCCGTGCTAAAAGCGGAAATGAACATGCGAGACCGCTTTGGTACGTTACCTCTGACAAAGTTGAACATGCGAAAGGGGAGAGATATGACTTGCGACTTGTGGGTTATCCCGCCCCGCTGGACGCCCACGATGAGCTTATACGATATCCGGAGGAACTTCCCTCTATGTGATGGCGGTAATGATTGCGGCAGGTTGAACTCGAACTTGTCTGATGTACGGATGAACACAAACATGAAATGTCAGCCACATGCTAGCAGCATTGTAACGACTGCCAAGATTCTTCGAGCGTTGCAAAGCTCACATCATTTGCGCACATGTTTTGCTTTCGCCCGGATCCAGGACGAGGTCCGTGAACATGATGGACGGTGGTGTGCTCAAGACCGGAAACGTTTGTGCTTGTGAGTCTGAAGCAGAGCGATCCGTCTTGCCCGTAGAGGTGGTGCCAGCCACCCCCATTGTGCCTCCGCCGCCTGCCGCGCCAGCTGGCCGATACATCGCCTTCGACTTCAGCGATTCAAACTCTGTGATCTTTACGGTGGCTGCATCCACCCAAAACTCGCCCGTCAACTGTGCATACGCCCATGCAAACTTTTCGTACTTCGCTCCATGCGGTGAAGGCGCGGAGCCTCGCATAGGCGTTGGTTCGGGTAACCCGCGGGGAAGCGGTAACGGAGAGTAAGCGGACGGCATATCCCCGAAAGAATCAGACTGCACCAGGGTGCCGGAATCGCTTTGTTGATCCAAGAGAGATGCAGGGAGTGGTTTAAGAACATCGTTGCCAATCATATGGAGGGAGACCCGCTGCGTCGTTGGCGGGCCAAGATCGTTTCGGTTCAGGAATGGTCTTAGTGGCGGGGAGCGGGTGGGGGATTGTGATAGGTGTCCCTGAGGAGTCGACGCTGCTGATGATTGTGTTGAATCTTGCGCGTGATTGTGCTCGGAAATGTCTCTCATGCTGTGCATGAACGCCGAGTTTCGAGTATCTGATGGGGTTCCCAGTATGCTGAGTGTGGTTCCCACAGCGCTTCGTATCGACGTCAGTGAGAGGGATCGCCGGAGCAAGCCCGTTAACCCGGACGACTGGGTAGCCTGCCCCTCTGCAGATCCAGCCTCTGGCGCGCCCGCTGCTCCCTCAGACGTCTTAACAGGCTGTTGTACCGGATTCGACCCCAGCTCATTATCCTCCACACTCTCTCCAAAGCTCGCCTGCAAGTCAAGATCACTCGTCGACTTTGTCATCGTCGTGGCCTTCAACGCCGCGACGCGCAAGTTCTGGCCCGTAGAGCTGTTCCTAGAGTGGCCTGGGGTCCTCTTTGCCGCATTTCTGGCAGCTAGTGAGCCTAGCGGGCTTTGTGAAGCTGCGGCTAGTCTTGCAGGGGTGTTCACCGTCGCTTTGTTGGAGAACGTGAGGTGGCATACGAATTTCTCACCGGCATAGAACACGCCGTCGCGTCCGGTGTCGGCATCTCCGAGCTTTGCGGTGAGAAGGACCACCATGGATAGCTAGGATGTGTGGGCTCTCTATCTCTGTGGGACCGGCCCTAGCGATGCTCAAAGTGTTGGATGAAACGAGCCAACTGCACAGTGTCTTTCCTCAAGGCGTTCTTGACTGACGGGATTCAGCTTTGGGCTTGTCTCGTCGCGTTATAATAGTTGTTTATCCTTGAGTCTCACGCCTTCCAGAACTTCTGGCACATGGTTGGTTGCAACGACGACCAGTTAGTGTAAGTGTTTTACGGCGCAAGAATCGGGAGAAGGAACGCTGCTGTCGACCACATCGAGCAAGGTGACTAAAGTTCTCGGAGGCCGCTCCGCTTCAATCAACGGGACACCTGAGTAGAAGAAGAAGCAAACGACGCTTCCAAGCATAACCAGCGACAAAAAATCGATCAAGGGAAAATGTGGTATGCCAGAAGCTATGATAATGATATTTGTGAAATCTACACCCTCTTCACCATACACCCAGAGGGGGGATCACCAGAGAAAAAACTGTGCGAGGTGGATAACCTCAAAACTATGTAACAGAATTCGCTCAGGGTGGGCATCTCCGGGGGTCGAGAAGAGCGAGCAGTCGTGCACTCGCCCCTCCGCACCGGAGAGTCATCCATCACTGCTGAAAATATGCGTGGAAGAAGGTTCGTGACCTACTCGATGGGGTTCTAAACTGACGTAAAAAGAGTGGGTTTGTGTGCCCAACAAGCTTTGCAATAAATAACGAAGGCGTAAATGTTGATGGTCGGTCGTTCCATGATCAAAAATATGGTCCTAGATCAGAAGCTTCTCAATCTCGATCTTGATAGCAAGAATCTGCGCCTTCAATTCCGACCCTTCGTTGGTGGTCACGGAAGCGGCGACAACAGGGCGGGAGACACCACACGCACGGCCGAGGGCAATTTTGGAGGGAACAAAAACGTATGGTACGTTCTTGTCCTCGCAGAGAAGGGGCAAGTGGAGAAGGATTTCGAGGGGTTCGGTGTCGGCGGTCATGACGATGAACTCTGAGATACCTCGGTTGAGGGTCTTCGTTGCTGTATAAAAGGAATAACGAAAACGGTTAGTGCCAACGTCTCAATGCAGAGAAAGCCTTATCTGCGCAAGTATCGCCGCAGAGGAAGTGAAAGACCATCGACGAGAGATTCCTTTTCACCTACCTTCGTTAGCACCCTTCTTCAGTTGCTTGTAGTGAGACGCCTGCTGCACAAGGTCGAGAATCTTGTTGGACAGCTGAGCGTCAGCGAGGGGGAAGGCCTTGGTGTTGACTTGCGACATGGTGGAGGTTTCGGAAGGTGTAGGTGGACGAGGGATATTGTTGATGCGGTAGGTTTGCAAGCAAGAGTTTTTCTGAAAGGTGAGAAACGCAGGTCCAAGCGAGAAGTGAGACCTCCCCACTTGAGAAGAAATCCAGCGAATCAGAGCGCGCCTTCACGTAAGCAGACTTTCCATTTCGACAGCGGGGCTTTCCGCTTTGCTGCCTTTGGGAGTTCGATTTTGGGGCCGTTCTATCAGCCACATTTCAAGCCTTCCTTTGCACTCAGCTGAATAGTGAGCATACGGAGAACGGAGGGAGAAACTGCTCCATCAGACTATTTACGCCATGCGCCAATACGATAAGGGACTGTTGGTGGACGAGGAGCTGCATGATTTGAAGCTTAGGTTTGAACTATTAGGTAGGTAGTGAGGTCGATGGGGAGGATGCCCTTACAATCACCGGGGAATGTAGATAGACTCCTTTTGCGAGAATGAATTAATTCTCATAATGAATGTGAAAAGATAGCGTTCGTTCTCTGAGAATCTTGATTTTTAGAGGGTGACCGGAAAGCCTACTACGAGACAAGTCAGTGGGCGATCCGACAAAATAAAGACGAGGTTAGCAACCTTCGAGCGAGGAATAAGGAATTGAGCGATGCTATTGCCAAATTGAAGAAGGTACCGTTTAGCTTTCGCATCTTCTGAGGCCCAAATGCTTATAAGCTCGCATTGTAGTCCGAGGCTGATACGCAAACCAGCCGAACGTCGTTGACGGAGTTGGAAAAGTACGACCAAAAAATATGCGAAATGCATAAGAAATACGACGAGCTGCAGGCCGAGGCGAGACTGAAAAGTGATAAGCTGACGGGGATGCAGGATCAGCTGGCTGATCTGGGACGGGAAGCGGAGACGGTGGTGTCGAATCTCCAAGACTCGTCAGAGGCTAAGGTGCGGAGACGTGGTGGATGGAAGAGCGCTGCACGTCCAGAGACCGGAGAGAAACCTTCGTTAGAAGCTCTGCGGGACATCATCAGTAACATATATTTGCATGCAGGAAATCCGAATGCTCGAGAATCGCCTCGACAAAGCTACCATCAAGTACAACGAGGCACAAGCCGTACGGAAAACATACGAGCAAATAGCCAAGCGACTGCAAGAAGAGCGCTTGACATTTGACAACCAGCTGACGAGTTTTGAGAAGACCATCAAGCTGAAGAAACAGGATGCGCTTGAGCTTGAGACGATGTCTAGGGATGCTAACCACGCGAAGGAGGTCGCCAAGGTACTTGATGAAGGCCTGCAAAAGGGTGGCTTGGTCCGTGGGAGGAAGTACCAGACTGACCAGAACCAAAACATGCAGGCGGAGCTGGCACGGTTTGAGCAACAAATCAATGACGAACGAAAGCAACGTGAGAAAGATCTCCAGTTGCGAAAAGAGCTTGTCAAGCAGAAGATGGAGATCACGGACAAGATCGACTGGAAGGTGGGTTCGGGCGAAGGGCTACGCATGTGGTCTACTCCCATAAGTCCTAAATTATGCTCAATTGCAACTTGTAGAAACTCCAACTTGACGACCCATCCAATGATCTCTCCCTCAACTCCGAGGTCAACAAAGAGCAATACGACGAAGCACGCGAAAAGAACATCGCCGACTATGAAGAGAACATGCGTCTCGTCAAAGAAGCGGCCGGTGTCTCAGACATCAACGAAGTCATTGCCAAATACCGTGCACAGGGTGAAACCCACGAGCATCTCTCGGAGCTCCAACGCAAAAACGACCAGCGGCACGAGGAGCTCAAGAAGAAGAAGAACGCGATTTCAGATGAGTTTGAGGAACTGCGCTTCTCGGGCGAGGCTAGGCATGCGCATTCGTGGAGAATGATTCAGGAGATGAAGGACCATGTGAATGAGGCTGAGAATAAGATGTTGGATGCGAAGGGCAAGTTTGAGAAGATGGCGAAGCTATTGGGGAACTCGAAGGCTGGGGTTCAACACTTGTCTGCGAAGGTGGATGGTATTCAGATGGTGAGAAGAGAATTTCCATCAATTCTGGATGTTCTGAACCTGCAAATCTGATCGGCATCTTGTCTCTATCAGCCGGATTCGCAACAACCAAAAATGTCAGATGAAACAGTCGTGCAGATACTGAATGTCTGTATCCGAAAATTGGAACACCTGGCCAACAACGTGCAAGGCAAAGAAGTACCAGAGGTACGGATGATCTTGCGTTCTGAGATTCCACTTTCCCATCACCTACTAAAAGCGTCTTCTACCAGCCTGTCGTCCCACAACCCACCGCGCAACAACCGCCAGGCGAAACGACAAGCATCTTCCAAGTCGCACAATCACAGCTGCCCGTGTACAACACCCGTGTCAAACTACGACCGGTGGAATTCGAGGAGTCTGGTGGCGAAGGTGAGATGATGTTCATACGGCCTTTTTCTTTCAATCCTGCGTTCTCATGCTTTGGTTGGGCACGACAGATGATGAGGACGACGACGACTACGGGGACGTGCCGGACCGCGAGACCATCAAGAAGCATACCGCGCAGATGCTCAATGCTCGGCTGAAGACGAAGCAAGCAAAGAAAGGGAAGAAGAAAAGGACGGCGAAGGATGATGATTGAGGCGAGGAGCACGTGTTCTGAGGACGTGATAATGGGCCTTTCTTCGGAAGGGAAAGTTTCGGCGACGCCGATTTTCGACATTAAACCATATGATTTGGTGTAACAAAGCCGCTGTCTGCGGTGTATGCGGGAATCCCTTTGACAATGAGTTACTAAAGTACTCGAAGGGTTTATCTTATTTATATGGCCGCCTAATACGAGGTTCAGCCCTGACCTGTGAATCTATGCATCCTTGATTTCGCGAGAACTACTTTGACATCATCAGGCTCTTGCGGCTCGAGATATTGTCGTCAATGATGAGAAGCGGTCCAGATCTAGAGAGAGAGGCAGGATTTAGTCCGTGGTACGATTGGAACTTATGCCCGCGGTCCACATGCTATACCTTCAACGAAGTACGAGCCCCTCCTCTCTTCCCGGCCCGAAGGACCCCAGGCATTAGGAAAGACCCGCGAATCCCTGCAGAACGCGTGCGCACCATCGCCTTGCAGACTGTTCGGCAACAACCGGTCGACCGGCTTGGGCTTGGTTTCTACCGAGTACGTGATTTCCAAGAACACCGCACGTAGCGAGGAGCGAATGATGTGGTCCATATGATCTTTGAACGTGCTGTACACTTCGCCAGAGGTGACATTGGGTACATGTGCGACTTGCTTGCACCCCTGCAGCCGGGATTTAGTAAAAGATCGAAAGCGACTAAGTACATCCGATGGACACGCACGTTGGCTGTTTTGAATGGATCGAATTTCTGGGCGCTCGCACCGCAGCATGCGTGGTATCCATTCGCTCCATCCTTGGGTGGGTATGTGGCTTCGCTGGCATGTTGCCAGCATCCCTTGTAATCTCCGCATGCAAAGGTTTGATCACACTTTGAGCAATGAAGATGGTGGAGGAGGCCCCAGAACCTACGACGGGACATCAGAAAGGCCGGTCTCCGCTTTCAAGACGCTGGACATATACTTACATCCAATACGACTCTTTCCATGGGACATTTGCCGCATATAAAGTCGTCATAAAGTCATTGATGTTGAAGGAGACGTCACTAGCTTTTCGAAGAGCGAAACATTGAGCAGGAAGCTTTGACAAACATGTGGGCATGAAAGACGATCCCTTTCCGTACCGCTGGTGACATCTCGTCACGTCCCCATCATATCCCACTCGCAAAGGCGCCTCGTGGCAGAGAAGCTCTAACTGTCGCTTCTCGGTGTATAACCTCCCGCACAAACGACAGGCACACACGAAGTTGTCTTCGCTGGCCGCCTTCGCCAGAAGATCGCGCAGCTTGCAGAAATAGATTTGTCTATCAGAACCGCGAAGATGTTCAGTTAATAAGCCTTCCTTGAGAGAACAGGCATTGTAGCTCACCCCAGAATCTTGTCCTGGATGTCGTGCACGTTCTCCAGTTCATTGACGGTGAACAGCTTTGCCAGTCTACGATTAATGTTTTAGCTCAAGTTCAGTAGGGCCCGACGGCTCTCGGTAGCGGTGAAGAAACCCCAGGCACATACTTGTCAACGAGAGGTTGATTCAAGCAGGTCATATCGGTAGAGACTAAGCGCCCGGGACAACTTAGCCTTCGTCATTGAACCTCGACGTTCAACAAATGCTCACCTTTGAGAACATCATCAATCGTCTGATGGATATAAGACAAGCATTGATCTTCAAGCGCTGCCATCTGCAAGAAGTTCGAGCTGACAAGGATGCTCAATGCCAATCTGGGCTCTGTGGGCATTCAGAAGTCGTCGCTCAATACGTAAGCAAGCAAATGTTTGTGACTCTCTACGTACCGAACAAAGGCCGCTTCCTTGAAATGTACAGCATCAGCCATTCGAACACTTGGATGTCGCAATGTACATCGATTTCAATAGTGGCTTCGGCAGCGTGGTTGAGAAGGTATGGGGAGAAGTATGGCATCTGGCGCAACAATAGGATACGGTCGCAGAAGTAGTCCCGTTTTGCTGGAAAGCACATCCATTAAAAGTAAGCGTGATGAATCCTCCATTGAGAAGCGATGTCATCCGTTGTGCCGCACCTTTCTTGCTCTCATCATACACATGTATTATCACATCAGGCTTGGTTTCTGGACCTTTCGCGGTCTTGCTTGCCGCCTCAGATGAGGATGTACTAGAAGGCCGTGGTGCATCCTGCGGTGCATAGCTTGACCTGATTCGTTTATCGCTCCGCTCATCGACCCGATTTGGCTTCTCGGCCGATGGCGGTGGTTCATATGGACTCTTCCCTCTACCATCCGCTTGGACATGGGATGTTGACCCCGCTCCTCTGCTCTGCCCATGTGCCATATCGCCTCCACTAGATAACGCTACGCTGCGCATGGCTTCCGACGCGGGGAACTGTGTGCTGTTCTTCCATGTTGCCAGACGTTTAGGCCTCATTTTGACTTTGGTTGACTGCCGTTCTTTTCTGAACTTTTTCAAGGGTGAATCTGATCTGGACATCTGGACACGGAGGAGTCGGAACGCTCCGAACGCGTGATGTCACGCGCCAACACCTCTGCCTTTCTGGAATCCCGCAACTCACAGCACCCGTCCAAGCTAGCGACGTACCAGTACTAAAATATGCAAACCTTTCCGTCCCCGCCTTCTGTCGACAATTGGCTGGCCCAGCACGGACTTTGCCTCTCACTGGCATTTCTGAGGAGTTCGGACAATTGTCCATATACTCTTGGGACGAAGCCGTATATAGTATGCAAGTGTTGTCGCCCCCTTCTTATATCAACGGTCGGCCCGCCAGCATGCAGCAAGCCTTCGCACCCGTCGGTTCACCTATCACTGCCGTCTCACCAAACTTCAGACGACTCTCCGTTCACCCCCGGGTCCAAGCCTTAGCAGTATGCAAACCTTTGTGTCTCCGCCTTTTATCCCGCCATGATGCAGCAAGATGTTCCCTCCGTCCCATTCGAAGCCAGCGTGCCCGCTACAGACAGTCCGGCAATGACGATCAGAGAATGGACGATGCGAAAGCTTCGTGGCACAAAGGTCTCCAAAAGCGAGCTCCAGTCGCTTGTGGGATCTGTCCCTAGTACCCGATATGTAAGTCTTTCTTTGGAGTGCTAAAGGGTGGCCTCCATATCTACAGTATAGCGGCTTTTGATTCTTCGAGGGCTCTGGTGTGCGCCAGAATTCCACGGTCGTACATCCATACCATTTCCGGCGTTGGCCTGAGCTAACGGCTCTAGCCGTTCCCAATCCGAGCGCTCTTGAGCGGCACATTGCGCATCGCTGGAAAGCGAGTAGGGAAGAGGGATGCGCCGGCACTGTTCCTGCAAGCGCAGGCTGAATATATCGCCATTAATTGAAGACTATGGGCGTGGCACAGGACATACCCGAATTCTAATGGGTACGCATAGCCATTTTTCAACCTCCCACCTCGGCCCGAGCCTTCTCCCCAAGTTCAAGGACATGTACGGAGTTGTTCAAGGACCTTTTGAAACCCGGTGGAGCTTACGTCCCGCCCGATCATCACTCTCAGGGCATCCCGGCGCAGCCCATGGAGCTCGGGCAGACGCGCATGGGTCCGGGGGAGGTAATCGAGTTGTCAACACTTAGGTCCTAGTCCTGGACAGCACATGTAAGCCGATGCGACGTATAGGAACGGCGGGCGAAGGGTCGTTTTGATATCATGCAACAGTTCTGGGAGCTCCCCATCAATGTGCGTTGGCGGTTACCAACATGACCCCAGCTGCTTCGGGGTGAATGTCTTGCATCGTATGCGCAACCCGCGACTTATGTGTCAGCACGTAAGTCGCCTCGAGAGCGTTTCTCTGAACTGCTACAATCGATCTGACTTCCTCAGGTTCGAAGGCTAAATGATATTCGATGCACATACATCGTGTAGTTTTTGGGCTACCAAAATATCGATTCAGAAATGGATGTTATGAGAGCTACACATCATAGTACCTTGTCTACACCCGTGCCTTCCCACTCTTCATGAAGAAGGTTTGAATGATGAAGACCTGAAACACCCCCATCACAACCAACGAGAACGCCTCGAGAGTCCCGAACCAGAAGATACGGTTCTGCGTGCTCTTCACCGTGTCAAAGTTCCGGTTCTCCCTAGTCCGGAAGTACTTCTGATGCTTCTGGACACCGCCCAGCGTATCGGACAGCCGCGTAATGCATTCTTCCAACGGTTTAATGTCCTTCTTAATCTCCTCCTTCTTGGCCAGTTCTTGGGCGACGGGGGATGAGATGCCTTGCTCGTGCTCTGCTGTGATGTCGAAGTCGATGACCTTTTCGGTGAAGGTGGACATTTTATTGCTGAAGCAGAAGGAGTGCTCTCCCGGATCAGGTGCCGAGAATACAAAGTCCCCCTGGCGCTCTTTTGTGCTTGATAGTATCTCGTTGCCTTTTGGGCCCATCACATCGTAATCCACGTCGAAGGAACCTCCGGATTGGACCTATGTGAAGGACAGACAAGGTATGAACATAGAGCTCGACATCGACGATCCGAAATCTCCCCAGCAAGGATTCCGGTCCATTCATCACGTTCCCCACCGGTTTCGCCCACCGAGACAAGTCCACAACGAGCTTACCGCAAAATAGAACGCCATCTTTTCCCCAGCACTCTTAGCTGTGACATAGAAACAAGCGCGTTCGTGTGGCTCCATCTTATACGTCAGTGTCGTTGCGGCTACTGGCCCGACTACGAGAAGGAGTAGAAGGCCACCCAAGGTGGCTATCGACAACGTCTTCATGATGGGGGTGGGGATCTGATTGGCGTCAAATGGAGTTGATACTATAGTTAAAAACTTGGGTCTTTGAACGGTAGATATTATGTGCTTGACAGATATTTCGCTGGTCCTCCTGGTCAGCCAGTAGCGAGCGGGCTTTCCGGCATATTTCTTGACCCCGGGGGGCGGGAGATGTGACCATCACACAACCTCGTACACGGCCGCTTACCTCAAGACTACCGACCTGCTAATGGAGAGGGCCCAAAAGGGATGAGGAAACGACTAGCAAAGACGACTGCCAGTGCTGTCTGATGAGGTATGAGGGCCTGCTCGTATAGCAAGCCACGTTCGATGATTGCGAGAGAAATGGCACAACTCGAAAGGTTAAAAATGGTGGCTGCCGCATCCCGCACGCGTCAACAGGACGAGTCGGCTGCATACTGGTCTTTCCCTGCCAGGGAGTACATCGGTGCCCGTCCACCGGCATCCATCACGTACTATGAGAGCCCAAAGCTTGTTGCATAAAGACAGGAAATGGACCAGGCACACCGTATAAAGTGTCTTTGCCTGCGCGTCAGAGACTTATAGCTATAGAAGCCCTGTCCGTCCTCATGGCTATCCCATTCATGGGGCACCGAGCAAATTGATTAATGTCATAAACATGCGATGATTCTATGGTAAAGGCTATTGCCGGTCTGAGACGACGAGTCAATCCCGGACTCCCTCCCTCCAGCAGTGCAAAGCGGCTCCAAGTCCGCCGTGAACTCCTAGACGTTTGCAGGGGGGAAACAAGCCTACGCGCGAAAGGGAAGCTAAGAATCGTGGGAATGGCTCTCCATAACTCTTAGATTCCCTTGCACACATGACAATTTCACCCGCACCGACGAAGAGCTTCCTTCTCTCGCACGGCGGATCGTCCCACTCGTCTCGCCCGTTCCTGATAGTAGTTCCTTAAGCTGTGCGCAACCACCCGTCTTCACGGGGAACTCCTCATGTCTGGGAATTGCGTTCGCTTTGCTGGAGTGCTGAGTAGCGGCGCGGTTGCTCATACCTCTTTTCAACACCTCGCAAGGGGTGAAAAATACGTATGGTTCAGACCTGATGGCGAATAAGCCTCGGTCCGATGGTCGAAGCACCTCGTGAGATGCATGCGCTTCTTGTGCAGAAGTTGGCGGAAAGACAAATGAATGCAAATAAACCTTTCGCTCCAATGCACGTGCATCTCAATAAATCACAACGCGCCTCGCCGACGGTACGCTCCCAAGACCAAACTTCGCCATAGCGGGTTTGAATAATCACTCTCCCTTATCACATCATTCAGTGGTCGGAGAAAAGGTAAGCATCGCACACACCCAAACCTTGCATCCATCCATAGGTACAGCAGCGGCAACGGCCGATTCAGCCGCGGAGGGCGGGTATTTCGTTGAGAAGGGCGAGATGGATGGATGGATGGATGAACGGGGTGGATGGATGGTTGAAGGAAGAATGCGCGGGAATTAGGGATGGGCATTTCGACATGGAGATGGGGAGGGCGTGGAACGGTCGAAGCGACGGTGGAATGATCGTGAGAGGCAGAGGGGCTTTAGGGTCGCACGGATGAGGGGGCATTCTAAGGACTGGTTCTCGACGTGTGAATAGCCATGCGGAATGTTGTCTAACCACAACCTTTTTGTTTCTGTAGTAACTCAAAATGGGTGGTTAGTAGTCCCGCGCTCTTGTTTATAGACCGACCACACATCTGGCTTTGTTTGGGCAAAGTCAGATGCATTCCTTGGAGGATGTTGATGTGGCCAGGTTGATGACCTATCGGAGCCTTGACTTATCTATTGTTCCTCTCTTTCCCTTCACCAAACGATGCTTTGACATTCAATTTGTCTAGCTTACAAGGTAAGACGAGAGGGCGCGTGTGAAGCTGGGCTTTAGGTGGCGGAGAGGGAAACGGTCACTGACAGTAGTATCACTCCGTAGTATCTCGAGGAGCTGTACAAGAAGAAGCAGTCTGATGTGCTTCGCTTCCTTCTCCGTGTCCGCTGCTGGGAGTACAGGCAGTTGAACGTCATTCACCGTGCCTCCCGCCCCTCCCGCCCTGACAAGGCTCGTCGTTTGGGATACAAGGCCAAGCAGGGATACGTTATCTACCGTATCCGTGTCCGCCGTGGAAACCGCAAGCGTCTTGCCCCTAAGGGTCAGGTTTACGGAAAGCCTGCCAGCCAGGGTATTTCCCAGCTCAAGTACCAGCGCTCTGCCCGTGCCACCGCTGAGGAGCGTGTTGGCCGCAAGTGCGGAAACTTGCGTGTGTTGAACTCGTACTGGGTCAACCAGGTTCGTAAATGGAATGCCAGGACAAAATCGATGGGTGCAGAGGCTGATTTCTTTTCCCCTGCAGGACGCCACTTACAAGTTCTTCGAGGTCATTGCTGTCGACCCCCAGCACAAGGCCATCCGTCGCGACCCCCGTATCAACTGGATCGTTGACCCCGTCCACAAGCGTCGTGAGGCTCGTGGTCTTACCGCCATTGGCAAGCAGAACCGTGGTATCGGAAAGGGTCACGGACACAACAAGACCCGTGGTGGAGGTCGTTACGCCAGCTGGCTCAGGAGGAACACCTTGTCTCTCCGCCGCTACCGATGATCGCACTAATTCCCAGTGCAGATTGTTTGTGGTTGTACTTGCCGAGGATTACAAATATACGTGTGGTTCGCATCTGATTATTTCGATTGGAATGCTGTGATACTGAGATGGAGAATGTGGTTCATGTGGGATGGTGCGGGAGTCGAGCGAGGACGTCTGCAAGCGGGATGTCTCGGCAGTATGCCACATCAAAGTGAATCTTGGACGAGGGAGGGCTGTCCTCAAAGCCAGAGTCCGAGTCTTTATGCCCATCTCTACAGATCATGTGACCCCACGTGACAGATCCAGTGTTCGATTTTTCTTCGCGTCCATCCCCAAATCCTATAAAAGGCAGCCTGGGGTTCCAATTTCCTGACTTCTCCTCAGGAAGAACCTTACCCTTCAAAAGCACCGTCAGCAAGGTGGCTTTTGTCCCTCCTCACGGGGGGGCAATAAATAGTTCATCCGATTATGCCGGCGAGTCGTCCAGGGTCAAGCAGAATGAATACGGTGGGGCATGGAAACGGGTGCCATCGGGGAGGCTCCCTTCTTCTGAATAGCTGTTGATGTCGTTTGGCAATTTCCATGTTCATATTTCTATCTTTTTCGTTGTTATGTTTCCTCCCTGTCTGTGGGAATGGTGGAAGAGCGAGGAACGTTTGCGTTTGGGCGCCAGTCCGACCGGCAGAGCAAAGAGCATGCTACGTGCGATTGCGGTGCTTTTACGCCTCGAGCGTGAAGATGCGCAAGCTGCGATTGCACGAGGAGCGGAGTTGGAATGTCGGCTGCGGGGCATTTCCAGCTGTGCGCTTTTCCGCTCGAGCGATTCCGCTTGCCGACGGGCTCGCTTGAATGCTGGTGGCAAGCACTCGCTCTGGCACCTGACGACATGGCGTTGAGAGGAACCTCGCCTGAATGTGGCTGACGGTTTTCGGCGTAAGAAACGACCTGGTTTCAAAGGCATGGACTTTATCGAGTATCGGAAAACGGAACGGAGCTTTCTCAAAGGGAACATGAAGGCCGAGAAATAGCACTGGACGACGAGGACGAAGGCCAGGCAATGTATTTCCCAACAAGCTACAAGCGTCACTCCGCCGTCTAGCGATGGCGAATTTCATATGGTATTGGCAATATGTAGGTATCCAGGCAGCATTGTCGTCGTCGGATGAATCTCTCTGCTGCAAGCCGAAGGATCACGCCGGCTTAGAAGACCGTACAGTTGGAGGACATCATCGGTCCGCGGTTCATGCCTGGCCTCATATAACAGTCCCAATTACACTCACCCTCCACACAAGAGAGGTCCTCAAACGGAAGGACCCGCATCAGACTCGGCGGTAGGGAAGATTACTATCCAATTGGCAGAACTGTCCTCATTTGCCACCTTATCCGTTTGTCTTTCGTCCCATCTCTCCTCTGTTTCCCCTGCGAGGTCGTCGGAACGGAACGTTACCGATGCCGGAGAGTTTGCTCGATTGATGCCGGGACTAGCTTCCCAGAAGAATAGGGAGGCGGCCAACAGCAGTGCGAACCTAATACGATCGACAGTGATGCTAGTCACTCCCCCTATTCTTCGATGAAGCGGTTTGTCGCCAGATGCATGCACAGAAAGCCTGAAAAAGGACGTCACTCTCACTCCCATGCGAGTGTCATCAGTGTCACAGTCACTTATGTCGCCCGCATGCGACGATGCGTTGTGGTAATAAGGAGGGCTGTGCAAGCGCGTGCAAGCATTACGCGCTGTGCGAAGCCGTCACTTGCGTAAACCATGTAAAAGGATGTAAAAGCTGGAAGCCCCTGAACAACTGACTGCCCTTGCTTCAAGACAAGATTCCCACGACCCTCCTCAAAAACTCTACAGCACGCAGACGTATTCCGTACAACCCCTATCACCGGAACAGAACCTGAACGCACTTCCAAGATAGAATCGCAAACCAACCGCAATGATGGGTACCACTGGAACCACATCCTCCCATCCCGTCCCAGAACAAACCAATCCCACCCTCACCCCGGCATCCGCTTCCGGAAGCACAGTGGACGACCAAGAGGATGCCTTCAGCGAGCGTCTCTCCAACGTCGATACCGACTCCGAATCTATAGTTGTCGTCGAGAGGAAACCCCTGCATCAAATCGATCTCGACGAGCCGCTTCCTCTTGACCTGGGAACGCCGATCGGAGTGAGTCTGGCGAAACTGGCAAAGGACTTTGAGGTCGCAACGAAAGGAGACGCGTTGGCAGAAGAAAGCTGCGATGATAAGGAGAACGTAAACTCGGGTCTGGCTGCTTTGCCGATTAACATTGAGAAGCCAATCACACAGTCGACTTCTCGCGATGTGCCAACGGACGCACCAAGGGATGTTGGGGAAAAGGACGAGCAAGCGTCTGATGTGCCAACCCCTCAAACGTCAATCAAGGAAGCCGCCAGCACAGTCCCCTCCAGCGCAGTCGTTCCCATTGCGCATCCCACTACACCCTCGTCCGCCACCGAGGAAAACGAAGCATCGATCGCGCCAGCTGCCACATCCGACGCCCCATCCGAACAGGAATATACTGCTCGCGAAGAATTTGAGGCTGAAAACACCCTGCGTCAGCGTTCTGTCGCACAACAAGCAAAAGAGCCCATTGGAGAGTTCGAGGCATCCCATGAGACAGATTCATCTCCACAGCACTTTAAACAAGAAGCGAACAAAGATGTAGAGGACTACGACACAATCGAGCAGGAAATGGCCGCAGATCTCGCCGAATCCAAAACACATGTCGTACACGACGCACCCGAGCGAACGCTGGACGAGCAGCGACAAGCACGTAACAAAAACATTCTGGAGGAGGTCTGGGACTCGATCTTCACGCCAGGCATCAACAGTCGCGTGCAGGGAGTCATGAACCTGTCCTTTGCGGGACTGTTCCTTTCACTCTTAGCGTTGGCGGTGGCTACAGGTGGAAACCTTCACGTGCTGGCGCTGATGGGAGTCGCGGCGTGTTTGTTTGCGTCAATTCAATGGTGGGTGGAAGAAACCTGACCATTTGCCGTCTCGGACTTTTATTTATCGCTCCTCATTCCCCTCAGGTTTCTGCACGAGTTGGCCAAACAACCTCCTCCACCCGCCCTCCAAGCCGACAAGACCGTCATCCCCTCCATCGAAGTCCTGCGTGCTACACCAACCACTGAAGAGTCCGAACCATTTGCTCTTCAGTCAGAAGACATATCAGGAGGGCAGTAGACAGGTTGTTGGCTAGGGACTCCTATGCGTCATTCCAGTGTTATGTAGCTCATGGCCGAGTACCCCACTCTTTCGTGTATGTAGGCTAGTCTTTCGTTTTCGAGAATGAGTGCGTTATATATCCCCAGCAGGAAGTAGGATGTAACAGTACTGTACATTATTGAAACATATCAATGCTACCACGGATAGCAGTCCGGTCCACTTGCGCGATAGAGAATAGTCAAATTTGGTGCAAGTTACTGCAACGATCTGCGGCGCATTAGATGGTGGCGGGATTCCATTGGGGAGTACTTGCAAGCTAAGCAGAGCTGATGTGCTACGTGGCTCACATCGTCAAGATGCCAAAAAGCGTAAATCTCCCTCATGCGGATCCTGGGCCGCGATCGTCTCCGTCTCTAGCGTTGCCTCGAACCGTGAATGTGCCAGGATTTCCTAATGACGAGCAAAAATGGCGTTAAGATTGCCTTTCACGATCCACGATCAAAGTGAGATGCGGCGACGAACCTTCACACGGCTCCGCAGGACTTCCTTCCGATATTCTCGCCATTTCTGTTCCTTCTCGCCTGCGACGTACGCTCGCCACATGCGCATGTAGCGTTTTGGGACGAGGCTGCGATGGTATTCAGAATCATTCAGAACGGAATGTTCCCATCATGAGGGACGAATGTACTGCTATAAACACTTACCGCTGAGCCATGTTATCCGCCTTCGCGTACGCCGCTTGCTCGGCCGCGATTCGCCGCTTGCGCGCGATGTGGAACGCATCCCGCCAGCGCTGGAACCCTCGTTGCTCGGCGGATACCAGACTTTGCTTGATGGCCAATTGCGTGCTTTCCATGCGTGCCGAACGCGTCTGGTTTCATGATGATTGTTAGCGCATTTTCATATCTCCGCGGCCATCAAGTAATGACAATAAAATACCATCTTCCACCGCCTCCACATATCCGCGACACACCTCCCTCTATGCAGCTTACAAGCCCTCTCCCACCTCTCCTTCACTCTCGCCTCCCACCGTTCCCTCCACCTCTTAACCCATCTCTTCTGCCACATTCCATCCGCACATCTCACCCCCTCCTCTCTCAACCCCACCCACGCCCTCCAAACCCCCCTAACACACCACCGCTCCCTAAACCGCCTAATCATATCATTAACAGCCTCGATCTGCGCTTTGCGGGCCGCCGCGGCTTCCTCGAGTGCTTTGCGTTCAGCGCGGGCACGCTCTTTCTCGGCTTCGGCTTGGCGCAGGGTTTCGGCTTCGGCGGCGGCGCGGGCGGCGGCCTGTTCGGCGGCGTGGGCTTCGCGGGCGAGGGCGAGTTGTTCGCGTTTGAGGCGGCGGGTGGCGTGGCGGGCTTCCATTGCTATGAACAAGTAAAGAACACCCGGGTGTCAGAATGTGTGAGGAGACGTGCGGCAGCAGAGAAGGAACGCACCATCTATCATCTGCTGATCCTTCACGCTTCGGATAGGCAGGCGAGGCTTCAGAGCTGGTTTTGCGATAGGGCGAGGTTTGGCTACGGTGTGCGCGTGTCCGGTCTCGGTGATGCTAGCCGCATCATCTTCGACTGGCCGATCGGAAGCCGAATTCAGGGCAGCTTCCGTCTGGACTGCCTCATCAACAACGGGCGTGCCCATCTCAGCTGCACCGTCCGCCACCACCCTCGCTTCATTGCGACCAGCACCCTCCGCCATACTTTTAAGATCCGCGACCACGGTCTCAACTCGCTTCTGTTCGACCTCAGCCTCGAGCTTCCGTCTCTTCTCGACTTTGAGCAGCAGCTCTTTCATCTGTTTCGCGCGTTCTTCGTGTTGGCGGCGGAGGGTTCGGGCTTCTTCTATGGGAAAGCAAATGATTCATGTTATCAGCTTACAAGCGCGTTGACATATAATCTGACGTCCGAACACACGTACTCTCCATCCTCGCCCAAGCAGCCCATGCCAGAAACGCTTTAGACTTCTGCCTGCTAGCGTGGAAATTGGCCGCCATCGTTGCCGTCTCTTGCGCATGCTTGAGTTGACGGGCAAACTCCTCGGCTGCTCTAATCAAAGAAACGAAAACGAGGAACAAGAGACAAGGGACGGTTAGTTCCGCTCAACGGATTGACCGGGAATGTGAGGTATAAGATTATACCGTTTGTGAACCCGAGCGCGACGAGCTGCTTTCCAAGCCTGCCACATTCCGTTCAGAAGACGCCAGCGACGAACGATCTAGAGCACGAAAGAAAATGAGCTCTTCATCTATCATGATGCAGGCGCTTCTTCATCCGTCCTCACCTGACATTGCTGGAATGAGCGTTGATGGTCAACCACCAGCTGACACCAGGCGGCCAAGAACGTCTAGAACGGAACGGTTATCCATAGGTCGTCTAGAAGGTCACTTTGAGAACGATTGGCATGCCTTCAGCATTTTAAGCCTTTTCAGTGAGTACAGCTCATCCGCACGCCATCGACCATATTCCAGTCGTTTCTGTTTCATCTCCTGTCGCTTCTTCTCTTCACTGTTTTCTACCTCGTTTGGTATATTGTGCGCCGAGTGTTTCTGGTGAATGAGGGTGTGGTCGCCGTTTTCTTTCCGGCTTCTTGCGGGATGAGTGCGCGATGTATTTGCCGTGGATGCATTAGGTGCTCTTGTCGCCGCATCATCATTAGCAAGAAGATCGTCTCTAAGATAGGGCGGATAAGCTCAAGGGCTCCGCATGCGATATCCGGAGCACATGTGCATTACTTACACAAGGGCAAGACTCATCTTCTCCATTCCTTCTTCGTCTCTCCTACGTGCCCGTGACTTTGGTCGGAGCTTCTCACCCAGCGTCTCTTCGAGCGCGACCCGCGCGGCTCGGACGGCGATCTCCATTTTCCATCGCTCGCATTTTTCTTTCGGTGCCGGCGGTATTGGGGCGATATCTTTGTTTCTGCCATAGTGAACCCACCGTATCAGCTGACGAGCCTGATCTGTGAAGTGCAGCTGGGCCAGCGTCTCTTACCGCAACCTCTCAATGCCTTTCGTTTGCATCCGATGCAGCATTTTGGACTGCTTGTCCGCCAGCTTCCTCTCCACCTCCAATACTTTCTGCTGTCTTTGCTTCTCGCGACGCTCACGGACCAGGTCCTGCCTTTCTTGCAATGCCGCACGTGGGTCGTCCGGATGCTTGTGTGATTGTGGCGAAACCCCTATTGACTGCATCAGGGCTTAGTTCTTGATCACTTCGCAGTGTGAAGGCGATGTCAAGTTACCTTGACGCAGCCATCTCTCACAGCCTCCTGCACAATAGCTCTAACCTGTCTCCCTTCCGTCGCCGCACACAGCTGCTGTTCCAGGTTGGCTGCCCGGGCAGCAGCGTCATCGTACGTCACTCCTCCATCGCCCCCGTAAGTGATCTTCCCTCGGATGCTTGCAGATGCATCCGCGTTTACGCTGAGGCGACTATCGACACTTGCAGCGCTGGTGACCCAGTGCTCCAGGAGTGCTCGGGCTTGAAGTTTCGATGCAAATGGGACGATCAGCTTTGACGAGCGGATGATGAGACCCAATCAAAGGTGGCGCGATGTAGAGAAGCGGTACATCCATACCTTCCACCATAACATCGTTAGTGTTCTCCATCACCATATTCTCCAACGCCAACGACTCGGTCGCGTTCCAGGCCGACCGATCCGATTGCCCATTCCTCAGATACTGATTCAACGCCCGCGATGACCCTGTCGGAGCATCGTCATCGCGACTAAACTGAGGGAAAATACTCCCATAATCAGGTACCGGCGCAATGATCTCGGGCTCGGCTGCGAGGGCGGCGGTTCGAGCGAAATGTCTATCCGCCGAGAAGTGTGATTTCGGGGCTAGCTGTTCCTCGTCTGCTCGCGGTATGCTGCTTCGTAATGGTGCGACATTCGATGACCTGGCAGGTGTATCCCAAGCCTAAAATGGTACGGAACTCAACCCTCAAGACTCCACAGCACAACAGCACAGAGCTATGTCGGCACCAGCCGACTGACCTCATCCACACGCGTTTGGCTCGACCGTTGCTTATGATCGTCGTCGTGAGCCGGATGCCGACCAATGCATAGGGTGGACCAATCGTTGCTACTGTATAGAATGTCATATCAGAAAAGGCTTTGAGAATGAAACATAACACGAAATCAGACCTCATCATTCGTCGGACAGCTCTCGGCGTTTCCAGTTGATCAGCAAGATGGTGCAGCGATGCCAATTACGATGACGATGAAGCGACTCAATCGATGAGAAACCCTTCTTCATCTGCATATGTTAGCGATTGGTGCCAACCTCTTCCATCTAAATCTAGATCCAGAACAGTACTACTCTCGATCTCGACAGCTTCTCAGAAAGGACGGAATAGGCATGACACACGCGTCACTCAGTCGCCTTCGGACGCGACGCGTTTTTCGCAAAAGGAAGCGTCCGACATGTATACGGGTTCAAGGCTACAGCCACATCTTAAACCTTCACTATGCCAGCACCCACCAAACTGGCCTCCAAAAAAGGCGCACCAACTGCATCTTCCTCCGATGCATTAGCAAAGGAAAGTGGCAGCAGCAACGCCTTACCAGCGATAGCCGCCAAAAGCGTTGCTAACGTCAATTCGAGTGCATCATCCCGCCCCGCTTCCGCCGGCAGCGATGCGTCGCTTGAATACGAGGGCTTGGTGCTGAGCTACGGGGACAGCGAAAAGATTATGGGCTGTGTGTTGCGGAGTGATACGAAGGGCGCAGAGTACGTTCGAGCGGAATTTTCTCTGTATCATGCGCCGCAAAAACTGCCTTCGGCTCACAGGATTAATTGGAGAATTATCTACTTCCTCCCCATGCAGCCTGGCTATCCGAAAAGCGCTCCATCTTCATCCACCTCCACCTCCACCCAAGCACGTTCTATCCCTCTCGCAAGCGGCGGCTCTGGAAATCAAATCAGACCGGCATCTCGAAGACGAAGTGCAGAGGGACGGCATTTTTGCCCGCTACCTGGTGGATGCTTGCTGGTTCGCCATGACCAAAGGATTCACGAACTGGCAGCTGTCGGTGTGGATTACGGTTTTCTGTGCCGCTCATCGGGATTTCATTGGTAGTCTAATACCCATCCTCTGCAAATTTTGCTGAGATTTCGAAATGACAGGTGTGGCTAATCACACACTTCTCTGTCTAGGTCAGCTCCAACTGGACAAAGAGATCAAGGGCGGCCATGAGAGCACGAATTCCATCAGCATGAGCGGGATAGAGTCTGCGAAGTTTTGCGAGCACCTCTTCCTGGAGACGCTCGTGACGTTCAACTACCGCCGCTTCCAATCACAGGCGTTCACGAAGCAGGAAGCCATCGCTTTGATCGATTTCTTCACCGATAAGTAAGAAGCCATCTTGATTCGGTCAAATGCATGTGCGCACCTGCTGATCTTCCCTTCCCCATATTTCCCACAGCTACCTCCGCCACATCGACCTCATCTCCTTCGTCTTCACCCAATCGCAAGACGTCAACCAGCATTCGGCGAAGTACCGCGTCAACCAGCCGGATGAATTCCGGCGAGCTAAAGGCGGGAAGGGCTCCTTTGACGCGAAACCGCTGAAAGATGCCGTGCCGGAAGAGCGGTGGAATGAGTTCTGTGCGATGGAGAGGGAGAGAGAGAAGGCGGAGAGGGAGCGGAGGGAGGTGAGTGGACTGTTTGAGACAATTTCGGGGTAGGCTCGTCAGCATCATTGAAGTGCTGATGCCTTCGCTTGATCGATGTAGCAAGAGGAAGCGGAAGCCGCACGGCTGAAGGCAGAGGAGGAAGGAAAAGCCGCCGCTGCACCGGCCCCAGTCGTCGATCTATCACGTAAGTGACCGATCTCAATCTTTTCCCACGTCCCCAAGTGCTGATGTTTTACATTCCGTGTCTGGTCGTACACCAGCCGCCGAACCCCCTATCTCAATCAAACCCCTCGAACTCCCACCCCCACCACAACCCAACCCAGCAACCCTCTTCCCACCATCGCTAATCGAAGCCGCAGCACACGAAGCACCCGTGCCCATCCCTGTCACCCAGGTCGACTCAACCCCTCCCACATCCGACTCAACATCCCCACCGCCCAGTCCCTTGCTCTCCACATCGGACATCCCGCGGAGCAAAACACTTTACCCCGCCGAAATCGCCCACATCCTCTCCGCGACGATCGACAGTCATCTCGCCGCTCTGTCGTCGCATCTGGAGAAGCAGATGGATCATCAGGCGGCGGAGATGGCGAGGATTTTGGAGAAGAGGGAGAAGGAGAAGAAGGCGGGTGGGGCCGTAGTGGGGAAGGTGGAGGAGGCGAAGAAGGTGGCGGCTGGTGCTGCTGGTGCGACGGCACCGAGGAGGGAGTCGGCGGCGGGCAAGACGAAGAGTGTTGGCGAAAAGAAGGTGGCTGGGAAGAGTGCAAAGGGACGGTAAACAACACTTGTCGAGCCATAACCTTGGCAATGAAGCGGCGGAGCGACTGGTGCGCTGACGAGTCGCTTTGGAAACGGAATGCATATATCTGTCGTCAATGGGAACACCTCTTCAACTCAGTAGTGGTGCTACAGAATAAAATATATTCGTCCATCACCACAAACACAGGAGTCCCTACGCTATGCAGGCTACTCTATGTCCATGTCGCGAGCTACGCTACCTCATACACTTGCGTGCTACCCTCATGGGTCAAATCGAATGAAGTAATGCAATGATAATGCATTTTCGTGCGGCGTGAAAAGGCCCAGCATCCAAAATGATCGTGCAAGGAACATGTAAACAAACCCATTGGGCATTGAGACGGTCCACCCAACCAGTCTCTGCTCCACAAGGTATCTCAGCCAGAGTCGACATACAGAATTCTTCAGAGGTGAAGTTTCTCCACGGCCGAGATGAGACGAGTCAATTCGCCCTTGATGTTCTGCGCGTGACGGACCGTCTTATCCTTTGTGTCAAGAACCTCAATGGACTCGGTTAATGCGTTGTATCGCGGCACAAATGGTCTGTCGATCGAATCGGTTGCGTAGTCCCTATAATGCAGGTGTGTTAGTTAACGTGATAGTTAGTTGCTGGGTGGTGTCCCAGCATTGCGCTAGCTTCACAAGCATTCCAATCGAATCTTTCAAGTACCTGACTTGCTCTTTCATGTCCTGGAAGCAGATGCGATCAGCTTAAGTTTATGACAACCCACACGGGCTCCCACTGCAAACCTTACCTTGAAACTCTCGGCCACAAAGTACAATGGTTGGTACTCGGTGATTCTGCACAACGGAGAGAGTTGATCAGCAACGACACATTCTGTTCACTAGCCACTTGGTCATAGCAGCCACATACGGGTATTTCTGCACAGCGGCGACCTTGGGGTCAAAAGGCACCTTCTTTGGCTTGTCGCTCAAACAGTACTAAAACGTTCGCCATCAGCAGACCGATAAGATTACTCTCACGTAAATGAAGCATGGACCTACCTCCAACTCCCCGAAACTGGAGAGTAAACCTGCGCCATACGCTTTGATCTCATTGCCTTGCCGGCACAGTCCAAACTCCACTGCAAAGTCATTGTATTGTAAGAATCTCGATTGCGAGGCTGTTGACGGCTCTCTGGTGAGCCCTTACCGGTGAACCAGTAGATCTGGGATTGCAAATGGCAGTTAGTAAGTGCGATAGGTGCCAGCATGCCCTCAATTTAGAGCGTACCGTTGCAAGCTTCTCGATAGCCTCGTCTGACGCTCCCAGAGATGCCAAGCCGATTTCCTACAGGAAAGTCAGTATTGGGCTTATACACGCCACTCAGTCGCCCAACGAAGCTGCGAACCTGCGAGAAATCGGCAAAGTCTGGAATTCATTGTTAAATCGGCGTCTCAACATTGCTTTCTGTACACTCCGAAACTCACCTGGGTCAGCATAGAGCGGAACGTGACCAAGCAGCTCATGGCACAGGTCCGGCTCCGGCGTGTACAAAGGTTCGGAATGGTGACGGATGTATTGTGTGCTGTGGAAGACGCGGAACGCCAAGGCGTTCAAGAAGTCACGGGATGACAGAAGACCTGTTCCTCGCCCGGATTAGTCACAACTCGGGTAGTGAAGAAAGTTCAAAATGCGTGTCCAGCACGCACCCATAACGGGCCGCAGTGTCCACCCAGTCGACTCCTTCATGAACCTCGACACATCCTCTACCTGAGGGATGTTGTCCGGGGCGTATCCACAATTGTGTTCCAGTAACTACAGGAACTCCACCCATCAGCTTTGTAGATTGCAAGGCACTCCGGTTACAGAGTTACTCACTGGAAGAACATATTGATGTTCCCGGCACGCGTGTGTCTTGTACAGAGCCGTGAGCTTCTTGTAGACGATACCCCTACATCGTAGATGATGGTCAGATCGTTCTCTTTGGCATTGAAAGCATAATGCATCTCACCATGTCTTGGTCTCCTGCTCGGTGTACTGGATTCGAGGCACGGCCTCGCCGCTTTGAAAATGGAGTAAAATTAGCACAAGCTACGAGTGTTAAAGCTCGTCCATCACATACTATTTGTATGTCCGTGCGATCCGCGTAATCTCCGCACGGCGTTCCCTGTATACTGGGTCTTTGAACCCAGGATGATCAGCGTCAAGCTCCTGTTTGCGAGGTATTCGATCAGCAGATGTGCTTCAGTGTGGGGAAGACCCACAGTGGCCACGCTCGCACCTGTCCGTAGGACATGACCTTCTCGGCGAAAGTGTCCATGTCGGATTTCTTCCGTGGGAACCATGGAGTCTTCTGCAGTGTGACTATTACGCGAAGGGTCAGTTTGACCGTCTCGCATCACCTGCAGCCTTCCGGACGCCCACCTCGATCAGTGTCACCGCTGCTCACGACACGCAGCTCCTTCACGACTTTCTGCAGCTGTGTCGATACCCTCTCGATTTGCGCCTCCTCTCCCGCGTTGAAGTCAACGAAGATCTCGTAAAAGTCGCGAGTTTGGCTGGGTCGCGATTCGATGCGCGACAACGATACGTTGAGTTTGCTAAGCTGCCGAAGAACCTCTTCCAGTGCCCCTGCCCGGTCTTCGATTTTGAAGCTGGGGAACGTGAATAGGTACGTTCAGCGCCTGCCAAGCAAGGACTGCTGCAAAAACCGACGCTTACCTCAGTGTAACGCGGAGCATTGGGTTCCCAGTTTCCACAGGTGCCGCTGCGGTTGCCGTTGCTTGGTTTCCATGGAAGCGCAAGCCAATAGGCCTTGCGCTTGCGGGAAAAGCACACAATGCTGTTGGGTAGCTGCCAAAGCGAAAGGAAGCAGTCCACGGACTCGCTGCTCTGCAAGTTGAGAGTGTGCGGGTCTGCTGGCGGAGTTGGGACACGGCACGACGGAGGGATCGGCCGGCGAGACAGGCTGCAGCGTGGGACATGACGGCTACTACGATGGCGCAAGACAGAGACCTTTGCAGAAGGACTAGCTTGCAGGATGGAGCTGGGAATGGAAATGCGATATGGGGGGGGGGGGGGGGGGGGGGGGGGGGATGTTTTCGCAGTCGGGAGGGTTTTCATCGAACGGATGGATCGATCGGTCAATAATACAGTACTATATTTGTTAAGCGCGCCTAATGTGAAAGGGCCTCCCAAAACTCAAAACGTTTAAGAATGGGATTCAAATAGTCCCAAGCAGCCGGCCAAATCAACTGACCGGCGTCCGCCTACCCCACACCCGCCGCATGACCGTGACGGTGATTTTTGAACGCATCCGTGGCCGTCAGGACTCTCCGATTCAGCCAATCACGACGTGTTGCGGATGACCAGGGCTTCTCGTACGCGCAGCCGGTAAGCGTTCCTTCCGTTTCCTTTTTTTTTCTCTCAGGAACCAGGACCCAACGGACGGATTTCAACCCGTTCATAGGCATAGCATTTTTCACGAACATCGCAAATCGAAAATTTAGCCATACTGTTCATGTGTTTACGGACACATTCTTCCAAAAATGATGCTCTGCTTCTTGACATGGGACCCTCCTCACATGAGCTTCGTCTTCATAATCTCCCACATGATCCGCCGTCTAAAGTAAGGCATGCTAGTCCCGTCAAAATCAAAGTGTTGCTCGCGCGCAGTGTATTCCATGAACAGGCAGGTGAACACCCCGCAGTCGTTGCCGTTCAGTTGCGCTGGGCAGTCCTGCGGAAAGAGGGTACAGTTAGATCCTCTATCTTGTGCATCAGCCACCAATATGACATCCTACCCTTGGCGCATAGTCTGTCCACGCTGAAAAGTCGAACTTCTGCTTCTTCTTGTCCATCGATTCTTGCTCAAGGTACGACCGCATAATCTGGAGGTCACGTTCGTTTAGCAAACCCACGCTGCTTCAAAACCCGTCGCAAACTGAGACACCCACCCTTAGAACGTTCGCAGCCGACCCATGCAATGAGTCATAGTACTCGACTCGCTTCTCCTTGAAGTTCAGTACGGAGCATGTCCAATGATTGCCCAAGTGAACGGGTACAATCACGTAGTCCAATGCAAAGATGTCAATCTAAAAGAGGGAGGAGTCAGAAGTCGACGGTAAGCCGGTGCGCAGTGTCCATTCCTTTGACATTCATGAAAACCCACTTTCTTTGTCCATTTGCGAACCAAGTTATAGTTCTTGGACATGTTCGCATAGAAAAACGTGTTGAAGCAATGGATCTTGGGATATATGTTATTGATATCTTCTTGAGCACGATGCATAATCAGCTGCCCATAAATATTGATGATCTAGGGGGGCCAAAATGTCAGCAGATGCAGTGTTTCCAACGCCTTTCCGCAGGCACGATAGCATACTTCATCATTCAGCCAATTGCCGTCCATGAGAGTACGCAAATCGCGGGTGGATATCTTGATCTTGAAGGCGTCTGCCACAACTGCTCTTGGATCACTTTCTAGGGCATCGTCGATTTCGTCTTCTTGCTCTTCCGTGAGAGCTGGGTATTCCTCCTCCTGAGCAAAGCAACGACCGTTAGTAGAGGCAAACGGTTGTGGCACAGCTTGATGTTACTCACGGTTTCACCCTTGGAGATCTCCAACCGCAGGCTTTTCAACTGTGGATTACGAGAGAATATGTTAGAGCGCTAGAGCGAACATGGTTTGCCCTCTAGCCCCGCGAGTCCATACCTGCTCCTCCACCTTCTTTTGCTTTGCGAGGAGTTCATCGTATAATGGCGTTGAAACTTTTGCGGGCAGCGGTTGCCTAGGTGCATGCTTGCAGTTTAGCACATTGTTGCGAGAAAGAACGCATCGTCAAGGGTGACATGGGCACTCACGTCTTCCTGTACACGTCAATCTTGGGCTTCAAGAACTTGTATTCCTGAATCCTAGCCTGAATGTGTTCCAGGCTGACCGGATCAGGTCGTAATATCCCTGGGCGCTGATTGTTCGTGCGTCGACTCCTACAACTTGCCTTAGTAAAGGGAGACCTCATGGAATTATAGTCAGGCTTCGCTTACCGTAACGACCCAGCGATGCTTTGCCGTAGGCTGAAATCCCCAGCACGTCCAGGATGTCGAACTTTGAACACAAGTCAGCTCCGGCAGCATGTAAACCCTACTCCGCCGCATTCCGGCATACCTTTCAGCGCGGCACCCCACCGATCCGGCATGAAATGCCGTAACAGTTTCAGCCTGTTCATCTCCCTTTCTTTCTTGGACTAGAAGGCAAATTGAAGTGAGGACAGGCTGCACACTGCGGATATCCCGGTCGCATTACCTTTGGTTTTAATATCGACCGTGATAAGGAACTCCGTCCAAAGGAGGACGCCGTTGATCCGGCTAATGAGGAATCCTGAGATCTCACGGTGAAAACTGATTGACGCCCCATAAAGTTCTCCTTTTCCTCGTTTCTCCTTAGTGTTCGGATGCCAGCATTGGGAGTCGCGGCGTTTGAAAAGGATTTCGCACCCTTCTCTGGTGAATCTTCTGGACTCGGGTATTCAACGTGCGAATCTCCATTCAGTCGTTGTAAACTGTCCGGTTGTGAATTGTCGTCTCTTTTCGCAGGCCGGCCTGTCCGTTGCGGCTCGAAGAAGGGGTGATAGCCGTCGTCGCGGCTCGGTATGTCAGACGGCAACCTCTTCGCCTCATCTGCTTCCGTTGAGTGTGGTGACGTTGGTGGCTCGATGTCCACCGAGGGGACGCAATCGCTATCATCGTCGATAACGATCACTTCTGGTTCCTTATGAATCACTCGATCACCACCGACTGTATCCCTCTCAACCCGCGTAGACGGCTCCTCCTCTATCAGGTCGTCCAATGTGATGGGCTCGTCAGCAGCCGCCTTCTCCTCCTCGCCAAGCACAGTTTCCGTCCGCGTTTCCTGAATCTCTTCCTCCACTACCTCCTCGAAACATTCCGAAATTGGAACAGTAGCTACCGTCTCCTCATCACTGTCGAGATCGACGACCGACGCCGTATCGCTTGGTGGGGTGATAATAATGCGCGTACCGCAGCGACTCACTATAGAAGCCGACGTAACGTCCTCCTCGACGTCCGAACAAGTCCCCGTAACCACCCCTGCGTCGGGTCCTCTTTCAGTGCGCTCCACAGTGACTGAAGAGAGCGTGTACACTCTTACGCCCTCCGTACCGCTTTCACTGGCGCCGTTTGGGGCCACCGCGTCCGGCGTCCACAGCAAATTGGAAAGCGCGGACACAACGCTGGAGAACGGACGACCCCACCATGCGGATGTCGTTTGGCGGCGCTTAGGCGGCCTAGCCAGGCTTGTTTCTGGCTCTGACTCGTCTGCGCCGCTGTCGTCCCCTTCCCAGTTGGGGCGCCCTCGCTTCTTTGCCATCGTGCTGTGTGGTTGACGGTCCAGCGCCACCTGAAATGGCAGTGCGCTCTTTTCCCACGATTGCAATAGAGATAGTGGGCCTCCCTGACTTCTTGTTCCTCCACCGTCTGTGCTTGGGAGGGTTGGAGTTCTGTGGTGCTGTGCTGTCTGCCCGTGGGTTATGTGTTATACCAGCGATTTGACTGCAATGCGAGTGCGGGAGTTCGAAGAAGGGAATGTCCAACTTGCGCCGGTTCAAAGTTGACCAAACGCAACCTCGCCGCGCGCGTCAATCGTCGGACATTGCCGACTCCGGGTTCAAATTCCTCGTAGAGGTAGCCGCATAGAAAAAGGGCAGGACCACACCTTTGTAACCCGCAAGAACCTGGGAACAATGAACCGAACTCGACCAAAGCCAGGATCGTTTGTCGCGTGACCTCTCTGTCCTGACGCGGGAACGGGCGACTTGCAGCCTTGCCGAAAACCGACATCCGAGACTGCAACTGCAACTTGGACATCAGGAATGCACACAGTGACTCTTCACATCAACGGGGAACGAGAACTTCAAGACTTTGGTGATTTTTTCGGCCTGGCTCCGAGGACACCCCGCCCGATATACCTTGTCATCCTGGGTGAGAAAGGCCAACCTAGGTATGTACAATTATTGTACAAGGGAGACCGGAAGGCGCTATTGCCCATCTAGAAGTATACGCCGTTGGCAACGATACGCCAAAGTTGTCCGACAATGACACCGATGCCCGCGCTAGCCCCATCATCGCTCTCATCAAGGTGTCGGCAAATATCAGGTGCTTGACGAAAACATCCCCGATGCAGTACGGTCAATGTGCTGCGGTATGCGGCGAAAGCGGCTGTTCTTCCAGATCCGACTTCATCATAAACGAACGTCGAGGTGGTGGAGAGCATGGGACACCAGATGTTTGAGGCGGGGACGTGGGAGATGACGGGAATGGCTCTTGCTGTCCCTTGGCATACGCGAATTCTTTTCGATGTTTCCATGAAAGGATTGTTCTGGCACTAGCAGTAGCAACAGCAATCTACCACCATTGCTGAATCAGCCAGCGTCTCGCGACGGAACATGATAAAACCGTCAACGTATACGTACGAGAGTACGACAGTCCGGATACCACTCCTGATGATGGATGTCGGACGAACAGCCTGCCTTGGTGGTCAAACCCATCGTTGTAGCACGTTACCATGACAGCGATACTTCAGCTTTTCCACCCGAAAAGTTGAGTAAGACTTCTTAGGAGAGTTCGGGACTTCGGACTTAGCGAGCGAGCAAACGAACCTGGAATGCTGAGGAGGACTGAGGGACGCATCGCTCGCTACTGCTGAACCCGGCGGAACGAGCGCAGAGGAGTGAATCATGCCTAAAAAGACCGCTGAAGAAGGCACACCTCCGTAAGACATCCATAGCGAAAGCTGGTAAACAATTCGCTGTGGAATGCTTCCGTCCACTGGCCGCCGGGGCGCTCATTTGAATCCTTTTGGTACATATATATGTATGTACGTACAGTATATATGTTGCTTCTCAGAGCAGAACGCGTGGAGGACGCGTTGAAATGAAAACCATAGTTTTACACAGTAATCACGTGCGTCGGGGTTGGATTGTCCGGTAATTAAAACGGTGTCCGGATTCCACTTCCCCAATTCGCCTCTCCAGGGTTCCCCACCTTGAACGGCCAAATCCCCTCACCCTTGTGCAGTCCATACCAGGAGCTCAGTCACTCACACATATAACCGACTAGGAGGAATACTCTCTACGGAACTGATAAAGTCTGTAAGAATGATGGGAGGAGGAAGTAAGTACTCATCTCTCGCAGACGATGACTTACGGAGGTCACGAAGCACTAAACGTCGTTGGCATCGCATTGTGTAGACTACGGAGGTTACGGCGGTTATGGCGGGTACGGCGGAGCGCAAGGTGGCAACCAAGGTGGAGGTGGTGGGGGCGGTGGTGCGACGGGGGGATATGGAGGCTACGGCGGCGCCGGCGGGGGCGGTGGGGGTGGGGGAGGATACCAGGATTACTCCGGGGGAGGCAACAACATGGGAGGGGGTGGCGGCGGCGGCGGAGGTTTCTTCTCGCCTGGCGGTGGTGGTATGTCGGCGTCACAGGATAGTCCCAGTGGGCGAAAGGTAAAAATATCTGGGCTCGTTTTTGCAGTCTGGGCACTCATCGAAAGCTAAGCCTGATTACATTACGTTTGCAGCGCACCGGTGGTGGCAACCAGTCTCTTCGACCTGTCACGATCAAACAGCTTTTGGATGCCAAGCAGACTGTTCCTGACGGTCCTCATGCTATTGATGGCCAAGAGTTGTCGCAGGTATTCATCCGTTCGAAGTCAGGTATGAGAGGAGTAGGCGGCTCATTTTTTGCATGCACAGTGCGCAATCGTGGGAGTCATCAGTGATATGCACCAGCAGTCTACACACATCAGCTACATCATCGATGACGGGACCGGGACTATCGAGGTGAAGAAGTTCTGGGATAAGGACGAATCTGACCTGGATGCGGAGAGACGAGACGTTTTCCAGTAGGTGTCACCTTGCGGCATTATTCTTCGGCATGTTCTGATTGACCTCCATTTGTTCTCAGGAAATCATCATACGTACGCGCCACGGGGCACCTTCGGGTGTTCAACCAGAAGAAGTCTCTGATCGGATTCAACCTCCGACCCGTCGATACACCGGACGAAATCGCTTTCCACATGTTGGACACCACCTTTGTTCACCTTTACCTCACGAAAGGGCCTTTGAACGGTGGACAACAGCAGCAAAATATCGGCGGTGCGGGGTACATGGACGGCCAGAATGCGACAGCGTACGGCCAATCTGCGTATGCACCCAACAATGGGGGTGCGGCGGGCATCTACGGCAACAACAATAACAACAACTTTGGTGGTGGCAATGAGATGGGCGGTGGCGGAAACGATATGTATACCCCGTTGCAGAACCAGATCATTCAATTCGTGAGGCAATATTCCAATACGCAGGATGGGGCACCCATCATGGACATTGTGCAGAGGATGAGAGGGAAAGCAGCGGAGCCGGAGATCAGGTGAGTTACGTGATGACAAGTAAGGAGGGCAGAGTCATCGTAACATTGTTTCTAACACGAAAACTGGCACGTAGGAATGCGGTCAACTGGCTGTGCAGCGAAGGGATGTTCTATAGCACGACCGACGAGGATCATGTGAAGACCACTAGCGATTATTGAAACGTTCTTGAGCGTACGATAACATGGTCCCATAGACCTGTATAGCTCGGTAGTAGCATTGGAGATGACCGTTTGGCGTAGAGACCGAGAAGGCCTCTCTTCATCCCTTTTGCATCACACTTGTATAGCTGGGCATGTTTAGGGTTTGTATAACTAGTCTGCAGCCTTGTATTGGCCCGCGAGTAGGCCTACGTATATTTCCTTCTTAGAAATGTGTGGAAGTGAGCACACATATGACTCGGCGCCAGGAAGGCAATACCCGCCCCGTTTTGCATTGCAGTGCACATTCTGAGGATGTACTGAGGTGTACTGCAGGTGTATGAGTAAGCCCAGCAATAAAAAAACAATTCGGCCTCTGCTTTTACACCGCTCGTGGATACGCTGGATGTGTTGCTGTCGGGGCCTTCCATTTGCCGAAGACGGTGATAGATGCTCAATTTCAAGGCGTCATCCCAACGTGATGCTCGCCGAAAATCATCCACCTACCCTATGGGGATTTGGGTGCACCTGTTGTAGACCCGCGACGAGTGCAACAGCGCAGAACAAGTCCTCGCTCAACATCCACGCAGAACGGGATGAGGATCACTGCCACCTCGCTGACTTGACCACAACGGCACGTACGGCAACAATAACAGAGAGCATCTGGAGACCGAGCAACAGCCATATTTCACAACCGGCACCTCGCTAGATCTCCACTATTATCTGGGGTTGTCAGTATGATAGCTTCCTGACGATGGGCTGCCCGTAGATGCTTTGGAGTCTTGAAGGTGAACTCCGATGCTTATGTAATCCAGAAACGCGACGGTTTTTGGGCATCGACAGTATTCACTGTCCAATTGACCACCTGCCGTTAGTACCTTCCTTTCTCTATACTTCTCACCTTCAACGCACACTCCCCAGGTCTTACTCTCGCTCTGACAACAAGAGTTACTCCGCACACAACTGCTGCCCTTGTTCTCAGCACTCAGCAAAGCGCTATATTCATACAGCCTGTATCGCTGCAGCGCTGGCCTCACACGGCATACAGGATGTTACGCACAGTCATGCCAGGCGGCGCCGACCACTCCGAGCACTTTGACAGCGACGACGCCTGCGACTCCAGTTCACACGGGCCTAGGCTGGAAATTTGGCATCGGAGTCGGTATTTTCGTATTTGTTTTACCCGAACATGTCCATGGCCGTCTTGACTCCCTACCTTGTACTTTGACTAGTTCTCTCGCTCTTAGGTATTATATACTCGTGCTCGTGTGTTTATTTGCCGTTGCCAACTCTATCGTAAACGAGACGGCGTAACATGTTTTGATTCGTACATGTAGCAAAACCCTTTGTACATGTAGCATTATCCTTCGTAGTATTTTCATTCTCCCTCGAGAACTGGACACATCTGTAGGTGCATACTTTCCGGTTCCGTCCAAGATTGGAGACCATTTCACTGACCATAGAGCAGCCCAAGATCCGGCAAGGTGCTTGTTGAATAGGGGATGTGATAGTGTCTACTGTCGCAAACCACAGATTGCGTCCAGACAAACCACAAGCCCGTTCGCGTCCCCCTGGACTTCCTCCATCGCCTTCGGAACAGTATGTAAGGTGAAATTATTCATATCCAACCCAGGAACGAAGGAAAATTCGAGCAACAAACGCCAGACCCCAGTCATCGTCTTGAGCGGACTCACAAGGACCTCGACTCCCAAAAAACGCCAGTGATTGATCTACCGTCGCGACAATACACGGCACGGTATGCCTGGTACCGGATGCACCGTTGCACCAACCCAGATTCTCTCAGTTCGTGCAGGAATCTAACTCCTCCATGAGCATGCAACGGGGTTGGATGGTCCCGCTTCGTCGTCGATGGTAGCTATGAGGAGAGAAATTGGGAAGCCCAGAAAGAAAATTTGCGATTATCAGCAGCGAACAAAGCTGGGTGCTACACGAAAACAGTTCGATAACATCAAATCATCAATCCAAGCGCCCGTGATGGGTTGATGGTGCCGCTGGGGGTCTGCAGATGCAGGTCTTGTTCTGCAGTCCGCTGATGAGGCAACAGCGTCGCGGCAAATCAGCCTGAAGAGTTGGCTCCCCCACAAGGCGTTTGAAGCGCTCGGTGGCCTGACCCACAGAATCAAGCTCCTTATTATTTTCGGACCAACCCGCTGCAGAAACAGGCATGCTTCGGATTGCTGTTGTCGGTTGATCACTGAAATGCACAGTAAAAGGCTATAAGCCTTGACAGCAAGTTGAGTCCTGACAGCAGTCGACACGCTCGGTAACGTGCAGATGCCATACCGAGATCCCGGACTGCGGACGCCGAGAACGGACCTGGACAGTTCTTTGGAGGGCCTCGCACTTTCTTGTCTTCTCCGTCGTTCCAAACTGTCTGCTCGGCAGGCACACTGCTGCCGGAGAGGAACCCATAGGACGATGTTTCGTAGCCAGCAACCAGGGCTCCCCACCGCAGGTGAGACGAAGCTGAGTGCGTCCCACGATGCCGCCATGGCGACAGTGCTCGAGAGCTTGAGGGCGTTGGAGACGGAGATGAAAGTGAAGTTTGGTATGTCCAATCGGTGGCAAAGCGAGAGCAGAGCTGAAGTTTTCACGGGCTAACACTCACTCCATTTTGTTCGTTCTTTGCACGTTTGTAGTGACCCGGAGCCACGAGGTATTACTTCAGGACGCCATAACGCATAGTCCAGAAACTGCAAAACAGCGCGTCCGCGTCTTGGTTAAGGATTTTCGGGAAGAATTGAGAAGGCTACGTAACAAAAACCAAGGTAGTGGACGGGGGCCTGCAGGGGGCCAGTTCACGGTCAGAGATTTGTCAGGAAAGTTCAGCAACGATCTAAAGGACCGTCTGAAAGGATGTTTACCGGTGAATATGATGACGCAAAGGATGGAGACTGACAACGGGAGAAGGGTGTGGGATCAAGAATACCGCGCAATGTCAAACCAGAGCAGCAGGATCCACCATTCCCCACCGATGCGAAGTCATTCGTCGCTGTCGACATTTTCGGAGTTGTCCGCCTCCTCATCTCGAGCGACTTCCACTAGTGATAACCCTTCAGACGTTGCATCCGTAATTCCGCATGACCTTGGTCCGTCGCCCTCCTCTCCGTCGTTTTCGAACTCGGTTTCATGCTTGAAATCCCCGAAACGCGTAGCATCTGACCTCGGTGAAGGCACGGAGTTGGGCACGACCACATTCTCGAGGACCGGTAGATCACCAAGTATGGTACCATCACCGTCTCGGCATTCAGGTGTTAGATCACACAAGCGCCGCGCAGGTGCTGCTTCCCGGAGTTTCACGTCGCCACAGCACGACAGAGCAAGCTGCATTCTTGATTCCCCAACGCATCCACGAAGGCAACACAGCATGCCCGATCATCCGTTACAAAATCAACATGAGATCGCTCATTGCCAATACGATTTAACTAGCTGTGTACCCAATGCACAAACTCACCGACACAGGCAGTACAGTATGCCTGAGCAGGCATTACATACTCGAGAAGATATTGCTATCGAATATCAGCATAGTTTTGGCGGTACGCAGCACCGCGACCAGGAGACTCAGCATCAACATATCAACGAAGCTAACAGTTACAGTGCGCGTGTGATGGATCACGGCCGTCCTCCCTGTCCTCATCAGCCCGCTGTGCAGCGCGCCATTCACAAAATGACCGCGCCTCTTTCGGTAATGGAAGACCTGGCTCCATTCCACGGCGATCCGTGGATCACTTGTCCGCCTACCACACGCGATGCCCTTCAGGACATGCCATTCGTTCGACAGTGGGAAATCATTCGTTTCGTCAGTCCGTACGGGCCGCTTGAGTGGCGCGACATCGAACCTGCGCTTCCAGAATGCCAATCCTTGTCTAATGCGGATGACCTTTTTCTGATTTTGGAACGACTTGCGAAACGACTCGCTTTGCAGAAAGGTGCTAATGGCACTAACAAAAGAAGCAAAGTGAAAAAGGTGCCCAATAGGGGTTCAAATACAAACGTCGCAGCCAGGTGAGATTGTGGTTTACGCCGTTGTTGTTGAGCTGGATTCGGAAGCGATGAGCGCGCTGGAAAGGTACGCCCTCAAAGGAGTCTGTGACAAAACGCAGCGCTAGCGCTTACTTAGGTTGCCTCCATCCTTCACTTCCAGTGCGGGCGTGAAGAATCCACCCGCCTGCACACGGATTCGCCTGATGCCACCCGCCACTATGCTCGGCCATCGTGCCGCACGAAAGTTCGGCGCCGACCGCTTCCTGACCGTCAAATTCGCCGACCTCTCGCAAGTGCATCTGGTACGCGGTATGCGTTATGACCAGAGACGCTTGCATGTCCTAGGAAGGGTTTGGGAGCTTGTGCAGGAAAAGGACGAGCTTACTGCGCGGTTCTTCGCCACGGGGTCCTATGCGGACGAGAATGAGATGGGGACTCCAGCTCCGATGATTGAGCCGGTATCGGTGGATGACTTTGTGAGATGGCACATTCCCATGATTCCTGAGAACATGGATATTAAGTGGGCCAAGATCGCCGCTCGTCTGGATCTGGCGTTTTCGGGAACCATGTCTGGTATTTACATCGAGGATCATCACGTCATTCCGGACATTCGATCGTCGGATGGGCCCGGGGATGATGTCTCGCATGTAATGACGGACGGCTGCGGTCTGATATCTTATGCGGCCATGTGCAGGTTGCGCGCCCATATGGGCTGGAGTGAGCTCCCATGTGCGATCCAAGGCCGTTTCGGCTCCTGCAAGGGCGTCTGGGTCATCGACCCAAAGTCTTTCGGATCCACCGACCTGTACCTCAGAAGCCGCGAGAGTATGCGTAAGTTCCATCTCCCCACCCCCACCCCGGAATCAGAGATCCCCTTCCACTCCACGCTGGAAATCATCCGACCATCCCGGCCGATGCCCGGTCTCCTCAACAAGCAGATCATACCCATCCTCCATTGCGGCCGTGTGCCCGTACAGACGTTTATCCATTTGCTTGATGAGATGCTGGTTCGTGTGAAAGATCGGTTAGATCATCCAGATCCGATCATGGTGCGAAAGGAGTTGGAGGGCAGTGGGAGTGTATTCATGACCAGGTTTGGCTTGGAGAAGCGGAGGGATAGCAAGGAACGGGAGGCTGGAGAGGAGGAGAGAAGGACAAGGAATGAAGAGGATCGGAACTTTTTCGAAAGGTGCATCAAGGTACGTTATCAGGCGCTGATAAGCGCATTGCCACACGTTTGCATTCCGCAACCACCAGCCGTGTCCGAATCATATCGACGTCTTTCTACCAGATGATCGCAGCTGGCTTTCTGCCCAAGGAAAACGCCTACTTATGCCATAGCATCAACGGCGTGTTCAACATGCTATGCAAACAACTGCTTAGCAAATTCAACATCGCCGTCCCGAAATCCCGCCGCATCCTCATGGTCCCAGATCCCACCGAAACCCTCCATCCCGGCCAAATTTTCCTGCACCTCCCAGATGAGCGCGACGAGGAGACCGGCGCCCGACTCGGCGTCCTCGCCGGCCCGGTGCTCGTCACGCGAAACCCGGCCTATTTGCCAACCGATGTTCAGAAGGTTACCATGGTAGACGCCCCGATGCTGCACCGATATGAGAATGTCGTGGTTTTTCCCGTGACTGGTGACGGACGCTCGTTAGCGAGTTTCCTGGGAGGGGGCGACTACGATGGCGACGACTGCATGGTTATCTGGGACACGAACCTTGTGGAGCCTTTTATCAATTCGTTGGAAGAGGAGCCGGAAGGGGAAAGTGTTAGTGCCGTTTTCAAGCAAGATACGAGGACTGTTGGGGATGTTCTTTGCTCAGAGCCAGCAAGGCTTCTTGGAAGTCCTTGTCGGAACACTGCGTATCCATCCCGCTCGCCACATATCGCAGCGGGAGCCATAGCAGATGAATTGTTTGAGCGCTTCTGCAAGTCCTCCACTGGCGATCTCGTGGGTGTCTATAGTAACCGCCACGCCTACACGGCTGATGGAAAAGGCGTCGATCACCCAGATTCCATATGGCTTGCTAAAATCTGCGCCGAATTGCTGGATGCGAGGAAGGCTGGAAAAGCTGGTAAGCGAAAAACAGCATCCATTACTTCGTAGCAGGCCGCCCAAGCCAGAGTGGGCACGCGCTGAGGAGGAGGACGCCGATGAGGGATCAGCCGAGTGGAAAGCCGCATCCTCGCGCTCGGCTTTGACCATGATCTACAACCACATGTCGAAGCAGAAGGATAAGTGGAAAACGCTGGGAAATTCCGAAGTTGAGCATGTTCGCAGGGAGCATCCGGAAGATGCAGACTTGCGAGCGCCGTGGAGCCGTGAAGACAGCCGGCAAGGACTTACCAAGTCCACTGAGGACGTCACGCTGAGAATCCACAAGGCGAAAGCGGCCATGCAAGAGATATTGTCTGACTACGAATCGGAATGTTGCCTAATCACACAGTCAGCGGGAAAGCATAAAACCGCATATGGCACGAAGCCTTCAGCTATAAGGAAGACAGCACTGAAGGCTGAACTGTACGAGAACATTGCGGACCGCGTTTTCGGGAATCTGGATTATTCAAATTCAGACAGCCATTCGCGGTGGTCAGCCACTCGAAGCTTTGCGGACGAGGATAGTGGAGCTGGCAGTAGCGAGACCATTTTCAACGAAATTCGGCCCATGAAGGGGATTAGTCCAGAACCAGAAATCACGCGGGTGATGGCACAGGCTAGCCTGGCCTACACCATCGGCAACACCGACCTGATATGGTGGTTCCCCTGGGACATACCCGATGTTCTCCATCTGCTGTGCATCATCAAAGGCTTTGAGTTGGCCAGAAAGGGAGAGGGACCGTGGTGGAGAAATATTAGCATCGCAACCTGGGAAATGGCGCGTGCTACTGCTGTGCATAAGAAGTATGGACAGACGAGGAGATGTACCGATGCAGCTATGTGAGAGCAAGTGTTGGCAGATTCTCAGAATCCCAATCGGAACAGCAATTCCATCGAACACGGCGCTCAAGAATATGGATGGACGATCAAGCAAGATCAGTGGCGTAGTTTACAATGTCAAAGTCTCGATTGGTTCCGGTACCTGTCCCGCTACCTGTTTCGTTAGTTCCGACATCATCATCATCCACACTCGGCCTACGACGAATTCCACTTATCCACTCTCACCACCGCCTACGAGCGGATTTACTCCTAGAGCAATCCTCATCATCCTTCATCGTTTTCAACCCCTTCGAGACTTTCTGCCGCTCACTCACCGCCACCGCCGCTCACCAGCGCATTCGGTTCTGACCCCTGCCGCAAATACCCTTCACTCCTTATTCAATCGTCTGGATCGCGCCTTCATAGAATACACCTCCCAATCTGAGCCGCGTCATCGCGGCAATCTGCTACCGTCACTGCGACATATTTCGTTGCCGAATTGACACCACTCACTGATACCGCTCAATTGATACCATTCACTGATACCAATCATTGATACCTGATAGTACTCGCGAATAATAATTCCTGACGTTACAACCCTATTGAGCGGTGCTTATGGACTTCGTGGACCCGGCTTGGAGGAAGTAGCCTGACTACACTCTTTCATTACAAGGACAACAATATGAAGCCCTTTGACATCAGCGTGAGTTGTAGAGATTTCTTCCTCTCGTCATTGGGTATCTCTTTTGAAACAGGTATATACATATGTGCGCGTTCACCGCTCTAACCCCATCAAGTAGTCTCTCCCATAGTTCACAAAGGTGACGATCACCATGTTGCCGACATGCTTTTCGCCCTATTCAAGAAAGCATATCGTTGTTCCTTCGCCGCTTTCGCTTCCTTTGCCTCTCTCGCAGCTTTGGCATTACGAGGCGTAGTGGCCTTAGCGGGTGGTCTCCCACCTGGAGGATGCGGCCGTACATCCTCGGAACTCCTGCCGACGATATGCATCGAATGCGAGGACCCAATGGACCCATCACTGACATCCGAAACGATGGACGTGGATCTACCCCGCAAGTCGGTCGCTCCAGCTGCGGTCGCTGCCGCATCGGGAACGGGTTCCTCGCCGGCTGCCTTGGGAACGGAGATGTTCATGTCTTCTGGTCTGCGCACTCTGTTCACCGCTCCAGCCGATAATGTCCGCGCGTGCCCTCCTAAATGGTTGAAATCAATGGCGTATTCCACTTTGGGTAGACTTGCGTGCCCGCCAGCCTTATCCGCTCCTGCCGCTCCGCCTGTCGTGCCGTCAGCACCTTGCAATGCATGGCCTCCGCCGCCCATTCCTGTGGCCCCGCCTCTTTGCGCATTTGCATCCCGGTCGCTTCCCTTTTGGGCAAACAGCTCGATCCAGACTTGGTTGACTTTGTCGTATACTCGTGCCAATGTCCCTACTCCTGCCAGTTTTAGTCGATCTTTGCCCCACTCGATCTCCTCCTTGAATTCGTACCGGAGCTGATTGATGGCTGCATCGAGGTTCGGCACCTCGAACCCAAAGCCAAGGAGTTTGGACCCACTTCGTGCTGCAAAGATTGACACAGCTGCATTCCGACTCGCATCTGCCATGGCATCTGAGCGCGCAGTCATAGGTAAACTCCCCATTCCGCTCGAGCTTAGCATCCCACTGCTTCCAAAACCGGTGGAAGCAGGTGCGGGAGCGGCGCCGCCGAAATCCGCATGTTCTGTGAAGCATATCGAACAACTCGCTGACCGGAGATCATTTCCGAGCCAGTAGTACACTGACCGGGAAAGCCCCACGACGAACTCTTCCGTATCAACCAGCCGAAAGCCTTGCCCTTGCGTGATGGCTTGCCGCACAGTGGCCGCTGCGCCAGCCTTTTTCCGTGCGCCAGCGGCAGGCGTACTCAGAGGCGAACCGCCACTCCCTGAATCCCCACCGGATCCACCGAATCCGCCAAATCCCAACCCTGCAGGCGTGGCTGGCACTGACGTCCCATCTGTACCCCTCGACCGCGTCCCCGGGCCCCTCTGAGTGGCCAGATCTAACGTCGTAATCCGCTGTCCATGGGCGGTCCTGGTCCGCTGCGTCGCTAACAGCATCTCGTACCATCTCACAGCGAAGTCCGCCTGCGGTGTCGGCAATGTGTAGTACGCCAGCCTAGCAAACCACTGTTTCCTGGTGGTAGGTACGTTGAGCTGAGAATCTGACAACTCCATTAAGCGAACCTCCATCCCGTTTGGGTCGAGGGCAATGCACATCTTCACTTCGCTGATGGCCATGGGTTCCACCACAATTTTGAAACCTTTGGATTTGAGGCGCTTGGCAAGGCGATGCAGGAAGTGGACGTAGATGACTAGATATTCGTAGTTGTGCGATTTCAGACCGGTTCGGAGTTGTCCTGGTTCTCGCGTTGCAGGACTTGAACCTGGGGTCGTGACTGCCGGTGCAGGTGCAGCGGCTTTCCTATCTCGTGTTCCGAATCCTACGGTCTTCTTGACGGCTGAAGGTGCGGCTTGTGCCGCTGGTTCTGCTCCACCTTTTCCTGTCCCAGCTCCGGGCCCCGATACTCCAGTTACTTCGTTCGCCTTTGCATTTCCCGCTTCTCCGGGCGGTCTGCGATCGTATGGGTCTGATGCTGCCCCAGCACCATTCGAGTCCAACGCTCCAATACCAGAGATCTCGCCGGTTTCTGGCAGGGGCCCATCATCTTCATCGTTCTCAAACAGCAGTTGAACATTATGTGCCGCCGGCTCTTTCCCGACTGGTTTGTAAGACATTGCTACGACCATTGCTTTGTCACTCCGTAAGATACCCGCAGCAGTGATGGATCGCGAGGCCTGCTCATTATTGCGTTGATCTGTCGGCGCGGCAGGATTCGCCGCCCCTGCGCCGGCTGCAGCTCCTGTGGCGGCAACAGGTGCTGCTGGTGGGGCACCTGGCGCAGCTGCTTTGTCTCCAGCAGCCGCGGGAGCGCCCGGTACAAACGGGGTTTGCTCTACTTCCCAATCCACTGACATTCCAAGATTTTGATAAAATTCGACTGTACTTGGCAGGTCTGAGCAGCGTATCCGAATATACTTGAAGATGTACCTCTCTTGGGGGCCGCCTCCATGGCCACGCTTCCGAAGCATCTCAGGCAGTTCTCTCCTTGAATATCAACGGATTCGTTTGGAATATGAAAGTTTGCGCTCTATTACCGCCGTGCTGTATAGTTATGGTCTTGCAGAGGTCTTCAAATTCACTTCGAAAAGGCAAAACGCCTAGGATTGACACCGCAGTCTCTGATATTCGACAGCGCGTGCTGGCCGACGCGTTCGCACTTGGAACAATATAAATAAGGCCCTTCACGTGACCGTGGAATAGAATGTCACTAGACGCGTCCTCATAACCCCTCTCGGACCATCCATGAGGACGGAAAGAAGGGTTGGACCTCCGAGATCGACAACCTTCGCACATCTTCCCAACCCCACTACCGCTTTTCCCACTACTGCATTGTTATTTGGCACCATGGCTCGCCGTTACGACTCCCGCACCACCATCTTCTCGCCGGAAGGTATTTGATGACCGTTGTGCTTGCCCGGCTTCACGTCATCCCGACCGCGACCTAATCTTGTTTCTTCGATATAGGTCGTCTGTACCAGGTCGAATATGCGATGGAAGCGATCTCCCTCGCTGGTACCGCCCTCGGAATATTGACGGCTGAAGGTGTCGTTCTGGCGGCGGAGAAGAAAGTTTCTAGCAAGTTGTTGGAACAACTTGCCAGCAGTGAGAAGGTTTACCAGCTGAGCGAGTAAGTCCGTCCCTTTTCACCAGACACAGTGAGCGAGTTCTCATGCTCGATTTTTTGCAGCCATGTGTGTTGTGCTGTCGCTGGAATCACGTCAGACGCAAATACGCTCGTAAACTACCTGCGGCTGGAAGTGCAAAAGTACCTATATACCTACAACGAAGCCATACCTGTTGAACAGTTAGTTCAAAAGCTTTGCGATCTGAAGCAGGGGTACACTCAGTATGGAGGTGGGTTACGGGAGGGATAATGGTTGATCCCAGGGGACCTACATATCTCTACCTGTGGGCTCACATCAGACGCGTAAATCTAGGTCTTCGCCCATATGGAGTATCTTTCCTCTACGGGGGTTACGACAACGATCATGGATTCCAACTTTACCACTCAGATCCCTCGGGCAACTACAGCGGATGGAAGGCGACTTGCATAGGCGCAAAGTCTACGAATGCCCAGAGTATCCTGAAGCAAGATTACAAGGAGGATATGACTTTGAAGGAAGCAAAGTGTCTGGCGATCAAGGTTCTAAACAAGACGATGGATACAACAAACATGGGCAGCGACAAACGTACGATTTGTAAACGCTTTGAATCTGTGCATCGCAAAAAACTAATCTCTCTTCGTTTCTCCAGTGGAATTCGCCACGCTACACTTAGGAACGGGTGGGAAGGTTATCTACAAGCTATACCAGCCCAAAGAGATAGAAGAGTTGTTGAAGGAGGAGGGCGTGCTGAATCAGGCATCAGAAGGTGGCTCTGCGATGGATATCTGATGACAAAGATGATTTGCAGTGTATCATCGAAGTCTTCCTGCCACACCCTTTGTGGATGTACAATAATGTATCATTGGCGTCTTTTTGAAATGACTGTGCATCGATGGAAATTGGGCGGTCCTTCGAGATAAAGGATGATGCCGGGGAGTGCACTAGAATGGGTAACAATTCGTTACTGGGTCGGAGTGGTAGCGCAAATGTCACCTACAGGCCTGCCTGATGCAGTTGTGATCGGACCGTGCTTGCGCCGAGCCGGTGAAGCCATAAAGTCAACACGGAGTACGCCTTCCCTGCACGACCCAGTCTCAATGGCGTCCATCGTAATATTTCGAATTTACATGAGGAGATCCTCCCCGCTAGAATCTATGATACAGTATCTACAGTACCCACATCTCCCATCTCCTCCGCATCACATCCGGAACATGCTACAATGCCGCCATTTCCGACGCCGGTCGCTAACGATCAACGTCAGTGCCGCCGAGAAAGGCTTGAAATCGTGTGAAGAGGGCCTAAAGCCAGCAAGTTCGTCTCCGAATGGTCTCGCCTACACATCTCCCGAGGTCGGAGCAAGTGATCCACATGGCGACGGATGCTGGCCACATCGTTTGGGCCGCTCGCGCGATCACAGCGAAGGACAATCGCTTGAACCAAGACGGGAGGTATCCGACCAGCCGCCGGGCATATGGCTTCACTCAGTGTGCTATCCTGGATGCACACCAAGCGGTCCGCAGTCGAAACGCCCCTCCACGGGTCCTTTCAAAAGTTTTGGTTGAGATATTTCTCAGCCTCCAGGACCAGAGCCGGATAATGCCTCGTAAAGATATCATGAATCTGTCCCACTTCTTCCCACATGAGTTCCTTCTTCAACGGCGTAATGATCGTCCTGTAGGTCTTGGGCGTCGGGTCAATCCCCTTCGCCAGCATGTCGTGGAAGACGTTTATTGCGCGGTCAAAGTATCGTAGCCGACACAGGGCCTCGATCCACGAATTGTACGCGTTCTCGTCAAACACAACGCCAAGGGTCTCGCACTCGGCGATGATGTCTTCTACATCGTCGATAGTCCCGTTATGGCCGGCGGAGTCCAGAGCGTTGTTGGCGACGGTGGCATTGATGGCGTTGGCTTGGCCGAGCTTGATCCATATCTCTTTGGCCTTGGCATGGTTCCCTGCGCGACCATACGCTAGCATCAAGAGTTTGAGGTAGATGGGGTCATCTCTACTGCTGTCCAGCTTGGAGAGGATTTCGAGAATGTCCATGCAAGAATTGAGGTCCCCACGTTTTGCAAAGCCGGCCATGAGGGCTCTGTAAACCTTGGGCACCGGCTGGAGTAAAGGCGGCGAACCTTGGAAATACTTCTGGAAATTCTCCATGGCGAGTTGCATATCCGGAAATAACTTTGAGCAGGCTTCGATAATCATGTACGCCCCGTCTAGCTCTGGTACATGTCCGTTCTGTTCCAGCTCCGACAGCAGCGTTTTCAAGGCTTCTACATCCTCTGCTCCAACGATGGCGCGAAGCGCAAGATCCAGGATAACTGGACCGAGAGGGTGCCCAGTCTCCAAATAAAACTTGTAGATGCGGAGGCCGTCGTGGTACCGTTTGGCCTCAACATAGGAGTGCATGAGTGTACTACAAGCATGCGGCGTCATACGCTTACCGGTGTATCCAGCTCGCTGCATCGCTTCAAAATGTGCTTCCGCAAGCTCGGGCTGACGATTCCGTGCCTTGATCAGAGCGAAATAGGTGCGGTCGTTCGGCTTGACGTTCTTGCTAATCATTTCTTGGAAAAGGACCTCGCAGGCCTCCGCAACGTTTTCCTCAGAAGAATCATTATACGCCGACATCATGACCGTATAATCAAATATATCTGGCCCGGTACCCGCTTCACGCAGCTTTTTGAATGTGGCGAGCGCTCGAGAGAGGTTCTTAGCTTTGTAGCAGCACAACAATAGTCTCGAAAGTGTGAGTCGATCCGCGGTCACGCCATTTTGTTCCATGTGCCGTTGAAGTGATTCGAAGCTCTCAAGATCTCCTTTCTGAGCATAAGCTGCAAAAACGCCCCCGAGCGACTTGTTGTCGGGCTTCAACTTATCCGTCGGGATTTTCTTCCAAGCTTCTAGTACTTCTTTCCCGGAATGACACTTGCTCAGGAAACGCAAAGCCCGGAAGAAGTTCGCATCATCCTTCGCCAAAAAGCTACTCTTGACCAGCCGCGTAATGAGCGCTTTCACGCTGTCCGATGGCGTTTCTTCTTTCTCCGCCGCTTCGAGTGCAACGCGCACAACCTCTGGGTTCGGACGCATGCTGTGCGATTCCAAGGAGGACCAATACTTCTGTGCGTTGTGGAAGTCTCTCATGCGACAGGAAATCTGCAATGCCATCTCGTACGCGAATCGCAGACCTTTCTTTCCCTTGAATTGTTCGACGGAGGCAACGTAAGGAGTCAATATGTGCCACGCTTCCTCATACTCATGATTGTTCATGAAGGTCGTGAATATCGAATGGAAAGATCCATACACCCGCTGGTCGTTGTGAATTTTGGCAATCTCGTACATCGCATTTATGCCTTCGGTTGTCCGCTTCGCACGTAAGTACACAACGACCATCAACTCGTAGGTTTTCGCCTGCACGTCGCCCAGGGCTTGAATACGCTTGAAGAGGTCCAGAGACCTTTCAAAATCCCGAGCCTGCACAGTCGCTTCCAGAAAGAGATGCAAGGGCCGCCCAGTGACCATCCCATCCGCTTCCAATTCCCGCATGATAAGGTCGACCCAATCGCATCTGACCCCACTGCGGGCTCTCACAGCGAACGCCTGGATCATATGGCCATATCCCGCCTCCCCCAGGTTCGTGCCGGCGGCTCGTATACTCTGCGCCATTTGCATCATCCTGGGGAGATAGTCATGTTCCCTCTCACGCATAAGCCGCATGAGGGTATCGAAAGTTTGCGACGGCACTCCGGAGAGTTGGCCGCGCTGTTCCAGTAACTTGAAGATTTTATAAGATTGGGTTAGGGACTCCCGTTTGATGGCCCCCGATAGAGATTCAGGGCTCGCTGCCTGTTGCTTAGGCTGCTGTCGCTGTCGATTGTGCCCTTTTTGAGGCGGAGACGGTTGTGGTCGAGCCTGGTCGGTACCGCCCTGTTGGCCCAGCTGGGACAGCTGCCGCTGCCGATTGTGCTCACTCTGATGTGAAGAGGTCTGGGACGGGTGTTCCTCGAGCCGGCCGCCGTGATTCTGTTTGAGTTGCTTCGCACTTTGTTCGTAAGCATCGGTCGTAGCATCCTTTCGCCTCAACTTCACTGCTTTCTTTGGAGATACGGAGCGCAAGATCAGCGTGGATGATATCAGGCGTGAAGCGGCGCATAAAGAAGCCGGTAAGACCAGCGGCCGTCTCGAAAACGAGTGAGGTACAGGTAGTAAGAGGTGGCTGCAGGGTGTTGGTCGCATCGGTCGCAACGCCCGCATTTTCGCTTTGGCTTCTGTTGGCTGGGAGTCCAAATTCTGCTCAGGAGACGAAACTGCCTGATGTACAGTCCTTTCCCCGCCGGTGACCCTCACTCAGTACGGGGTCTATATATATGAAAGAGTATACACTTCGAATGAACTCGTCGTTTCCACTTCCCTGGCCGACGCAGGCCACATGCGCCCAGCTGCTGACACCCCGGACGAAGTGTTATTAGAGCCTTCGATGTGCTCGCTAGATGTTCCCATTCGACAGCGTGTCTTTGACAGGACGGCGTACACTCCGACACCCCTCACTTGTGGCTAATAATTGGGCGACATAACTGATTTATGATAGTTGACAGGTTTTCAAAACATCCGGGCAATTAATGTTTCCCCGATGCTATCAAGAAGCTTATCGCAAAAAGCATGGAACCTGTCACTCCATATGCGGAGCTGCAGAATAGCGGATTATTGACCACAGTTTATGCCTAAACGGGGTTCTAGCCCGTTATCAGTTTGCCTTGTTTTCTGGAAGCTTTTATTCGACGTATCCAACCTAATGCTTCTCGGACTATTTTCGGTCCCTTCATTCGAAGGCGCCACATTACCGTTCACACAATCGTCAATACTCGCCAGTCACAAGGCACCTTCTATTGAGCAGCTTCGAATCGCACTGCGACGTATGGCTTGTCAGCTGTTGTTGATCCCGGCCAAGAGTGCACCATCGCCTTCCGCTGAACGAATTCTCTTCAAGCTCTCGCCATACGACCCACCACCAGGGTTCTCCGTGAAGTCGTCCCCTTCCTCCTTCACAACATCCCCACAAACCGCCATCTTTACTGGCAATACACTAGCAACAAACAGTGTATTATTGGCAGGAGAGCTCCTATCTTGGGGAAAATCATCCCTTTTTTACAGCACCACATACACTTCCTACCATTTTCAGCAACGAGCAATGCCCACATCTGTCCACTTAGCAACGGTCTCAACCGAATCGCAGAACTCACCGTCAACTACCGACAACTTTTTGAAAGAGATTGACGAGCTATTCGATCCCATGTGGACGCCCGGTCCTTACGACTACGGTTTGGATGCCATTAACGGTCTGGGCATCAACGGTCACCTCGGCGTCCAAGACCCGTTCGCTCCTTCGCTTTTCGCCGATCCATACACAATCAGCGGATATCTGTCCTCGTCGGAGACTCAGCAGCAGCATCTTCAGAATGCGGCGGCTGCGGCAGCTGCTGCCAGTATGCAATCTCAGTACATGTGGTACAACCCAGCAGCCGATAACAACCTTCATGGTGCCGCTCACGCACCGTCACAATACGCCTATCATGCCGTCGACATGCTTGCGGGTCTCCCGGAAGCAAACCCAATGGTTTATCATGGCACGGCGGCGGCCGTCGGAAGCACAGGAGGGTCGGGTAGTCGCATGCGATCGAAGAACGGCAAGCAGTCGATCCTCTCGCAGCGACACGCCAACCTTCCTCCCGCTATCAATACCATGAAGTTTCGCACAGATGTTCGGGCTGCCAACGCGGCTCCGAGAACAGGATCAGCTGCTACCACCGCTAAAGGCAAGACGGCAACCGCAAAGTCTGCAAAATCTCGCGCAACGAAATCGGCCAAGTCCAAGAAATCCGCCGGGGCCAGTTCGTCGATTCTCGAAGAAGATGAAATCACAGCCGATCTGCGTTCCGCAATCAAACTCAACTTGAACAAAAGGCTCAAATATCGCATGCTCGTCAAAGGCAAGATGACCGCCGAGGAAGCCAATCTGTCCCCTATGGACATGCAAGAGATTAGCCTCCAGCTTCCCAACGTTGGGTCCAAGAAGGCGATGACCGCAGCTGCCGCGCTCGCCGAGGTACAGAAACAGCAGCATGCACATCGCCAGAACAAGCAAGTTCAACGTCAGGAGGCTGGCAACCTCCCGAACCACTACAACTACTACGTTGATCATTTGGCCCAGGAGCAGATGGAGTTCCTCCATCAGCAAAACTTGAGGCAGATCGACGCTCTACGGGAGCAGGAGATTGCCCGCCATCAGGTCCGGCAGGCATTCATGCCGCAGCTGTACCCTGTCGTTTGCCCTCCTCCCCTTCCCATCATACAGCCGGCGGAAGAAGGCGAGGAGGACGATGTGGATTATACCCCGCCTCGGCCAATCAACCCCGAGTACCTTGAGATATTCAAGGACTACGTTTTTCCCCCGCCGGAAATGGCGGAAAGAATGGCACGAGCGGAACAATCCACCATCGAGGAGATTCCGTCGCCTTCGGTGGTTTCCGAGAAAGTGGCCGTGGACCCCCCGACAAAGCGCAAGCGAGCTCTATCCGCCACCCCAAGTGAAAACCAAGCCCCCGCAAAAAAGATCCGCGGAGAAGAGATGAAGACTCCGGCAACCATCGCGGAGCAAGAGGAGTTGTGTTCGCTCGTCGTTCAAAACCCGGACAACGCAGCCGAGAACTCCGATTCGGCTATCGACAACGCGGACGACATCCAAGAACTCGCTGACCTCCCTTCAGCGTACGCGGGTATCACCCGGCCGGACAGGCGTTTCTCGTGGACCCTGTCGATCCCCGACATGCAGCGAATGTCGTTCTCGTTCATCCCAAGCGACTTCATCTAGCGTAGTTGGCATACATCAGTTTTGGGTGTTGAGAAATGCGTTCCTGATAGCATCATTTTGGGGTTAAGAGATATCTGGCATGCCTTTTTGGCAACACTCCGTGGTTTGGCGAAAGTTTCTTATATATGCAATAAAAGGGCCTGGAGAAACGCACTTATTGGACCTGTTAAAGAAGTTCGGTTGAGTTGAGACTCACCTCTGCATGGGACATATCCCCATAATGCGGTGGGCAAAACATCAAACATTGGTCTAGCAAATCAGACCGAATTTCACTTCCGAAGATTGTGCTAGGATATACTTATCTCAATCATCTCGCAATGAAAATTGCGAATGCTCAGGCTCTTGAAGTTTAGGCATCAACATCGTTGCTGCACAAATACACCATCTGCTCTGGTATTGGAAAGTCTTTTCCCTCCTCTGGTGGATACTTCGAGCCCTATAAAGGCGAAGATCATTGTGAACAGCTGGAACGAATCAGTTCCCCAATAATGCAGGTCTTCAAAGGTGCATATATCTCCGGTGTCCGTAGGGAGACGGTACAAATGGAAAAAGCCGTCGGCGATGTATCCAAGTGAGTTTAGGGATGGATAGAGGGAGGTGGAGGACAACTTGTGTAGGTGCGGTTGTACCCGGCGGTCTGGCATCATCATCGCCGCATTCCGACTTTCAGTGTGCTACGGTCTACCTGGTTTCCAGGCACTTTGTGCCAGGCGTGACGATGGCAATAGAGACAAAATTTAGCAGGCATCGGGAAGATGATGTGCGACATTGGAGGGCATTTGCTCTGTTCCCTCATCTGACAGCAAAGTAGATTATGAGAATGCCTCCTCTTCTCCTTCATCCCAACTAGGATCCCAAGCTCTCGTATCCCCTTTTGCTCCCCAAAACTCCGCTCCATACGGAACCACTATCTCCTCGCCGGGCTCGATGGTGCGATTCAGGCTGAAAGCGCCCACGCGCACCTGTCCCGTTTCCACGTCCCGATATGTGTCGAAGGCAGCATTTGGTCGGGAGGCAATCCCATGCCAGTCATTGATGAATCTGCCTTCATTGCCGCGTATTGATGCGTCCACCGAGAGATTTCCGTGAAAACCTGCAAAAGGGAACAACGGACATAACACGTAAGGCGCCTTCCTCGATGGTAGTGGGCCGTGTCACTCACGCCCGCTGTTGCCATAGACGGATGACTGACTCAGTGTGTAAGTGAGGTTTGCTGGTATCTCACTGGTCAGTCTGATAACACCAACGTCTAGAGCGTCTGGTTAGCACGTCAACTGAGCGGGAGTTCCTTCCTTGCGGGCGGTGACTCTCCCAATCCTTTCAAGTTCAAATGGCTCACAATCTACGATGAATTGAAACTGTTTGATCTGGCGCGCTGCAAACAATCCTCCCTCTCCTCTGGCTGGGTGACCTTGGTCCGTTATTTCTCGAACACAAAGGTGTCCCTCCGAGCGTGAGACTGATTTTCGGTCGATTTCATCTTCGTCAGCAAATGCGCACCAGCCTACGTATCGTTGTCGTATGTCCGACTGTATCGTAGGGGCCCATTCGTATTCTAAGAGGTACGGGAAATCGGCCGGCCAACCTGAGATGGCCGGGAGTGTCGTGGACCGTGCGAAAGCCATGTACGCCCAGTTTCAGGAGGAAGCGGCGAGTGACCCAGCTGATCTTGCCACTGCCTACCATAAAAGAGGGCGCATGTTGGTGCAGATCAGAGACGAGCTTGCGTCCTTTTTGGGCGAGAGGGCGGCACTAGAAAGACATCAGATACGCAGGTCACTTACCAGTATATTTGAAAGATAGAGACGGTATAGAAGAAGTTCCCGATCCGCCATCCATCTGACCCCGTACTGTACATGTATTATAGTCGTACGTAGCAAGCCAGAATTTAAATTGAGCCGGACCCACACACGTGACCCAACTCTGCCACTCCGTCTCTGCTAGCGGGAACAGCGTGAGAGTCTATTTGTTCATTTGTTGATTGGGGAAGAAAGATGCCGTTTCTCATCAGTCTGCTTGGAAGAGGAAGATCCCTTACCCGCATGTAAGTTTGTGTGCTTGGCTGCTGTCAGTAATGTGTTTGCTGTTGGACCCCGTCGCTGACAATATACGTACTCTCTTCCTGTGAATGCAGTCAACCGTCAAGAACGACGACCGAAGGCGCGGCATGTCGTCTCTCCCAAGTCTAATGCCATAACTGCCAGACTCAAGTCACCCGCACAAGTGATCGCGCGAATGCCAAGCAAGCACTCGCTACACCACACTAAGTGCCTTGGTTCCTTTCGAGACGGCGGTGGCTTCTGGAATATCGACAAACGGGCCAAGTGTGAGCCAATATGTGATGAGACAATCAGGACGGATCTTATATATTATATATATTAGCTTTCAAAGCGCCAAGTGCGTTTGCCATGGGCAGAAGCCTTTGATCTTGGTTAACGTCCCTTTCCTCTCAGGCCGCTTTGAGGCTCCCTGGACGACAAAGCCGGCAGACGCGCTGTCGAAATTTTGCCCGCCACAACACATAGGCATGGTTCGCCTTCCGCGCTGTCCCCATTTGCAGGTTACTACGTCTGGCGCATTCAGTGGCCCGGGTAGGTATCGAGGCCCATTCGTTAACACGAAAGTGCTATTTGTTAATGTAAAGGCTTCGATACCGTCATCGACGCCACCATCGCTCGGTCGGCGAAGACCCATAGCTACGACTGCTCGCCCAAAATCTGCCCCTCCACTCAACGTCCGCCCACTTCCTTCCCTCCACACTTTCCGCAGCAGGAACGGCATGCCGTGATGCCGTGCCGCTGGGGGTTTCGCCGAACCCGTGCCTGCACAGGGATGCCAGAACACGCAACTCGAACGTCAGGAGGCATCGAACCTTCCCAACCAGCTGGAGTACTACCACCGTCTGGCCCAGCAACAGATGGAATTTCTTCATCAAGCAACCTGCGACAAACCAAGGCGCTCCCCCAGCAGGAGATAGCTCGCCACCAGGTCCACCAGGCCTTCTTTGACAAGAAAATTCGAGACATACGGACGCCCCTGTGCAATTTGAGATTGTTCAATGTCAATACAGACAGCAACTTCACCCACTCACTGTCGCTCACGCCGTCATACGGAACGGAGTGCATCTACCGTACAATCCAGTCACATTCTACTTCAACTCGAACGCCAGGAGGCAGCAACGTCCCCAGCGGTTTCGAGTACTACGTCGACCATCTTGCGCAGCAGCAGATGGACTTCATTCATCAAGAAAACCTACGACAGATTGAGACGAGGTAGAGTCGGAGCCGCATCCGGAAAACATGCTTACCATCCCGAGCACTATCCCAGCGGACGGTTGAATAGATGTGTTGTCCTAGATGTTGGCGTCCCGCACATCTTGTCATTGACACGGCCTGCTCACCAAAAGACGAAGACAACAACCACCCACCTCACCCAGCCTCTCAATACGTCTATAATCACAACATCGATGGCGCTGCTCAGCCACCCTCTCGATACGTCTATAATCCCGTCGACAAACGTCGGGTCGGCATACGTCTATAGCGCAGTTCGAGGCGCACTACTACACCGTAGGCCTAGGAACAGCTCGCCCTGTGCAGTTCGAGGATAGACGGATTCAACGCAACCCGTCGTACGTGAATACTGCGTCCACGTACACAGTTCCCAAATCCTCCTCTCCTATGCGGGCACGAGGCTGCCGGGGACATGCCTTCGCCCAAAAAGCCGGCCTATCGCAATGGTTCTCCGCCCCATGAATCTGGAGTATTTCGAACCCTTGGACAACTATAGCTTCCCGCCGCCGGATCGAATCACGCCGCCGGTGTCGATTCGGTCGCCGATGCGTTGGAGAGCCGCTCTGCCGTACTTCTCCGCCGCCAGGAACAAATGGAGTTTCTTCATCAAGAAAACCTGCGGCGCTTCGCAAATTTTCAAGGACTACGTCAGGTTACGACGAATGGCCATAATTATGGCGCAGGCCAAATCCTCCGCCCGAAATGGCCGAAAGGATGGCACGTTCCGAACAGTCTTCCATCGAGGAGATTACGTCGGCTCTCCTAGAAGTAGCAAAGGGTCCCACCGCGGAAACCGCGGAGAAACGTAAACATTACATATGTAGGGCTCGTTGAAGACGACACTGCAAAGATGCGCAAAAGATGCGAAAAAGCCACCAAATCGCCAGAAACGAGCGAGGAGCAGGACGAGACTATTTCCCTCGTCCAGGGGATTGCGAGCTTGACGTGCCGAAACTTAAACGATCTCCATCTGTATCCTCGATGAAGACGACACCGCGAAAAATAAGATGCCTTTGGAAGCTGACACACGCCGGCCTCGAAGAAAATGCGCAAGAAGAAAGTCACGAAAAAGGTACCTTGCGTGCAATGTTTTGATGTGCATATTCTTTAGTGACGCTCAACGTAGTTAAAAGACGGAACCAACCAACGCATCGGCATGTTCCGGGAATCACTGCCTGATGCTGGTGGATGGACATGGATTTGGAAGGGAAAGCCCTCGGTACATGTATGGACATGAACTGCATATGGGTATCATTCGCTTTATTTTGGTATATTATATTTGCCACGACAGTTCTCCTTTGTTGCCGCTCTATGTGTTCCACAAACAACCCCTATCACCCAACTGCAAGTGCTTCCCGACGCGTTTCTCATCAGGTTCGTTCGTCAACGTCCCCGCCGCGTCCGCCAGTGATCAGTTCGCTCTCTGCGTTTTTCCCACGTCCGCAAACGCTGAAGGGTCCGTAAGTCCGTACCCAGTAGTGGAGGGTCCCCCAATAGACGCACAGAGTACCTAGAAGCACTGACTTCCTCGGAAGCTGTCAGACCGCCAAGATGACCTCCCTCAAGGAGATAATGAAAAAACGTCGGTTTGCCATGTCCCACGGCTCACTTATTCAGAATGGAACAGACTTCTGAACGACTTATGATGCCTTTCCAGGGATTCTGAACGATATGCTTCAGTCCGTACAGCCTGCCAACCGCTGGAAGATTCTGGTGGTGGACTCCAAGTCAGTGAAGCTGCTGAACAGCGCGTGCAGGATGCACGACATACTGGAGGAAAACGTTACTCGTACGTGTCACCTTTCAAGGTAGCTTGACTAGGCCAAACGAGGGAGCTCGTAGTGCGCTTGATGGGGTGCGAAGAACGATGGTTTACCTTTTGGTCAAATGGTTCTAGTCGTTGAGGACATCAACAAGAAGCGGCAAGCGTACCCGTCCAAGGAAGCCATATACTTCATTTCGCCCACGGACGCTTGCATACAACGGCTGATCGATGACTTTCCGGCACCGCCGACCAATGTGAAGGAGTCCAAGAAGCAAGAACAACCACAAAGGATGTACGCCGCGGGACATATCTTTTTCACGTCAGGTTGGGCATTCGAGCATGATAGAGACGGTTGATAATCCCAACGGCGTCGTCTGATATCCCTTCATTGCAGCCCTCCCAGATCGTCTTTTCGATCGAATAAAGGGATCGCCGGCCATCTCCTCCATCAGAAACCTGAAAGAGATGAATATGGACTTTATCCCATACGAGAGCCAGGTCTTCACATTCGATATGGCGAAGAGTGCGTTACCGCTTTACAGCCCGTTGAAGGAGGGGTCAAGACAGAACGAAATCACCCTCATAGCGCAGAAGGTAGGCACCTCTGTTCCACACTGGTGCAAACAGATTGGAGTCATCTGACACAACCCAATCCTGTAAAGCTGGCATCAACCCTTGCAACCCTAGGAGACTACCCCTACATCCGCTACTACGCCTCCCCCACCTCCAGCATCCCCACAATCCCGCTTTACCTTGCGCAAGCGGTCAAATCCGAATTAGACACACTCGCGCGCCAAGACCCATCCTTCCCTCCCGCATCACCCTACAAGCGCAGCGTCCTCGTTATCCTTGATCGCAGTCTGGATATGGTTTCCCCCATAGTACACGAGTTCACGTATCAGGCAATGATGCATGATTTGCTGGTGTTGGAGGGTGGACGATATGTGTATAAGCCGGATGCCGGGGATGTGTCAACAGATGTGGATGAGCCGAAGAAGGAGGTCACGGCGACTTTGGATGAGAATGACCCCATCTGGGTACGTGCGGTGCAATGTTCTCGCTCGAAGGAAGCGCAGGGTGGGCTTATCAATCTTTCGTTTTAGATGCTAATCCGACATTGGCATTATGCAGACGCCGTCGATTACATCCGTCACACGTTCAACAAATTCCTGACGGAGAACAGGGCCGCGTCGAGCGCTATGGGAAAAGACGGCGCGGCAGAAGCCACGTATGTGCCCTTCTCTTCGAAGCCCTTCAAAATCGCAAGATACTGATGTTCTTGTCTACAGCGGTCTAGATTCTCTTAAGCACATGAAGGACACTCTGAGCTCACTGCCTCAGTTTCAGGAGATGAAGGGGAAGGTATGCGTGTTCCCTGGGTGAGTTGAGGTACAGGTGTTGACTCGCTTCCCAACTTTCTATAGTTCTCCGTTCATATCAATATCTGTCAAGAGTGTCGGGCAATGTTTGAACGACGACAGCTGGATCTGGTCGCAGCTGTGGAACAGGTAAGACATTCTTGATTTTTTTTGACGAACTCCCATAATCACTCATCCTATCCCAGGACCTCGCAACCGGCGAAACAGCCGACGGCCGCGCCATCAAATTCAGCAAAATGATGATCGATATGGTCCCCGCCCTCGACAGCCCGACCGTCTCCTCCGTCGACAAGCTGCGCATCCTCATGCTCTACATCATCGCCCAAAACGGGATTGAAGACGAGGAGCGGCGCCGTTTGCTGGGTTACGCAAAATTATCGCTCGAGGAGTCGCAAGTTATCACGAATCTGGGGTACTGGGGCGTAAGGCTCGGCAAGGAGAAGGGCGAGAAGGATGCGAAGGGGCGGTATGGGTATCATGTGCATGGGAAGAAGAGGAAGAAGGGGACGGAGAGTGAGCAGTATGATTTGAGTCGGTGGCAGCCGGTGTTGAAGTCTGTGCTTGAGGTGTGTCTGTCGCTCGCATGAGGATTCCATTTGAACGGAACTTGAAAACCAACACACGCTCCCTTTTGCATCCCAGGACCAAGCAACAAGCCAACTCGATCCAGTCCTCTTCCCCTGGCTCACGGAACCCGCCCCGGAAGACCCCACCACAGCACCTCCCAAAACCTCAAAAATCACCCTGGACCACAAGGCCGCGCTCACAGCACCAGACCCGCAATACCCGCACTCTCTACGCACAACGCGTCCATCCTGGTCGCAAAAACGCAAACCGAAAACCGCGGGCGACTCTAAAACTACCGAACAGTCGCCACAAGCCACTGCGTCCGATATCCGCAAGAACGGGCCGCGGATTATCGTGTTTACCGTCGGCGGGGTCACGTTCTCGGAATTGCGGACGGTGTATTCGATCCGCGAGGCGTTTCAGAGGGACGTGTTGATTGGGTCGACGCACGTGTCGCCACCATTGCAGTGGATTGAGCTGTTGAAACAGATGGGGAAGGTGGATGAGAGTGGGGCTGGGAGTGCGGCGGCTGCGGGGAGTCCCGAGGCGGCGGGGACGCCTGATGTTGGGGGCGGTAGGCAGGATGGGACGTTGAAGAGGAGCGAGACGGAGCAGAGTGTGCATAAGGAGAAGGGGGAGAAGGGGTTGTTGGGGATGTTTCATAAGAAGAAGAAGGATAAGGGTGAAAAGGGTGAGAGCGATAAGTAGCGACGGACCGTGGACAACGGCATTTCCCATGCCTATTCTATATTGATCATTTTTGGAAGAACGTGCGTTCCCCCTTCTATTGTACTTGGTCTGAATGATAAGTCTATGGAACAGAATGCAAAGGCCACATGACTACAGGCTCGATCACAGCATAACCCTCAATTTATCCTTGAAATCGTCCCAATCAACATAAGCGCCTTTCAGATGCCTCTCCCCACTCGCGGCATCAAACTCTTCTCTTCCATGCAGCGTCCTCCTATTCGCAAACACGACGCAATCTCCTGGCCTCAATAGCGTCCTGTACATCAACTCCGGTCGTTTCAAAATATCCGCATACGCCTGGAATGCCGGGTAAAATCTCGCCGCCTGATCCGACTCCAACGGCCCCTGGAACGGCGGGGCATAGTAGACCATCATACGCTCGTTGAAATCGTCTTCCACAATCGTCGGCCGACGGAAATGCATGTGGTGGCCGTCGTTGATGTAGTGGAAGGTAACGGGGATCTCGGTGAGGGCTTTGTAGGCGTCTATGTTGGACTGTTTGAGAATATGGGCGGCTTTGAAGCTGTCGAGGAAGATGGAGGCGCCGCCTTTGACAGAGTTCTTTAGGCTGTGTAGGAATTGGAGGCCTGGGGGGGCTTCGAAGTACCTGGGATTCCGACGGTGCCTTGTTTAACTCATGTTCGAATATTGGCGATATTGTCTCTTCAAGCTCTCTTGCTACTCACATCAGATCCATATGCAGCCCCAGATCCAGCGACGTGTAAGCGATATTCTTCGCCTGCGGCACGCTCTTCACATCCCACGACGTGCCGTAAAACGTCTCCCTAATGCATCCAAACCTCTTCGCGATCCTCTCCACCTCCTTCTCTTCAACCGGTGCGTTCCGGATGAACACCAGCCCAAAGTCCCTCAACTGCAACAACGCCTGCCGCAACCCGTCATCTCTGCCTATGAAGTCCTTATACTCCACATCCCTCTTCGCGCTAGAATACGATTGCGAGTCCCATAACTTCGGCTGCAGCAGCTTCCTCTGCCGCGCGTCGACAGTCGCTGGGTCGTTCCGCCGAAGCCAGTCGAGGTCGATCTCGGTCGTGTGCTCGTTTTTGAAGGATGGGGAAAGCGGCGCGCGGAGACTCCCTGCCGCCCAAGTGATTTTTATGCGCTGGTTGTTGAGAAGGTCGATGGCGGTGGGTTTGAGGGCGAGGTTGACGTCGGCGGAGGAGTGGAGCTTTTGAGTGTTGGAGGGGTGGATGCAGGCTGCGCATTGGCAGTTGTCGCGGAGCCAGACGTGGTCGAACCTGCTGGCTGGTGGTGGGGATGGAGTTTTAGTAAAGGCTGTTGTTGCATCCCAGTGGATAAGGATGTGGTCGTCCTTCTTTGTAAGGTTCGTTGAAAGTGGCGAGGAGGTGTGGAACGGCTTTGGACGTGCATATAAGTGGGAGGGACGGTGCCAAGCTGTTTTTTGGAAGGAGAGCCAGCCGGCGCCGCTGCTACTGCTGCCCCGCGGGGATAGTAAGCGTTGAGGCCACATAATGGTCGTTGCAGGTCTTTTGTTTGCAATTGCGAAGGATCAGTTGGGGCCTCTTCGGAAGATGGGTGGACTTGCCGCGCGTCCCGCTGTCAGTCGCACCCGCTATTCCTGTCCACCGACGCCCTCTTTCTCCATCTGTTCCGTCATTTGCCCCTGTTTGGTTGGGTGTTGTTAACAGACTCGATTTCCGGGCGAGCTCCCCCCAAAATGTCCTCCAGGATATAGAGGCGGCACCAGGTTGGCGGTTAACCACATTCCCATCCGCCAGTTACCGTCTTTCCAGAAAAAACGTCTCACATATCGACAATATGAAATATCACACATGATAAAGCCTACCTACTAATACGCCGTTTCAGTATGACGGTAACCATATGAAGCACACAGCACAGGAAGGGCGTGACACAATCCAAGGTCCATGACAAAGATGCACTGCGCAGCGAGACCGTGTAGTGAAGACTTATCCCTCGCCAACGCGTCAATCAGAACTCATCAAGCAAGGCGAGAGCAACAGGCTTGTTCTTCCGGTATGCATCCGAAATACTCTCGGAAGACGTGTAATAATCTTCAGGAATATGTGGGATGCTGGTATCAGAAGGCAAAAATGAATGAATACACGCACATGAGACGAGATGTGATATCAAACCTCTGAGGTATACCTGTTGTGCAGATGTGGTATAGATGTTTCAAAACCGATATCAGTTTCCGCCTCCTAAGCATCCTAAGTGCTTGAGTAGCGGCGCCTGCAGAGAATTGCCACTTGCTGTAGCTCAAGCGGCAAGCATGCACGAAATATTTGTTCCTCTAGGTAATCTCGATTCCTCTTCTCCGGCTCTTTGTGTTCATCGAGCAGTGCTTCCATTCGTTTCAATTCATCCTCTAATTGTGGTAGCTACGGACTAACCCCATCAGGGTTGTCTCAAAACTGGAGGTCAACGGCATGAGATACGTTACCTTAGCTCAGCAGAGCTTCTGCATTGCAAAGACCGCTTTGCAATCTACTCTTACAAACATTCCCCAGAGCAAGCGGATTCCAACGGTTCTGTTGCGGATCCGGACAATTGGATCCTGCGCGTCAATCTCCAATGTAGTTGACATTTGGCAGATCTTCCATTCGGCGTAGTATTTCAGAAAACCCCAGCCATCCTTGTTCGCCAAGAGACCGTTTGCATCACCCGAGATTTGCTGAAGGAGGTTGTTGTAATAAGCAATTAAGGAGAGTGTCACAAGTGAGCGAATCATCGGAGAGAAGGAAGGTGATGTAGTCGATGTCTTCAACTGAACTACCTTCCATCTCTCCCATGATCTGCGCGTAGTCTCCGTTGTCGAAGCCCTTCCACTTCATCTCCAGAACGATAAGAATGCAAAGCTGGAATGCCACCCAGACAAACTCGATTTGTCCATGCGACAGCGAGCCGCGCATGGACCTCTCAGCTTCACTTTTGACGGCACCCGAAGGGTCGTGCGATTTCTGTAACCACCTGCCAAAAAATGATAGATGATAAGACTATCATCTCCCGACATCGAGTTGAGGAGAGCGGGACTTACCGCGGACAACCAGAGTACAAGTTCTGCCTCCTTGACAACTTCTCACAATGTCTTATTTGTAGCCTCCGCCACGGCCATGCGATCAAATACCCTATCCAGGAAGTGCTCCGACACGTAGTAAATATTGTTTCAGCAAGGGAGTCTCCTTGGGAGTGCGGTACTGCGGGTTCACTTGACGAATTTGATTCTACGTAAGGCTGCTGAACGATGCCAGTCCATCTGGAAGTCAAGGGAAGTGATTCAGTGGCGAGGAAGGGAAGATACAGTAAGCGAGTCTTGTGTTGGCAGCCTTACCGCGGAATTTCACAAATACTTCGGTTGGCAGCCGATATTTCAATATCAGTGTCAACGATACGGACGCTCCAGCGCCCTTCTCATCCTGTGGCTTTCCCTTTAAAAGCTCCTCGAAATAGTCCTCCGGTACCGGAAGCTCCGCTATGTTACTGAAGGCCTGCTCGACGGCTCTTTCCGATTTCAACCCTTGGAGCTTGGTGCGGCGTCTTTTGGCAGTGGGGCTTTGTTTTGACATGAGGCTGAATTTGCTGAGAGGGAGTCTTAACGTCGGTGTTGGTGGGACGAGGTCAGCTGCGAGCGGCGGTTCAGGGCTGATACGGTGCACTTTCGGTATATACTTTCCATTGGGTCGTCTCTGTGACAATGGACAAGACGAACGGCTCGAACGGGAGGCGGGGGTCACGTCAGAGCTGGGAATCCGTGCTTTCCCAAATTCCCACCCGCACAGATCTTGTTACTCAAACACAGGGCATAGCCCTTTCGTGCTCGTCTCTCGCTGCGTCCGTCCCTATCTCTAGCCTCGTCAGCCTCGCTTGACTGCAAGCGCTCGCTCGGTCCGACAGTTTCACAGTCAGACAGGAATGTCGTCAACTCCGCGACGGAGAGAGTTCGCGCCCATCCAAATGGAGCCACTAAACGTCATATGCGGGACCATCTTCATGGCCGTGGGCATATCCTTTTTCAGCGTCTTCCTGTTGCTCAGTATGCCAAACCACGATGTTCCGGTGGTCAAACTTTCTGGAAGGCTTCAATTTCCGAGCCTTGACCACGCGAGGTTTCTCGATAGGGTTGTAGGGATGGCACCGGTGGGAGAAGGAACAGGGATTCACTTGGGTTGGATGGGCGGTCAGGGAGAGGGTATTAGTGGTAAGTTTCGTGAGTGAACAAAGTGAGCGGGCGCTGTGTGGCGGGCTTAAACGAGCGGAGCGAGGTGCAGGGGAGCTTGCGGCTAGCGAACCATAGAAGGCAAGGGAGCCCGAGCGAAAGTGAGCGCGACCTGGGGTGATGCACTTCGCGAAGGGAGCGAACAGCGAGCGAAGCGAGGCCCCGTTGCGGCCAAGGATATTCTTCATTCGTGGGCATCGCTTCACCCACCTGGGGCTCACCTTTCATCGGTTCGCCCATCGCTCATATTACATCTATGTAGCAGATATGATTCAGCATTATGTGCTCCCAGTTTCTTCCTTGGCCAACGGCACGATGAAGGCCGAGAAAGTTCTTCCCAACAAAGTGATAGACGGAACAGTGACGCACATTGCATTCAACCGATTGCGGAATCCCTCACCACTACTAGGCGTGTTTACTCGCCGCGTAGAAGGTGAGAACATCAGGTAGGTAGAGCTTATCCCGTTGATTCGTGATGTGCGACGTTGACTTTGGCTTCGTGCCCTTCAGCTACCATGTAGATGTGACTCCGATCGACGTCTCGCGGTCAGAAGATGTACTCTCCTTCTCGGGCAAGACATGGACGCTGCCAGGAAATCTCCCAATAGTTCGCGCGGCGGTGGGGGCCAGTGGTCGAGTGATCGCTAGTAGACGCTACGACACTAGCCTCTTTCGCATGTACACCCTGCTCGAATGCGATTCCGATCACTCTTGTGCCGTTGCGAATGGCTTGGTCGGGCCGCCTACATGTAAGAATCGCGCATCGCTTCCTTCGGGGACCTTGGGCCTGAGCTCATCTCTAAATTTTCCCCTTCTACAGCCGAAGCTTTGAGCGATCACTTGCTCGCCGTCGAGCTCTACAGTCCAGAGTATGTCAGCCTTATCTGTCTTCATTGGGCCTGTCGGAATCAAGGGAGAGTTCTGATCATCAAGTTTTCAGCGCAGCATCCCCCAGCGTCTTTTTTGTGAGCAAGGATGAACACGATGAGCATATCCACGTCTCGATGGCAATGTTCACGCTCGTTGATGGAGAGTGGGTCAAGGATGAGTTGTGGCCGGTACGCTCTTGGGAAATGTTCCGGCTCCGCACGCCGTTCGACCGCTGCTAATGCTAACATTCGCATGATAGCGTCCACCCCTATACTATCATCGTGACTCATACTCTCCTATGCTCGGGCACGACGTGCCCGAGAATGACGGGGCTCATCAATTGCACTGGTTGACGAGCCCTATTGTCGGTAAGGGAGAAATGCACTCCAATCCGACTCATTCGCAAGTTTGGCTCATGTCATCTCTCGTCGCAGCCGCCTCTGCAAACTCAACCACACTCGCCTGGACCTTCCTGTCCCGCATCCTTACCTTGGACTATGTTGGTGAAGCTAGTGGGAAGATACATGGATATGTACTGGAGGAGTCGAAGCCCCTGGATGGCTTCAGCCCCGCGGATCTTCGCGTGAAGGGGGCGAATTTGAATCCGAACGGGACTGTTTTCTCCTTTGTCAATGACGTACGTATTCAGTGCAGATGGGCGGAACGTTGACGTACTGTACCATTGAGACTAACACTTCAATTGCGCAGAACAACGACATCATAACTTTCTCGCGCACAGCGGTCCGCCTAAAGCCGAAAGAAGACCGCAGTTGGGTCGAGTCATTCTTCCTCTATCCAAATGAAATCGGATTCTTTTACGACGCAGCGGCTGAAGCACAAGGGCACGCGAACGCCCCAGCGAAAACGAAGCCGAAATCAAGCTCTCCGTGGAAGGTTCAGACGAATTATTTGAACTCTCTTGATGGGGCGACGAATGGGAAAGCTGTCGTTGCGTTCCATCAGCTGGAAGGGTCGCGCCTGGCAACCAACTTCATGCATCCGGACGAGACGTACATACGTAAGTGCCGTCTTTCCTTTGAAACAATGCCCGGCGACAGGGCAATCCGCTGACCACGTCCACATCATCCCGTTCACAGTGGTCCTGTACACAAACAACGTCTTACAAATCCTGGAAGTCACTCAAAGAGATAAGGGCAGCCACATCCAAGCTTACATACGGAACCGGTGGCCGATGTTTGTGGCAATGCTGGCTGTGGTCGTGGTGTTCGCTGCCAACGAGATGACGTGAGTGCAATGAATTTGTCTATTATGCGACTTGACTCAGGACGGATTCTGATACTTAGATGTGTGTAGGGGCGAATTTACACCGTATACCTCGCTCTTGACCGCGGGCTTATCGTTCTGGGTGTTGTTATCGTTACTGCTCAACGAGCCGAGTTATGATTGAGGTGTCTTTCCGCCATTGTGGATCAAAGATCTTTTGCCGGAGACCTCTCGTGAACCCTGCTGAGGCACGACGACCGCAAGCATTCTGACATTCATGTACCGTACAAGGTAGTCATAGATCCCATCACCGTTTCCCTTCCTTACCAACCCGTTCGCCCATCGGCGTAGACTCTCGCGTGAGATGGCACTAGACGGCACCTAATCGCGGCTTTTTGGAAGGCATGCATTACATAGTAAATAGGTGGCTCTGTTAGGCATATGAAATTTCGACTGCAACGCTCCCTGCTTGGATCTGGAGGTTGCAGAGTATCATGAGGCAGGTTGAGGATGTTTGCCTACGCGTCTTTGTGACGGGACCACGCTGCTGATGTCAGCGGTCGGGATGCTGTCAAAGGCCCTTTCACAATATTCCCCGACACCGAAAATAGTCTAAATCGTGGAAACTTCGGCTTTATCAAAGGCGCCAGGTGGCCGTCCTGAGAGGCGGAGAGAAGAAGCGAGCGCAAATCAATCCTTCTTTTCTGGATATCCTCTCTGCATTCGAAATCCGGGGTTCAGCAGAAGATCCAACTTTTCCCAATCCTACACACCACTTTTTCCATCTCATCCACACGGGTACGAAGCACACCGACACCCAACCATGTCAGAATACGAAACGCAAAAGCTCTCCAACCTCGGCCCTTCCTCGCCCTCCCGCGGGATGGCATCCCAAGGTCTAGGCCAAGACTATTCCGTCGACATTGAACGGCGGGGCCTGACCTCTGTCCTCCCCGACGACGACGAGATTGCCCCGTTCGATGATCTCAATGACCCGCCGGGCAAATTTAGCTGGAACCCGATGGATTGGGTGAAGGAGTTTCAGCAGGATTACAAGGAGTTTTCGTGGGCGATGACGGAGAAGAGGAGGGTGGTGAGTTCCCTCTTTTGCTTCTATTTCGTATCAATCACGCATCTAACTCCTCCCACCGTCATCGCCAGCTTCTCCGCGCCGTCTTCGGCGAAGGTCTCTGCACCTTCCTCTTTTTGTTCATCGTCGAAGCAGTAACGGTCAACAACGGCCGCCAGGAGAACCCAGAAAACCTGACGCTGGGCGCCGTGTCGACTGCGTTCTGCAGTATTGCGCTGATCTACTCATTTGCGGATGTATCTGGAGCCCACTTCAATCCGGCGGTCACTTTTGCGACGATGGTTACGGGGAAGGTTTCTATTCGGAAGGGTAAGTTGGGGAAGCTGGTAGAGGTTCCTTTTGGGCGTATTTTGGGTACAAGAAAGGAGAATTTCACTCGCCTGCCAATGGCAATGGAAAAGCGAAAGGAAGGGCAAAATACGCCTGCCCTCGACGGATTTGCTCCACGCATGTCGCAAAACAAAAATCCAGTCTAAAAATCCTCATTGACCATTCTCCTACTTTCACCAGGCCTCGCCTTCATTGGCATCCAATTGATTGCCTCCATCTTCTCCGTTGTTGCGCTCCTGATTGTGTTCCCCGGCCCACACGCGGGCTACAGCAGCATCCCGGCATCCATCGTCGTCGACATCGACTCTACCGCCCACCTCGGACAGGCATTTGCTATGGAGCTGGCTTTGACATTTATTCTGGTTTATGTGATTTTCGCGACCGCTTTCGATACTGGTATGTGGGAGTGAGCTCATATCTTGGGAAAGGGGTAAGCCTGTAGGCTCCCGCGTGCAGTTGGGATTGACCCTCTTTTCTCTGTTGAAACAGTCGACACCTCCAACGCTGTGAAAGTGAAAGCCAAGGGGGCTGGCCAAAAGGACGAGAGCGTCGGCCGCAACTTAACTATTTACACGACATCCGGCAATACCAAAGCCGGTTTCGCCCCTTTTGCGATCGGATTCACTCTCGGATTCTTGGTATGTCTTTGTCTCAAAAGTACCCACCATTTCCCGTTTAGCCCTTGTTGCCTTGTCCGAAGGATTGCTTTGCTCCCGATCGGTCGCTAATCATTCGCCCATTCCAGGGCCTAATCGGCGGCACCGTCTCCGGCGGCGCCTTCAATCCCGCGCGTGCATTCGGCCCAGCTCTCCTCTCAGGCAAATGGAGCAACCACTGGGTATACTGGTTCGGCGACTTCATCGGAGCCGGTCTAGCGGGATGGGCACAGCACTTCTTTGCGCATGAGGCGACGCAGACGAGTGCTGACCAGAAGACCAAGAAGGGCGCTGAGAGGGAGAGGGCAGAACAGGCTGCCGTTTAAGGGTGGGCATGCGAAAGGGCATTATTTTGTGATGGTGCAGTGGGTGGAAACATTGGATGTTGGGGTGGGGGTTGGACGTAATGTGTAATCGAAAGCCATGCCAAGTTGAGGGAATCCCTCAAAGACAGCAATCTTGTATTTTTCCCTCGATTCTGATATGCGATGGAGCAAACTGACGGAAGGACCGTCGAACTCGGAATTTCTATAAAAAAAAGCCAAGAGTACAAGAGGAACAGGGAGCCGGGGAAAGTCAGTCAAGCTCTTCCCATTGAGTTCTCTTCAATCATCAAAATAACGGAAACTAGCCAACGTAAATCACATATCGCCGAACTCCCAAGAAACCAAAATCTATTCAGTATGTACAATCTCTCCATCCGCGGGGACACCCCACGCTGTCCTGCGCCCATCTCTTCTCTGTCGCGGCACAATGTTCACACAAGCACTCCCTTCCTTCACCCTACAGCTCCACCTTCCCTCTACAAAACGGGCACCCTCCACCCTTGAGCACCTGATAAGCCCACTCATCTTCCAAAAAGAATTGCTTGCAGTACGTGCAGCACACAATGGGCACGTCGGTGATCATCGTCTTGTAATACTGAGTAGGTATACACGCCCGGTCCCAATGACGGACCAGTACAGCCTGTCTGTCCATCGCGATGAGGGCCTTGCGCCCCACGAGCAGCGGCGTGTAGTTTAGAGCGGTAACACCTGAGGTGGTGAGTGCGGCGAGCTGGCGGGCGAACGGATCGTCTTTATTGGAGTTCAGGGCAGAGGATGGGCGGACGGAGTGAGTGCCGACTAAACCGCCTTTGGGTTTGCCCGTGTCGTCTTTGGATCCCGTTGTGTCTTGTTTGGGGTCGAAGGAGACGGGGTCTGTGAGAACTAACCGCATCGCCTCGTCGTGTCCGACGCCTTGTTCAATGGCGAACTGCACGACGGGGAGTGTTACGAAGGAGTAGAAAGACACGACGAACGGTTCCCCGCACGCTGTGCATACGTTGCCCTTGGGATTCACCAGCGGATTCAGCGTCGAGCAATGGTAGCAGATCGGTTGCAGATTCTCCTTATCCAGATTCGGATGGGCTCTGATGGTCAACGTGCCTACGTCGATGATTTCCTGCCATTGTGGGGGTATGACCATAGTCTGCAGTTTGTCAAATGCATATCGGGCGACTTTGAACGCGCCTAGAGCTTGCGAGAGGCGCGCCAGGGCATAGAGTGTGTATACTTTGGATACACCTTTGGGCGTTTCGTTGTGGTTGAGGTAGTGGAGGATGAATCGTGCCATGTTGAACAAGGTTTCCGGGAGGTGGGATGTGAATGGCTCGTCAATGTAGCGGGAGATGTAATAGTACGCATAGTACACCTCGGCTGACGCGTAAAACTTCCGGAAGGCCTTAAGCGCTGATTTCTCAGTGTACGAAAGCTCGTCCAGTGGCGTCGTGCGGGGAATAATATCCAGCTGCTCCGAACTCATCGTCCAGTAGTAATAAGCAGCATCATCGAACCTGTGCTCAACCACCGCGTTCTCGGTAAGCTCGCCCAGCACTTTCAGCGCCTCTTCGACCTTGCCCGCTTTCCTGAAGTTCTCCTGCGCCTCCAAAAAGTCGCCGTTAGTGGCCAGGTAGTTGGCGTAGGGGAGATAGATCTGATCCAAGAGTTCCGGATGCGTTTCCGCTAATTTAAACGCCTCGTCCCAGTGTTGCAGCTCGATATGCAGCTTCAGAAGGTGCGCGATATCTCCCATCTTCACTAGGGTTTCAGCCGCGTACGCATGGTGGTTATTCTTACGGAAGTAATATACGCAGCGACTAAGCCCTTTTGTATCCCCCTGGTCCAGCTTCCTCGCCACGTCCATCAACTTGTCCAGCCTTCCATTTGGACCAAGGATGTCGATAGCTTTCATGAAATCGCCCACTTGTGCGTACGTTTCCGCGGCGGCTAGGAGGTCGTTTCGATCATGTTGTGTTTGCGCTTTGCGATGGAGGATGCTTTCCATGTTTGTGTGGGTGTCGTGGGCAAACGCGGTGGCTTGGTCCCACATGTTGAGCTCAGTATACATGTCGATGGCTTTTTGTGGGTTGCCGGTCTTCTTGTACAGCTTCGCCGCCTAGGAAATCGAAGGGTAAATGTGCCACCTTCTCCAGCAGCGATGTGACAACAAGAGTTTGTGCCTGGAGTCTTACCTCCTGAAACCTGCCCGTATACGCATACACATCCGCCAGCAGTGCCTCCGGATCCCATTTCCCTTCGCTTTTCACCTTTTCCATCCCTCTAATCAGATCAATAAACTGCATATCTCTCGTCCTTATGAATGCCTTAAGCGCAACATCCAATCTCGACGCCTCAAGCGCGTCCAAGGCCAGTCGTCTCCAATCCGCTTCCGTGACGCCCAAGCACGCGACCTTATACGCAGCGTCAAAATCTTTCTTATCGAGGTATCTCTCCAGGGAGGCGGATTGCGGCACATCTACCGTCGTCATGGAGTAGACGTGTAAGCAGAAGATGTGAGAGCCTTTGAACCCGACGACAAAACCCTGCATCTTTTGTTGGTGGGGTGGGAAGTTGTTGGCTTTGATGTTGAGGAGCCCGCCGCCTGAGTAGCAGATGATGTCCTCGAGCTCGGTGTTGCATGCGACGCTATTGGCATTCGGTTCTTGATACAGAAGCTGTTTCGATTTCATGTCGTACACGAAGCAGATGTTGTGCTCATCAACTACTGCCAGCGTTTTGCGCTGAAGACTGAGATCCAGGCACCGGACCGCCGACTGCATTTTCAGTACCTCGACGGGGAAAGGGTTGTTGATGAAGATTTGGGATATTTGCCCGTCCTTGAGTCCGACCAACAAGCCTTCCCGTCCCGGCCGTCCCCCAATCACTTTGATGTATCGTATGGTAGACCCCAGAATCCATTCCCGTTCTGCCTCGCCTTGGAAGTTGTAGCTTTGCAGTTTCCGTTCCATGCAGAAAATGATATTCTGTGCCGTGACTACGAGCAGATTGCAATCGACCTTCTTTGCAATCTTCTGCTTGATTCTGTAGTGCATATCGGATGCATCGTCGTGGAACAACTCGTAGATGATGATCTTCTCAGGCAATTGTACCGCCAACCGATCTTTATGCACTGCAATCTTTTTAACCCAGTCGCGGCATTTGATCCGCGCGCGTTGGTTCGTTGAAAGGTGTTGTATGACAACATCTGTCATGCTTTCCCGATACGCATATCGGTCATGGTATAGGCCATGCACCGTGTTGAAAGTAACCTGGTAGATCGCGATGATCCCGTCATGCGTCCCCACGGCCACATAGTTCTGCCGTGGTTTGACTTTGCAGGACCAAATCCAGTTGTCCAGCTCACACACTTGTCCCAACCGAGCACCCTCCGTTGTCCAGAGTGTGACCTTCCGGTCAGATCCTCCCAAAGCGACATATTCACCGGTTCCAAAGTATGACACGGTGCAAGGGTCATATCCAAGTGGGCGATCCTTTCCCACTTGGCGACCGCTCAGTTGAAAGAAGGATAGTCTCTGATTCCAATCCGCCACAGCCAGGAGATCATATTCTCGGGTCGGGGATGGGTTCCATGCGATGGACCAGACGGGGCTATCTCCCCGCTCTATGCGAAGTCTCTCCTCGCCGCTTCTGCTGCGGATACTGATGTGACCGTTGAATAACCCGAGCGCAAATGTCTGTCCATCTGGCGTCCATGATACTGTGCAAATACGTGATGGGACCTGATATTGGGAAATATTGGTATACTTCCAGGTCTCAAGGCATAGAGCGATGCCTCAGGCTGCACATACCTTGTGTTTAGCAACGCTCTTGACGTCGGCAGACCAGATCCCGAAATCCGTCGCCGTACAGGAAACAACCTGCGATCCCACCGGACTTTCACTAATCGCTTGGATAGTATCGTTATGCGAATACTTCAGGATCCCCTCCAGCTTGTTGTTCCATATCACAACCTGCTTATCCGCTCCACCGGACGCAAACCCATTTGCCATGCCCGTCAGGCATAGTACGGTGTCTTTGTGGGCCTTTAACGAGCGGAGTAGCTCGCCTTCTGCTGCATCGTAGACTAATATCTCGGTCCCGGCGGTTGCGACGAGCTGGTTGCTGTGGTTGAGGAAGGCGACATCGTATATGGGTTGGCGAATGCCGTCTGTATCTTGCACCTAACCTTGCGGGGGTCAGCTCGATCAGATGATGTCCAAGATGGAGTTTCCCATGGAGGGCTCGTGGAACATAAAACCAGCCAGACATTGCGACGAGTCCTAGCGAAAGCCTAAGCAACATACCTTATCCTGCCATACGAGGAAGGACTTCATTTGTGTGAGCGGTTCCGAGTCAGCGGCGTGTGGGTATGCAAGGGAATGGCCCTGCGCACGCACAACCTGGTTGGTTTGGGCGATAGTTCAGTAAGTCCAAATCCAACGCGAAACCCAACAAACGCGTCGCGTGGGAATCTGGGAATGCCAACCAAAATCAGAATGCCAACCATCTGGACATGCCCTCAATGGACTGCACACGGCGGAAAGAGCAGCCCGGATCTGCAGAAGCCTACATAAACAGTATATAGAGTGAAAGAGTAGAGTCCAGATACCAGATACCAATGCGAGAGGAATAAATGGGCCATGGTTGTGAACGGAAAAAGTATCGGGAGGCATATATGGACGTCACACATACGCTACATAGGACTCCCATGAAATCAACACGAACGGCCCTTTGGCTCTTCTGGCAAGTGTTACCGTATAGCCAGATATCATCTCGGGCTGGTGTTCCAAGCTAAAGCTCGAAACTGGGACCTTGAATCATCATAGCTGGCGTATTTTCCCTCAGAGTCCACTTCACAACCATGGGAGGTGGTTCCAGATGTTTTTCGCATGACTCGCGGCAGGGATGTGGTTCTCCCGACTCAGGGTGGTGTAAAAGCAAGGAAATCAAAATCGGATGTACCCACCACCGCGCGTAGCCCAGATATACCGGTATATGCCCTACACATACCGGTATATTCTGCAACATGACCGGCGAGCCATTGCGAGACATGTCCGGACCAGAAAGGACCTGTGGGCACAAACAATGCAGGCTGGTAAGCCCTTCAAACACACACACACACACACACACACACACACACACACTTACTTCCTGTCACGTCTCCTCACAGAAAGGACTTTCTGCGGCCGAGATTGAAATTGCGAGGCTTGAAATTGCCACCAATGCCACCGACAGCAGCAACGACACTGTGACGCTGAAGAAGGGCCAGCGACGACGAGAGAATGCGAAGGGGGTGCTGTTGGGAGGTTGGCTTTGGTGCAAGGGGAAGGATGGTGTCTGCGAGCATGGGGGATGGTTCCACCGACTCTGCTGCATGAAACCAGAGACAAGGAAACCTTGTTGGTGGTGCAATGACTGCCGACCCAGCAAGTACCACAAAAACAGGATTTGGAAGGAGGTGGAGGGAGCGATCGCTGCAGCGAGGGCAGCGGAGGAGACAAACAAGGAAGTGGGGGGAGAGGTCGCATTGGGCACTGTAGGGCACCCTGTCCTCGGAGGTTGGGCAGCGAGACCGAGGAGGACCCGGGCTTTGTGCGAGCGAAGAAGAGGAAAACAACACCAGGGGCTCGGGAACTGCAGCGACGAGAAAAGTTCAACAAACTGGTGGACGACGATCGAGCTGGAAGACCACCTTCAGTGTCGCAGATTGGAGTTGTCGACAAGCATGGGTACGATCGCCCAGTGGTGCTGGTATCCCCTCGCATCTCACCCATGCTCGATGCCAAGGCACTTGCTTATGGGGTTTCGCTCCCACGACGAGTACAGGAGTGGCTTGACAACAAAGAGACAGTAACCATCGTCGCTCAGATTCCGAATCGTGTACGAGGCTGCTTCCATCGAACTCCACCTGATGCAGACTTGAAGCCTCCGACTCTACTTCTCACCACCGACTCGATCATCTATGGCCTCGACAGCGACAATAAGTTCATCATTCTTGCATTGTATATGCCCAATGCATTCGGCGAGCGAGCAATGAACGAAATGACCAAGTGCTATCAAGCCTGGATTCAAGCCCCTCGGGCAGATTTGCAACCTGTTTCTCGTACAGCAAGTGTTCGCTATACCCATGAGCGAGCTGGGAGTCACCGAGAAAAGTTGGACGAGACATGCCGATCGACTCATTCAGGAACTTGGGTTCGTCGTGGACATGGAACTGTCACTCCAGTGGGCGAAGTGACTGGTAGTAAGAATGCTGACAGGTATGATGGTGGATGTCGTTGACTTGGTGCTCCCGACTTGCCCGCGAAGCTTAAACACGCGGAAGCTGGATCTAACCGGTCTTTGCGTGGTTACAACGGACAGGACAAGGTACTAGATGGTGGGCGGGCGTGTTCCGTCGCAACTTGACCTGTTCCACCGTGCTGAGAGGACGGAATGCCAACCCATCGTCCCCGAAGACACCCCGGCCCCCTCCCCTCTCCTCTCTGCCCCCTTCACCCTACGGAGACCTTCCCTCGTCTCTGTCTGCGCTGGCGGCGAAGGGCCATTTTCGGCGGTCCATAGTTCGCAAATCGCGTGTGCAGCTGAGCGAGGACGAACGTGTACAAGTCCGGTTGTGCTTGTGAATGTGTTGGTAAGTCAGAAGGAGGCTGAAGGAGGCAAGTGAGGTGGTGGTAGTCTGAAGAAACAGTGATCACAGCTGTAGTACGGCGTCGTCTTCTCCAAAGCGAAGTTCTATATATACAGTTAGTCACTCATCGTGAACGCACGAGCACTCACGCGTCACTGTCTGCGTCACTGTGCTCGTCAAGGATCATACGGAAGACGCGGCTTCATCCTCTGCATCTCAGGCAGCATCTCAGGGCCGTCTCAACTTCCCCCGTCGACCTCTTCTCAGCCGTTCCCTATTCGCTCTTCGAAGCAGCGGGTACATACATACATACATACTGTACATACTTACATACAGCGAAAAGGCTCATTTTCTGGAGCCCCCAACAACAGCTCAACCTCCGAGTCCTGACAGCTGTCACCCGATCTCCCAACATGTCCTTCACAACACGGCTCCCATCTCTGCCGCTCATCACGCTTACGCTACTAGTCCTCCTCTCGCTCCTGCGCCCCTCACCATCCCTCAACTCCAGCCTGCTCGTTCTCGCTCGGAAGCCAAAATTCGGGCAGGACACCAACTACGGCGATTACATGAAAGCCGCCAAATACGGCCGCTCGCACATGCACGACGGCACTGCTGAGGCTGCTGCCGAGGCGGCAGCCCAGCACGACACGACACCACCGCCGTCCGAGGATCCGAATCATTACAGCAAAGAGAGCGAGCAGGAAGATCTGTTCTACTTCTTCTCCCTAGCGGATCAGAACGGTGATCACTACCTCGATGGCCATGAGCTGAGACATACGTACACCACTGGCGGCGGGGAGCAATCGACGGAGCATCCGCCTAAGGAGCATCGGCTGCCGCTGGAGGAGGTTGAGAGCATGATCGATCATACGTTGCTGGAGGATGATATTGATGGGGATGGGAAGATTAGCTGGGATGAGTACTTGGCTAGTCAGTTTTACCATCAGAAGGTTTAGAGAGGGATTCAGAAAGCTTCATCCCGTATTGCGAGTTGGATGGTCGACAATCGTTCTATGTAGATATCGGTCGAGATTCCATAATGGATACTCATCTAACACACCTCTAAACACGATGGCCGCGCCGAATTCGATCAGATTTCGCACAGGTGTATCCGCCCGCGAAGTGCATTTTTGTCAATCGGGGAATGGCTTCTAATACACATCAGAAGACTTGATTGCATCACACTGTAAAGAAGACTCGAAAGATAGAAAGTCCTTGGTGCGGAGGAAGAAGCGTGCCAGCCGGTCTATAGGAAGGGGTTCGGCGTAGATGGCGCACACTTCACGCAGTTCCAGAACATATTATGGACGTCGATTCGTATGTCGTGAACACACGCCAATGACTATACATAAGCTAACTGCTCGCAAACATTTCTTATTCCTTGCATTCCTATTCGAACATGCAAAACTCATCCAGGTAGACCAGTATCTATGGGCAAGAGTATGGGTCTTGAGTATGTATGGAGCGAACAAGCTGCGACGCGACGATTCGATTGCAAACCCGGGAAAGAGAAAGATGAAAAAATAAATGTGACGAGAGTGGGGTTCGAACCCACGCCCCTTGCGGGATTACGGCCTAAACGTAACGTCGTAGACCACTTGACTATCTCGCCTTGAGCGCCCCCTAAAACATGAATCCTTTTACAAAGACTCTTCATGCCGCGCAGGTGAATCTACCTCGAGTTGACCATCTCGTGCAAAACCTCATCCCCAACTCTGTCTGGCGGGATCATCTTTTTCCTCCAACTTCTGCCGTTTTCTCACCACACCCTTATCCTCCGGTGAGGGAGAGACATGCAGAATACCAACACGACCTTCAAAGCGCTCCACCTCTTGCCTTGCTCAAGTTAACCCAATAGCGGTTGGCCGTATCCATATTATGCACGGCAATGCCACCGGCTGCTGTTGGAGCAATATTGCGTGTTGTGCAAGCCCGGCGCCACCTGTATAGTCTCGCTGATGGCCGGCGTGTGCATACAAGCTCCGCAGTTTGTTCGGATATTCGGGTATACTACATATGCATCCACATCCAAACAGGCGATATCGGCCATCTCGCCTTCATAGAATGACAGCGTGTTCCGTTAGATGTAGTCAGTCAGCATGGTTTCCCATGAGTAATTCCAAAGCCGAGCACTTCACCTTGGCCAAGTTGAGATGGCGCCTCGAATTTTACCACGGCCTCCACCGGCCTTGGAAACAGACCTACGTGGAAGACTCGTATGCGTCTATCTGATTGCCGTGCCTTCTTGGGTCAACGGCATTTACTCGTGGTTTATTGCGGATGGGACGAGTCGGGGATGCAGAATAAGCCTCTCTGTCTATCACATTGATGGCGGCTCGAAGCAATATCTGCTCTTGCCTCATGTGGTCTGGGGTAACTGGGTGTGAAAAGTCTGACATCTGACGGCGGGTTCGCGTGAGGTACAAAGCTCGTAACTCCGACATATCTATCATACATGTAGGTAGACGCGCTTGACGTCACTGTCGCTCTGCGCTTATCCGTGGTTCCTCTCCATGAAGATGCAAGCGCCAATGCATCATCCAGGAGCTCGTTCAAGGGCACCCGTCCCTCGTCGGATACAGATTGTTCCATTCGCATCATGATTCATTCGACGCTCGAAACGTCATGATCTGCCGTGTGGGGTGGAGTGCCAAGAATGTGCTTCATATTACTTTCCATAAAATGCTGCCCTGTTGTTGAAGCCTCCAAGGCCCTCCTTACCTTTGGACTCTACTCGCTGGCCTAACAGGGAAAGGTTCACGCCAACAATCCAATCTGATTTCGTATAGCACCCAAAGGGTCGTTCATCACCCGAAACGATCGAAGATAGAGCAGAATCTCAGACGACCAGCTATGTCGCTTCCCCTACCTGTCGTCTGCTGCGAATTCGGCACCGGTACGTCAATATTTCTCCTACTCATCCTTCACACACTCCTCATGCTTACTCGTTCCCGCTTTTCCCCACGAAACCAGGTCCCTGCGGCTGCAAAGTTGTCGGCCCAACCCTCGGCTTCCTCTTCGCCTGCATAGCGGCGATCCCGTTCTGGCTCGCCGGCGCTGTGCTGTGGATCGTATGTCTGCATGAGATGGCGCGCAGGGCGTTCATTACGCCGTCGAGAGTTTGGGCGGGGACCGCGGGTTGTATACCGTTTTAGCGAACGTGGGGTGGGTTGGGAGGTTGAGTAGGAAACGCATCAGACGTGGACGCCGCGTTTACATCGAGGTGTTGGGATGCAGCGATGGGCATTTTTGGGGAGCAAGGATTTGTAAATGGATCAGCAATGCTTCGGATCGTCAAGGCCCTTGGCCATGTACATGTAGGGCAAAATAGAAATCAGTTCATGGTGGGGTCGAGAATATCAGCTCGCCTGTATCCCAACGTCTGCAATACATCATCGGAAGACCGCGTTCGCGAAAGGCCAAATGACCAGCTGCCGACAACGCAACAGGTACCTTCAAAGGGCATGTCTTCCCTGTGGGGCAAACGAAACTCTCCCCACGTCTATGAACTACGAAAAGGGGACGTCTCGATTATTCATGGAAGAGTGATTAACTGGTGATAGTGAGGGGGGTGCTACAGACTACGTAACGTATGTACAAAACTGATGACCGATTATTTGAGTGAGAGCCAAAAGAGGTGTTGATCGTGATGATAATGATGGTGGCAGTATGATATGTTGCAGTACGCCGCGTCGCTAGCCAAGAGTAACGGGTGCGACTGAAGGTGGAAAGCATTTCCTGTTTTGTGATGGTGTCGTTTTCCAGTTTATGACTTCCTTATCGCGTCTCCCTCAGTCTCCAGAAGACGATTAGGGCGATCAAGACCGACAGGATGACGAAGATTGCCGCCTCCATGGCGATATCGAACGTAAACTTGTCCGCATTGAAGCCGAACTTGAGTAAGACTGTGAGATGAAGAGGGGCGACACAGGTTGAGCCTTGACCAGACAGAAAGGGACGGACATATGTTAAACTTACCAACAGAGGCAGGAACGCTCAATCCTACGCCAGAGACATTGTCTTGGATGGTCAGGCCCGAAAGGTCGTTCACGACTAGAGCTTCGTAGGCATAGCGGAAGACGGAAAGGTATTGGATCCATCTTAGGGCACTGGGTATCTGGTCTGGAAACGAGAATGAAAGACATGATCAGTCTCGCTGGTCGGTAATTAGGAAATTGATGATCCGCATACCTTGATTCAGCAAGAAACCGGCAAACAGCATTTGAAACAGCAACACAATACTAGCCACCAAGTTCGCCGTCCCAACATCCCGGACCGCACACGCGATCAGTAAACACAAGCACCCGGCATTGACAGCAAACAGCGTCATAACCCCAATAAAAGTCGCAAAATGCGCGCCGACGGAGGTAAGCCCTACCATCCAGAACGCAATCGATCCCATAACAACGGCCGGCACGACGCGCAGGGGGATGATATCAAAGACGAACCGGGAGACGAGGAAGGGTATGACGCCGTACACGCCGTTGGCGCGCTCGCGAATGAAGATGGCGCGTTCCTGGTGCAAGGAACCGATCGCGCTGAGGCCAGAGAAGCCGAGGAGGGACATGATAAAGAAGATTGATCCGAACCGGTTTTGAATGCCGCCAAGGGAGTTGTCGGAGTGCCAGTAGAGGCCGCCGACAAAAGCGCCCAATGCGATGGCGATGCCGAGATGCGTGCCCCATAACCCGGGTCGCCGCCAGAAATTTCGCCACCCCCGACCTAGTAAGGTTTGTAGTTTGGTGAGGAAACTGATACGGTAGGCTTTATCGTCCGCGGCCATGTCCCGCTCGGATCCGGCGGGTAATGTGAATGACGATAAAGAGTTCAGTGACCTTGGCCGTCTTAACAGGCTGTTCCGTGATTGTTTGGAGCCGTCCTCGTTGGACGCGTCGGACGCCGCTCTGTCCCGTGCCGATCCCGCTTTCTGCGCAACCGAAACTGATCGGCTCTTGACCTTGCGGGACTTGCTTTTTGTGTCGTCGCCATGTTGCCCAACGGGGATATCGATGATAGCAGCCTCATAGGGATGTGGCGACCGCGCAGACTGCCCCCCTTTCGTCGTCGTTTGCATTTCAGGCATCTCCCACTCCTCGTGAGCACCATGCCTTTGTGAAACCGCCACCGTCTGAACCTGGGTCACGGTCGGCCCCGACGCGCCATTCGCGAGATCCAGCGCCCAATCCGCGACACTGTACTGCGGCGGACACGGCTTCCCTATTCGGGCGAAATAATCCTCCATCTCATCCGCGGGGCCAAAATACATAATCTGTCCGTTCTGCAGAACCAGAGTATCATCAAACATGGCAAACACGTCTGACCGGGGTTGGTGGATGGTGAAGATGACCGTTTTGCCCAGCCTGTGCGCTAGATCCGTGATGGTTTTTATGGCCGAGTGCGCGTTGTAGCTATCCAGGCCGCTGGTGGGTTCATCGAGGAACAGGATTGCGGGGCTGGTTACTAGTGCGACGCCGATGCTTACACGCCGCTTTTCTCCGCCGCTGATTCCGCGTTTGAGGGACCCGCCTATCCGCGAATCGGCGATGTGCGAGAGTCCTAGTGATGCGATGACCTCGTTGACGATGTCCTTCTTATCGGATGTAGACGTGGATTCTGGTAACCGCATGTTGGCGGAGAACATCAGGGTCTCTCGGACCGTCAGCGTATCCATCTATTTGGATGAAATGAGTGAGAACAACCCAAACTGCGGGAAAAGCCATATGTACGGCGAGACTTACCAACAGATCTTCTTGATCAACGTATCCCACCAAACGACGGTACTGCGAGATCGACAGCGCCTCGCCATTGACCAGCAAAGTTCCATCCAAATCTCCACTCTTCGCCTTTCCAGCAACGATATCCAAAAATGTAGATTTCCCAGCCCCCGACGGCCCCATGACAGCCAGCGCCCGTCCCGGCTCCATCTTCCCAGAGATATTCTGCAGAATCTTCTTCCCGCCAATCGCATAACTGAGGTTCTGCACCTGTAGTTGCGCGCCTCGCCTGCCCTTTGGTGCGGTTCTACTCCGTGCTGCAGCGCGTCTGACGCAGGCTAAGGCGAACGCGGCGATGATTGCGGCTACTAGGCCAAGGGCGGCTGCTACAGTGATGATGCCGCCTGTCCCGAGAGTTTGTCCGCCGGCGAGAAGCGATTCGCCGGGATCGTCGCTTGGGAGAGCGCACTCGCCGTGGCGGCAGTTTTCGAGTTTGAACCCGTTGGGGAAGAGGGCGCCAAGGAAGTCAACTGGGGATATGAAAGACGCGAGTGCGTCAGCTATGACCTTCGCAGATACTCCTTTGAGCAGCCAAAGTCGCTGGACTTACACTTGATAATACAGTCGCTGCTCGTAATGTTACCCCCTCGCCCACAGCTAAACTTCAACAGTCCACTTGCGCTGTTGATGATGGGGCTCAAGTCCGGCGAGCCTGGTGTGCCACCGCACAAGGCAGCTCCGGGTGTACAGGCACAACTGAGATCAGAGCAGCTGTATTTGACCTCGTCGGCCTGTCGGTCCTGCTGACACTTTCTCGCACGGCATATGAATTGCTCGAGGCCAGTGTACCATAATGCTCCGTAGGCATCGCCGGTGGTCATGTCTTTGTCCACGGTTAAGGTACTCTCCTTCGGGAACACTTGAGTAAGGAGAGGTTCTGCAAAGTAACGAGAATGAGTCTCCATCGCTCTTTGGTCTTGTTCTGCCGCGCGAAATGCCTTGTTCGGATGGCGCATTGAGACGAACCTTTTACGTCACAGTAGCTATGTCCAACTTTCCATGTCACAGGGTCCTGGTTGCAAACCAGGCTCTCACCCAACGCCGTCCCTGATCCGCCTTTACACACATCGTTCCTCGTGCAGACATTGCAGTTCACTCCAATGAAACCATCGTCACATTGGCAAGTACCGCCCACCGGCCGCGCCTGGCGATTCGCGGCCTGTTGATTCGGCGACCCGCATGTCGGCTGCCCACAATCCTCTGCCCCGAATCCTGCGGGACAGCTACACACATTATTTTGACAAGTTCCAAAGTTTTTGCAACCCTTGTTTTCGAAAGGACAGTTCAAAAAGCGTTAGCGTGGCGCGGCATTAAAGCATGAATATATACGCACTCGGCACACACCTGGTTATTGCAGTTGAAGCAAGTAGTAGCCGGACAAGTAGGAGCAGGTCCCGCTACCGTTTGCGTTACTGTAACTGTCGCCGCTGGTGGAGTCGCTACAGGAGTTGCTGGAGGAGTGGCTGGAGGCGTTGTTGGGGGAGGAGGTTGCGCAACGGCCACACTTAAGAACGAAGTAGCGACCGCCAACCCCACAAGGCTGGTGAGTCCGCGCATGGCCGGGTTGAGTACGTATCGATGTCGGAGTTGCTGTCAAGACCCAGAAGCTTCCCGAGCGTCGGGCGGCCCCAGTGATATTCTCCCCTTTATATGAATATCCGTTCGTTCCAAGCTATCCAATTCAACAAACGTGGAGCGAGGTCGGCGAAAGTTTTCGGATAAGGGTCCGACCTGCGCCAAAGAAGATAATGGAGATGTCTCTCTCCCGCGTGCGTTTTGCCCTCAGAAAGCGTTACCGGCCTCGTAGCTGCTCGTGTCAACGCCAGAGGCCACACCAATGGCCGTACGAATGTGGAGGCTGCGGGGGGTGTTGGGAAAGTGAGCAGTTGGGCGAAAGGTCCATCCAGAAAGCGGAGAGGGAGGGGGCCGTCACTTTTGCCTCGAACATAGGGCAGGACGCTGGGATCGGCCACAAAGTCAGCGGCTGCCTGCGTCCGTAGTTGTTGGGGGGGGATCTGCGCCGCCCAGAAATGATATGATACCGACGTCGCGAAAAGTTACACAATGCGGGCCATTGCGGGCCATTATTATTTGTTGAACACTGCATTCGCAAAACTTTGCAATTGTTGCTTGCGCGCCGCTGAACGCTGGAGGGTTGAGAACGGCACGCAAACGGAGTTGCTGTCCATCCACAACCGGGCGGGCAACTGCTCCATCGTACGATCGCAAATTTGGCTTCCCTGAAAAGTTGGCGACGGGTTTTAGTTACCGCTTCGACGGTTTCGGACAACCTGGTCGTCTTGTCACGTTGTTTTCCTATCCATCTCATCCAAGTGTGATCAGCCAAGGGACATCCGAATGGCACTTATTCTACTCCTCGCTTCTCTTTCTTTTCATCGTCCAAGTTTATTCACATTTACAACGCTACCGGTTTTTACAAAAATATTACAAGACGCTGACAAGGCTCAAAGCCCTTGCCATTACATAGAATCCCCCTCACCAGCATCCGTCACTCCTGACTCCCGCGGATCTGCGCGCCTCAGGATCTCCCGCAGGTCTCCCTCGTATTAAGTTTATCGTACAGCGACACTAAGCGACGAAAGGAAAGGTGTTGGTCAGCGAAGAACATGGCAGAAACTGTTGAAACAAACAAAACCGAAATGCTATACTCACATGTCATCAATCTTCATGATCATCTTGACGGTCTCCGCAGCGAGGTTGATAGCGCTGGTAGACACCAATAAAGGTTGAACGACATTCTCCTCCAAAATGTTGGTGATGGCGCCTTTTCGGACGTTAATACCGGCAGTCACCTCCCCCTTGGCGTGACGGTTGCGCAGCTCGGTCACAATCGCGATGGGGTGAAGACCAGCGTTCTCTGCCAAGGTGGTGGGAATGACCTCGAGGGCCTCCGCGAAAGCTTGGAAGCAATATGCCTCCATGCCCTTCAGAGTCCTAGCGTGCTCCATCAACCGCCGGGACGCCTCAATCTCGGGTGCACCTCCTCCAGCGATCAACGCGCGCTTCTTGACCAAGCATCGCAACACGCAAAGCGCGTCGTGCAGAGAACGCTCCGCCTCCTCCAGAACCAATGGGTTGGAACCGTGAATCAATATAGAAACGGTCTTTCCTGCGTTCTTCACACCGAGGGCCTTCACGACCTTTGCTCCCGAGCTCTCCACCTCCTCGACGACATCAGCATATCCGAGCTTGTCTTCCGTAAACGAGTCAATGTCCGCAATGGGTTTGCATCCCGTAGACTGATAGCGGGATAGGGTTAGAAGAAATGGTCTATCCCATGGCAAAATTCGGAGAGGCTGACCTTGCAGATGAACTCGATTTCGTCCCTCTCGATATCCCTGATGGCGAGAATCTTCAGCTTCGCCAGGAAGTGAAGCGACAACTCGTTGACGGCATCCCTCAGAATAGACTTTTGAATCAGGAGGACATTGCACCCGGTCTTCTTGATTTTTTTGCAGATGTTCAGGAGATATTGACGCTCTTCCTTGAGAATCTTGTCCATTTGTCGGTAATCGTTCACTACAACCTGATTCTCCATCTACACGATTGGAAGTCAGTGCCGGTCTCAGCTTGCACTCTAGAAACGTACCGTCACAACTCACGTCAGGCTTCGGTGGGGAGAGCTGGAACTGAATCAACCCAATTTTCGCCTTCTCCATGCGAGTTGGGCCGCCAGCACTCTTGATGACGTTTTGGGTTAACACCAGACCATCGATCAGCTCCGTATCATCGAGGGTTCCTCCGACTTTCTGCACTAATCGAATGTCCTTAAGGTCTACATTGTCTGTGATCGCAGGGTCAATGACTCTTAAGACACTGTCGACGGCGATGGGCGATAGCAGACTGGAGTATTGTGAAACGATCTTAAAATGAGGTCTTTATCAGTCAATGGTTCGAAGTACAAGAAATACAAGTTGATTCGCACCTTGGAGTTCAAAGATGTTGTGGCACTCTTCAACAGCGATTCGCGGTCATTCAAGTCCAATGGCACGGACATCTCGGTGAGATATTCGCACACTTTTGCTGCGGCACGCTGGAACGACTCTGCGATGATGGTAGGATGTATTCCTGAATGGCCCCAATTTTAGCTTCACTCGTGCGGCTTAATAATCCTGCCCGAACTGAGCTCACCCTTGTCCAAAAGTCCCTCGGCAGCAGTCAGAAAGCTTCCAGCCAGAACTACGACAGATGTTGTTCCATCTCCCGCCTCCACATCCTGTGCTGCCGACAAATCGACCAACTAAAATCGACGAAAGAGCCGAAATCGTTATGATTCAGGTTCACCCATGGCTCTACAAGTCTGCATAATCAAAGCCCTACCATCTTCGCCGCGGGGTGAAGCACCGACATGTGCTTCATGATCGTCGCTCCATCGTTGGAAATCACCACGCTTTCCCCAGCTTTCCCAGTCTGGATCTACAATTCATCGCGTTAACATTCCCACCCATGACTTTCCGCAAGGACGAGCAAAGTGAGGGTATGTACCATTTTGTCCATCCCCTTGGGACCCAGACTCGTTCGGATAGCATCGGCGACGGCTGAAAACACGGAAATGGGGCGCCGTTAGATCACGTCCAGATCATCTGCGCAATTTCCAGATTCCCATGATCGTCTCATATATTTGGCTGTACTTTCGGACCGATCTGTCCTTCCCCCTGCCCCGCCCTGCACACCGCCCGTCGAACGTTATCGTCGAAAACGCGTTGGCAAATGTTTCCACGTACCCTTCGCTGCGATGATGTTGCTGGTTCGGACTTCGATTGGCTTCTCCTTGTCCTGGAACTGCTTCGCCTTTTGGACCATCTTGAGATATGCGTTCTACGGATTTCGGAGTTACTCTGTGGACAGATCAACAGTACAGCGGACTGATAGATGGATGGATGGATGGATTCGCTGCGGTGCTGGATAGCTCGTCGTCGTCGTCGTCGTTGGTTGGATGGATGGATAGTGCACAATTGATTCCGCGTCGCAATGTCGACCGCGACATCCTAAATCGAAAAGTGCACAACTTCGGACAACCGCTAATCAAATATATAACTAATTCTTAACATGCGTGTTGAGCAACAAGTTTAAACATCTTAACATTCGTATTCATAAGATGCTCCTAATGGGCTAACCCCAAAACAATCCTTCCCACCGATTTGTCTAGCGAGTGTCTATCTCGGATGCTCTGGTAAAGCGTTTTGCAGATGCTTCCCCGTCGCTTCTGCGACGCCGTGCATGCCTCATGGAAGAAGGTACACTACCGGCATTGATCGTTTCACCCCTCCAGCATCCCCATGCCGCTACTCCGCCCGATTTCCACGGATGGGAACATTGTATGCAGAAGACAAGTCCCCCGCAAGTATGGCAAACCTGCATTCCGGCGAGCCGTTCGCAGCCAATGCGCCAGCGTCCGCGCATGCGGGGCATGAGAGCTCTCAACAAGGCTGTATCTTACAGTACGTCGAAGCGCCCTCCTCACTCGCCGCCAGTAGTCCTGTCAATGACGCTAGTCGGTCCCATGGCTGTTTGATCTGTGATGTAAACAAAGAGCGATCAGCACACGATCGGCCGTAACTCGAATATCCGCCTCACTCAGACGGTGATCAGCCAGTCAGTAGAATGATTTGTCGGCACTTCCGCCCTCGCCCGCCACACAACGAAGCATCCACCCCACGGCATTCATCTAAGGTTCCCAACATGTTCCGTCTCCCCTTTACACGCATGCCCGACCGGCTCTCGAGCAGTATGTCTATTGTGAGACGTCCAAGGATGCGAACTGAATCGCGATATGATATGCAAACAGCAGCCAAAGCCGCGTTCGAAGTAACAACCTGACCCAGTGCACCCAAGGATGTGGTCGATGTGTGTCCGCTTTTACGACTCCCAGATGATCTAAGTCTGGGAATTACGTCTCGAACATTGGGTGTACTTATGCCGCTTTTTCGAGTGGTGAAGGCTTCGGTTGGCTGTGTGCGACGATCGTGGGCAGATCTGACCTTTTACATGGGCATCATCGTGGCGTGCGACCACCGCCTCCCTTCACCTCATTCTCGTGATAACTAGTGCGCTTACCTTTTGTTGTACTGTACATACAGTACCTATGCCCGGAAGGCTGATCTTGCAAGATTGAACTTTGGTTTACGACCTGGGCTGCCCATCTTTTTGGGCAATTTCAGGCGTTCGATTGGCGGGTGGCGCAGCCGATGTTATCGCATCCTGTCAGTCAGCTGTCAGTCGGTGTCACCACCAGCCAGCAAAACGACAGATTACGATCAATCTTCAATGCTCACGAAACCCTCAACCGCCCAAACCATCTTTTACCCTTTACAGTACTCCACGCTGAAGCAAGACAAAATGCGCCTCCTCACCACCACCACTCTCCAATTGGCCGTCCCTCTCCTCCTCCTGGCCACTTCACCCGCACGAGCTCAAGCTGGAGGCGCCATCCCAACACCGGGAGCACCTGTGGTGATTCCTCGCCCTGTTGACCCGCACCAGGAGCCTAGTGGTGTCCCATCGGGTGTGGTCGCTGTGCCCCCTCTGACCTCCGCGACTGCCATTGCGACTGCCATGGCCACGGCAACTACGACCACCTTGACCTCCTCGTCGGCGAGCGCGACGCAGACGCCCACTGTGGTTGTGATGGATACTGGGAGCAGCAGTCAGGCAACTCTGACGACGATAAGCACTGCAACTCCTACGATGGGCGCAGGGGCGGCCGCGGCGACCAACGGGGGCACTAGCCGTCATCGAGCACCAGTCGCTGCTGGGCTCGTGATGGCCGTTATTGTTTCTGCGGGTCTCATTTGAAAGACTTGAATACCTTCCATCGGATCGTTTCTGTAAATCTGGCGTAAGCGCTGGCGTTCAATATCCCCCCGCATAAGGTGCACGACATCAAAACACATAAGCATTTCAAATTACTAGACGTGACCAGCTGGTAGACCTCCTTAGATCTAGATACTGCATCGATGTGCTCCTGACTTACTTCATGAACCGTACATTTGCCTGGCCAGAAGCTGTAAGCCCTGTTGTCATCAAAGCCAGAAGGCGCCATGTCATAATGTAGACGAACTTGGAAAGTTGCAGAGACGAATCATGGTGCAGCTTCGCCTTCCTCTATATCTCTTTTGCGCCATCACTGTTAACTAATGAAGGTGGGAGCGCGGAATGAGAGACGATCTAGCTATTCAGAAGCGCTGGTTTCAGCACAATTAGGCCAAATGCCCAAAGAAACCCGTAAATCCATGAATATGTCGCTGTGCAGTCGTTCTCGGCCTTAACGACACCTTGATAAAATGTCAATGAATCCAAATTTACAAGTCTCCGCCTACCGAAGGTGGGGCATGTTGATTGTGTTTGTAAGACGCCTTATTCAAACGGTAAAGACTGGCAAGACCACAAACGGTAAGAGGGGCTTCGACATCAAACCCTCTTGCCGTACATAGACCTTCGTATGCCTCTCGTACTGGTAATGGCGCCTCAGTGTTTCGTAGCAGGCATCCGTGTAGGGTAATGTCCTGCAACATCCACATGGATGTGCTCACTACTATTCACATAACGCCCAAAATAAACAATTTTGGACCTCAGCTTACATGCACGCATCCATTCAGAGTCCATGAGGCCAGATATGCAGCGCTGGACCGCCAAACGTCCTGGCATCGGTGATCATGGCGCCTTGACCGCTGAAGACATCATATGGACAAGTCCAAATTGCCAGTGTATTAGCTAACAGGGTGCAATGCCATATGCTCTCGCATATATCCTTATCGTCCGCCGGCCGAAGTTTGTAGCAGACCGTACGCCGCCAGTCATCCGTTGTATTCGGAGCGTGACTCACGCGCGTTACTAACACATGAGGTCATATGCATCTCGTCTCTTCGTCCCTCAAGAGCACACCGCTTTTGCGAAAGAGGTCCTTACATTACGACGTTCACCAGAACCACCGCCCTAATTGACAAAATATATATGGCTAGATTCTGAAGCCCTGCACTCGCAAGAACGACTCTATAGCTCCAGTCCAAACCCTTTTCGTCTTCCGCCAATCAGTTTCCACCCGCCATGACGGACCTAAACAACGACGACCCTTTCGCTATGCAAGTCAAGCGCCTGCAAGCAATGGGCTTCCCAGACGGCGACATCAACCGTGCAGCCCTCTTCAAAACAGAAGGAAAGATCAACGCTGCAGTCGATCTCATCGTCTCCGGCGCACCCCTCACCCCCATCACAATCGAAGACGCAAAACACTACTCCCACGACGAATCCCGCCCACCGCTCAACCCCCTCCTCACCGACTTTGACCCGCTCCTGCGGAAACAGCCCTCATCCGCAAACCTCGGGGGTGTGAGTCCCGGCCGGTCGCCGACGACACAGACGTATATGCGCAAGTTCAAGCCGTTACCGCCGCCGGAGCAGCATAAGATATTCCAGCTGCATCAGATGGGGTTTAAGCAGGAGGGGAAATCGAGGGATGCGTTGAATAGGACAAAGGGGAATGTGGACGCTGCTGTGGCGCTCTTGTTGGAGAAGGGCGATGAGCTGAATGAGGATTATGAGTGTACGAACCCGCTGCCGAAGGCCGGGACGGGGTTGGCGCCGTTCAGCGCACCGCTCCCATCTACGAGTGGAGCCGGATCGACATGGACGTCCTCGTTGCAAGAGCTGAACGCTGTCAACTGGGGAGCGTCGCAGAACAGACCGGCACCTTCACCAGCGTCGAATGCGGCCGCGCAGTCCTTGACATGGAATGTCCAACCTCCGTCGTACCAGCCACCATCCACGGGCCAGGCTTGGGCGAATCGGAGTATTACCTCAGGATATGCACCTATGCTCTCCAATCGATCCCCGCAACCGCAAGCAGCGGCCGCACCACCACCAATCAACCCATTCGAAGATCCGTTCGCCGATGATTTCCGTATCGACAAATGATCGCTCTGCTAGGAACGTATCTTCTCTCAAGGCCTTTGGCCCTTTTTTCTCGTCGTCCGCCCACCAACTATGTAGATATTCTCTGCTCACACCGCTCTACCTGACACATTCTGATGTCCCTGTATCTGGCTACCCTGCAACAAACAGCGAAGTAGCGCAACAATGTACTGTACGTAGTCGGATCCCATTTGGGTTTCTTATGAATAGTATATTACGATCCGCCGAATGAGATACTCCTCTCAGAAACGTAAAGCACAACTGATTCTTCGCCACTGTAAGATTCTGCCTGCCTATGTAATCGACGTACGCCATATCGAGAACTATGTACAGAGGCCGGACCAGCTTACGGCAGCAATGGGTTTTTACGCTACAGCTTTTCTCCTCCCTTCACCGCCAATGCGCATGCAGGCAATTTACCTCTCTGCATCATCCTTGGCCTTCGGCATAGCCTCCCCAAACTTCTTCTCATGGATCGCCGAGCGGAGCGGCATCAGCGCCTACATTCAAAGAGAGGTTTCAAACATCAGCTTCGACCCAACCGGGTAGTCTCCCACTCGTCCCTCTTCGTAGTCGGGCTGAATCTCATCGATCTTCATGTGGCATATAGAAAGAATCCGCAAGAATCCGCACCTGGCTGTCGACATAGTCTTTGCAGGCATTACACCACGACGAGAGGTCGCTGAAGCTGACGCAGACAGGATGGTGATCTTTTTGCGCAGGAGAGGAGTGATGCAGGGTCACGATTAGGTGATGAGATTTCGCATGACATATGCCGGAGCTTTGCTTGATGGGTTATGGAGTTGAGGCACGGCTTACATACCCTTCTTCCAATGAGCCTTCATGTGTTTGAGGATATATCTGGCGGGTGTCCCAGAAAAAACGGCGGATCGTTAGTTCATGGTCCCAAAGGCTTTCCCTCCACACATATGCTTTCAAAAGAGAAAGTACCTCGAACAGAACACTCCACTACAATGCGCGCAAATCCAGTTCTCCAATGGCTCTCCACAATCTTGACACGGCATCTCGCCTGCAGCCGAATTTCGTGATGAGTATAACGAAATATAAACTGGCTCGCAGACCGACATATTCCGTACAACGTTCCTTAAACCTCACCCTCAAGTCCTTCCGGAATAGTCACAGTAGCGGGTACATGCGGGCAATCGGTTCGAGGTGTGACAGCGTAAAAGTTTCCGCCGAGGGCGTTGACGTCGCCTGGACGAGCGTCACTGGTTGAAGATGACATGATGACGACAGAGTGGTGCCAAAGCTGAGAAATTGTGAATATGGATATATGGTTTCTAGAACCTTGTGATGGAAGGGTTGTTTTTGAAATGCTCAAGGGGTCACTGCCAAAGCCAGAATGCGACAAAGTTCTTGAGCGTGCGCAAGTGACAAAACGCGCACGGCTGTTGCTGACTCAGCACACTCCGCCCCCATGGGTTCTCTCATAGGTACGTAGCTACTTCTGGGCACGTACCGAACCCACTTCCCCTCCCCAACGCCCTTCGCTGCTGGCTACTCGTATTTCGCGCATTGCCTTTTTCAGCTACTTCCTCATAAAGCGATTTCCTAGATCTCGATGGTGTAGATTTCTTCCCTTACACAAATCGACTCGGCTTCCCTTTCGTTGAACGGCTAGGTGAGTTAAAAAACGGGTTCCGCTTGTCTGTGGTTGCCGGCGCAAATGGATATGGATATGGTAGTGTGCACAACGGGCCTTCACCATCTTGTCTCACCAATTTTTCTCTCGTCTCCGCAGAACAGGTCGCATCCCACACTCCCAAAGCGCCTACTTTCGGTCCATTGATACCCCACGCACACACCGAACAGCGCCACAAACCAAATCCAAAAAACACCTTGCTCCAATACGTAAACCATCAATCGAGAATAACCCAAACTCCCACCTTTTCTACTTTCGGCCGTCGTCTCCAAGATGGGTTGCTTCTTGTCTGCCGAGGAGAAGGAGAACAAGCGCAAGAATGACGAGATTGAGAATGCGCTCAAGCAGGAGAAGATTAAGCTGCGTAATGAGGTCAAGATGTTGTTGCTTGGTGAGTTTTTCATTCATTTTACCTATTCAAAATCCTTGCATGTGCATCACTATTGTTGAGACTACGGACAGCTTTCTAACTTTCCTTTTCGTACTCTTTCCACCAAATTTCTAGGCGCGGGAGAATCAGGCAAATCGACCATTCTGAAACAGATGAAGCTGATCCACGACAACGGATACAGCAACGAAGAGCGTGAAACCTTCCGTGAGATCGTCTTCAGCAACACCATCCAATCCATGCGCGTCATCATCGAAGCCATGGCGATGATGGGCATCCAGCTCGCCAACCCGGCCAACGAAACCCACAAGGCCGTCATCCTCGAACTCCCCCACCAAATCGAAGCCGAGTCCCTTCCCCCGGAAGTCGCCGCGGCAGTCAAGACACTCTGGACCGACGAAGGCGTGCTCGCATGTTTCGCACGCAGTCGCGAGTACCAGCTGAACGACTCTGCAAAGTACTACTTTGACTCGATCGACCGGATCGCCGTCGCCGATTACGTGCCCACTGACCAGGACGTGCTGCGTTCGCGTGTCAAGACGACGGGAATCACTGAAAACACCTTCCATATTGGGGACCTCACCTACCGCATGTTCGATGTCGGTGGGCAGCGCTCCGAGCGTAAGAAGTGGATCCACTGCTTCGAGGAGGTCACCGCCATCGTGTTCCTTGTCGCCATCTCCGAGTACGACCAGGTGCTTGTGGAGGACGAGACCGTGAACCGCATGCAGGAGGCCCTCACCCTCTTCGACTCCATCTGCAACTCGCGGTGGTTCGTGAAAACCTCCATCATCCTCTTCTTGAACAAAATCGATCTGTTCCGCGACAAGCTGCCCAAATCGCCTATGGGTAAATACTTCCCCGACTTCGAGGGCGAGGACGACTACGACGCGGCTTGTGAATACATCATGAACCGGTTCGTGTCGTTGAACCAGAGCGACCAGAAACAGATTTACTGCCATTTCACCTGCGCTACCGACACGACGCAGATCAAGTTCGTTATGGCGGCCGTGAATGATATCATCATTCAGTCCAACTTGAGGGATGCGGGTCTCATGTAGATAAAACAGAAAATCTGAAGAAAATCGTTGGGGGAGGGAAGTGGAGACATGGTTGCGGGTTAACCTGTTTTTGTCGGCGGCGGTGCTGGGGGCCGGATATAATCCTTGTGTATCCTCTCATTTTCGTTGGGCGGCTTGGCCCTTTGTGATGGACTGTCTTTTTGTTGCTTGTTCTTTGCCTCTTGTTGAGATTAGAGTATTCTTGTGATTGTAAGGGATTGCAATATACAAGGAAAGAATTTCAATGTACTCCTTGCGTCTCTGGTAATTTTCGATGAACAGTAACCAGTACCTCGACTCGCAGGTTTTGTAACATTATGGTCGACGTGAACGTCTCAGTATCACACGAAGCTCGGTTCGAAAGTCGATGCAAATGTATTGAAGTTTCAAAAAAGAGAACGATGTGATGCGCCTTCAGGGTCATTCTCCGCTGTGCACTACAGCGAAAGCATTTAGCCTATCTACAATGTTGGGGTAGCGAGAGCGAACGGTAGGGAATATGGTATGTATACAGTGAAGGTGGGTGCGCAAATGACCTTAGAGCGCCTGCTCAGAGAAGGCCGGGTTGCTGGCCTGAACCTCCGCCCACGTAGTCTTCTCCTCGACGAGGTTCTTCACGATGTCGACGATATCCGCGATCTGTGAAGGACAAAGTCAGACACCATGCCGAATCAATATAAAACGCAACACTCGCAAAATCGTACCTTGCCACGAATCTGCAACATAGAATCCCTCTCCCTTAACGTAACCGTCTGATCCTGCACCGTTTGGAAATCCACGGTGACGGCAAACGGCGTACCCAGCTCATCATTCCTCGAGTACCGTTTACCAATCGACGACGCCGAGTCATCCACCTTATTCGCGATATTGCAGCGCCTCAGGCTCGTCACGATCTCCTTGATGTACGGCGTGAACTCGTCGCTGTGGGAGATGGGGAGCACGAGGGCCTTGATGGGCGCGACGGCGGCCGGGAAACGGAGAACATGGCGGGCTTCGTCGTCGCTTTCGCGGCGGTAGTACGCGTGTTCGAGGAGTTGGTAGAGGATGCGGCCGATACCGAATGATGGCTCGATGACGCTGGGGATGTATTCGCGGACTAGATGAAGAGGGGGGCAACAAATATCCAACCATCAGTTTCAAAGTTTTTCCACAGAACGTGAAAAGCGTAAAAAGGGAGCGATGGGGGAATATATGCTGCGATTGTCCCTCGAGCGCTACGGGGTCAGTAATCGAAACTCCACCGTCGCAAGAGGCTACGATGGAGTACACGTTCTCCCGGATTTTGAGCAGGCGGAAGGGGTGAGGGTACTTTTGCACACTAATGACTCATGCCTAGTCAATGCACAACTGGAAGGTTGCGGGCGGAAACGCTAACTTCTCCCTGCAGAGCAGGTCGATGTCCAGTTTCCGCCATGAAAAGGGATCTAAGGAGTGTGCGTTGCCAGCGAAATCGCTGGCTAGGGTGGGGAGGAATAACAAGGGTGATAATGGAATTTAAAACTTACTGTGAGACTTGATTGTCTTCTTCTCGATGGTAACCAGGGAGCCGGTGAGCTCATATTGCTTGCCGTCGGTGCCAGTTACAGACACTTTGCTATAATGAAAGGTTGAATGAGACCAAAAATGCATCCAATCTAGGACTTATCATCCTGAATACCTACCCATTGGCGTCAATCTCGCTCTTCAGCTTCAGCAGTTCCGCCTCGTTCCAAGAATCACCAGTCTTTAGAGAGTCCAGGTAGCCCTGAACAGCCTTAGCATCCTTCTTGAAAGCCGGACCGAAGTTCTTCTTGTTCACTTCCAGAACCACCTTATCCTCAATGATAGGCTCGGGCAGCGTTTCCCTAACAACGAGCTTTTCACCCGTCTTGTTGGTGTGGGCTGTCAAGTCGTACGCAGACCGGTCAGCGCAACCGACACATTCTATCCAGCCGTAACTGCTCTTGATCTCCGCGTCCCAGCAATCGCAGGCGTAGTGGGCCATCTCGTTCGACATATGTTGACGCATGCGAAGGCGTTCGGGGTCGATACCTATCCGGGTAAGGAAGAGGTAGATACGGGCAACAAAGTAGCCGAGTGTCTGGTTGTTGATCACGCCGGACTCGACGGCCTCGCCAATGGTCATCTTTGTGGGGCCGGCCGCGGCTTCTTGCGCCGTAGCCGAGTACAGAGGGACCACGAGATCTTTGACCTCGCCAAAGCGGGCGTGCTTCTTGTTTGTTGGGTCGACGTAGTGCTCGATTTCAGCCATTGTGAATTCTCGGACACGCAAAAGACCTTGTCTTGGTGAGATCTCATTACGGAAGGACTTTCCGACGGATGCGGAGGCGAAGGGTACTTGGCCAGTGTTGAACTCGTAAAGACGCTTAAAGTTGAGGAAGTGACCTTGGGCGGTCTCGGGACGCAGGTAACCCTTGAACTGCCCGGTGGGGCCGATTTGGGTCTCGAACATGAGGTTGAACATGACGGGGTCGGTAACCTCGTTGCCAGTGGTGGGAGCGCGGATGTCCAATCTCCGAATGAGTTTGGTCAGCTCATCACCAACGTAGTTGTCCAGTGTCTCAAGCACCATTTCGTAGTCTTTCCGCACGTCGGCGCTCAGTGGCTCAACCTTGGCTTGACCCTTTGCCAGCTTCGGTGCTGTGCCGGCTGCCAGCTTCGTGTCATACTCCAGACGGGAGGAAAGCACCTGTTTGACGAGATGGTCGGCGCGGAAGATGTCACCACTCTTCACGTCCTTGACCATGTAGTCTGCGAACCGTTCGACGTGGCCCGAGGTCTTCAGAACCGCCTCCGGTGTTAGGTTCGTGCACTCAACCTCCAGCATGTCTTCTTCCAGGACAAAGTGTTGACGCCATAGCGTCAGGATGTTGTTTTGCAGAGCGCAACCTGGCGGGCCGTAGTCGTACAAACCGGCAATACCTAGATGTGGCGGAAAGTGAGATATGTTGTCCGAGATGTCGAAATGGAAGCACTTCTATTCGATACATACCACCGTAGATCTCAAACGACGGCGCATAGAAGAACCGCTTAAGCAAAACCGACTCCAGTGTCGCACGGTCAAACTTGTCAGCACCGTCCTCTTTCAGCGACAGCTGCTTCAGCTGTTCCTTCAGAGCCACAAGCTTGTCGACCTCAGGTTGTATTTGTTCCTTTGATGCCTTCTCAAGCTTCAGCTTTTTGACCACCTCGCCTTGCTTGGTGACGGCGTCTTTTGTCGCATCCAGTTGCGATTTGCTGTCAGTTTGTGTCATGTCTGCGGTTGGAAAACAGCGGTTAGACTACTGGGGCTGAACAGAGATCGACAACGGTTTCGAAGCGGTAAGGTCCCGCCCAGATACTCCGGTGCTTACCTATTGGATTCGTGGCGGAATATGCCGGGTAAAAGCGTTGCAGAGAGTGATCTGGGGCCTGACCTTGAAGTGGTCTATACGACGCGGCTTGCCTCTGGAATGTGGACAGGCAGCGTTTTTTTCTGTATGAAGCAGCACCAAAGTGGTGGGAAGGGGTATAAGATGGCAGCGAACGCAGTAGGGCTGATGTTGTTGAGGCTCTGGATATGGATGCCAGACCAGCACGCATAAGGAGGAACGATGGGGTTTTATCGCACTTCGAAGGTGGACTGCTAGAGGGTTTTTCTGTTGGAGAACGCCGATTCCTGAATTGTATGACTCACGTTCGGTGGCGCAGCAGACTGGCGTGATTTCATTTGGACCTCTTGCCGTCGAGCAGCAAGTAGAACATATAAAAACTTTCTCTTTTGGAAGCGTCATGGCAAAGTTACTGTTGTGATGCGAATACGCCAAAATGTTACAATGTAATGTGCGAGTAATCAGTCCTGTTATGCGTCAGTGGTGTCTAAGGTATCTAACGCCGGCTGGCTTCGGGTCACTCTACTGATTTGCCTGTGGCCCCTTCCACATGAACAGTCCTGGCTGAGGCAGAGATATATCCTGGATGTCGCGAGGCGCATAGTTGGTGCGCTGCGCCTCCGACATCGTTGCATCCTTTGTCCTAAGCAGCATGCCGTCTACCATCGGTCCTAATCTCCGACAAAGCATGCATCGATCCTCTGCTCTCCGTCTCCGCGGCCCTGTTCTCTCCCCTGATCCAGCGGTTGCTTGGTCTCGCATCCAGCTCGAAATCGCTGACATGAAAATCAATCATTCGCAAGACCGGCAGCAGTAGCGCGGATGCGATGCCTAGGGCGAGCGGACCCCAGAACCAGGCGACGATGGGGAACAGGTAGTAATAGCATCGCATCCCGGCCGTGTAGAAGAAGCATCCGCGGTTAAGGATCGCTGCCACTCGGATGGGGTTGTTGTGTAGATATTTGAAGGACGTGGCGGTCGCTGTGGCTGCGGCGGCGTGTGGAGGATGCGGCTTCTGCGTGCGGGACGGCGTTGGGGAGCGGCGATGTGTCGTCGCGCTGGTTAGCCGCTCGGTTGACGTTCCTGTCGATTCGGCGGATGAGTCCACCGTATATGAAGGTAGGGGCGTTCCAGCCGATGGGATGCTGTGTGCATCTGCCTCCACGACTTCTTCCCGAGGTGGCAAATGAGGCTTCAACATGGCCTCAATCTCCTCGACTGATACATTGACGTTGCATACCAGAGCAGCATGGTTGAAGAACCTCACGCTCTGCGAGAAGCAGAAGAAGGCTCCGGCGCACACTACGCATAGCGCCGCCAGCCGAAACGAGAACCAGTCGTTCGTGACAAACTGAATCATGGGAAACATGGGTCCTTTCGTCATCTCCTCATTCCATCTCGCCACAATCTGCGCGACGACCGTCAGCGCCGCCGTGATGACAAGTACGGCAGTGGTCGCTAGGAAAGATGAAGCCATGACCCAGTTACGGAGGGTCTGCACAGCGAGAATTTCGTTTTTGCGAAACATGATGGCGGCGACCCAGACCCGGCGCGCCGCACGGGTGAGGCCGTACACTGTCCGAGTTGGCGCATGGCGTACTGTGTGGAAGAGGAAAGCGTGGTAGGCGGCGTGGCATAGCACCGAGAGGATGAGGGCGAGTAGGTTGGTCAGAGTCGAGGAGGCCATTTTCACGGGGTGTGACAGTTCTGCGCTATGAGAAGTCGTTGCAAGAGACGATGCTTGCAGCGGGTCGGTCGTTACATATACCGGTGACTGACGGCAAAGTCAAGTTGTTGGAAGGGCGATGATGCTGGTTGGCGAAGGAAAAGGAAAAGGAGAACCCGAGCGAGAAGGCAACGTGACAAAACAGTCCACACAGGCGTGAGGCCGTGCGTGCAACTTCCCTCTGACTTCCCTGGGAATCTGGGAATCAATCTGGGAATACGTCAAACAGAACGTGGACGAGGGAACATTGCAACCCATAACCTTCAAGCGAGGTCACTCGCCGTAGACGGAAGGAACACTACCCCGCATAGACTAGTCTCACCAAAACGACCAAGAGGAGCGACGTAGAGGTGGTCTGCCGGCCGTCTGCCTCGAGCGACTCCCACCCACACCTTGAAGGCTTAAACTTGCACAGTCCAAACACTATTGTACTCACGAACTCCTGGACCTGACTCGACTCATCCCTTTTTGCTGACAAGGGAGATAGGCGCGGCAATGCGCGCATGATGAACCGGCCATTACCACCACCACCAGCCTTCCCAGACTCTGTCGTGGCGCGTAGCGAAGCCTTGGCGGGTGCGGCTGCCCTGCCGGATCACCTTGGAGCCAGTCTCTTTGTTAAGCACGAGCGCATTGGCAAGGGCTCGTTTGGGGAAGTTTATAGGGGAATAAATCGCCTGACCAATGAAGTCGTTGCCATAAAGATTCTCAATCTAGACACCGACGATGATGAGATCAACGATGTGCGGAAAGAGATCACGATGCTGTCGCACTGCGACTCGGAGCATATCACACGGTACCACGGTGCGTACCTCAACGAGACCAAGCTATGGGTCGTCATGGACTATGCAGCCGGCGGGTCGATGAGAGCCATCTTGAAATCCGGCCCCATCGACGAAAGGTTCATCGCCATCATAGCAAGAGAGGTGCTCCACGCGTTAGTGTATCTGCACAAGTACGCAGCCATCATCCATCGCGACATCAAAGCCGCCAACATCCTACTCACGGACGACGGAAAGGTCAAGCTCTGCGATTTTGGCGTGGCAGGGCAGATCACCATGTCGTCTTTGCGACGCAACTCGTTCGTTGGCACGCCGTACTGGATGGCGCCCGAAATCATCAGGCGCGCGCAATATGACTATAAGGCGGATATATGGTCGCTGGGCATCACTATAATAGAGCTGGCGACAGGAAATCCGCCTTTTGCGGATCAGGACCCACGAAAGGCCATCTTTCTCATTCCGCGCACCCGGCCAGCGCGTTTAGAAGGGAAGTTCTCAAGCGCGCTGCGAGAATTCCTAGCACTGTGTCTGAAGGAAGAGCCAGAAGAGCGCCCCACTGCTGAGGAGCTCCTCAAAACAAAGTTCGTGCGGAGCTCACCGCGCGGCACAGCGCCCCTGCTAGAATTGCTTGACAGACATAACTCGTGGAAAGAGCAAAACGCAGAAGGCGGGGAAGACGACCTCCTCCCGCAGGATGACGACAACGAGCCAGATTTCGGCGACCAGGATGATGAATGGATCTTTGAGACCTACAAATCAAGCCATCACAACAATCTCCGGCGGAGCATGATGCCCGGAGCTAGCAGTCCTTTGCCTATCCCTGAAGAGTCGCGTGGGGAACCCGGCACTCTGTCGAGCTCATTACATACCGAGTCGGGTCCCGATGCCTCATCATTGGAGAGCAATGCGTTGGATGATAACACGCCTAGGGCGTCAACGGCCAACGCTGTACAGGAACGAAGTCGACTAGGCAATCTCAAGCTTAGCATCCCCACATTATCCATATCAACCGGGATGTTGAAGGCGTCGGTTGACGGAAGTATGTTTTCGCCAACCTTCAACATTTCACCGACGTCGGAACCGCATTCATTTCCTGGCTTCGGGCTTCAGGCAGTCCCGAAGGACAGTCAGGAATTTGTAGAATCCAACGATATAGCTTCCAGACGAGGGCATTCACCTGAGAGGACTAACGATTTGGTCCCGTCGAGTGATCCTTCCATCGCAAAGACAAATACAGCACGTCCTGCCCCGGTGTCAACGCCGCTATCCGTGACGCATCCGATGGACCGGCTCAATGTCAGTGGGTCCACAGATATCCACGGGAGCATCGTACCCCCAGCGCGAGTGGACTCGGTCTGGCGAAGCAAAGCTCTGGCGAGATCACGTCCGACCTCGCCAGGCGGCACGGTCAAACGGCATACACCGTCGCCTTCTGTTGATGATCGGTTACTACACGGCGCTTTAACAGCGACGTCAACACCTCCAATCCCAACAGGTGCATCAGAACCCGAGCGATCCCGCGACTCACCCCTCCCCGCACCCTGCTCAACAAACCCCATCAACCCCCAACCCACCCGCCGCCACGAACGCTCCCAGTCCGCCGGCGCCGGCCCCTCCCGCCACCGCCGCGCCATCTCCTCAGCAGCATCAACATCAGCCGCAGGCGTCCAGATCCGCGTCCGCAGACCCTCAGCACCCGGCGACGAAAACACATCTATCATACCCCCACCACCATCAACACCCATCGTTCCTGATGACCCCCCACCCTCCAAATCCCGCGAACAGCTTAAGCTTTCCACATCGTCTATCTCAACAGCCGCGTCTACATCCAACTCCTCGCTTGCACCCAGCAGCGCGGCACCATCACCCGCGCTTCAGAAACGCAACATGCTCAATATAGCACTCGCGAGCCCTGGTGGCCCGAATCGGAATAGAGCAGCAGCAGCAGGAAGTATGAACCCAAACCTGAACCCGGCAGCAGCAAACGCCTGGTTCGTCCGCCAACGCAGCGCGAGCGCAAGCTCGATGTATCGCGACCCGTACGCGTATATGAGTTCCCGCCGACCGGCGTATTGCAACCCTGCGCATGCGCCGACGTCGCCGTATGCTAATCAATCTATGCCTAGTCTCTTCAATGCGGCTCGGGGACAGATTGCGTCGGAAAGACAGCAGATTGCGGCCACCTCACGACAACATGGGTTGGCGGCGGCGGTGGGGACGAAACAGGCAGGACCCGTGAAACCGCTGGATTTGAGTGTTGTGAGGGATGTGGACTCGGCATGTCGGGAGTTTGCGAGCCGGTTGGCGGAGACGGGGAGGTTGATGAAGGAGTTGGAGAGGAATGTTGAGATGTGGCCGATTTGACCGGGCCGGCGCCTGGTGATCATGGACCCTGCGTGGCGTCTGCATAGGCCCTGCGATTCGCATGAGAGGCACGCAACAGCTGCTGGCAGCGTACTGTAACAGCGCCCATGTCTTAATAGCCGAAGGGCGCCGTGGACGCCCATCGCTACCAAAACCGTGTGATGGCGTATGAACGTGGATACAGACCGTTGAAGGCGACATTCTCGGTGCGGGAAGCATTCGCGCTGAGACCGGAAGCCCACCGCAAACGATAGTTTCGGCAATCCGCTTGTCAACCATTCGGGAGCGCTGGCACGCATGCACAGCATTCATGCCGTCTCCTCGTCGGCGGGTTTGAACGGGAGTACAAGCGCGGTACAAGCGCGACACCGCATTTCCTTCTATACCGCACATGTACATGCTATCTGCATCCACGCTCGTCGCTCCCGAAGCCGCCGCTTATTCTGACTACTGTGCATCCCTTCGGAAAGCGGCGCACTGCCACTCATCTGGCGCAAAACCTGCTCACTGTCATTAACATCGAGGACGAAGGCGACAGACAAATGCATATAAAGAGATTATTAGAGGCGCCTATCGGCAATGTCATGACTACGTCGTATCGGCTGCCTTGCCCGTCTTCAGTTGCAGCGCCCCTTCTAAATACATATGGCGGACTCATGTCGTCTTTCTGCGGTCCCGACCTGCCTCGTACTTCCAATCCTGACCCAGTATCATGCCGGTACTCTATGTGGTCGTGAATCTACTTTTGCGCCGCTTTGCGCTTTTCCTCTTCTTCCATGGCGGCTTCTATGAGGGCCTTTTCGGCTTTTCGGCGGTTGCGTTCCTCGTACCTGCGTAGAGACGTTCCTTTAGTGAGATTCACAAAGAGTAATCTGTACTCTGGGTGGAATACTCACAGTCTTCGGTGAGCGAGGATACGGGAGACGATAGTGTCGGTAGTGAGACTTCCGAGCGGCGATTCTATTTGCTTGTAGATCTTCAGGTCTTTCGGTAACTGCAAGGGTGACGGAAAGGCTTCAATGTCTTTGCTTATCGCTGGAAGCAAAGGATCTTAGAAGAGAAGGAAGGCTTACCCGATATGGGTCTGAACCGTCGATGTCCTTGTCAATGGACGTGGATCCGTGCACGACAATGGACACGTTGTACACCTTCTCCAGGACGTCTTTCGAGACGCTGTATGGTGCTCCAATGATAACCTCATCAACGTACTGTAGAACCCGTAAGCGAGTGTGAGCTGCAAATTCTGAAATCCTCGTTGATATTCCACACTTACACGGCAGGACAGAACACTCAGAACTCGTTCGTGGAGATTCATGATAGGGTAATTCGACCCCTTAACGGCATGAACCGCCTGATCCTCGTGCACGCCCACAAGCAAGTAATCGCCCTGCTCCTTCGCCTTCTTGAGGAACTCGATGTGGCCAACGTGGAAGAGATCGAACCCGCCGTCCACATAGACGACCTTGTCGGAGGGTTTGGGTTCACGCTGGTTGGCGAATTGGGTGATGCGTTTGCTGGTCGGGAGGAAGTGGGATACGTTCGTGGTGGGGTGGGATGTTGATGGGCCCTGTGTGGGAAACGTTCAAGGCGAATGAGAATTGGAGCTCGACGTTCTCCGGATTAAACCTTTGGGAGCTTACAGCGGTGAAGTTCTTCAAGTTCTCGTTGTTGTTCGCATCAAAATCCACACTCGGCCTCCTGCGCAGATGCTCCGTCGACATCAACAGCATCCTGCCCACCAGCTCCGTAGTCGACACACCCTGCGTCCGCTTGCACTCCTTATACCGTCCCGCGTCCTTCACCTTTTGGTAACAATCGGTTCCGTCGGCCAGGGTGGTGATGTCGTCGCCGTGCACGCAAAAATCGCAATCGTACTGGTCGAGCAGCTCGACTTGGGTGAGGTAGGGAGCATCTTCGACTACTTCGTCGACCCATTTGCAGGCGGCTACGGCTGCGTAGCGCTCTTTTTCCTTCATTACTGTTGGCCCCTTGTTCTTCTCGATTTCCGCGTCGGAGTGCACGCCTACCACTAGGTAGTCACCGAATTGCTTCGCCTGAGGAAGTCCAAGGAAAGTCTCTGATCAGCTTACGGGCACTGATCCTGCTTCCAGAGTACGTTCACAGGACGCCAAATCCTCAACGAAGACAAACTTCAAACATCGACGCTGACCTGGCGAAGGGCGTTCGCATGCCCATAGTGCATCATATCGAAACATCCGTCTGTATGTCGGTAGACCAGGTTGAGTCGGGCACCCTCGGGGAGCACAATCGGAACCTGGGAATGCGTTGGTAAAACTCACCGACCCATATCCGAACCGGTTTTCGCTGCCCCTCTACTTGTGTCGACATGGTGTGCTGTGTGTATTTAATTGACTCAAATGGGTTCAACTGCTGTACACCCGAGTCGGTGAGAAAACCGTTGCGGCAAGAATCGTCGGCCCCAAACGTTGCCGCCGTCACAACCCGGCCGCCCTGCACTTTCGGCAGGCGCGTCCGCGTCAGCGTCGTCACCGTACTGAAAGACGTTACCCGGACGTTACCCATCAGGTTACCCATGTGCAAGACATCTCTATACCTACGATGCTAAGGCTCTTTCAAGACCGTCCACCTATTGCGGGAACATCAGAGCCTTTCTGTGATCTCTATACATAAGCTTGGAATACCCTAGCCGCGACCGCCATCCTCAACTTTCAATTTCAACGACCATGAATTGGTGAATATCGATGAGTTGAGATGTGCAAGCATGATCACACCTAGGTAGGCTCGGAGCTTTCTCAACACTGCGCCCCGGACATCAGATCCGCGTGTTGACGTTACATCGTTGACCACCAGAGACATCCGAAATGATGCAGAGCGTGTGCTATTCGTTGTTTGATTGCCGAATTAGAATGTAGGAGACTAATGTAGATGTTTCCACTAAACGTCTGGTTACATAGGACATGCAGATTGCTCATGTTCCTACAGTGTCAGTTCCTGGATAATATGGCAAAGCATTAGCGAATGGGCGTCGGAAAATGAAGTTGCACTGAGCTTGATGCATGCATCGATAAAAAAACCTTACCATGATAGCATTCACGATGTCGTTGTTATGCGTCTTGAGAGCCTTGACAGCCTTGCCTCTGGACACACCGGCTTGTTGCATGACAAGCTCAACGTCCTTGGCCTCTACGCCGGTCTCGTCAACCTCCTCCTCCTCCTCGGCCAACTCTGGGACAGCCTCCTCCTTCTTGGTATGTGCGTGCTCGGTTGCTTTGAAGGCTTCAGCAGCTGCAGCCTGCGCTGCAGAGTTCTGATCCTCGATCTTTGCTTCCCCAAACACAACGTACGTGTCGTTCGACCCACTTTTGTAAACATCAGGCTGAGCGACAACGAACAACATCTGGAAAGAACCTGGCTCTGAGTGACTCCGTGCCCAAAATGATATGACCCTCAGTGTGCCAACTCACGTTCTTTGGGCGACGGATAGTAACTCGGGTGATACCATCCACATGCTTCAGACCAAGCTTGGAAAGAGCCTTTCGGGCCTTCTTCTCGCCACGGCTTTGCACCTTGCCTCCGGACAGGATGCCCTCGGCATCCTCTACTGCAACCTCATCGTCCGAGTCCGACTCATCGACCAGTTCGGGAAATTTCTCCTCTTCGGCGGGCTTTTCAATGAGATCGGTGGCGGCCATTTCTGCGTAGCTTATTGGGCGGGTCGTAATGAATCGTTCCTCGTCGTTCCTAAATCGGCAATAGATCAAAAAAAGCTATAGATCTTGACGACTGACAGTTTTACGTGACTGCACGTGGGAAGCCCAATAAAGTGATAGTTGCTTGCAATAATCCCCATTAAACTTCCCTCCTATGCCGCGAGCTATCGCTCTCGACGCAAACGACGCCAGAACAGAACCGAAACCTCATCATTTGCTCAACTTCATCACTACAAGTCACGATGAGCGGAGCTGCCCAGTACAAGCAGGACATGCCGCCTCCGGGCGGTTTCCCCGAAACGATTCAGTACAAGCGCTACCTCCCACGTCGCGGTCCTTCCGGCGTGGTGATGTTCATTGCAACCTTCGGAATCATGGGCTACGGATGGTATTGGGTCGCTCAGGCGAACGCTGAAAGGAGGTGCGTATGCGAGGACTCAGGGGACTGAGGTGGGGAGGCTTGGACGGTTAGACGGAAGAGTGCCAATGTTTGTTGACAAGAAACGCTCGTGAACGAGAAGTGAGCGTCGATTCCGTCAGCTACAGCAGTGCCCTGAGAATTGTGGAAGCCCACTATGATATCGCCGTCACAGCTTGAAATGGCATCAAACTCACAATGATGTTCCCCTTCATATTTTGACTTCAATCAGAGAACTTCGCCGCGAGAAGGCATGGAACCGCATCGCCCTCGTCCCGCTTCTTCAAGCCGAAACAGACCGAGACTTGGTACGAAGGCTGGAGGCTGCCAAGGACCGCGAAGGAAAGATGATGGAGAACGTGAAGGGTGGATGGTCGGCTCTCGATCTCAAGACAGAGACTCCCGGCGTCGGCAAATCCGGTGCTCGCGACTATACCCAATCAGAACCTGTATACCACACCGAGCGTCATGTCAATCCCACATTTTTGTTCCTGCCGTGGTCATCAGACGCGAGGATCGATTCGCAATGGTGGAGGGGAAGCAAGATGTTCTTGAAGGTGTGTGAGCTCATTTGGTTCACCTAGCGCGATATGGCGAGAAGCTAACCCCGATTTCTTCCGTCTCAAGAACCCTGCCTACCACGACCGTCCCGACTTCACCAAAGAGCACCCGATAGGAGGTCAATAGAACAGGCGCTATTTGTAAATGACTTCAAACGAACAAATCTTGACGAGAACAACGGACGATTGGAAAATGCATTTTATTATCCTCTAGCTGGATACAATGCCTTCTTACGGGGCTGGGCAGCGAAGGGAAGGATGAGGGGGGACCAGGTGGAGCGAGCGTACTGGAATGGATCAGCAGCACGTCGTCACTACATTACACAAAATGAGGTTTATCTAAAAGCTTGTGCTACTTTTGGCTACGAGGAAATTGAAATGGGACGACAAGGAATGGGGAAGGGCTGGGAGACTCAGATATCGTCAAACATGTTCTTCGGTTGTGTCCGCCCGCCAGCCTTCGAGGTTGACGAAGGATGTGGTTTCGGCGCTGCAGGTGCATCGGATGAAGCGTCCTTCCCTGCTGCACTCAAACTGTTCGAGAACCAACCGCCAGTCTCCTGTTTCGGGGCGATGCCAAATTGCCTTCCTGTCCGCGAGCTTGCCGCAGGCTCCGAAATGTCATTCAGACTTGTCATGCTCCCAGACTCTACATCACTCTGATCCAGCCTTTGAAACTTTCCAGCGTCAGCCCCGCCCGATTTCTTCCCGCTGAAGTATCCTGTCGCAGCTTGTTTCCATCCACTAGCCCAACCTCCACCGGGCTTGTTACTCGATATGGAAGCGGTGGAGCCCGCGACCGGGCCGCCTTTCGATGGAAGTGAGCCAGCTTCCTCCGGTCCTCCAGCACCTAGTTTGCGGTTACCGGTCTTGTATTTTTCAAGAAGCTCCTTAGCATTTTTAGCACGTCCGCCTGTGGTGCTGCGAGTCGTCCGATGATTCGTTCTCTCTATGGACGAAAGCGCTGGACCGTCGTTGTTCGCAAAGTTGCCTTCGGAGCCGTACAAGCCCCCTCGTTTTCGTTCATCAACGGACCGTGCTGCAAGGCGGGGAACGTCAAACATCTGATTTTCTCTGCCAGCCTAAAACAAATGACCACCATACCTTGATCGATGATCTGCCTGCCTTCATCAAGATCTGAATCCGCCAAAGCCATGGCTTCATGATACGAGTAGTACTTCACTTTGAAGAGGCGCAGCAGACGTCCATGCAGGTTGAAGAAGGTGATGAAGGCAAATACCAATACGATTTCTGGTAGCCATTTGTTGTAACTGTCGCCCAGAAGCGGAGTCAGACTCGCGGCCTTTCCTTGATACTGTTGAGCCGGTGGTGAGCCTGATAAATTCTATGCAGTCACACAGATACGATTCTACCTCAATGAAGGCGGTTTCAAAATCATTAGAGTTGTCCTTGGCGATATTGATGAAGTTATAGCACAATGGGAACGTGAGCTTGCTGAAATGCGGAGGAGAACGAAGTTGTCCAATACTCGTTCTGAAGCATCAAACACTGCTCAATTCACCATAACGTACCAGAGGTAGCCACCGACAAACATCAGACTTCCTTCGTCCGTGTGGTGTTCCGCCACCAGATAGTAATCCATAAACTTGATCTTGAACAATGTCGTATATGCACACACGCACATGTACAAAATAAACCCTATTGCAACCAGCTGCACCCGGAGGATTAGCATACGTGATTTCCGGGAAACAAGCAGTGACCGCCAGGATAGCAATTACGACGCTCAACTGACCTCAGTGGCAAAGTATCCCACGTAAGGAGACTTCAGGATTGCTGCGGGGACTGAGAGTGTGGGACTCTCGACCTGGAAAGTCGACTCGGACCATATCACCGCCAGCGATGCGAACACCGCGATGAAACTCAAGAGTCGGAACATGTTGGGTCGGAGCCAGACATACCAGTACCAGTCTGCCGTGAAGAGCTATTAGTCTGCGAATGCTTTTGCCCGACCAATGTATAACTCACATGCTCTCAGCTTGATATCAGCGAACTGATCAGGCTTCACATTGACCCGAGAGGAAATGAACTTCCTATGATCGCGGGTAGGTACCAAATCAGTTGCTATCTTGCTCAAAGCCGTTTCCAACAACCTCATACCTCTCCTTATTCCGATAGTTCTCGATTATATCTTGGTACAAGAATGCCTTCTGGCAGAGGAAGCGATACTGTGCTTGAGAACGATCATGCAATTTGGCTGCTCGCTTGATTCTTGCATGGAGGTCAACGAGGTAAGCTTCAGTCACTTCGGCCGGAATCTCATCTGCGTCAAGGTTTCGATCCAGATTGCGTTCCTCCAACGCTAGAGGACACTATCGAAGGCGCGGAGAGCCAGATTAGCTATCTAAAAATTCGAAGTGGTGTGAAGAGGCGCCCACCAACCTTTTGAATCAGCTTGTCGACAAAGTATCGCAGCTCGCTGTCCAGCGGGGTCTCCTTGGACGCGATGGCTATCCGCTACAAAGCAGAATCAGCGCAAACTGCAGGCCACAAGACACTCGACTCTTCAGCCATACCAACCCTCGCGATGTCAAAGATCTCCGCCTCAGAATCCAACGCCGCCTCCTTCGCTCCCGGAATGATGTATTCCATATATCGGAGCGACCACGTCGTGTTTGCACTGTACCAAAGCGTCCGCGGTACTTCCACGAGGCCGTACCCCATCATGACCGTAATTAGCAGCAGACCCCACGCGTTGGCGGCGGCCATGCCCATGACCAAAAGAATGTCTCTGTATCGAGCGTCGTCAGCGCTTCATCCCACATTGTGGCAACTGATAGATCTCCCACTCACTGGCTGATCTTCGCCACGACTAAGATGTAAATCAATGACACAAGACCCACTCCTCCGAGAATGCTCCAGTAGATAAGATTATCCTTCAAGGCCGCCCACAGTCGTCGTCGGAATTTGAAATCCCCTGCTCGAACCCACGACTGTAGTATTGGTATAGTAAACCTGCATCGCAAAGCGGGGACAATGAGATAAGTTCCTCGCTGAACAGAAGCCCACCACTCACGATGCTCACCATGTCAAACAGAACATAGTCCAGTAGACCGTCTTCCAATACGTAAACAAGAATTGCCGGTCCACATATGCAAAGGGCTCATCACATATGATGCCGGCAGGCAGTTCAGCCCCGCTTAGACATTTTGCTCGATAATCCGTCTATGCCAAGTTGGAAGAAAGTAAGCAAACTGCTTCGACATTCGTTTCACGGCAGATTCACATGACATATACCGAAGCCAAGTCCAGTGGTAGGATCAGTGGTAAGGAGAACGGAAACACCCAGGCAATGAAAGCGACGACAACTGTATACCATGGTAGCTTTCTGATATCCCCGAACGAATAGAGGAGGTACGCTACCAAGCAAGCTAGTGCTGCTAGAATGATGGCTACTACGGCGTACATGTTGGAAGTTGCGCCGTCGTTTGGTGTCCACGATTGGAGACTTTATTAAAAAATCCTCGTCGCTAAACCTTCGATATCTCGATGGGTTTTAGCTTTCACTATATTTTGACCCTCGGCTTGATTCATGTCTGGGACTTGGGGCCGAATATGACAGTTCGAGGGACGCGCTGTCGAATTCCTAAAGCGCAACTTCGACATGGACATCTCGGCAATGGAGATGCATTGATCTGCTACTCTAAACCGCTCATCAGGCCTCCAAGGGCTCATCACATACCCAGGATAGTTTCGATTCTGTGCGCAACCTTAACTGGACCACCCCAGTGAGTCGTGACCCCACAGAACTATCCGACTGTCCGTCAACATTCTTGGCCACAACTTCGCGTCGTAATGCATGCTGGGTGCACAAATCTGGACGCGGTGCGAAGTTGCAGCACCACAGTGCCACCACTGAGCGTCTCTTAGGGGTCACGATGGCCTTCGCAACCACCCGTGATGGTTTTTTGGGACCGATCTTGACCAGCTGACCTCAACATGTGAAAGGCGGGGAAATGCTGGCAGCCTGGCACCAACCCTCAAATAAACTGTTGAAACTTTTCATTGGAGGACATTTGTTCTCGTTCGGAAAAGGTATTCCGCACCACTTGAAGTAATACATGGATGTGACCATAGGACGTACTACCTTTGCACACGTCTCTGCAAAATATCTTCCCACCGTGCTGCGTCATCGCTTACATTCACCACAGGTCCCGGATCAGATATCGGTACGCAGTGAAGGAGATTTTTGGTGAGCGTCCGCCGATCGTATTGAGGAAGGACACCGCACACAGTGGACGCAATGCGCGTCTTGAAAATCCACGGCTCAGGAAGGATGTGCAGCTCGATCAAGCTCAGAGAGTATCTTGCGCTTGCTGGAGGAATAAACGCAATGTCGATTGCACTGTGCCTGCTTGATGCGAGCGCTCGAGGGACGCAGATGAATGAGGAGAGGCGTTGAAAAGGACTATAAAAGGCGCCACCATCCTCGGTGCTCCCTTCCGTTTACTTCCAATCCTCTCCATCCATCTCGACCAAGCGCAACAATCATGTCGTCTCGCACCTTGCTTGCCGGCCTAATCGGCAGCCTTGCCATTTCTGTTCACGCCGCACCGACTGCAGCTGCTGCCGATCCATGTCCCGCTGGGTATCTTGCTTGTCAAGGAACCGGCCCGGTTCCTGCATGTTACGATCCCGCAATTTGTAAGTGCCCTGCCATGGTGATGTTCCGGGGTTGGCCTCCCACGCCTCTGATGCCGCTTACCGACATGTCTGATTTGCACAGATCACTGCGTGAATGGAGTGTTGATGCAAGGACCTGAGCATGCCTCAACGGTAAGTACTAAGACTTCCAACAAAACCAAAAAGCCAAAAAAAACCAAACCAAAAACCAAAAAGGTTTCGAGCAAGACCTCCACCAAGACCACCACACTGCCTACGCCTACGACCTCGTCCAAACCCCCTACGGCCACCGCTCCCCCAACATCGCCTACGCAGACCGCGAACCCCGCGGTCTGCCCGACTTCGTCGAACGGACAGTACACATTCTGTGCTCAGCCCGCATTCACCGATGAGTTCGACACATTCGACCTGTCCAAGTGGAAGCACGAAATTACGATGTCGGGTGGCGGCAATTGGGAGTTTGAATGGTACACCAACAACCGTACAAACTCGTTCGTGAAAGACGGCCTGCTCTACCTCAAGCCCACCCTCACCTCGGATAACATCGGTGAGGATGCGGTCTCCGGCAAGACTCCGTTCACCATGGACATCAATGGTGCCGAGAACGGTGTTCACTGCACTGATCCAAGCTTCTACGGCTGTTCGCGCGGAAGCGATGCGGGTGCTGGCCACATCATCAACCCCATCCAATCAGCTCGTATTTCCACCTTCAACTCGTTCTCGATGCGCTACGGCCGTGTCGAGGTCAAGGCCCAAATCCCGTCCGGTGATTGGATCTGGCCCGCGATCTGGATGATGCCCAAGTACGCAAGCTACGGCAACTGGCCTTCCTCCGGTGAGATCGATATCATGGAGAGCCGAGGGAACAAGCCCGATGCAGCCTACCCAGGCCAAGGAACCGAGACTTTCGGAAGCACCCTTCACTGGGGACCGTCCTACCAGTACAACGGCTGGGCCCAGACACACAAAGACCGTTCTCTGCCCAGCGGTCAAAGCTTTGCCGATGGTCTCCACGTTTATGGTCTTGAATGGACCCCCGAGTACATCAAGACGTACGTCGATACCCCGGACAATGTCGTCCTCAACGTTCCGTTCAGCGCTGATGGGTCCTTCTGGAACAAGGGTGTCACGAAGGCTGGCTTCCCTGCTACATTCAACAACCCTTGGCAGGCTCCCTCGTGCCCTGCCGCGGCCCCTTTTGACCAGGAGTTCTATATTATCCTGAACGTTGCCGTTGGCGGCACCAATGACTTCTTTGCCGAACGCCCCAACAAGCCGTGGAAGGCCGGATCTTCCACCGCGGCGGCAGACTTCTGGAAAAACCGTGCTCAGTGGCTTCCTACTTGGAAGGGTGACAATGTTGCCATGAAAGTGGACTCCGTGAAGGCTTGGAAGTTGTGCTAGAGGTATCCTTCTGTTATATAGTTTAGAATTACCCCGCTCTCATTTTCAATCTTCATTTGTCCGTACCGGAAAGTCTCCATTTGTAATCACTGTATATTTGATGTACAAATCTACCGTTTCCGATTCCACTGCGCTACTGCACCGGACGTTCCGTGAGCAATCGCTGCTGGTTCAGCCAAAAAAAAAAAACGATGTTGGTCGTTAACGGTAGGTCCTGTCAAGTGGGTTTATGTAATTCGAAATCGACAGCGCGACATGGAAGGCGGGATTTGATACTTAATTTCAGAGTTCCAACCAATGCAGCTTCATGAATTCACACCGAAGCAGAGTCCAGAATGAACATTCAAACCACCGCCGAGTATTACAGACGCTCCACGCAAAGTGCAACAGGGAGGCCATCTCTGCCGGCTCAGACTCAATCCATCACAACCTCTCCGGCCAAACGAGAGCGACCACATGTCTTCAGAGTACCCAAGTCCGCATGGCAAGCGAGCCCTAAGGGCTCTTCTTCGGGATGGACTCCGGGAAGGTCAAGAATGGACTTGAACCTGGAAGACAGACCGCCCGAGGCAGACCCAAAGGTAGTCTGGACCACCAAGTACCAGTCAGAGTCCGATATCATGGCCTCAAGGTTGGAACGGCAGCTACCCAAAACAAGGTGGGTATGGATGAAACTATCTCCGGGTGCGGTGTGCGCAACGTCTCATGCTTAGGTTTACTATATCAGCACGCTGATGAAACAGCTCAAGTCGCACGCTATGTCTGTCCGGACAGATATCCTGCCAATTTTTGACCGTTTGGCAACTAGCGTTGGTAGGTACGGTCGCTAGTGTGGTCCTAAATCGCTGGGGAGAGGCCATGAGTGCTAAACCGATCTCCGTTCCAGCCCACATGGGCGTTCAGATGGACATGCGTGACGCCGGCTACTTTCTCTCTCGTTACTTTCATGACTACGAACTGTGCATGGAACAGTTTCTGAGACATGTATGTTGGAAGCGAAGCCAAAACCGTGCGCGCGTCGCATACTTCTCGGACTGAAGCTCAATAACGATAGTGGTTCCCCAATAGCTTTAGGACGCCACTGTTTCCTACTGCTGCGACGGAAGAAGACTTTGATGCATCTGATCTTGTTCGCATGTGTCACGCTGTCATACGGTGGAACAAGATGCACCTGCTCTATGTGGTAAGTCCAACAATCTCATTCGCTTCCGGTGGGTAACTAACCGCTTTACACGCGTAGGATTGCCTATACGATAGAGAGTTGGCTGTGCTGAACTTCTTAAAGCAATTCGAGAGCCTGGAAGAGGAGAATGTCATTCTGAAAGACATTCTGTCGCGACGGCCGGGAGAACAGTGTGAGGTTGTAATTCGAAGAGTAGCGCCTCTTGTGACTGATGAGGATAGACCTCCAGTAAGTTCATAACGAAAGCGCTACCAGAGGCTGTGAGTGACGCTCCCCTTCGAAAGCGAGCAGAGCGGGGAACGATGACAGACGATGTGGTCTCAGATCCCGAGGCGAATCAGGCTATCGAGATCTTAAACCAAGCCGTCTCCGCACCAACGACAGCGTTCAAACCCGCCGACGTAGGGATGTTCGCATCCGTCCTGGCAGAAGTGAAGGCGTACCGACGTAGACCTCGGGCGAGAATCCCTGACAAACGGGATGCATCGTCTCAGACGATGGAAGTCGCTGCGACCGATTCGTCCTCGGGGATGGATAATGGTGATCTCTTCGGCATGAGAGCCGGATTCGAGTTGGTGGATGAAGACGCGGCTCCGGTGGAAGGGAAAAGTAATTTTCCGATAATCGTCGAGAAGGCGGAGGCAGAGGTGCAAGCTTCGATTGAGACGGCGTCGACGGAGGTGCAGGTCTCAATTTCGGGCCCGGCCGAACTCGAGTTGCAAGAATGCAAGAAGCAAGTGGCTCGGTTGGAGGCAAAGGTGGGGGTGGTACAGCTCTAATACTGTCTCGAAAAGCCGCTGACGATTCCATGCGTGATGTGGGCAGATGAGGGAATCAATCCAAAACTCGGACGAACTGCTGCACTCGGTCAGAAAGCAGAGCGAAGCGCAGATTGCTGCACTGGTGGAGCAGTTCGAGGTGAGCTTCTATTGCGAGCCTGATGCTTCCAATGGGTTCATGGGCTTATGATTGTTCTCCGATTTCAGACCGAGCAGAAACGGTTCTTGCGCGATCGGGAGGAGTTGGTCGGCTGGGTCGAGCAAGCTGAGCGAACGAAAGCAGATGCGGTGGCTTCTTCTGAGATACAGCAAAGAAAGCTGACAGAGGTTGTCAAAGTAGTAGAAGCTCTGCGAGACGAAAGTAAGGGTATCAGAACACACGTGTACAACCCACGAGATGCGACCTAAACTCGCTCATGCCGTCCGTTTCAGATGAATTTCTCTCAAAATCAAAGGCTGAGCTTGAAAGTGAGGCAAGGGAAACTGCAACGTTGCTGAACGAAACGCAGCTCCAACTGCGAACTGCAACCAACGAATTCAACGACTGTCAACACGAACTGACAGAGCTAAAATCAACCCTCAAAACGACTCGCGAGGATCTCATGTCCACCATCGACGAAATGGCGTCCGTGGAGCGGGATCGACAGAAATGGGAAAGTCAAGCGCACCAGCTCGCGGAGGCTGAACGCACAACAACCGAGAAACTGCAAAGGGAACAACAAGATCTCGCCTTGTCGCGAGATGATACCCAACGACTTGTTGACGCCAATATGCAGATGGAGCGGATGCTGCAAGTCGCTGATGCCAAAAGCAAAGAGCTCACCGCGTGTATACACGCGCTGATGAAGTTTCCGGACGTTAGCTTGGGGCACGAGATTGCAGACTCCGGTAGGACATCTTTCGTGAGGGGAAGGATATCAATGCATACCTGAGCCATTTCTCTGATAGATTTGGACGCGGGCGCTGTCGACGGCGACCGGATGCTCAAAGACATGATCACCGGGAACAGCGTAAGGATATCCATTCTGGAGCAGAAAAATAACGACCTTCGCATGGCACGGTTGAATTTTGGTAGGTTTGTCAAGGAAACAAACAATCCCGACCTCAATCGCGCCGACACGAAATGACCTTGATTCGTTCCCAGCATCCCGTGCCGCATCTCCCAATGGACCAATCACAAAAACCAACCTCGTCGATGGTCCAGCGGTTCAAAAAGCCAAGCACTCCCTATCGATGCAACACCTCGAACAACAAGCCGGCATCAGGCCTACGCGCCAAATGATAAATACACGCGCATCCAGCCAGTCTCTCCATACGAATGTCATCACGGTCCCACGACCGAGATCCGGACGACCTCCAGCGGTCCAATCAGCATGGGGCGGAAGCGGCAATGTCGGAGGGCGGGCATCTCCCATGAGTTCCACAAAGTTCCCGCCGGAGGATTGGATGACGAATACACCGGTGCAAGGCGTGGGGCTTCAGCAGCGGTCTGTGAAGTCGACGAGAGGCGGGAGTTCTACGAGAGGCAGATGGTCCGCTGCCATGACGTTACATTGAGTGGCGGTCCATACCAGGGACTTTACATTTTATCTTGTCGGGCTTAGGAGTGTGCCGTTTGCTTTAGAGTGTGGTGGGGCATACACGTTCTGTTACTTTTGTTGGGAATTATGGAACCTGGCGTGTGGGAGCATTCGATGCGGCTGGGCTGTTTGAACTTTGCACCTCGACGACGCCAATTCCATCATCACACATTCAAACTCCCAACTTTCTATAACAATGTCCTTGGCCCACCAACTCTTCAAACACCCCGCCCCCGCCCCCGCCCACCGCCCCGGCCGCCCCACCACCACCATCGCACCAACCTGGTCTCAATTCTTCACCAGCTCGCGCGACATTCCCGTCCCCGCCTCACAGGGCACCTTCCGCGTCTTCGAGGTCCCACCATCCTCAGCGTCATCACCGACATCCTCGAAAGCCCCGCTGTTTGTTCTGCATCATGGCGCGGGACATACAGCGCTGTCGTGGGCTTTGGCGGTTGGGAAGTTGAGGGAACGCGTGGGGAATGTGGGCGTGGTGGGGTTTGATTGCCGGGGGCATGGTTGGTAGGGCGTGTGTGACGGGCTTTCAGTATCAGAGGGGGGGGGTATGATCATGGCGGAGGATTGACGGCGGCTGATTTCCGATGATAGGTGTTACGACAACACAAGATGACACGGACCTCTCCTTAGACACGCTTGCGGCCGACTTGGTCAACCTGCTTGATGTCCTGTATCCGGATGCGATTCCGGAGGTCATACTTGTGGGGCATAGGTGCGTTTGCCCGTGTATGTCCGGTAGCGGATGACGGTGCTGAGCGGTTGTCGAATGATAGCATGGGCGGTGCAGTCGTCACGGAAGCGGCGTTGACGGGCAAAGTGCGGAATCTGCTGGCGGTCGCTGTGCTTGATGTCGTTGAAGGTGAGCGTGCGTGTCTCCCCATTGCAACCGCCCAAAGCATTAAACCTCGCACTTTTCTTGCTTCTGCAGGCACGGCGGTGGACTCACTGGCACACATGGAAATCTATCTCCGCAACCGGCCATCCCACTTCCGCTCAATAGACCAGGCCGTGGAATGGAGGTATCTCTTAACTCATGCTTTTCTCTCCTCCATTGTATTTGACTGACATTCGATCGCCTGGGACGCTTTTCTTCCCCAGCGTCACAATAGGCGGCCTGCGCAATCTATCATCGGCACTCATCTCCGTCCCGCCGCAGCTTGTTGAGGTGCCGGGGGACGGCGATACTGAGGGAGCGAAGAAATGGGTGTGGAGGACGGATTTGGGTCGGTCGCAGAAGCATTGGCATGGTGAGTGCCGTTGATCTGGGTGTCCGCCTAGGTTGTCCCATGCATGAGGGCAGAACGACGAAGTGAACAACTCAAATGTTTCGGCAGGCTGGTTCCAAGGCCTCTCTGCAAATTTTTTGTCTATCAAGGCGGCAAGGATGTTGATACTTGCAGGTAAATAAAGGCAGTTTGTCAACCCCCGCGGGTGTTCACTCGGAGCAACAGATTTCAGAAAATGAGTTATGATTTGACTTCTTGTTCTGATTGATTTAGGAACGGATCGGCTGGACACAGCACTGACGATTGGGCAGATGCAGGGCAAGTTCCAGCTGGTGCTTTATCCAGAGTCTGGGCATGCCATTCAGGTATGTGAAAGGAGCAGCCAAACGCTTCCCCACTATTAAGCGTACTTGGAGTTCAATCAATTCATTTGGTCTTATGCCATCTACAGGAAGACGAGCCGGATAAGCTAGCCACGACGCTTGCAGACTTGTGGCAGCGCAACGGGCCGGGAAAGATCATCAAGCGATTCCCGATCCCGCCGCTGAAGCCCGGGACAAAGTGATGTTGTCGTCGTAAAAGGTTCTGACTCTGCTAAGACGTATGTAGCAAACCTTCCGTAGGATTTATTTGTACAATAATCCGATATCACTCATGGTGACGGCGGTACGTTGGGCAGAACATTAGGCGGGGATGTCCCGTCCGATGCCCCATCCTTCTCTGCCTCCTCATTCGTCGCACGAAGATGTCCTCGCACCTCCTCCTCTTCGGCGATCCTTTCCCGGGGCTCACGTAACGTCTTCCCACCATTATTGTTGTTCCCCGAAGAACCCCCAGTCTCCTGTTGCGCCCTCCACATGCCGGCGTACACACCATCGGGGATCGCCAGCAACTCCTCATGGGTGCCGACTTCGATGGCTTTCCCCTCCTTCATGACAACGATATGATCGCAGTCCATGATCGTCCGTAGTCTGTGAGCGATGAAGACAGCGGTCCGTGTGCGTGGCCAGTTCACGTCAGCGTCGTTGGACACGGCGCGGTGGGGATCGTTCAGAAAATCGCGGATCGTGGCCATGATGGCCGTCTCGGTGGTTTGGTCCAGCGCGGAGGTGGCTTCGTCGAAGAGCATGATGGCCGGATTCTTCAGGAACGTTCTTGCCAGTTGGACTCTTTGCTTTTCGCCACCGCTGATCATGAGACCACGCTCACCGACAACAGTCTCATATCCATTCGGGAAGTTGTTGACGATCACGTCGTGAATCCTGGCTTTGCGGGCAGCCTCTTCCACTTCTTCCCTGGTAGCATCCGGACGACCGTAGAGGATGTTGTAGTAGATGGTTTGGTTGAACAGGATGGTGTCTTGTGGCACAACACCCATAGATTGGCGAAGACTTTCGATTGTCACATCGCGGATGTTTTGACCGTCAATGACGATGCTGCCCTCTTGTGGGTCAAAGAAGCGGAAGAGTAAACGCAAGATGGTGGACTTTCCACAACCACTAGGGCCAACAAAGGCAACTGATTTGCCGGCTGGAATCGTAAAGTCGACTCCGTCGAGGATTTGACGCCCAGTGTGGTACGCAAACTTGACATTGTTGATGCGGATTTCGCCACCTTTGACGAGTTGCAAAGGTTTCGCCGAAGGTGGCTCTTCGATGGCCGATTTGACATGGCGGAGTCTGAACATGGTATCCATGTCAATGAGACTCTGGCGAGTCTCGCGATAGACGGTACCCAGGAAGTTCAACGGCATCGACAGCTGAAACAGCAATCCGTTCACCATGACGAGATCACCGACTGTCATCGCCCCTCCAAGGATTCCCTGCGCCGCCATCCACATCATCGTGGTCAGCGCGACAGAGAAGATCGCACTTTGCCCCGCATTCAAATACGCGAGGGACGTTACGGAGGTGGTGGCAGCCTTTTCGTACTTTGCGAGCGATTGATCATACCGTTTGACCTCGAAACGCTCATTCGTAAAGTACTTGACGGCTTCGAAGTTGAGGAGCGCGTCGGTAGCAACAGATGCTGCTTTGTTATCTGCAGCGTTCATTTGCTTTCGGAATTTCACTCGCCACGTGGTCGTTATGAAGGTGAAGGCGGTGTATGCCCCCATGGTGAGGATGGTTACTCCGGCATATGCGGGACCAAAGCTATAGGCGAGGATTCCACACACCATCGAAATCTCGAGTGCCGTAGGGAATATATGAAAGACCATAGATGACAAAATCTGATTGATTCCTTTTGTGCCGCGGTCGATGGCACGCGTCAATCCACCGGTCTGTCGGCTCAGATGAAAGCTCAAGTCAAGCTTCAGCAAATGGTAGAATATCTCCCGTGATGCGTAACGTATCGCTCGTTGAGCCACCCTCCCGAAAACAGCTGTCCGCAACTCCTGGAAGAGCGAAGATCCCAGTCTCGCCGCCCCGTAGCCCAACAAAACCGTGCCAGCAACTGTCAACACGTCCGCGCCAGTGGCTGGCATAGGCTGCAGAACATCGACGATCTGTTTGAACAATATCGGCACGTTCACGTTCATGATTTTTCCGCCTATCAGAAGCGATAAGGCAATCACCACACGCGCTTTTATCCCTGCCTCATCCTTGGGCCATAAGTAAGCGCCGAGCTGCTTTATAATTTGCCAATCTGCTGCAGCGGACCCTACTTCGGGGCCTGCTGGTGGTGGAGGAGCAGGAGTGTACTGCACAGCGTTGGGAGTTGGCGGAGTGGATGAAGTCGCCGAATTGCGTTGGTGGGCGCCGGGGAAGGTGGTTCGGAGAAGGAGTTTGGTTCTTTGCCCGGCGTCACCCGGTCTTAGAGTCGTTATATTTCGAAAGGGTTGTTTCAGCGAGGGCGAGGGCGCCCCTGTCCACAGTTCGCTGGTTACCGCAGAGACCACCTTTCTACATAACCCAGCCCTCCTCGCCTGAGTTCCCAGGCACGGTAAGCCATACCCAAGGCGCATTGGAATCGGCATGTTCGTATGAGGCCAGTATCAGGCGTCGATCCAGTAAATCTTTATCGAACCGTGCGCGAAGGGAAGCCTCTGCCTGGATCTGGAGCTCTTCGAGGAAATGGAGCGGCGATGTTGCTCTCAACCTGCTTTTGGCGTTTGCAAGGATATCGGAATACTGGTAGCAGCAATATGCAATCGCGCTTTGTTCCGGACACTCGGTTTGTGGTTTACATTAATCGATGGTAAATCGACAGTTGCCCAAAGCTATCGACCTTTATTGGAGCAACTAGCCGGGAGGGCTCGCTTCGCTCGCTGCGAATTTGAAACCTCTCCCAATTGATCGAGCTCGTCCATTGAGGGGCGCTCGCCTTGCTCGCCTACCTCTTTTCTCAGATTCACAAAAGCGGCCTCATATGTGAATCATGATGCTTAACTTGTATGCCACGCCGTTTTGACAGGGTCGTCCGGGACTGACAGCGTGCCATCCATGCCGTGTCGGCCATTCATATATAGATATCGCCCCATATATCAGAATCGGGCAGGCATCAACGATCGAGGCTCGAATCCCAGAAGAAAAGTACTTGGATTGCCGCAATACCGTATGTCCTGTAAAATAGACCAAGTCCGAGTCCTCGAGACATCCTATACGGTTAGACCCGTGCGGCTGGGCTCGCGCATTTACCGAATTATTGGAACTTGGAAGAGGCCTTTGCGCGATGGGTTGTGTAACCCCACCGATATGACGTAGCGCGATTAACGCAGCTCATGATTTGAAGACGATGAAGTTCTCATCATGCAGGGCGGCAAGCAGCTGGTTTCGTTTCAACACGGGAACGGAGGTATGGAGATGCCTGACCTGCTTGAGCTGGTCAGAACTGGGAGACATGACGGCCTTGATTTTGCCCGTCCTCATTAACTAAGATAACTTAACTACTCAGGCCCCCGCGGTTTGTCGTCTTTCCGCAACCCTCGCCTGCGATAACAACCACCTTCCAATCGTGGGAAAATTCGCAAACAACTCACAGGGCACTTTCACTCAATATTTGCTACAGGCTGCTATAGGAGGCGCCGCATAGCACAGCGCTGATTCGTGGCCTGTTGTGACGTCCAGCGACCTTATTTCAAAACGGCAAACCTCTCTTCTGATCAACCAATTCCGTTTTCATTGAAACGGTTTTTACGGTGCAAGCTGCGAGATTGGGGTCGAATAGAACGTAAATAAGCTCCGAACTAGGACCGGGCCTGCGTCACGAAACCCGCAGGTAAGGACGTCATTCTTTTTTCTCTGCGGAATCCCTGAACGCTAGCTTTCCCAACTCTCCCACGACGGACTGGTGCTTTCGGACCCGGTCAAGACCGGTGGTTTATCTCTTCCCTTTCGTCTTCGTCATGCACTGGCTTGACTGCTGCGGACTTCTGCATTGAATCAGATCCTCACTAATCACACTTGTTCTCGAATCGATCACAGGAAATGTCTCACGGAGGAAATCTCCTTGATCGGGTGGAAAGCGTTCTATACTCAATAAGCAATGGTGACCTCCAAAATGCTGCGGCTCTCGTGGACAATATCAGCCCGCGGTCGACTGCTCTACCTACACCGCCTATTAACGGCCATGACCCTCATATGAGCGGAAAAGGCTTACAGCGTCGCCCATCGCGCACCCCATCTTTCACGTCAACTCTCGGATCCGTCCTATTCTCCCGCCGCGACAAGAGTATGGATGCAGGTGATTCCCATGGATCGATTGGCAGTAGTGACGGGATCCAGAACATTGAAAACGCCAGTGAAGACCAGGCAATTCGGATTCAGAATATGTTGAGGAGCATTTTGGAAAAGCAGGAACGATTGACTCATCAAACGAAAGGTTCGTTGTGATCTAGTTCTCTTCGTGGCTGCGTCAAATCACCTGACTCCTCGTTACCTCATCTTTTAGTATCAGACTCTATTTCTACAGAGGCAGCAGACTACAAGACCTTGACAAGTACAGCCGTCGAGGATGACAAGCGTGATGTAGCCTTTGAGCAGTGCATCAAGGTCGTGAACGCCATGGGTCGTGGTATTCTCAGCGAGCGTATCGACGTCTCCCTGGAAAGGCTTCCGCCCACACAAGTCGAGCTGATTCAGAGCATCAATCAAGCGGCCGATCGCATGGAAGCCTTTGTTGCGCCAACACTCAGAGTGTTGCACGACATAGGTTGTGAAGGAAGGCTTGGCCAGCAGATCGCTGTCGCCGACGCCGAAGGAAGTTGGAAGGACCTCATTGAGTCTGCAAACACCGTCAGCTTGACTCACAGCGACCGCATCAAAGAGATCGTGGAAGTGTGCAAAGCAGTCGCTTCTGGAGACCTGACGAGGGAAATTCGCGTAGACCTCAAGGGAGATGCCTTGATTCTGAAAGATACTATCAACTCCATGGTCGTTACCCTGAACTCTTTTGCTATCGAGGTAATCACTTGAGCAGGGGCAGTTCCTCGAATCTTTTCTCGTCTCCACCGTCGCCCCGACGTCCTACTGATACTTGATTACCTTCTACTTTTCGTACATCATAGGTCACAAAAGTAGCACACTTGGTCGGAACAGAAGGCCAGCTGGGAGTACAAGCGCAAGTGCATGGCGTCAGCGGAACCTGGGCCCTCCTCACGGACAATGTGAACCGCATGGCTTTCAACCTTACTGGTAAGGGTTTGCAAAGCGGTTCAATGATAATTGCTCGGGTTCTGATGTATGCCCTTCGACTTCAGACCAAGTACGTGATATCGCGGATGTGACAAAAGCCATTGCCCGGGGGGATCTCAGCAAGAAGGTTCGCGTCGACGGACGGGGCGAGATCTTGGAACTCAAGGAGACCGTTAACTCGCTTGTCGACCAATTGACCACGTTTGCAGCGGAGGTATGTTTTCTTTTCATTCATTAGACCTTCAGATTGCGGTGACCGGGGTAAACTCAATCAACATACTTGTAGGTCACTCGTGTTGCCCGTGAAGTGGGTACTGAAGGAAAGCTCGGAGGACAAGCGGTTGTCAAGGATGTCGGAGGAACCTGGAAGGAGTTGACCGAGAGTGTGAACGCGATGGCACGTAACCTCACGGCTCAAGTCCGCGACATTTCTTCAGTCAGTTTCGCCATCGCTCGTGGAGATCTCAGCAGGACGGTAACGGTAGATGTCCGCGGTGAAATGCTCGAACTCAAGGAAACGGTGAACTCGTTGGTAGATCAACTGAGAACTTTCGCATCAGAAGTGACCAGGGTTGCTCGAGAGGTGGGGACAGAAGGAGTCCTCGGGGGACAAGCAGTCGTCAAAGATGTGGGTGGGACATGGAAGGAGTTGACCGAGTCGGTGAATGCGATGGCCGCAAACCTCACTGCTCAAGTTCGAGATATCGCTGATGTTACCAAGGCCATTGCGAAAGGAGATCTGAGCCGCAAAGTGCGAGTCGATGGACGCGGTGAAATCTTGGAACTCAAAGAAACCGTCAACTCTCTGGTTGAGCAGCTGACCACCTTCGCTTCTGAAGTTACTCGTGTCGCGCGCGAGGTCGGAACAGACGGGCGGCTTGGAGGTCAAGCTGTCGTCGAGAACGTTGCCGGTACCTGGCGTGAGCTGACAGAATCAGTCAATGCGATGGCGAGCAATTTGACTGCGCAACTCCGTGATATTGCGTCTGTCAGTTCAGCCATAGCAAGGGGTGATCTCAGCCAGACTGTGACCGTCGATGTGGAAGGCGAAATGCTAGAATTGAAGATCACCGTCAATTCGCTTGTCGACCAATTACGGACGTTCGCGCGAGAAGTCACTCGAGTCGCTAGAGAAGTCGGAACGGAAGGGAAGCTTGGCGGTCAGGCTGTTGTCAAGGACGTCGCCGGTACATGGAAGGATCTCACGGACTCGGTCAACGCCATGGCAGCGAATTTGACAGCGCAAGTGCGTGATATTGCCTCTGTCAGTACGGCCATTGCGCTGGGTGACTTGTCTCGAACCGTCACCGTCGATGTCCAGGGAGAAATGCTGCAGTTGAAAGAGACCGTCAACTCCTTAGTCGACCAACTGCGTACCTTTGCAAGGGAGGTCACGCGTGTAGCCAGGGAAGTCGGTACCGAAGGAAAGCTTGGAGGTCAAGCCGTGGTGAAGGACGTCGCCGGCACTTGGAAAGATCTCACTGACTCCGTCAACGCTATGGCCGCGAACTTGACGGCTCAAGTGAGGGATATCGCGTCCGTTAGTACCGCTATCGCCGAAGGTGACTTGTCAAAGAACGTGACTGTCGACGTTCAGGGAGAAATGTTGCAGCTCAAAGAAACGGTCAATTCGCTCGTCGATCAGCTGAGAACTTTCGCTCGTGAGGTCACTCGAGTAGCGCGAGAAGTAGGCACTGAGGGCAAATTGGGAGGCCAAGCCGTAGTGAAAGATGTCGCTGGTACCTGGAAAGACCTCACGGATTCCGTGAATGCCATGGCCGCGTCTCTCACCGCTCAAGTGCGCGACATCGCTTCCGTGTCGACGGCCATCGCGGCCGGAGACCTTTCGAAAACGGTCACTGTTGACGTGCAAGGGGAGATGTCGGCCTTGAAGCGCGATCTCAATCGGATGGTGGATCAGCTCAGAACTTTCGCTGCAGAGGTGACGAGAGTGGCGCGTGAAGTAGGAACTGAAGGAAAGCTCGGCGTTCAAGCCCAAGTCGACGATGTCGAAGGCACCTGGAGGACTATCATTGTCAATGTCAACACCATGGCCAGTAACCTCACTTCTCAAGTCCGTGCCTTCGCCGACATTTCCGCCGCTGCGACCGACGGGGACTTTACCCGCTTGATCGACATCAAAGTCGAAGGCGAAATGGCTAGTTTGAAGAGCAAGATCAACCAGATGGTTTTGACTCTCCGCGAGTCCATTCAAAAGAACACCGCGGCCAGGGAGGCCGCTGAACTTGCGAACCGTGCCAAGTCTGAATTCTTGGCCAATATGAGGTAAACACCCTGATCCACTTGCCACATCGTCGAATCTACTGACCTCTTTGATCCAGTCACGAAATTCGAACCCCTATGAACGGTATTATCGGCATGACTGCCCTCACACTCGAACAGGAACTCACGCGCCAGCAGAAGGACAACCTGATCATTGTCTCGTCGCTGGCCAACTCCCTCCTGGTAAGCAATCCAATTTTTTGAGGTTTCCATCTCTCTGCGACGTCGTGGTTGATACTTGTCCCTTTTTTTTCAGTCCATCATTGACGACATCTTGGATATCAGCAAAATCGAGGCTGGACGCATGGTCATGGAAGAGATCCCGATGAGCTTGCGTCATGTCGTCTTCTCTCTCTTGAAAACTCTGGCCGTTCGTGCGTATCAAAAGAACATCTCACTCTTCTTCGACATCGACAACACCATCCCCGATCAGTTGGTTGGCGATCAGTTGCGATTGAAGCAAGTCATTACCAACTTGGTTGGCGTATGTATCCCCATTGGTTTTGTTCTCTGGCCCCCAGAAGCATCACTCACCATCTCATATATGCATCGCGACGCAGAATGCTATCAAGTTCACATCTGCGGGAGAAGTTGCGCTGCACGCCACGTTCAAGGGTATCGTCGGAGACGAGGTTGAGATCGTATTCTGTTGCTCGGACACTGGCATCGGAATCGAGGCATCCAAGTTGGATTTGATCTTCGACACTTTCTGCCAAGCTGATGGTAAGATTCTGAAGCCAAAAACGCACCGCAGCCCGAGGTTTATTCGTCCTCAACTAATCAGTACTTGCGCACTTTTCAGGTTCCACGAGCCGGAAGTTCGGTGGTACTGGTCTGGGATTGACTATCTCTCGTCGTCTGGTCGCTTTGATGGGAGGCGATCTGTGGGTGCAAAGTGAATTCGGAAAGGGATCCCAGTTCTATTTTAACGTCCGTTTCAAGCTGTCTAAACGTGGTGAGGACGACCACAAGATTCAAGCCTTCAGCGGCGCCAGCCTCTTGCTGTTGGATGATGGAGAGAAGAACGATACCCCGGACATTGGGGCCGGTGAGACCTCCAATGCCCTAGTGGCCACATCGCCGGCTTCACCGGCATCTCCCTCGCAACACGTTGCCAACTCTATGGAAGCCTTGGAGGCAATGCTCCGCAACCTGAACCTGGCGTCAACGCGCGTTCACACGATCGAAGCTGCCAACCAGTGTGCTGAGGAGAAGTCCTACTCTGCAATTGTCCTCACATCTCTCGCGGCAATCAACCGAGCCCGCGACGTCACTCGTCTACGATACACCCCCGTTGTTCTCTTCGCCGACTCGGCTCGCATGCGTCTGGATATGAAGTGGTGTATCGACACCAGTATTGCCTCTTACGCGTCCAACCCCGCTACTCAAGTGGATATTGTCAATGCTCTCATCCCCGCCTTTGAAAGTTCTGACGCCAACGGCGCTGCACGCCAGGCGAACAAGGACAACAGTGGAGGATACTATATCCTTCTCGCGGAAGACAACTTGGTCAACCAGAAGCTCGCTCTCCGCATCCTGGAGAAGTTCGGGCACAAGGCCACCGTTGTGGAGAATGGAAAGCTTGCGGTAGAAGCATTCCAGCGTGAAGCCTTCGATCTGATCTTGATGGGTAAGTGTCTTCGATACATTCTTTACACTGCTTTTGCGCCATCATGCTGATTCACTTCCTTCTTGCAGATGTCCAAATGCCCCTGATGGGTGGATTTGAGGCGACTCAAGTCATTCGACAGATCGAGAAGAAGATGGGTCACGACTCCCCATTGAAGAGGATTCCAATTATTGGTGGGTAGTTCGAAGACTCCTCAGTCACATCGAATGAAATCGCTAACAACAGTTTGCGCGCACAGCCGTAACCGCTCACGCCATGATCGGAGACCGCGAGAAATGTCTCAACGCCGGAATGGACGAGTACGTTACCAAACCCCTCCGCATGAACGAACTCAACGCCATCATCAACCGCTTCCCCAAACGCACCCACCAAGCCAGCGTTACGGGCGGACGGGCTGCCGTCGCGACCGGCGGCGCAGCGAGCGCAGGACTCGGCCTGACCTCCGAAATCAATTTTGGTGGAACCGAGAGGATTTCGGTTGCTGATATGGAGATCCTTGACAACCCCAGTGGGTCGGATTCGGATCCGCGGGATCGCGGATTCTGAAGGAATTCACAAAATAGATTTTCGAAATCGTCTTTCAGCGGGCCTGAGGATACGGTTTCCACCCCACCAACAGCCAGATCGGCAAAGCTTTTGCTCAGTGTATCATTCACACACGTCGCTCACCTTCGCAGACGACACTCGTTCGCCGGACTTCCTTCCTCTTTCTATTCACGTTGTCACCTTACCCGGAATCTTTTCAGCCTAACTTTAGCGCTACTGTTTTTGATTTGATCTGAAGTGTCTTGCCATTGTGATTATCGTCTTCCATAGGACTTCCTTTTACATTCGGTAGCGTTTTCCCGTTGTTTCGCATTGTACATAGACACACCAAGTATGCAATTATTCTTCACTTGCCGGTTTTGCAGCACATATGTGGAGACGAGTCTTTTTAATGATGTGAATCTAAAGATATATGGAAAGAGATTCAAGAACTATGCACGAGACGCTAAAGCCAGTGTATGTCCTAAAATCGACGCAATCAACGCCCCAAAACTTCTGTCGAATTCCCACACAAACTATTGCTGAATGACGGGCCGGCCGCCACAGCCGAGGGTAGTATCCCCACTCAGACCTTGCGCCGCCTAACACCCTCCTCATCCTCTGCGTACGTAGGCAGCGCAGGTGCCTTTTCTTCGTAATCTGGCAGGCTGAGCGTGTCCTTGCCGTCCTTCTCAGCGCCTTCAATCTCGGCGACGGCAGTGGGGAAAGCGGAGGGGGCGACGTAGAAGACAATGGGGACTTCTACCTTGGATTCCTGGGGCTCGTCTTTGGGAGTTGCGCCTTTCGGTCGGTATTTGATTTCGAGTTGGATGATGTGGTGGACTTTTAGGACGTTTGTCTAGCGGGACGATGCGAGTGAGCCGGGATAATTGGGAGGAAGAATCGTTCACCAAGTGCGCCCGGCGCAAAGGGTGATCATTCTTACCTCAACATCTGGGCACAATTCGGCAGCTTTATGCAGGTCCTCAAACGGCGCCAAGATCGGAACATCCACGGCATGTTCGAGCCCAGGGTAATGTCCAGTCTCTGGGGTGTAGATGTACTGCTTCTGGAGGAAATGCTTCTCTTTGACATTCTTCTCGCTGATGACGTTGCTTGCGGAATCGACTTTTCCGCCCATAAAGCTGAAGCCAGCGTTATGTCTGCGAGATGATAAAGTGATTAGAGCGATCTTTGAAGTGAAGCTCCGACTCCAAGTATGTGATAACTCACGTGAAGAGGAACGAGTGATGCTGTCGCAGCTGCCATTTGAGCTCAACCAGCGATGCACCACCGCTCGCATTTATGGTAACGGGGATGTTCTCCGAGGGAATGGCGTGGACGGTAGGTAGCGCAACCTCCACCTCCGGCACAGGATTCCACAGCGTCCTCCCACCCGCGACTCCGTTCTCGCCCTTCTGTTCCACAATGCGGACCTTCTTCTCCTCTCCCTCCGTCAGCTGCTTCAGCGTCTCGACAATAGGCTCGATTGTGGCCGGCGGCTTGCGGACAAACACCTCCTTTTTGGAGACGGTGGGCAGGCGCGACATCGGTATGCACGGCAGGCCGCAAAACGTGCGGGGCTCCCATATGATAGTGGCGACGAGCATGTACTGGACGTGTCCGCGCTCGAACCTCAACGATGGCGGCATGTGGTCGGGAATCTTTACCCGGAAGGTGAAGTTGTGTTTGCCGGCCTCGAGAGGCACGGGCTGATCGTCGTCGTCTGTGGGTTCCCATAGCTTCAGCGTTTGGTCTGTGAGCCGTTGTGGCCCGCGGAGGTTTGCACTGAACTGGAAAATGAAGGTCGAATGAAAGTCAGCAGCGGTTCCGCCTGACTAAAATGACTGCAAGAACGGAAAACGCTGGCGTACCTCCGGGTCGTCAAATTTGGCAATGACTCCAGCGATAAAGCGGAACAAGATACACTTAGCGCCCTGTAGGGGTTCTGTAATGTTCAGCTTGACCTGGCCTTCCACATAAGCGGGACCGCCCTTGTCCCTCAAGATGACTTCATCCTGGTCGGTAGTGAGCTCGAACAGTTCGACGTATTCCGGCGTCTTGTGCCACGAAGAGAAAAGATAACCAGCGGCTGCCATTGTGGGGAGAGGTTCTTTGGTGCTGGTGAAGCAGGTTAGAGAGTGCCAGACGCTGTACTTTTTATGTTGCCTGGTAAACAGCAAGGAGCGGCGACAGGACGAAGGAGTTTCTATCGCCAGCGGCCCAGGAATTCTGCTGAACATTTCCCAAAGTTGTTGCTCTCCGCCTCTCCTAAATTACAGAACACTCGCAGCGACGCGTTCTCAACCAATCGCTCCAGATCGATCTACGACAAGCAAGGCCATTGGCGACTGGTTTGCAAACAACGGCGCACCACGGAAGGAAGGAGGGCATAATGTACAATACAGTAGCGGACCGCACTTACAGACAACGGGCGGGGCCTCATTCTCGTAATGAACGGCGGATCAGCCTCCCGCAAGCTGTTATTGAATGCAGGTTTCCCGCGTTGCTACCGGTCAGCTTCAGAGCCAGTTGGCGTTTGTCTTGCGCGTGAAAACCGCATCCTCTTCACCTCTTCTACGGCATCATGCTCTGGCCGTGCATGCGCCACTCGGATACAAACGGCCGGGATCTTGGGCGATTCAGCAAACCTTCCCTACCGTCGATGGCCCGTCGGCAATTGTCCAGCTGGTAGAGGGCCCACAATCTGTGAGGAGCCTCTGACCACATATGGAAAGTACTTTCGTCCCGGCCCAGCGCTTGTGAGATGCGCCCCGCCACTTCCGTCGCCAGCTCGAAGATACTCTGCAGGTGAGTATATTTTCTGGATGGCCAACCGGACGAGCAGTGGACCTTCCCAGTTTCCGCGGTCACGCACGCGTCTTCTGCGTCTGTCACCCGTCCGTCACGGTCCTCGGCTCTCGTCTCTCTCGTAGGACGCCCATTTGCGAACCTCAAATTCAGACGGCTTTCAAGTGCTTATCCTCATTCATCTCCTACTCATAGCAACCTCCGCAACCATGGCTGCCTTCTGCCCAACTGACCCTAACAGTTATGCGAACACCCACGAGGTCGCCCTCTCACACACGCACCTCTCGTGGGCGGTCAACTTTGACACCAAGACCATCGATGCAATTGCGGTTCACACCCTTATCGCTCAGAAGGACGATGTGAAGAAGATTGTCCTCGACACTAACCACCTCACCGTCGACAAAGTCTTTCTCGTCGGTGACGGTTCCGATACCGAGTTGTCCTCCGACCTCGCCCCGAGGGACGAGAAGTTCGGAGCTGCGTTCACCATTCACCTGAAGAAGCCCTTGTCTGCGAAGGAAACGGTCAAAGTTAGCCTCAAATACACCATTACCGAAAAGTCTGCCGCCCTGCAGTGGCTGACTCCCAGCCAGACCGTTGGAAAGCAGCACCCATACTTGTTCAGTCAATGCCAGGCGATCCACGCCCGAAGCATCGTCCCTATCCAGGACACCCCAGGCAACAAGATCACCTACTCAGCGGACGTCACCGTGCCCTCTCAGCTGAGGGCGCTCATGAGCGCCGTCAGGACTGGAGAGGACGTTGTCGGAGACCGCAAAAAGTTCTCTTTCTCGCAAAAAGTGTCCATCCCAAGTTACCTCATCGCCCTGGCTGTAGGAAACATCGAAGGAAAGCAGGTTGGACACAGGTCAACCGTTTGGTCGGAACCCGAAGTTCTGGAAGCTGCTGCATGGGAGTTCGCCGGAACTGAGGAATTCATCAAGACGGGCGAAGACTTGCTTTCCCCTTATGACTGGGGCATCTACGACCTGCTGCTGCTGCCTGCCTCTTTCCCCTACGGTGGAATGGAGAACCCCTGTCTCACATTCGTTACCCCGACTTTGCTTGCTGGAGATCGTTCCTTGGTGGATGTCGTTGCCCATGAGATCAGCCACAGCTGGATGGGAAACCTCGTTACGACACAGAACTGGGAGCACTTTTGTATGTACCCCGCGACGATGCATACGATGGGATACCGGCTGACCACCTACTCATTCACATATCAGGGCTTAACGAAGGTTTCACCGTATTCGTGGAGCGTAAGATTACCGGCCGGTTGCACGGCCGCCAAACTGCAGAGTTCCAGGCCATTATCGGTGTGAAGGCGTTGCAAGAGTCGCTCGACCATTTGGAAGAATCGGGCCACCCTGAATACACCTGCCTTTGCCCCAGGCTGAAGGGCCAAGACCCTGATGACGTGTAGGTCATCACGTTGAGAGAACGGGACCAAACGATTATTCAGCCATGCTGATGGTTTCCTGCTGCAGCTTCTCGTCCGTCCCATACGAGAAGGGATTCTCACTCCTGTACTATTTGGAAAAGACCCTGGGTGGACCTGAAGTCTTCGGTGAGTTGACTGACGTCCATATGGTTGTGTATGAACTACTTGCTAATTTTGGAAAACAGAGCCGTACCTCAAAGCACACGTCAGAAAGTTCGCACACAAGAGCATCAACACGACGGACTTCAAGAACTACCTCTACGAGTTCTTTGCTGACAAGAAGAGCATTCTGGATACAGTTGACTGGGACGCGTGGTTCTTCAAGCCCGGAAAGGTAGGTTGAGTTGTGGGATACGTATATCATTCGTGAAACAGACGCTCAATGACCTTTCTTGGATCTCTAGCCGCCGGTGTTGAACCAGTACGACGACACCCTAGCAAAAGCTTGCGAGGAGTTGGCTCAAGAGTAAGCTCGCACTGGCTGTACATGCGCGCCGTAGGTATCCGTCTCTAACACGTTTACTCTGCAGGTGGGACAAGAAGCGTGGCGACTCCAACCCCACCGTCGACCGTGCCTCTTTCGACAAGTTCAACGCGGGCCAGAAAAGTAAGTTTGAGATATGTTGGTATCAACGCGCGTAGACTCAATGATTGCCGCCCTTACTCTTCCTACCACCAGTCATGTTCCTCGAGAAACTCCTAGCAAAAGACCCCTTCCCCCACCCCGTCCTAGCAGCCATGCAAAAGACCTACGATCTCAACGACGTCGGCAACGCCGAGATCAAGTGCCGCTGGCTCTGGCTCTGCCTAAACGCCTCCTACGAGGAAGCCTTTCCCTTCGCAACGGTGTTCCTCGGCCAGGTCGGCCGCATGAAGTTTGTCCGTGTGCTCTATCGCGCGTTGAACAAGGCGGGTCCCAAGGGCGCTGCATTGGCTAAGGAGACGTTCCTGAAGAATAGGAACTTTTATCACCCGATTTGTGCGGGGATGGTTGCTAAGGATCTTGGCATCCAGTAGAGTGGCCTCGCTGGTGTTGGACGGTTGTAGGCGTGACGGCGTAGGTCGGCTAGGATCTGATTGTGGTTACGTAGGCAAACCTAAACGACATGAAGTGTTTTCTCATATTGTGAATGAAAGTCGGATCTCATCCACCTCGTCCTGTCATGCATCACTTTCGCTGGCAGGGAACATGTGTGGGATATACACACATTGCGGTGTACTGCGCGGCGCGGAGGAGTGTTTATTTACAACCATTATTTCCTTCATGTATGCTACCAAAAAGCCTATCCCATCCCACCCCCGTCATGTCCCCGCATCATTCCTTCTTCTCTACAGGCCGCCGTTCTCTTTCGCTGGTCTTCTTTCGATCAAGCTCTCGCGGAAAGCATTCCATCGGTACTATCGTCAACTGACGCCCAATTGACCCGAACATAATTGCTCCCGAAAACAGCATGCAAGGGAACCATGACCGCACGCCGAAGAAATCTGCTTTCGTGAAGCTGCTCCAGGTGAAACGGGATTAGCGGATAGGCAAATGTGCAAGACATGAGGAAATGACGAGTGCATACCTGTACATTCCATTTGAAACCAAAAATTGGGCAAACCACGTTCCCAGGATGGCGACGGTCGATGAGAGGAAGAAGCCGTGTGGACTTCGGTCAAACATCAGCCATAGCCAGATCGCTGACAAGGCCAGGACCATCGACACTTGTATACTGCTTGTCCATGGCAACTTCTGTAAAACCTGTCAGCGACAGTCGCTCTCGCTTTCCAGGACACCCGTAACGATAGCACCATACCGTCGCAGCGTAGTTTACTCCAATAAACCCCCCGCAACACCTAAGTTCACAAAACGTAAGCGCGACCGCCTCCCCAAAAATCGTGCATCCCTCGTCCGGCATACCTCATAACGCTCGACCAGTCCCTATTGTACTTATGTGGCCTCCCGAACAGGGCATAGTCCAACAGCGGATGCAGAGTCCCAATCAGTAGCGCCGAAGAACCGCAACACAGTGGAACCCAAGACGCCGTGGAAAAGAGCTGACTGACATTCCGCGGATATCGAGTTATGTCGTGCTCCTGCAGGAACAGGTCGATTATGATGGAGAATGCGAACCCAAGAATGAATAGTGCGAGAGCTTTTGGGAGGTATAGCACATATGGTGACGTTGAGAGTTTGTGTTTCAGAGCGTCTGAGTGTGTGGGGGATTGCTGTGCGGGTGTTCGTTTTGCTGTTTGTGTGGTTGTTGGTGCGGCCATTATGCGTGAGAAAGTGCGCTAGCGCCTGTCAAATACGTCTTCCGCCCGCGAGTGAAGCAAGCACTAGCTAGATCTAGAGGAAGCCGACAACGTGTGTGAAAAGTAGTCGTGGACCAGCCAACGAGTTTGCAGTGGTCAAGGGAATAGCTCTTCACTCATGCCGCGCATGTCAATTGCTCGCGAGATCGCTTTCAAAGCGCTTGAAGCCTCGGCCGGGTGGGTGAGCTCACCCCGGGAGAGTCCGCCCCCAACACGCCCATCATTATGCAGTTCCCAGTACGGTATAACACCACCTGCGTGCGTCCCTCCCAGTAATAATCACATGTCAGGGGGAGAAGTGTCATTATTCCGAATTCGGACCTCGGGAAGCGGCACTGTCGAATTGCATGCAACTGACAGTTGGCCGCATGCGCAGCTGTCTGCAACATAAATGTGCTTTTTTTGTATTCCTGTACACGTGGATGTACGCGGACGCGGACGCGGCTTCGGCTGCTTGTCGGAAATCTCGGAGCCTCATCCAAAACACGTAGTCATCACTTACAAAAGTTGTGTCGGCAACTACGTGTCCTCGTCTCAGTCCACCAACCCACACCCGCAAAGCGGAACCAAAAAAAAGAAAAGAGGAAGGTTAGAGCGGCACTTGGTCAGGGTGTTCGGGTGTTCTCCGTGATGTATTCCGCCGTTGGTCTTTCGAAAAGCGGATCGATGCGAGAGCCACACATGCGCACTCGGGAAGTTTGTTCAAACAGGAAGAGGCGGCGTACGGCCCCGAACTCGTACATAAAATGGAAGGACCGTGTCTCGATCCCCCTTCCCAGAACCATACATCGTTCGCATACCCTTCAACCGCTGTGTAAAGCTCTATAAGCCAGTAGCCAAGAACGCCGCAACAATGCACGAGATGATTGCAGTGCAACGCAACGAGGAGCATGCTCCAAACAAACCTGAACGGCAAGAAAGCCTCGGATCCAGCGGCGGATCCAGCGGCACCCATAAAATCGACATCGATGACTCTATCGGGGAGAGCACTGAGGATGTTGCGACGAACCGTTTCCCTTCGGGATCCTTGTCTTGGAACAATCTTAGGTACTCCCTGAAAGTAGGCAAGGATCAGGAACGAGTGCTTCTTGATGGAGTGTCCGGCGAGGTCAAAACCGGCGAACTGGTCGCAATCATGGGGTCGTCCGGAGCTGGTAAGACCACTCTACTCAACTGGTATGTTTAGTGCCCCAATCTTGACACAGCTTTGGAGATGTTGAGTTGACCATCGCTCCATATGCCATATAGCCTATCAGGCCGCATTTCCACCGGAAAGCTCAACGGTGATGTCGCTCTCAACGGCCGCCCGCGCAACCCAAAGCAATGGAAGAAGCTGATGGCATTCGTCGAGCAAGACGATCACCTTTACTCTAACCTCACCGTCCGCGAAACGCTTCAGTTCGCCGCTCGGTTACGACTCAGTCCGCAGGAATACCCAACGATGGCGGAGAGAGATGCCGAAGCTGAGAAGGTCCTCAAGTCGCTACGGTTGACCAAGGCGGCGGATACGCATATTGGTGATGGGTTGACCAGGGGTGTCTCTGGTGGGGAGCGCAAACGAACGGCAATCGGGCAGGAGATCGTTGGTATGTATCGTTTGCTGTTGTTCATAAGCGTGAATGAACTACCGCAAGTGAAGCGGGCGTGCTGAGATGGTTGATAACATCGTTCGTATAGGAAATCCCCGTGTACTGTTCCTCGACGAACCCACATCGGGACTCGACTCAAATTCCGCCTTCGCCATCCTCGAGAACGTGAAGAAGGAGGCGATGCGCACTAACCGCATCGTCCTCCTGACGATCCATCAGCCCAGTTATGAGATCATGGAGCTGTTCTCAACCGTCATCTTCCTCGCCGAGGGCACCGTCGCGTACATGGGCTCACCGGAGAAAGCCCTCCTTCACTTCGAGGAGGTCGCGGGCTACAAGGTACGCTTCTATCTTCCTATCGATAGTTGATAAGGCAGGAATCCGAATGAACCGTCATTTTTCATTTTAGTGCCCTATCCGCAAGAATCCCGCTGATTTCTTCATGGACTGCTTGACTGTGAGACTCGATTACCAAAAAGAAGACTCGGAGCGCGTAAAGAGGTTCAAGGCCTTCAGCGACACCAAGAGGTCGATCGATGTTGGGAAGAGAGACGACGTGGCAGTGCACTACAGCATCGACGCGCCCCAAATCGGTCTCCCCGTCAAACCCAAACAGACGGTCGTCGAAGACCTCAACGCGCCCAACTCATGGTTCACCCAGTTCTCCATCCTGCTCAAACGCGCCACCATCGATCGACGCCGCGACAAGACCCAGCTGATCGCCGAAATCGTCCGCACTGTCCTCATCACCGTCCTGATGGGCTTCTCCAGTCTGCAGCTCGCGAACGATCAGCGAGGCCTGCAGAACCGAATCGGTGTTCTGTTCGTGTACCCCGTCAACGCCATGTTCTCCATCATGCAGCCCATCCTCGGGACGTTCCCGCTCGAACGCATCATCCTCCGCCGAGAACGTGCGGCCGGATCGTACCAGGTCTCGGCGTTCTACCTCGCCAAGTTGTTGATTATCCTCCTTCCCACCTTCTTCTTTACGGTGCTTGGTACCGCACCGTTGTACTGGATCATCGGTCTGCAGAGCGACGTCGGCAAGTTCTTTACGTGGATCGGTGTCAACCTCCTCGTCGTCACTTGCGCCGTCTCGATAGGGCTGCTTACCAGTGCTGCCGCGCCGACCGTAACCGCCGCTCAAGCCTTTGGCCCGCTCGTCGGGGTCGTCTTCATGTTGTTCGGTGGACAAGCATTCAACGTCGGTACCCTCGGCTGGTGGTTCAGATGGTTGCACTACGTCTCGCCCGTTGCTTGTAAGTATACGCTCACCATCCCATCCCCACCTCTCAAAACCCGCAAACTCACACAAACCCCCCCTTCTCTCCCACATCAGACGCCTACCGCGCGTTCGCAATCACCGAGTTCACCGGCCTCGCCCTCACTTGCAATCCCGGCGAAATCTGTATCAACGACGGCGAGGAGGTCCTTCGCACGTACGATCTCGGCACCATCAGCGTTGCTCTCTGCGCCGTCATCCTCGCATCCCTTGCGACGTCGTGGATTCTTGGCGGATATGTCCTTCTGAGGAGGACGAGCAAACCGGCCAGAGTAGTCATTTGATGTTGAGACCCCGGTCTCATCGAAGTTATCATTAAGTTTTGGACGTACTTCCTTTTGACTCTTTCTTTACCGTGACAATTTTGCGTAGTCTCTTCTGAGATCGCTATCATTGTAAATATGCATTATTTCCCCCTCATAGAGCTTTTATATGTACTCTTTTCTAATACATGAACGTTACAACCGATACACTGCTCCTCGGAATGGCATTGTCTCGATTGGAGGTTTCCGCGCTTGAGTAAAAGTTATCATCTTTACACTGAAGAGTTACAGATACTAGATTACAAGAGAGAGCTCTATCTATGGACAACGATAACAGAAATATTACATATACGGCGGGATTTACAAAAGAAAATACATAAGTTATCAACGCCGGGAAGGATGCCCAGCACTCTCATGCGTCGATTTGCGCTTTTCGGGCGCCAAGGCCGCGCTACTGCTCCGCGACGTCGATGTAGTCGGGGAACTGCTACTGCCCTGGGTCGGGGTTTCAAAGCGGCGCGGTTTTGTCACCGGCTTCGACGCCACGTCTAGCTTCGCGAGGTTGGCTTTGGTAAGGCTGCTGCGAGACGAGTTCGCGTGCGTCATAGACATAGGCAGCGCTTCTGCCCGGGAGCGCCGTTGTTTTTGACTGGAGGGGTCTATAGGAAGGCGGGTTTTGGATTTTCGGCGTTTCTCCCGCACTTCGTCTATGGATTTCCGGCCGCTGGACGTTTGTTGCGTCCCTGCCGCCTTTTGCTGGCTCAGAATGGTCTGCTGCGACAGCTTATTGTAGTAGTCTATGGATTCTTCTGGCTTGTCGAATAAGAATAGGCCGGTTGTTTTGTCTAGCGTTCCGGAATATGTGTTGTCGAAAGCGAAGAACGAGTGGCGGATGGATTGTCGGTTCTCTTCCGATGCAAGCGATCGAACGGAGGGGTTTTGCAGTTGCGAAAGTGAGGTGGTGCTGGAAGTAGGGGATACGACGGAGGGCCTTGTGGTGTGCGCACTGGTCGGTAACGGTGGCGCTGACGACTGCATCTGCTGTTGCAGTTCTTCCAGCTGTTCCGCAGTGAAGATCGTGGAGAGCCTGGCGGCCGTGACTCTAGAGTCTGGACCGTTATGCACGATCGTCGGCATGGCAGGAACCGGGGGTAGATCGTGGAGATAGTCCGGCACGAACGAACTGGCGATACTAGCGCGAGACGACCGCCGGCTTCTGCGACCTGCGGAGCTGGCTCTAGACTGGTCGTCATGACTAGTGAGACTTCCACGTCGGCCATGTCCCCGTCCACGCTCTTCTGAAGCGGCGTCTCCCTGGTCTTCAAGGTCGGGAGACGCTCGCATATTCGATGCTCCGGTCACCCCGATCTCTGACGGCACAACTGCCGACAACTCCGGTCTCTGCCCAACAGTGCTCCTCCCTTGGACGCCAGACGGCCCTCCTATGCGGGATTGCCGAGCAGTGGAACGGTCCGCCCCCTTCGCTTCCATCTCCACGGCAGATAGATTCAGCTTATCCTCCCAGTCGTCATCCTGCCGCTTCCGCAGATAGTGAAAGGGAAATATCTGCTTCATCCGTGCAATCCACAACAGCCCAGCGAGTACGAGAACACATCCAACCACGGCGCCGACTATCGTCAGCTGTGCAAAGAAACGTTCTATAAGTATCTATACCGCGAGGAGTGCAGACTGTGAATTGACTGTGAATTCCACATACCACTGAAGCCGCGCTGGGGCCTGAACCCCCTGCTTTTGCTGGCAAAGGCGTTGCCGTCGCTGTGGGCGGTGGCGAGTTGAAGACGTCCTGCGACACACACTGTCCGACCTCCACTGTGGCGCCCAGCCCGTCCTTAAGACACTTTGGCATGCCGGGAGTGGGTGCACAGTCATTGTCGCTCGTACATGGGGATCCTCGTTGAGACATGACCGCGGTCCGTAACTCGTTCGGCAGTTCACAGGAAAAGGGCTCCGCTGCTCCGACGTGCGGTATCTGCGAGTTTGGGCGGGAGCGTTGTGGATATGCAGCGTGTGCTTGTGTGCTGGAGGGCCGGGATATCTCGCTTGGGGCCTTGGGCGTAAGGGTGTTCTCGCAACGCCTTCCTTCCCTCTCCCACTCGCCCTCACCGCTGCGGCCACTTTGTGTCGGATGGCGCCCCCCCCGCCGCCGGGATCATTCCAATCAGAGGAAAGCCACGCTATAATATACTGTACAATACACGCGTGCGCAGCTTAGCACTTTCGAGCGGCGCGCAGGCCCGAATGATTAGCGTTCGTAATCAACCGGGACAGTAACCATGCTCGCCGCGTTTAGAGAGAATTCCTCAGGCGATCAGTCCACTTTGACGATACTGTAGCGATACTGACAGTTGTTCGTCCGACGTACTTCAGGGCTGTCATATGTAGGGCATGGCCTCAACTTATGTCGAGAACGGCAGAGCTCGCCCCGAGGTCAACGCCCTCGAGCTTCACGGAAAGTTCGCCATCACCATTGACGGTCTCTTCACCCCCGTTGAATGTAAGAACCTGATCGACCTCTCTGAGAGGTCCGGAGCATACGAGCAAGCCCTCGTCAACGTGGCTATTGACAACAGGCTTCCATGCCAAATGTCCGAAACAACGATTGGATCAACGACGATAAAAAGTTGGCAGAAAGCTTTTTCGGACGTTTGCGGCCGTTCATCCCGGAAACCGTCCGAAATCTCCCTGTCTCGGGTTTGAACGAGCGTCTCAGGTTCTTGCGTTATGATCCGGGACAGTACTTTGCTCCCCACGAGGATGGACAGTTCAGGCGGGATGATGGTTCTGAGACGAGCTTCGTCACCGTTCAGATCTATCTGAATGACGAGGGGCTCTTCGGGGGCGAAACAAAGTTCATCGGGCGTGATAGAGATGTTAAAGTCTATCCGCGTACAGGACGAGTCTTGCTCTTTCAGCACGACATGCTGCATGAAGGATCGCGGGTCTCTTCGGGTCGAAAGTATGTCATACGCACCGATGTCATGTACTCTAGCGGTGCAAAGCCGATGGAGTAGCTTATATGTAGACAGGCGGACCTTTTTCGTTCTGACCTACGAGGTCGTTCAGCTTCGAAATAGGATCCCATCTTCGGACTGAGCGCGAATGGTGGAACAGCCGAACGCTCGCAGAACGCTCGAGCTGGCGAGGGAAGACTTCATCCGCACCATGCAAAATCATATCAGAGGATACGAAGATGCCGCGTCGGGAGGTTGGAAGAGGAGTGAGAAGGACAACACCTTCTGATTGGGCGACTGCTTGTCCACATATACACACTTCATGTTCACGTTCCGAACCTCATCGTCACCACGGTCATACCGTGTTCACTTGCGACGTCCTTGATCGGCTGCAGCAACAACCTGCTAATGCTCTACTGCCAGAAGGGCGCGATGCTTTCTCGAGAAAGGTGCCAGCACCGCATAGCGGTAGACGCCCAACCAAAGGACATCCGGGAACATGAAGCCCTTTCTGGCCGCAGGTGTATCAGCATGTTTCCAATCATTCCCCGAACACCTTCGTCAAGGTGATCCCGCAATTTGAGTTACGTTCAGCACACCTCCATCATTCCCCCGAAGTGGCAGATGTTGATAGCGCTGTCTGCTTTGAACATATCCAGGCCTTTCGGGATACAAAATTCCATCAGGGAGTTTTGTAACCGTCTCTACCCTATCGTTGAGTGTAGTCTTGAGAGAGAAATGGTAGGAAGAGACTACTTCGCTGATTTTCTAGATCCATGCTTCATACTGTCACGGGAGCGTCAATGGGGTGAATCTGTAGCATAAGATGGCTGTCGAAGATCCCGCGTCTTCACGCAGTACATCAGCTCTTTGATCGTGCCGTGCTTGCCTCGCACCTTGTCGTGCTTTCAGTGGAACCAAAGACATCATATTTGTTGTCGGGTAGCATCATGGAGGCCTGCTTTTGGTGACTCCCTGGGTGCTCTATTCTGTCGAGACAGCTGTGCTCGCTTCCTTTTCGAGTCGGGGGACTGCCCAAGCGCTTACATAACGATTTGTGCTGTCATTATCACCACCGTCAGACTCCTTTTCCTGCACAGTTAAGCTTATTTCCCAGCCAAGCCCAAAATGCAGCGAAGACGTTCGGCCCTTCAGGCCTTCAGTTTCCGCTGGCGCATATATCGACTTGGATACCTCACTCCCGCCTACTTCAACTAAAGTGAGAATTGAGAAAGCCCCTCCTTCTGTCCGTCAGGATAACACAAAATTGAGACGCCATGCATGGACTGTTGCTTACTTTGCAGGTCGCACTTCTGGGACTGCTCGCGATATGGTTCCAAGTCACTTCACCGGTGCAGGGACTGCTCATACATAGACGTGGTGAGTTTATGTCTTCCCCATTCGCAAGGGAGATCCCTAATATTTGTTGCGGTCCTCCTCAAACTTCCACGTTCTCACCCTCTTCTTCCCAGACGACCTGCACGAGTCCTTCCACTCATTTCGTATAGTCCACGCGAGCACTTTGAACAGAAGGGCCAGCGATGATGGAAGCTCTACATGGGAGATACGGCTGCACGCTGGCGGTGGCGAGATAATCATCGTTGACGTAACGCCGAACACCGACCTAGTACGCGATATCACATACGGGCATTTGACAGACGATGAGGCTGCGGCTATCGACCATGACAATGTGCTTATAGGAATAGTGAAGGGGCAACCAGACTCTACTGTGAGACTGACGAAGATCAGGGACGGGCTCTATGAGGGACGCGTGGTTTACAGGCGGGTGAGGAAGAGCAGGCACGGCGCCGCTCAACCCGGGACGACACAAACGAGCGACGGGCCATCTGATACGGCGAGTGAGCCAACGGAGATTGCTGGGGAATGGCGGTCCCTCAACTTCGAAATCGTTCCTTCTGCGTCGGGAGGCGACGATGAATTTGATATGATCACGTACAGCGATGATGATGTTACCGACCACTTCAATGGCACGGCTACCTGCGGGACTGTCGAGCCACCCGTAATGGGGTCTGTTCCGGACCCTTTCTTTCAGAACTCGTACGCCGATCAGATGATATCATCAGCGAATCCGGACGATGGAACGGCGGAGACAGATTTCATCGACGAAGTTCGAGATGGGTGTGATGCTGAGGGTGGGAACTGCCATCCGGTGTCGTCCCTCCACAGACGAGCGGTGGTGTCCGGCAAAGGGAGAGACTGCCCCATTGCCGTGATTGCGGATTACAAATTTTATAGCACTTTTGGAGACGATTCGGAAATGGCCGTCCTATCGCTCTTCAACGAAGTTGACAGTATTTACTCCCAGACCGTTAACGTCCGTACGCCCGTGAGGTACGTCAAGTGACTCTTGACGCTGATGCGAAAGACTTTGCGCCAAACTCATCACGCCAGAGTAGCTATATCTACGTAGTGAAGAACGTAACGGATGCATCTGGATTCGGAAAGCCCGCTGCCGATGCCGAGTCATTGCTTAGTCAGGTTAGAAGGAAGGATTGGATTGGCATTCCAGAGGCGTTCTGCAGCAATGCAATGTTGCTTAGCGGGGTCTCATATCTTTGATTGGTTTCAATGGGTTTTAGCTGGCTACGGCAGTTGCAGGTCGTAAAATACCGAAGCTACCGACCAACGTATGCTTGACCCATCTTTTGACTGTACAAGACTTCAATCCGACATTGGGCCTAGCATATGTAAGCGTGATAGCCTTGCTATCCGGTGATTGCAGATTACTAAGCCCTTCCTCTTTTGGCGGGAAAAGGTAGGCAAGCAGGGGATGGCCGGTGGCATTTGTTCAGGCGGCGGCTACAACACTGGCATCTCAACGCCCATGTACGGAACCAAGCTCATCGCTCGCTCAACTTACATCACGACGGTGACGCACGAACTCGGCCACGGGATGGGATCAGCTCACGATACGCAGCACCCTACGCCTCCGGGAAACCCAGCGAGTTGCAACCCTGCACAGCCCTACATCATGTATCCTTCGGCTTCCACTTCCACCAACTGGAGGACGTTCTCCAATTGCTCACTGTACAGTATCGGGGCAGCACTGAACTCTATTGCTAGTTGCTTCATAACCCGTAATTCATTAAAGGTGCGTCATGTCTTACTCGAACCCCATTCGTGCGCATGTAGCTGACCGTTTATGCGCGCAGGGCCTTGCTGAGAATAGTACCGCGGATGTATGGTACACAGAGAAGATCAAGTGTGAGTTCAGTGTGAACTCATAACATTGCAAGCGACGATTTGATGCTTCGCTCACAGCCCGTACGTTTCAGATGAAGACCAGTGTAAAGTTGCAACGGGCCTGGCGAACACGCCCTCCGGGGGATACTCTGATTGTCCTTTGGCCATGCCCACCTCCTACGCGTGCAATCTTGTCTGCGTGGTGAGTAGATTCGGCGCGCATGCGATTGATCGTGTCGTTATCGGAAATTAAGATGTGCTTTGTATCAATGTCACTTAGAATCCTTCGAACCCCACTCGGTGTCTTGTGTTCCCTGACGCCCAAGGCAGGCTTCGGAACAAGACGGACGGAAGTTTATGCGGGGCCTTCAACGACCAAACGCAGGTGTGCATGAAAGGACAGTGTGTCAAGGATATCAGAGCAAACGTCTGCGATCGGTGAGTGCCGTAGCTAACATTAGAGGTTCTAGTGGATGGGAGACGGTTTGTTCACGCATTTTTCATCTCTACAGACGAAAACCCTGCTGCAATCCCTACGGAGGTACGTACCGTCCACATTCTCGCCTCTTCCAAGTCTTTTGATCTGGAGCTAACATCGATTCCAAACTGCAGTTCTCCGGAACAGCACGTACCAGTGCAGCGATGGCTTCACCTGTACGCAGCCGGCGTCCTGCACCGGCAAGTCGGCAGACTGTCCTATTGTTCTCAAACCTCAAGCGACAAGATGCAATCTCACGTCTATCGGATGTGGTACAACCAAAAGCACCAACGCTGATTGCGGGCGCTGCTCCAGTGATGGGAAATGCTTGGCTGTTAGTCAAGGTAAAGCATGATCTCTCTGCCTCTTGCGTCGAACTGACATGGGCGTGGATGCTGACTCATCTTCCAACCTCTCAGCAAGCGGAACGGAGGACGAAACGACCGATATCGGATCTGCAGCGACTGATCAAGGCTCCGGTCAAGCCGCAGCCCAGGCTCCGGACCCAGGGACTTCAGCACCTCCCGCAGCACCTCCCGCATCTAATGACGGGCCACTGGGAGGCGGAACCGCTGGCACTAAAGACACCCCGCAAGCAGGCACGGGTTCGGGCGCCAAGTTCAGCACGACAGCGGTGGTCACGTCTGGATTAGTGGTATGCTTTTGTCCCGCTAATGGTTATCATCCGCAGTTTTCTCACCTACTCTTTCGCTTGCAGGTTGGAGGTCTTGCAGTAGGAGGGGTTGCGTTCTTCGTGCGGCGAAGGCATGGTGCGAACCTGCGATCGGTGGCTGTGGTAGCCAGTGCGTCTCAGGTCAGTTAATGGAACGGATGTCGAAATGTGCCGGTGCGAACAGATGCTGGTACTGACTTCGTTTTCAACTGCAGGCATCCAAAGACGCATTGGAGGCCGACCGTAGCGCTGACGAAGTCTGAAGGATTTTTGGGCTTTGAGACAGCTTTGTATCATCTCACGATGCCTGGACGTCTGTGAGGATGTGGCTTCTTTTGGACAATTTTGGATAGTTGTTGGACCTAACTTATCGGGTCGTTGTCGTCGTGTATTGTAAACAGAATGATGAGTGTGTGTATTCATGGGTCCCCTAAGACTCGTCGTTTGCTAGGTCTCGCGAGATGTTGTCAATTCACTGCTTCTATTTACAAAACCACACGCGGGTCGTTGCCTGATGAGACATCTTTCCAAGGTGTTCATTGGTGCAGTCTGTAATCTTTCTAAATAATGTACGGTCAGGGACTCCGTTGGATGGGATGATGAATGGGGTGTATCAGTGAGCACCGCCGGTCGTTACCGGAGGGGCATCTACGTACAACTACGAGCGAATAGCTGCTGCTCTATTTTCTCATATCGGTTGCTGCATCTGTGATTGATTCGCTTGTGCCGTCAGCTTCTGCCCGACCTTCATGTTGACTTCAAAGTATTTTGCGACGCAGCGGTCGATGCAGACCGATTCGCCCTTGTTGAGCTCGTTGTCGTGGTACTTTGGTGGCACGCATTTCTTGTAGCAAGAGTCGACGATGCTGTGAAGGAACGGATTTGTTAGAGTGAATGCACACAGGCACTGTCTGCACGCTTCGTTGTAAACTTACTTGTTGAACAAGGTAGTGACCATCTCCTGCACTTGCGAAAAAGTGGATCAGGTGAGTAAGCGGTTGCATGGTCCATCAGGATGTCCTTCGTCATGTCAAAATTCCCAAACCGTCGCCCGGCTGCAACGTCCCGTGGCGCATATATGTGTCGTTTGGGCCTCCCCTCGTTGCCAGGTCAGGCCAACCAATCCCAGCTGCTCAAACGTCGACAAGTAGCGCTGAAGCTCCTCAGCAAGGTTTGCACCTGCGGACAGAACCATCCTATACATCGCCGAGACGCTTCGTCGGGTCCCCAAATCCGCAGCTACCCATCAGAAGCGACCATATTCCACCTTTGGAGACTCCCCGCTCGGCGCCTCGTCCTGGCAATCCCTTTGCGCATCCCGGGTCTTTCATCCACCAAGTGTCGTAGCAGAGTCGAAAACGTACCAACTCTTGTTCAGCCATGGACATGTTGAGCCCGCTCTGAATTTGCGGTTGTTGCTGGTAGCCTCCAAAGTTCATGTTGGGCGGTTTTCTTTTGCGTTAACTACAGAGAAGTGAAAGGGTGAGCCTCGCACGCTTGGCCAGACAGTGGCCTTGTTTTGAAGGGAAGCGCTTCACTTACTGCGTATGTTGTGGAGTGGAGTGTATGGACTTTAGAATGCAAGCTCAGTTTCCAGGTTCAAGTCGGCAGCGGTTGCTAACGGGGCTTGCCTGGGGTAGACGCAGACAACCTGAATTCAGGTGAGAAAGCTCGGTCGCGTTTTCGCTTGGAATTCCCACGCGGACTCGAGGGGGTGGGACTTGCGGAAGAAGTTTGTTGACCAGCGAACGAGACCGTTCAACATCTTCTCCGTCTGAACGTCGTCCGCAACCATCGTCTATCAGCCAACGCTCGGGTTCTTGTCTTCTCCAGTTATGGTCTAGAAGAGCAAAGGAAAGAGAACGTTTCGCCGTCATGGGTGTGGGTGATCCCTAGATCCGCATCATCATAGTACACAGCAATTCGCCGAGACGAAAAACGGACTGACTTTGGACACCAGAACTTTCTTTTATCGAACACGACCTCAACCTCCTTCGCCACCAACCGCTCCATGAGCTCGGCGTTCGCAGCCAACCTGGTGACCGCCGCGCTGGCAAAAATCCTTATCCAAGCAGGGTTTGAACGGGCCCAGAATTCTTCGACCAGCATCCTTGCCGACATTTTCGTTCGATATTTGGAACTACTAGCTTGTACTGCTTCGAAGCATGCGAATCACCAGGGGCGGACGACCGGGAACTTTGAAGACGTGGCGCGAGTTTTGGACGATTTCAGCGTCGACCCAACAGCGCTGACGGAGTTCTGTCGGACCTGGGCTGTGCATATCAATCCAGAGAGTGTGGGAGGAAACCATGGCAACCCTTCTTCGCCATCACATACGGGCGCGCCAGCGAACAGTCACAGGCATGGGAAAGCTGAAGACCATGATGAGCCCGCTGCTTTTCCCATAAGTGAGTAGGCGCCGATGGACTTGACGTGGGATGGGCCTTTTCGAAAGACCTTTGACTGGTGCGTGGGGTCAAATGTTGTGCCTGTCACTATCGCTATCAGCAAACCATTCTTCGAGGGAATACGTGCTGCGGGCTCATTCCTTTCGTTCTCAATAGATATCGACGAATTATTAGAGGCATCGGCCCTCGAAGCGAAACATAAGAGCCTTCTTCCAAGGAAAGCAAGAGGTTCAGCGAGTCCATCCAAGGAGGGACATGGATCTCCGACGAGAGCACCCTTCGCCGATTCCCATCCGCATCGGTCCGGGTCGGAACATCAAGGCGGTGGCCGACAGTTCACCAGGCGACGGAAACGGAAGGCCGCATATGGGTGCGTGGTATCATTCGACGAGACCCATATGACCGCAGAAGACCTCGACATTGTCGATCTCCAACCTCCCGATCACCAACCAACACTACAAGTGTTTGATTCAACCCCTTCGGCGTATGTGGAGAGTCTGAAGCAGGCGTTATCGAGCGTCAGTGCAGGGGCGGCGAAAGCAAACGGAAAGATTACATCCAAAGCTTTGTTGAAGCAGATGCTCCCATTACTGCAGCATAGTAGGGTGGCGACGGCAGGTAACCACCTGTTCAGCGTGGAAAGGGGCCTTTTGGACGAGATGGTTGGGGCGGAGTTGGCGAAGCTTCCAGGACTGCTGGAGGGACAGCGGCCTCGGATGCAGCGCGCGCCGGACAATCTGGACCAGATAGCGACGACAAAGCGTCGAAAGATCCCGCGAAATGCCGCAGAAACCGATAAGAGCGGCGCCGAACCGAAGCTGAAGCTTAAACTGAGTCTCTCCACCGCTCGCTTGTCACCACCTCCTGCCGCCGCGGTGCCAGCAGGATTTCCCGTTTCAACATTCCAACTGCATCCAAAATCCCCAGCAAGCGGCCACCCTCCAGAAGACATCGTCAATTGTATATGTGATCAGCCGCAGGTTGATCATGGCGAGTTCATGATAGCTTGCGACAAATGCGGGGTCTGGTACCATGGGCCATGCGTTGGCGTTCCTACGGAGGCCGATCAGAGCTCGGAGAACTGGTATTGTGTCAGATGTCAACCCAGGCGGTGACATCCGCAAGCACCCTCACCACAAACCCACTTTACGGAGACCTGTCTCATACCGTACATGTAGTGCGCATAGAGTCATGGAGACGTATTCGTGATTCTTCTCGAAACAAAGCTATATGTGATGGATACATACAAATCTAGCGCCACCCCTGCCCACTACCGTAAATCCCCCTCGCTCTAAATTGTTGTTCTAAATACAGAAATGCTCCATGTGTGATGCAAAATAAGCCTTTGAGAAGAAATCGCGATCTCGCTCACTCTCCCGACTGTCGACCATCGAACGCTGCTGGCATCGACTAACTACCACCCAGTGCTCCTACTCCAATCAATGACAATCCATCCGTTCGTCCTCGCGCTGATAGTAGCCGACGGGTCAACGCACTGCGCCTTGGTGAACGCCATGACATAGGTCGCGGTCTCGATCGCGTTCTCGTTACCCAGCTTGAGCTCGCCTTTGCGGTTCCTGAAGATCAGGATCTCGTTTGTTTGGAAAGTTACGAGGATAACTGGTACTTCGTCCTCGAGGAGTGTGAGTTTGCGTATGTCTACGTGGCGGATGTCTAAAAGTTTGCAGTCGGAAACGAGCCCTTGTTGCTGTTGGGCTTCGAAACCGGCGGATAATCGTGCGTATGCCTAATGAAAATAAGGGTTTGTGAGATCGATCTGAATTTCGCCAGCGACCACATAAATACCAGCAGATTCCCAAAGGTTATTAATGCTCACCCTTTCACTGCACCACTCTCGCAATATGGGCGCCTCTGCTTTCAAGTAAGCTTCCAGAATTTCTGGCACGAAGTACTTTGTAGCCTCCTTCAAGAACTTTTCGGTCCTGAACGTAGGATCCACCGCCTTCAACGCGCTGACCACTCGTGCGGTTTCAGTCTCCTCGAACGCACTGCTCGAAAAGAAATCACGGATCCGCTCGACAACAGGGTTGTCGCTCTCGTCAATCCCACGTCGTACAGCAAACAGCTTTTGCGCGATGGGGCTATCCTCCTTGAACTTCCTCCATGACTCGGCAAGCTTCGACGACCGGTGAAGCTCGACGTTTTGGCCTGCTTCGGGATCTGCGGTAACGATTCTGTTGGGATTTGGGACGCCGGGAATGCCCAATGGCATTTTGCTCTGCTGGTAGGCGAGCAGTTCTGCACGTTCTTTTTCGCGCTGCTCACGTGGTACGTATTCGTGGAAGAATGCAGAGTCTGAAGAGTCGATCACTTCCGTTTTGACGTGCTTGATTCCCTTTCCGACGGCCTTTGCGGCTTTCGTGTCCAAAATTGGCTCAGCAACCTGAGAACGGGTTTGTTAGCGCATACAGAACGCAGTACAGAAACGAACCATGCACTCTCGCAAGGGAATGCCTACCTTCTGTCCAACCTCAGCGACCTTCTCTCCTGCCGTGTACAGAACCTCTCCAGTTTTCTTGACTACTGGGTTCTCCACAACCTTATCGACAGTCTCCCCGACCTTTTCAAAGACCTTCGAAGTGCCCTTCGACGTCTTGTCCATAGCATCTTTTGCCCTCTGCACAGCATCTGACTCAGCCAGTTCCTTCGTTGATGCGGAGAGCTGCTGCACATTCTGCTGAAACTCTCGATTTTCTGCTACTTGTCGTTTGAAGGACTTGTAGAACTCGGTGAAGAAGTTTGTGGATTCGAAGCGGGCAGAACTGCGGTGGACGGCGATAGGAAGGAGGGTGGGGCGGGTGGAGCGGATTGCCGATCGTCTGGAGACGCTTATAGACGGTGTGACGAGACCTCTGGATATTATATGTGGGCCGGTGGACTTTTGTGATCGGCTGTTGAATGCTAACGTGGACACAGCGCTCTGCACGAAACCGCGAAACATAGAGATCAGTGAACATGAACGAAGAATGGCCGGTTCTTCCGGCGTCTGTACGCTGGGACAGCGCTCACATACCTGCGTCCGAGAAGCGGCCTTGTGTAGGGCCAGCATACTGCTAGACATGGTGAGAGAAGACTTATGGCAGCACCGTCGATGGCGACGTTCAAGTGGTGGGACCGGCTTCGGTGGGTAAACCGGTGGCTAGAGCTGCGGTGGCCAGATACAAGCTATGGTACTGGGCTTCAGGACCTATAACTTGCTTCTCGTGAGGGGGTATTTGGTGAGAGAACGGGCGAGGTCCACAGGGTCAATGTCGGAGGAAGAAGGAGGAATGAGGACGCTAAAGGCGCGCGAAAAAAACGCCGCGTGTTGCCGTGTTGGTCTTTCCGACGCTGACAACCTTCTCGCTTCCGAGCTCTCCGGCGTTCCATTGCCTCCACCGGGTTGCCACCTCCAGTCATACGCACACTACACTCAAATACACCAGACAAGAACGCTTTCCGTGAGCTGCCCAAACCAGAACGGAAACTGTTGTTCATGCCGTCGCTCTTTGAAGGGACGTTGCAGCCCGTCTTACCACCGAGATTTTACCACCTTTTCCCACGATGAGCTTCCAGTGCGTACGCTCAAGATGGGCGCAACTATCCGGTCTCACAAGCGGACCACGGTCCAGCCTCATCAATAAATCTCCGCAACGCATTCTCCTCCGCCCATCCCACCGTGAACTCCAAACCTCAGTCAACCAAATCAAACGCGGCACCGTCCTCGATTTCCGGAACAAACTCTGGATAGTAAACAACATGACCCACCACTCGCAAGGCCGAGGCGGAGCGCACTACAAACTCGACTTGCGAGAAGTGCTAGGCGGTGGGAAGCTGCTTGAGAGGTTCAACGCGGGCACAATGGTGGAGACGGTCGACCTGCAAGTGAAACAGCTGAAATTTATGTATGCGGACCACGAGCTGCACTTACTTGACCCGGTGGACTATGAGGAGCATGTGGTGCCGATGTCGTTGTTTAGTGCTGGGGACAAGGGGCTCCCGTTCCTCAAGGACTCGATGGAGTTGAAGGTGGAGTATTACGAGAATACGCCAGTTATTATCAAAATGCCAGAACGGGCCACGTATGAGGTTGTGAACACGGCACCACCTGCATCGTCGGGTGCGAGCGACAGCAAAGGGACAGCGTTCAAGGATGCGGAGTTGGAGACTGGTGCTCGGGTGCTTGTACCCGAGTTTGTGACTATCGGCGATAAGATCGTGGTTGATTTGCTGGAGCACAAGTACGTGACAAGAGCCCGTTGAGAGATCTGCATTCTCCAATGCGGACATGCCGCGCATGGGGATGAAAAGGCATTGCTGCAAGAGAAACGCCGAATATCTTCCATTGTATCTATCGTATTCTACCCAAGGAATGCTCTACATATTTTAGACATAAATACTATGTACATTTGCGTGGTGACCTCAAAAGTAACCCGCGCTCTGCATCTCTATGTCACCTTCTTGTTGGTGTTGGTGTAGCCCATTCCCAAGCAAGTGAGAAGCACCGTCTGGTTGCTGTGATCCGGCGTCACTTTGAAGGTGATGCCGAGGAACGATTTGATGTCACGAAGATATTGTATCCTGTAGAAGAAAGTGCAATGTGTCAGTTGCAGTCTCTGCCACCGATATAATGATGGTCATCTCAAACGTACGTAAATGGGGACAAAGCACCGACTCGGATCTTTCCGACGTCCTCCGGCCCGAGAGCCAAGAACAAAGCCCCCAGCCATTGACTCGAGGTGTCAAAACATCCGCCTTTCTCGATCTCCTGCAACAGTTTCCGACCAGTAAACGCGCCCAAATCCTCCGGCGTTTGGAAGTGGTAATCGTTCGCCAGAGCATCATCCTCCCTGCGACTCACGATATTCGTCTCAACATCTGCGTTTGCCGGTTTGCGAGGCTGGAAGGCGCACTCCGCGGAGAGAAGAGCTCCAGTCGTCGATTCGGCCACGATCGTCAAAGCGTATCCCGGTGACTGCCCGCTCTCTGCTCCCTTATACACATCGGTATATATATACACGTCCGGGATGTAGCGGGTCATCATGCTTCGAGACGTTTCGACCACTCGGTTGGCCATTTGCGGTGACACACGGGTAGCGTAGGCGATTCCTCGGATGCGCTTGAATTTGCCTTCCTCGATGAACTGGACGGGTTTGAGCTGTCTGACGATCGGGCATTGGAAGAATATCTCGCCTCCGCCTTTTGGTGGCGCTCCACGCTTTGTGATCTGGGAAAGGGAGGGCCATGTGAGCGTTTCCGACGGTAATCATGACAAACTTTGATCAGTACACTCTCGCACCTTCATTTCTAGTCCATCCTCCACTCCAAACCTCTTCAAATGCGGCAGCAGAACTGTTCGAATAGCGTCGACAGACAAATCCACGTTGTCGTTCGTGACACCGCTCAAAGTCAGTTGTAGGGGATGCTTCGCGAACGGCGCCAGCGCAATGAGGGGTTCCAGAAAGTACCCAATCGCCCGCGACGGTGGACACTCGTGCCGAACCTTCCCTCCTATTATCAGTCCTGGCCGGTATACGACGGTGGTACCGGTGTACGAGATCTCCACCACGGCCCCATTCGTCACTTTTTCTAACAGTCGTAAGAAACTCGCTTCGTAGTCTGTGAGGGAAAAGTTGGTGAGCATATGCTTGCTCCCATGATCAGGTCCGCACTCGAACGTTACCTGAAAGACCAGGCCTGTCTTCGTCGTCAGACCGTATTTTATCTATGCGCACTGGCTTGTTGCTTAAGGTCGCCAAAAGCAGCCTTTGCCGAAAGTAATTGTGACCTTCGAAACGTAACATGGCAACTGAAAAGTGGATATGCGTAGCAGTTCGGTGTATGCCCTTGTCCTTGGATGGACAACAGTGAACTTGACAACAGACTTGGTATGCAACGAGACGGGGTAGCACTGCAAGAAAGTCAAGGCCAAGAACGTCAACGAGGCCAAAGAAGGAGCGTGTTTGACTTGCTTTTTGCGGATTGCATAAGCAACAGAATCGACCGTCGGGCGGCGGAGCGACTCGAAGAAAAACAACTCTTCGCCCTGCACCACCCTCATCGTTCATCCTTACCCCACCCACACAAACAACCATATCCACAATGGCTTCTGAGCGCACTTACATCATGGTCAAGCCCGACGGGTACGTTGCTGCAGCACCCTCTCCGACTCGTATCGTTTATTCTCGAGCCAATGGCTGATGTGCCCTTTCCTCCAGCGTCGAACGCGGCCTCGTCGGTGAGATCATCAAGAGGTTCGAGAACCGTGGCTTCAAGCTCTTGGGTCTCAAGGCCGTCCAGCCTTCCCGTGCCCACCTTGAGGAGCACTACGCTGACCTCAAGACCAAGCCCTTCTTCCCCAAGGTAAACGATCGCAGAGAGTCGCTCGCAGGCGCTTCTGAAGAGATCTTTTCCCACGACCTACGGCAATTCTGAAACTCACACCTTTATTATCACCACACAGCTTGTTGACTACATGCTCTCTGGACCCGTCGTCGGTATGGTGTGGGCTGGAAAGGAGGTCGTCAAGACCGGCCGTGTCATGCTCGGTGCCACCAACCCCTTGGCCAGCGCCCCCGGAACCATCCGTGGTGACTTCGCCATTGACGTCGGAAAGAACATCTGCCACGGTTCCGACTCTGTTGAGTCCGCCGAGAAGGAGATTGGCCTCGTAAGTCTCATGTTTCCATCGGAAGTCTTCTATTCTCAAGCTGTCGAAACTCATCAAATCGCTCCTCGTCTCACCAGTGGTTCCCCGAGGGTGTGTTGAACTACAACCGCTCCCTTGACAAGCTCATCTACGAATAGATTATAGTTCGTAGATTGTAGCTGGTGTAGACCCGTAGGTTTCAATCCCCTATATACATCATGTACATTTTTACTTAGAAGCGGAGCGACGTCTCTGCTTTGAGCATACATACATTTTATCTCACGTCTAGCACATCGAAAGCGAAATTCGGAGCTTGTACATTTGCGCCTCTTGCTTCTATAGCATGTAATGGTGCTCGAGAGATATAAGAAAGAGACCAGTACCGGAGGCCCCGAGAGAGCGGGAAATGTGTTGAAGGTGTGATTCGCCAGTAAGACCCTGGTACCACTTCTGGAGGTAGCCAAGAACGTCCATCATGACTATAGCTATACTGTCGCCCTCCGCTGCACGCTGTCGGGGAGGAGTCGATGTGCTACATATCCGAGATTGCACGCAGGGGACGCAGGATCGTTTGGCAAACGCAGGGGATCCCGCAATTTCCCTCTGCCCCGGCTGTAGTGTAATCCTCCGCCGAATAGCATCTGCGACGCCAAACTAAACAGCGAGACCCGCGGCTGGCCTCGAAGCCTTGAGGTATCAAACTCAAGATCTTGTGAGCCTCTCTCGTGCATGTGTCTGCCTCGTTTCCTGTTTAATCCGCACCGCGGATTCATACAGATCTCATCTTCAACCAATTTCTTCCTTTTCTTCTTCGATGAAGTCCGTTTGCAGCCAGCCCAAGGACATGAGATGGCACGGAAAACGCTACCTCGTGTACTCAGCGTGAGAGCAAACCTCTACACCGCAAGTCGATTTTCGCATGAGTTCCTGCTTCGTCTCCATGGCATACGCTTCTAGCGATGTGATGAGTTCCCATTTCGCGCAGTTCCTCTTGGAATCATCTGCTGCGAGTGGATTAGAGTGTCACGGATAACAATTAGCGGTACTCGAACATGGAAAAAAGCCGACATCACACCTTCGACGAGTTTCCCGAAAACGTGGAGCCAAACAGGTCGTGAAAACAATCCTTCATGCCCGCCGCTTTCATGATGTGGATAAAGCCCAGAAGCTGATCCACATCTGTACGCCGTCGCTCCAAGTGTGTATTGAGCACAACTTTGCGTCGGACCAAGGCCGTCACGTATACATCAACACATCCCAAGTTGATGATGGACACAGAGCTTCGGTGGGGTCGGCGCCTCCTCTAAACAATCCAGCGATATATACCCTTGTCGCGCGTTCGTAGGTCGGCTGCGGTTCCGCCAAAGTTTCTGAAGTACGGTTCCCAGATATCAGTCGCCTGAGAAACCCTGCGTTGCGAATACCTTTTGCGTCACAAAGATCCCGCCTGGGGAGACCTCCTCCATCACCGATGACTGCCGTTCGTCCGTGCCTGATCGCAAGCACCAGAAAACAGGGCATATGTTTATTCAAAGAAGTTCTTGTTCTAAGCCGAGCTGTTTGTTCATAACCCACAGAAGACCGTCCCCGGTGGTTAGAGTTCCCAAGTTCAAGTGCAGCCTGTGATGTCACCCAAAGCTCCAGTTCGAGCTGTGCGGTCATATTATCCAACTTTCCGGGCCGGCAGCGTGGCATGTTCAATTTTCGGCTGCTGAGATCGGCGTTTTTTTCACAGCCTTCCCGCACGATTTCCGCTGGAGAGGGAAGTACTGAAAGACGATTTGTCTGCCTCCGCTTTCGACACGGTGGCGGGCGGGCAAGCCGTCCGTCCTCCTCCTGGTTCAGGCTTGCCGTGGTCCTCAAATACGGATTGACACGGAAGGTGGTTCTTCGGCATCGGTTGGCATCTTGTGAAAACAGACGCGAGGAAGCGGCTTCCAACTGTGACACGCCTTTCCGGACTTCACATCTCCTCAAGCTCAGACACACACCACGGTGAAGCCCACTTCAAGACCGTTCTAACTTATCGCAAACCGAGAACGGGCAAGAAGAAGCAAAGGCACCGAAGCATATATTAACAGTTCCATCTATCCCATGAGAGTAAGTGCGATAAATCCAAGGTTTTCTTTTCCATTTTGTATCCTCCCCGTCACAAAGACCGCTTTCCCTCAGATCCACCGCGAACAGAAGGGTATACAGAACCGATCGATCCCCTTTTCCCCTTCTTCGTTCAGGTTGTATAAGAAAGTCTCCGGTCGTCTATGGAGGGTGCTTACGCAGAGCTCTTGGCGAGCTCGTCGGCCTTGCGACCGACTTCCTCGATGTCACCGACCATGTAGAAGGCAGCCTCAGGAAGAGCATCGTGCTTGCCGTCAAGAATGGCCTTGAACGACTTCAATGTGTCCTATTGGATTGCAAAGGTGAACACGGTGAGTTGGTATGGAACTTTCGCAAGGTTTTCGTGCTGCCAACTGATGCACTTACAGCCAGGGAGACGTAACGACCCTCGTAACCGGTGAAAACTTGGGCGGTGGTGAAGGGCTGAGACATGAAACGCTAGAAATCTAGATGTTAGGATGGAGTTCGACGGCATCTAAACACACCGTCACAGTCGAGTACATACCTGGATCTTACGAGCACGCTGCACGGTAAGCTTGTCCTCTTCCGACAATTCGTCCATACCAAGAATGGCAATGATATCTTGCAGAGACTTGTAGTTTTGCAAGATTTGTTGCACACCGGTGGCAATGTTGTAGTGCTCGTCACCGACGATACGGGGGTCGAGAATACGGGACTTGGAGTCGAGGGGGTCGACAGCCGGGTAAATACCCAACTCAGCGATAGAACGGGACAACACGGTTGTAGCGTCCAAGTGAGCGAAGGTGGTAGCGGGGGCGGGATCGGTCAAATCGTCAGCGGGCACGTAAATGGCCTGCACGGAAGTAATGGAACCCTTCTTCGTGGTGGTAATACGCTCCTGCATTTGACCCATGTCCGTCGCCAAAGTGGGCTGGTAACCGACAGCGGAGGGGATACGTCCGAGCAAGGCAGACACTTCGGAACCGGCCTGGGTGAAACGGAAAATGTTGTCGATGAAAAGCAACACGTCCTGTCCTTCCTGGTCACGGAAGTACTCGGCGATGGTGAGACCGGTCAAGGCAACACGAGCACGGGCTCCTGGAGGCTCGTTCATTTGTCCGTACACGAGGGCAGCCTTGGACTTGCCGTCGAGTTGAATAACGCCGGCTGTGATCATTTCGTGGTAAAGATCGTTACCCTCACGAGTACGCTCTCCGACACCGCAGAAGACGGAGTAACCTCCGTGAGCCTTGGCGACGTTATTGATGAGCTCGGTGATCAAGACGGTCTTGCCGACACCAGCACCTCCGAAAAGACCAATCTTTCCTCCCTTGGAGTAGGGGGCGAGAAGGTCAACAACCTTGATACCGGTTTCCAACATCTCGGGGACAGTCGACTGGTCAACGAACTCCGGAGGGTTGGCGTGGATGGGCAACTGCTGCTTGGTCTTGATGGGACCACGCTCGTCGACGGGCTCGCCAATGACGTTCATGATACGACCAAGGCACTCGGGTCCAGCGGGGACACGGATAGGCGAACCGGTATCCAGAACCTTCTGTCCACGAGTAAGACCTTCAGTACCGTCCATGGCAATGGTGCGGACAGTGTTCTCTCTGTTTGTTCGGAAGACAGGACAGATCAGCCAATGATTCCTAGAGCCAAGTCGCCAACCTCGAGAACCCCACAACGTACCCCAAGTGCTGGGCAACTTCCAGCACAAGACGACCACCCTCATGGCCCTGAACCTCAAGGGCGTTCAAGATGGAGGGGAGTGCGCCAGCTTCGAACTGAACATCGACGACGGCACCAATGACGGATCGAACGGCTCCGTATGTGGCAGCCTCAGTGGCAAGGCGACGCACTGTGATGATAATGCAACAGTAAGTACGAGTTTGACGTAACGTGGCTGATGATTCGAGCTCAGATGACCGTCCCTAGTAGTGGGCGGCAGCTTCCCGCTGTCCAGCAGTTCCGCTGTAGCCACTTCCACGGTCCCTCTTTTGTATATATGTTCAAGTCCAGCCAACGGATAGAGAGAGTGCAAACTCTTCCATCGCAATCTCCCAGCGCCCGCCCGAGTCCCATGGCGAGTCTAGCACGAGAATCCTGACCAAAACTTACCTGTTTGGTTGCGGATGCCAGCAACAGCCTTGCGGCTGATGCGGGAGACGCTTCGGAGGGTAACGGTCATGGTGACAGCGTTAGTTTCGGGGGAGTGATGAAAGAGAGAGAGCGAGTCTACTTCTGCGGGAGAATCCGAGGCAGCTCTTTGTGTCCTCTGGCTATTCCTAATGGCCCTCCTCCGTCGCTTTCCGCTCTCTCGCAGTCTCTCGCTCGCTCCCACGGGCGCACGGGCGCTAAGCCTCACGTGTGGCGCGGGGCGCGGCGTCGTGTGGCGTCTACCCTCAGTTGAATATCGACACACTCGTTTGGGCGGTCCCCCGAAAGGCGAACGATTCTCTGTCTCAACCCGATCGATAACCCTCAGCATAACGAAGCATGTTCTCAGCAGCGTCAACAACAGCCTGCCGGCGGGCAGTCGCAACCGCCACCGCGCAAAACTCGAAATCACACGTCGCATCCGCTACATTCGCACCACAAGGCCGCAACATCCATTCCACCTCCAGTCCTCACAACACGGTCACAAAAAAGGACAAGGACGTCATCTCCGGCGACAAGCGATACCAACTCATCAAAGAAATGCTCTACTCGAAAGAAACTCCGTCCACCCCCGCTAAACCCCTCGGAACCCAACCACTCGACCCGCGATCGAGTCCAGTCTCCACCGAGTCCCCGCAGGCGCAGCGGATCGATACCATTGAGCGGGCGTGGACGTTGGAGAAGCAGAAGGAGGCCGTGGCAAAGGTGGCCGAGTTGAGGGGGATGTACGAGTCCATGAGGGAGGCTATGGAGGAGTTGGAGAAGACGGATACGCGGCTTTTTGAGGCGGCGAAATCGGGATCGGATAGGGAGAAGGTTGTGGTGTTTCCAAAGAGGTTAAGGGTGCCGACGGAAACGCCTCCGTTGGATGGATGGGACTATGAGATGAAGGCGGCCACTCGGTAGACTCGAGGTCGTCATGGGTATCGGTAAATTGATGACAGCGGAAGGTGACTGGCAAAGGATAGGGTTGGGAGCGATGGTCTCGCCGTTAGGTCATGCAGATCTTGCGCGTTCCCAAATGTAAATAGTATTACCCCAGGTGTTTATTCCGGCGATGGATGGGCGCGGAAGACACAACAGGAATGGTGTAAAGCAGAGCAAGGGCCTCCATAGACTTAGAAGTTGAATAACACAGCTGTGATGAAGACCATGTTTGGAAGCTCTGCGATTCGCCTTCTTTTTGGAACGTCTTTTTCTTGGATCAAACGTATATACAAAGGAAAGCTGAATAATTTGAGGTTATCGCTCAGTGGTATGGCGCGCACTGTTTTCCGGGGCCGTCGAGACGAGCCCTATCCATTTTCAAATCCCTCCTACAAATATAGCCACCGCTCCCGCTCTCACTTCACTCTAGCGGCCACGTGAAGAAGACCTAGATGAAGACGATCCGCAAGACCGGCTTCGGCTGCGACTCCTGCTAACGCTGCTACTAGGGGAACGACGACCACGTGCACGTCCTCGAGATGAACTGCGTGAGTAGTTTCGTCGACCCCTCGACCAGGACCTGGACCGCGAATCCGACGGACTCCTTCGCCTGAGCGGGGTCCTGCTCAATGATCGGCCTCTTTTGACTTCGGGGGCAGGGCGTCCGCTGGAAGGCGGTGCCCGATCTTTCGAAAGGGAACGTGAGACGGAACGTTTCCTGCCTCGAACGGCATCGTCTCGGATTGAAGGACGGCGAGGTGGGGGACCACTGGCCGGAACCGCACGAGTCGCTTCCGGCTGATGGTGCCGTCTGTCTGGGTGGATGAATGACTGTTCGGCTTTGACTGTAACGGCCGGCTTATCGGGTATGGTACGAGGAGGAGGAGATCGAGGGCGTCGGTCGGGAAGGCTGTCCCTGCGTTTGTCGGGGACGGTGCGACCCGGGGGTGACCTCGATCGTCGATCATGAATGCTATCCTTACGAGCCTCCCTACGAGGTGGCGACGCCTTGTTCTTCAAAGCCACCCGTTTGCTGTAAGGAGATAGGGAGCGCGACGGGGATCGAGGTGGGCTCCTCTGGCGGTCCACAGATGGGCGGGGAGGTGGCGAACGAGAAAGCTTCTGGCGTCTCCGTGGAGGAGACCGAGAACTGGAAGGTGAGCGAGACGGCGCGCGATTGCGTTTGCGAGACCTAGACTCGGATCGCGACCTTGATCGTGAGCGCGATACAGAAGGGCCCCGCGGCGCATCCCGGCCCCGGCCTCGGAGACGGTCGTCTTTACGACCTGGTGAATTTCTGCGCCGCTCGTCACGCCTGGACCTATCTACACCTCGGCTCCGGGCCTCTTCTTCCTTCTTCAAACGTTTTTGCTGCTCCTCGCGTTCCTTCTTTCTAAGTTTAGCCTGCTTTTCGGCAGCCTTTGCCTCTTCCTTCCTCCGCTTCTCAGCATCCTTTTGTCGTTGCTCTCGCTCTTCTTCTCGGCGTAGGCGCTCCGCAACCTTTTCTTGCTTCAAACGTTCCTGACAAGCAAACAAGCATTAAATCATAGGAGCAGATTGAGGTCCCAAATCAAAGCTTGATGTACCTGCAATTCACGATCAAACGCAGCGCCAGCGACAAAGTCGTCTCTAATCCCAAACGCCTGCCTAGCCTTCTCATCCGCCTTTTGCTTGGCCTCCGCCAGCTCATGCACCTGGTGCTCCTGCAATTTCTTCACATCGACGCGCATCTTCTCCAGATTCTTCAGCAACTCGATCCTCAAAGCGGCCACCTGTGTCTCGATATCGTCATCGTCTACATTTTCACCCTCGAGCTGATCTTGCAACATCAGACATTTGAGCTCGATTTCCCGTTTCTTCTGGTGGTCGAGAATGTCTTGGTTGGGCTTGCGGAGCGTTGGAGGCTTCTCTTCGAAGGAGGAAAAGTCCTGGTGACGCTCCCGAGGGCGCAAGGAAGACAAGTTGCGCTGAACATAGCCGTTTGTGCCTGACCCACGCGCCGTTGCGAGACCTGTAGTTGATCGAACACAGTCAGCCTTCGTCTCGGTTCCGAACGCTGAGAAGGCTGATAGGACGACTTACCGATGCCATTGTACATGGTGGTTCACGGGCGTAATGAAGTGTCCGGGAAAGGGTACGGGGTTTGCGTTTAAGGTTGGTCGGGCATTTCACAGCAAGGGAAAACGCTGTGCAAGAAGGCAGGAATTGAAAGGAAAGAAACAGTTATTTTATTGCGCGTGATAAGAAGCCGTTCCGAACGAGCGGGTGAGTCACGAGCACGCGTTAGTCACGGGCATTTGGGATTGTTTGCGGCTTCATTCTGTCGCACCTCGCTCGACTCCGTTCAAGAAGAGGGCTATTCTATCCAAGACTTGGACATTCGCTCAGAACCAAGAAGAAATGGCGGCCCCAGTACCACCGCCAAAGATCGTCGTCGGCCAGCGCTACAAGGCGACCGCCGCATACGCTCCCGTCCACAGCGACGAGGTGCGGCTGGCGCTCGGGCACGTCATCACCGTTCTGCATTCTTATGACGATGGGTGGGTGCTTGGGAAGAACGAGACGACTATGGTGAGTGGGATGTCTTTCTTGCAGCACGGGAGGTTTTTGTGCTCTTAGCTCTCCTTGAGAAATGAGGTCCTCATGTCCCAATAAGTGGCACTAGCACTCTATCTCCGAGCATGAACTAACGCGCCCAATCTTTGCAGGGGACAGGTTTACTACCAGGCAACTTCCTAGCGTCACTCGATGCACCGGACGTCCTCAAGGCAGAGCAGAAAGTAGCGGACAAACGGAAGTCTTCCATGCAACCCTTCACCAACACAAGCGGCAATGGCGCCGCGAGTAGGCAAGGGTCCGTCAAGAGGGAAAGAAACGCGCTGAATGGAAGCCCACCTCTATCGCCACCGATAGATACACAAGAGCCGGAGGTCACATCCAGGTTTACTGCTCCGGATTTTCCCAGCGGACGGCCAGCAGGTCCCGTTGAGCCACCATCGACTGCCACCCTCAATGGGACTGATAAGGAGGAGGCTAGCAGGAAGTTGAAAGAGGTGCTGAACAAGAAGAATCCGCGATTCAAAGTGCCAGCAAACATTGGCAGCTTGAGAATCATGATTGTTGGAGATTCCGGAATTGGAAAGGTATTTCGGCAGATTCTGTCAACACATGTGCAATACAAATGCCTGACCGTTTACTGCCTATACAGACAGCATTGATCCAAGCTTTCTTCAAAACTTCCGAAATTGTCGAAACCGCGTCTCCCAAAGACGTAGAATCCTTCCCAGGCCTGTCCATCGTCCAAAGCATGGCATCGACGATCCCGGCAAACCAGCTCCACATCGGGGAGGACCATCTCAACATCACCTTCTTCGAACCTCCTGGATTCGGTGCCCATACCGACGCGATGAGGGTCATCCGTCCCACCGCAGAGTTCAACACGCTCCAGTTCCAAAAGACGGATCGCGTATTTGTCAGGGACAAAGCCATTCCCACCGACACGATACTCCGTTTCCTCAACTCCGGGAATGGCGCACACACCCACATCGACGTTTGCATCTACGCTGTCCTACACAGGCTGAAGGCTGTCGATTTGGAGTACATGAGGCAGTTGGCCCCAGGCGTAGTACTGGTGCCCGTCATCCTGAAATCCGATACCATGAAACCGGAGGAAGTTATGGCCCTCAAAGTGTCTATACTAGAAGAGACTCGGCGGGCCGGGATCGATCTGTATGGATTCGGCCTGCAGCACCAGGATCTGCTGCAGATTGCTACGGCGGGCGTGCAGGGAGCGATTCCGTTCGCAGTGAGCGTAGTGGACGATAAACCGAAAGACAGTGTGAACGAGTTTGAACAGTTGAAGGAGCACGTCTTTTATCGGGCGCAAGAGCTGCGTCAGCAGACGGCAGAGAACTTTGTTAACTGGCGTGCAACGAACATTCAGTAGTCATAGAGGTCTATCATTTTCCACGAGACCTTTCTTTGTTTGCATATAGATAGGTGTTTTACATCATATTCAGCATACGTGTCCCTCTCATACAATCCAATGTTCCTCTTGGGTCTCTCAAGGTCGTCATTGCCCCCAACATCGGAGGGAGTCGTGGCACTCCTCTCGTTTGTTGGATCGAATGCCCAAGCCCGAAACCACCCAAAGCGTTCAGAGGCTCAGGATTGCGGGATGATCGAATTGCAGATTGGTCCAGGAATCGAATACCGTTGGCGATCCAGATAAAGCGCTCACTTTGAACACCCAGATGATTGCGAAACATCAAATGTGTCTATTCACAAGGATTATACAAAAAAGCGCCAAGTATGCGACGCAATACGAGCGCCAAAGTAGATCCGTCCCTACTTGGACGAGATTTCCGACCCGACTTTATCTGTGATTTGCAGGAGAAACAAGGGAGAAGCTGTCAGTATCCCACAGCCCAAGCACAACTGCCAACGTCCCGCAACGGGATTGCTTACATGTGGCAATAGAGTCCCAGTTGATCTTGCTTCGCGTGATGGGTAAAGCACGTCGCAGGGCTTTGAAGATGGATTCAGACATTTCCGCAAACTTTTCGCTCAGTGCTACTTGGAAATCGCTTTCCGCTTTGGCGATTTGCTTGATGACCGCTTTTGCGAAAGCTTGTGGGTCCTGTAGTCAACGAACAGCCGTGGATGAGATATGCGTCCAGAGCCCAACCAAGCACTGAGATTTATCGGCGGGCAAGCACATACGCCCGAGTCCGTGACCGAGAACGTAATGTCCTTGTTGGCCGTCAGCTGCACATTTCCGTCTTCGTAGTAGTGCACGTTCACTTTCAACGATCCCGTCACTTCCGTAGCTCCAGGTTGCGTTATCCACACAGACCGCCATCTTCCGTTCCTACGAAGCAAACATACGGTAGTGAGAACCGGACCTGCCTCCGCTAGAACGCTCCCTTCTCGCGCTCCATACCAGAAGTTGTTCGGGTTATATTTGTTATCCACAATCGCCAAGACCAGCTGCTCCCCTCCGTAGACAGTGGCGGTGCCGTCCGGGTAGTGGTCTTCTATGTACGCAATCGATGCGGTGTCCAACGCTTGCCTGTACCAAAGATTATCAGTACTGTATTCAGTCAAGGGGAGACGGTGTCAGCAATCGGGAGCTCACCTGTATGGCTCTGAACTGCCGTGACTGTCAGCAGGTTGAGCGTCTGATGCCGTCTGAAGATCGTCTTGTGAGGACAGTCCAATTCATCCAACTCCGAAGTTCATCCCACCATACATACGTGCCGTATGTGGTCCACCACAAACGAGGTCCCAGACCGAGGGTCCACGAAGCGCTCGCCGTCCAGCTGTCCATACTTTGACAGAATAACCTATGTGCGAATGCCCTGCCAGTCAACAGCCCATCCCATCTTCCTGACCTGGTGCATCAGAGCGGGCGCACCTGATGTTGCTGACCCGGCGGTACGACCGTCGCAAACTGCTCGAGGTTGTACTCCTGGAAGCAGCTTGTCACTCCGTTCTCTAGCAACGCTTCGTCTTCGAGTAGCACCCGAACATCTAGGGTGGGATGGGTGTTTGAGCGGGCAGTCCAAAATCAGTTCGCCGGCGAAGACACTCAGACCCGAACTAACCGTTGAAGACGTCGTTTATTTCGCCCGGAGGAGATTCTTTGAGGAAGCCGCCTACGATTTGGAGCTTGGCTTCGTCGGATAATTCGGACATCTTTAGGCGTACGACGTGGTGAGGGATCTGTGTGTTGCGGATGAGTTGAAGTCAAATTTCAAGTTCATGCCCAACGCGTCTGTCGGATAGCGGCGAGGAAGGTGTCACTTCCAAAACGGTCTTTCTTGGGCACGTTGAGACTGCAAGACCGCGATTTCTGAACGATCAAGATTTACGTACGTTCTGCGCCTGCGGCAAACTTATTCCGATTGGATGATTATGATGGCTCGAGCGAGGCGTGAAATCAGTAGTTGCGGGGAACTGCGGTCCATGGAAGGACGGGATGTGGCAGGTACGTAGTATTAAGGGTGAGACTCGGCTACGGTATGATGAATGTGATTAGGCTCCATGTAGAGACTTTCACCATCGAGGGGAGTCCTACAAGGCTATGCGACCCTATATACAATTTTACAGAGCGGATGTCCTAGTGCAAGGGAGTCTTGCACATGCATGTGGGTGGTATGGGAGACTGGTGGATATGTCGGCGGAATCCAGTGGAGGAATGAGGATTACGGGGAACTAGAACAGTCCGAAGACTCTCCCGGTCTCGGGATCGATGTCCACATCGTAGAAACACGGCCGCTGTGAATAGAGACAGGTGTAGGTCAGCCAAAATGTACAATGAGTGATACGAAGTCGCCTGGTCCCCGAGGTCAACAACACGTACCGTAGGAAGCCCTGGCATAGTTTGCATCTCTCCGAGAAGAGGGTAAAGGAACCCTGCGCCCACAGACGCGCGAATGTCACGGATCGGTACTGTAAACCCTGCAGAGCACACAGGGAGAACTTTAGCAAGATGCTCGTCGACGAGAACGAAAATGAAGCAAGCTTCTCACCGGTGGGTACGCCCTTCAACTTGGGATCATGAGACAAGCTCAAATGCGTCTTTGCCATACAAATCGGCAAGTTGCCGAACCCTTGCGCCGTATACACCTCAATCTTCTTCTTCGCAGCTTCGCTCAGCTCAATCCCGTCAGCCCCGTACATCTCCTTGGTAATGATCTCGATCTTTTCCGCGATTGGCTTTTCGAGGTCGTATAGGTATTTGAAGGACTTGCCGCCTTCTTTTTTCGAGTCCGCACATGCTTTTGTGACAGCGTTGGCGAGATCAATCGCTCCAGCGCCTCCCAATGCCCAATGGTCGCTGACGACCGCGTCGAAAGCACCAGCAGCCAGAGCCGCCTTGCGCACAGTCTCAAGCTCAGCAGCGGTATCTGTGCTGAACTTGTTGACAGCGACGATGACGCGAACTCCGAACTTGCAAGCATTCTGTACGTGCTTGGCAAGATTGGCGCATCCTTTCTCGAGGAGCTCGATGTTCTCTTGGAAGTAGACATCCGAAATAGGCTTTCCGGCAACGACCTCTGGGCCTCCACCGTGCATCTTTAGGGCCTTTACCGTAGCGACCAATACAACAGCATTGGGGATGAGACCCGAGGTACGGCACTTGATGTTAAAGAACTTCTCCATGCCAATGTCGGCTCCGAACCCAGCCTCCGTCACCACATATCCTCCCTCCAGATCTTCCGCGGTGCTTCCAGCAAGTTTCAGGGCGATCCTGTCAGCGATGATGGAGGAGTTTCCGTGGGCGATATTTGCGAACGGACCGGCGTGCACAAATACCGGAGTGCCTTCGAGCGTTTGCATGAGGTTGGGCTTGATGGCATCCTTCATGAGGACGGTTAAGGCACCGCCGATCCCGATGTCGTCAGCCGTGACCGGCTCTCCGGAGGTGCTGGAGGCGACCACCATACGGCCCAGGCGTTCCCGCATATCTCTCAGGTCCGTTGTCAGAGCCAAGACGGCCATGACCTCACTCGCGACCGCAATGTCGAACCCGGTTTCCCTGGTGTGTCCCTTCTCCTGTGGCCCCAGCCCCACATTAATCTTTCGCAAAAACCTATCATTCGTGTCCATCACACGCTGCCATGTAATAGTGTCGCGGTCAATGTCCAACCTCGCAAAGCGGCGTTTCTCCTCTAGCGTGAGGGAATCGGGGTCGGTCTTGTCGATGCCAAGCTTGGCCAACCTCCTTAGCATGATATCCGAGAATTTCCGGACGCCCTTCTTTGCAGGCACCAGACGACCGAAAAGTGTCTCGTCGTTGTGCGTGGTTGCTTCGTGGAACATACGGGCATCGATGGCGGCGGCGAGGAGGTTATTCGCCGCCGTAACGGCGTGAATGTCTCCCGTCAGGTGGAGGTTGAACTCGTCCATGGGAATGACCTGAGAATACCCCCCACCAGCGGCTCCTCCCTTGATACCGAACGTCGGCCCTTGCGAGGGCTGGCGAACACAGGCGAATGCCGTTTTCTTCAAGTGAGCGCCAAGTGCTTGAACGAGACCAATGCACGTGGTGGATTTGCCCTCGCCAAGGGGTGTTGGCGTAATGCCGGTAATCACAACGTAGTTGCCGTCCTGGCGGTGTTGCAAACGTTCTAAGGATTTGAGAGAGACCTTGGCCTTCACGGGCCCGTACATCTCAAGCTCGGAAGAGAGCAATCCCAGCTCCTCAGCAAGCACTTTCACGGGCTTGGGTGTTTGAGCCATAGCGATATCGATGTCGCTGGGAACCGGGGTTTTGAGATTGAGTTTGAGGTATTCTACCGGTCGCTGATATCCCTTAAGGAATCGCGCCGCGCTCACCACAGTATTGTGGATGAGCATGGCGACCGTCATTGGCCCAACACCTCCAGGAACTGGGGTGATGGCGGATGCGACGCTAGAGGCGGACTCGAAATCGACATCCCCAACCCATCGAATCCCTGCCTTCTTGGTAGCGTCAGGAACAGCATTCGTACCGACATCGATGACCACAACCCCTGGCTTGAGCCACGAGCCTTTGATCATGTTGGGACTTCCAATCGCCGCAATGAGAACGTCGGCGGTGGCCACAATTTCCTCTAGGTTCTGAGTCCTCGAATGGCACACTGTCACTGTAGCGTTCTCCGCTTGGAGCATGTGTGCAACCGGCATCCCCACAATGTTGCTCCGGCCCACGACGACGGCCCGCTTGCCGCTCAACTGAACTCCAGCATGTTTCAGCAACTCGATGCATCCCTTTGGAGTGCAAGGCTCGAACATTGGCTCGTGGTCCCGCTTCGCCAGCAACCCGATGTTAAGGGAATGAAATCCGTCAACGTCCTTCCGGTAATCCATAGCCTCATTGACCGCTTTCTCGTCAATCCCAGCTGGAAGAGGTAACTGGACAATGATCCCGTGCACTGTGTGATCCTCGTTGAGAGAGTTGACGAGCGCCACCAGCTCCGACTGTGAGATTGTGGCGTCCAAGTTGTGGTGCGTGAACTTGATTCCCGTCTTCACGGCGGCTTGGCCCTTCATTTTCACGTAAACACTCGAGTCCTCCCGAGCTCCAACTTGGACTACGACGAGGTGAGGTTGAAAGCCACCATTGTTTGCCGCCATCTCGGCCACCGTCTCACGATCTTTGGCGCGAATGGTCCTAAGCGAGGGTACTCCGTCAGGCCCTCATGTCAGAGAAGTGTGATATTGCTATGCAAGAGAACTTACTCGGCGAGAGATTTGCCGTCGATTAGTTTAGCCATTATTGTCATTTCCTGGTGGTCTTCACTTATACAGCTGGTACTGAGATGACGTTGTGCTTGTGTGGTAGGATAATATGCTATTTGTGGCAGCGGAACACGCTTTAGACCCAGGAATTTCGTGTTATTGTCGAGAGAGCCTTTCGGGAACGACCTTATATTTGACGCGATCTGCCGAGCAAACTTGCCACTAGGGCTGACAATCCTGAAGCGGCTGGAAGGATGAGCAGCAAGACGATACATGCACCGACTTGGAATGAGGGTGCCCCAAATGTTGTGGATTGGTTGAGCAGTTTCGTGAGAAAGCGGTCTCCCAGTCACCTGGCGGAAGTCACACCTGCGACTCGCGAGGCTCCGGGTGACCATCGGCGGACGGAATCGAGAAAAAAGAAGACGAGAGCAAGCTGCGCGTCTCGGAGGGACAACTGCGCGTTTCCTCCCCACGTTCTTCCCCGGGCCCCCAATGGTACTGTAACGTACGTACGTCGGTAGCATCGAGCCTCTTCCATGCCCCATACTGAGAATCGCTTGGCCGTGCTTGGGCATGTATGAAAGTTCTGTGCTCGCCCCGTCGTCATGGCTGGTTTCCGCGGCGGCCTTCGTCAGCACATCACATACAGTAACTTGGCAGCAAATCCGCCCATGTCCGGCGTCCGCTACGGCGCTCCTCAACTCCCATCTGATTGCCTACTATCGACGCAGGGTCGACGGTCCTCCATAAAGCCTCCAGATGCATGCAAATGCCAGATCCAGGGCTGTCCATCCATCCACCATCCATCCACCTTTCCGTCCGTGGCTGCGATTAGATCGAATGAGACATTAGATATGCCCCACATCTGCGACGCGCTGGTGTTCCGCCAATTGTGTCATTTCGGGTTCGTCGCAGAGTCGCGCGCATCATCAGGTCAAGTCATCTGGATCAGACAAACAAGCCGGACTTCGTATTTTCTCCAACGATTTTTTTTTTCAACTACTCTCAAAACTGCCACGAAAAAGCCGTCGACCTCCATCTACCGACGGCCAGCATATATATATCCGGAGAGCTATCTGTTATCCGTCTACGTTCCATTGCCTTCAGAGGATTCCTGTTTCCAGTTTCTCCAGTTGAACCTCTTTTCACACCTCGCAAAATCCACTTTCCATACCACTTTCCATATCCGACACGCATAAACCAACAAAAGCATGTCCTTCAAGAACACCCGACCACTCCAACGTATTAGCCGCCCGTTGACGTTGTCGAATACTGTCCGCGCATTCCCAAGATGCATGCCGTTGACGCCACCCCTCCGTCACATCACAGGGCCTTCCGCGCCCGTTAAGGCAGCAGCAGCCGCCCACCATGCCGTACCAACCCAGCATAACACCACAACGTCTCCAACACCACCATCAGGCTCGTCCGAAGCGAAAGACCTTCGACCGTACGCTAACCGCACCACCGCAGAGCTTATCAACTCACTTCTGGTCTTCCAGTTGTGCGGTATGCCTCGCCTGGTCGAAGCGTCACCGACCATCCTCGAATGGACGGAGAAGATGAAATTGCATGGAATAGCCTACGCCATTATCAAACGCACGTTTTTCAAGCATTTTTGTGGAGGAGAGGATTTGAAGGAGGTTGTACCGACATTGGAGGCGTTCAAGAAGAACCATGTGGGCGGCATCTTGGATTTAGCCATGGAGGCGGATATGGACGAGGCCAGTCTGGCAGGCCCCGCCGCGTTGGAGCAGGCGCGGAAGGTAGCAAACATGTTCAAGGAGAGTGTGGACATCGCCAGCCAGACGACGGGTAGTTTCATTGCGGTCAAGATTACGGCCTTGCTGCCGCCGTCGGTGTTGCTCGCGTGGAGCAATACGCTCAACCTGCTTCATCAGGCCTTCACGGAGGCTGATTCCAACAAAGATGGGAAAATCACTGCAAAGGAGTTTGAGAAGCTCTCTAGCACGTTCCCTTTGATCACAGGGCAGACGGCTAAGAATCTGTTTGAGCAAAGCGACCGCGACAAGGACGGGTCTATCGACTGGATTGACCTCTCCGAGACGTTCACTATTTACAATAACGAGGCTGCTCGCGCGCTCATTCGGAAGCCGTTGGAGCCTCAGACACCGGATAACCCATTGATTACCGCCGAGCTCCTTGACACGGCCGCACCGATTCTGCCAGAGATAGACAGCGTGGCCCAACACGCGAAAGACCTCCGCGTCCGCATCATGGTGGATGCCGAACAAACCTACTTCCAACCCGCAGTCGACGACGTTGCTCTCGTGCTCTGCAAAAAGTTCAACCCATCTCTCAAACCCTCCGACGCTCAATCCTCCGAAACACACTCATCCCCACGCGGTCCCATCGTCTACAACACCTACCAACTCTACCTTCGCGACACCTACGCCAATCTCGTCACCGACGTGGAGCGCGCCGAACGGGCCGGCTATGCGCTCGGCGTCAAAATCGTGCGAGGAGCCTACATGCACGCGGAGCGGGAGCGCGCAGAAGCTATCGGCATCCCGGATCCTATCCAGCCCGACATCAAGAGCACGCATAAGGCATATGATGCCGCCATTGATTTCCTGGTTGGGAAGGTCGCAAAAGGGATCGCTTCAACAGCATCATCGTCGGCAAGGCCCATCACGTTTGTGGTGGCTTCCCACAACGCGCACTCGATCCAGCACGCCCGCAAAGCAATGGCGGCCGCCAACGTCGCGCCGAACGAAGGCTCGATCGCGTTCGCGCAGCTGATGGGCATGCAGGATGGGACCACCTTCTCCCTCGCGGCGCAAGGGTACAAGGTGTTCAAGTACATACCGTACGGACCGGTGGATGTTACTATACCGTACCTGCAACGACGGGCGCTGGAGAACCAAGACATTCTCAAGCCGGATGGAGGTGTCGCGCAGGATAGGGCGAGTTTGATTAGGGAGCTGAAGATTAGGTTTGGCGGTAACAGCGGAACAGTCGCTGCTGCTAGGGCTTGAAGCATAGATGAAACGATCTCTGTTTGGTTTTGGATTTATCTTTTTTTTGTGATTGCGTGTGGGTCAATAGGAACGTGCAGGGTAGCCTAGTTTTGTCTTTCACACAAATTATACCAGCTTTTTTGAATAGATTCCTTAAACTCACTGGTAGGAAAGAGAGCAAGGGTTGAACTCGCATCATTCAAGCTCAGGAAACTTCGATGAGAACTGCGATACATGATTATGGAATTAGAGTGGATATCTGTACACAAGCGGCATGGCGATGGAGAAAACTATCGAGGTGTGTCAGCATCTACAGATGCCGACCAGTTGATCAACGTAAAAAGCGAATCTACTTGGCAATTCCGATAACACCGCAGGCAACACGGCCTATATGCAAAGAAGCGTTGAATGAGGATAATCAGTACCTCACCATTGCAAAAACCCTCATCCAAAACCACCACGCCAACGCACCTCCGGCATTTCCAGTGATCTTGCTCTGCTCATGGCTAGTTCTGCCCAAATCGTCCTCATCGGCGTGCACGACGATAGTACGGCCAATGACGCTGGTAGGGCCAAACAGCTTGACGAGGGGGTCCTCGAGCTTGATCTTGACGGTTCCATCGGGTCCGGCCACGATGTTACCGAGATCGCCGACGTGACGAATGGAGTCGGTGGGCGCGCCGTGAGTCTGGCCAAGGGGGTTGAAGTGACCGCCGGCGGAGGTGCAGCCGTTGGTGTTGTCACCGAATTCGCTGGAAGTTGGGGACGGACATGAGGGGTTAAGTGGTTGGGAGTGGAGAATGGCATGGCAACGGCAGGGTGATTCAAGTTTCACGCCAATATAGAACAAGGGCGACCGCGATCTGCAATTCCCGTTCTGGCGGACGGCAGGGAGGCCCACCATCCAAAACCCCCCAGTGCTGACAACCTACTCGCCACTCAGTTTTTCCCTCCCTCCCCTTTTCCGCGTTCCACAAAGCTCGCTGATACTCACTGGACGTGGAAGCCGTGCTTTCCGGGCGTCAGGTTCTTGAGATCAACCTCGATGGTGGTGTGTGCCGACTCGGACTCCTGGATGAAGGTGATGGTGCCGGTGGCGGGGGAGTCGCCGCGGACGAGAGAGACTGCCTTGACCATGTTTGCTAGATTATTTTCGGGTTGGTGAGAGGATGTGAAGAGATTGCGCTGATACTTGAGGATTATGGCAGGAGATGACTTTCTGGTCTGGGCTTTCGTGCTTTTGAGACCGGGTTTCTCCGGGGCTGAGTCCGGAGGGAGGGGCCATCTCCGTCATCCCCGTAAGAGATGCCCATATGGTGACATTAGGTGACATTAGTAAGAAAGCCTCGAAGGGAACACGAGCCGGCCTGGTCGCCAATCGCAATATCCTCGCGCGATAGGCCGTTCATATACTGTCAATCGTACGTGTGTGTATTATCGGCCTACTCAACGATAGGTACTGTACGATACACAGCAGATGTTTCCCAAAAGAGGAAAATGGGGAGACTACATCAGAAGATTTGTTGTGTTTGGCAGGCTCGAGAGTACTGAGAGCCGCCTAAGGGAAGAGGACCATGCTAAGTTTAATTTGGTAGAGATACGACTCATGTCTGTCTACCCTTCCCAGTTTTCAGCAGTCCTCGACGCGAAGGACATCCTGCCTCCACCAAATCATGGCGGGGTCAGGGCGGATAGGTCCCTAGGCATCTTCAGATCTTTACCGAGTTGCTCGCGCATATCGTAAAGGAGCTTGTAGGCATTCTTCAACGTGGACTCCGTGCAACCGGCAACTTGTGCGATCTCTTTTGCCGATTTGCCTTCGTTTTCTCGGCACAAGCAGCTGACAAAGTACAGACACGCCGCAACGATGGAGATTGGTGATTTGCCGGCAAGAGTGCCGAGATCGTTTGCTCGCCTCAGCAGCTAAAGGCAATAGTGTGAGTGTTTAGGAAAATGTGCCTTCGGAGAGGCACATCCCACTCTGCATCCAAAGTACTTACCTCACTGGTAGCACGCTTGACATCTTGGCTGAGGTCAAGCGCGGACGAGAAACGGATGATGTACGAATCCATGCTAATCTCTTTACCCGGCTTGCCCAGTAACCCGACGAGTAATTTGTAGTTTCGACCAATCTCCTTCTTCGAGACTTTGGTCAGAGCGCAGATTTCCTTAAAGGTACGGGTAGCATTCTGTTCACGACATCCAATATAAATGCAGGCGGCCATCACGGACATTGGGCTCTTCCCTCGCAGGAAGGCCGCATCGTCAGCCTTCTTATAGATCTGCTTCGCCGAGTCCGACGTAATTTTGGACAGACCAATCCGATCACACATTGTTTGAATCTCTTTGAAGGCGGTCATCAAAGTTTTCTCCTCCTTCTGGTTGGTCGCTTTACCGTGAACACGGTTCAAGTCCCGAGCTCTCCCGCTCCCGCCGTCCCTCTGCGAGATGATGGTCGAATCGATGTGATTCATTCCACCGAGCAGCGGGTCTCCAGCGGCTCCAACACGGGACGGGTCATCCGTGTTATCGTCCGAGTTGGAGAACGTACGCCACTCAGAACGTGTGTCAATCACACGGGCCCCCAACACTAGACCTGGTTGAGTTCGCCGAATTCGATTTTGATAAGCGTAGGATAGCAAGGACAGAAGCACGGAAGCGAGCGAGCGTGGGAACGTCACAGAGTGCAGTCGAGCGGAGAGAATTGAAGGGTGGCGGTTAACATATGCGAAAGGCAAAAAGGAGCTTACTTTAACACAGAACATAACAATCTCAAGCATAGAAAAAAGAAACCTCCCCGGGGAAGAGACCAATAGTGTGCAAGAAAAAGGGGGAGGGGAGGCACAAGACCATACCGCAGTTGCCACAGATGTAATCTCCGGCGGCGAAGTCTTCAACGACGTTCGGCACCGGGTCGTTGCAGTCTGAGCAGTGGAACCGTTCGGAGAGGTCCCGCTGGTACACCTTCTGAGGGGCTACTGAGGGCTCAGCCGGTTGAGTCTGCGTCATTGTGCTGTGTGCGAAGGAGAGATTGTGTGGGAGCACGTCTCTTCTCTGACGGTGGGCGAAGAGGAAAGGCAGGAAGTTGCCAGGAGGCGCGCCTTCTTATCCTCCCTCACTTGCGACCTGACTTGCGACCCTGCTTGCGACCCGTGGGGAAATCTGTTTCAAACGCCTCCCCAGATTCCAAATACAGCGCTGGCAAGGACGGACACCAAATTGCACGAGGGGGCAAACCAAGAATGCGCTTCAAGCACACGAGGTGGACGACAGGGTGCTAGCGTCGACTCCTTCTTGACGCCACTGATCGAGGGACAGCTTAGGACCAGTCCGAAATAGCAGAAACGGAAGGAACTGGAACAACCAGTTAGAAGAGTGTGGTTCTTTATTCTTTTGTTTTTCTTTTACATGGCAGTCTCAATCTACCTTCTGTATATCTGGAGCTATCGATACGGAACTCTTGGCGCTGACAACTGCTGAGAGAGCACTTCCAGAGACTTTTTGAGTCACCGTTATATTTGTCACAGGAGACCTATTTTCACACAAAGAGCGCTTGATAGGAGCCAAAGCAAGCTTGTACAAGGACTGTCGCCTGGCGGAAGCTGGAATGTTCATGGCGCCGCTGTGGTTCAGGATTGTGTCTTTCACGGAGATCGTTGGTCCGACGTTCTCACTCAGGGTCACACCGCGGACATCTGAGCTCTATGAGCAGGCCGCACCTTGACATTTACCAGTGGTGAGAAGATAGGCTTGACGCACCGGATGCAGAAAGTCCGGAGGAATGTGGTTCATGCACGGGGTGAAAATCCATTAAGACATACAGAAGATCCAGAAATTTCTATCGGAAAGAGCCGCAACTCTGTGAACTTCTACAATAGGTAAGTCAGTTGACGTGCCTGAGCGCGAACTATGCATATCGAAAGTTCAGGAAGGTACGGTGATGTTGAGCGTCCGTATATCGACCGAAAATGTGCAAGGAGCGACTCCCCATCAATGAGGGAAGATGTGAGTCCACATCCCAGCAGGTCATGTGGTTATTCTCGGGTGTCGGGGCTTGAATTTAATGTATCGAAGCTGGCATTGTATCCGATTGAGGCTAGTGCCTCATGGTTGAAGTACCGGCCTATTTTCTAAAAGCGTCCCAAATGCCTATTTTCTGCGTATGGGTTCTATGACCACCGGACTTCGGTTTATGTTTATCAACGACAAGCAGTCGCGATCGGGCTTGTGTTTATCTCAAACAATAAAGGTAAATGGTCTTAACATAGGCTGCATGAACCCGGGTCGGCCGGTATAAAAGCTTCGGCAAAGTTACCACCGAGCCCTCAGTTTCTCGAGCATCCATATCGTTGTGTTACATCATCCAGCCTCTCAGGACATCAAACACAATGCTCGCCGAGCTAGTAGCAGCAGTAACGTTCTTGGGAACCCATCTCCCTCCTACCACAAGCCCAGAAAACCGCTCAACCTTCCAATCGACGCTCCAACAGCACATGCAGCGCAAGTTCCTACAACATTGGGATTCCGCCCACCCCAGTAAGGGCAACGGATTCCGCGCGATCTCTTTCTCCGGCAACCGGCCCGACCCGCTAGTGATAGCCGCCGGGGCCACGATCGGCATGGCCGAGGCGGAGTTCGCGCGCATATTCCCGGAGGATCTGGTCGTTTGGGTGGATCCCGGGTCGGTGTCCTACAGGAATGGGGATCGCGGACCGGCGGTGTCCATATGGGAGAGAACGAATGCTACCACCCCAACGACGACGACCGCCGCGCCGCAAAAGAAGGGATACCCCACGAAAGCGGCCACGGGTGCTATGAGAGGACAGGCTATACTAGTATCGTGATCAGAGTAGTGTGCGCTTTTTCATCTGAACGTTTGCGCTTGTGCTTAGTGCTTAGACACAGTATTATGTTTTGGCTTGTGCCTCCTTGTAAATTGCTCTAAAACCTCAAATCTGAAGACTACAACGTGGCGCTGTGGACATACATGTTGATTCGTGATGGTGTGTGTGGTCCACTCTATTGAGGTGGGATGCATGTGGAGTACGCATTCCACTGGCCAAATATAGATATCAGGGGCATGCCCATGTTACATACGAATTTGGAGTGTCTGGCATCCCCGGCGTAGTGCGGCACAACGCTTGAACAGAAGGATTGGCCCGGATGAGATTGAGCTATGCGACGGTGTTCAACGGAGGAGTGGACATCCCGCGATGAGCCGGGATGAGGGTGGCATTTCTTGCGATGTGCTCAGACAGTTCCCGGCATACTGCCCACTCACACTTCCTCAAGAACCCTCAGGCATCTTCCCATTTCCCACCCCATCCCTCGCGATCGACGGTCCCGATTGACGCGTAGTCATACTCGGATAGTTGACGATATGTGGTTACGCCGATGCAACACCCATCAATCTATGCAGCCATCGCTTCTTCCGAATATATTCTCGATATCGATCACGGCGCCGTGTGTCGACAGCGTGATCCCAAGGCGGGTTCAGTGGGACAAGGAATTTGCTGAACACTATTGTGTCCTCTTGCAAAGCGGGAAGAAGATGAGCTCATCGTTCTGGATGAAGCCCAGGAAGAACGAGTTCCCACTCCTCTGAACACTGCCGTGAGAAGCTCCATGAGCCGCCGGAAAGAGCGCTTTGCCCGCTCTACGTCAACATCTCAATCTTGCTCGCATTGCTGCTGTTCGCTACTGCATTTGCGGTCATTTTGGGTCCCGCCCAAGGCTTTGTTTCGTAATCTGCGACCGCTTGACGTATTCTTGCGGACAGGGTGTGTGTGTTCCCTTCCATACAACAGTGTTAGACACATCTTTAACATACAGTATGTCGCTTTGATGCCGTCAGATTAGTCTTCGACCTTGATATGCTGTCGAGCTTCACGTACAGTACAGTATGTATGCAAACGGGTTTCTGGACATGTGCTACTGTGTGTTGTTCGGTTCGAACCCTACGGTCGTCTTGTTGGAGGGAATATGACGCATGCCAAATCATTCGTCTTGACGTTGTGATACCTGATGGGACTGTAACACCAGCGGAATGTATTACAGTATGTGCCACCGGAATGATTGAACGGTTGAGGAACCGTGCAGAAACCGAGTACTGTATGGGCCTCACGGGTTGATGAGGTCAGTGCGACTCGTTGGACTCGCAGTCTGAGAAAAGCAGAAAAGTCCGACAAATGACAGGTCCCCAATGAGCCTCCGCGGACATCCACAGCAGCGTGACTCTTTCTTTGCAAAGGAGTACCGGCGGATCCAAACGGACACGCGCGCAAACGTTAGATCATGCCGGCCGGACATTGCGCAGCTCACTCAAAAAGCAACCCGGAAAAAGGTGGAGAGAAAAAAACACCAGCCTGCTTCCCCAGTCGTCAAGGAACGATGGTCGGACTGAGACGCTTAATTATTAGCATAAGGAGGCTGGCGGAGAGAGAGCACAGGGAGCTCCAAGCTTAGGCGTACCGTCGCATTCACCCTACCGTTGACACCAAGCGCACAACGATGCCTGCCGTCGACTGGACCATTATACTATGCATCCTGGCAGGGGCTATCCTCGCGCCTCAAGCGGGGATGAACGGAACTCTAGGGCAGCTGGGACGGAATAAGCCCTTCGCTTCGCTTTGGTCCTTTACGACAGGGATGGGTGAGTTGCACAAAGCTCAGCAGAATGGGACAGGTTTCGCGTGCTCATACTGACCACGGCTATGTATCCTCAACAGTTATCCTCATAATCTATTGGTTAGCGGAGTCGCATGGAGGGAAGGACACGGATTTTCATGCCACCTATACAGGTAAACATTAATTTTGAGTTCTGCTTGAGACTCGGCGAAACGCTGACATCCACGTCGTTTCAGATGCCCCATGGTACGCACATATGGGCGGGTTCGGGGGCGCCTATTACGTTGTCATGATAGTATACCTGGCTCCACGGCTCGGTGCAGGAACCATTATGAGTGTCTCCGTGACGTCGCAGATGGCAGCGGCTTTGATCTTCGACCACTACGGGGCACTTGGCCTCGAACGGCGGCAGGCGACGGCCGGACGGATTGTGGGTCTTATCCTGTCGGCGATTGGAGTCGCCTTGATAATGCTTGGCAACGACTTCTTCCGACGCAAAGTGGCGCAGGATGCTACGATTACGAATACAGAGGTGGCCGACGAGCGGGCTCTTGAAAATTCTGCGCAGGGGAAGGAGCAAATGCAGAACGAGGTTGTCGTAAATCACCCACAAGTCAGCGGACCGAGCGGACCGAGCGGACCAAGATTCGACTGGACGGTCATCCTCGCCTGTCTCGGTGGCATCTGCCTCGCCCTACAAGGAGCCATGAACGGCAAGCTCGGCCAATATTCGGGCGGTGGCTACGCAGCGGCCTTCTCCTTTCTCGAAGGCTGGGTGATCATCGCCCTTCTCTTCGTATACGACCTCTACTTCGGCCCCCAAACGCCCAAGTTGGAACCAAGATGGAGCACGCGCGAAGTTTTCAGAACCGTTCCATGGTGGGCCTGGTTCGGCGGCGTGATGGGAGCCCTCTACGTCCTGGCCGTCACTGTTCTCATCCCAAGGTTGGGCGCCGCCACGGTGTTGGGGACGGGTGTGTGTGCGCTGGTGATCTCGGCGGTGATTTGCGATCATTTTGCGTGGTTTGGGTTGCCCCGCACGCCTGCGAGTATCGCCCGGCTGGTGGGAGTGTGCATCTTGGTTGCCGGGGTGGTAATGATTACCATTTTATAGAATTGGCGATGGGTACTAGACTGTATAGATTCTATTTCTGATACTAGCGGAATATCACATAATTTAAGCCGATGTCACGGAAGTGGAGTACAGGCGCCGTCCCTCGTCACTTGAAGGTCGGCCAAACTTTCTCTCCAGCAATTTTTATTTTCTCAACTTCCTTTGAGGGGTCTTCTCTTCTGCCGTCCGCCCTGAATCTCATCCATTTGCTGCACTTGGATATCAAACTTCGTGAAGTGTAGTGTACGTAGCTTGCGGTTCGCTTTCGGCGCGCGTGCAGTTTGGCGTGGCCCAGGCGGCGCGACAAGGTTCGGACGCACCGCAACAAACTCGAAACCTTCTCCCTCGCCCTGCCTGTCGCGGGGATGAAAGCAAGTCAGTCTCTGGCACAGGCACACCCGCACACCACCCTCTCAACTCTCTGGACTCTCGCAGGACCGTGATATAATCGCTCGCTCCCTCGCTCCCTCCAACTTCACCTTGGAAATGGGCGGACACGACGATGGTCACCGCCTATGTCCCTTTTGCGGCATCCCCTTCCTCCAGGTCGACCAGCCCCGTCCCGTTCAGGTTGCAAAGACCCTTCTCACTGCCGACGGGAACTGGTTCGCCTTCGCCGTTGCCCTCTACCGCAACTACCTCACCCCAGAAGGCCTGGTCGTCGAGCCCGTCAACCCGGCCTTTTTGATGGTGCGCAACGAGTATCGCTTCGACCCTTTTCATTTTCAGAGCACAGGAGGCTGGGTGCCCCAGCGCTGGTCGGAGGACGCCGACCTGGCCCCGACCTGGGCCGAGGCGAACGACAATCAGTCCGACGAAGACGAACCCCTGCCGAACCGCATTCGCCCCGACAGCGGCGAAGATGACGAGGGATATGTGGAACTATTAGACTTTGACTCGTACCTGTGTTCGGACTCCGGAGACGGAAACAGGGGGGTGGCCGTCCATCCCGGCTGTCTGCGCCTTGCCACTGCTTGGGCAGGCATTGATGAGGATGCCTGGCCGCAGGAGTTCTTCACCCATCCCACCGGCGGCCCCATTCTGGCGTGCGCCTGTCACAGCCAAGATTTCAGGCGTTTCCCCACTTTCGACTACACAGATAGCGCCGAAGACCATTCCGGGTGCGTGCTTTATGACACCGACACACTGTACTTCAACGAGCGAGTCAAGATTTACGGAGTCGATATGGAACTTCCTTTCGAGACTTCCCGGTGGGACGATTGGTATAACACGGAAGACGAGATCGTCGGCAATCCTGGGGCCGAAATGCCACGGCTCGTCCTCAGCGAGGTCGACGAGTGGGTCATGGTCCGCCCAGACAGGTTCCCAGAATTACCTCACCTTGCCCCGCACACTCACGCTTCAATAACACCCACCGCCCCATCTCAATCATCGACCTACGCTGACAAGAAACGCACCGCCACCCTGGTCCGCAAAGTCATGGAAGACCGCAAGGTTATACCGGACTGGAGAACCTACTACATCCGCTGCGCGACAAGCCGCAGCATGCGCAACCGTTCTCGCATTCACCGCATCGTCATGCACGCACGCAGAATCTTTCGCGATGAGGAATGGCGCACCAAGGAGACATTTTGCAACCTGGAGGGTCACTGGCTGAGTCTCGTTTCGAGGCAAGGTGATCGGTCAGGGTAACGCTAATTACGGGCAACGGCCCTGTTGTCGGGAGAGCGGCATATCTTAGCTTAGACGGACGGGTTCTGTGTACTCGGCTTCAATTAGGAGGAGAGTTGGGACATGCTTAGGGTAGTTAATGGGACTTAAAGCAACGTTGAGAGTGGTCGAGTGAAATCTATTAGGACACCGCATTTCGAACTGCATATTGTGTCGTCGATAGATAGACTGTACATAGAATAAGGGGCGAGAGAAGTCCAAGGAAGAAAACCAAAGACATTATGTATTAACTTGGTAAAATCAGAAATGTCATATATGTCACAGAGAAGAGGGCACGTGGAAGATTCAGGGAATGATATGGGTACTGTGTACACAGCGGGATATGCAAAATCAAGAGGAGGGCGGTAGTCCTTCGCAAAATGCGGCTTGAGAAGAATGTACAGAAGGAAGGTTGGAAGGGGATGAGGTTGTGGCCGGCGACAGGTTGACCGATGCTCGGTGATGATGTCGCAGGTTACAAAAGGGTTACGTGTTTACTTCGCATAGCTAGCGCGTTTATTCACCCGCTTGTGCGATGTCTCCGCATGAGCTGATCCCCGAGGTAAGATGTCACTCTCAGCAGCCGGTGCCGTCATCCTCCAACCAAAGATCGAGCTCCTCCAATTTTTGTTCCGGCTTTTCTTCTTCTCCGAGGAGGAGGTCCTGAGCCCGCTGACAGCGCTGTCTCCGCTTTCCGAACTGAAGGAATGCGAAACGGGTGATGCCTCCACTGGGCGCGCCACGGGTTCGTGGGTGAGGGTACGCAGGGTTTTCGATTGAGCATAGTCATGAGGGGTGAAGTTCACTAATGGGCCGCCGGCGGTCTCGAAGGTCTGCGGTCCATGATATGGAGAGGGCCATATCATGGACTGCGGCCGACCACTTGGGGTTGGTGGGTACTGCGGTCCTTGTGCGTATGGTAGCCACTGCTGGCCGTATGGGGACACGTGCCGTGGGTCCACCATCGAGATGCAACTCATCCGTCTAGTGTCCACAAACGATGGGGTAAATGGGTAGTTCCCTGGTGCCGTGTTTGAGCGCTGGCGCACGTATGGAGGTTCCTGCTCTCTTGGTGGATACTTATGCCCGTGCGATGGGTGCTTGCCGGCGTTTAAGAGTCCGAGCGGTACATCTTCATCATCTTCATCTACAGCTTGCAAGGACGCGGTCGGGTGAGATGTATGCATGGGTGGATGCGGGGCGTGATGGTTACAGCAGCAAGTTGGGGCAGGTCCATGGGCGTATGGAGAATGCACCATCATTGGGTGCGCATTGACGGTGGATACACCTTGGTATGAGAGGTTTGGTACGGAATGGTACATAGCGCTTGCGCGATGATGATCCAGCGACGGTCGTCGGTGGTCCACTGAGTACCGATGTGTCATTGGTGGCATTGGTGGCATCCCAGGTACGGAAACCAGCGGTGTTATCGACGGATTTTGACTCTGCACGCTATACCAAGACGCCCTTTTGTCGGGAGTGTTGAATACACCGGAAAGTGGCCGCCTGCCTCCGCTGCCGGACGTTTCCATGTAAGACTGACGCTTGTTGGGGACCGTCATTGCCCCAGATCGAGGATCTGCCGCGAGAGACTTTCTCGACTCGCGGGTCGGGACACAGTCATTCTCGAATGAGATCTTCTTCTTTGGGGCTTTTGGTATGGGGACCGCTACGGGCTTGGCCACTTTAGGCGAAGGCGCCCGTGACGCACCCATCAATCGAACTCGCTTCCATATCGTAGCTTTCGGTGGTGGGGATGGGGCTCGCGACCTAAGACGTGAAATGTTTTGATTAGATGTCGCTTCCTCCAGGTTGAGACTAAATGTTACAACTATACCTCTCCGGTTCCGCCTCCGTGTCCATAGCGCCGAGGGATGAACCGCTCAACGATGGCGACGTCGGGGGAGTGGGTGGCGCCGCCGTCGACAGGACGACAGACTGCCTCCTTGCATACTTCTCACGCCGCCGATTCTCCCGCTCAAAAGCCTCGTCCTGCTTCCTGCGCAAGTCTTCCGTAGGAGCCTGAGCGACGTTCTCGTTGGTTTTGTCGATTACGTTGAGCACGTCACCCAGCATAGTTGCGAATGTGTCGTCGCCTTCCGTCCAGACCGTGGACGGTTCCGCCGCGTCGTCCATGAAGCTGAGGTCGAGCTTGAATGGTGTTGAGGCATGAGTGTCCATTGCCGCGGGAGAATAGGTGTTGCCGAAGAGGATGCTCTGAATCTTGCTTGACTGGACTCGATGGGTGGGGGGGGGGAGTGATCTTCCACCTTTCCTGCACCAGAAAAGACTTGCAAAGGGAAGTTGGGGAGTCGGAGGCCTAGTAACGTTGACGTCGCCAGGGCAGGTGCACTCTTGATGATGGATGAGCTCAGACAAGAACACAGGGACAGATCAAGAATGCCGCACGTTCACCTTCTCGGTGTCGCGAAAGAAGGGCACAGAGACACACCACACACACGCGAACGCCGACCACCGGTGCAGACAACGCTTGGGGCTGAGTGATCCGGAATGTGCACCCTCCCTTGCTCAGGTCCGGGTTCCAGGGTCTGAGGCACTCGCTCCTTCGGCCGTCCGTCCGTCACCTCTCATTCAACCAGGGGCAGCTGTGTTTGAGCAGCATCATCGCCTTTCTTGTTACACATGTTGGAATCTCCAGGCGGACAGCAGACCCAAAAATAGGGTCCCCGAGTGACTGCAAGGTCAATCAACGCAATATGATCTCTTGGCTCCGGGGAGCACGCGTCCGCACTGAGCAGGGTTCACAGTCACTATTGTGGGGACTCACTGCGGATGGATCGCACGCGTGCCTTTCATTAGTCATTTATAAGTAACCGGTCAAATTTGTTTGATTTCATTTGGCCGGTAAAACCGCGGCCCTGGTCATGGGGTCCAACTTTCAAGTGCCCAGGCCGCAATGGAACATCCACAGCGGCGAGCCGCGCCTGCATAATGCCACATTGCCAAGGACGATGCGAGACGGGATGTGGAGGTTGACTCCGGAATCCAGTCCATATCGAGTGGACGATCCAGGCATAGGGGATCTGGACCGGGAACTGGACATGTACCGTACAGTCCTGTATACATACATAGATAAGCTACCATCCAGTTGAGGCTCTCAAAGGAACGCGTTCGCGATGTTGATCTCTCACAAACTGTCAATTCCAAGCTGGAACTCCCGTAGGATTCTGACTAGCATGTCGGTGTAGACCGCGAGGCTTCATCGACACCGAAGACTTCGAAGCATGACACATCGTCTGCGCTATAGCTCGCAGTTGGTCGGTTTCCGGATGGTTTCAAAGTGTTAAGTTGGTGCGTCGTAGTGGAGAAATCAACCTGCTCGCCTGCACGACGGTGGTTTTGGCCTCCCTCAAGTATGTCCAAAATCTCCTCACTCCCATCATCATCAACTCCTCTCCGCGGAAATGGGACTGAGGAACCGACGTACACGGCCTCATTGAACAGACAGCCATGCCGACAGATGAAGAAAGGGAACCGGAAACCACGCGTTTTCTTCCATCTCAGCAACGGTTCTCAATGATGCGCTCTGTCATCCTTTTGAATGGGACATACGGCACGAGCCCGAATGGTGTGCTTGTGTACTGTTTCAGCCACCCAGAGAGACTCAGATGGCTAACATCCCATGCATAGTAGATTCGAACGACAGTGCCTTTGCCTTCAACGCGAGGTTTGGCCCTTCGCCACCAGAATAGCTTTGTGAGCCCGCCTTCGAACGTGATCCTCAGACTTGGCGCTCACGTTTCTCGAGATGACCACGACGGAATCCGGTTGACCCTTTGAGGCGTACGTTCTCGCCATTTATTGCAGCGATCGAAGCTGGCGAGGCTGAAAAAACGTTTTGCGTGTAAGGGGTTCAATGTGTCCTGTGAAGAACAAGCCTTTCACTCTGGCTTCCAGTGTCCTAGCGCCTTGTTGGATTTGCCCGGGGCCCAAAGCGGTCATATGCGCACTCTAAGTGGACGTGGGGTCGATGGGGGCGGTTGCAGGCTACTCGATTTTAGAACGGTGCACTCGCGGATACCATACCATTGGCAAGCGAAACGAAGTGGCCCCATCTCCGGAGAAAAAACATTCCCTTTTGGTGTTGGCGAGTTGCGATTCCTCCGTGAGACCAGAAATTATTCGTTCGATAGTGTCCTTTGACGAAAGTCGTCGGTGATTGCGTCTACGTGCTGAACTCCAGTCCGTCCCAGGTACTAGCCCCAGAGGCTCGTATGGAATCTAACCGCTGCCGATCCTGGTCTTGCAGACGTTTTTCACTTCAACGACCCAATTCAACGACCCAATCCGACATCCCTCTTCGTCTCGCGTACTTGAACTTCTCAAAACTGAGGGCGGCCTACGTATCAAAGGAGATTCCCCAGGTTATAGCCCCGTTCTTGAATGTCGTCCTGCCGGAATGGATTCCTCGAATGCAAGAATTGTTGGATGCGATTATATTCACAGACACGTGACCCAACCGGCATTTCGCAATTTACATGCGACATCGGAGAATGTAGCTTCGTTCGCATTCCATCCCACTTCAACCCCAATCTCACACAGCAACAATGGGTACGTATACTCTCAGAGGAGGATGGGTCGCTTCCTGAGGTCGGGGCGACGAAACTCCGCCCGGCAAGATAGCCAATTGCAGGCATTTCCAAGCTTGGGAGTGTAGCGGAGTTCACTTTTCCGTCTTCAATTATGGCAGGCGATCTCACAGTGTGTTTCTCTCCGTGATCAGCTCCCATCATCGGAAAGAAGGCTCCCAACTTCAGCACCCAGGCCCTCGTTGACGGCCAGTTCAAGAAAGTTTCCCTGGACGACTACAAGGGCAAATATGTTGTCCTGTTCTTCTACCCCATGGACTGTAAGTTCGAAATGACGATCAGACGACCGTCCCTGCGCTATGGATGCGGGAGGACATTGGCAGAGGCGATTGAGGACCGGAGCTGATAGTTTTTATGACTTCCCTTTAGTCACCTTCGTGTGCCCCACCGAGATCATCGCTTTCAGCGACCGCGTTGAGGAGTTCCGCAAGCTGAACGCTGAGGTTATCGCCGCTTCGACGGGTACGTCCACCCAGTCTGGTTCTGATGTTCTACAATCAGTGGAGGATGCTAAATCACAACTTCCCTACAGACACCGTTTTCTCTCACTTGGCATGGACCAACCAGCCCAGGAAGGACGGTGGTCTCGGAGAGATGAAGATCCCAATCTTGGCCGATGTGACCAAGAAGGTAGGGGCGAGTGCTTCGGATTCTCTGAAGATTACTGTGAGCGAAAGACTGACTGGGATGATGTGCACCATTTAGGTCTCCAGCGACTACGGTGTCCTGATCACCGAAGGTGATGACGAAGGTGTTGCGCTCCGTGGTACCTTCATCATCGACCCCGAGCAGAACCTCCGCATCGCTCACGTGAACGACCTCCCCATCGGCCGTAACGTCTCCGAATACATCCGTCTCGTCGAGGCTCTTCGCTTCCACGCGGAGCACGGTGAGGTCTGCCCCGCCAACTGGCAGAAGGGAGGAGCCACCATCAAGACCGACCCCAAGGCCAGCAAGGAGTACTTCAACAAGGTCTGATTGGATCCACAGCCGTCCCTTACCGTTAGAAACCCCTTGCAATCCTATGTATGAAGTGGAGAGAGCATCTTGCATTTTTATCTCGCATCTTTTTATGTATTTACGTGGATCGACCCGCTTACATATGCAAGGGGTTCAGAATCAATCCGCATGCATGAAAGCTTCCATAAATGTCATCCATTCTAACCTCTTTCCCTCTCTTCCGACCCTTACCTTTCCCCACACGTATTGGCTGCATCATAGATCGACGGAGTGCAACATCAGGCTAGTCGCAAGAGGATGGCAGAGGGATCTGCACAGGAACCTGACACGAAGAAGCGAAGGCCATGAGCATTGGTGCAACTCAGCGATGAAGTCTGTTATACCGGGTCGAAGTTCACAATCGGCGGGGAGAGTATATGTTTTACACACAATTTTCTTGACCAGATCAAATAAAATAAGGGAGGTGGGATGGTAATCTACGGAGGATAATGATTGTTGCTGCTGTGTCGGTTGTGCCCCCGTAATGGTGTGCCCTCGATTCTGGAGAGCTCCGGCTATACTAATGTCTACGCCTAGGGTAACCGCAGGTGTGGCGATGCTGCTGTACATACGCGTGATCTAGATACAGGCAGATGCCGAGATACGAGGGATTCGAGATTGCCTCATACGGCCGAAATCGATGATCCTGGATCACTGTTGCGGAGGCGCCCCAGGCTGGCCGGGCGGTGCCACCTGTCCCGCTCCATTCCAATAATCCCACAACTTGAGCCCCTTGCTCTTATTCTCCTCCATCTGCTTCTTGATAAACTCCTCCTGCTGCTTCTGCACCTCGTTCATCTGCTGCTTCATGTTATCCGCGTCCTGCTCCGCTAGGGCACGTTCTTCCCGTGCGAGACTCTCGATCGTGTCGATGATGTTGACGGGTTTGTGTGTGTTGCCTGTCACTCCGCCTAGCATACGGGAGAGCCATGACCGGGAGGAGTTGGTAGCTTCGTTAATTTCGGGGATGCGCTGGTTGAAGTCTTCGCGAACTTTTTCTTTGTAGGTTGCCCACGAGGAGGCAACATCGTCCGGGTCGATCGAGTTGACGATGTTGAGGATGGGACGGATGTCTTCCATGCCGTAAATGGTTGCGAATACGTACAGTTCTAGGAATGGGAACGTCACACGTGAGTGACCCTTCAGCAAGACATCTCCCTCCTACTCTACCCCTCTCACCTTCGAAGAACGTCTCCAGCTTCTTCAATTCCTGGTCTCCGCGCTCTCCCTTCCAGGGCTTCAGCTTCAATCCGTTCTCTGGCTGCAGCTTGTACGATTCGGGGTTGATGTCGAGGATGATGGTTTTGCCGATGTCGCGGTTAAGTTGGCTGAGGTCTTTGACGTAGACGCCATCGACTAGTTTAGTATGGTCCCGGTAGAGACGATACATTGCGTAGAAGAAGTGAGGGTCTAATGCTTGGCACACTGGTTCGGCAAGCTTGGTATTGGAGAGAAGGGTGAGCGATTGCCTTCATCGCAAGGAATCGCAAGCACAAAGGACACTTACGTAGCCCGGCGAGTTGGTGAAAATGACGACTTCGTAGTATCTGCTCAAGTTGGCCAAAAATTGCTTAACGCCTGGCCTTGTTGCTACCCGCCATCCAACAGATTTCTGATTATGAAATGAATCAGCAAAATGATACATGTTCCCGGACTGCATCGAAACCGGTTCTGCCAACGTACATCCCACTCCAAATGAACCAGCGCGTCGGTCAACTCCACGCAAAGCGTCAAAGGGCGTTGATATGGGGCCGGTAGGGGGTCAGGTAGGAGTTTCGTCGAAACAGGGCTTTCGAGGGTCTATCAGCAGCGAGGCGGTTAAGTATTTCTTCGTGGCAGAATGCTACTCGTTCGAAAACTCACAGTGCGAAGGTTTTTTAAGTTATTCCATGCGCGGATGTGGTAATTTGTGAAGTACGATTCTTCTGCATCGGCTCTCTGTTCCTCAGTGGGGATCCCTGTGCATCCATCGACGTTCCATCAGCATACACGTCCTGAGATATCGCTCGGACACGTCTCACACTCTCGGTGAGAGCGGATTGCTTTACTGTCACCTACCCAAATAGACAAATGCGGAAAGCGAAAACATCCCAAGGGTAAACATAAACATCCGTGTGCTCCGCTGCATTTGCCTCTTTTCCTCCTCCTCTGCCTGCTGCTTCCACTTCTTTATCCTCTCTGCTTCCTTCGGATCCATGTGGTGATGGCCTTCATCGACTTCCGATTCCGCGCCAGCAGCTTTGCCGCCCCCTTGCGGGCCAGCGGCAGCCGCAGCCTCCCTCCGTCGCTGGTTAGCCGCAGCTTGTGCGAACAGGTCAAGCCCTTGGCTATCTGCGTCCTCCGCCTCCTGCTGGCTGTTCCGTTCCTTTCGCTCGGCCTCCTTCTCTGCCTCTCCCGGCGCGTTTGGGCTTGCGGCCTGGTCGTTGTTGTTGCCCCTCGGAGAGGAAGCTTTGTCTGCGTTCGGGTCAGAGGCCTTTATCCGGATGCCGGCTCTTTGTGTGAATTGGGCTAATGGTGTCGCACTCGGCCTGCCGAGTAACATGGGTATCCGTGGGCTAACCGTGTTTCTGTATACGACGCTCGCCGATGAACTTTGTGCCCGGAAGGTGTTCAGTAATTGTGCTCCTGTTCCCGCTGGTTGTCGGAGCAAGCCCTTTGTTAGCGATGTCAATAACACCCGCATCGTTTTGTTGGCCTTGGCTCGGGAAAGCGAACAAGTGCTGGAAACTCGTTTTGCTTATAATTCTCAAGCGGCAAACAAGGTGAGCTACTAAATGTGAGGTAGGTCCTTCCAGCGAAGTCCTCCGTTCGTGTGGGATTGCTTTGAAGCTGTGATGGGGCGAATCTGCCGAGAAGAGCAGGTGTTGTTGCCAGCGAAACTCGGCGAATTCCCGCTTAGCTAATGACACCCGCACCCGATGTCACGTGGGCGTCCGCATTATTCAGGCCAGATTCTATTCAGGCCGGAAGGTGGCAATTGCATGCACGGCGGTCTTCAACCACGGCATCGACAGCCAGAATACCCCCACCGCTTTCTCAAGCAAGTCATGACGGTCTTGCAGTCCATCCGCTCGCGGCTTCCGTCGCGGAACTGGTCCATCTTCTGGGGTGTGACCGGCGGCCTGACCGGCTTGGGCTTTTACGACAAATATCACCTGAAGCAAGTCCGTGAAGACCTCTCCTCAAGGGCGTCCGTGCTCGCGACCCAGCACATGCCAACTTGGGAAGTGCCAAGGAAAGTAAAGGTGTTTGTGGCTCCTACCCATTGGGCCAGGTATTGGTTCAAGGAATATGTCAAGCCAGGTGCGTTGAGTTACGTCGGAATTGCAATTTGCGTATGAGCACTTCTCTAAAGCAAGTCTACGCATATTACTCCAGTCTTTGATGCAGCAGCTCTCGACTACGAAGTGATCGAACCAAAGGATGCGGGTCAAGTGCGGCAGCAGGTCCGGGATCTGATTTGGAAGGGCAAAGATGAATTTAGGGCACGACCGGCGAATTATGTTTACGAAGCCAACCCGTACAACTCGTTAGCATTAAATGTGTTATCAAAACCGACATACGATGCGGCGGAGGGGTTGGTTGCGGTGGGGCCGAACTCATGGAGGGAAGTGCTGAGAGGATTGAATGAGGGAGCTATGTCCGAGCGAGGAGTGGTGGACGTATTACTCAACGAGAAGGCAGCAGCGGAAGCTACTGCTGAAGCAGCGAAGGAAGTGGCGTCACCACCACCGACAGCGGGTGCTTCTGATGCAGCGGCGGAGACATCCTCCACATCACCAACGGCAGAAACAGCTACCCCGCCAACTCCACCAGCAACCCCAGCTGTCGCAAAAACCGACCCAGTCGTCCCTCCATCCCATCTCCTGGCGCAAAACCTTCCGCCATTTGCTCTCCCGTCGCTAGGCTACATAACAGGCCGCAACCAGTCCGGATACTCTGGGTTCCCAAAACGAATTTGGGGCTATTTCAATGAGCGCTACACGGCGCGCGAGATTGGTGAAGAAGCTTTGAAGATTGCGTTTGATCGTGTGCGCGAGTTCACGCCTGAGGATGCCAACTTGGGTGCCAAAGATGTGTATGTGCACAAGGACTGGGATGACGAGTTGAAGAAGGTGGTGGGAGAAGTACAGATTGAGGAACCGCTCTTGAGCAAGCTGTACATTTATGCTTAGGTAGATGGTGGATTCAGTTCCCCTGCGGCTCTTACATGCACAACCATCAGGATGCGCGGCCAGAGCCCAAGTAGTCGTAGTTTGGATAGCACCGCGTACATATGTATTTATTTGTCGCTTTACATCGTGTGTTTACATAGACGTTGATTCCGGGGCACAGAGCCATCTTACGGCCCTTTCCTCAAGTCCCGCATCGTTCAAAGTTAAACTGACTGCGATATAGTGCGAAGAAAACCGCAGGCATCATAATGTGGAAGCCATTGCAACTCATCTAGCTAGCTGATCCTTCCATGGCTTTCCACCTTCCATATGAGCAAAGGGGCTCGAAAGCGGAGTCTGGCACTGGGAGATTCGCGAATCCGTGCGCCTCCGCCACGCCACGCATGCGCCACACATATCTCCCTGGCTTTCCCATCTTTCCCGTCTCAACAAAGAGGCCCGGCAAAATAGCGATTCACAACGACAATCTGCTCTGGATAGAACACCGCAAACGCTACTCTCTCATATCACAACACACACCAAACGGCAATGAGCGCACCAGTCTTCGGCAACTCAGCCGCCCCGGTCACGTCACTTAGCGATATACGAACTTTTTCGCGCGGAGGGACCCGGTCACAGCCGGGACAGTGCCAGAAGTGTCTTGGTGAGTACTGCTATTGTGAACGGAGGGATGTTCGAGCTGGGTCGGGGTCGGTGTGGTGCGATTGGGGCTTGGAAGGGTCGAACCTCTTGGTGGATAGGGTCTCGGAGATCACGGCGGCGCGGTGTTCAGTACGAAACCATTTAACGATGATCGGATTAGAAGTAGCGGCGGATGTGTCATGAGAAGCACATAGCACTATAGTCTGACCCATGTTTCTCCTCTTCCAGGCACAGGACACTGGACGTACGAGTGCACCAACGCCAGACCCTACGTGCACCGCCCCTCGCGCACAAAACAGCTCGGCAAAGGCAAAGACGGCAAACTCGCCAGCGAGCAAGTCCGCGGTTCCTCCTCCGCATCCTCCTTGGGGCTACGAAAATCTGGCTCAACGAAAGGACTGGCGGATCAGATATTGAAGGAGAAGAAACTGGCACGGAAACGCGCGCGGAAGGGGAGTGATTCGGATTCGGACTCGGATTCTAGTTCGGATTCGGATTCGTCGAGTGATAGCAGCAGCTCAGATTCGGATTCGGACTCGGATTCGGATAGTGGGAATGGGAGTAGTAGTGATACTAGTTCGAGCAACACTTCTTCGTCGGATTCAGATTCGGACTCGGATTCAGGTTCGGGTTCCGGCAGTGACTCGTCGCGGTCGTCGAGGGGAAAGTCGAAACGGAACAGTCGGAAAGAGAGTGGCGGACGTAAAGCTGATGATGGACGGAAGGGTGATGACAGGAAACGTAGGAGGCTCTCGTGATTGCCTACATTAGCAAATATCGAGTGCTGGAAAGTTTGCGAGGGCTCCCAATGTAGTGCACCAATACCCATATTCTCTTGTGTCGTTCGGCGTCTCGGGTAGTCGGGAAATCCATAGCACTATCCAAGCTTTCCGTTTTGTAAATAATTGCCATAGTATGCGCCGCTCATAAGTAAAATTTATGAGAATTTTCATTGTTATATGCAAGCCAAAAACGGAAAGAAAAGATGTTACAAGAAAGCAGCTTGCTCTGTACATCGTCCGCCAGTCGTACGTTCGCCATGTCGAACGCACATATCATAAAATGTAACTCGGTATCCTGACGGCAAGCCTCCCGCCTATTTTCAGTGGAACCCATTCACTTGCGAACCTCCACGTTCACATCCCGCGGGGTTCCGGTCCTAATCTGCCACACCTTCACACCATTGCCCAAAAGACTCACACCGCCAAGAGCAGCGACTCCGTTCCAGACAATACCGAGCGGGCCACGCACTTTGATGGCCTTGGGCAAACTGTATGCGAACAGACCGGCAGACGCAAGAGCACCGACATCGTAACCGGTGCGGTCATCGCCAGTCTGAAGAAGGTATCCAGAGCCGGCGAGAGCAGCAGCAAGACCAGTCAACACGAGAGGCGCACGGGAAGCCACGATCGGGCCCGCTGGGGGGCGGGACGCCAAGCTGGTGTAGATACCCGCTCCACCGGTGAGGGCCGCGACGACGTAGTGAGGGAAAGGGTCGACCTTGTTTGCGACGCCGGTGAGGGCTCCTGCGGCCGTCTCGACTTTGGAGGGGTTGGGGTTGCGGACGTCGACGGTAGGGGCGGATTGAGCGATGGAGGAGGTTTGTGTCTGGATGGCGTGCTTCGCGTCGCTTACGCGTTGCTGGAGAGCGTGCACGGCTTCTTGGGATTTTTGCTGGGCGGCGTGTGCGGCGTCCTCGGTCTTTTGGCGCAGGGTGGACGTGGCAGAATGCGCGGCTTGCGATGCGTCATGCTTGAGATTGGCTGCAGAGTTCTGAATGTCGTGGGCGGTCTTGTCGGCTTGAGAAGATGCGGGCGTTGAGCGGTTAAATGGCCACCATCCCGAGGAGGAGGTCTGCGCGTTGGTCTCGGCATCGCGCTTGGCGCTTTCAGCAGCGTGCTTGGTAGACTCCCACGCGTTGTCGGCCTTCCTCTCGCCTTCCCTAACAGCGTCCTTGACGTCCTTCTTTGCGCCCCACCACGTCTTTTCGGCATCCGCCTTGGCTTTCTCAGCAGTGTGCATGGTGGCGTCCCAAGCGTGCTCAGCCTTCTTCTCGCCCGCCTTCAATGCATCCTGGGCATCCTTCTTTGCACCCCACCAGGTCTTTTCAGCATCGGCCTTCACATGCTCAGCGGTGTGCTTAGTAGCATCCCAGGCGTTCTCCGCCTTCTTCTCGCCTTCCTTGATGGCATCCTGGGCGGTCTTCTTGGCTCCCCACCATGTGCGTTCAGCATCGGCCTTGACAGCTTCGGCGGTCTCGCGGGTCTTCTCGTATGCACGGTCACCAGCAATGTCGGCGCGACGGGAGATATCAGCAGCGCCGTCCTCAGCCTTCGAGACGGTGCTGTCGATGCTACGCCTGGCGTTGTCGATGCCGTCTTTGGCGACATTGGCGGCGTAGGCAGCGGTGTCTTGAGCCTTGGCAGTGACGTCATGAGCGACCTTTTCGGTGGTGGCTTTGGCACCCCACCATGTACGCTCCACCTTTTCTTTCACGGCCTCGGCCTTCTGTGCGGTAGCACCCCATGCCTTCTCCCCGGCGGCGTCAGCTTGGCGAGACAAGGTCGAAGCGGAATCCTCAGCAGCGCGGACGGTGTTGTCGACGGACCTCTTGGCAGTGTTCAGCTTGTCCTGTGCCACGGCGGAGGCGTAGTTGGCTGTGTCTTGAGCCTTCTTCTCGACGTCGTGAGCGACTTGCTCGGTCTTGGCTTTAGCGCCCCAGAGGGAGTTCAGGATGGACGATTTGGTCTCTTCCGCCTTGACTTCAGCGGTATGGACGGTGTTTTCCACGGCGTGCTTGGTATCTGCGGCGAGCTGTTTCGCGCGCTCTTCTGCGGCATGAGCGGCGTCACCAACGACATGCTTCACGTGCACGTACTCGTCCTGCACGCGGTCGACGGCTTCCTCGGCGGCGTGCTGAGTCTTCTCCTTTGCGCCCCAAAGCGAGCCAAGAAGGGAGTTTCCAGCCTCGTCGGCTTTGCGAGAGATCTCGGCTGCTTTGTCAGAAGCCTTGTCCGTCGTGACCGCCGCGGTCCTTTTCACGTCCCTCCAGTCTTCCTTAACGACATCGGCGGCTCCGTTGGTCACTTTGCGCGTCTTGTCCGCAACTTCCTTGCCGACCTCTTCAGCTTTGCTCTTGGCGCCGAACCATGCGGATGTCCATCCTTGCTTTACTTCCTCGGCCTTTTCCTTTGCGGCGGCTGCAGCACTTTTCGCCTTCAGCTCGGCGTCGGATTCGATGACGGGGTTGCTCGTGCGGTCCTTCTCGTACTGGTAGCCTTCTGCAGGCGCGGCAAAGTTGGTACCAGTGTACTGCTGCTTGATGTCGTGCTTGACGTTTTCGGCGCGTTGTTTTGCGTAGTGGGCAATGTCTTCGCCGCTCTGCTCAGCGGCGTGCAGCACGTTCTTGCCTGATGTGCGTTGATCAGTTGCTACATGGGAGACTGAAGCAAATAGCGAGGGATTTGAGTTAGCTTTACTGTTCTTTTTCTTTTCAATATCCGTCGCCAGATCTAGATCTAGAAACATGGTATTGCATTGCTTACCGTCCTCCGCAGCCTGTTTCGTCTCGTGAGCGGCGTTTTCCGCATGCTGCTTTGCGTTGAAAGCAGGATCCTCAGACTTTCCGCCGAACCAGTTGACCATTGTGGTATAGGGTGATTTTGCAGTGTTGTCGAGGTGTGTGGGATGGAATTTGATGGGGTCCTCCGGAGGGTATCAAAAATTGGAGAACGCTGGTGGATAGCTGGATTCGAGGATGAGGATTGGTATTCTTTTTCTGGACAGGCTGGACATGGGAGGGGCGTTGGACGAAGGCCTCTGAATAAATAGCCTCGTCCAGGAGGCGTTGGGGGTCGGTCATCCGTCTGATTCCGCCATACGTCACACCCAGCAATAACGGCACAACGCGTCATTTGCCCCACCAGCCGTGCCAATGCTGGCCGGCCTGCGCGGAGGAATCATGCATGACCTGCCAGTAGTAAGTACTGTGTGCATTGCAAGGAGCCCCACGGACAAGGGCTGGGTGTGGGTCCATCTGGCAGTGAACGCCCGTGCAATGCGAGTGTGTGCAAAGCGAGAAGCGAGAAAGCGAGGGCCAAGCCACGTCATGACATCATGCCTCTGTCCAAGGGATGCTACTATCATAGGGCTGCGCACTTGGGGGCTTGGCACTGGGCACTCCCACCAGGAACTCATTAGATACAGCACTTCGCTCTCACCTAGTAACCAGATATATATAGGAACCCTATTCGCACGTCCGGTCTCTCATCCCGCCTCGATAGCGCTGCTTTCACTAGTTGATACGAATACACTACTATCGAACGAATCCCTCAGGATCGTCTACCACCGATATGCCGCCAATCACAAAAAGCACACCTGCCCACTTCTCGGCACTCCCGCAGGAAATCTCTGTACAAGTCGCGAAATACCTCAACACGCGCGAAATAGGTCGGCTTGCCCAGGTATTGCGGCTCCGTCTAATGTGAACCAGCTTCGCTCAACCTCACACCGTAAGATTCATTTCATCAGACTTCGAAACACTTTGCTGCTGTATGCACAGATGATTACCTGTGGAATCTCATTGCCGTACGTCGGTTTGGCGAGAGTGGGACCTCGGTTGGCGGGACTGGACACTTGGAGCTGTACAAACGGCTTGTATCACAACGTACGCATCAATCGGGGCATCGGCTTGTTCTCAACCTCATAAACTGACCCCTCCCTTGCTTCAGACTCACTCAACGTTCCAGCCGAAAAGCTCAATATCGTATGGAACAACGGGCAATGGTGGAAAATCATTGAGTCGCCCGAATCCCATTCCGGAAAAGTAGCGTTCCTCAACGCGGTGTGGTGGTTTGAGTGAGTGGTTATGTGGTCAATTATTGAGGGCACAGAAACACCGCTCACGCGTTACGTGGTGTATTTTGTAGCATTCGATACCAAATCAAAGGCGTTCCTCGCGGCCTATATATCCCAACATGGCGCGTCCTGTTTCCGGAGCGGACGGGGGGTCTGGAAGGCGTCCAGTTTCGCATCAGCGTCAAGAACGGTGGTGATGGCGTCGAGCATGCCAACCTGGTTTCTGAGAAGCGCATGTCGGAGATTCTCCCGGAGAGTGCGAGCACCGCTGCTACAATCGGATTCCAGCACTTCATCAATCTTGAGCGCCATTTGCCGGACAACCTTAGCCCTGTCCCCCAATGGGTCGAGTTGAGTATGCCAGCTCTGAATGTAGGAGACTGGCCTGGCGCTGCCCCCTATTGGGACGTGGACATCGAAGCGACCGACCACACGAGCACCTACAAATACGGGATGGTGATCGACTGGTTCCAACTCGTTCCTCAGAGACCAGTCTCTACGTCAGGCGAGATTGAAACACCTGCACCAACACCCACCGCGAACGAGAATAAAGAAGACTTGCCACCCCCCTTTCCCGTCGGCGCGCCACAAGGTCCTCCTGGGGAAGAGCCAAACACTGTTCATCCAGAGATCCAGGATGTCATCGGGGGTCTAACAGGTCGAATTCGGACGGGTGGGGGTGCCATCAGAGCTGTCGCGAGCCAGATGCGTTGAACCTCCCGACCGGCAGCTCTTGTAAATACATTGTAAATACCACATAGGTCCAGGTCACCGTAGTCCGTATACGATCAATGCCACCCAGTTTTCAGCTCTACGTAGCCATCCTCATCCGTGCATGTAGCAATCTGTTTCGCTGTTCTCTAATCCTCCACTGCCCGTTGTGGGGAAACCGACAGTCTGACAAAGTTCCGAATGCTGGATCTCGGAGCGGGTGGGTCATCGCGGACAGAAAAGGGCCGTTTTCTTTTCCTTTTTCCTTTCAAACTCAGCTTCAACTTCTACGTTCTTCGTACATTGTCAGCTGGACGACGGGTCCTGTCATCCTTCGCGACATTGCGAAGGATGGCCTTGCGCCGTGAGCCGCACAAGTCGCGTCTCGACTCTAAATTCTGACGGAGAGGCGCAGACTTCTGGCCACTGAGTGTGTCATTGTGCATGAGCTCACGCGCCCCCTTTGATGCAAATTTGAGGTCTCGGATGATGTGAGAGAGGGCCTGCCGGTTGGTGCGTTCGCCGGTTTGGGTCTTCACTTCACAACCTTTGGGACAGACAGCATGCCCGCCAGCGGGGGTATTGATGATGAGAGGAGTGCTGCCGATTGCCCGGTTCACCTTAAAATTAAGCCGGGGTGATTGATCAAGCCGGCCGAGTGTTCCGTTCAGGCCTGACAGTCTTATCCGAAGAGTGCGCGTGTGCCTGTGTTGCGCCCGTCAGTCGGTCACAGGTGAGTCACAGTCCGTCCGTCCGTCACGACTCCGGCTGGATGACACTCTCCCATAAATATCTGCTGCCCGGCCACTCGCACGCTGTCTGTCGCCACGTTCTTCGAAAACGTTGCCCACCATTCCCCCCTCTGCATACATACGCTGTACAGCTTCCCTCAGATAAAAGCATACTTGCCAACTGCAGCGTATAAACTCCGTCGTTGCCGCGCCCGCCCTTCATCCTGTCTACACCAGTCCGCAGCTCGTATTCTCCATCGGCGACAAGAATTCTCCGACGAGCTTGACTTGACTGTCACACGTACGGCCATTTCGGGGCAACAAAGCCGCTTCACCGTCGGATAAGGCACATCGCTATTCCACCATAGCGGACTATCCACTCCCACATTTTCCTCACTGGCAGCCTCCAGAACCTCGCGGTTGGCACCCATCTACCCATTCCGCTTTGACAGTCCTCGCAAAATGTCCGTGACACCCGGCACACCACCACCGTACGATGTTGCTTCAGTGAAAACCCGGCACCTGACGCTTTCCCCCTGCGACCTGTTCTTCACGCCAACCCGGTCGAATGTCGGGGTCATTGCAAAGATTACGCTGCATAATACCCATCATAGCGGCAACGCTGTTGGGTACAAAATAAAGACGAACGCGCCGGCGAGGTATTCGGTGAAGAATGTGATTGGCGTGTTGCCGCAGGGGGGGATGTGTGATGTTCTTGGTGAGTTGGAGAATGGGCAGTGATGATGGAAACGCGGGTGTTTTGGTGAAGTTGACGCTGACCTTTCTTTTTCCATCTAGTACGGAGTGAAAGCACGATTCAGCCGGACGACAGGTTTTTGTTGCAAACGATCCGTTTATCGGAAGAAGAGGCGAAACGACTCGATTCCACCAAGGTACGCCTTTCAGTCCTTTTATATTCATTTTCAGGAACTCTGCCATTGACATCTCCCAATCAGTGGCGAACCCTGGATCGCGCGCGCATGACAGACACCTTCATCGACTGCAAAGTCTCCCCCACCCGCCCTCGCGGCTTCTCCAACTGCTCCTTCTCCTCCACCTCCACCACCTCCGCCGCCCTAGCCCTCTCCTCCTCCCCACAGCAATACCGCCGACTCTCATCATCCACAAGCACCCCGCCATCATCACGACCCCAGTCGGGGTCACCATCATCATTACTATCACAGTCGCAGCAGAAACAAATACAACAGCCGTTCAGCTCGGCGGCAGCGATGCGGTTCACGAAAGTGGATTTGATCATGTTTTCGGTGTTGTGCTTACTGCTGGGGGTGGCGATGCCGTACACGAAATCGCTGTTTCAGCTGATCAAGTTCGTGTCGGTCTGAGATCGGTTGACTTGGATTGCTGTTGCGATAGCAGGCTTTGGCAACAAGGACAGGGGTCTTCCTCCTTGTTCGTAATTATTTTTTGGTATTCCCCCCTGCGACTGACGTTGGAGACGAGACTTAAATGTAGAGACTGTTACTCCCCTGCTTCCTTTTCTAACCGCTTACTGTTACTGGTTATCTTCGAGTGCGGGACTTGATGTCTGCTCTGTTGCGGTGAATGTGCTGGCTCACTCCGTACTGATGAGGCTTTTAATTGACGAGTTCCGAGTTGGATGCAACTCAAGGCGTCATGCCCAACATGGTGTACTCAATGCATTTGTGGTATCTGAAGAATATGAAACAATGTGTAGACGAACACACGTCCGTTCGCTCTCCCATCTAAGTTTTCTTGCGGGGCTCGCTCCTCGATCCGTCTGGGCCAGTCCCTTTTACTTGATGACCCCATACTCCTTCATCGTCAACAGATAACTCGCATACCCCTTCACGGCAATGGCAATCGCCCCAGTCCCAAACACCAGCACCACCAAGTCGACAACAACCGCCGTCACAGCCGTGAAAAAGAACTTTGGTCCAAACACCCTCCACACCATCAAATGCCTCCTAAAATGCCCCGCCATACACGTCGCAGCGACAGCGGTAGCACCCACCATCGCAAGCTGCATCAACACCGCCATCCCCACATCCCTCACGAATTTGCCTTCGTTCCCTCGTAACAGCGGGCGCTTCCACATGGCGTACAGCGGCGCGGCGAGTGCGAAGAGGAGTGGCCCGGCGAAGGTGTTGAGGACGACGAGGAGCGGGGAGATGGACCAGGTGAGTTGTTTGACGCCGACGTAGCCAATGTCCCATTGGATGCTCGAGAGCGTGTTTTGGTGGCCGGTGGCGAAATAATAGCGCCAGCCGAGGAGGTAGTTGGCGACGAGGAAGAAGAAGATCCAGGGGGTTGTTGGGACTTCCTTTTTTGTTGATGGGGCGGGTTCGGTTGGCGTTGTGGGTGGGTCCGGGCTCCTCGGCGGTTGGATGCCCGTGGCTTGCGAGATCAACGCACCCATCCTGCTTTGCTTCGGCCCTGTGGATTTGACTGGTTTACTCGAGCCGGAAGCCTTGTCCCTCCAAAGATGCAGCATTTCCAACAAACACAAGATCTGCAAGAACGCAACTCCAAGCATCACCCCGCCCATCGGTTTCTGAAAGAAACTCAGAACGGTGTACGCCACGGCCAAAAAGACCAGATACGACCCTCCAACCGCGTTCGGGATCCCCAAGAAACACACAGCGCGTTTGCTCTGGTCCATCTCCGATGTCTGGATCAGCTCGATTCCCACACAGCGTGAGGCGGAGGTCCATGCAAACAGGCTCGCTAGGCCGGTGGAACACATGCCCAGGCGAGCGACCCAGAATTTCACTTCGGGGAGGTTCATCGGGTCATAGGCTGCGATGTGCTGGTTGTCTAGAGTGTCCAGTGCCCAGTACAATGCCGAGACGAAGAGCGTAAGCGGTAACAGGGCTTTGGGGACGGTTTTTCCCATGGCTTGATCGTTATCCGAGGATCGTAGTGATTTTAAAAGGGCTAATGAGACCACTGGTATGATGAGCATCAACAGGACCACCATGTACGGGGCGGCGATCGACGAGTGCGGTGAAGAGTAAAACGTCGGGATACACCACGGATGCTGCTCCTCACGACAGATCTTTGAGAACTGGCTGATGCGCGTCAGGACCATGAACCCAGCGGAGAGCAAGATCAGATTATCCCGCACAGCGTCGATTTCGACGGCAATGGCCCATATCAGGTTGACGAGTCCAAAAGCTTGCAGCAAGTAGACCGTGATGGCATCTTCCCAGTCCGTGAAGCTGTCCGAGGCGGGGATGATCGTGTGGAGGAGAATTAACACGATACCGACACAGGTCGTTACCCGGGCTGATGTCGGTCTTTTCGACAGCGAGGGCGCGCACTGAACGAGGGTGCCGATAAGATACGCGACCATGAGTCCAAATGTTGTCGAAAATAGATACTCATGCGTTGGCTGCAGAGCGCTGTCCCCGACATTCTCGAACGAGATCAACAGTTTGTGGAACGTTTGACTCCAAGCCAGCCCAGCCCCTAGCGCCGCTCCAGATCCAGCGACGATCCATGGCACCGGTCGTTCGGAAGCCCAGTGAACGGCCGCATACGTGATAAGCGACACAATCGTAAGCAGAAGCTCCACGCATCCCATGGCAATCAACGGAACATCGAAGCGCACCCACAACTTCCGAGCCGCCACGAGGGCCTTCCTGGCAAAGAAAACATATTGCAGATAGACCTCCTGGACCTGCTCAAAGCTCGCGCTTTCTGGGAGCGCTTCGAAACCATCTTCCGCCGCTTGGAAGACATCCTCCAGCTCGTGGATGGCCATTTTAGCGGCGAGGCGCTGCTGGCTGTATTCGCGGATGTAGGTATATATCTGCCGCGCGTTGATGCGCGCAGCTGCCAGCAGGTTCTGTGAGGGCGATCTTCCGTCTTGTTCGACAAAGAAACATTCGGCAATCACGTTTCCGAGGTTGCCGAACGGTATGGGGACGCCAAGTAACATTGATATTGTGGGCACGAAATCGATTTGTGGAGTTGTGCGCGCACCGTCGAGGTAAACAAAGGGATCGCTTGTCCCAAAATCCAGATTCTTTTCCGCTTCCAAAAGTGAGTACAACTCCTCCGCATGTTTGTTTCGGGTTTCGATCAAGGGCTTCTTGCTGTAGATGAAAAGGCCGGCGTTGACCTCTTTCTCGCTATCACCTCCATGGTCTCCCTTGTCATCCATCCCGTGATCCCCAATGATGAAGAGAACCGTTTCTTCATCTATCTTGCTAATCAGGTTTTTGATGATTCCGTTCATCTGGGTCAACTTATCGCCCATTGCGGGATGGTCAGGGCCGTATCTATGCCCCGCATGATCCACTCCGAGGAAGTGTGCAATCAGCAAATCCCAGTCTTTCGGCGTCCGATCCAATACGGGATCAAGATGTTCCAAAATGCCATTATCAACGCTATGGAGATCCCAGACCTCCAGAGACGGGAAGGGGTAGCTTTCGTTCAAAGCACCTGGGTACATGTTCTCCCACGTATCGTCGCCCATGAAGGTTATCCGCTTGTTGTTTCGACTGAACTGGTCGACAATGCTATCTTCGCCGATGACCTGTCCGAAAAAGTTGCTGCCAGCGTCTACGAACGTGGGTAGCGTTCCTGTGGTCAAAGCTTTCAATCGCTGCAATGTGGTGGTCGGAGGGTCTGCACGCACTCGGAATCGAAGAGCATTCTGAGGGTGCCCTCGCAGTGTTTCATGCAAGATGGGCAGCCTATTCGCATAGAACGGTACTGTGCTGTTGTCCGCCCCAGATGCCAGAGCTTCCGCAAGGGTCTCATTGTATAGAGTAAAGTCATATCTCAGGGCATCAAGCACCATGAACACCGCTCGCTTGTATCGAGGTGGATGGTTGCACCAGGAGCCGACTTCAGCTGTAACCGAGTCGGGTCTGATGCATTCGCTTCGCGTAGACAGTTCCAAGCGGGTCAACAAGAACCCGCTGCTGAATAGATACAGGCCGATAATCTGTAATATCGTCACGGCAAAGGTGATGATCGCAAGGGGTGCCCAGTCGCGGGAGACCAGGGATACCGGTGCAAGGTTCACGGATACAAGAGACGGAGACGATTGCTGCAGGCTCTTCTTCGAGGAGGATGCTGCAGTCGACTGGTGTCCCGCTCCAGCGAGTGCCTGCCTTCCTTTGCGGCGTTGCGACATCTTTTCCTGGTCGTCGTGGTAAGCCGGGAACTAAAAGTGCAACTGCTGTAGAAAGGCTGGGCGATCGCCCCACGCCGTTGTGCCCGTGTTGTAGCTTGCTATCGAGCGGCGGGGTACGGCCCTACATAGACGGCCTCTCTTATCGACCACCCCTCACTGTCTTCTTCCTCGCGAGGCTGGCTGGTGGGTGCTTTTGATGCGACTTGCATCTCTCGCATCTCAGCGAGTCTCACGCAGGTGGTGGGGAAGAGTTCTGGCTTGTGCTGGGACTGCGCGGGTGGCTGTGCAGAAGCAGCCTGCCGCGTGCGTCTGTGCTGCTGCGGTCGCTCTCCCTCCCTTTTCCTGCAGATCACAATCACACATTCCACACACACAGCACTCGTTCCCCAAAGCGTCCCAAAAACACACTCACGGAAGGCGACGCAATACCCACTCAGCAGTCAGCGCTGCCACAAGAGAACGATACGTACTGCACCTGGGGAAAGACCCTTCTTATTTGACGTTGGAGCGAATCTCCGCCAAGTTCTAACGACCGTTTGGAAAGGAACGAAAGCGCTAGTCATTCCACATCCCCAACTTGGGAAACTTGGGAAAGCGCGCACTCCCATACGGCTTCGAGAAGGAGAGAGACCACAGCTAGCGGTCTAATTTCGAGCTCAGTATACCTCATAACCTACCTCTGCACTAGCCGCAGACCTTCGTCGACATGCCGCCCAAAATTTCGAAACACGACATTTCACCACCAACTCCGCTCTTGTCTCTGGCGCAAGCTCAGGCAGCGGCTGGAATGGCAGACGTGTACAAGCAGCCTGTCAGCCCCTCTGTTGGACAGAGGAGAAAGGATGGGGACTCGGGAGTACATATGGACAAAGCGAACAGTCCTGCGGGCTCCAAAGGTGCTGCACCACCGCTTTCTATGGCGGCCATACCGCCGTTTTCTGCTGGGCGCTTCGACAGCTCTGCTTCTGTAGCAGGCGGACCGAACGATCCTCGCATCATTCGTGCGAGGTTACCTCCGCCTCAGTTGACATTCCGGCAGTATCAATCCTTTGTGCAGGCGCTGGCGGTCTATCGGCGGCAGGTGCAGGCGTTGGCGGCCGCTGGGGAAACATTCGTGAGAGCACTGGAAGAAATGGCCGATTACGTTCCAGCTGGTGAGTCCCCTGGCACGCCCTTCGATGTTTCTACAACCTATCGGATTCTAAAAACCTAGGCCCATTCCCAGCACAACTTCCTCGTCCGCACGTAGTTGGAGATCTGGACTTCTTGATCGATAGCTCGCATCTGATATCGAACGCGCATCAAATATATGTACGTATGATGACACGAAGCACAACCCTTTGCATACAAATGAATCATACTGACTCGATGAGTAGGCGGAGAATCTGGAGCGGGATTTTGAGGAACCTCTTACCAAGAACATCAATGACATTCTGCAACGAACTGCCACAACTCAGAAGGAGAACAAGGTCCACTTAGCTCGCCTGGTGGAACAGCTACATCTGGAAGAGAAAAATCACAAGTTAGGGAAGAAGAAACGTGGCGATCTAAGAAACATTCAATCCGTGAGTATCGACATACCCTGCCATAAGCCATGCGGTGATGCTGACAAACTTCTTTGGTCCTGCAGAATCTCAACGTTCGCATGACGATTGCAGAAGAGATTAAACGCCTTACGGTTGAGAGCCAAACGATACAGGACTCTCTATCCCATCAATCGATGCCCTACATTCTCGACCACGCAGCGGCCGGAGTTCGGGCTGAATTACAAAATTACGAAACGATACATGAAGGATTGAAGAAGCTAGGAGCGTTTTCGGAGCCGGCATCATCCGATTTTTATCCTATCCCGCAAAACTACCAAACACACCGTGAGAGCCGGTACAGCGTTGTACAACCGAACGGCCCAACAATACCCTACGGTGCGGATCCCGGCGGTTACGCAAGTCAGCGGTTCCCAGGAACACCGACGCAGCAGCAACAAAAGGACGCGACATTACAACGGCTCCCAGGTCCCATCAACACATCTCTGGGCGCGCCGCAGTTATCACGGCCAGAGTTCCGCGCGTTCAGTCCCGCCTTACCACATTCAGCGCCTGCCGCCGCCGCGCCAGCAGCGGAGCGGTTGAAGGGCGTGCCGGAGGATGGCGAGGAGGGGATTTGGGATGCCGAGGCGGACAACCAGGAGTTGGAGTATGTGAGAAAGGCGTTGAGGAGTCTGTGTGGAGAATAGTTTTGGTTTGGACCGCGCGTCGCGTCGCGTGCCGAATACGATGGATGCTCAGGGCGCGGATAGACACCAGGCGGCTTGGAAGCGCTTTGGACTTCCCATCTGAGTAGGACTTTTGGGACGATGGCCATGGCGGCGTATGGACTTGATTTACCCTCATTCGGAATCCTCTCTCTCTATGTAGACTTTCACTATAACCAGCGCAACTGCCGCCCATCTGTACATTTTGTATGACTTACCTATGTAGAATACACCAATAATAAATTGCTACGTAGAGGAGTGAGAGGGGAGGGAAAAGATCTTGACCGTCCTGGAGCTGCCGACAGCGAGGAAATGTCCATCGGAAGGTCCTGGACATACGCGGATGGGAATAGTGCGAAATGCTTACATCGAGGATTGAGATAGAAGAGCGCTCATTCATTCCGGACTCAGGTTGAAAACGAGAGATGCGCCAACCAGGATAGGTCCGCTCAAGCGAAGGACCACACGGTCGCGGAATAAACGAAGCCCCAAACGGGAACAAGCAAAGCCGCAGACACCCGCGCCTTGTCGTCTTTGACGCTTCAGTGACGGGCGCGTGGATTCTCGACTCTCGATGGCGAGCGGCAGGCTGCAAGCAACCTACCGTCTCCTCGCGAGAGCTGCCTGTCCCATGTACAGTAAGGCAGGTGCCTGCAGATGATTCCTGATAGTCCGTTTCCCGGGGTCCCTGCAGGCTCGCCTAGCCATGATCCTTGAAATGCGCGCCGCCCCCTTCTCTGCTACCCCTTCTTTTCCCACCTACTTTTCCCGCCAGCAGAGAGAGATCGTGACCGCGCCACTTCCATTCTTCGTTTATGGGATGCACTCTGAACTATCTCTACCCACAACTTTGTCTTAGTATTACCTGTGGGAATAGGTCTAGCGAATCGCGGGGCATACGCAACCACTTAACCAAAACGTCTAGTTTCATTGACCAGTAGTGACTAAAAGGCAAGGCTCCATGACCTGAGGCGTGGACTTGCAGCCTGCGAAACATCAATGGGCTAGGCGGGTGAGCGTGAGGTTAAAGGGGAGGAGGCCGGGATGCATGACCTGAGGCGTGGACTTGCAGCCTGCGAAACATCAATGGGCTAGGCGGGTGAGCGTGAGGTTAAAGGGGAGGAGGCCGGGATGGCGCCGATGATCCTTTTGCCGGGGCTCGCTTTTCTTTTCTCGACTTTGAAACCGAAAGGGTAGTGGGTTTGCCAACGTCGCCCACCCGATTCCATAGCCCACACAAACTACACTTTGCCGAGTGAAGAAAAGCCCACCATACTACACTTTGTCAATCACGAATCTGGCAATGCGCGGGCTGGGAAGAACACGCGCAGTAGAAGCTTCGGGTGCAGCGAGACGTTGGCAAATAAATCAGCGCAGTTACTATTGCCAATAAATTCCCGCACATCGATGTTCTTAATCGGATTCTGCAAGATTTTGATGCATTTCAGCGTTGGCCAAAAGCTTTGTGAGGCGGGAGAGACACAGAAAGAGAGGAATATATGCATTACTTGTGAGCTACAAAGCAATCTAACCTGCACGCCAAGACCAGCCGGATCACAGACATGATACAACCCCCCAGGCGGAACGACGCTTCACAGTGGACTATGGTTTTGTCCCAGGGCCACAAACACCACGACAACCGTAGGACGGATTTAGGTTGGGAATTTGGCGATCGGCAGGTCCAAGACGGGAACACATCCGTTGACGCTCACACCCAGACCGAGGATCCCTCAACCGAAGCTGCTCGAGAATTCTCATAGAAAACGTTTACTCACCTTTTTTGCTGTGGCCGGTTGACACAGCAGTGACCTCCTCAAATCTCCCATGGCCCTGTGGCCCTGTGCTCTCCTGTGCTTCAAGAGTCAAGACGCGTACCCATGCGTCTGCTCAGCGATGAAGACTTTGCAGACTGAGCAGTGAGGTTCCGGCCGTAGCGGTGAAGTGTCAGGAGAGGTGGACACTGCTTCTCACACAGGAGCGCACACTACTTCAAACCCATCAAGTTGCTGCCCTTGGAGCCTCTCGTGAAAATGAAGTAACTCGATTGTCACGTGAGGACTTCGACGCTCAGCCTCGCTCTGTGGCCAATCTCCATCTTCACCTCCACGCTGACCTCCAAGCACCATCCAGTGTGTCCGATACTCCACTGCATCCGTCAAATATCTAGTTCAGAGGCGAATCGATCTCTCGCAACCAGACCTTTTGCAAGCGGCTTGCTGGACGTGACTACACGATAGAAATGACGGAGACACTGTGCTTCATCGCGAACAAAAATTTGCCAATTCCGGACGAAATAGGCTCGTTCAAACAACTCGAAGAGCTTCTCATCTCTTGCCCTCAAGCGCAAAATGCTCGATCCAAGCCCACGAAATTTCCCGCCTTGAAGGCCGCTATCGATTCGTATGAAACCTATGCTACCACAAGCGGCTTTCCCGAGTTCAACTTCAGCTCGGATCTGCTGCCGTTCATCATTCAGTGCGCGCGACGCGAGCAAGATGGCCATCGCGGTTTCCATATTTTGAAAGCAGGATACTCTGACAGCGTGTCGTATTCAGCAGCTACGGCGGTAGGAATGCTGGCGAACGCGTTCTTTTTGAATCTTGTGTCGGCAGGCCGGGACTCTGTCGTAGCCTCGAGGGCGCCAGACGTCGGTTCAGTCGATTTAGTTGGGTTGTATAGCAAGGAGAACGGACCATCGGCACTTATCGCCACACAGCGACTTGTGTGCTTGGTGTCGTATTTCCATCAGTGCTCAGCAACCCAGCAGTCAGTCTTGGCTTCCAGGGAAATTATCGTCGAACGACTTGTCACCAAGGCAACTCAAAGCGGAGGGATCTTTGACGACCTGGCGCTCAGAAACAAGTTGGTAAAGAAGGATGCATGCAGGATCTACACTGGCAGCATGGAAGAGTCGAGCGCCGGTGCCTTTGTCGATTTTGCAAACAGGCGACTCCATATCCACTCTATCATTCCGTCGTGCACGCAGGAGGAAGTACTGTTCACCGTGTGTCCCGAAGCGTACCTTGCCATTCTCTTCTGTGAGACTATGGCCGACAATGAAGCGATTACATTGCGGAATGTGAAGAGGTGGTGCGCGTTCTCGGGATACGGAAACACATTCCGATTTACTGGCCCCTACGTTCCGCCACAAGGTTCCGCTGATGCAATCACAGTACTGGCCATAGATGCAGTATCTCGCGACCATTTGGGACAGACGAGTGTCCAACGTGACGTCCGCAAGGCGTACTTGGCCTTTTCGAGCGTGCCAGCCGGGACGAAGATCGTGACAGGACATTGGGGATGCGGATGTTTCGGCGGCAACAAAACGCACAAGTTCTTGCAACAAGTCTGCGCCGCTACGATGGCCGATAGATTTCTGGATTATTGCGTCTACGAAGACGCTTATTTGGAGTCGCGCTTCATTGAAATTCTGAACAAGGTGGAAGAGAAGAATATGACCATTGCAGACGTATATACGAAGCTACTGCTTGTAAAGTCGAAGATTGACTATGAAGCTTTTGTGGGACGTGCACTCGGACTAGAGGGTGCGAAACGGAGCTGCATCTTGGTATAATGCATTGTCACAAGTGAATTGTACAGTATATAGTTACTGGTAGCTTTTAGAAGTGCGAGCAGGAGATGACGGCGATTGTGTTGGCCACGTTGGAGAGGTTTCACGAGTTGGAGGCGAAGCTCGAAAATTTAGAGAGAGAAGGAAGTCAAGCGAATTGAGCGCGTCAATGCCGCATTCCTCAAGGTACCTGATTTCATGTGGAATCTGTGCATACCTTCTGAGGTTGGAGCCAAAGTTGCTGGATCATATTCAGAGCTGGAATTGAATTTCCTTTTCGTTGATTCCTGGACCGAGCGTCTCGATGATAATCTTGCTGACCGTCAGCGGGATGCATCGAGGGTGTAGCTTCTCAGATATCATCAACGTCGTTGTTGTCGACCGCGACATGTTCAACAACTTCGGTGCTTGAGTTCTGACTTGCCCAACGCATTGCGCATCGCCCCTTCGACGGAAGCGCTTCGTTTTGGTTCCTTGTTATGAGTAGATGTAGACTATAGAGGAAGAGGAATTTCCCATAACAGTATATTTTGCTTCAAGAAACCCTGTCAGACAAGCGTCCTCATTGCTCAAATGGCAAGTTGGAAGTCCGCTCGTGTTCCGCTTGTGCGAGGCGTTTTGCATCGCATGACATCATGCCACCGTGAGAACGCTCGCGGCCGTGGAATTGCATAAAGACAGAGAGAGCCGCCATCTCACGAGGGGCCCCGCTCAGAAACCTGCAAGCTTGTCCATTCGCAACATCACAACCCACAGCCGTTACCCCTCGCATCCACGACTACCATGGGGTTCTTCTCCACCCAGGATATCGCCGCCCTGAAGAAGTACAAGTACAGCGGCGTGGATAAGTCGATCATCTCGCGATATGTGGTACGCTCCGACTTCGGCGTCTCTTCGTTCTGGAACTCCCTTACTCACCATGCGTATGATCGCTTTGCCTTGTCTTTCTCTTTGTAGCTCAACCCATATTGGTGGAATAACCTTGTGAAGGTGTTCCCTCTTTGGTTTGCGTACGTGTCACATACTGTGCTCTGTAGGATGTTGATGGAGATTACGGACTCAACCCCATTCCCGACCCCCCCACAGCCCAAATCTTATAACACTCTCCGGCCTCTCCCTCGTCGTGCTCAACCTCCTCACGGTGCTCTACTACTCGCCTGATCTCGGGGAACCATGCCCGAATTGGGTGTATTACGCTTGCGCTGCGGGAGTGTTCGCGTACCAGAGCTTGGATGCTATTGACGGGAAGCAGGCGAGACGGACGGGGACGAGTGGGCCTTTGGGGGAGCTTTTCGATCAGTGAGTTGAGCCGTATTTTTGGCCAATTGTGTTCTCGAGCGTGCTATTGAGGGCTCGTACTGATGCGTTACTTTTCTTTCCAGTGGTATGATGGAAGCAGCTTCCACAGTTGGTGTCGGATGGTTGATTTAGATGGCTAACCCACATACCTTCCCTTCGAACATGATAGGATGTGATGCGATCAACACCACCGTGAGTAGCGTTCTTACACGTACTCAGCGTTCTAGGCTTCGATTCTAATCTACATGGGTAATATACAGCTCGCAGCGCTCATCACAGCTTCAGCACTGAACCTGCATTCGACATGGTGGGTCATAATTTCGATCCTCTGCGGTGAGTTTATCCTTCGCATTATTCATTCAGACTTGGACTTGCAACTGATGTCCATTATCAGCGGTCGCAAACTTCTATCTTTCCACCTGGGAAGAGTACCACACGGGGACATTGTACCTCGGCTACTGCAGCGGTCCCGTTGAGGGAGTGCTGTTTGTTGTCGGCTTATTGATTGCCACTGGTGTCTACGGTATGTCAGATGGACCCGATTCAACGGGCACGAACCCACCACTCAACGAATGATGCACATCACAGGGCCTCCATTTTGGGACACCCAACTCCGAACGATCGTGCCGCAGGTGGCGAAGTCTGTGCCTGTCCTCCTTTCCAACGCCAAGTTGAGCGAGTTGTTCTTGGCGTTGGGTGCCGGTATCTTGATTGTCAACATCGTGGGAAGGTGGGTAGCAATGCGGCTTTTGCACGCGGGATGAATTTGAATGTCCGGATACTCATGATCAACACCCGTACATCTCTCCAGCGCATCCAATGTCGCCGCCGCCTGCCGGACCAACCGCAACAAGAACTTCGGCGGCGCTCTTCTAGGTCTCCTCCCCTTCGTCGCCTTCGTCGGCAGCATCGTCAGCTGGGCCGCCACCTCCCCCACTATCCTCGTTCACCACATCGTCCCCTTCTCCCTCCTCATCGGCACCCTGTTCGCTCACCAGGTCGGAAAGATGATCATCGCCCACGTCTGCCATCGTCCCTTCCCCTACTTCGACTTCCCAACTACTGTCGTTTTGGTTCTCGGAAACCTCTCCGCCCATGTGCTGTCTCACTGGAAGCAGACCACAGCTGCTGGAGGACACCACCAACTGGACCGCTCACCTTTGGCAGCCGCGGCGCAATGGATTCAGCAACGCCTGCAAGTATTATTCATGGGCCACCTGCAACAGATCGAGAACGCGACATTCATGGAAGGCGCCGTTGTGCACGGCCTCCTCTGTGTCGCGGTCTTTGTCTACCTGCGGTTTGCGATGAGGGTGATCAACCACTACTGCGAGATCTTTGACTGCTATTGTCTGCGGATCAAGAAGAAGGTTGATACTAGCAAGAAATTGTAGGGCGTACGTTATGTAAGGTGGGGCAAACGACTTTGCTCTGACTGTCTGAGACACATTTTGTAATCATTTTTGTGAAATACATCATGCATTTGCACATACATCACATATTCGATCTTTCCATCACCGCCCACACATTCCTACACCGCGAGAAGCAGGCCTCAAACATTACAATATCACTGATGGACTTGCATTGCATTCAGCCTAAATCGTAATCATCCTATTTAGACCTATGTGAGTGCTTTTGACCCGCGGTTTCGTGCTTCTGTTTTTGGAGGCCGGCGGCTACCAGAAGGCGCTCCTGGCTCCCTTCCATGGTAACAGCCATAGTACATAGTGGAAATAGTGTTCCCACGCATTTTGGAGCGCCGCCTGACAACAGCATACCCTTGTGTCCCTCCGAAAGCCTGAATTGCCTGAGTCAGAACGTCGGCTGTGGCATAGGCAACGCCGTCAACAGGGGGTGGAAGCATTCCACCATCATTCTCGGCATAGCCCTAGTGCTCCCATCCTGGTGCTCCCGCCTGTTCTCCTCTCCTTCTTCCTCCGAGCTGGAGTACTCCATGATACCCGAACGTGCGCAGTGCAACTGTCGGCAACGCAAACTGCTAACATATCAGGTCCGCAGCCGTGCACTACCCGGTCGTTGGAGGCGTTTACTGATCAAGCTGTCGATGTTCGCTAGCACTGACTTTCGGAAGCCAGGTGAAGCTGGTGCTGGAGCCGACGTGGGTGCCGCATGCCAAATTTCCAGTGGGAGGCTATATCTCTGTGCCCGGACGACCCCCACCACGTTGAGGCAAGCGACCACCGCGGGACCAAGCATTTCAAAGCAGACCGCCCATTTTGTTCTCGAGAATAAAGGTTCCTCTCTGAGAACAAGACACGTTCAGTCAGCGAGATACCAAAAAACATCCAAATATTTTGTCAACCCAACTCACCAGATACAGTCGTTCCTGCCTCGCCGGATCTGCCACATTTTGATTCTCCCGAAAGGCTTCTCGTACCCTCCTCTTGTAATAGTCCTTGTCGGTGTATTTGAGAAGCCTGGGAGTGTACAAGACTTGAGGTCAGGAAACGTGCACTAAGCAAAATTGATATATTCAACGCTTACTTCGCGGAGATAAGAAGCTCCTTGTACAGCTTCAGCACTTGCTGTCTGTTGACGACGAGAACCATGTCGGCTAGGGTTGGATGCCTTTTCTTGAGAGGTAATTGCGGTAGGTAACTTCAATGTTGCTCGACAATTTCTCGACTATATGATCGGAATGTGGCGCAAGTGGCTTCGCGTCTGGAGTTGCTCGCTCCAGAACAGCACCTGTGATTGCCGTGATAGCTGTGTGTCAAAGAAAACCACGTCAATGCTGTGGTAATGAAGCTAACAACGGTGAGGGATTGTGGTTGTTACCTGGTAGATTGGTGATGACGATGCTCGGAATTGCGTTGGGAAGGAAGGAACCAGGGAAGGAACGTTACAGTAGACCGCGCGTCTGGAGGCTTTTCTGCAGCCGTCGCCGTGGCCCACCTTGCTGATTTCTGCTGCACATTGGAGCGGCAAATTTCCAGCAACAACCAACACACAGGAACAATGGCCGAATACAAAGGCGCTGGCTCAGAGGCCTCCCGCGCCGCAATGCTCGAAAAGCAGCGCAAGAACATGATCGCAGACTTCCAATCCCAAAAAGACCGTATCGCAAAGGTAGGCAATGATCTCCCATTTGTTCCCCTTTGCAACACAACACACCTCACCTGACTTGCCAAGGTCCCTCCATCTTGCTCCCCTCCCCCCTAATCCACCCAGGAAAAACAAGTACACATAGGCGCCGACAAATTCGTCGCGCAAAACGACTGGGTCGACAACGAACTGAAACGGCAGACGGTCGGCCTGGTGCAGTTGGAGGATTTTCAGCGGATCAGGGAGAGTTTGGATAAGCAGAGGAGGGAGGAGGTGGAAAGGGAGAGGGATGCTGCGTGAGTTCTGCGAGCGTGCGAGTTTGGAGTATTGGGGGATGGGGGATGGGATTGAGGACGGGGGTTGATCTGGGGGCTTATGGTTTTTCTGATCGATTGACAGATTGAAGAATAAACGGAAGAAGAAGAAGGAGAAGGTTAAGCTTTCGTTTGATTTGGATGGGGAGGAGGAGACGCTTGAGGTTGAGGAGTCAGGTGAGATAGCCCTGTTGCTTTCGCATGCGATGACGCGGAGGGACCTTGGGTGATGGGGACGCTAGCTCAAAGATGACAACCATGAGTGTATCATTCTTTCCTTGAAACGACGATCGTGGGCTTCGGCCCTTGTATCTATGACGAGCGTTTAATCTTCTCGCTGAGAGCTGGCTGCCTCATCACTGGAAGGGGTCTTCACACCTGCAAAAGGAGTAACAACTAAACCCCTTGTTCTCCCACACAGCAGTCCCAACCAAGAAAATAAAAAAGAACCCAACAGTCGATACCAGTTTCCTCCCCGACCGCGAACGCGAGGAGGAGGAACGCAAAGAGCGCGAGAAACTGAAGGAGGAGTGGTTGGAGCAGCAGGAGAAGACCAAAAGTAACTACACAAAAAATCCACCCTCCTCCCTCTCCCTCCCACATCACACATCTAACCTTATATCACAGAGGACAAGATAATCATAACATACAGTTACTGGGACGGCACAGGCCACCGTAAGCAAGTCGAATGCCGCAAAGGCGACACGATCGGCCAGTTCCTGGAGAACTGCAGGCAGCAGTGGCATGAGCTGAGGGGGGTGAATGTGGATAATTTGATGTATGTTAAGGAGGATTTGATTGTGCCGCATGTAAGTATCGCTGTTTTCCCTCGTGATGTGGTCGTGTGGTTTGACATTGGATGCTAGTGAGACAAGATGGGTACTGATACGAAGTGTGATTATTCCGCAGCACTACACATTCTATGACTTCATAATAAACAAAACCCGCGGCAAATCCGGCCCCTTATTCTCATTCGACGTGCATGACGACGTGCGGCTCATCTCGGACGCTACGGTCGAGACTGAAGAAGTGCGTAAAAAAACCCCCCCTCCCATAAGCACCACTCTCACATACTAATGCAAATGACTTCCCATTTCTTTGGTAGTCACACGCGGGCAAAATCCTGGAACGCGCCTGGTACGAAAAGAACAAACATATCTTCCCTGCGAGCCGGTGGGAGGTGTTTGACCCGCAGAAGGATTATGGGAGTTATACGGTTAAGGATCGGAATAAGGAGAAGGGTGGGGAGGCGGCGTAGGGGTGTGGGTGTGGTGGGGTTGTACGTTGAAGGGTTGGGTTGGCGGGAGAGTCGATGGTCTTTTCGGGGCGGCCTTGGGATGTAAACTACACCACCGCTTCTTGTATATATTTGCGGTAAATGGGACCTGATGGTCTTGGGAGAAACTTTCAGAACATTCTCGCTTTCCGAGTCGTTGCTTTTCATCAGTTAAGTCCAAATTGGACTTTTTCATGGTTATAAGATTGCCGGCGACCCCTGCTCCCTCTCAGTCCTCGATAACGTGCCTGGCGCCAATAATATTCGGCACCATCAGGAACACGTCACATCCATGCCCATCCACAGATTTGATGTCGAGTGACCCTTGGAAGTATTTGGCTATTGGCGGGGCAGAACGATCAGCGTGAGCAAGCAACTCGGTCCAAAGACCATTGGACACAATGACGCACCATATATCCGCGACATGGGTAAGCCGAACCCAAGTCCAGCCATCGGCCCCCCAACCCCTGTTTGCATGCTCATTCGTGCCTGCGTGTTAAAGATCCCATCCCCGTCGTCGTACTTTGGCACTGTGGTGTAACTGTAGTCCCAAATGTGTGCCCAGTCTTCAGAGAAACGGGAGTGAGTGACCTTCTCTGAAACAGAGGCAATCGGAATACAGCACTCCTACCTTTCGGCGAAATCCCCCCACCCTGATCCCGAAACCTAAAGATAACAGCCTCCTTGGACTGACATATCGATATCTCCACCGTGGGATGCTCAAACCGCCCCGTCCGCTGCGAATACTCCACGGTCGCGCGCATAGCATTCTTCAGCAATTCCATGAAGATATACTCCAGATGTACGCCAATGTACGCCATGAGCGTGTCGGTGTGCCCGTTTACTGTGAACTCTGGCGCGTTGCCATAGTTGAACTCGCAGAGCTCGCGGGAGTAGTTGGCGACGGATGTGATGAGGGAGGCGGGTGCTAGGCGGGTGTTGACTACGCCGATGTATGCGGGGGCGGGGGTGTCGAGGGAAAGGTGATGTTCGGCGATCACTATCGGATGGCTGTTAGATATGCGGATGCTGAGTCAGGCAGGATATCGGGCCCTCATACCTCGGATACCGATACGCGCATGGATCATGTTGTCCAGGAAGGACGTGGCACTTTCCTTTGTCATGTATCGAATGCACTCCTTGAAACCTTGAGCGGATTCAAGACATGAGAAGGTATGGCCCCTTACGGTCCGTTTAACATCTTAGCCCACAAACACACCCTTTGCAAGCTTCGGAATGACTTCCTGATGCGCTGTTACCAGCGTGCGCAACTCTTCGGTGAAAAATTGCTGGGATTTTGGGTCTACCGGTGCTGGTAAGGCTATCAGCTTCTCCAACGAATCCTGGTATAACTGATAGACGCTTTTGATGTAGGGGTTGACGCCGACGATAAATGGAAGGTTTTGCAGCGCTGCATGAACATAATAGAGTATTGGATAACATACTTCGGGGTTTCTTTTGCATCGCAATATGACGATACACACCTTTAACACGCCTGGCCATCCTCTTTGGCAATTCGGCGTGGGCAAACTTTGCGCTACTCAAGAGGTCATGCGTCTCGCCCATTTGCAGCAGCTCATGCAGCGTAACGGGCGTGATGGGCATCCGGGCATACTTCTCCACCAAACTACTGGATGTCCATACGGGACTTGCAGACGTTGGCGGCAACACCGGCTCGGGCACCGGTGGAACTGTGACGGACCGTCTTGCGGGGGTTGACGAGAGGTTCCTGGCTGCTGTCGCGCGTACCGCAGCGCACGCTGGCAGCCTCCTGGAAATAGACTCCGACGATCTAACCGCTGTACAGGTTTCGAACGCTGTGTTGCCCCGTCTTCCCAGCTGGGATTGCAGCCTCCTCCGGACGAACATGACCGATACCACGTGGTATGCTACGTAAGATGGCGGATCGGAATTTGAGAGCGAAACGTAGACGCGGAAGGACAGTGGTGGCGTCTCCTCAGCTTCGTGATGTCTGTGTTGGGCCTATGTACATACTGTACGTATGCGTATGTACAGTATACGTGGAACGGGGATGCCCCTCGTTATCTTTTGGCCAAGCCGAGTCAGAACTAGTCAGAAGCAGCCACGCGTGCGGCCGGTGTGCGTCGTCCCCCTCACTCAAAGCGGCCGGCCCTCCGTCGGGCATTCCTGCCACTCGCGAAATTCCCACCACCGTTGCCATCCACCGCAGCCCATCCAGCCGCAAACAATCCTCGGCCGATCCCTCTCTCTGCCAAGGTACCGTACGTAGTTGGCAGACTTCTCTGATATATATACAGGCTCGTTCCTCACACTCCTTATACCCACAAACGACCCACTTACAAAGTTCTCGGAAATATCTTGACAGTCAAAAACGAAATGGGCCGCCTACTTCACTACGCATTCGAGCTTGTCCTTGTCAGCACCGCATTCTCAGGAGCACGGAGAGTCGCCGGTGTCGGTAAGGCCATGTGCTCGTGCAGCTATCTTCTATCTATGCCTCCACCTACTCAGCACATGGTGTACTCTCTCCCGCAGACCTCGACCGAAAGAAGCTTATCGAGAACGAAACTGCCAGCACAGTACTGAACCAGTACCTCAAAGTCGGAGACGCTGTCATCGACTACTCAGCTGCCTACTTGAAGAAGAATGAGTACTTTGTGCCGAAGCGATAAACAGCCACCGAACAAAACACTATTCAACACCAAGTTTTGAAGTCTTGGCAACGCTCGGGCTTTATGGAATGGGTCGGGTTGGGCGGAGCGGGAAGAGCTTCTGGGGCATACCCATGCCAGTGAGGACTTCGGGGTGTCCCCTTGCCCTACCATTCCTCACAACACAAGGCATGTGCGCATAGTGCGATTGGAGCGGGACAACGGCTTCCTTCTTGAGTGAACATGGGAAACTGTGCGAACCCCCCATCGGAGCCTTCGGAGCCGCTTGGCGCTCCTCGTTCCCCAATTCAAACGTCGCTTGTATGTTAAACCCGTCTTTGTCAGTACCTCATTTGGTGTGCGTGACCCACCAGTCGTGGGACAAACATGTGTACCAACATTGTTAGCATAAAATCACTGTGATCCCAACATGTGTCGCTAGAGGACTCGGGAGGCTGCCTTCGAACTGAACGGTCGAGGGGTTTCCACCGTGGAAAGCTCGCGTTCGATGGTTGGAGGAATGAGAGAAAACAACGTCAAGACTGGCGAGAGTCGCTGTGACTTTGAACGGCAGTAGTGTCGCATCAGTTAGGCTATCTTTCCTCAACTACCTATATACATTCAAGGTTCGCAGTGCGCCACGGTGCCACTACTTGAAGTCTATCACTACCCTGAGCGCGCATTTTATCATCTTCAATCTATTTTGACTTGATGAAGAAGAAATAGGAAAGGAATTAGCGATTGTCCCCGGAGTGCCGTCGAGATGCCAGCATGCCACTTACCATTGCGATAGATGCGCGAGACAAACTTGTCAGCGGCCCAATGGCCTACCGTACCCAGCAGCAGGAACAGCCCGACGCATAGTAACCCGATGTACCCAAAGTACCACGTCGTCTGGAAGAAGCCGTGCATTCTAGAAGGGACCCGACTTAGCATTTGTCGCCGAGAAGGAGTAGCGACAGTTTTAATCCCGGTGCACTCACTTTGTCTTGGTTACGAAGTAGTATATCGAGTACCCAAACACATACAGCGCTGTTGATCCGCTCGACAGGAATGATATCCAGTGCCACCGATGGTCTTCGTTGTTCAGGAGGAGGTCTGCAATAGACAAGGATATGACTTAAGCTCATACTCTAGCGCATGTGTACGCAGCGGCGAGCAACGCCACCAAGTAGACTTACATGTCGAGACGATGGCGACGCAGGCCGTCACAAGCACTAGCATTACGAAAACAAGCTGGGTCCAAGAGTCAATCTTCGCTTTCCATCCGAATGTCTCTTCTAAACGCGATAGAACTTACGAAAAGGAACCCATACTACAAAATGGAATCGTTTCTCAGCCGGGGCGGGTTTCAATGAGAAAACATTCAATGCCGCTACTTACGACATAGTATATACGCAATGTCCAGAAAGACTGGAGATGGGAAGTATTCGAGGTCAGCCTTGACGTTCCGCCAGCGGAATCGGAAAACGGAAGGACGTACTTGGAAGACAAAGTAGAGCTCAATGAAAATAGACGCAAATGGGAACAAGCCTGCCAGCCCAATGATGGCGGCGGGTTGTGTATACCTAGGATCCAATGTCAGTCTCGATCCGTTCCCCGTCCTACATGGCCACAACATGACTCACCATATCTTGTCCGGGATCGGCCTTGGGATCGGGTTAACCCGACAGGGAAAGTTTGGCAGCTTTGTGAAGTTCTTGCCAACGACGTATCCGATAAAGGTCAACGGGAACACAACCAGAAGCCAGATGGCGATAATAGCAACCTGGTCGTCGAGAATGGTCAATGAGACCCTCCAAGTACGCCACACCCTGTCTTCGGCCCTCACCATAGATCCGAACGGGATAGCCCTCGTCGATTGAATCGAGATCGCGGCAAAATTGACGATATTTGCCACAATCGCAACGGTTGCTGGCCAAAACGCCGCCGTGAGGAACATCGTTCGGACCCAGTTGCGGCCACTGTAGCTGCTGAACGTGGCGGCACTCACGTAGCCGCTCAGGAAGGACGTGAATGCATACAGGAATATGGTTGCCGTCAAGATGGTGGCCCGCCTAAAGTGTTGATCAGCAGGTACGCCTCATGGATGGAAAGACTGACGTGTTGTACGTACTCGAGGTACATGTCCCCTGCCATGGCCGAAACGATGATGGAGATTGCAAGGACGACCAACTGCACCCCTGTCCCTATGAATGCCGATAGAACCGACAGTCTCGATGGAGCGCGGAACACATCGCCGTGCACTTGTTTCCACCCATATTCGTCCGCGAGGTCTCGATCCTGCAGCAATTGTTAATGTCCCTAATAAAGCCAGAACGGCGTTGGACTCGAAACTCACCAGGTCCAAAAGACCTTGCTCGGAGTCATATCGCGCGTAGTCCCGTTTGAGGGTGCGAATCATAATGAGCGCAACCAAGCCAAAGAGGAACAGAACCATCATGAAGGAATTTGCGATTGAAAACCAATGAATCTGCGGGTGCGAGACGGTGATCAGGAACACTAGCTCATGATTTGAGGTGGCGAGACCCTGGCAGTGTACCTTGTGCTCGAAGAAGTCCCTATCCAGGTACTTATTGAATCTGTTCTCGAAGGGCTCGTCCGTTTCCGTAAACGTGACGGAGTAGGTGAATGGCACTCGGAACACAGGATCCGCTGTCCCCTTTTCCGGCAGAGCCAAAGTGTCCCCCGTGGTAATCTACAATGATGCCGCATGAGGCTTCCGCAGCGCCAGCACTCCACAATGATGTCGTGCGTCCCGTTTACCTTTACATGAATGATCTGCATGTAGAAATCTCAAGTTCAGTCTTGAATGCATCCGAGCACGCGACCACGCTCGGTTACGTACCCTATCATCGCGATAACTGATGTTGAAATGTCTATGTGTAAAGAAAGAGATGTTGTCTCCTTCCGCTTCGCCGACGTATGCTGATGTATCAATGCTCGCTGTCAGTACTGTGACATCAGGTGGCATGGAGTCAACCATTTACAGTTACCTCCTAGCGGCAGATCATCGACGAACATTTGATAGAAGTATTTGTTTTGAACTGCCTCCCGCAAGTCGTTAACATCGGCTCGCGACATCTCCTTTGTACAGAACTCCGTCTTCAAGACATCCTCTGTCCAAATATGTTTCAATGTATGTCCAACGACCCGAACGTCCTTCGCGCACACGAACCTTTGAACTTTATATCCACCCCGGCGTTCACCAGCTGCACGCCCAGAAGAGCTTCGCCTGCAAATCGTGCGTAAGCTTCCTGCGAAGTGTAGGTGAGTGTTTGTCGACGTTGCTTACCCAGCGACTCATGTCTATGATGGACCTCCTTCGTCCCCACACAAAATGGGAGTGACAAGAAGTCATAACTTTCTTGCAGATTGTCATAAGGCCTGGCACACAGTTCCACAGAGCGTTAGAGGGTATGACGACCCGGTGGCTCCCGTTCGAACGTTGCGCTGCTCACCCTACTGTCGAGAACCATAGGACCACTTCCTCGCCGTCGGTGTACTGTGGATAGTGCTATTAGCGGAATGCGGATGGCTCCAGCAGGCATACTGAACCACCAAGTTACCTTGTGCGAGTGTTCGTCCGCCCTTGCTGTGCATACCAATGCGCCCAGAAGAGCTAGTGCCGGCAACCACCGCATGCCGACCCGTTCTCAATGCTAATGACTGCAAGTGATCTCTTGAGGGGATTGCGGAAAGCGCGTCGACCTGTCCTCCTCCCAATTGTGGATTTGCAGCTTTGCCCAAAGTTCGACTGCAAGACAGTGTGTTTCTTTTTGGATTGCTGCAGAGCCTTAGTATTCTCAGTATCGATGCAGGCGTTGGCAGCAGTGGCAACCTCAGGCAGAATTCCGCTCTAGCAATGATTTCCACCACCGTTCTGGTTTCCTACCTCCTAGTTCTTTCGGTCGGAGTTTTCTTGGTTGATATCGCTCGAAGAAGGTCAGTCATGAATGCGTTCCGCCAAACGTACGGTAGAGGGCCATGCCTCACATTGTTCCGTCCCTGGATGCAGCTGGATTGCGTTCGGTCATTACATGCAAGACCGGTGGGGCCGAATTATTCACCTGGAATGTTTTTATTGCAACGAAACCTCGGCCCTGCCTGGACCAACTGCTAGGATAAACTCGTCCAATATTTACGGTGGCGGCCCTAGAGAGGGGGCGGCAGTTGATGCGGAGAAGCTTAGACCCACTTTTGATGCCACGGGGAGGGTGGAGAAGTGGTTCTGTCGTTTGTGTGAGTCCTGGAATATTTATGACGAGGTAGGTCACTGACGAACACTGAGATAATTTTTGTCAAATACGATGGAGACCTCATATCAATCCTCTATTGCAGGATGGCAGTATCTCGTCATATATCCCAGAAATGCGTACGGGGAACTCCCATAACCCTCGGACATCCGTAGCGCCGTCCATGCCGGACAAACATTCGAAGGCAACAGATCACGTATTTTGTCAGGATTGCGTGAGGCACCAGTCGCTGCTTCTGGAAGCAGTGTCACGGTATCTCCCAGACGATGACGATCCAAACTTCGATGATCGACTTGCGGAATACGCGGACCACAAGCGATATTTAGAAAAACGATACCCACCTGTGTGCGACGTATGCGCGAGGAGAGTAGAGGTGGAATTGAAAAAGCAGGAAAGCAGGCTGAAAGGGATTCTGAGATCGCCCAGCGGTTCTCCGCAGAAACCAAAGGATGTGGATGACGATGAACGAGTGGGGAAACCTACTCTTCATAGATCCCAAGCCCACCCGCCATCGTTGGGTCTTCTCTCTCGCTTCGGCGGTGGCGCGACATTGATAGGCGCCAGCCTCCTTGGGGTGACATGCTTGGCCTATTGGACGCGCGTTTTCTACGAAGGGCTTTGGCGAGGTAGAGTACAGTCTCAGCTCGGCATCGGCCTTTGGAATGTAACTGAACTGCGATTCATCTACATAGATATGGACGGTCTACATTCGACGTTGGACGGAAGAAATCTACAAGCATGGGTGCGGTGGCCGTCGACTGGCATGGCGGACATGTTCTCAAACATGCTCTCCGGCGCACTTTCCAGTTGCGCGACATCGATACCATACAATGACAGCTGTGATGAGGTCTTCCTCAGTCACTCTACGCAAATGATCCTCCAAACAGCTGTCGTTGCATTTGTCTTTGCGGAAACGGATGCGTTTCTTCAAGAACAGCGACGAACCATATTGAAATCGAGGCGGAGGTACTTCGGAACGAAAGGCAGTCCTGGTGCTATCCTGGTCTTGATAATGGACCGGCTTCTGGGTTTCATCACCATGGCGGGCAAAGACAGGCCGCATCTGTCGCGAATTACTGCAGCTGTGTATCTGTGCGTCACCGTCATGATGTTCCGCCGAGCGGTCGGTGTACTGCAGGAGTTCCTGGTTCCGCGTAAGCATGAACACCGGCGGCGGAGAGCGGGCTACGTGCGTGATGCTGGTCGGTCTGAACCCCTGCTTTCGAAACCTGTCTCGCAGGAGTCAGCGCGCCCGTCATCAGGGTCACCAAGCTTCGATCGTGCCGATTCGGCAGTTGAACTCTTCGCCGAAGAAAGCGAATCTTCCGGCTGGAGCCCGACTTCGCAAAGAAGCCAGCATGCCCCCATGCGCCCAGGGAATATAGGAAGATCGTCAACCCCCTTCAACGCCAGGAAAAGCTCGCTCTTCGACCTTTCGGAGCTCAGTTTAAGCATGGGGACACCTTCAATAACACAGCGCGTCAAGGAAGAACGCGAAAATATCCCGAGCCCGGTTGCTTTCGGTTCTAGCCGGTCGTTCGGCGCCTTCAGTCTCGACACCGCAAATAAACCTCGCCAACCATCCCATCAGTCACCACGGTTGCAGCGAAACCCATTCGAATCAGTCCGGGGGAATTCGTTGACCACACCTGCGCCATTCGTGAATCAACGAACCTGGCCAATCAAGCGGGAAGTCTCCCCAGACGCGTCACAACATGTGCTGCAACCGTGGTCGAGCTGGCGGACCCAACAGCAGCAGCCTGCGAACGCTTTTACGCAACCGAAAAGTTGGAAAAATGCATCGCAATCCAACTTCCAGCAAAATTCTGGAGTGTTTGGAAGCTCATCGACGCGGGGGCTAGAGCAGCGCCGATCACCGTTTGCTCAGTCAACGTTCCAGCAGTCTCAGTCATTTGCAGCCGCACCCAGCACTCCTGCCAAGCGACCTCTGCGGTTCGGAGAGCGGCTTCCCGCTTCGTATGCGCCCAACAAGAAAACGGACGACGAGCTCTCACAAATTTCGCTTTCCCCTCAGACGTTCTTCCCAAAGGATGAAGACACGGGATTGGAAGATTTGTTTACAACCACTTTTCGCCTGAAGGAGGACAACATCATCACCCATTCGCTGAACGCATCCTTCAATACCAACTTGAATGGTCGTCAACGAGTGGCACAGAGATTCCTAGTGATTGCATCGCCTATTGGCCTTCTTGCTTCGTGGCTGGTAGGTTTGAGACGCGAACGAGGGCGCTTTGATACGTTTTCACAGGGGGAAGATTCACTCACTTCGCCAAACTTACACTCTCTGTTGATCAGGTTTGGTCCAACGTGGCGTACGTACCCTTGCTTGTAACGGCAGCATATCACCTTATTGCCTTCGAACGCCTGTGCTCGACGAACAAACGCCAACGCGCGCCGCGCAACCACTTCACAGCCCCGGCCCGGCTAGCACAAAGTGCAGTGGATACTCAGGGATCCTCCCTTTTTACGACTAATGTGAGTTTTGGGGTGTCGGTCACCGCTTTATGTTCACCCTCATACTGAGACATTTTTCAATCCTTTAAGCGCATCTTGGTCGGCATGATCGTCTTCCGCATTTTGTTGGCCTTCCTTTGCCAGCTCTATCCTCTACTCCTGCATCTCACACATCAGCACCCGCAGAATGATACGTACGAGCCCCTGATCTTCAACGCCCACTCGACGTTCACTCCGTCGCCACTCCTAGATGGAGGTCCTGAACCAGGCTGCAACATTGCGTTGGTCAGTGTTCCGAACCCCTTCCTGCTCAGTTTGGATCTGTTGATCGCATCACTAGCAGTGATGTGGGAGCCAGCGCCGTCCCGTCCTTTTGAGCATATCTGATCAACATCCTTTGGAATTGAATTCGATGGGAAAGGAGGCGCCTCGCAGAAATATACCGGCCTTCTACACATCATTGTAAACAGATACCCCTCCTTCGGAGAACAATTTTGATATCATCCTTCAAATATGGCGCATTCGTTCGTGATACACATCGGCATACTCAAAGCATGTTCCATCGCATTTCATTCATATAATATATGCTCACTACTGATCCTTCTTCACAAACTCCTCTCGTCGCTCAAAAGCGATGTAGCTGGGCTTCTTCGGCATAACAATCAAGCACGTGAAATCCATCGGTGGGAAGATGTTTTTCCCCTCGGCATCCTTCATCAGCTGATGCCTGAATTCCCTCACAAACAGCGCAATGATAGTCTTGATCTGCACATACGCAAACGCTTCGCCAATACACCTGTGCCTTCCTGCACCGAAGGGTAAGAAGTTGGACCGCGCCGATTTTTGCGCAATGTCCACGCCGTTGATCGTCCACTCTGCTGATCCTTCATCCGCAGACGCGGTGAACCTCGTTGGGTCGAACTTCTCGGGGTCAGGGAAGCGAGCGGGGTCCATTTGCGAGACGGCAGGGGAACCGGCGATGAAGTGACCGGCGGGGATGGTGTAGCCTTTGTACTTCACGTCCCGCATGACGAGGCGCATGATGGTGTGGATTGGCGGGTGCAGTCGCAGGGATTCCTTCATCACGCCGTCGAGGTAGGTGAACTTGCGGAGCTCCTCGTAGGTGAAGTCGGGGAGTTCGTGTGGTGGGGTGTCGGGTTTTCCAGTCAGGACTTCCGATTGCTCCTTGAGAATCTCATCACTGAAAAAAGTAAGAGTCAATACTCCGACTCAGCTCCATAGCAACCTACATTCATCTACAGATGGAGCGGAACTCACATGACATGCGGGTTGTTGGCAAGTTCGAAGATGATCCACGACACAGTGGTAGAACTAGTGTGTTGACCAGCCATCAACGCAGCAATCAGCATGTGTGCAATGGCCTTGTCCGACATTTTGGTTCCATCACGGTAGACACCCTCCATCAAAGACTGCAAAATGTCCTTGTTCTCAAAGTCCTCTCTCTTTCGGCGCTCCTGCAGGATCTTCAAGAACGTCTCGGTCATGATCTTGTTGGCACGATCACGGGCAAAGTACGCCGGCAGAGGCAACCATTTGAAGAACACGTTGATCGGCTGGAAGCCTTGGTCGAGGTCGTGGTATAGTTTCGCGACGTTCGAATGCAGCTGCTGTCGGATCTCCTTTCCGAGGAGACAGTGTGATGCTGTTCGGATGGTCAGCTCAGCCATATCCGGGAAGAGCTCGTGTTGCGCAGACTTGTTGGGCCACTCCTTGAAGAAGGCGCGGGTCTCCTCCATGATAATGGGGACATATGATTTGAAGGCGTCGGTGGTCAGAGCGTCCTTGATGAACCTGAGACATGGAGAACAGTGATTGGTGAGTACGGAAATTCCACATGTAGCTACTTAGAACCACCACGCTCATACTTTTTCTGCTGCATGAATACCGCGTTATCGACATCGTAAACCACTTCGTCGCCAAAGACCGGGACGGTAAGCTTGTCATATGCGCCTTCCGCAGTGGCGTCCGCCAATTTGACGTTGAACAGGAAGTGGTTTCCGTCCGGATTCAACACCGCTGTGATCTTACGGCCCATCATCGTGAAAGTGAAACAGTCTCCATGCTATTGTGAAAGGGCGTCAATAACAGTCGATGCACGTCAAAGTGAAAATTCCCATATTACCTGCTGCTCCTGCTTTTGTAAAAACTTGACGGGCTGAACGCCAAACGCTACTGCCTGGCCCAAAATCGGCACAGTGTGCGATACGACGGGTGGGAGGACGCGGTCCTTCTCCTGGCTGTTGTTCTCACGGCCCGACGACATGACGATGACGAGGAACATGAGAGCAAAGAGTCCGCCATACATGTACAGCTTGTCGTTCGGCATGCTGATCAGCCTCGAGGTCAGGTCAGACATTGTCTGGTTTAGCGTTATGGCGAAGTCCATTTTGCCGAGTGGAATGCTTGGGAAACAGCAGGGTGCCAAAGAATGGGACACACGCACTATCGGTGGGTGTCGTTGCCGATTGATTCCTACTCTACTCTGAGCTGAGACCACAGCTTTTCACCAAGGGCGAGGGTTGGCAGCCTCCTGCTCGATATTTGTAGGGTTTTCATGGCGGTCCAGATACTCCACCTCGTTACTTCATCACACTTTGGGAAAAGTGAGGCCACTCGATAACAGGACCACTGCGCTGAATCATCCTACCCTTCCATCACACTCATCCATGTGCGACCTAGTATGCGGTAGATACCAGCCCAAGTCCGGGAAGTCGTGGGAGCTATCTGTTGCAAGTCCGTCTCACAACTGTGGGTCCTAGTGGCGCCACTTTGCTCTCATCACGCCAGTCCAACTGCTCCGCGCGCAACGCGTTCAAATGCAGGCTGCGCACTCCGTATTCGCGTATATATATAACGGGAATCAACAGGCTTTCTCCCAAGACTGTACAGTACAGCTATAATAACGTTGGGTTGGAGATTTCTGCTGCGTTGTGGTGAATTTGAAGATTGCCGGACCTCAGCTCCGTTCCCGTCCCCGACCCCGTCCCCGACCCCGCCCCATCCGCATGCCCGTGTTCGTCCTTGTGCTCGTCCTTGTTCCCGCTTGGGCTTCGGCTCACCTACCTCGCTCTTCAAGTGGCATCGGTGTAATAAGAGTGTATTGTGGTAAGAGGGCAGGCTGCCATCTAGTAGATATCTAGATGCATGTAGCCCTCATTTTTCATTCAACCGCATTACAACCCAACTGCATTACAACCACCTTTACCATTCTCCATTCCAAGTTATGAGTGACCAGTAAAGCATGCATAACCTGCATGCGGAAGCTAGCCAGACAGACTCGGAGATGAAAGAACGGTAAGAGCGTCGTACCTGGGAAAAGTGGGGCATCGGCCAAATTCCTTTTACTGTTCTCCATTCCAAGTTACGTGTGGCTACGCTGGTTGCAGGAATCCCTGCGGTGCATCAGCCAGACGGACTCGGATATGGAAGGACAGTAAAAACATCGGCGGCATAGCAAAGGATGAGCTTTACAATTCTCCATTCCAAGTTATGCGTGGTTGACGATGGCAGAGATATCTGCGCGCGTTGACAGCCAGACGGACTCGGATATGAAAGAACTGTAAAGAGACATCCATTGTTGGGCTGCAGTGGCCGCCCTGAGCCTTTACAATTCTCCATTCCAAGTTATGCGTGGCTATGGTAGTGGCAGGAGAGCCTGCACGCGTATCTATAGCCAGACTGACTCGGATATGAAAGAACTGTAAAAGACCGCGGACGGCAGCTCTTCTTCCCACGAGTGCCTTTACAGTTCTCCATTCCAAGTTATGTGTAGCTATGCGGACGGCAGAAAAACCTGCGCATGTATCGATAGCCAGACAGACTCGGATATGAAAGAACTGTAAGATTCGTGGGAAAATTGGGCCTGGGAAAATCGCGTCCCAAGTTGACTATCGGGACGCTTTACCATTCTCCGCTCCAAGTTATGCGTTGTGCCTGGGCTCCGAGCGTATTCCCAGGAGCGTTGAGGCTGCAAGGCAGAACCCGGATGCGAGAAAACAGTAAAGCCGGCGCACGTCAACGATATCCGATTTTACCATCGCGAGATGCCCGGCTCGGTTCCAAGAGATGAGCTGAGACTGGACGCTACTGCAAAGCTTTGACGTCCATCCAGCACCACCACAAGCCTTGGGACGACCGAATGGTACTCGAGTGGTGGGGGCGGGCGAGGTTTGGAGTTTACAGATGAGGCAGGATGGGCGACTCCTTTTATAACCGCAGAGCGAGCTGGCGGGCCAGCTGGGGGTATGGACGTCCCCCAAGCGACACAGCCGGGCCTGGCACGACGTTGGAAGGCCGAAGAAGAAAGGACCTTGGCAAAGGGCGCGCGCAAAGTGATTGCGAGCGGAAAGGGGGCGAGAAAAGCACCCCCCCATCCGCTCGCTCTTTCCCCCTTTTCTCCCAGGGCCATATTGCACAGCAGCACAGGCCCGAATTTCAAGTCTCAAAGAGGCCTAACGCGTTTGTGCTCGGTGACGTGTTCCGGTGGAAGGTCACGTGGACGACACGCTGTCGAATTCTGGTCAGTTTATTTTGGGAGGAAGTTCCGCCTTGTCGAAGCCCTGCCAACCCATTTATAGCTTGTCCAAATACACAGTCGAAATCTTTGATGTTCGGACATTCATACGTATGAGGCGGAAAGCTTAGTTGAGATTCTCCATAAAAGTCTGCGTCTCCCCAGGCGCGCCCGCTTCATTATACGAAAAATCCACAACGAATACCTCTGGCATCCTCCTAATCTTCGTTCAATCAGATTCATATTCCCTCAGCATGTCTCAAAACTGCGGCAAGTGTGAAAAGGCGGTGTACCCCACCGAGAAAATTGAAGCAGCGTCTAAGTGGTACCACAAGGTGGCGTAGACTTGCGACGCCTTCCTTAGCCTTCACCAAATGCTGACCGTATTCTCTCGGACACTCTAGGGGTGCTTTAAATGCAGTGACCCAAATTGCAACATCCAGCTGAATCTGAAGACCTTCAAAGCAGTGAACGATCAAATTTGGTGTCAGAAACACACTCCGCAGCCCAAAGCGACGTCAGTCGCGGACTCGGTGTCGGTCCTGCACGCCATGCATGCCCCGAAAAAGACCGCGGAAGGCTTGCACAAGACAACTGTGGGAACTGGTGAAACTCCACAGTACGGGTTGGACACGCTGCAGACGCAGCATGCCTTGTTGACTCCCGTAAGTTCAAAAGATGATTCACTCCTGTACGAAATCTTACTGACCGTCCTATCACTCGCCAACAGAAAAAGTCAATCGAGAATTTGGGAAACATTCAGAAGGGTGATGCCACGACTCCTCGGTCCGCACAAGCCCAACCGAAATCTGCTGATGCTCAGGGCCAAAATCAGGGCCAGCAGGTTGAGCATGAGGAGATCCAAGTATAGAGTACCGGTGCAACTAGTCCAGTTCTTTCTATAAACCGCCATAGCTATAGGAGCCTTTCTTATCAATCGCCCTCATGTCTGTTGCTGTAATACAAATACCCGATTTTTTCGATAGCCGTTTACAATTCTTCCATATCTGGTGTGCACATGAGTTTGGGAGCGTGGGGGACGTGCCGCGAAGATGTTTGTGGAAAAACGTGCATCGGAAAGATTGCAGATATTGAATGGCACTAAGGGGGATACTTCAAGTGTATGTACAAGTAAGAAATGAACAAAACTGATGAATGAAACTATGCGATGCTACTCTGCGGAATATATTTCATCTCTGGGCGATCAGGTAGTCAATCGCCTACTTGGCCTTGGAGGGAATCTCCTTCAATTCCTTGGGATCCTCGCCAAATTGCACGATATATTTGTCATGAGCATGCAAGCGGCTCTGATAATCAGAAACGAGAAGGTGAAGGTCGGTTCCGCGATCGGCCAAATCCTTGTGGTTGCCGTTGGCCTTGCTGCTGTCACGGTATCGCTGGAACGAGCGCAGAGCGTTGATTGCGAGGTCGAATCGGGAGCATCCGTTGGCTGTGAGCATCTTGAAGGGGGTGGTGGTGGTGCCTTCTTGGTTGTAACCGTGCTATAGTTCAAACCAGCGCGAGTCAGTCAATTTACTTCCGAGGGGTCGACATGGAGAGCAACGAACGCACCACAGCGAGACGGCCGGCGATGAGAGGCCGGTCGAAAACAAGCCCACGAACAACGCCGGGGGTACCGTGGAAATTAAAGATGACCGGCTTGTCGGTGGTGAAGAGAGCGTTGAACTCTTCGTCAGAAAGGGCGTGAGGGTGTCTGCCGGTGGCGCTGAGGATCATGAGATCTGGCGAATGGGAATCCGAAGATCAGTAGGCGTTCTCGGGTAAGTGTCAAGGCGCTGATGTTCTCCCACTCACCGGTGACGTTGACCACACGGACACGCAAGTTGGGAGCGTCAATCTTGAGCATCTCCGCCGCCGCAATAACCTCAAACGTGGTCTCGTTCCCGCATCCAACCAACACAACATCAGGGTCATTGCCATCATGGCTGCTGTATCGGCGCCAGATAGAAGCACCAGCCTTGCAGTGCGCAATCGCTTCCTAGATGAAAGAAACCGGCTGCATCAGATCATATTCGCTCCGCCACCGTATGGCTAGCGAGCCACCCATCATACCTCAGGCTCAAGCCAGAGCGGCATAGGCTGTTTCGAACTGATGATCAGGTTGACGTAGTTGCGAGACGCAAGGCAGTGGTCGATAGTAGTCAGCAATGTGTTAGAGTCGGGAGGCAGGTAGATGCGGACCATGTTGGTCTTCAAGCCTACGAGCGCGTCGATGAAGCTCGGGTTTTGGTGGGAGTAGCCTGTTGCATTGACAAATCAGTACGAAGCTAGTGGAAATGCCCTTCTCCCAGCCAGAGCAGTTGCGAGCACCCACCATTGTGCTCTTGCCTCCACAATGTGGAAGATTCGATGTAGTTCAGAGATCCGATATCTTTCCTCCAGTTGGTTTCACGAGCGACCTTTTGAAACTTCGAGTATTGGATCACCATGGTTGTGATGATGGGCAAGAATGCCTCGTAACTTGGAAAGAGCGCCACCCGTCCCGTCAAGGTGTATCCTTGCATCCATCCTTGGCACTGATGCTCAGACAGCACTTCAATAACACGCCCGCCCTTGTTGCTGCAGAAAGGGTCCCATTGGAAGTTGCGCGTCGTAGATTTGAAGACGCCGGAGAGCTTGTTGCTGTCGAGTTCATCAGGAGAGAAGATGCGGAAGGACTTCGGGTTCTTCTCAATGACTTGGGCAAGGTACTCCCCACATGCGTTCATGCACGCCTGCCATTCATCCATCTTGACCGTTTGAGGTTTGGTGAGGGGACGGAAGTCGGGCAGATCGAGAGGTTTGTAGCCGGCGTAGGTCTTCTCGTTGAGTCCCATCATTCTCTCCTTCCTCGGGAACGTCTTCAGGACGTCCTCCACCGGCACGCCATCCTTGAATAGCTCATCAAACTTGTAGCTCTTCAACCACGCGTCCAATGCTTTGAACTCCTCGTCATCCGATTTGACTTTGGGCAAAGGCACTTGGTGCGAACGCCAGGTTCCTTCGATTTGATGGCCGTGCACCTCCTTCGGACCTGTCCAACCCTTGGGAGTACGCAAAATGATCATAGGCCAGCGCGGCTTGACAATGGGGTTGCCTGAGCGTGCGGCTTGCTGTATGCGGCGGATTTCTTTGTGTGCCCTTGAATTTTTATTGATGAAGATTAGAATCATCGCTGCTTTGGCAGTCTGCATTGAGTGGATGCACTCACCAGTCCATGGACGCAGCCATGTCGGCATCAATCACGTCCATGTTCTCAACAATCCGGACTTGGTAGCCATAGCCTGAGAACAATGCGGACAGCTCTTCATCGCTGTTCGAAGAGTCAGGGTGTCAGTGATACAAACCGGCCACTTGAAGCCTTTCATGTGAGTGAACTTACGACATGGATCCGAAAACTGTGGGCTCGGCGATCTTGTACCCATTAGCGTTCAAGATGGGAATGACAGCTCCACTTTCCTTAGGGTCGAGGTACTTGTACGAGTGCCACGCGGTCGAGGTTGGTCCGGTCTCGGCCTCACCATCTCCAACGATGCAGGTCACGATCAAATCCGGGTTGTCGAAAACAGCTCCGAAACTGACTGCGAGTGCGTATCCGAGCTCACCACCTTCGTGGATGGCGCCAGGAACCTCCGCGTTGACGTGACTCGGGAAACCTCCCGGCCACGAGAAGCCACGCAGGAGCTCGTAGAGACCCTTGCTAGACGTCGCATACCTCTGGTCAAACTTTCCCAATGTCCCCTCCAGGTACAAGTTTGCCAAGACGGCAGGTGCGCCGTGACCAGGTCCAGTTACGAGGAACATGTCAAGATCATGTTTGCGGATGAGACGGTTGCAGTGCGAGTAGATGAAGGTGATGGCCGGACATGTGCCCCAGTGCCCCAGCAGCCTGTCTTTGATGTGATCTTTCGACAGAGGCTCCTTCAGATCTACGTTGTCCTTCAAGAAGATCATGGACGCCGCAAGGTAGTTTGCAGCTCGGCGAGCTTTGCGCATGTTTTCGAAATCCTTCTCATCTTCGGCAGTGATCAGCTTTTGGATATCGAGTTGGACAAGCAAATTTTCGGTGTTGAGTGGTGGGGACGTTTTGTTGAAGATCCCTGGCGGGAGAGGGCCAGGGTGGTCGGCGTCGGTTGATGGTTTGCCCTTACGGGTGGCGTCCTGCGTCTGGTCGTTGGAGCGCGGGGCTTCGGCCGTTGGTGGTGACATGTTGAATGTGTATGTTTCGTGCGTTGACTTTCTCGATCTTATGAACGGCTCCAGAGAAATATGGATGCTATTATATTGTTTGTGCTGCTGTGAGAGGGGCTGGACTGGCGATGCGATGCTTTCTGTGTAGGAGACCCTTTGGCTACCCCACCATTCATATATCCTATAGATCTGGACCTCATTCCTCCGCACCGAAGTTGCATGACAAGGCACCGCAAAACATGAACACCCCATCACGTCACATCCGGGCGTTACATGTTCAAGCCTGCGGCCCGCGTGAAAAATCGAACATCCGTCCCCGTTCACAGAATCACAGACGCTCCGTCTCGCAGCCAGTGAGGAGAAAGGATTGGTGCATTTGTGACGAGCACTTTGCGTCCCCGACTCCGAAGCGCTCCATACGGAGCAGAGTTCACCAACAGAACGTGGCTTTCCCGATGGCTGAATTGTGAATGCGGGCTGCGCACATCCCACACGCGCGAGAATGACATCAGTCCCTCTCTGACTGACAGCGATCGCCTTATCGGTGCTGCGCCACGACGCTGTCAATCCTCATCGCGCTGTCGATTTTCGCAACGCAGCAGGACCGCTCTCCACCTCGTTAACGACCTCCACTCCCGTTGACGACCTCTCCCGCCCAATACGATCGCAAGACGCCGTCAAAAGCGTGTCCACAGTTCTTCGAACGTACAGCTTTAACCGGCTGTTTCACGCTATTCCTTATCTTTCGGACTGTCTCAGCGGGCGGCTGCTGGGAGGAAACCTAGGCAAGCCCATTACCAGCCTGAGCCCAGACTCAACAAAAATATCGAAGTGTAGTTGCTGTTTTAGTGCAAAAAGCAGAGACCTTCATTTCTGACTTGCACAGCGCAAAATGGTAAGGCCTGCGGGGCTCTCTTGACGCTTGGAGAACTGAATGACTCAATTGCACTGACGACCGAAACTCCAAGGTGAAACCAAATTCCAACAAAGCGGGCAACGGCCGCTTCAGCCCCGATGCCGAGGATAGCCACCAGCTCCCAGCACCAAAAAAACGCAGATACCACCAATCTGATCCGGCCCTCGACAGCGAAAATGAAAACCATGATCTGCGCTCGCCTGCGACCAAGAAACCACCCTCATTCATTGTACCTCCCTCGCCCACCCTCAGAAACGAACCACCCTCAAAGACCAAAAATGAACAAGTAGCATTCCAACCCAACTCCGCAGGAGCCGCAGAACCTGCCAAGTCCGCCGACCCCACAGAAACCCCCACCAAAGCAAACGACAAAAACGACATCTGGACCAGGCCGCGATTCAGGACCCTTGTTGATACTCAAGAGCGCCGCCGCCGACCGGACCCGGACGGTACAGACCTGGAATACCCGCCCAGCCCTGACCTGCGCGGGTTTGATGAGTACAAGAAGCGGTGGGATAAGTGTGCTGGTCAAGATGGTGATGATGAGGTAGGTTGATCAAGCAGACCGTCCCCAATTTCAACCATGCGAGTACCATTCCTCACTTCCACCCCTCCCCATATCCCACCACAGGACTCCTCAACCTGGCCCACAACCACCCTTTCTACCACTCTCGACACTGACGACCTCGACACCTGGACCGCAACCCTCTCCACCCTCTCCCTCTCCGCACCTGTCGACACGACCTCGCGCGACGACCCGCGGTTCTTTCCCGACACATTCCTGATCGCGCCGGTCGGGACGCATGGGAGGGTGGATAAAGCGAGGGAGAGGAGTTTGAGTCCTAGGGAGAGGAAGAGGGGTGCGGGGGAATGGAGGGCGGCGTGGAGGTGAGTTGGTGGGGGTTGAATCTGGATCGAGGCGGGCGTGGTTCGGTTGTGACGAATGTCAGATTATCTCTCGCTTATGCGCTTCGCTCTCCAACATCTCTCTTTCGAACGCAGGTATGAGGACTGATAGGTCCGTCGGGAAGAAAGCAGGAGATGACAGTTCGGCGCAAGGAGCTCTGCACATCATAGCTTATCGTGTGGGGTTTCCATTCGGGGTTGAATGCAGCCTCCGAGCGAATTGAGTGAGCTAAGCGTGACTTCCGAGACGGCTCTGAGCGGTGATCCCACGCGAATAACGAGTTGTTGTTTCGCTGAGTTGTTGAAAGGCGAGTTGCGGGTCCGAGGGTTCCGTCCCTGTTCTGCTCACTGCCAACTGCTGGTTGGGTAATTAGCCCGCGACAACCAACATGACGTAAGCGATGCGGTTTGAAATGTTTAAAGTCGGGGGCTCCACGTTTGTCACCGCTTCACATTTCCTCCACATTTCCGCTCCCCCCACATTTCTCCCGGCCTTTCCTACCATATACCTTACAAACCCCTACTCCGAACCCTCAGTTCCAGTACTGCAAACCTCGCTGTAGTCTACATTCACATGCCAGTAATAGCTAGCAAATACTCAATCGGATTCAACAGAAAGTGCAAGAAGTTCAAGTCTCTCTCCAGTCGAGCCAAAGAATATCCGAAGGACCCTCTTCTTGACCGCTGGCGCTCTGCGCTCGAGTTTCGCTCGGAAAGAGTACCCGTACGAAAGAAAAATCAACGCTGGTCCCTGGGACTGCGACAACAGAAGATATGCCAGACCCGGCAGCAAACCCGGCAGACCGGGCGAACGCTGAGGAAGCCGACGAAGTTCAGGTCGAAGACTGTGGTGAGTACCGCGAGAGAGGCGAGTTGCTTGAGATTCCCAGCGATAGCGAGGAGAGTGCTTGAGGTTGATTCGCGCAAGGGAGCCGCTCGAAGACCTGGAGCGAATGCGGACGGCGACGACCGAAGCGAGGCGCAGGGGTGCTTGAGGCGGGCGGGCCCTGGTTCGGTCTGGGAGACCAAGCGTTATCGAAGTCGCTCAGAGCGAACGCCTCTCGAGCCATGCGAGCAGCGGGTGACAGTGAATCGCGAGCGGAGCGAGCCACATTACGTCAGAACCGCAATCCTCCCCCTCGCATTTCTTAGCGAGCCTCAGCGAGCGTCAGATCTTTTGCGAGCGAAGGGAGCACCACATTGCGCCAAAGGCGCAATAATAAGTGGTTGATGGTTGATGGTTGATGGTTGATAGTTGATGGTTGCTGAATTGATGGTTGATCATGCTTTGACGTGCGATGATCGAGTTGTTGATGGTTGATGACGGTTGATGGATGAGTGCACTTTGCTAATAGCTTCACCTTTGTGGTCATCAGCAATTTGTCTGAGCAGCTTGGAGAGCGACCCGCAAGTGGAGCTCGGGCAGCTTGACTGCCCACATGCCGCTCACACTTACCATCTGCACTGTATCTCTCCCTGGAGCGACACGACGAACACTTGTCCCGTAGACAGGGCGTTATTTACCGTAATCAACGTCGTCGAGAAACCGCGCGGCAGGATCATTCGGACCGTACCAGTCGAGGATAGGACACAAAGAGTTGCGAACGACGACGACGATGCGGAATATGAAGTTACCGAATGCGAGATTTGTGGATCCGCAGAGCATGAGGTTAGCATTGCACTTTCCCCGTTGGAATGATGTAGAATCAGTCTCTCATTCACAATCCTCACCTCCCTGCAGGAGACAATGTTGCTCTGCGACCACTGTGACAGTGGCTGGCACCTGGAATGCCTGGGAATGGCGGAAGTTCCAGACGGCGAATGGGCATGCGACAACTGCGAAATTTTATTCACTGGTCCTTCGCCTCGCCCTCCCGGTCTATACAATCAGAACATTGCGCGTCCACCTCGCACTCGGCCACTCAATGATGCAAACATCGTATACGCTCTTCCGGACGATAATGAATCGCCGAGACGATCCCGAAGACGAAGGCCGCGTCCAGTTCCAGTCGTACCCCTCCTTACGACAATCAGACGCGAAGCTGAACGAGCACGAGCCGAACGATCCCGCCAGAATCGGCAGAACCGGCCTCCGCCATCCCCTCCTCACCCAGCTCCGGCGAGCTGGCAGTCGAGACCGACAGCACCCGTCATGCAGTCTGCCGTCTCGAGCGAGAACTCGTCGTACCTAGCTGCGGCCCGGTGGAATCAAACTGCATACATATCTTATTCAGATGACCCTCGCGATGTGCCCGACTGGCTAAGAAACGAGGTGGTTGTGAACCGCACGCCGCAACAACCGCCCGTGCGCTACATCCATGGAGTCAACCCACCTCCTCCGCGACGACGCACTTCGCAGCCCATCCCCGAGCCCGAGCGTCCGGCGGTTGAGTCCGATATCTGGGAGACATTTAACGTCGCGAAGCGAACAAGAGAAGCGGTCGAGGCTGAAGCAAGTGGCTCTTCTTCAAAACGTCGACGGATTGATCTTGATCAGGGCGAGCTGAACAGGACGCCGTCCCAGCGGGGATCAGCGTCGGCTCCCGCGTCGGCTTCCCCTTCAATTCAGGCCACCCGAGTATTCCGACCACCGAGCATCAGGGCAACCCCACCCGTGAATGCAAGCTCGGCCTCAGCTTCGCCAGTAACTCAGTCACCTCGCATATACCGACCGCCAAGCATTAGGTCAGCGTCAGCTTCGGCGTCAGCCTCCCCCATGACGCAGATCTCTCGCATCTTCCGACCCCCTAGTATCAGGGCACCCCCACCCGTGACTACCAACATCATCGGAAATTCGAACCGAAGCGCCAACGGAAGCACGAGCCCAGTGAACGGAAGCGCTAGCGGAAATCTGAACGCAGCTGTCAACGGAACCCTTAACGGAACCCTGAACACACGGGCACAGAGCACGTCGCAAATACAGTCCGTCCTCGCCGGTGCACAAGACCACACCCACTCTCCACCCTCCCGTATACCCCTCCCCTCCCGCCTAGAAAGCAGTACCGCGAACACAAGCGCGAGCGGAACGAACGGCGGCTTGAACACATGGGCACAGGTACCCTCACTCCTCGTCGCAGCCCAGGACGAACCGGATCCTCTCCCTGGAAGCGGAGGCAGTAGTAGTGCGACTTGGCTCATGGACTCTATACCTATACCACAAGATTTATCCTTCCTGAGACGACCGGAAAAGTTACCCTCGTTCCGGCGAGCTGACCATTCAACGATCGGGGCGGGTTCAGCGGTAGAAGACGAAAAAGAGGGCTTCGCTTCCAGCGGAAGCAGCAGGAGTGGCACTCGTCTCACGGACTCGATACCTATATCGGAAAACCTGTCCTTCTTAAGACGACAAGAAAAGTTACCCTCGTTCCGGAAATCTGACCATGCAAGTTCTGCGATTGGACCGGGTCCGAGCGCGAGCAGGACCATGGGTGCTCCGACTCTCAACGAAAGCCGCGATAACGACCCAAAACCACCAAAAGTCACCAGTCGTCAGGGCACTGGGACGAGAGTCGGACCAAGCGCGAGTCGAACAATGGGTGCTCCCACACTCAACGAAACCCGAGACAACGACCTAAAGCCACCAATAGTGAATGGTCGTGGGAAGCGCCCTGCCGCTTCAACCGATGATCCTACAGAGGGTCGAGCGTCCAAGCGGACTCCTGGCTCCGCATGGGATCGGGATGAGCCATATACGCCCGATTTGCAAACGTCACATCGCCAGCGCGAGTCCACAGAGAATAGCGTTAGAGATCCACCAATACCGGATCGAGGGGCGAGACGTGTGCACTCAGGAGCCGCGTCGACACGAACTCACCTTTCCGAGTCCGCGTCGATGCGGGCTAGGCCGCCAGCGCCCGATGCAACAATCCGCAACATCAAAGATCCACCCGGGGCAGACGACAAGCACCGGCATAACGGCACAAACCATTCGCACGAATCCAACAACGGCCACGTCCGAACCAAACAGCCACATAAGTCCAACCAAGAGCCATCACCCCGCCGCCCACACATAAGCAAGGCCGAAATCGCGTCCACGGTCAAAGCGCAGCTCGACAAATACCTCCAGCTGAACCGCAAAGACGGCAAGACAACCAGCCGCACTTCACCGGCGCTCACAAAAGATGAATACAAAAGCACATGCAGAGAAGTAACGCACGAAATATACAAGCTTTTCGCGACGACCTCTGAATATCCGCGCGGTGCCACACTACCCTTGGAGACCCTCGCTGCGGCCAAGATTAGCGATAGTCTGAAGAAACGATGACCTACCTAAGTCGCAAGTTTAGCACATCATATACATGTGAACAGAACCGTAATCGTAAGGTGTGTTCCTTTACCCCCGGCATCTTACTTGCCTCACGAGTTCGAAAGCGGTCATTTGCCTTGTACATTTTAGTTTGTAATACATTGATGCTCATAAGGCAATTCCGGGGGAGACGCCTTGCAAGCATGCATACCTACGTATCGATTGTCAAGTCCTTTTCCACTTGACAATTGACGGCTCTGGCCAGCCAAGGAAAGAACGGTGGTTGCGGAGAGACGCGACGCGCGAGACCCTGACGTCACCAGTGACCACGTCCACCAACGTTGTCCCAAGCCTCATCTCTCACAGCCAAGCACTTCTATCATAAAGTACTGTATCTCAAACCGAACATGGCATTGCAACTGCTTCTGAACCTACTTCCTGGCACAATCGCAACTCCCTACACCACAGCATTCGCCATGAGCAACCCTACTCACAACCAAGGTATGTATGAGAGTACGCTCCTCCATCTCGTGCATGTCGCTGACCTCCGCGTTCTCTTCTCTCTCCCTCGCCAGCCCCAGCGGCCTACGCCCAAGCCATCGCAACCAACGAAGACAAAAAGGAACCCGCCGTCGACTCCAAAACCACAAGCACCCACACCGAAAGCGGCGCAAAGCATACCGCTGCGACCAAGGAGCCCCAGCCTGCTGCTCCGGGAACCGAGGAGCCTGGTCCGAAGATCCCGAAGGCGGGGGAGAATGAGGCGGATTTGACGGCTGGCGGGTTGCTTACGTTTGGGCTAGGGCCTTGAAGTGGTTCCATAACTAGCTATGCAGTGGGGATGCCAATTATCTGTAACATTCGTTTTTCTTTTTGAGATCCTGGTTTGAATTCTTTTTGGAAGCTGCCAAAAGCCTGTCTTGATGTACATAAGTGAATTGCAATAGCAATCACAATCAGTAATGAACTTGTTTTCGAATTACTATATAAAAGTGCAGCGGAATGTGCATTTATCTATTGTTGCTCAAGGCTATTTATCGACGAAGGTGTCCCCGGCCGAGATACACGCGCAGGTCCTCGACCTGGTCTCAAAGGCCGGGCGAACGTCTTGCGCACCGAGTCTGGCGTACTTGCCGCAGTCTCTTGCTCGTCTTTCAGTTCGGCTTCGGTCACTTCATCAATGGAGCTCACTTCGAACTATATGCGGCAGGATAAGTATATCGAACGTTGGCTCATCAAATGATGTCGTTCTCGTACGCACCTTCTTCGAGACGGTGAAACCTTGCTCTTCAGCGGCCAACAGGACACTTGCCCGTGACGATGAATAGAGCATGCGTTCCTTCACTTTCGACGAAGGCGGGCAGATGTAGATGAATGCTGAAACGTTTGTGAGCACATAGCACCGCGTACTCCCAAATGCAGCAGCATAGTTGATACCTGAATTCCCTGCGTCCGGCTTGTAGAACAAGAACCGCGGAGTGTTCGCCTCAACCAACCGAGTCAGGTCGCCGAAACTTCCGGTACTGGCATTGGACAGATCTACCCTCTCTTCCGCTACATTCACCGCCTACGTGTGTCTAAGTACTTCCGTCGTGTCGAACTTCCATGTCGTACGATAGCGCAAAAGACATACCAGGACGACGATGTTAACCGATCCACTCGCCAAGTCAGAAAGGGACTTCCTTGCTTCATCCGCGAACGCAAATGAGACTCCCTGCGCATGAGACCGTCTCGTGGTCGTTCCGATTTCGGCGCTATACTATAAACGAGGGTCAGATCCCGTCGTTGTCCGTCTCCGAAAGAATCGCGCAATCTACCTCAGCTGCCTTTACGGCCTGCATCTCTATCTCGCGCTCCGTCAAAGGTGCTTCCGCGTCTTTATGCAGCACATGCTTGCGATACCCTTCCAGTGACAGTTCAGCGGGCAATGTGCCATATAGCGAGTCGACGAAATTGGCGTCCCCGAGCTCCTTCAATAATGTGGCTTTCGTCGAAGCGTACAGCATCTTATCCCGAACCTGGTATATGCATCATCAAGACATTGTCCGCTTGGTTATATATTTTGGCCTCTGCCAATCCGGACCTTTGCATGGTCTGGCACGTATTGCAGCAAAATCCATTCATATGATCCAGCAGGGGTTTTGGAGTCCAGCCGGAAGAGGACGAAAGCGGGTTCGGCGGGTTCGAACCAGGCGTTCACTTTACTCAGATCTGAGAGGTCAAGCGTAGGTCAGCGGATGCCCGGTCTTTAATGGCAACCAAGTCAGAAACCAACCATCCTCCCACGAGCCCTGTGTAGGCAGCTCCTCTGCAACAGTGGCGTTCTCTGAGTGCATATGCTGTAGTTTGAGTCCCAGTTCAGACTGTTCGACTGCCACCGTCCACACGTCAGAGTCTGCCCATACCGCGATCTATGATGACTTTCAGGGCCCTTTGGTCTGCCGACTGCAGCGCCTTTCCGAAAGCCGAGAGCAGTTCGTCACCGCCTGAAATTGGAAGTTAGTTGGGCAGCTCTTGCAGATGCGGATACAATCGAGGGTGTACTTGCAAGTGATGCCGCTCTGGTGGGACATGTTTGTATGCGTATGTTCTTTGCGCCCAGAGAATAAGGGGAAGTTTACTGCGAGCTGTCCAACTCTCGTGTGTGTGTGTCTGTGCCGCCGACGGGCGTGTCGGACATCATCGCGGCACTTTCGGACTTTCGAACATCGCAAAGTTCCCACGCTCTCAGGGCTTCAACTTCAGGATTCAGGTCGGGCAACGAAACGCCACAGAGAGAGGACAGTAACCGGCACAAACTCTTCAAGCGTCCAGGCAGCAGTTCGAGGTCAGCGGGAACGTATAGCAAAGATGGTTCAAGTGACGCCAGCGAAGCGGAAGGAAGAAGAGGCGGGATTGGTCATAGATAGGCATGAGAGTTTGCCAACGACGTTATCACGACCCAACCCTGCGCTCAAGGTGAGCGGATACCGCTATATTCTTACGGTCAAAGCGCTGTATTCACTTCGTACCCTCACTGCAGAAAAGGAAAAGTTATGTCACCGATCTTCTGGACGCGACCCCCTCCTTCGAAGCAGAGCTTGAGAAACTTTCCCACAACGCACCAAAGATCGCCGACTATAAAAGCACGTGGAACAGACCGGAATTGGCTGGATTCGACCCACAGGCATCGCCTATAGGTAAATTCTTTGACCCGCAAGCTTTTCAATGCTGTGGGGTATAATGCTGACAAACTAATTTATTGGCTTCTCAGTATTTCAGCAGATCGACATTGATGACATTGTACAAACATATGCGCCACGGTTACCAAATCCGTACGGGTTGCATGAAGCATCAACGTTGCGCATGTTTGGATGCACGATGGTATGATGACTTCCAGCTTTTCAGCCCATCATATATCGGCCACCATCTAATCTTGCGCATAGGAAGGGCATAGTGTCACCTGCCACGTGCATGGCTTCCTCCCATACTTCTACGTAGCTGCGCCAATGAACTACCGCCCCGAGCACAAAGATGCTATGCTCAAAGCCTTGAATGTTGGTTCAAGATTCCTTGCTCCATTACCGCGGACCTTATCACTAACTGGCTGTACAGGAGGGATTGAAGATAAATCGTAATAGTCCCGGGCAGGCCGCTCTCGATCTGGAAATGGTGCAAAGGTCGAGCATATACGGCTACCATGGGCCGCGGAAAGCTCTATTTCTACGAGTCATATTGCGGCTCGCTTCCTTTATACCAGCGGCAAAGCGAATGTTCACAACGGGATTCACGGTGAATGGGTTGGGAAGGATGGTCAGCAACCCAACCTATGAGAGCAACATCCCATATCCGCTTCGCTTCATGATTGACGCGCAGGTACGACCCTTTCGAAGAATTGAGCTTCTGATCCTCTGTTAAACAGCTTCCGTCAGATCCAAGGAGCTAGTTGGGTCGAGCTGCCGGCCAGGACATATGTGGTGCGAAACCCATCCAGCGCCCTGACCACTTCACAGATAGAAATCGACATATTGTAAGTGAGCGAAGCAATCAAAGCTTCGAGATCTTCTACTCACCTTCTCAACAGTTGCGAAGACATAGTAGCGCATCAACCAGAAGGCGAATGGCAAAAGATAGCACCTCTACGGATATTGAGCTTCGATATTGAATGCGCTGGCAGGAAAGGCGTGTTTCCGGAGGCGTCCGTGGATCCCGTCATTCAAATCGCAAACATGGTGACACTTCAGGGTAGGTGATTGACCTGGGACATTCGTGAAAGGCGTATTTCTGATGCAGGGCTTGTGGTTTAGGTGAAAGCCGGCCGTTCATCAGGAATGTGTTTACTCTGAAGAAATGTGCCAATATCGTCGGCACCCATACGCTATCATTCGAGACAGAAGAGGAGCTACTGCAGGCATGGAGCGACTTCGTCGTGAAGGTAGGAACTCCTTTGCTTACCAGATTTGGGGTAGGCCGCTGCTGATCTGTCGCAATGAAACGCAGATGGACCCAGACATGCTCATCGGATATAACATCAATGGTTTCGATTTCCCGTACTTGTTGGAGCGAGCGGAGACCTTGAAACTGGAAGACTTCCCTTACTTGGGGCGCATTAAAGGTGCGATATCAACTTAGCGGGCAGGGTTTGCTCGAGCATGTACTCAAACATTCCAAAAGGCTCTCGAACCAATGCGAAGGACAGCAGATTCTCATCGAAGGGGCTGGGCAGTCGAGATACCAAAACCATCAACCTCGAAGGGCGGCTCCAGATGGATGTGTTGCAAGTGATGCAGCGCGATTACAAGTTGCGGTCGTATACTCTGAACTCTGTGTGCGCGCATTTTCTTGGTAGGCAATTCCCGTTTGCGTATGAACACTTGGGATTAAAATGCTAAAGCTGCATTCCTCTAGGCGAGCAAAAGGAGGACGTCCACTACTCTATCATCACAGACTTGCAAAATGGGAATGATGAGACGAGGCGGCGTCTTGCAATCTATTGCTTGAAGGTAAGACTCCACCACTTACTCCCGCAAAATACTCAGCGGTGTGCTAACGATATGGTTCAGGATGCATACTTGCCACAAAGGCTGATCGACAAATTGATGTGCGTCATCAACTACATGGAGATGGCCAGAGTAACTGGAGTTCCTTTCAACTACCTTCTGACGAGGGGACAGCAAATCAAAGTGGTGTCCCAGCTGTATCGGAAAGCGAAAACCGAAGATCTTTTGATTCCTGCCATGGAAGTCGAGGGTATGTGGGTTTGCCTTCTCAAACGCGTGTCGGACGCAAGATCTTTTAAGTTCTCTGTATCACAGGATCCGACGACGTCCAGTACGAGGGAGCGACCGTCATCGAGCCGATGAAAGGGTTTTACGAGAAACCAATCGCGACGCTCGATTTCACATCGCTTTACCCATCAATCATGATGGCTCACAATCTGTGTTATTCAACGTGGCTTCATGATGCTAAGGCAGCGGACCAATATGGGCTCAAAAAGGGCGAAGATTACAAGGTTACGCCTGACAATGGTGAGGAGCAAATGTCCGCGAGATCGAGGGTTCGGGTACTTGAAACCAACCGTTTGTTTTTGGTTAGCGTTCTTCGTGAATCCATCGGTACGAAAAGGGATCCTGCCCACCATTCTCGAAGATCTACTTGCAGCGCGTAAACGGGCCAAGAATGATTTGAAGAAGGAGACGGATCCGTTCAAACGGGCTGTCTTAGACGGACGACAGTTGGCACTGAAGGTAAATAAACCGACGCATAGCATTCAGACGAGTAGGATGGGGCCTCACAAGACAAAATAGATCAGTGCAAACTCAGTATACGGATTCACCGGCGCCACCATTGGAAAGCTTCCTCTTCTCGCCATCTCATCCAGCGTCACCGCATATGGACGTGAGATGATTGAACTGACGAAAGCGCGGGTAGAAGAGAAATTCACCTTGGCGAACGGATATGAGTTTGACGCACAAGTCATTTACGGAGACACGGATTCGGTGATGGTGAAGTTCGGTGTCGATACGGTGGCGGACGCGATGAAATACGGACGAGAAGCCGCCGACTATGTAACGAGCTTTTTCGAGAAACCCATCAATCTCGATTTCGAGAAGGTGTACTATCCGTATCTGCTCATCAACAAGAAGCGATATGCGGGGTTGTACTGGACGAAGCCGGAGAAGCATGATAAGATGGATACGAAGGGGATTGAGGTATGCACGCGGAGCCGCTTTGGAGGTGGAAGGCGTATGCTAACGCTCGACCGTTACGTAGACTGTACGCCGTGATAGTTGTCGCCTGGTTTCCAGTGTCATCGAGACATGTCTAAAGAAGATCCTGGTTGATCGCGACGTCCTCGCAGCTGAAGAGTACACCAAAGGTGTCATTTCCGATCTGTTGCAAAATAAGATCGACCTGTCCCAGCTTGTGATTTCAAAGGCCCTTGGGAAAGCAGGTGGAGCTCATGCAGCAGCATTCACGTTGGATAGCCTCTGTATTCATTTGCTCCTCGCTTTTCAGAATACGCCGCAAAGCAAGCGCATAACGAGTTGGCGGAGCGGATGAGGAAGCGTGATGCGGGATCAGCGCCTGCATTAGGTGACCGTGTGGCCTATGTGATCATCAAGGGAACCAAAGGTAGACATTGCACGATGCTGCAAAGTTGCAGAATGGCAGCATGCTCATATCGTTTTCGATAGATGCTGCCGCGTACGAGAAGGCCGAAGATCCAATATACGTACTTGATAATAACGTGCCCATCGACACAAAGTACTATTTGGAAAACCAGCTGTCGAAACCCTTGATGCGAATCTTCGAACCGATTTTGGGCAGTAAGGCAAATAGGCTGTTATGTAAGTGTAAACCGCAGAATCCACGACGGTTAAGCCATGAGAACTAATCAGGATTTACGTTATGCAGCCGGCGACCACACCCGAACGATATCGGTTGCAGCACCCACAATAGGCGGTCTCATGAAGTTCGCCGTCAAAACCGCAACATGTCTAGGCTGTAAAGCCGTCTTACGCAAAGGAGAAACCGCCGTGTGCGCACATTGCAAACCCCGCGTCGGCGAGCTGTACTACAAACATCTGGACGCCCAGACCGAGATGGAAGTGAAGTTTGCTCGACTATGGACACAATGTCAGCGATGCCAGGGGAGTCTACATCAGGACGTTATATGTACCGCGCAGGATTGTCCGATCTTTTATATGCGGAAGAAGGCGCAGAAGGATATGGGTGATAGTGCTGCAACGCTTGCGAGGTATGGTCGGCTGACTGACTGGCAAAGCAAGATCAGTTCCCCCTATATCTAACGGGTCTTTGCTGCAGGTTTGACTATGCATGGTAGTGGGGCGGAATGGGGTCTCTTTAGATTTTATTGTAGATATTGGACATGCACGTATATAGTTGAGTTGGTAGCATGGTCGGAACTGCCAAGCGGTGTGGATGAAGGCACTTGCGGTGTACATTGGCTAGCATCCGGAATGGAAACATAAGAGAGCTTCGTATTTGCAGATCTACCTTCCCAACATTCCCAACCTTCGTATTTGCAGATTAGCTTCATGAATTGTAAATTTCCATGCCTTCCTGCTGCTGCCGGTGGATTGCGTAGTGTTAAATCTGGAAATGGAGGAAAAAGAGGTCCTGGAGCGGGGAGTTGCTTGTGAGAGTCATTGACAGCACGGCATGCGCCACACCGTCGGGACATGAATCGGAACTTCACGTCAAAGGGGTCTCGGACTTCTCGACTTTGGCTGCTCCTGGCTTCGCTGGCCGTAACGCTTTGAGAACTTTCATCGTAGCAAACATGATCAGAAGTTTGCAGTCACCTCGATCACTGTGTTGGAGTCAGCGATTGAAGCGGTCACCGGTGCAACTTGTTTGGTTGTGCAAGGGACCTAGTCAAGCAAACCGGCTTCTACAACGATCCATAAATCAACCAGCACAACTCGATACTATCGGATCTGGCCAGGAGAAAGCAACGAAATGCTGCGGAGGACACAAGGCTTCTGCCCCATCGGACCCGCCTCTTCGACGGCCGGAAAGCCCTCAAAGCCTAAGTTTCTGGACGTCGAACTCCACTTGGCACCGCGCCTCCTCCAACACTCTCCGCTGCCTTCTCGGCTGCACCCTCGGCGATTTCTCATCCATGTTCTACCTCCAAACCCACTACGCGCACCTTGCCCCGCACATCATCATGTCCCTCTCGATGGCCGCCGGCATCGCATCCTCGGTCCTCCTCGAGACCGCCGTCCTCCGCTCCTGGGAAGGCATGACCACGCAACGAGCGTTCCGGACGGCGGTAGGGATGTCGATGATTTCGATGGTTGTGATGGAGAGTGTGGAGAACGGCGTGGATTGGTGGTTGACGGGAGGTGTGGTGGAGTTGGGCAGTGCGGTGTTTTGGGGGAAGGCGGCGTTTGCGATGGCGTGTGGGTTTGGAGCGGCGCTGCCGTATAACTATTGGAGGTTGAGGGCTTTTGGGAAAGCTTGCCATTGATGTGAGAGAGCCTTTCTGTATATATAGACTGTACAGCATGTTCTGTGATGTATACACCTGTACAGAGTTTATACAGCGCATTCCACCTTCCAGGTCTCGAAATCGCCATAAGCGAAAGGCCGTCCCCCGACGTATACGTATTCACCAAAAATCTATCCAAAATGTCGACATGTCGTACGTCAAGCTGAGCAAACCATCCTTGCTGAGGAGCGTGTATGTCTCCCAACGTATGTACACTGCGATGTGGTCGCCTACTTCATAGTACGGTCTTCTGGTCCAAGTTCATGGCATATACGAAGCCATCTAGAAACGGGGTAAGTTCGGCGAGCATAAGCTTGCGACTGGGTCTGAACCCGCATGCCATAAGACATATAACGTACCCATTTGCTGGCAAAGTGAGTTATATAGCTCCATCAAGTGGAAGATCTTGGTTTTCAGTCTGCTGGACGCGGTAAGCTCATGCGCGACCGTATGCTCAGAGAGACAATCATGGCCGCACCTTTGGCCATACGCAACGCAGGCATGTTGCTGCTCCGACGTGAGTCTTTCATCGTCATTCTGCTCATTGCCGCTAGGTTGATCGGATCTGGAGCCGGCCACCAAGAAACTCCCTGCCAGTGCATCGCTCCGTTGTACATTATTCACAAAGGCGTATAAAAGATCGTGTATCTGTTTACGTGATTCGTGAGACGTTGGACGGAGGTCCGTAGGAACAAGCGCAACGTACATGTCCTTTGCCATCTTCGCTCTCTGAGCTACTCCCTGAATCATCTGAGTCCTCTGCATTCGAGATTGGCCACTCAGGCGTGTCTCTCATCTGCGTGCGGGGCATAGGTTTGGGTGGAGTCAAATTCACCGGGTCATTCGGGGTTATGATTTCATGTGTAGTTGCCGGTGATTTTTCTTCCGCTATACTTGGGTCATCAACCTCTTCGGTAACTTTGCGACCACCAGTATTGCATTCGTTGCTGGTGGGCTCCCCAACAGGTTCCGGGATGTCATCATGCTTTTCAGGCGCATGCTTGTTTTTCTGTGGATGCAGGACAGGACTCCTTGGAGTAGCAGATATCTGTGATGGCGGTCGAGCAAACTGTTGCGGCTTTTGGGATTGACTTGATAGAGCCAACGAGTGGCGGAGCGCCTCCAAAATCTTTGCCGCCACTATCTCAGCACTATCTCGCGCTTGTGTCTCCAGTGGTAAGACTTTTGTGTGGGAGGACGTTACAGAAGGCGCACCCTGGCCGCCAGTCGTCTCGTTCGTTGCCGTTATTCGAACATGGACAGTCGGAGGTGAGTCTGCTTTCCTTGACGACGGCTTCAGCGGCCGTATCATTCGGGATGAATGGTTATTTACGTCCTCTCGTAGCTCCATACTTGCATATTGCTTTGGCTTCCCATATTTTGACGCGTCATCCTTTATTTTGTTGGTAGGCTTCCGTTCTCTCCTGTTTGCCTTCACACCAATGTGTCCCAGATTCACCAGATCGGCTCCTTCACTGAGGACCAGTCTCGTTCGCTCTATCAACAAGTGCTCCAACAGTTTCTTTCGTCTACCAACGGTCTCCAAAGCAAGGCTTGACCGCGCGTCGAGTATAGCGTTGTCAAGCCGCTGATGGATCTTCATAGTGCCGCTTTGGCGACGCTGTAAAGCGGTCTCACGCGCAAAATCTTTGGCTGCTCGAGCCGCTGGCGAAGATCGCCTTACACGCGGTGCAGACTTCGGCCTCGGTTCTCGCGTCTCGACGTGTGAAGCCAAAGGTTTTGAAGAGCGACTCTTGGGATGCTGCTGCTTTGTAGACAGCACAAATCTCCTATCATTCACTTTTCCCGCCTCGCCGTCGTCCTTTGCTGGTCCCGAGGAGGGTGAGAGTATTGGCGGCCTGGTGCTTTGGAGGTGGTGCAGCAACGCGGCGATTTCAGGCCCATTATCTCTGTGTAGCGCGTTTTTACCGGCGTCAGTCGGCAGAGGCGGGCTTCTCCGGGGTGATCCTGGAAGCGACGGGGTGCTCCTATCGAGGCCATCAAGACTGAAAGTAATGTCGTCCTGTGTGTGCGTCGCCAGTAGTGCCATTGTGCGGTGTGATCTTGGCTCAAGATGGAGGGGAAAGGCAAGAAGCCATTCTAACGAGCGCGTTGGAACTTGGCTGCCGCTCTCTCGCCGTCACTGCCCGACCGTTTTGGGCCCCCGACATTCGCACGAACTCCCGCCATGGAAAGGCCAAACACACACACACAAACACACACACACACACATACATACATACGCAGATATAGTGTGACAATGGGCAGCCCAACAGCAGTGCGTCTACTGCCTAGACAGCTCAGCTTCCAAGCTTTGGTCTTGCTTGTTGTCTTTGCCCTTTGGTCCTTCGAACAAGTTGCCGCGGAACCGGTGCAGGTGAGCCTCTTTGGAGAGCCTGGTTATAGATCGTGGGCACGAACCCTCAAAGTCGCTGGCTGAGCTATCACTGAACCGTTGTATTCAGTATCCAGTCCTCCATTCTATTGGCCGACAGAATCCCGTCGAACGCGGGCATATCACCGTGGATGCAGCTTCAACGAAACGCAGCGTCAACAAGTACGTTGCGGACGACAACAAAGCGCAACCGGCTGAGCTTGTGAACAAGGGAAGTTCTGGAGATCAGACGGAACTGTACAGGGTTTCTGTTCAAGTAGGGCAAGGCAAGACCCTATCTGCCGCGGTTCCTGTGGTATGTGAGGCGATGGAAGGCGCCGAGGGAGTTTGGCTGTTGTTGCTATCGGCAAGGGAGAGACAGTAGGCTAAGTGCCCTCTTGATTGCTTTTCAGTGCTTGTTGAAAGCATCAAACTTCCGGGAGCAGATTACCTTGCATCTGGATTCCGAAGGTGAGCCAAACCGTTTTAGTTCACATTGGACGCCCCCACTGACTCGATATCGCGTAGGCAAACCATGGCACCTGGACTACCTAGTTTCCGCCTCAACGTGCGGTCCTTCGTCTAGGCAAACGGTAAACAGCTCGGCACATCTAATGTCTCTTCATAACGCTCCGCTCACACTTCACATGTCCTCCTGTAGCAGCGCCCACCACGTACGCAGGTGTTCCTTGAAAGGGCGGTCGTCGGAGCAAGGTTTGTACCTGATCGGGTTATGAAGCATATTCTTTCAGAAACCTCACTCACATCTCCTGGTTGCCAGACCACGCCTTGAGCAAATCGTCGAAAACACGCCAGATGGCAAGGCCCCACCGGAACCCACCTTCTTGCAGAAGTGAGTCCCGCGTTCCCTATTCTGTTCTAACCAAGGACTGTTGCGCTTATCATGTGCCCGCTTCTGCGCCGTGTAGGTACTGGTATTATATCATCCCCGTCGTCCTCATGGTCCTTTTGTCAGGTCAGGAGGAGCCTGCTAAGAAGTAGTGACCTCTGCGCCAAACATTTGAGGAGGGGTCCGGGTCTTACTAGATAAACGCTCCGAACGATTCCATCACTCAACCAACCAGGCACAAATTATCTCAATTAGATAGGGGGGGCGAAGTTCACGGAGGCGCAATGGTTTAGAGTACTCGGCCAATGCAGTGAGCACGAAAAGGAGTTGATCGTATAGACTTCTGTGTCCGGCAAATGAGTTTCGCTTCTGCCCAAATGTCCCTACAATGTCCCCCAAATGTCGCAATATAGAGCATCGTAAGGGAAACGGCGTTTTTGCGATAGCAAATTACTTCATCTCATTAGGTTGAACAAGGTCGAAAATATATGAGGCAGAACTACAAAGATAACTATGTGAAACACAGATGTTCTGAATCTAGTGTTAAAACAAAACTGAGATCTAGATCTAAGTGTTGAGACATAGTGTGTTACTGCCGACTTGGAGTTAAAAGATATGAAGCAGAGTGAAGAGAATCGAAGCTAAGATAAACTATACTATGTGCACGCCCTCGACATTACGCCAGTATTACACTACGCCTTGGGGCTCCGCGCCTTGACCCACCGTCTGACCCTAGGGGCAGCGGCCGCGGGAGTCGTCGCTGCCTTGGGAGCAGGAGCGCTAGGCGATGGGGCCGGAACTGGGGCCTTCGTGGGCTCAGGCTTGGGAGTGGGGGCGGCGGGAGAAGGAGCCGGGGCGTGGGTCGGCGCCGGGGTGGGTGCCGGGGTGGGTGGGGGAGTGGCGGTCGCCGGAGGTGGGGCGCTCGTGGCCGCGACCGCAGTGGACGTAGCGGAAGCGGTCGCGCTGGAGGTAATGGGGAGGGTGCCGTTACCGTAGAAGATAGCGGCGAAGTTGGGGGGGAGATCGAGATCTGGGAGACCCAAGAGACCAGGAGCCAAGGGAGCTGCGGACTCGTAACCGGCACCAACACGCTCACCAAGGGCACCAGAGAATTTGAGCCTGCTGGGAGCTTGGGATAGGATGGCATTGGCTTGTTGCACCAAAGGACCGACGAAGGGAAGCTTCTCGATGTTGATGAAAGGAAGCTTGATGAGCGCTCCGAAGGCGTGGATGACAACCTTGGTCAGAACGGCTCCCAAGATGGGGCCGAGGGAGTTCTCAGCGAAACGCTTTGTGAACAGGACTCCAGTGGCGGTAGCAAACCAAGCGAGGTCTTGCTTGGTGTTGGGGTCGTTGATGTTGAGGCCGATACGGTAGTTCTTGAAGTCAAAGAGAGCCCTCAGATGGTCGAAGAACTCCTTGATAGCGCCGATAGGGTTGAAGATGTTCTTCAAGATGTCCTTCCAGTCCATAGGGAACAAGATGGATAGAATAAAGTTCCTTGTACCCTTCTGCGTACCTCCTTGGTGGACGTTGAGGATCTCACAGTTGCCGTTGGTAGCAATACGGAGAAGATCCGTGTCGCCACTGTGCAGGCGAATGTCGACCTCACCAATGAGAAGACCGAAACCGTAGGGGTTGGGGAACGAGAGCTCGGCGCCGAAGGGTAAGGGGGCGAGGCCGAGGTGCTGGATGGGGGAGACGAGGACTGGGATGTTGATGTCGAGAGGTTCCCAGAAGTAGAGGTTTCCGGCGTAGAATCCGAGCTTGTCAAAGATGTCAAAGACAACACCGTTGCTACCCTTGATAAGCAACCATCCGAGCATAGCGTGCTGACTGAAGGAGTTCCATGTGAACATGTACGTGAGGGCTTCGTACAAAGGCTCGATGATGCCGTTCGCCTCGTCCAAGTCTGGAACAATCTCCAAGTCGATGACGATTTCTGGGTATCCGATCTTGGGAGGTTGGATGACGACGTCGGTGGCGTGGTAGTTCCTGCCGGTACCTCCGGGCTTGTATTGAACTTGGGCGACCAGCTCCTGGAACTTCAGGTTGACAGGCAGCGACTTCAAGGCTTCCATGGCGGGGATCTTTACGTTTGCTCCGATACCGCGCGCGTTGAGGAAGGCGCGGATGTCGTCCAGGACGATAGGGTGGGCATCCATAAAGGTCTTGATGTCTGCGATCGTGCTGGCGATCGTGGCTTGAGGAACCTCCAAATTGATCTTGGACAACAGACGGAAAGGCTTCTCTTTGCTACCGAAGAGGATGTCCTTGGCACCGGCACTGGTGAGAGGGAAGTGAACGTCCCTGTGGAACAACAGATCACCGGTCAACATTCCGAGGCCGGCAATCAGGTACGCGTTCTTGCGGAATTCAGCTCCAAGGGCGCCACCAAGGTGGCCATCGCGAAGAGCGAAGTTCTCCAGACTTCCAACCATGAACTCTTGGTTTTGCAACATGACGCTGAGTGTACCGTAAGGCAAGTTGAGGCCGAATTGTCCGTTGTTGGGCGCGTGACCGTTGACGCTGATAGCAAGCGCGGAGGTGGTGGCCACATCGACATCAACAGCGTCAAGACCGAATCCTTCGGGCAAGGACAATGAGGTCAATGAGCTGAACTTAGGGAGGCCGTTCAAGATGGTTGTGATCGACACGGAGATAGTAGCAGCTTGTAGGGTGTCGATGTTATCCGTGGCGGATTCACCGAACACAATGTTGGCCATTGCAACGGAGTGCTCCGCAGCAGCCTTGCCGGCGATGTAATCGTTGACGATGGCTGCAATAATGTCTGCAATCTTGTCGCTGTCATTCACATCAACAGAAAGGTTGACTCCTGCGGTGATCATGCCACCCTCCGTGGTAACCTTGATTCCATTGACCAAGTTCCACTTAGCCAACCTATTGAAGTGATAAATGCGTTAGGAAACTACTGAAGCAAATCACGCTCACTAAAGTGCAAAGAACTTACAATTCCGAGTCCAAGCTCATTTCACCGTTCAAGTAGCCAATGTCGATGTCGAAGATGGTTGGCAGACCGACAACTCCAACAGCGGCGTCAACAGTGATCTTGCTCGCTGTGCCCAAATCGACGATAGCACGGCGCAGGGAGATCATCTTCTGGAGAACCTCCGGAGTCAACTTGTCAAGATCGATGCCGAACATCATGAAGATGGCAGGAATCAAGGTACTGTCGCCAGAAACCTTGCCGAAGATATCCTTCGCGGCGATACCGATCTGAGCCATGCTGAACATCTTAATGGCATCGTCCTTGCTCAAACCGAAGGTGATCTTGCTGGCACCGACGATTTGGGTCATGCCCGTTGGGTTCTCCTTGAGATCCTTGAAGAACTTGGCAACGACATCCTTGGCTCCGGTAGGGAAGACATTGTCCATCTCAATAGCAAGGTTGTTGCTACCCGGGGCGATGTTCAAGCCCGACAGGGTGGAAGTGATGAGGTCCGTCTTGTCAATTGCGATAGAGAGGCTGACGTAGTTGAGGCCGGTGATGGTAATGGGCAGGTTGCTCTTGAACGCAACGGCGAGACCAACGTGGACGGCGCGGCCAGGATCGGTCCTAACGAGGAGCTTACTAACCGTGAGGCCGAGACCTTTAACGATGGCAACAAGGTCAAGGTTGAGGGATCCGGTGATGCCTCCGATGGTGCCCAGGAGACCGTTGAAGGGGAAGCTGAAGACAAGAGCTGACAGAGCTTCGATGCGGTCATCGGCGGAAACTCCCATGAGGACGTTCGAGACGGTGATCGCTCCGGGGATGGTGTGGTGGTTGATGATGGCATCGAACAACGCCGCAATGGCTCCAGCCAACTGAGGACTGTCGTGCACATTGACGGAGACGTCGAGGTCAAGGTTGACGTTGGTTCCGTTGGTGCTACCAGTCGTCTTCAAGCCCTTCACAACCATGTCAGCCACGGGAAGCTTGTTGTCAACAAGGACACTGGCGCCGAAGTAGGGAACGTTCAGGGTTAACGGGAAGGCGAGCTCGAGACCCGTGGACAGGTGCATGTCGATGGTCTGATGAGGCTGGAATGTAATGGCAGCGTTGTTCAAGGTGAGCACGGCTTTTCCGATCAGGGCATTATCGATTTGAACCGCAACTCCACCAGTCGGCGTGGTCGTAACGGTGATTCCGGTTGGACCGCCTCCGCCGTTCATCAGACCAGTGAGAGCCTGTACAAGAGGGTCCATTCTGATAGGGAACACGGACTGACTTAAAGCCTGCAAAGAAAGATACCGCCAATGAGCAAAAGACCGGCGAATACGAAGGGAAGGGAGTCTCCAATCTTACCATGATGAGATCCGCGGGGCCTTTCGAAGCACCAGCGGCCAGACCGCCAAGCTCGAGAGTACCAGGGAACTTCTTCTCCTTCAAGTACGTGTACATGTATTCCGCCAACATCTTCTTCAAGCTGTCAGAATCCTTGATCTGAATGAGGGCATCAAAGTCGATGCCGAACGGGTTCGCGAGGTTGACGTTGTTCATCTCGGCAGAAGCTACAGGCACCTTGTCCATGGCGATAGCGCTAGCAGAGACATAGGGCAGCTTGGCGGACAGCGCAATGGGGAGGTGAAGGCCAGGGATGGCGGCGCCGATCGCGGTGTGAATAGTGTCAGCGGGAAGCAACTCGAGAATGACCTTGAGAATCTTCAATGAAGACACATCGGCACCCTTCAGAGCACTAGCTAGAAGCAGTCCCAAATCAATTGGCGGTTTGGTGCTGTCGATAACGGCCGCAAGAGGTAAATGGGCAACGATGCCGGTGAAAGCTTCGATCACATCGGTCTGACTGGCACCGAAACGGATCTGAGACAAGCGAGCACTGGAAACTTGTTTCTGCATGTTGAAGTAGTTTGAGACAACCTTGCCAACGGCTGCGGGCGTCGTGGCAACATCCTCATTGATCTTAACGTTGGTGTTCAAGTTCAAGCTGATGGCGCCATCCGCCGATGGGGCGATGAGAAGAGGCATGCCAACTTGCGCAAGCGGGGCCTCGTCAACACCAGCGTCGGCTCCAACCCAGCCGGCCTGCAGGCGAATGTTCTGGAGACCGCTAGGCAACTTGACACCAGCAGTTCCGTTCACAGCAATGAGTTTGCCAGGGAGCAGTTCGACACCCATGTTTCCGGCGAGGGTGATTCCGTTGAGGAGATCCATCTTGGTGAGATCGATCGGGACGGTAATACCCATGCCAGGCAAGAAGATGCCAAGATCCAAGGCGAGGTCGATTTTGTCGAAGGCGGTGATCAGGTCGGAAGGAGAATAACCGACCTGAACGTTGCGGACGTGTAATTTTGGCTTGTCGCCGGTGCCGCTTAGAACCCAGTTAACGAGGCTGTTAACATTGCTCTTCAATGTGCCGATGTCCTGAATCTGGTTGAACTGAATTGTGCAGTTGTTGACGGCGGCCGTGTTTCCGAAACCGGCAGAAGCATCACCCGCGCCAGGCAAGATCGCCAAACCAAGATGAGTGTCCAGGAAACGAACCGTATCGAGGTCCACGGACGTGCCGAAGTAACCGACGGTAGCGGCGACTTGGAAGGGCATGACTGCCTTGGCGGTCGCAGATAGATCCAATGCACCCCCGGGCAGAGTCTTGAGATCTCCACCGAACTGAGAAAGCTTGAGCATGCCGGCAACATCGGACATCTGAAGGGGAACCTTGAGACCAGCCATCCTCATGACGTCGTCAAGGCTCAGCTTAGCGTTGATCTTCTGAAGGACCTTGTACACATCAGTTGGGCTTGGACCGAACGCAATGTGGTTCAATGCGATCCGGCCGTCCAGGGAGTTTGCCGTGAAAGCCCTCTGAACAAGAGCAGCGATGGCGTTCTGGGTGGCTTCGGTGTCGATAAATCCAAGCATCACCCCAAGACGTGCAGTGCCGGGGAGACTGAGGTGAATGGCTGCCGGGACAACAACGCTCATCAAGGGGTTCAGATCACCGGTCTTGCTGGCGCTGACGTCCACTTCAGCTCCGAAGAAACCAACGTCGATGCTGAGAGGGAACGGGGTCTGGATACCGACATTGGCGGTAGCAAGTATGCGTTTCCCGGGCAAGGTGGCCACCGTAATGATACCACCGCCAAGAGCAGCGGGAACGGCTGTGCCCAAGTCGAGAGGCAAATGGATCATGCCACCCAGAAGAGCGTCCATACTGAGAGACGCGTGGACGCGGCGCAAGATGGTGATGACGTTCGCTTCAGAGGCGTCGGAACCGAAAAGGATGTTTCCGGCTCCAACGTTCATGCCGAAATGTGGAGAGTTCAAGACGTTGTCAACCAAAGTGGCAACAATGTCCTGCATGGCGGGGTCCTCCGTCAATTTCATGTCGAGAGCCAAGCTGAGGGATTTGCGCTTCTCGCCAATGGTGCTGAGAGCGATACCCTGCGGAAGGTTGATCTCTGTAAGTTGCTGGTCTTGGAGGAGGGCGGCGGCGTGGAAGTATCCAGTTTGGAAAACGATGCTGATGGGCAAGGCGAGGTTGAACTCGGCTGTGGCATTCGCGTGAAGGACTTGACCGACGTCTGTCCTGATGCCCGCACTTTTGACAGCGAGGTCCATGTTGCCGGCAACCTGCGTGAACTCAATGGGGAGATGGACACCCATGTCGGTAACCAACTTTTGGGCGGCCAGGCGGATGTTGACGAGGCTGAAAGCGGTGATCTGGTGAAACAAAAAGACGCGTAAGTAATCGCCGAAAGGATTGCGACTAGAGTCAAACTTACCAAGTCCGTCGCACTTTCACCAAGTTCCAGACCGTTGGCACCGATGATGGCGTCCAAGTGGTCCGAGCCCAAAGCCTGTTGGACAAGCTTGTTGACCTCTTCTTGAGTGTTTTCGTTGTCCGTGAAGATGATGTTGGCTTTGACATCGACGAGCTTGTTTCCAGCGTTGACAATGATACGGCTCGGGACTTGAACATCGCACACTGGGCGAGCAGTGTTGACTTGACCGTCAAGATTGGCCTTGGCCGCAACGTGACCGATGTTGACATCCAAAGGAAGACCGAAGAAGCTGAGGTCGGCACCAGCCTCTATGGCGAGGGTCTTAGCAGGCATGGTGCGAGCGGTAATGGTACCCATGTTGCTCATCATGCCTCCGAGCTGGGGCAGGCTGAGGGGAATGTGCATACCGGCGGCCTCAAGCACCTCACGCACGGCGAGAGTGACGTCGATCTTGTTAACGATGGTCAAACGGTCACCCTCAGCGGCAGAGTTACCGAGATGGACGTTCTTGACGCCAGCGGAGCTTTTAACGTCTCCAGTGAAGAGGACGGCATCCACCAAGTCACGGATAGCCTCCTGGGTGGCACGGTTATCGGTAAAGAGCAAGTTGATGTCTTGAGGGACGACGAGGTTACCACGACCAGCAGCGTCACGAGTAATGCTGATGCCTCCACCAACAGTGGCATCGGCGAGAGGGTTGTTGTCGACGTTGGCGCTCAATGCGGCGTATCCGAGCCTCAAGCTGACGGGCAGAGGAAGTTTGAAGTCCGCAGCAGCGTTCACCAGGAGAGAGTGGCCAGCGGCAGTGTACATTTTGACGCTCTTGATGTTGGTGTCAAGACCCCTGATGGTTCCTCCGATGCTGAAAGGAACGGGCATGCCCATGACAGCCATGCCGCGCTCGAGGTCAGCGGGGAGCTCCACCTTGCTGAGGGCAGTGATCAAATCTCCAGCGTTGGCACCGATAGCCAAGCGACCAATGCCGAGAACAGTGGCAAGGTGCTGACCGCGGACGAGCCTGTTAAGGAGCTCGTTGACAGCGATTTGGGTTTGCTCGGTATCAACGAATTGAAGCTGAGTGTTGAGGTTCAACTGCGTGACGCCGTTAGGAGCCTGGATCTCGATGCCTTGGGGAAGGAGGAAGTCCAACATGGGGAAGGAGTTCAAGGACAAGTGGGCGCCGAGGTACCCAACGTGAGCAGTGATCCTCAACGGCAAGTTGATGCCCATGGCGACAATGAGACCCAAGTTGTTTCCGGGACGAGTCTCGATGGTCAAGCCGCCAATGTCGGGGTGCATGTTGCCCATGAGCGAGAAGATGTCGGAAGGACCATCCAAAGCGATCAAAGCGTCGGAGTTGAGGTTCAACTGGACCTTGGTGAAGGCGTTGATGATGTCATTGGCGCTGGCACCTATACGGATGTTGCCGATGTTGAGCACGGTGTCGAGGGAGGAACCTTGGAAGAAGTTGGCCACAAGGTTTCCGACGGAGCGCTGAGCGTCCTCATCATCTTCGAATGGGATCAAAGCGTCGACGTTCATCTGGCTGACACCTCCGCCAGTGATATGGACACCACTGTTCAGAATGAGACGCAAGAGCGGGTGGCTGTTGATGCCAAGGGCAACCTCGAAGTATCCGATGTTGACAGTGAGGGCGAAGGGAAGCTTCAAGCCGACGTTCATCTTGACGCCCAATGTCTTCTGGGGCAAGGTCTGAATGTCGATGACGCCCTCGACAGCGCCCAAAGCCGAGTTCACCAACTCAGACGGGTGCATGGGGAACTTGAAGGGGAGCATGCTCATGGCCCTGTCGATCAAAGCGTTGGTGTCGATGGTGTCGGTGATGGGCGCCAGGTTGACGTCGACGGCGCTGAGAAGGTCGTTCACGCTCTGAGGACTGCCACCGAAGAGGACACCCTTGACGCCGGGAGCCGGGTCGATGTGGCCAGCCAAGAAGTTGTTCACGAACTGAGCAACAATTTCAGGCAACTCAGGGTCGTTCTGGTTGAAGATCAGGACAACCTTGAAGGTCATAACAGCTTGCCCGCGGCTGAGCACGATGTCACTGATTTGAGCAACGACGAAATCGTGACCACCAAGAGTGATCTCAAGCTGAACGAACGGGATCTTGGCGCTGATCGCCAAAGGGTTGTTGTAGCCAACACTACCGCTGACTGCAATGACGCCTCCAGGAAGAGTCTCCAAAGTAGCGGCCTGGGGACCGATAGCCAGCTTGTCAATGAGATCGGCAGATGGCAAGATGTTCGACAAGTCAAGGGGCGAGTCCGCAGGGTTGGCGAGCATCTCGTTGATAACGCTGGGAGGCATGGTGATCTTGACAGTCTTGATCTGGTCGATGATGGCCGGATTCGCAGTACCACGAGTGCCAGGGGGAGACAGGACAAGGTTGGTGATGCCAAACAAGTTGCTGATTTGTCCTCCAGACACAACGTCGTTCACGAGGGTGGCAATCTTCTGAGCCATGCCGTCAGCGCCGGTGGCCAATTGGAGACCAGCCTTGATGTTAAGACCACCCGGACCCAGAGCGAGCTTGAGAGGGGGGAGGGCGAGGCTCAACAAGCGAGCATCGTCGATCAGAGCGTCAAGGTCAATGTTTCCGACGGAGACGGTGATGTTCACGGGGTTGACAAAGTCGGCGCCAATTCCGACGTTGACCTCGGTGGCGGAGACAACCTCAAGGTCAAGCGCAGTGGCGTGAATCATACCAGGCTTCAACAGAGTGCTCTTTGCAGTGGCAGTCAGACGGTCGATCAGGCCAGCAAAGCTGGTCGTGTTCAGCTCAATATTGATCTTGGAGAAGGTCACGAACGAGGTGTTGGCGCTGGGACCGAAGATCAAGTTGGTGATACCGACCGATGAAGGCCCGGCACCCTCGTGGAAGAGAGAGTTCACCAAGTTCTGCACCTTGCCAGGGAGGGCGGGGTCGCGAGACAGGATGGCTTGCGCGTTCAATGGCACGGGACCAGTGCCAGGGAAGAACTTCAGACCTTGGGGAAGGACAGCGGACGCGGCCGGGACCTGCTCGACCGCCAAATCCAAGGATGCGTAACCGAGATCCGCTGTGATTTGGGGAAGAGTATCGGGGAAGTTGACGTTCGCGGCACCAATAGCGGAGAAACCAGGAGCGTTCAACAACTGCTCGATGGCGAGGCTTACAATTCCGAAGGGGATCTCCGTGCCGTTCTTGGTCAGCATGTCGAGCAAACAAGGAATGCAAACGATGGGTGGTAAAGGAACGCCGATAGTCGAGTCCTTGAAGAGAGTGTCACTCCATCCGAACGGCTTGGGTGCCTGGCCGGCAGCCGGAGCAGCGAAGAAGGCGAGATCCTTCAAGTTCAACGTGGACGGCTTGGGCTGAGCGGCCAATAGCGGGTTGATGGCAGCAGCCAAAGCGACTGCTGCGGCTTGAGAGTTCTCGGGCGTAAGGACGACAGTGGTGGAGATCTTCATGTCTTTCGAGGACGTCTCGATAGACAAGGGCCAGAGGTTGAGACCCAACGCGCGTTGGTCACCACCGTACAACGAAGCGGAGATGTTGTAGTTGATGTTGATCTTCTTGGGCAGAGGAACCAGCCGGGGCAGGGCCATGGTAGCAGGGACGTTGATGGAGTCGGACAACACGTTGGCGCTGATCTTGGTACCCGCAGCGATTTGCGAGACACCTTCCAACGTGAGCAGCTTGCGGATCTCACCGAACTTGAGACCGTCCAGAATCTCCTTCATGGGCAGGTACAACTTCAAGGGACCGGTGATGCCACCAACCCATTCGGCGGCACCCAAGCCAATAGGACCGGCAATGGCGACCTTCAGAGAGTCCGTGTCTCCGACGGCGAGGAGCTTCCAGAGGACGGCAGAGATCGTCTTGCTGACTTTGTCTTTGGAAATAGCCGGGTCATCGAAAGAGAGTTCCACAACGAGGTCAAGCTTGTTGATTTCGTTGGGAACGAGGGCGAGTTCGTGAACCTTGGCCTTGGCCATCAACTGGTCCTCGAGCTCCAAGCCGAAGGTGAGGCCCTGGACCTTGGCGAGAGCCAACTTGGTAGGGTTCTCCATGAAGATGGTGGTAGCGATGGTGATACCTGCATCGTTCATGACAACATCCAACGCCTGGATGTTGATTTGGGGAAATCCGATGTCGGTCAAGATGCTGATCATGTCCTCTTGCTTGAAACTCAACGCCATCTTCTTGTTGACGTCGGGGTTCTTCAGGAAGGTAGGCGCGCCCTTCAGGATGGTGAGGAGCTTGGAGTCAAAGTGGTCGATCATGCCCAAGTTCAGGTACAATTCTAAGCCCTTGTACCAGGTGATTCCGAACATCTTGATGGGGAACTTTCCACGCGCTTGGAGCTCAACGTTGTTAATGCCTTCAGGCGACGAAAGCTGTTGCACCAACTTGGAGGTGGCGGCCATGTTGGCATCCAGAGTTCCGACGTTGCCGTCCATATCAATGACGAGACCCTTGTTCAGAGTGGCCTTCAGGCCTGGGATGTGAAGGTTAAGCAATTTGGTCTTCTCGTCGCCTCGCTTGTTGAGCTGGACGTCGGTCTCTCCGATTTCGACGGTAATGGGCAGCCAGTGAGGTGCAGGCAGTTGAGCCTTCACACTGAAGCCGAGTTGTTGGGCGGAGTAGCTACCGATGGACAGCCTTTCGAGCTTTACGTCGCTGAGCTTCTGCTTGTTGAGCTCGTGTTGTACCATTTTGGGGATGACAACAAAGTAACCGACGGGGATCATGATGATGAGGAAGATGGCCCAGAACAGAAGAACGTGGATGACGATGAACTGCCATCTGCGGTAACGACCACCGCAGTAGCGAGGCGCGCGGCGCTGCTTGTCGGTAAGGTTGGGCGTCTTGTAGTCGTAGACAGGCTAGTGACAAAAGAGAGATCGAGTTAAAAGGAAGCTCGAAAAGGTTGACGAAACCGAAAAGAAGCACATTTCAGGCGTACCTTATACCAGCTCGCCACCCTGCCAGCAAATGTCGCTTTTGGCGCAGAGAGCGAGTAGTTGTCGTCGGCGGTGCGGTGAAGGACATTCTCTGGGTCGTTCTCGTCCAGATCATCGGCAGCAAGATCCTGGCGGACCTGGTCCTCAGGGATGTTGTGAGCGTGAGCGTAAGCCGAGACCGCGTCGTACTGGCCATCGTAGCCGTCGGCGGCAGTGGGTACTGATGCGGTGTGCTCCAATAGTGGCTCGTCGACATGGGCCGAGTGAGGGGCCGCCGAGTGAGGGGCCGATGCCACCGGGTGATATGTTTCGGTGGACATGATTAGGGGATATCTAAAAGTAAGAAGAAGTCTGTCTAGGTCTAAGAGTCAGCAGGAGACCAGCTCCGTTGGGCCGAAGGGGAATTGTCTCTTTGGTCGCAACAGATACGGCTGGAGTTCTGATCCTAGACAATCCTAGAAAATGGGTTGAAAGATGGAAGCGGTTTCGCCGATGTCGCTGTCGCAAAGCTCGAAGGACCAGCCCGAGCGGTATGTGAAGCGGCGATACAGTATACTTTTTGGAAAATCGTTCAACGGCGAGGGGGACGACGTTGCAAGGTATTATAAAGGAGGCCTGCGACTGGCCGCTGTTTCGATCGGGTTCGACGGGGCCTTGTGAAAGCTCACCCACATCCAGCCGAAAACCTTTTTTATTAGGTGGAGATGTAAGCCAATCGCTTCTTGTTTCGCTATCACTCCATGAGGTCACGCTAGTAGCGGGCGGACATGGAACAGCGCCAACAAGGCCAACATGGATCTCTGCGGGAATTGCGAGCCGCGTGGGGACGGCAAATTTGCCCGTACGAATTGAAGCGCGACGGAGCCCACAGGCAGGTCACTTGGGGGGGGCACGCCTGCAAACGAGTGTCAAACCACATCCAAAACTTACAGTCTTACACCACAGCCCGCAGAGAACAAGGAAAACCAAACGACACCGAGGCATTCCCAGGCGCTGGAAAGCCATGATACCGAGGGGCAAGAATTTTTGTCCTGCGGCCGAACGGTTTCCAACATTACAACCAAGATACGCCCTATTGGAGAAAAACAGGAAAATGTGAAATTTTGTCGGAGACTCGGTTTGCCGCTAGCTCTCCCGAGGTCCTGGCTTGTTGTACCGGCGGATACACGACTCTAGACTATATATCCTATAAGCGGGCATTGCCCCTGCAGATCCCACATAATAAAATGCGTTAAGACTTAAGTGAAGTACTACGTATAAGTCTGAAGGGGGCGGCTTCAATCACAGTATAACATAGTAGTATACCCCCCACGAGCCCCGCGGTGATAGGGGGCTGTGTGAAACATGCCGTGCTCCGAAACTCCAAGGCTGCTCCCAAATTTCACAAGGCTTGTGAAAGGAAGGCACCCTCTGTCTGGACTCGGGATTGAGTACGCCCATGGAATGAGGCACCAGTAAGCCACAGTAAGACACAGGTTTCCGCTGTATCATCTCCGTCCTCAATGCGACTCCTCATGCACTGTGCACCGTAAAAACCAACACACTTATCGTGCGTGGTTAGGGCGCTGAGGAACGTCGGAGTCCAGCCTCGCTCACATGGGGCATGTGTAGCCAGCCAGATCTGTACGGTAAAAAGGCCCGCTCTGCGGCAATTTGTCAGTACGGAATCAAAAATTTCGCTGGAAGCCATTTATGGGCGGCCTCATCCAATTTCTCGCTTGGATTTACCACGAGGTTATATAAACCAACAAGCTTGGCCGCCGCACAAATTTGCGCGGCCCAACTGAATCCATTCCCAACGGCTTAAGTTATCTGGGAAGCATTTTACTGTAACTTCAGTGCTTAGCGAGCGGCACGGGGGGTTGTCTTCTCTCTCAGACTATGGACTAACGAACTTGCTTGTTACCCGTCACTTCGATGGACATTCCAGTTTTGGGGTTTCCGTGGGTCAATCATGGACCACCAAGCAACACCCTTCGCAAAGATATATACACCCTCCCCACATCCCTCTTACAAACTCACAACGTATCGACAATAACGAGAGTTCTTGTGCGGGTTGATCGTTGTTGGATCGCAACGGCTGTTGTAGTTGCTCGCGTGGAGACGCAACGCAATGTGGTCCTCTTCTTTCTCAGTAGCGCGATAAAGGTTTGTCTCTTGCTTGCTTCTACTTCTATCTCGGCATGTCATTATCGCTCGTCATGCCACGGCACAAAACGGCCTTCTCGTCGGCTCCTTCCATCGAATTCAATATGATCGCCAACCAGTGATCGCGAAGACGGCACGCATACGCATACCAATGAGAGTTAGGAAAATCGATCTCGATAAAGGCAAGCGGGTTGGGCATATCCATCGATCCTTTCGATGAGGAAACAGCACCAGCGGATTGGACTGTGCAATTAGCGGAACAGATGGGAACCACCGCTCCGTATGCAAATTTTTGTTATAGTGAGAGGTTGCCGCCCTGTGATCAGGACCTATCCCTTTCTATCCGCCAGGTAATATGTGCCAGGGGTAGTACGTAACCAGGGCGGTCGGCGCTGCTCTGCACGACGCAGGGAGGCGAGAGTAACACATGTCAGCATTGTTCAAGTTACGATGAAGGATGAATATGTTCATCCGATTGTTGTATGGTACAGCAATGCCGCCCCACCCCGTCCTGAAAAATCCATCATCAGAAAAATTGCGGGTTTTCCAGTGCAGTGGCGATAACGGGAGTCTATGTCGGCGATAAAACTTGGTAGCCATTCATTTACACAGGCACAAGCGTCAGACAGCCTCCGATTACCAAAAATGTTTCCCCATTTCTCGCAGTACATACGCGCAGAGCAAAAAGATGCCCGGAATCTCGAAATCACCTCCCACAATCCCCCGGGGGACTCAAGATTGGAAAGAGTCGATGATTGCGAGCAGTTTGGCTTTCGTAACGGGTTTCGTGACGTACTGGTCCATGCCCGAGTTCAGGCCGGCCTCGACGTGGTCCTCGCGCGCGTTCCCTGATAACCCGATGATGGGGATATGGTGTTCTTGTGAAGATGAGGAGACGTCTGGCGACCGATTGTTGGGATGGGCTTCCAGTTTTCTGATCTCTTTTGTTGCTGTCAGGCCGTCCATCTGGGGGTAGGTGATTGGGCGGGTTATTCGCTGTTGGAAGAGAACTGGGAGTAAAGATGCGTCGTCCTTACCTCCGGCATGATGATATCCATAAAGATCAGATCCGCCTCTCGGTATAGCGAGAGGGCTTCCAGACCATTGTTTGCGATCAAAACCTTGTACTTTGCCGTCTCCAAGAACCGTATCATGATCTTTTGATTGAGAACGTTGTCCTCGACGACAAGGACAGTCTTGATCATTTTCTGTGCTGGGGATCGTGCGTCCGAAAGGGCGGGCTGCACTGTTTCAGCACATCGTGCCGTGACAGGCTTCGCAACAAAGCCAGAATCAGAGACCCTTCTTTGGTACACACGCGACGAGCAGGATGCCCTGGGTATTTGCAGCAAGTTGTCCCGCGCGCTAAGCCGCTCGGACGAGTCGTTACTGCTCACATCTGATGAGGTTCCAATTGATGCTTGACTCGACCTCGTCTCCGTAGGGGTGCCGCTGCGCGGTGATATTGCGCTCGCGACAAAGGTGAATCTAAAGTCGGAACCGAGTCCCTTCTCACTCGTGACCGTGAGTGCGCCGCCCATGAGCTCCGCGAGACCCTTGGAGAGGTACAGTCCGAGGCCGCTGCCGCCGAACTGGTGGTATTGTTGCGAAGTGGGTTGATGGAATCGTTGGAATAATGCGGTCCTTTCTTCAGGCGACAGCCCGCGGCCCGTGTCAGCTACACTGACGCAGAACTCGATGGTCGAGCGAGTGCGTGCTAGTATGGAGACGCTGACTGTGATTGAACCGTCGTCAGTGAACTTGACCGCATCTGCGATAAAAAGAGGAGATTGTGTCAACGGCCGATCGAGCTACTCATGTGCTTGCGCCGCATACAAGGACTTACTGGCTAAAAGGTTGACCACGACTTGAGAAACCCTCTTGGGATCTCCGATGCAGCGCACATCACCAATGGGAAAGTTGACCCGCAGATCCAACCCCTTCGACGAGGCCTGAACCTCAAACATCTTGCAGACGTTGTGTAAGGACTCCTTCAAGTCCATCTCAACCTGATCGAGCTTGATCTTGCCAAGGTCCAACTTGGAAACGTTGAGCACATCGTCGGTGATGATCTTCTGATGGGCGACACATTTGCCAATGGCGTCGAGGGAGTCTTCATCATCCACAAGCTGAGCTTGAAGTAACTGGATATCGTCATCCGTCAAGGAAGGCTTTGCTAGCACCTTGCGTCGCTCCGCAAGACTTGATTCCATTAGTTCGACGTTGCCAGAGATACCGTTCAGCGGGTTTCGCAGCTCATGGCAGAGTGAGTCGATCCAATCCTCTTGCTGCCTCTGATGTTCTTCAGCCTCCTGGGCACGATGCCGCTCAGCTGTGCGTAGATCAGTGATGTCCAAGATGGTATGCACATGTCCGCGGACATTGCCTTCTGAATCTCTGTTGTTGACCGTCTCGCCCGTGACCCAACGAATGGTCCCATCGCGAAGGACGAACCGATATTCGATTCGACTACCTAGCTCGGGAACTGCTTGATTGTCGCCACCGTTTCCCATGGGTACGTCAGCTCTACCGAGGGTAGCAGTGCCGATGGAGGCGGTGTTGAATGGCCAGATGCCTGATAGTCTCTCTCTGTCTTCTGGATGAATAGCATCGAGCCACCCAGAGAGGCGAATCTCAATGGGGGTCCTGTCCACCAGTTCACAAAAGCGCTTGTTGACGTAATAGTCCGCAGCATCGCCGAACGCTGTGCCGTATACACCGACCGGGAGAATTGAGAGCAAAAGCTGACTCTCATTGCGCTCGCGGCCTAACGCACTCTGCGCTTGGTGAGACATGACATTCAACGAGGAATGTAGTGCAAACTCTGCGGCTTTTCGTTGCTCGTTCTCTTTTTGCAATGCCGTAACGGTATGCTGAAGCAGTTGTAGCTTGGTCTCGATCCCCTTGACATCATAGCCGGCTGGCGCGGTGGAGGAGAAGTTTCGCAAAACGTCGTCAACGGCCACACGCTCTTGAGTTTGCGGCAGATGCTTAACGATGTCGACAATTGGGGCAACTTTCGAGTGCAGGTTGCAGACTTCCACGAAGTACGCTCGCTTGGTAGGGTCTCGAAAGTAGTCCAAGCAGTAGCCGCAGAGGAGAGTGAAGCGATGCTTTCTGCGCAATTCGTTCCACATCGCTTCGATAGCGAGTACCATGTCGAAACGGTTCCACTCCCAGAGTAGGTCGACCATCTCGCCGTAGATATAAACGCGACCCGGGTATTGACTCTCTACTGAACGCACGAGATTGCCTACCACCTCATCGTACTTCCGCGGGCAGAGATCCCCGTTGGGAAGTTGTAGCACGCTGAGGACGTCCTCGGCATTGAGGAGGATGAACGAACCCCTTTCCTTGAGCTTTCCGACATCAATATCCCGATGGCGAAGCTGCTCTTCGATCGCTTTGGTACGACGGGCACGTGCAACAACGATCACAGCGTTCCTTGCGGCCAAGTTGGGAGCGACGAACCCTGAATTGCCATAAAGCCATCTTTCAAAAAAAACTCTTTCCATTGCTATAACCAAGGATTGATGACAATGAAATCCTTACCGACGACGATATTCAAAAGGTGCTCCTCAGACTCCCAGAACTTGCATATGTGGTCCTCCGCATGGTCATGGGCGTGTCCCTTGTGACTGCGGGTTGCCGTAGCAGTGATGGGTTTGACGTGCGCAGCTACGTCCCTGTACGTCAGAGCTTCCGCCGCAACTAGCGGTGCGGCCAGTTCTGGCGAATGGTACGGCGGCGGAGGTGAGCTTCCGGGTGGGGACGACATTGTCTCGGGGTCAAGCGGACGTCGAGCGTCGAATGGTCGGGCTAATGGCTCAGCGTCAGCGGTCAGTCCTGAACCGTCGACAGTACGCAGGGTTGTCACTGTCTTTGCTGTAGCCTTCCTTTCTCACAAGTTCCCAGGGAAGATTGAGAGTAAGTCTATGCGGTATGACGAGAGAACTCGTCTCAACAGCAGCGAGCTCAGCAACACTCATCATTGAGCTCAGCAACACTCATCTCAAGATCAAGCTTGACGGGTGCGCGGGTAATCTCGGCACTCTCGGTTTATAAATGATCGGCTTCTGACGTAACGTCCACGCACCCGGTAACAGGAGAGATCGGCGCGTTGCAGATCATTCCGATCCTTTGTCACCCAATCGGAGTTGCCCAATGCCCACTCTTAATGTGGGAGAGGAGTTTTGGGCTGTTTGCTCGTCGAAGGAATTGAAAGTAGAAGCGATTATAGTACGTAGTTTATGGTAGAACGAGTTACTATCCTACGTATATACTGTATATACAAGGGTTGCTATCAACTGACTCAAAAGGGGGCATTACAAAAGGGCTCTTGATTCGCGAGTGTCTCACTGGAGGCCGAGGAACCGGGTCGCTGAGTTACCCCAACCTCCCATCCACGAGCCTTCCTCTTCCGCTACTTCCGTCTCCTCCCACATCTCCTTCTCGGCGGGCGAGCTGGGTACTTCAGCCGGGGGAGTGCGTTTAGTCTGCGTCTCCGTGACAGACACATTGACCGCAGTCGCTTTGATACCTTTCGCAACCTTATCCTTATGCCTCTGAATATGTGTGCGTTTCACAGTGACGCTCTTGCTAGAAATTGCTGAGACTTCGACTTTGCGACGCTTGTGGTTTTCGCGTGGAGTGGTGTGCACATGTTCGCGTGCGACAATCGCCTCTTCCGCTGCAGTAGCTATGGCGGCCGTCGGTTTACGGGTGGTGGATGGACCGGTAATCTTCCCAGCATTGATGGTCGCCAGCTCTTCCCACTCTCGTTTCCGTTTGCTCACCACTCCGGCAGGGACCAGTGGCTGTTCAGCGATGTTCTGCGTTGCCACTGATTCAGACATGGTAGGAGTTTCATGTGAAGTCTCGAGAACACTATCTGTTCTGCGCGCCGGAGTGGATTGTGTGGGTGCGTGCGCGATGGTTGGCGCGCTCTTGGTAAGCTTGGGCGATGCTTCCGCAGCCGAAATTGGAGACGAGGCCGAAGAAGAAGCCTGGCTCTTCACCTTCTTCCGAGTTTCGGAGGGGGACGTTGACGACACTTGACTTCCATCGGCTTTCCTCTTCTCAGCGTTCGATACTTTCCGGATGTCAGATTTGGTCGGAGACCGCGTGGATGATGCTCCTTTTCGTTTCGGAGGCGATTTGGGCTTCGATGGCGGCGGTGAGGCAAGATCGGTGGCTTTCGATAAGAAGTGTTGGCGAGGGCTTCTGCGAGGTGGTGGCACATCCCCGTCGGCGGACGTGGGTTTTGGAGCGGGGGATGGTATGTGTTCGGTAGATTCTGGATAGCTGACAGCCTCCTCGGGTTCAGTAGCCTCTGGATAGCTCACAGACTCCTCGATAAAGGCATCAGGGGCACCATTCGTCTCAATCTGCGCTGGTTGAGCACCCAAAGTGCGCTCCGGCGATGCGACAGGGAGCTTCACGCCATCAGCGGGAGACCCATTGTCGATCCGGCCCTCAAATATCGCCCTTCTTGAGCGGAAGTCAAGGCAACCCTCCGACTCGGCGGATGATTCCGATGCCTCCTCTCGGCGTCGTACCGACCTACCAAAGTACTCATGTATTCCCGGCGGCGTTTTCGGAGCTGTCCACTTGAAAGGTTCAACAGCCGCTCGGCGGACGGCATCCGCTGTAGAGGCAGGATTCGAGGGACCCCCCTTTTCAAAGGCTTGAATCGTCTCTCTAACGCTCAATGTTCGCACTCCGTAATCCGACGCCTGCAAGTCGACAGTTGTCCCAGTTTCGATCGCGACAACACGATTTCGAACTTTGCCGCCGTTAAGGCCACGAATTAGCCCGGAGTGTGAGCATTCTGTCTCTCCGGTTTTCATTTCGGATTGCAAGGAATGGATAGCTGTTGGAGAAGGTACACTATTAGTGTTTTCTGGTCCGTCATTCGCCCTTGCAAAGACTGAGATCTAAGATCAGTACCTGTTGAGACGCGTCCAGTCTTTCGAGAGGTTGGGGATGCTGGCATCGTTCTACCACGGGCACGACGGAGTGAAAGCCTTAAGTATCTGAGCAAGCTAGTCCAGGCTGCTCGACGATTGCGTTAGCGTCCTAAGCTATGTAGTTAGGTCTGGATCCAAGTGTGATGTTCAGTTCTAAATGAAGTGTAAGGGGAGGCTTGGCAGCCGCCAACGTCACTCATTGACAGTCACAAACCGCATCTGTCAAAAAGTGGGACAGAATTTTGACGGGTGGTCTTCAATGAGGTTACTCCACAGTTTCGCTTTGCCTCCCTTTCGCTTTGAGTTTGAAGTCGGGGGACTCGGGGCCATCTCATGATCGGGCAAATATGTTAACCTCGGAAGAAAGCCATCGGGGGCTCACGAACCACTAAGAGACTGGTTTCTTTCGACTTTTCGATTTCTCGCTTCCATCCAACTCGCTTGAGACTCGGGTATCTGCTGCTACACAGAGAATTTGACTAAAATGACCTCAAACAACTCCATGCCTCGAATTGGGAGCGGTGCTGTCCCCATCGCGCCCACCTCCGGTATCCCTATGCGGGACGCTCCAGGAGCTGACCAACAGATGAGCAAAAGCACCCCGCACATTGATCCATTTCACAGGCATGTTTGAAGGGCGGCTTTCGGTATTTGACATGGCTGTTTTGTTAGAGAGAGTCTCACGTCTAATCTCTCTATATCTTGCAGCCTTGCTGGGCTTTTCCATCCTCATCGAACGCAAGATGAGGCGCACGTACAAATCGATCTCCTACTCATAAAGCTCAATGGCTTCCGTTCAAATGCTAAATCTCTGCATGATTCGAACTCCCTTCTAGACAGCGCCCGGCCACTTGAACCCAATCATGCCTGCTTTCGGTGAACCACGCAAATCTTCAGGTAAATGACCATGCCCAGTATTCGGACGAGCGTTGGCACAAAGGCCACTCACATACCTATCAACCCCTCCAGAGGAATTCCTCAATTCTCTCCGCCACCGTCTCGCCATCCCCATCGCGACAAGAAGCCATATCACTTCATCCGGCTCCGAATACGGCGCAGATGAAGACGATCAAGCCGAAGATGGTGAACATATCCACCTCTCTCGATCTGCACCCGAGTCGTCATCTTTGAGTGCGTCAGCAATGGCTTCAAGCTCATCTGACGCTGGCGAGCATCGAAGCGGATCTCTTTCGACGTGGTTGCATGAGACTGAGGAGAGATTTGTTGAGAACTTCACCCGTGTGTTGACGCCTGTGGAGGATATGATGCTGGAGGGCGGATTTACCGTCTAGAATGTCTGATGTATCAAGTTGCTGAGTGTGTGATCTCACGGTGCGGAGAGTTACTCTGAATGCAATCTTTCGAGCTAGTCAACCAATTTCCTTGTGCGCATCCGCCCCAGATGTGGCTTCCCATTATCTACGCCGTGTATATATGTATGTAGTGGATGCGTAATAGCATAACAATGGTCCGGTGAACGAGTTCTGTTTCTAAACCATGCCTCATGGTGAGATTCGGACTTCTCCCATGTCGGTGGCAGGGTCAATGACAGAAAGCTTTCCACTTCCAGTCGAGCAACTTTTGCAGGGCAGCATCCGATGTTCGAGCGCGTCAAGAAATTCACCACGAAGCAAATGTGTTTACGTCGTTGATGTGTTTACAGTCCCCCCCCACAGTGCCTGGATAGAACCGCTCAGCTCTATACGCACATGCTACCACTCCACCGATCCTAAAATCTGAGATCCTCTTTGAACCCACCGACGTATGGCCTACGTGTGACTCGCTTGACACCTGTGGCCCATCCCCTCATTGCTTCTCTAGTCTTGCGCGCCCGCATTGCCCTTGCGAAGTAAGTTCCCCTTGACCATGCTTATTCGGCCAGCGCGGGCTTGTCCCAGTCATCGCCAAACTTTCTCAGAGCTTGATTCAGCGAGGTTAGGGACCTGCCCGTTGGTGGATGCAATTTGATCCTCTTCGCATCCACTTTCTTGATAGTATCAGTAATATCCTCGTTGTCCTCGTTGGCTTTCCGTTTCACATAGTCGATGATCGTTTTACGCCGATTGTAGAGGCGTCGCTCAGCATCGAAACACCATGTCAGCCTCGCGTCCATCTCCTGTACCTTTGCATTCAGCTGAGCTATGGACGCATTGACTTCCCTATGCGACTCGAAGGTTTTGTGCAATTCCCGGGGTCCTCGATGGTCTTTTGCACTCCTGACGAGGTGCTCCGATCGCGTTCTTCAAGCTGTGATGAGATTTCTTGATGCTTTCCTTCAAGGCGTTCCGTTTGCGTGAGGAGATTTATCTTGTTTAAGTCTGAAGGTTCAACAGATGTTAGCAGGCCAAACGACACCATCGAGAACTAGAAACCGCTTTTGGGCACCACCCTGAGGCAAGCACCAAGATGCAAGCTGCGTAGGCATCTTGCTGGTCGCCTCGAGTGGAAGTCCAGCGATGGCACCCTATGTAGGCTGGTTAGCACAGACCCTGGCGACGAGGTATCGATACATCGTATGTACAGTACGTACAGGAACCTCGGACGAGTTACGGTACCACCTGATGCCGAGAGAGTACGAGAAAGTCGATCTCGATCTCGAGTTCGGACAACCCGGTTTTCGGACTGCATGTGCAGCCGGCTCTGGCTGGGCAGCTGCAAACTGCAATGCATTGCATGCACTCTTTCCCCGCACAAGCGCAAAAGTTCCCACCAGTGTAGTTTTCTGAGGATAAAGCGTCTCCCCTCTGCAACTACCCTTCAAAGCGACCCCAAAGAGCACCCATTTGGGCAAGGTGTCTAACTCAGTTCGCCGTTGAAACCCTCCATATCCTCAGCGATTATGACCACAATGGAGGACGATCGCCGACCTGACCAAGATGAACCTCTGCATAAGCGACGGAAGCTGGGTATGTCTCCCTCTATATATCGTCTGGTGCTATTGATGCCTGTGTGCAGGTCTCTCTTGGCTGCACTCTTCGTGAAGAGAGCTTTTCAGACTGACTAAAATGTCCCATCACCATTGCAGACTCCGCTGCAGGTGTTAGCTTTGAATCACAACCTGTCAACTCAGACAGTCGTGACGAAGGCGACGAGGAGGGCGACGAGGAGAAACGTGAGCTAGGGCCGTGGGAAACCTCCTCTAACGAAGCCGTCTACTTGAAGTTCGGTATGGTTGCGAGCTCATGCTGAACGTCAAGACTACTCCCGTCTCTTAACAACGTCGCCCGCAATAGTGAACAACGATATGTTAACGGGCGCAAATAGAAAGGACAAGTGGATGACAGAGAGAGAACAACAAGTATTTCATCCGGAGTTTACGTATCCGATATTTGGAATGGAGGAGGTCATCTATGGATACAAGGATCTAAAAATCGACGTAAGCACGTCGGCGTTAACGATGTATGCGGTACGGTGCATTCTGACGTGGTTTTTTCCCAGATCCATTGCTCTGCTTCCACTCTGTACACGTATCTCAGCGTGACGCATAATGGCACTGCAGAAGGCCTCACGACGAGGAAGCCAGACGATGTCGTGTCGCTCCTGAAGCAGTACCTCCCGCCAGACGTTACCGAAGACCTTGATTATTTCAATAGGCGCGTAAGGGCAGACGAGGACTGCTTCGTACCTCTTGGCGAGCCGATTGGGGAATACCTGAGCACTGAAGAGAGGGATGTGTGCTATGAACTTTACCATGTAAGTTGACGTTTTTCAACAAGGGGAATGTCCTGCGTATCGCAGCCGCTCGACCAAGACAACGAACTGAAACTCGTACCTTGCGCGCATAGGTCACATTCATCACACCCGGTTTCGTCGATTTGCATCGTAGATTGCAACCCTTTCTCCTCTTCTACATTGAGGGAGCATCCTACATCGAGGAGACGGACGAGCGGTGGCAGCTTGTCTTATTGTGAGTTTCAATCCAGCTCTCCATATGTACTTCGTATGCACTTTTACTTACGCGTTCTTCGCGCCTACCTTCAGATACGAGAGAAAGTCACGCGACAAAGCCAAACCGCTTTACTCGCTAGTCGGTTATATGTCCTACTACCCATTCTTCTATTACACACCACAAGCGTTGGACCATCAAAGAGTCCGAATAAGGTAAGTCGCCACCGGCAAGCCCAGGAAGGGTTAACGTGGGACTCACTGCCTCCCCTTGCTTCAGTCAGTTCGTGATACTGCCTCAGTTTCAACGTAGGGGGCACGGACGTAGGTTCAAACTCGCAAATTACCGAACCAGCGCAGCACTTGACCTACCAGACTGATGTACCCTACGGTTCCTACAGCTAAGCTATATGAGAAACTGTACCAGTATTTCCTATCACAAAAGCATATTGTAGAGATTACAGGTACGAATCGGCATCAAATTGCGTCGTGTCTTTGTGGCCCCACTTCCGTCTCCCAACACCACTTTCACATCGTGAACGCAGTCGAAGATCCTAATGAAGCCTTTCAACGGCTCCGCGACAAGCGTGATGTGATCATGATGCTGCGGTCGCGTATAGACCCATCCAAGTATCTGTATCCTGCCGCTTCGAAGGTCAATGGGAATGAGCACAAGGAGTCGGGGGCTCAGAAAGACGCCGTAAAGGAGCTGGCGAGGAAGCTGAAACTGAACAAGGTGCGTTGCCCAGATATTGGTCTCCGAGGACATTTGGTGTCGAAGTCGAGAGTGGGCAGTCGCTGGTGCTATAGCATGCTTTCATGCTAACCGGCCCCTCAACGACTTCCATCCAATCAGCGTCAAACACACCGGTGCCTCGAAATGTTGCAATTCCGGACCATAGAGGAGCGGGGGATATCCACGAAGGAAGGCAAGAAAGCATTGGCTGCCTTCCGGGTTGCGGTCAAGCGGAGATTGTTCCGACAAAATGAGGTGCGTATGGTTGCGGGGGCCCATTTTGAGTTCCTCATTTACTGATGAGTCTGTTCTACGCTTCTTCATAGGAGGCTCTTTCATCCATGGAACGAAAAAAACGACTGGAAGCCTTAGACGAGACGTTCGACTCTGTGATGGAGGAGTACGAGGCCGTCCTTGAACGGTTGGATCCCGACGAAATGCCAATGTAATGACTGATTCGGGCGGGGAGAGCTGCGAGTTGCTGGAACGGCGTATTTATTCAGTACGCAGAACGGTGGGCAACGCCGCGGAAGTGCGTCGAAGTCCTTGATATCACTCAAACCTCGACACGCACTGCGCGCGCACCAAACTATGGAAGCAATTCGGTTTCCGCACTTCATTTCTTATGATTACAGTTCTCGAAGTCAAAAAAATACGAGAGACGAGCGTGGAGGTACTGACGCAGCAGTGTATCGTCAAGGATGCCAGTCAACGTTGTACATTTTCCAATAGGGCATTCTTCGCCCTCCCAAATGCGAGATTCTTTCAAAATGTCTATCATTATTGCTCCATTCCGCATGGGCAGGCTGACACGGTTTCGTTCTCCTTCCTCTAATACCCCCCTCCGACCTCCAGTAACCAAAATTGCCCCGGTCCATCGTCACTCCGTAATGGCCAAATTCGCTCTTTGCTTTCCAGAGTAAGCAGTGTGTTCACCGGAAGGCCCGACCGGTGGAAGGGCTGGCGTTCGTGCTTGTTGCCGACAAGTAGTAGGTTGCCTTTGCTACCAGATTGTAGGCGGTTGAGGGGAGATACCAGTAAACGGCGTAAACGATGAAAAAGGCGAAAAGGAGGATAACAGTGTCTACGAAGAGAAGGTGGTCAGCGTTCGAAACCAGAACTCGAAACCAGAAGAGGGCTACTGTCCACTCTGATCGAAGAGGTATACTTTCTCCTTCACAGAATTGGAGGGACATCATATACTCACTGAAGCAGGCCTTTTCCCACGGCTCCATCATATACAAGCCGAAAGTGTACTCATACTGCTTCAGTTTGATTGCCAGGAAAGAGCGAGCGGGGGCTGGGCCTTGGCGTGGGCGGTATGCCTTGTGCACATGACCGTCGGCAGTCACTGTTGTCGCTGACGAGGCCGAGGCCGTTGCGGATGGACGGACGTGCAGGTTGGCCATTGTGGTGCTGCTCGACGGTGGACTGACTGAGAGTGGTAAAGCAATGGGGAGTTGCTTTGGACAGCGACGAGTTTTCGGAGGTTGGCAGCAACTTGGCAGTTCCGAGTGTCTTTCAGTCTCAAGGTGGTTCTGACGACAAATGGGGCCTACTTGCGGTCCAGCTTTGCGGCCACCCAACAGGCAGGGATCCGCCGGAGCGCGAAACTGGGCGCGTCTGCAATTGCTGAACGAGATTCGGGACTCGGAAATCCTAATAGTCGTACCGTTTGCGCAGAACGCATACGTTGCTGACGCCAGAAAGGGAATATCGCCATATTGCTCCTTCGTACTTACCATGCCAAGAAACGCCGCATTGACGATGCTGGGCGACGGCGACAACTTGAAAAGTGGCAGGGTGCTTGTGCGGGCTTGCCTCGTACGTCTTTGCCCTGCACCCGTTTCCTCTTGATCTCCCGCAATTCTCTGCCTTGCAGCAGGTTCCCACCACATCAGAAGATATCGACGATGTTTGTCCCTCAAAACCGTGTATCGGCGTTGGTGTCCCTGCACAAGCGCGCGCTAGTTATCTTCTTCGGCATCGCCTTCCTCGTTACTCTGACGCTTACGGCAACATTCGCCAGTTCGTCCTTTCTCAATGGGTCGTCCCATTTGCTACGCCGGAATCCGCACAGTCTTGGTGCGCACCACTTGAACTGTACGTTCGATTATCGTGGCCCGCTGTTCATTGACGACCTGGGCTGCTTTGCGGAGAGCATCCCGTATGCCTCGCCGGTGTACTTTACGGAAGTGGAGAACGGGGTCCACGATCTTTCTGGGATTCGCATACCGGGAGGGAAGCCGCCGTAAGTCAGTCTCGTTTGACATCATTATCTCCCTGCCGGCGTCAATACTCATATCGGTCTCCAACCTTTTCGCTATGCAGGATACCGATTTTTATCACCTTCAAAGATCGAATCACCTATCTGGTGGAGACGATCAGAGCACTTCATCGCAATATCCGCACGCCTTTCGAAATCGTCATCATCGATGACACTTCCACATTTCCCGCTGCAGTTCAATTCGTGGAGAGACTTGTGGACTCCAAGGTCACTGTCCTGCGCGTGCCTCAATATGAAAGCGGAAAGTTCGACAGTCTTTATGCTGTGATCGCCCGGATGATTACGGAGTATATGAAAGAGCGATCGAAAGCAGACTACTTTGTATGGACAGACCCTGATGTGCCGCTCGACAGCGCTCCAGGGGACATCCTGGAGGTGTATGCGGCGGCGCTGGAGGGTCTCGAAGCGCACAATGTGGGGGCGGCGATCCGGAATGACAACTGGACCGAAGATATGCGTGACAATAAACACGGGAACGAGCAGGATTTCATCAAGCTACCCGCATCCTGCTTCGTGTACCGCGAGATATGTTACTATTACATACACGCATCGATTGACACGACGTTTGCCATGTACAGGAGAAATACCGTTCTCCAGCGGCTGGTGGGCCCAACGGCTCGGATGCTCTCGCCTCTGGCAGTTCACCATCTTGACTACCTTATCGACAAGACGAAAATCCCTGAAGACGTCAAGTACTATGTGAAGAGGACGAAGGGCGATATCACCCATTCGTGGTTCAAAGACCATGTTGAGAAGTCACCGAGTTGAGACTAGCAGGATATCAACGGAGGAGGAAGGGGAGTAGAGCGCACAAGAGTAGGTATAGAATCGTTAGACGAGGGTGTTCTATATGTTTTAAATCCCAATAGACACAGTACATGAGATACCCTCAGGGAGTTAGGTAGTTTTAATTGCTGTTGAATGCACGTGACCGGAGAGGTGGAGCACATTTCGCGCCTTGTCAAACTGCCGTCCAACTTTCTGAGAACCAGCCAGTTCGTAGCTCGATTACAGCAAGCATCCCAGGTAAGCACCCGCACGCACAGCAACTTGGGGGAACACAGCGTCGAGGACGAGAGTGGTATACGGGTATGACGACAAGAATTCTTTCCCCGTCTTACCGACCGTGGTGAAAACGCCGCCTCGCTTTACGGAGTGGGGTTCACTCTAGCCAGTGCCTTTTTTGACCCCTCAACTCGAGTTCTTGTCAACCTCGACGTTGCTGGTGCCATATTCGTTTTCATCCGCTTTGAGAGACTTCCTGGGTTGCTTACCGTGCCATTGTGTCTTGGGTTTGAGCAGATTTAGGACGCTGCGCTTGTGTCCTGTCAAAATGATCATTCCCGTACGGTGCTTCAGGTGGGTGGCGGCGGCCTGCGATACTGCATAGTTCTAGGCCCTTACTTCTGGAGAGCGACGATAGAACAGTGACGCGGGCGTTAATTGAACTGCTTCATTATCCATTAGTTGCGGGAAGGTGGTGGGCGACAAGTGGGAAAAGTACCTGGCTCTGCTGCAGGCAGATTACACAGAAGCAGACGCCATGACGAACCTGGGACTGAAGAGATATTGCTGCCGGAGGATGGTGCTCACCCACGTCGATTTGATCGAGAAGCTTCTCCAGTATGTACCCATCTCGAGGGAGATCTCCGTAGGAAATTGAGTCCGCTGAATCTAACGTTGTACCACCTTTTCTAGCTTCGGCCAGAACGTGAAACGCAACTGAGCTGCTTTCCCTTCGCCCGCTTTTTGACTCGCAACGCGGCCCATTCATGCAAGCGTCACAAATTTGCCGCAGCCGCAATGCTCTTCAAATGCTGGTCATCATATTATGTACATAGTTTCTTATCATTATTGTCAATCCCGAATGACGGCCACACAATCCTTCCCCTTAGCGTTAAAGTAACGCTTTGTGTTGGCAGTCACAAGTTCAGCAACATGGTCGATGTGAATGATTGGAATTGCTGTTCCAGGGCTTGAACTCTGCTGGTGAGCTCGTCTAATCGCTGCTGGATGCGCTGGTCAATATCGGATTCCGTCTCCGCAGGGTCGTCCACATGCAGGGAGGCTGAAGCCATGCTCCTCTGGGCCGGAGCTAGAGCCCCTGGTTTGGAGTGACGGGAAGATCCGACTGTGTCGTTCCTCAATTCCATAGCAGGTGTTCCCTCGAGCTCCCGGCTGGTCATCGGCTCGTCAGCGACGTTCGGCAACTGGTCATGTGGATGATGTTGAGGAACCACATGTATGGGGAATTGTTCGCACTGTGACTCGCTCTTCGTACTCATGGGATCGTGCAAGACAGAGAAGCTTAGGTGGTTATCGGTAGAACTCGGTCGATAGTATCCCATCGGATCTGACTGCGCTACATGTCTGGTCAGCCACTTGTGCCTGAGAATGGTGGTTCCCCCTCCTGATGCATGGACATTCGCTTACACTGTGACTCTCAAGGAAGTGGGTTTCGCGCGTGCCGGCTTGTTCCACTTTTGGCTCCGAACTGTCGCCTTCTGGAATCCCATATCTGTCGCCAAGAGGATCAGGAGATCAGCTCATCGACCAGCTGCCACAGTTACTGTCCTTTCTCTCTGTCTCACCGTTGCCGTAAAGTTTTGAGGAAACATTCGGTTCCATCCTCATCGGGAGTTGGCGAGCGAGCATGCTCAGCTGCTTCGAATAATTGCAGCTTCGAAGGCGGGTCAACACTCGGCTGAGATGGTGCCGGGGAATCTGTGTCCAGTCCATATCTACATTAAGCATCAGCGTTTCTGTCCCCATATCACCGCACATCATGTCCGTAATACCTCTTTCGCAAACTCGACAGAAATGTTTCTGTGTCCGTGACGTCCTCCGCCTTCGACTCCCGAGGGCGATCGGATGCTTGACGTCTATCATCCCTTGGGTCTCTGCTCGAGTTGATATTCCACGCGTCTTCGAAGACATCGCCTGCTTCTCTCTTCCAACGGGCCTTCAAGATATGTTCAACCCGATTCTCCAACGCACTCAAAGCCTCCCGCTCCTTCATGGCACTCAGATACTTCGCCTTCAGCGCCGCGATATCCCGGTCGTGCTGTGAGGTGCGCTGGTCGTGCCCCTCCAAACCAAAGTGTGGTGGCTTCGGCACCACTTTTCGGTTTGTATGCCGTCGAGGGGACTCCGGTGATGCGCTCCTTGTGCAGATTTCCCTAGGCCAAGATGATGATGCAGAGGAGGACGGCGGAGAGGAAGAAGACGTGGTGGTGAAGTTATCTGTGTAGTCTCTCATAGACACCTCTGTTCTGCGTCGCGGTGAGTGCCGTTTCTGCTCCGGAGACGCACGTGTTTTGTGATGTGACTTTCGAACAGAGGACTCCAAACCGACTTTTCCAGGCCGTTGAATCTCAACAGTGTATTTCGCCGTCCCTATCGGCACTGGAAGTCGGGATGTAAATGATCTTGGTGGTCGTGTGAGGGTTGCCGCGGCGTTTTGGCGTGGCTGGCCATCTTGGTATGCGAAGTTCTTCTGAGGAGCATTTTCCCGTTGAGCAGCGCTCGTACTGCTTCCAGACGCTTGGGTCGGCTGTTTGCTATCCTTCTTTCGCCGTAAATATAGACTTCCCTTCGCTCGGACAGCCATGATGTTTTGTCTGGCAAGTTCAACAGGCGACGAGTCTGGAAAACTCACCAGTGCGCACTAGTATAACGTTTTGCGCAGTCGCGTCGCCGACCTTCCCAAGAGTCCCAAGCAGCTTTCCTGGCAGCTGCTCAACACCATGCCCCTTGTTCTTTCGCTCTCCGCACGTACCCTCTCAAAACCATAGCAAGATGCAAGACAAAATGGTGAGTGACAGGATAGGCCGCTTGTGCATGGGCAACACTCTGCTTGGGCAGGCACGTCTGACTTTGTCGTCCTAAAAACCTAACCGTCTCCAAAACACTTCAGGACTTTGTCGGGCAGGGACTCGCTGCGAATTTCCTCCACTCGCTACTTATCGTCTCGGGCGTTCTCGCCGTTGTGGCCGGCTTTGTTCTGCAGGACCTGTTTGTGACGGCTGCCATCTTGGTTGCCGGTACACTTATCACAGCGTTGGTAGGTGACCCTCTGGAGGATCGGGCTTTGGTTGTGCGTGATCTCTGTGGGGCGTGGCTTGGAATACAACGGAAGGAAACGGAAAGGGAGATAGCGAGGAAGCCCGCCTCGAGAATCGAACCATCTCGTCGCGAAACTAATGATATCTCCCACAAAACTCAGGTCACCGTCCCATCTTGGCCAATGTACTGCCGCCATCCCGTCACGTTTCTTCCCAAAGTCACACTCCACGAACCAGCAGAAAGCGAAATTGAGGAGGTGGCTGAGAAAACGATATGGAGTAGGATTCTGGGGCTGTTGGTGTAAGAGCTCGGGGCGTGTCCTGAGGACCACCACGCGTGGAAGGCTGATCCTGAAAATGGAGGAGAGGAGGAACGAGTGATTCGATGCGTGCCCGCTTGGCGAATCAGAAGGAGGTGGAATTGAGGAGATCGTGTCCGAATGACAGCTACGCAGTGCATCAGGGAATCAGTCACTCGCATTAGGTCCTTCACCGCGTGAGCGGCAAAGTGCCAGAAAGTAGTCACGAGCGAGCCAGGCCGGCGACAGCGACAGCGACAAGCGCTCCGGGCAGCAGATGTGTGCATGAACTATCTTGTCTGCTCCACCGTGTCGACAAACAGAACAAGTGATCGCACATGGGGATTGTACATAACAACTACGCTTTTGCCAAAATGTGAATATATTCAATGTAACCCGGCAGGCATGCAAATTAGTGATCCAAAAATGCCGAGAAATCGGCTGGTATAGATGCCAAGAAGGAGATGTACATGTACAAGGCGGGTGGTGTGTGGATCGCGGAGATCCCGTCAGCTTTCTGTCCATTTCGCTACTGTGATGGTCCAGCCCCCATGCCAGCAGCCGAACCACTTGTCGGAGCTGCGACAGAAGGAGAGTCCGTGTTGCTGAGCGGTGTTCCAGGAAGTCCAGATGTCGTTGACAAGGAGGACCGTGCTGTAATCGTCGTCTTTCGAGATGGGCCACCCACGGACGGCGCAGGAGACCCGCTGGCGCGCGGCGTGCCTTGTTTACTCCTCGCCCCGCCAACGTTTTTTCGCGCCTTGGTCGCGGCGGCTTTCGCTGCTTTCACTTTCTGCTTCTGTTCTTCTTCTGCACGGCGAAGCGCAGACTCTTTCCGCACTGAAAAGAAATCGTCTCGCGTAAGCGCACTTTGTCTCGAAGAGTCCACCTCGAGTTCACCAGTTCTGGAACACACCTTTTTCAGCCATCTCTTCATCATCGAGGAGTAGACTCAGAACCTCCTTCGGCTTGAATTCAACCTGCTGCTTGAATTCACCGCCACTGATGACGACCTTCTGGATTTGATCCTTTTGCCGAGCCCGCTGGACGATGCGTTCTTCAATCGTGCCGGTGGTAATCAGGCGATACACCGTTACTTGCTTTGTTTGTCCAAGGCGGTGAGAACGATCCATGGCCTGTGATGGTCAATAGGAGTTAGCTTCTCCGAGCTTCAGCGCCTCTTCTATATTCAGTGGTGAGCAAACATACCTGTTGATCGACAGTTGGATTCCAGTCGCTATCGTAGAAGATGACAGTATCCGCTGCTGTGAGATTGATGCCCAAACCCCCGGCGCGTGTTGACAGTATGAATACGAATATTTCCGGTCTAAGGAGAGATAATTTAGTGGTAGCTTGAAAAACAGCGGACTCATAGTGTGCTACTCACCGCGTCTGCCAGTCGGTAACGAGATCTCGTCTATCCAAGATGCTGGTTGAGCCGTCTAAGCGAAGGTAACCGTATTGACGGCTAGCAAGATACTCCTACCACACTTCAATCAGCATGTCGATTCTTCCTCTCAAAATATGTGCATCAGGGAAACTAACCTCCATGAGATCCATCATCAATGTCATTTGGAAGAATATCAAAACGCGGTGGCCTCCAGCCTTCAGGGTAGCAAGCAACTTGTCCAAGACCAACATCTTGCCAGAATCGACGACCAGACGCTCCACGCTTGGCACCGTCAGGAAACCCCAGCCAACGCCAGGTCGCGTCGGTTTGCCTAGCAACCCAGCCTCAACCGGAAGGGTATCTGGAGTGTGGGACGTGATATAGTCGTATGCACGGCGATCGGTCCGAGATACAGAGAGCAGATATATGGCTTGGTGATAGAGAAGGGCGCGGACACATGTATTGTATCGCAGCCACTGTTGCTCCGTCAAGAAAGAACGCGAAGAGCAAACCGCTTCCACCGGAGAAGCTACAGCGGATTCGGTGCTTGCTACTTCTAGTCGACTCAGAATGTGATGTGGCTCCTCCTCGGTAGTAAACGACCAGATGTCAGGTAAACCGGGAATATAGACTTGTAGTGGCCGCCGCGACAGGGAAAGAGTATGTCTCGCGGGAGTCTCCAGGTCGTTACGAGCAAAATACTCTTGCAATCTCCATAGGGCTTCACGTGTGAGAAGATGATGCACCCAACGTTCGAGGAGATCAGCGTCGGACAGGAAAGCAAACTCCGAAGGCGAAGTGTCACACAACGCCAGGAAGTCAAATGTGGAAGTCGTTCTACTCTTGGCGTCGGCAGGCTGCGAACGACTTCGCCGCAATGAAGCATATAGATCTTCCGAAACGTTAGCAGGATTGGAAAGGATCTTTACTCCGTGCCAACGGATCCGCGAAACATTCCATGCAGTATTCCAGATGAGCGTCGGTACGCGATAGCGAATCATAGACCACCCAGCATCCGCCAAGCTGGTTCGTGCGCCTCCGTAAGCGTCCATCAGCTCAACTGGTAGGGCATAGAACGGCCCCTTGATCGTGCTCCTCTCAAACAGCTCCGGATGATTGCACACTTTCCGGAACTGCATGACAAGGTTCATGAGCGTGTCGCCACCATCGTCGTCTCCCCAAATGTCAGCGTTCCCGTTCGCCGTGTTGGTGTTCACCGAAGAAGATGAACCAAGGCCGTCCAGAAGCTCGCGGACACTGATCTTACTCTTCAAGCGACGATATAGCTCGCGTTGGCGCCACGTCAGAGTGCACGGGAGCTCAATCTCGATTTTCTCTGCTAGTTCATTCTCCACGTCGCGCTTGACTCGACGTAGCATGAAAGGCTTGAGGATCATATGCAGACGGCGCAATTGTTCCTCGTTGAGCCCCTTGCCCTCTCCTCCAGATTCGACGTGACTTTCGATATCTTTACTGAACCACTCATTGAACTCCTCATGGGAGTCAAACAATGTCGGCATGATGAAATGCAGCAACGACCATAGTTCCTGCATAGAGTTCTGGATTGGTGTCCCAGTGAGTAAAAGTCTGTTTCGGGTGGGCAGTTTCAGAAGAGTTTTCCAGCGTTGCGATGAGGATGACTTGATAGCTTGCGCTTCGTCGAGAATCATATATTGCCATTTGATGCGACCGAAATACTGGTAGTCGGAGACGATTAGCTGATACGAGGTGACGGCAACATGGAATGGGGAGTCCACTAGTCCAAGTTTCTTCGGGTTCAGCAGCTTTCGAAGTGTTTTCCGATCGTCTGCATCTCCCCAATAGGGTAGGACCTTGAGTTGTGGAGTAAAGCGAGCAATTTCTTGCTGCCAATTCGGGAGCGTTGATGCTGGCGAGACTACAAGAAATGGACCCCATAGGTTATGCGTTTCCGCAAGATGTGCCATCAACGAGATGGATTGGATGGTTTTGCCAAGACCCTGGAGGCGAGATTAAGTCAGATCATATCCTTGAGGATGGGCAGAAGGTGAACACCAACCATTTCATCAGCTAAGATCCCGTTGATTCCTTGTTCCCACAATCCAGCCAGCCAGTTCAACCCCTTTGCTTGGTAGCTCTTCAGAGTCACCGTAAGCATGCTTGGCTGCTCCACCTCCGGTCCCGATTTGAAGCTCGTAGGATTCAAGAAATTCATTTGATCAACAGTCGTCTCCGTCAGCTGTATATTGCTGTTGGTTTTCGTGTCGAACTGCCGTGCTGCTTCTTGCTGCTTCGCCAACGCAGCTTGAGCTTGCACAGCCGCTCGAGCTTTCAGTTGCTCATCATCTTCGGTATCGAAATCGATATCACGGAATGGCTCTGCTTGGGCGGCAGGTTCCGGTATTTTCGCGTCAGCAGATGCGTCGTCATCCGCAACCCCTAGCTTCTTTCCAACGAAATGGCTGTACAGCTCCGTCTGAGTGATCAGGAAGTTCAGTTTCCTGGCCTGCCGTTGGGCTTCCCTCATCTCCTCCTCTCGCTTTCGGGATTCCATCTTCTCCTTTTCAGCCTTCTTCCGGAGCTCACGCTCTTCCTTTTCGTTCCGCTTCCAGAAAGACAACATTTCTCTTGCTGCTCGCTTTGTCCGCGCTGTCAAATCTTTCGCAAGCTGTTGTTTCGTCGGTTTGCTTCGAATAAGCGCTTGCCGGGCCATCTGTGCAATTTTCAAGGCATTCTGCTGCCTGATTGCTGTGAAGCTCTGCATCATCTGATGTGCCTTTTGGAATGCAAAACGGTGAGTAAATCCTACAAATATTTCGCTCGTTTGAGGTCGCCGCAGAAAGAGGCAGACTTACTATAGGCACCCCGCGTTTAGCTATCGTCTGCCACATCTGCTCTCGCTTAGTCTCAAGCTCTCTTTGCACGCGCTCTTTCCGCATTTCCTCGGTCTCAACAAGTTCCACATGCACGGCTTTTCGAGAGCTCCGGGGCTTCTTTTTGAGTGTCATTTCTTCATGCGCTTCTAACGAATCTTCAACCCTCGCTCTCTTCTTCCGCTGCGATTCCGAGGCTTTTCCTCTGCCCAGATGATCATCCGCAAGTGTATCGGCAAGCTTTCCCTGCAATCGGGCAAGCTTCCGAAGTCGCCGTCTCTCATACTTCGCCAACAGAGCCTTCTCGCGTCTTCGAAGCTTGATCATGTACCGGACTAATTGCCGCTTCTCAGCGGAAGACATATGCTTCCCCATAGATGCGTCGAGGTCGTCAGGATCTGAGCTCGTCATGCCATCGTCGGATGATATGGAGATATTGTCATCGTTTCGACGGGATGTACTTCGTTTTGACGATGGTTCCCTGCGAACTTTCTCGACCTTTTCCCCCGGTTGCTCAACGACCACAGGTTGTGATTCCGGTATGATCTTCTTTGCTCTTGGCTTCCGGGGGGGTTTCGCGGCTTTCACTTTTTCCTGAAGTTCTGGGTTCGATGGTATTTCCGCCGGCTTGGAAGTTGACGATGAAGGCGCGTTGGCATTCATTGCTGACTGTAGCGTTTCTATAGGAATTGCTGTTGACTGCTGCTGCGAATGCACGTCAGGCACGCTCTCAGCCGCGGGCTTCTTCCGGCGTGAGGGAGTTCCTTTTGCTGCTCTCTTCGGTTTTACCGGTTTGTCTTCATTCTTTTTGACGACTTCAGAAGATAGCCACGGTTCTGGAGGTTTGGCTTCTAGAGGCTTAGGCAGTTCTACGTTAATGATCTCCGATTTCACGACGCGGTGATCCACAGGCGATCTAGACCGAGGTGGGACGGGCTCGGTTGGTGAGTTGACCAGTAATGAAATGGACATGGTTTCCCGGTTGGCAGAAGATGGGCGTGCAGGCTGAACAGACCCCACATTAGGCGTCAAAGACGGTCGCTTGTCAGCGTGATATGCGCCACTTGCAGACACGTCGCGGCTGAGACCGTGGCTGCCCACTGAACGAGTTTCTTTTTCAACCGGAGACGTATGCGTAGGTGCCATGACGGGTGGCTGTCCCAAATCAACATCCCAGGCACGATTGTGTTTGCGAGACAATTCCGTCGGTGACAACGGTCTCTGAACTGGTTCTGCCGCCATGACCCGACTGTAATGACTCGACGGAGGGTATTGTATGGCCCGATCTCGCCGGTGATCAGTCGACAAGGATGCATCATCAAAGTTCATTCTCTTGATAATGTCTTCCCCTGGCAGTCGATCGTATTCTTCCCGCCGCTGCGACCCGTGGTGCGACGTCGAAGCCCGTCTTTCGACGAGCAAATGATGCGAAGTCTCGGACGACATAGATACGCCGCTGTGTCGCCGAGCCGACTCGTTTAGAACCCGCCCGTATGGATCTTCCCGAACGGAAGAGTCGTAGGACATTCGGTTTCTCGTCGCTGCTGGTAACACATTCTCACCAGGGTACATCGTTTCAGCTCGATAAGCGTATCGCGATTGGCTTTCATCCGGAAAATGAGATGCTCTCCCTGCAGATGCTCTCGGGTGGCTCCAGTTCTGGCGCACGTCGTGCTCATCCTTGGATGCATACGGCGCTCTACCGTAAATGTCGTACTACAAGTACAGAAACGACATTAGGGATACGAAACTTGGCTGTCTGGCATCATCATCAAATGAACTCACCATGTGCCCTGCATGCAACCGAGGCAATGAAGAAGAATAATCGCCCCGTGATGGAGGAAGCGGCGGTGGGGAATACTGTACTCCTTGACGCGACGAGTAGTAATCGGGATGCGGCAACGAAGACGGAGGCGGTAGGGTATGTGGTGAGGATGAGCGTCCATAGGGATGCCGCGGAACACTAGGAGACGAGAGCGGTAAACCCGGTGATGGCGGACGAAAGGGTCGTTGGCGGTATTCCGGGGAAATCTCTTGGGGTGCTGGTGCGAAGCGTGAATTCACATGACTATAGATTACAGGCGAGTCGTCCACCGCACGGAGATGAAGATGTGACCGGGAGTTATCCATCTCCAGTCCTGCCACGGGCGACCTCTGATCATGATAGCCTCCTGGATAATCGTTTATTCCTGCTGAGACTGGATTAAGGGAAGGTCGCCGTGTGTCGTAACGCTGGGAACCTTCACTGGCGTGAACTGGGACCGTCGTGTGAGCGTATTCGCGAAGTTCACGATCTGCGGGAGGGTGAACGTACGGAGGCAACCGGCTGTTGGCCGACCCTGCTGATGACTTTCGACGAGGAAGTTCGACCGGTGGCTGTTCGAAGCGGGTTCGGTCGCTTTGCTGCGATAACCATGGTCTCCCACTCATGTTTGAGTTTTGAAAAGTTCGTCCAGCCGTGGAGATGTCCTCGACCCTCTGTTGGCTATGTGAGGAGATTGGCCGGCAGTCCTATGCGTTATTCCCACGTCCAAGTGGAGGTAAGTCGCGTGGGATTGGAGTTGAGCCCAAGACGCTGCTGCTGTGGGGATGAGGGTGTGGGAAATGTCACCTCGTTGGCAGTTCCCCGTTGGGGGGGGAGTGGGGGTAGGAGGTTAGGAGGGGGACGGGGACGGGGAGTTGGGGAAGCTGCGGGGGTGACAGCCTGTCCGTCTTGTTGTTCGTTTCGTTGCCCGTGCTATCGCCACCGGGGGCAGCCAAGGCCCTTTGGCTGAGGTCACCGGTAATAGCTATCATGGTTGCCTGCCGTGCTGACCGGCGTGTAATATGGCTTTCGCATTTTACCCACGCCTTAGCCTTTGATGGAAGCCCCTCGCGTTTCCTTCGCCCCGCATGATTGGAGCCTCTCATCAATTGTTCCCCGGCGGTTCGGTTGTTGCTTGATGCCCAGTATGGCCTGTTTAGAGTTGCTGCAAACTTGCGGGACATGTCGGATATTCCCTTATTTGCGAGTCCGACGAATATGGCCTGCGCTTTGTGGAGATGATATCCGGCGCATATTGCGCACACGGCATTGTTCCCTGCTCATCAGTTCGGAGCCAAAGCTAAGCGAGAAGATAACGTCCATTAACTTCCAAAATTCTTGTGTAACGTCCCTGCCAAAACCTCACATTTGGCCGATCGGACCCGAATCTGCGGTACACTGGCCCGCTGGTTTTTGCGCAGCAGCCGGACGCGCCTTTGACGTCGATGGGATTCGCTCCTTAACGAAGCAGAAGACCATTTGCAAATACCGTTGTCGCAATATTGTTCGTCTGCAACGACGGGCGTTCGCGAGATTTACCGCTCGGACCTCGTAGTGGAGCATTCGTCTTTCTTTTCCATGCTACGGGAAGAACAGCGCGAATTGGCGTGCTTACAAGAGCGCTGGAGGCCAATGCTGATTTAGAAGTCCGCGCCTATGTATGTACGATGCATTACGAGACGCACTAAAGACTTCTAACGCTACACGTTATATACAAATTATCGGGTATGGGAACCGAAGGTGTCATGAGGCCACATCTACCGCGAGGGTGAGGGGCGTAAGGGATGAAGCTGGTGCGAGGCGATCGCTACTGCTTTGGGGTATCGTCTCTCGGGATATGACACCGTCGCTTTCGTCCTGCCCCTCTCCCTGACCAGCAGCACCATCTCCAACCGTGCCAAGATCAACTGCCCTGTCCTTCTCTCTCTCTCTCTGCCTCTCCCTCTCCTTCATCCTCGCCCATGCGCGCTTATTAGCCGCCATGCCCTCAATCTCTGGCCAATCGGGCAACCAATCCTCATCAAAATCGACCCTAGTCGGATCGAACAGCTCAATGAACTGCTGATCCATTGATCGCGATTTGGGGTGCGAGAAGCGTCGGTACTCGTCAAAGATTGACGTGTGGGACCAGTGCTGGATCTTGCGCAACGTGCCCACCAGGCAACCCGTGCGATGCTTGCCTTTATTGCAATGAATCAGAATTGGGTGGTTCCGGCAGTCTAGCAATACGGACAGCGCGGCGCAGATGGTGTCTTCCGGGATGTCCACGAACGGCTCTTTGTTTCCCGCAACCCCAAATTGGAAGAGACGGATGTTGTGCTCCTCCATGAACCGTTTGTTTTGGTCGGGATAGTCTTCCAGGATCAGGGTCAGTATGCTCCGCAAACCGAGCTTTTTCAGGAATGCGAAATTGCGCTTTTTGGGAAATGCACTGCGGTACACCCCCTTCACGACCATATTGAAGTTTTCCGTCGGATTCAGGTCCTCCTCCCCATCTTCCGGCCTCGCCATGTTGTTGTTGTTACTGGTGGGCAAGGTTTCAAATGTGGTCGGCGTGCTATCCGTCCCAAAGCCCAACTTTGTGGTCCCATTGGCAGATACTTGGGCTGCAACGGGCCCGGAATTGGCCGTATTGTGAGCGCCGCCGGTTGAGGCGGAGCTGGGCCGACCGGAGCTGCTCGGCGTCCCGGCATAAGGAAGTCCTGGTGTCGGTAATTGTGCGGAGGTGAAGGCGGTTGTAACGAGTGGAGAGTCTGTTGGGCGAGGGAAATGAGTGTTTATGCGGGATGGGAGGGAAGACGTTGGAGGGTACGAAGGTAGCGAAGAAGATAAGGCTGTTGTTGTTGGAGGTGGTGGTGGTATTGCGACGGCCTGCGTTTGGAATTGTTGTGAGGGGGTGTTCAGTGAGGGCGAGGAAGTCGTTGTATGCCCTTGTGCACTCGAAGGGCGGGACATGGCTGTCGGGTGGGGTAAGTGATACCCAGACGACCGTGGAGGAGGAGTAACGTCCGTCGAGGAAGGGGCAAAAGACGGTCTAGTAACGGTCCCACGAGAATGTGAGTATGCCGAGAGGTGGGCCGGTTTGGTGATGCGATGATGTGACGCCGTCCTGAGTGAGGTGCGTTGAAAAGTTTGGCGTGGGGAATTTAACAAAACGGTCAAGCGTTGCCGAAAAACTAAATGTCTCCAATGCCAGCAGTCATTCGACCGGAACGCAGGCTTTCACCCAGCAGATCACCGGACGACCAGATTCCCACGCATTCCCTGTGGCATACAAACCACTCACAACTCATCGCTGCGCTCGTCCAAGATGCCGTCTCGTCTACGCGTGAACCCACCTCTCATCTTTCTCGGCTCCCTTCGGCGCTCTCACAAATACTGCCATACGTACTGGAACAATTCCCACCGCGAGACGTGCCTGCTAGCAGGGACGTCAAGGGTCGGAATGGGGATGTGACGAGATGCACCAGACTTGAGATCGCGAGGGCCTTACTGTTGGGGATGAATTTTGGGCTGATTGTGAGGGACGCCAGGAGAGGCAACAAGAGGAAAGGAAGGACAAAGGACGGTTGGGAAGACGAGGCTGGATGGATGAGAACGATGGTGCTGGTGCTAGCTGCGTTTGGACATGTGTGTACGGAGGCCAGCAGGTGAGTTATGCCTCACTCTCAAATCTAGACTTCACATGAATAATGCTCATACGTTTTCAATCCCTCAGCAAGACGTTACAAGCGATATTCAAGGAAGACTTTGATTTGGACGGTGCAACGGGGGTTCTAAAGGGCTCGGCAGCTGTCTCCACGATATGTCACATTGTGGTTCGATCTATCATCATCGTGATGGAGACGGTAGTCTCCTCCTTATCGCCATCGTTTGCTGAATGGCCGCAGAATATTCTGAGGAAGATTCTCCTGGCGATAGTCACTAGCGACCAACCGTGTTCGGAGTCATCGTCGGTGTCCCTGCAGATATTGGAGGAGTTCACGTCTGTTCTGCTCAAAGCATTGCGATACTCGGAGCAGGGATCGAGTAGGTATCCTTGCCACAGTGGCCGCCTTTGGTTTCACATTGGGAGGCCGCGTGTACTCATACGCAGCAGCACAGGGGTCTTCGCCGCTACATCTGAGCCTATATGGGGAAATTCTTCACGTCATACCTCTGGCGTCGCGATCAAATCCCTCCGAACAGAAGAAGCTGCGGTTCTTGTCGGACCCTTTGCTGCTTATACGATACTGCATTATGCCAATGGTGCGGGCATCCGTATGGGATGAACGCTTTAGACCCCGATGCGCTGTGGCCCTCCGGAAAGCCTCCGCCTTGCTGTTGGCTGATGCGAAACAGAAAGACTTTCGAGTTCCCGAAGCATCTCATCACTCGCAAGCTACATCTTTCGTAGTAGATGGCGTAGTGGAAGTATTATCAATTTTTATGAGCGCGTTGGGAAGCCCGGCACGGAAAGGCACAGAGCCTCCGGCGCATGCGATGCGGCCGCTCATCGTTTCAGATGGCTTTGTCAGGAAGTTGTCCGAATGGATGCGAAGTGCGCGGAATCCTCGATTGGTTCAATTACTGCTGATGCCAATATTGGAGCAGTTGGCTGGAATCGAAGGGAATTGGGACCATTGCGGACAGCTCATCGATATCATTGTTCAACTGGACGCCACCTTCTCAGGTCGGTGCATTCACTCGAAGAACCGAACACCGACTACTGCTGACACTCGTTCCCGTTGCATCCGCAGCTGATCAGTCGGCGGATCCCCTTGCGAAGTACGTTCTGAAGTGGCTGATGGGAACAGCGTGTGTCCGTGCAGATTTGTTGCACGTGGATGCTGCCCTCGAATCTCCGTCGAAAGACCATCATGGTCGTAGACAAAAGATCGGGAAGCTCCCAAACGCTCAAAGCGAATCGATGTTGCGCGTTTTCTGCATACGATATCTCGGAACGATTCGAAGGCCATATGAACAGGTACACTGCTTGCACTACACTCATCAACCACACTTGTACGTATGTCCTACTGTGCTGATTGCGTTGCAGGGACGACAAATCACATGCTGTTTACTATCCTTATTCAACGATAACTCGCATTTCATTCGGACCGCTGTGGCTGTTGCAATAAGCTTCCGATGCCTGAACGATTCTCCGACTGCGTCTCTTCAAGACTCTCCACATCATCAACCCAATGGAACATGTATTGGGGCACCCCATACCTCGAGAAATCCATACTTGTTTCTACTGAAGTGTGCAAAAGAGGCGTGCTCGTCATCCTCATCATCGTTCCAGCTTTCGACTGAAGGCGATACTTTCGAGTTGTGGGCAATATCGTTGACTGAGCACATATTCCGAAAGTGCCCTCTTTTGCCAGAGCGACCAGATATGCTCAATGCAGCTCTATTGGAGATGAAAAGGATGCTCAATGTCTCTGGAGAGCATTTGGAGGAGAGTAATGATACGATGACAGAGTTGACTGCTCGCATTCTTGGGGCAATTTTAAGCATCTGGTTTCCGGAGGGCAGGCCTGAGCGTACGTCCATTATCGCAAGGCATGCGCAAGACGAGGTGCTTGGCGTGGTGGATGCAGCGATACCATTTTTGAAAGTCGTCCGCAAAGATAGCAGGAAACATATTAGACTTCGATGCCTGGAGATATGCAGGCGGATTCTTCGAGGTACGCAGCACCTTACATGCGTCCACTCTGACCAACGAATCCTCAACCTTTCCCTTTACAGATATTTCAGATCTCCCCCGCATCGATGCCATTAGGACGATTGTTAAAGGTTCCTCTGCCGACCAACATGATAATGATATACAAACCCGGCTCTTCCGCGATGCAATCCTAGCCAGTCGAGCTACGGAACTCAAAATGCATGATTCGACAGACGTGCCACCGGATAATGGTCCATCCCAGCAAGCAACCACGAAACAGAGCCATATTCAGGCAGCAGCAGGTGCACATGCGTCGAAACAAAAAGTCCATGTGAACCGTCATCCACAGGATTCCTTAAATGGATCCACCTCATCGACCGGAAGCCGGGAGCATGGTCGCCCGTCCGGTAACGGTAAGGGTCGAAGAGAAGACTCGTCCAATGGATCAGATGAGAAAAAGCTAGTGAACGACTTTTATGGACGCCTGCGGGAGTACGTTGAGGGCGATGTTATTCACCCCTCGCGGCCTTCAAGCCAGAAAGTCAAGTCCGAAGAACCGCAGGCACTCACTGAGGATGAAGCAGGAGTTCCTCGCTTACACCCAATGGCGCGCGCTACACAACTCCGCGAAGAAGCCCCGCCACACTCAAAACATGCTAAAGTCCCGTCTCGAATCACCTCGAAACACTCAAAGAAGGGTCAGAATGACAATAAACCCAACCCAGCATACTCAAACCTTCCGCTGGATTCCATAGATGCCCTTGCGGCAGAGCACATCCACCAATTGGACTCACATGTGCCAAAGAAACCCTTGGATGCGACCTTGGATGAGGATCCTCTCATGCACTTGAGCGAGATCATGACCAGTGATGAGGATAGCGGGGAACAGGTTGCACCGGGACACTTCTTTCTCGGACGGCGTGGTAGTAGCAAAATCATCGCGGGTCCCGAAGCCGAAGTCACACCGACAGATTCTGGTGAGAAGAAAAGAAAAACGCATTCGAACGAGGAAGGCTCAAGCATACGAGCTTCCCGTAGTCGTCGAAGCGAGGATATTGCCGCGAAGAAAACCCCGAGTTCTGCCAGGGTTGCCGTCGGACCTCCGTCGAACATCACCCGCGAACGACTGGGCAGTGACAAGTCTCGACAAACGCAGCCGTTATCAAAAGGTAGTGGCGTCAAGCAACAAACGGACGTTAGAAAACAGAAACGAGGTAGCAAAGCAGCGCAGGATCTGAAGATGGCATTGCTCAGTCAGCCTCGGAAGAAGTCATTGCTCGAGAACCCTGCACGGAGGCTGAGCACAGAACGACGAGGGGAAGCGGCATTAGCAAACGGCACAGTTGCCCAAAAGAAGGGCGAGCTTGTTGTGAGCTCGGTCAGAAGAGCTGATGTCCCCATCCTCGCAGCGAAGAAGCTGGCTCAGAGCGCTCAAGACGAGCCTGAAAAACCAGGCGGAACCGCCAGTGCCACGGATTCTCTTTCCCCACTCTCCTATGAGGATGACGGTGAACCATTGGACGAACACGCTTTTGAGCAGGAGGTTTCAGAGGACAATATACAACAAGAGGAGTTTGAAAGCGTAGTCCAGAAGGAAAGCACCGCGCACAAAGGACAAGAAAAGGAATTGGGATATCCGGCAGACTCAACAAATCTCCATCAGATTGACAACAAATGGGCTCCCATCCTAAGTCGACATATTTCTCGACCAGTCACTCCGACTGGCAGAGTGCATAGCCCCTTCATCCAACAGAGTACACCCGATTCTCGCGAAGACGTTTACCCAACCGACGTGACCTCCAAACGGGCTTTGGGACCACAGCTCAGATCAGCACAAACGTCATTCCATTCTCTCCCAGAGCTACCGTCCCTCACGTCCTCCCCGAACTTCGTCCAAACATACGTCAATTCAACGGTATCTGCTTTCCTCCGCCCCTGCTTCCGCCGAGGCGTCGAGCGTGTGCTACAGCATCTCGTTTTCGGGCGCCCTGATGCGGAAGCTTACACGTCCGAAGACGATGAAATGACCCATATTCCAAATCGGGCCCCATCAAAGTATAAGCCTCGCCACAAGAAACCGCTTCACCCGGTCCTACGAGCTATTTTCAATCTTGATCCCACGGTTTTTGTCGACCTGTGTTCTTCTTTGGATATACCTGCAACTACGGGCACCTGGACTCAAGCACTCGATGTCATCCACAGCTGCTTATCTGGCCCCTCCAACATCTTGTGGGACCTTGAAGCCGCGGTTGGACCGATCGACGTCGCACAAGGGCTCGTGATTTTGAGAGACCAGGTGCTGGTGGGTGCGATGTGTCATAGGAAAGGAATGATGCAGCCTGGAGGGTTAGGAATGGATCCGAAGCCTCTTGGCGCCTCGAGGAATGGGCTGGCGGGATCTGCTGGGGATCTGTTACTAGCCGACGCGCAGGGATTCTTGAAGTGGGTCCAGGGCATTGTGTAAATGATTGTGTGCATGTTGCTGCTCTCCTTTCGATCTATTCGACGCTCCAGAATACAATTGCATCATTCGTTCTGCTCCTATCTGGCGCCAGTAGCATTTCCAGAACCTCCTAACGTGGATGCTTGAAGGAGCCTTGTTGTCGCTGTCACTCATCACATGTCATCCGTTTGTCCCTTTGGCCGCTTCTCCCTTCTCAAATGCGTGCCAGCCTCGTTGCCCACTATATACAATCTGGGACGTATACCACAAAGAGGGGCGAAATTTGGGTGTTCTTTCGCAGGGGCGAATATGACGACTGTTGATTGGCAGCCGGTCAGGCTATGCGTACCTTGAATAGTGCTCAAGATGCGGCACAAGGGAGTCTCGTTTATGACGGCCCCAATGATATCCCCAATGCCACATCTGGCACCATTTCCCTCATTCCGACGAGTATGGTATCACCGCCCCACACTCCTCAGCCCAGCCCGCCTCCCCAGCTCATAAAACGCCCCACAGCCTTCTCCGACACACACGACGAGCCACGCAACACACAAGCCCATGCTCGTCCGCGTCTTGTCGGCGATCTGCGCAAGCCCATCTAGAAGCTGTGGTGTGGAGGTCGAGCGGTATTGTGCGGCGGCGGACGCGCTTGTTACTGGCGGAAGCGAGAGTGAGAGGAACCAAGTGATTAGGAGAAGAGTTACGATCTGTTGGAAGGTAGGAGTATGAGCGGATGAAGTAATCAGGGTTCTGGGGATGCCTACAGATCGAACTTACCCTCAGTATAACGGTTGCCAAGAAACAAGTGACCCAAAAGCTGTTCCAACGAACCGACGTTCCAGTAATATCGACTCGCTTCCCTTGAAAAGCTGTAGTTCCCCCATTCCCATTGCCGTTCCCCAGCCGCCTATTCCACCCCTTTCGCCTCAATCCCCACCACCTCCGCACCACCATCCCCCCTTCCCACACCTTCGGCATCAATACGGTAAGCACAATGCCCAGCAGTACGCCCAAACACGTCCGCACGATTCGCAGCAATGCCCGTGGCGGCGACGAGCGATACAACTGGGCATTAAAGCTCTGCGGTGGCTGTAGCGGTGGGGATTCCAGGATCTGCGTTGTTAGGATGTAGGTGAATGTGAAGAGTGCGAGCTGGATGAGAAGCGCTAGGATGTGGGCCAATGACATGCTGTCGTGTGTAGGTGGTTACGGGTTGTGTTGGGATTGAAAGTGGAAGGTACTGTACGATGGGCTGCGAGGACCGGACGTGAATTCGATGTCCGACAGGCTTACCTAAACGAGAAACGCGTTGCCTCACGAGACGCGCGTCTGAAACCTCGACACCGCAACTCTCCTTCGTTCTCACCGAACCCTCAGAATCTCTTTCATACCTGTGGAAACCCATTGGACCCTTATCACAGACTCAACTTGCGAACTGCAACGCAGCCTACCAAAAAATGAAAAGAGAAAGGGAAGACGATGACGCAGAGCGCAAGGGGTCACAAGAGGTCCGTACTGCACCTTCATGCCCTTCTTTTGGCAGCATGTTCCTTGTCCGTGAACCATTTGTCCAATGCTCAACAGTCTTCGGCAGGGAGCAGCAGCAAGCGCGCATCCCCTGCCAGCGGTTACGGTGCTAACGAAGACGCCGCAATCAAGGCACTAGTGATGGCTAAAGTAGACTGGGAAAATGTGACAAGGGTGATCAACCAGCTGTTTGGAACCAACAGAAGCCGCCAGGCCGTGTACCGGCATTGGTTGCGCAACCTTAAGGGTGGGATGCCGCCTGGATGGGGTGCATGATGGGTTGACAACAATGCTTATGTTCCGAAGTACGTTTCCAACTTTGTCGGCTGTACATTGCGCGAGGCGTCAAGAACGGTTGCTACACATATCCCCTCTTCCAGTTTGACTTCGTCAGTCATTCATATACCCCAACCCATTCACCCAACGACAGGTCTCATCAAAGCAAAGGCGGTTCCCTTCGAGATCGGCATCACTCGTTTTACTTTACCCGAGAAGCATTACTGCATTAGGGCGCCCAGTGCATCCCGTGCCATGGTTCTAGCCATTTTGTTTGAATTCCCCCAAAAATTAGTTCTAGAACAAAGTAGGCGTATATTCTATCGCTCCTCAAAGCACCACGATATAAGATCTGTCAATGTGACGACGCCATACACCCCACCGTTGTCATCGACAAAGAAAAGGTGGTGGACCGTATTCACCACCATAATCCGCAGCAGGTCGCGCAGCGTCATGTCGATGTTGCCCGTCATGTAGGTGGCTGTGATGAGTTGGAGGAATTTGGAGACGGAAAGGAAAAGATTATCGACGTTGTCTGTTGCGAGTGTCTGTAATGTGTGTGGTATAAATATCACATTGGAACATGCGATGCCACGGAAATTCATCCGACCTTCAAATGCCTAACAGTCATCATTCCATTCATGACTCCTTGCTTATTGACGATCGGAACAGCAGTGACGTTGCGATTCCGCATTTCTTGCAGTACTTCCATTGTGGATAACGCGTCGCTACACGTAAAAACCGGTGCAGTCGGCAACAGTCCCAGCTCTCTGATGGTCTTATCTGGCTCCCTTTGTAATCTGTCGAGATTGAGGAGCGCAAACTCCACCAGGTTCGTTTGTGTCACGAGCTGCGTGAGATGCTCATTCGTGTCCATCAGGGCCAATCGATATGTTCCAGTTTCCTTCATCAGGTTCAGCACGTCTGGTATCGATGCCGATGTGGGGATAGTGTGGGTTGGGTTCTGCGCAGAAAAGTCTAGGTCCAAGGATTAGAAAGCGGTGCGGGTTCAACGAGCGCGAGCCCCAGCTCACCTGCAAGCTGATCGCAAGTCACTCTCAGTAACACGTCGACATTCTCAATAAACTTCTTCTCGCCGAGTTGGACAAACGAATTCGTGATGAACGTGGACTTTGGAAAGGCAGCAGACAATTGATAAGATTTTCTGAGACCGACGCAACCACAGCTTCCTTCGAGCTCTACATTAGACGGGAAACGAAACAGATAGGCTGCAAGGGGCACTCCGAAGGCGTACACTCACGATATCCACCACGTCCACTAATTGGAAGTCTGAGAATTGGAAGGGTAAGTCAGCTAGAAGTTACGAGGTCGAGGATTCGAGACAACTGCACACCTTTGTCACCGGCATTGCGGAGTATAGGAGCGCATGATATTTTCTTTCGCCGGAACGTCTGGAGCGCAAAAGTGCCAATTCGTCAGGTCCTTTCGTCAGGTGGTCGTCAAGAACACTGTCAAAGCCCACCCTCAAGACATCCACCACCGTGTCTGATGGTAGCACAGTGACAAGCGGGCCTGCGAGGACGAACGAAATAGAGAGAACAGGTGGTGAGATGCTAGGTTTGTACATATCGTTTAGAAACGCATGAAAAGATACAGACGATTCAGCAGTAACAACTCCTTGATAGGTTTCGACAGGAGGTCGAGTCGTGCTTTTGGCGAATAGAAAGAAGAATGCTCCTGACCCATTGACAAAGCAAATTCGCTTGAACGTAGCGCTGGCACCGGAAACCTTTACAGTGCAACCGTGAAAGCGTATGAACGTTGTAACTTGTGAGTTGTAAGTTGTCACAGCGCCTGTCTGTCTGTCTGTCGAAAAGGAATGGGGATTCCTGGACCACGATGACAAGGCGTGGCTTGACCGTTACAGCGCGGTGCGGTGAAGAATCTTCAAGATTCAGGACCAAGGCACAAGTGACATCTTTTTAGAGGACGACAGGTATAATTTTCAGTAGAAACGTATGGGCTTGTACGAGGACGTGGCAGAGTGGGTGAAGCTGCCCATAACTGCAGAAGACGGTCAGCCCAGCTATCAACGTCCGATTAGCCCGGCGTTCGAACAGTCGTGGGAAGATCACTTTCGCAATTGTACGGTCCCGAGCTTTGGCCGCGAGCTGCGACAGAAATACTTCTCAACGCTCGTTGGACTCACTGAAGTTAGCGAGAGGGAGGATTTGGGAAAACCCATTGGGACACAGCGTATCCCAGAATCATCCAAGACTAATCCTGCACGGTCATGGCGTCCACCCTTCACATTTTTGGCACACGGGTCATATGGAGCTACCTCTCAGCCCGTGCTCGATGTCTCCCGGAAGTGGCAACTACAGATGGAAGCCAGCCCTGTGCGCTTCTTCTATGATACCCTATATCCATATCTCGTTCGGTCAGTCCGAGACGTGGCGGAATTCATTGGCGCTAACCGTGAAAATGTCGTCCTGGTGACGAATGTGGAAGTCGGAATGAACGCAATATTGAGGTATGGTGTAGGAATCTGCAATCTCGTCACGCACACAGTTCATGTCAAGCGAGATCGGCGTGTCTTAAGAACCAACTTGTGCCCATCAGATCTATACCTTTCCAAAAGGGCGATCGCATAATAGCATTCGATGTGACGTACACAGCGGTGCTGCACTCAGTTCAGCACATTTGCGATTTTACCGGCGCCAAACTATCTACTATATCAATGCCCTTGAGACTCACACCCAGCAATGTGGTGAAGCAGTTGATAGCGTATCTGGAAAATGACAATCCCTCTCCAGATGGAAAGATACATTTGGCGGTGTTCCAGCATATCACAAGCCCGTCGGGTACGTTTGCATTCAAACCCAAACGACAGGCCCACTGCGTTCCGCTGAAGCATCGACACAGCAATCGTCTTACCAATCGGGGAACTGATTCGGATATGTCGGCAGTATGGCATTATGGTGATGGTTGATGGCGCACATACAATCGGTATGCCATGTCTGGAGCGCAGGGATTACAGGATGGCATGAGAGCTGACACCTTCTGGCAGGACAGATCCCGTTGAACCTCGAAGCATTGGGAGCTGATTTTTACGTATCGAACGCACACAAATGGCTTTGTAGTGCGCGTGGATGCGCTATACTTTGTGGGTAGCTCTGCTTTACACGGGGGATGCTGGAAGTCACCCAACTGCCGCCAACGCTTTCGTTGCAGATTGCAGGCCAGAACATCATCACCGGATTTTCCCCTTAACAACCACCTGGGGCCATGCAAACAAAATCTCGCTCCTCGCCCGTTTCATATGGCAGGTGAGTAAAATAGACTTCATCCCATTGAGCCATCATCGCGTGGTAGGACCCACGTTGACATCTATGCCACCAACAGGGAACGGCAGACTATTCGCCATACCTCAGCCTCCCAACCGCCATACAGTTCCATCAATGGGCAAGCGGGGAAGCAATGATGAAACGCAATCGCGACCTGGCGCTGTGGTGTGGAAAACTATTGAGCAAAGCGTGGGGGACTGAGACGCTCGTTGATTGCGATGCAACCGATGGGTGTGGGGTGGAGGCGGACGGGGGTATCATCCAAGGACCACTTGAACAGTGGGAAAGGACCATGACTGGAAGCATGTGCTCTGTCCGGTTGCCACCCGTTTACACCGAGGATGTCGATTCGAGCGATAAGACCGACATGCCTCCCGCGTTGCTCGCAATTGCGGACACACTCTTCCGTGAACACAACATCGAAGTGCCAGCGTTCACCTTCCGCGACAAAAGATATATCCGCGTCTCGCTGCATATGTACAACGATGAGGCGGACTGTGTACGGTTGGGGCAAGGTGTGATAAAGTGCTTGGGGTATCCCGCGAGTCATCCAGGATGGGGAATTCTGACGACGGCTGGTAGCAAAGACAGCCTATCTTCCAAATTGTAGGACTGGTCTATCGCATAGTGTACTTTAGATCAAGCTTTCATCGCTTGCATAAGGAGGACGATCCCCTACATCTGATGTGCATCGCTCTGTGAAACATTCCCCGTTTTAATCGATTTCTAGACCATCTCTACACTGGATATAAAGTGATGGGGAACTCAAGTTCCGGGCATGTCCATCAAGAAGGCACTTGACATCCCAGGAAAGCGGAGGCACGGCAGAAACTCCTATTCGCTGTTCCTCATGTGAAATCCTACATTGTACTCTATGTGTCATAGCCTACTGCCTAGTCAATCTTCCCAAACATGGTGGTCCAAAGCCAAAGCAAGGAAAGAAAACTTGTCCGTTGCTTCTTCGATCCGCTGCGCGGTGCTCTTCCCTGCTCCGTGGCCGGCCTTATTGAAAAGGAACGTGGTATGTCAATGAGGAAACATATGAGATACAGAGGTTAAAACAGTAATATAAACCTTGGTTTCAACTCTTTCCAGGATAGGCTTCGCGTTGTTTCGAGCTTCGTGTTGTAAGGTTGCGAGCAGCTTATGGGAATGCAGCGGAACACTGGGAAGCAGGCAATGAGATTTGGATAACGACGCCGTCAGGGGGAAGTAAAAGAAGACGAAAAACTTACACTCGGTCGTCGTGGTCTCCGGTCGTGATCAAGACAGCAGGGTAAGGCTTGTCCTTTTGCACATTGTGAAGAGGGGAGTATCTGTGAGAGTATGGCGGGAGGACAATGAGTATCATGGGAGGAAGCGCAGTCTCAAGATTGAGGGATACAAAGACTTACTTTCGCACAACTTCAAAATCCTCTTTCTTATCAGGGTTTCCATAATCAGAGACCCACGCGTGCCCAATGGTAAACTTGTGGAACCGGTACATGTCCATCACTCCGACATCCGCAATTGCGCATCCAAAGAGTTCAGGCGCTTGGTTGATTGAGGCACCGACGAGAAGTCCTCCGTTCGATCCGCCGTTTATGGCCAGCTTGTCCGGCTTGGTCCATTTGTTGTCGATCAGGTACTTTGCGGCTGCTTGGAAGTCGTCGAACACATTTTGCTTCTTGCCGAGCTTGCCTTGGTCGTACCAGGCTTCTTGGCCGTATTCACCTCCACCTCGGATGTTGGCAACAGCTACGACACCCTTCATGTGTTGGATGAAGTTCAGCCAGGTCACTGCAAAGGACGGGGTAATGGAGATGTTGAAGCCTCCATATGCGTAGAGCAGTGTTGCATTGTTCGAGTCTTGCTTCGCGTCTTTGCGAGAAATGATGTACATAGGCACCTTGGTTCCATCTTTACTCGTGAAGAATATTTGCTTCGTCTCCAAGATATCAGCCTTGAGTCCGTTGACTTTCGTCTCACGAAACACGGAATGCTTCGAGGTCTCAAAGTCGTAACGGTGGATTGACCCCGGCGTGATGAAAGAGGAGAAGGAATAGAAAATTTCCTTGTCTTCCTTTCGTCCCGAGAGAGATCCAATGATGGATCCGAGAGGAAGGGGAAGTTCTTTGGGTTCTAGGTCTTTTCCGGTGTGCAGCGCATGCAGTCTAGCAACATGCTTGACGTCGTGGAGGTACACAAGGATCAGCTTGTCCTCGTTGACGACGCGCGCTTGCGTCAACACGTCCTCGCTTTGTGCAATGACTTCCGCGAAGCCTTTTTCGGGATGAGCCAAGTCGTACTTGACAATGCGACGCTTCGGGGCTTCCAATGTGGTTTGGAACCAGAACACAGTGCCCTCGTTTGCAACGTAGTCCCACTCTGCAGTGAATTCGTCAACGACCTTGATCATCTCAAAATCACCAGTGACTTCCTCTTTGCCCGTCTTTGCAAACGTTTTCGCAAAGTCAACAATGTACAGCTTCCTCTCCGGGTCACAACCACGTATGACCGTGATAACGAGGTATTTTCCGTCGTCCGACACTTCGGCTCCGACCATGTGTTCAGGATCTTCAGGTTTAAAGATCACGATATCCTGGCTTTGTGGAGTGCCGATCTTGTGATAGTACAAAGCAGCGTTTTTGTTGGAGTCCGTCTCGGTGCCCTTGTCCGTATCCCTCTCGGGCTTGGGGTACCGAGAGTAGAAGAAACCTTTGTCGTCATGGGTCCATTCCAATCCCGTGAATTTGGCCCACTCAAGTGGCTTCTCCTCGTAGTTCTCCTTCGATCCTGGCTGGGTTTCACGGACATGAACGCTGACCCAATCACTTCCGCTAGCAGATAAGCCATAAGCGAAGAACTTTCCAGACTTTGAGAAGCCATAGGTGTTCAGAGACACTGTGCCGTCGTCTGAGAGTTTGTTGGGATCCAAGAACGTCTTTGCTTCGGCATCTAGGGATTCCTGCTGGTACAGCACCGACTGGGCTTGTAAACCGCTGTTATGGAAGTAGTAATATTTGTCGCCGCGCTTGAACGGACAGCCGAACTTCTCGAAGTTCCACAGGTTGGTGAGCTTCTGCTTAAAAGTCTCCCGCTTAGGATAATTCCCGATGTAATCGAAGAAGAGCTTATTCTGTGCCTCTACAAAGACCTATATTTGGACGAGTCTGGTCAGGAAGGCAGCAATGGCATGACATATGCGATCTACAGCACCGCGGTGAACGTGAAGGCTAATCTTGTTCGAGCGCGCTTACTTTGGTTTCCTCCGAGTCGGGGTCTTCCAGCCATCTGTACGGGTCGGCAACCTTATGACCGTGCAAGGTCTCAACGGTATCGTCCCGTCGAACAGATGGATAACCGAACGGGCCGTTGGCGGTCGCGGAAGACGACATGGTTCTGGGACTGGCGAGCAACGGAGCTATTAGTCTGGACGGCGCTGCAACTCGTGAGGCGGAAGCAAGGCTTGAGATGTGAAGGGGCTTTAGAATTCTGCAGAAATGAGCAGTCATTGATCCATTCGGGTCAACGTTCGATTTGGTCAAATTGACTAGTTAACGAAAGAATTGAAGTTAACGGAGGTTCCGACCCACTTGATGAAACTTACACTTTACGCACTCAAGACCGTAATCTTCTGTTGGAGGTAATTGATCTTTAAGGAAGGCGGAGTTGGAACCTCGGAAGGTGCGTGGACCAGCTGGTGCGGCGACAGGCGCGTCGACCGTTGGAGCTCGACGTTGGCCGCATTTCCCATAGCTTCATACCGTACAGGTGGCTCTCACTGCCGCATTGAGAGTTCAAATAGGTGGAAGATCCTTCCAAACATATGTATTCGAAGAGCGGAAACCAATCAGAGCACAAACATCAAACGAGATTATAAGCACAAGATCCCATCAAGGTCGGATTGAAGGTAGGATTGAAAAATGGTGAAGTCCCACTACATGTAAGGTACAGTACTGGGGCCATAATAGGGTCGTCCGTGAGCTATCCAACTTCACATCATACTAAGATGTGCTGACATGTCAAAGGTGTCTCTTCCGTAGCGCTCCAAGTACGTCAAACGGTGAGGGCTACGATCGGTGGATGGACAGCGATTGAAGGACGTCCAAGGACCAATGTGCTTGAACATCCTGATCGCTCTCAAGTAGTTCATGGTGTCCAGAGTGAAGCGATGATAGATTCCAGCAGGCTACGAAAAACGCTTGTTAGATTGCGCCCGCTTTCCCGCCAGAGAGAAGAATATACCAAAACAATGTGAACTCCAGGGGAGAGACGCAGTCGGATCCATTCGTCATTGGCGTCCCGAATATCCATGTATGCGGAGCCTAGACAAAATGCTTATAAGCATACGCATCCCTAGTCGTTATGGGGGTTTCGTCACTGACCGTCGCGGATCAAGCGGATTTCCTCATCGGGGTGACAGTGTTCCTCGAAGAAGCGAGTCAGCCTTTGATTTGCCGTTAAGTTTAATGCATGGAAAATCAAAAGTTCTTTTCGTCAGTCCGGACAGTCGTAGTCTCTTCCCACGCTTCAAAAGGCTTAAGTACCATCCTTCAGAGTCCTTCTCCTTGGCCAAGACAACTTCATCATGTTGCTTGTAATCCCTGTCCAACAGATATGCCTTGCTTTCTCCATAATATCCGGTCCGATCTCTACTTTCTCCAGTTCGACCCCGATCTTTTCTAGATCGGCCCTGCGAACAGGACGGCTGCCGACCTTGTAGTGCGCGCGATCGTGGCTTGAGGGGTCGCTAAGGTCGTAGTACCACGCGTCAACGACAGGAAGCTGGTCGTCGACAGTCATGCCTGAGCGTGGGATTAGGAACTGCTGGAGTGCCGGGTCTCTCACGTTGCACTGTACGTAGTTGCACTTGCTCGATTTCCGATGGTTGCTGGGAGGTTCGTGGGAAAATCGAGGGCGGGGGGGCAACCTCTGGGCGACCTTGCGACAGCACCGAACGCGTCATGTCCGGGAAGTCGGACGAAAATTGTCTTCCATCCTGCGCAAACACCCAGCTGCTCCAGGTCAGCTCCAGGTTCAGAGGTACTGTACTGCACTGTACTCCCCTCTCGAGTCCATTTCCCAGGGGCAAAAATATTGTTTGAACGGCAGTTTTCAGGCTACTCGTTAGGTGCCAGGTTAGGTGCACAGAGAACTGCAGAAGGGCGTCTCGCGTACGCAAGTTGCCTCAGTCGAAAGAATGTCCAACCGGTCACCAAGCATGTTTTCCAAGCACAGCAGCCCGCCACAAAGTCCTCCTCCAACGTTCTCACTGGAGGTTTGCATAGCGGAAGCAACGGCGGTAAGCAATAGCGTCTGGATTGATATCACTGGTTAGTCGTCTGATGTTTTTCACGCGACATGCAGGACGCTTTGCACGCGATCAGGGTTTTAATTCCGGCGGGATTGATGCGTTTGCGCGCTCTTGCGAGAGGGTCGAAGGTGTCTATAGAATCCAGTTCCGGATTCTACCCTTCGGCTCAAGAATTGCCGCAGGCTGAGAGCAGTAAAGAAACGGAAAATCGCTCAGAAGGGTTGGGAAAGGATGCAAGTCCGACTGCACAGCGGGCCGCGAAACGTCAAAGGGCGGATGAAGATCCTCTCTCTCGCGTCGACAACGTGCATCCGAGGCAGGGTCAATACACAAGGCGGCATTCGAGCAGCTTCACAGGGGAACAAGAAGGGGCCGCGTTAAAACTGATAGAGATGCTCACGCCAGAACTGCATGAAATGGTCTTGTCGTCAGTGACCGTGAGAACGTGGCTGCAGGTAAGGAACATTCTGCTCTTTGTTAGCAAGCACATGCAGCTACCAATCCTCTCCTCAATAGTTGCCGACAAGGATGCCAACCAGCACTCGTCAGACCAGGGCGTCGTCACCACCAACCTTAACACCATGCCGCGAAGCGATGCGACAACTGCTCTTGAAGGATCTTCTCTCCGCGGAAACTGCTGCATTCTCAATCTTGGACTCGATTCAAAAGTACCTTGCTCAACGCGCAAAGCTATGTGAGAATGCACGACGGGCGGAGGAGCACACTGCTGCAGACGATCGAAGCCACTACCGGCGCGCTCTTTCTGCGCTCGATGACTTGCAGGCGTTGCATTTGAAGGCGACGTTGAGCGATTTGAGCTTGAACGGTATATCGTGCGATAGCTCTCGCTTCCCTATGCCCAGTCGCATCGAATATCTGCTCATACATCCGTATTCCTCATCACAGACACGCTACTCTATGATCGAATCACACAGTTCATGGAAGAAAGCCAGTGGACTGTGCCGACGATTGGTGATGCCCACTAAAGCTCTGGCGCTTTCTGACGAGACCTATTATTGCTGGCGGTTCTTTAAAGGGGGTTTCCGGGCCGTACAAACAGCCTTTCGCGAAGATGAACGATGAATAGAAACTGATTGTTAAATACATAGATGTGTGCAGGGAGGGAGTTAAGGCATGCGGTGACCGAAGCACCCAGATTTTCAGACCATGTCTTTACTCTACATAGACAGAGCATTCACTTCTCGTTCCCGCGATCTGATCGTTGGTCTAATGGGAAATTCCCAGGCGAATGCTGTTACATGCGGATACTCGTCGTGCAATGCACTATGATCGTCCATGAATGTGACAAAATGATCGGTGGACCCGCGAGAGGTCGTGATCCAACGTTCAAAGGATGATGAACCCCCGACATGACGCCGACTAGGTCGGTTGCGGTATCCGAAAGTGAATTCTATCGGTATAACTCCTCGGCTCGATGGAGCCCTAATCGTCTAATCGTCGTTACGTGTGTCATCCCCAACCGCCCCTGTCGTCAGTGCTTTGTACGCCATTTTTACAATCTGAAAGTCCATAGCAATAAGCGCGACAATCTGCGGTATAAACGGTCAAAGCTGACTCACCAGTGACGACCAGAAAATGTGAAGGACTTCCAGTAAGCACAGGCAGACTGTTGCGGCGTCTCGAACGGTAAAGTCTCCATACAAAATGGCGTGGTCCCCTTCTCCGCCGTATTTACTGTGATGGAATATCGGTCAGCCACTAGAAACACCCCCAGTGAAGGAACACGCCAGAACTCACAAGATAGACCCAATAACGTAGACCGGGAATATGTAGTTGCGTGTGATGATGAAGACCATTGCAAACACCCCAAACAAGTAATCAGCAAGCTAGAGGGTGAACTGTGTCAGGTGACAAATTCGTTTCTCCTTCGCAAGTCGCGTAGAGAGAATATACCTTTGTCCTGCCAGTGTAAAGCGCCATTTTTGCCAGCTCCATGAACGGGTCACTCATATCGTGCAAGAATAGGATGGCGGCTCCTACCCGAAAGTACGGCCACACATAGCTGAGGTAGATGAGAAGTAAGGTGATCACGTGGTGGGTGACCATGACTGCAAAATCCTTTTGCTTCGGTTCGAAGAAGATACTGATCGAATGGAAAGCATATGCGCTGAAGCCGAGTTTGTAGTAGAATTTGACCAGATCGCTCATCATTCCCGGTTGTCCCCAATTCTCCCAGTATGCCTTCGGATCCAAAAGCCATCCTTCCTTCCGATACAGGTAGATCCCCACGAGCGTGCTGATCCCGAACATGAAGAACTTCCATGCGGAAAGGGTGAACTTTTCCCTGTCATCCACTCTCCTAGGCCTGCTGGGAGACGTTGGCCGACCATTGACCTCGGATGGTTTTCTCTTCATGGCCGAATTGGATCCAGGTTTTCCGTTTGGCTTTCGCTGCCTCACTGCCGATGCAGACCCTCCCACCGGCTTGATACATTCGACTGGGACTGCAGCTGACAGTTCCGGGCTTCCGTTTGTGGTATGTGCTGGCACGATTTTGCGTGCCAAAGGCTGGAATGTATCATCAGTAAGTCCGGAATACGCTCTAGACCCTCGCTCATAGTGCGAAAGCCCACTGCATGACATCCTGCGCTTACCTCGAAGACGAACTTCCGGAGAACAAAGTAAAGGACCCCCCATACTGCTACATAAGCGAGGAAGTCGTAGTAATCCTTTGGCACGACCAAGTCCCGGTTTTGTGGTTCACGCATGAACCTCGGCCATTGCAGAAGGTCGGAGGTGCGAACCATGAGAGTTCGCACGGTCGGGAGAGGCAGTGAGAATGGTAGCAGGAAAGAGGAGTGTTGTTCGCCGGAGGCGGGAGACTGCATCTTCACAGTGAGAAAATATATTTCCAGCGAAAATGGCGTCTTGATAAGGATGGTTACGAGGAGCTCGTCAAAGGCGAGGTTCTGTTGCGGAAGTGTTGATGTTGCGGGAGATTGCCTGTCCTGGACTAATTCTCACCCGTCGATACTATGTCCTTCGACCTTTGAGGTTCACCGTAAACGGCAAAGAGAAAGCGGAAGAGACAGGGATTTACTCTGGGAACTTGTCGAATACCACAGTCAACCACACCAGCCGCAGTTGGACTTCAGAGAAGCAAGTCTCAGCGCACACAGCAACACCTCAACACGGCGATGCAAATCAAGTCGAGACCGCAAGCAAAAAAGGGCTGATCGGATGGTCCTTATGTCCACCCATATTGTTCATAGTACGCGGCGACGCGCAGCCGCCCAAACGCCGTACATATATTACAGTCTCTGTCAGTCTGTTCGTATTCGGAGTTTCTCGGCGACCAGTTGAGCCACTCATAAGAAATAATTAATGCCGCGCCGGAGCGTGTGTCACTGTCAATTTCGCATGCTCAAATAATTAATCTTGAACAACCCTAACTGGTCGTCCTTGATTCGACTCACCCAGAGAAAGCCGCATTACAGAAGGTTGATGCACACACCGCACCGACAAATGGAATGCATTTCGCTTTGCCGTACTCATCTTTAGCATCATCATCTCTCGGTCTTCGCTCGACCTGGATAGTATGAGGACGGTTTTCTGGAAACTGCGGAGGACAACGAGAGCGAAAAGTAGCTTTTTGACGGCATTACTCTGGCGATATACCTGGTTCCAAGCACGTTCGACCTCCCGAACCGGGCCCCGGTTGCCCGCTTTCCCCCGTCAAACACGCGTGCCCCAAAGGGAGCCACAATGCGATTATCAATTGAAACTTGATTTTACATGACCAATCGGGACGACATGACGGCGGCTCCCATTGGGAAGCTTATCGCTCGATTGACATAATACGGCTGCCGTCTTGGATGGGATGAACCCTTATGATGAGACTTTTAACAATGAGATGAGCCCGAATTAGCGCTGGCCTGTCCAGGAGGGCAAAGAAAGGAAAGTTCCCAACCGGTCTGGATGGACCCACGCTCTCCGGATTCATCGCCCCCGTCCATACATAGACCGCATAGGATGTGTGGGGTGGGGCCGAATATGAAGGAACCACCCAGAAGACACCCACCCAGACCCCAGCGGCATCCGCCGATCTTGTTTTTTCCAGACCGTGACATACAATAAAACGGGCCGCGCTCAGCAATCTTTACGCTTTTTACAGCTCTTGCTTCCAACCCGTTTTTCCCACCACTGAAAACATTACCCTCAACACTCCACGTCCTCTCCCGACTCCATCATCATGGCGACCATATTCGACGCATCCATCTCCGCTGCAACATCTCCGACTGCCCCCACATCCAAGCGCAGTCCACCAACCGCCGAAAACCTCACCTGGCCCTCGCCTCCCGCGACGATCGGAGGTACACCCGCTGCCGTGAGAGTAGTCGCTTCCCCAATTCCCCGCCCCGAACCCATGTCGCTCCCCGCCGGCCGTCATCCTGAAGCATCTTCTTCATTGTGCTCGTGCGACACGGCGCATAGAGGTTTCTCAAGCCGTCATATCGTCAAGCGCTCGCATAACCGTCGCAAGCAACTAACTCCTCACAAGTCCATCACGTATTCGGCCGCACTTGCTCAGCTCTCCCGCGCTGAGCGCCAACTGCAAGGTATCATCGCTCTCGATGTCTACGGCGTATTCATGTCCCGACCGTCGCTTCTGCTCTATGACAAATCGGCCGCCGCAGGACGTGCCCGCATGATGCGATTGAAAGAACTGCAAGCACGTCATGGCGATCTCCAAGGCATTCCTTGGGACGCCTCCGCCATCGTCCCTCGTACGGGCGGTGGCGGAAGGAAGCGACGAGGACGGCCAGGCCGCAAGACGACCGGCACTCCAGGCACCACGGCTCCCAACACCGCACCGGGTTCGCCGGCATTCGACCCCGCATCACTGCCCCTTCCCGCCTCGGCCTTCACGATGCTCACAACAAACAATGCACCAGTCGTGACATGGAGCAAAGGCGACCCGCTCGAGATCCCCGAATCATCGGCGGGCTATTCGCAGCTCACAAGCGAGGAAGTCAGGACCTGTCGCACGCTGCGTCTCTATCCAGCGACATACCTGCAGATCAAGACTACCCTCCTTCAAGCTCCGCCGGGGTTCAAGAAACGTGAAGCTCAGAAGTGGTGCCGTGTCGACGTGAACAAAACGGGCAAGCTCTACGACTGGTTTGCCGCTCTAGGGTGGATCCACATTGCTCCGTAGGAGTTCGTTTCCCATAGTTTCGCTATTGCTCACTATGTAGGCGTAGGGAATCATTTTTAGGTCATTCATCACGCAGATAGAGGAAGTTAAATATGTTCGGGGCTTTTCCCTGGTGGCTTTCGTTGCCCTATCATTTTGCTATTTCTCATCCATGCATGTATGTTTTCAATGGACGCAATTGTACCTCATGCACCAAGTGCCCAAGCAACATTGGCAGAATGACTTCTGAATGCGGTACGGTTCTGTGGAATTTCCCACGCATAGAACTGCCGGCCTCCCCGCGACATTGGATGCTTGGCAGCCGGCATTTTCCCGGCCAACCCCTCAACTCCCTCTGCATTACTCAATCGTACAAGCGAGCTGTAAGAAGGTTCGAGTCGGATCAACGTTCGCATTTCATTGTTCCCTTTCATTTCGAAAGGGCAAACAGAGAGTATCGCTTTTTCAATGATTTTTATTCAGGCGGGGTATACGCCAAGAGAATGAACTGCCATCGCTGACATGCCAATAATGGAAGTTCAACAAGCGTATATCACACAGGCTCAAATACAGAAGCTCTGGTTACAGAGGGGCGGGGATCTGAAGTACGAATGGATATGTTCAAGGAAAGAGCGAGGGAGGAAGTCATATGCATGACTTTCGGTAAAAGCAACCACAGTTCTCAAGAGTCCCCATTTGATGTGTGATCCTCACATCTGGCGAGGCTAGGCCTGATGCATTGTGAGAGCACCATCACGAGCAGACCTGACCGGCGTGTAATAGGCGGTCGGAAAAGCGTTGTCGAGGCTCCTCGCGGACGGCGAGAACAGAGACGCTCTTCCCGTCTCGGGCGTCGCGGCCATGGGCGAGACGGGCGAGAAGACGCAGGAGGTAGCGTCGCTATGCCCGTCACCGAGCGATGGGTAGCCGTTATGAAGGTATCGAGGGCCGGCGATCAACGCTTCCATTGTGCGCTGCATCCGGAGGTTGGCGCGCATCATGGCCTGGCGGATCATCAGGGATTGCTCCGTCAAGGCGAGCATCTCGGCGCGGAGATCGGTGAAAGGTCCGTGCAGGACGTGAGTGAAGCAGACGGATGCCTGGGCGTCTTCGGTGAAATCAGAGCAGGCGGTCCATTCGCCTTCGCCCGTGAACATCTCAAATTGAGGTGGTTCGAGGATGTCGATGGTGATCTCGCCGATGTTTGGGTTGTAATCTGCGGAAGCGTATGCGACCCCGATGATCGTTTCCAGCGGAAGTTTGAGACGGCAGCGAGCGTTTCCTTCGATGAACGTCGCGCGCAGGGCGTTCTGGACTAGGTCGACTTCAACTAAAAGGTCCGCGGTGCGGGAGAGCGCAAAGCGTTGCCAGCTGCCGATTTGAATCTGCTCGACCGACATGGGAAGCGTCTGAAGCGGAACGCAAGGAGCCTTAGTCGACTCCGCTGGACAAGTGGTCGTCACCGCTGCTTGAGGCGTGAATGGAAATGGAGGCTCCTTCCAATTGACGGAGCCCGTTGGTGTGAGCACTTCCGGCGGTAAAGAGGTGTAATCAGCCCAATGGCCTGCACCTCCTGTATGAGACGCGCTGGCGACGTTCGGATACTCTTGGTAGCCTGTAAAATCGGACATCTGTTCGTCCCCAATGGGCCCGCGCAATGAAGCTAGCTCGTGGACATCACCATAGGCGTTGGGCGAGCTGCTGTTCCCGAGATATGCAGGATAGAAAATGCCGTCGGGAATTGTCGTGCCCGATGAACCGCTACATGGGTGGGCGAGAGCTTTCTCGAGATGTCGGCGTCGTGGTTTAACTTGGTGTCCTTCGATCTTCCTCAACTTTGCACGTCTATAGATTGTGAATGAAACACCGTCGTCAGTGCAATGCTCTGGTGCCTCATATAACCGCCGAACGCTCGCCGTATGCCATTTCATCCTAAACCCAACTACCAACCTGTTCTGGAACCACACTTGAACCGTACGTTGGTTCAAATCCAATCTCTTAGCGAGAAGAACCAACTCTTCGCCTTTGACATTGTGGTTTTCCTGGAATGCGGCTTCGAGGATCTGTGCATGCTCATGGGGAATCTTGCTCTTGTAACGCTTGCGGCGGCCGACCGCGGGATGCCCATCTACCATCTTTGCCGGAGATCCCTCAAGCGAGCTTTCCTCGGTCGTCGGGGTGGGTGGGACATCATCTTCGACACCTCCAGATGAGCCTGATATGATCAGAAAATCTGCTGGACGTTTTCGTGTCGGTCCTGTGTCGACTGCGTGTCGAGTGCTCTGGTTCATATCGCCCATGTCTTTGGACGCACTCGTGGTGGGATGACGAAGTCGGTTATTTATGCTGGCAAAGACTGAACTTGGTCCACTGTTTGCGCTATGCCCGCGGCCAGCATTATGAAGCTCCCGGGCCCAAGCGGGTGGAATGAACAGGTGGATTTGTTTGGATTGAAGCCAGCAGAAAGCGATCCTAATTGGTCATGTACTGCTCACATTATAGCGGTTGCGGGGCGAAGCGTCTCCCTTACAAATGCATGGGAGAGTTTTCTTGGGGGAATTACCTTTTCGGGGGCTCTGTATCGTACCCACTCCCCTGCTACGAAGTAATGGGAGACCCTGGGTGCGGCCCGCTGTTGGCACATTGCGATAAGAGCCGTCAGATGAGGTGCGCCGCTGGATATCCCCGCTTACATGTACAGATGACGGTCCAAACCCCCGTCTTCGAGAACGAGCCTGACAAAGGGATCCTAGGATGCGCGTAATTCGCTCGCGGGCAAAGAAGTGACTTCCGGCGACGGGGGACGGCAAAAATGAGGATCGCCTTGAGCATAGGGGGAAAACGCATTAGCCAGTGTACGTAATGGGGGAAGTCAGTTACGGGATTTGGAGTAGTGCATTGGGTCAGTCTGACGCCAGGGCCTGGATCAATTGACGGCATGTCGAAATGCTCCAGCGCTGTCAATGTCACGTGCACTGCGGCTTTCCATTTGCGAAGAACAAGTGGTCGGAATCCCTACCCCACCCAGTCGAAAGGGAGATGGCCGAAATGATGCTATGCCTGAAAATGGATGGGTGTGCAGCGGCCAGCTTGGTGAAAGCCACATAACACATTACCCGAGAGCATCCGATGTGTTCACCTTCTATTCCGCTCCCAGCTCGAAGGAACGGCGCAGGGAGGGACAAGAAGTACATATTCGAACATCTTCATAAGTCCGCGGCGACGCTTCAAATGATGGAGCTGCCGTAACAGGTGTTACGCACGTTGGGGGAGGACAATAATGTCTCGCTCGACGTATCCTTCGGGTACGTAGCATAACCGAGCAAGGCACACAATGCACTCCTGGTTGAGCATCCGAGTCAAGAATGGCACACCGCGCGTTCCTGCAACTACAAATCGACCTATCCAGCAGCGCTCCTTCAACTAGATCTAGAGCGAGAGCGTGCTATTAAACCGTCATACTGCCGCCAAGATGTATCCTATCTTACGACCGACTCGATCAATCTTTTTCCTCAAAGAAAAAAAAGTCCAGAGCCGGAGATACCGTAGGAGATTCTGAAAGACGTTTCTCTTCGATGCCCCTAGCATGGACACAACCCACGGAGCCCTCGAGAGCAGACTCTGCGAGTACTTGCTAGGTAGGCCCTTGCCAAAGGGGCTCGTTGAACGATAGAGATTTCAACTCGGTGTGCAGGGTGGAAGGGTGCTTTTATTCCCCCGTCGTTTCTTCCCCTGCGCCACCGTGGCGCAGGCTGACTCATTTGTTGCGCTTTGGGCCCTTCTTGTACGATCGATGCTCTGCCAGACAATACGGCCAACGAGCAAAACGAAGGAGACGATTGTTGAACAACATACCAGACGGCTAATCAAATTCGCTCGCGGCACACTGTACCGACCGAGATCTTTGCAAGCATACGGAATATAACCTTCCAAGCGCTCAACGACCTATCGATTACACATAGATCAACAAAAGTTCGGAAAAATGTCCGACAAGCACGAAAGCGACTCCGGGGAAGAGGACCTCCCTCAAACCGGTGCGAACAGGGTACCCAATCTCGGGAATGACCCCGTCAACACCTCTGACCACGGGGATGAGGGCGACTTTGTCCGTGCCACGTTCACACCCTCCGCCGCTGCCGCTCTTGACGAGAAACAATCCCGACTCCAGTGCCGGATGTACGAACAGCGATTCCCGGAGGTAGATCAACTGGTTATGGCGAACGTGCGTCAAATCGCCGATATGGGGGCCTACGTCCAGCTACTCGAGTACAACAATATCGAGGGAATGATCTTGCTGAGTGAACTGTCAAGGAGACGTATCCGATCCATCCAGAAGCTGATTCGGGTGGGAAGGAACGAGGTTGTGGTCGTGCTGAGGGTGGACAAGGAGAAGGGGTACATCGACTTGTCAAAGCGTCGTGTGAGCGCAGAGGATGTGGCAAAATGTGAGGAAAAGTTCAACAAGTCCAAGGCTGTAAGTAATTCTCATCCGTTTGCTCATGGCGCTATGAGCTCCTTCCTAAACGTCGGGATGCCAAACAGGTGCATAGCATCATGCGTCATGTCGCAGAAAGACTGAACGCCAACCTCGAGGATCTCCTGGAAAAGTACTGCTGGCCATTGTACCGCGAGTACGGACACGCATACGACGCTTTCAAGATCGCCATCAAGTATGTTATCACCGCACAAATGTTGATCCACGGGCTTGCTTCCTCATCGAATCTCGATTCTTTAATCATTTAGCGATTTTGACAAGGTTTTCGGAACTGTCGAGATGTCGGACGATGTGAGGAAGGAACTCCACAGCAACATTCGCCGGCGTTTGACACCCCAGCCTGTGAAGATCCGTGCCGGTTAGTTGGAGTTCTGGGACATTTGCGGGCTGGAGAGCATACTGGATACGAACGCTGATACTTTCACTCTACAGACGTTGAAGTCACATGCTTCGGCTACGAAGGTATCAACGCGATAAAACGTGCTCTGGCGGCCGGTGAAGAGCTCTCCACAGAAGAGGCTCCCATCAAGGTCAAGTTGGTCGCGCCACCCATGTACGTCGTGCAATCGAACACACTCGAAAAGCAGGCCGGTATCGACACCATGGAGAAGGCGATCGCTGTCATTGAGGAGTCCATCAAGAAGCAAGGTGGCAGTCTGTCCATCAAAATGAAGCCTAAGGTCGTCAGCGCCACCGATGATTTGGAGTTGGCGCAATTGATGGCCCAGGTCGAGCGGGAGAACGCTGAAGTGTCGGGTGATGATGATGCGTCCGGTGGCGAGGAAGGCGATGACGAATAGGCGTCATGCAAACGATTGGCGTTTCTTTGGAGTCCATTCACACCCGCACGCGATAGATCATAGCTAATGTATCCTTTGCTACATGTGCCTCTGTTTTTTATTTTGTATATCGCCGCTCTGTAGCGTTTAGCAATTTCTGCATTAGCATTTACACTAGATATCGAGATATATTGAAAGTGATATCCTCGGAAATATTGATTTCATTCATATTTCCACTAACTCATTGATAACCATGTACCTCGAGAAGAGGAGGTACAAATATCTGAACCAAACCAGTTGTGACTTATGACAGGTCATCGCATTGCACCCTTGGATAGCCTGCAGCGGTCCACCGACGAACACAGCCTCCGTAGGGGCAGATGGCCCGCGAGACGTTTTCGGTTTCCTGGTGCGCAACCCTGCCTTCGCCGCCTTTTCCTTGATTGCGTCCACAGTCGAAGCCCTCAACGTCGTCCTAGAAGACGAGGCCCGTAGACGTCGGTGAGGCAAGATGTGCTTGCGGACCAAAAAGTTCAGGACGGTGTACGGTAGGTCCAACACGCCGCTGTATTTCCGCAAGATGGAGATGGATTTGAGAGCGTAGCATACTGGGGCTCCGCGAGATGAAAGCCGCCTTGACTGGCGTCCGGCGGAGGAATACGGTTGGTTCGCGTCCTCATTATTTGCTACGAAAGCTCTGCCCGGAACCATTGGCAGGCTTTGAAAATATCTGGAGGGGACGTCAGCAAGCCAGAAGGTTTGAAGATGGAAGTGCCTGGGTTGATCGGGCGAGGAAATCCGCAAAGTAACACGCCGTTCAGCATACCTAAGACCATCAAATAGAGCCCGGTGATTTGCATGTCCTGAGATCCCATACTGATCGAAGGTGATGATCTGAGCGAGCAACGTCTGATTGAGCAGCATGTCCTCGACAATCAGAATCCACTCCATGTCAGATCCCTACCGCTTCAATTGCCCGGTCTCCTATGTGGGCGGACAGTACATCGGCTATGACAGATGCTTTCCACCATGCGTTGGGGTCATCCTGCAGCTCGCTAGCCGTCGACAAACGCGAGAACGCATTTGATCCGGGAAGGGATGGTAATGAGGGGCAGTTCGATTGGGAGGGTTCAATCGTGAACATGTGCTTCTAGACTGGAAGCTCACTCACGCGTGATCTAGGCATGAGACTTTACTGGAATCGAGGATGCCGAGGGCTTTGCAGCTTTTGACGAGCTCAGTAGGCCGCACATCACCTAGTCCATCCGCGTTCCCTGATCCAAGAACATACTGGTCAACTCGGCTTCCATCGATCAATTGGCACCAAAAAAATGGAGTCGACGGTGGTGAAAGGGCTCTTTTCTGGACTTGTACGATCCGGTTCCCTTCTCACCTTGCGATAGACAAAGCACTTCGACGTCAGCGCCGGACTTCACCAGTTCGATGACCGTTGGCGCGAAGAACATGCACTCATCGTCCGGGTGCGCAATCAGCAGAAGTGCCGTCTTCCCCACCGAACTTCCTCCCTTTCCACTCGAATGTTTTCTCCTCTTTCGGTCGGACCCAAACAGTGTTCGCTTCGTCTCCGCTGTCAGAAGAAGGCCAGAACGACTTTCTACAAACAAGGTAAGAAAAGACAGCGGGATGAAGACTAAGAGCAAGGGCAGAAACAGCCCGATCAGCGGAAGCATGGCGGACTCCCTCTGCGATACGTTAGTCGTTGGTGGGACGTTCCGGTCGCTGTATGTGTATTAGTATCCCAGCTGTCGGTCCAAGTGCAACTCCAATTCACTCCCAAGATCGTTATAGGAGAAGTTAGAGAGAGTTAGAGAGACTCGGGGAAGGAGATGTCCCCACGCGTTTGAACCACTTTCCATTTGAACTGCAGCGCCATTTGAACATGCAGCGTCTTTCTTGATGCGCGTGTGGCCAATAGGAACAAGTCAGTGTGCGGGACCCGACAGAATCCTCCCGAGATGTTTCTTACCTGCTGCGAATGTGCTATTCTTAGACCCTCGTTGTTAAAGACACGGTGCGATAAATGTCGATAACAATCAGAGGATAAACAACAATCGATCAACCAATCTTGAGTCTCAGGCGCTTTCGCATTTCTACGCTCGGCCTCCCTGCTCATCATCGCCTTCTTCGCCCAAACCCCCCCATCCCTCCCCTCCATACCACCCACACGCTCCTCCAAGATGTTGATGCGAGCAGTGCAACGGCCAGCGAGCCTCAGCCTCCGAGCCACCATCCCCCGCCAAACTGCCTTTTCCACAACTGCTTTCGCACGGGCATCCGATGCCAAGCAGCACACTTTCAGCTTCCCCGAATCCAACTTTGCGTTCCACAACTGCGGTCCCATTCCGCTCGAGGCCACCGCTGGAAAGGAGGAGCTGCTCGACATGTACAGGAACATGTTGCTGATTCGTCGTCTGGAACACGCTTCTGACAATGTACGTGACTGTGGTAGACGAACGAGCGAGATCTCGGGCAGCCGATAAATAGGGGTTGGAGACGAGTCGTTTGTGAGGCCGAAAAAGCACCGGTGCTGACTGCTCTTTGTTTCTACTTCCCCCTCACTCCGAAAACATAGCTCTACAAAGGAAAGATGATTCGTGGATTCTGTCACTTGTCAACCGGTCAGGAAGCTGTCGCCACCGGTATGCACGCTGCCATCGCAAAAGACGACGCTATCATCACAGCCTACCGTTGCCACGGTTTCACTCTCCTCCGCGGCGCCTCGGCAATGTCCATCATCGCCGAGCTTATGGGTCGTGAAGCCGGTTGCTCCAAAGGAAAGGGAGGTTCCATGCACATGTTCGCGCACGAATTCTACGGTGGAAACGGTATCGTCGGTGCGCAAGTCCCCATCGGTGCGGGTATTGCTCTGGCGCAGAAGTACCTGCAGAAGGGGACAATGACGTTCGCGATGTACGGAGACGGTGCCGCGAACCAAGGACAGGTGTTCGAGGCATACAACATGGCCAAGCTCTGGAACCTGCCCGTCGTATTCGTCTGCGAAAACAACATGTACGGAATGGGTACGTCTGCCCACCGTGCTGCCGCTTCCACAAAGTACTACACCCGCGGTGACTACATCCCCGGTGTGCGCGTCAACGGAATGGACGTCCTGGCTGTCCGCGAAGCCTCAAAGTACGCTCGGGAGTGGACGCTCTCTGGGAAGGGACCTATGGTCATGGAGATGGTGACTTACCGTTACGGTGGTCACTCCATGTCCGACCCCGGAACCACGTACCGTACCCGTGAGGAGATTCAGAACATGAGGTCAACCAACGACCCCATCACCGGTTTGAAGGACCGCATTTTGGGCAGCAACATTGCAGCGGAGGACGAGTTGAAGAAGATCGAGAAGGATGCACGTGTCGAGATTGACCAGGCCGTCGTAGAAGCCAAGGAGAGCCCAGAGCCCAACGTCTCGCAGCTCTACACGGACATCTACACCGTCGGCAATGAGCCTCCGTTCCTTCGTGGATGCTCGCCTCAGGAGATCCACCGTTTCGCGTAGATTAGGTTTCCCCTCCACGATATCCCCCCACGTCACGCATGTTCTGACCCGTGTATCCTTTTGCATGAGAAAACCTTGAGGGTTTCCCAATTTCTGTGTGTATCAATAGACAGAGTTCGCTAGCGTTTTCAAATCTTTCATTGAGGATGGAGTCGTTCCTTCTTTGTTGGGTAGACGGACGCAATCGCTGCGATTTCCCCACTTCCCTCATACGCAGTAGTGTCGAGCGTTGAAGCTCACCCGACATTGGCGCATGCTCCTCTTGTGTATCACACATTGGCTTATCTTTCCGCAAATCAATATCATCCGCTGCTGTTCATCGCCTTTGTGCTTGTCTCGATCAGATCGATGTGGGCAGATGTGGGCCTGAGTGGAGGCCAACAAAACCAAGCAGAGAGTCAAATGAACAAGTAAATCGACAAAGACATCTGCACATTTCCACTGTTCCTTGCGAACAAATCAAAGAAGAAACTACAACAAAATAAAGAAAAGGGGCGAAGCACGGAAGGAAAAGAAAGAAATCGGCAGGATATAAAAGTGACAGGGCACACCACGACAGAAGAAGAATGGGCCTATTCAACAGAGGATTGGGAAAGAGATCTGAACCCAACACGCGCGAGGGTAATGTGAGGTATATATGTATCAACGGCGGGGCGGGCGCGGTGGCAGCTCAATCTCTTCGACGTCCTCAGGGTTGGAATCGGTCGACAGCGTTCCGAAGCTGTTGTCGTCCCCATCCCTACTTCCATTATCTCCCATCTCTGCATAGTCTTCATCCTCCACATCATCATCATCGTCGTCGCCATCGTCGTCTTCATCGGACCCACCGGCGCAGCTGCCATCGTTGCTGTCCTCTTGGTCGCCAAGCCCTTCCAATTTCACGCCGGCTTCGATCCCTTCGGTAAAATCTAGCACCTCGAACCAGGTTGGGCCGCCGTCGCGTTGCACAGCGCATACAAGTCGTTGTTCGTCCATGCGCACTCGCCAGACGCCTTGTACATTGCCGACGAGGTCGCGAATGAAGCGGCCGTGGACGGGTTGCGGACCGTTAGGGCCTTGCGTGAACGCCAGCGCGGGAACGAAAGGCGCGCCTGCTGGTGGTTGGCCTGATCCGTACCCTGTCGAGTTGAGCTCCCAAACCTTGACGCCGCCGTCTGAACCAGAGACTATGCGGTTCAAGCGTGGCTCGTGGTGGAAGCAGGTGATTGCCGCCGAATGTCCCGTTAGATTAGCCAAGCATTGTCCTGTTGTCGGTGACCAGATACGGAGCGTCGCGTCCGCTGCCGCAGAGACCAGGTACTGCGGTGATAGTTCCAAGAGACCCACCAACGATGTATGACCTGAGTGAAGTGAGGCTGATAAGCAAACTGAAGGAGTAAACGAGCATTGAAATATCCACAACCGACGCACCTTCTAAATTGAACAGCTGCGCTCCAGTTCGCGTGCACCATATCCTCACCGTAGCATCCATACTGCCACTGACGGCCCGCCGCAACTCATGGCTATATCCCACACTGTACACCTTCTGCCGATGGCCACGGCAAATGAACGACACGGCTCCAGTCCCGAGATCCCAAACACGGACCGTACAATCGTAGCTCCCACTCACGAGCGTATTGCCGTAACCAGCAATCGCGCGCACCGAGTCCGAGTGTCCGCACAGCACATACTTGAAGAAGGGATTCGATGCTCGCGTGCTCCCAGTGCTCGGTGACGAAGCCCCGCAGCCAGGCAGCCATGGAATATCCCGCTTTGGATGCGGTAGCTTCCACACCCGTAACGTGGCATCACGAGATCCCGTCACAATCAGTGGCACCTCAGGCTCCATCTTCCCTGTGGCTGGGTTCTTATGCGGAATGATGATGATCAGGCACCGTACGGTTGATGTGTGGCCTTCGAAAAGGTGGGTGCACGCGCCTTCTTCCATATCCCAGACGCGAACGCTTCGATCGGTTGAGCCAGATACAAGGACCTCGTTCCAGTACTGCAGGGCCCAAACTCCGCCTTCATGTCCTTCGAGTCGCTTCTTCAGTCCGCCTGTTCGCGTATCGTAGATGTGGATTGTCTGGTCATCAGAACCTGAGACAATCTTGTCTGCGTCAAACTGCAAGCACGTCACAACGTTGAACGCATGGCCGGGGAAGGAAATGTGCTTGTAGCGACCATGGAACCAGTTTTGCCTTATAACGTGATGCCTTCGGTACAGGTTCTTGAAAAGATTTGGTGGTGTTTGAACCCCCTCGGCAAAGGACTCGGTAGGACGCTTGTTCTCGCGTAAGTGGGCCCCGTAAATTTCCCAATCAACCGGCCAATCGTTTCGTCCTTGCTTTCCGTTGATGGGTATAGGGTCTGCATCTTCAGCGTCATCATCGCATTCATCCATCGCATCATGTGGGCGGAACTTCGACCGGTCCCGACGTTGAGGGCCAATCTCCTCCCTGACCTCCATATCATCATACCAGCCCTCGCACTGCAAGCGCTTCTTCCAAACAGCCAGCTCAGCACCCTCGCCATCGACAACCCGTTTCCACGCTCTGCTGACTGCAGCGCAGCGTCCGAGAGACCGTAAATCGAGATATTGCAGAATATGATATGCGAGTTCCACTGGCAACAATGCCACATAGTCCCGTTTGAGACTAGGTAAGATCAGAGAAGATACGAATTGCAATGTCGGGAACTGGCAGCGTCGTAACAGTTGAAGAAGCAGGTAAGACTTTAGCTGCGGTGGGAGGGTGTCGAAAGTCGAGATAATATACGGGATGTCTCCAAGAGCTGCGACACCGGAGAATTCGGGTGGGATTTCCATGCTGGCTGGCCAGCTATATTGAGGCGCGTGCAAGTCGGGCACGTGGCTCGGTTGCGCCACTCCAACGGATCGCACCAGAGAAGGTCCCGTTTCAAAAGTATCGTTCAGGTATCCTGCGTGATTTGTAGGAGATGCCGTCGGACTTGGTAAATTGACATTTGAAACATCCGCACTCCCAGAATCTGTCAAAGGAGCGCCGCCCAGAATGTCAATTGGATTTGACTCTGGGAATGGCGTCAAAGGAATAGGTATTGGCCCCGCACCCATATGGGCTTTGATAGCCGCCCCAGATGTGATTTGCTGAAGCTCACTCTGACCAGCGGAGTTCAGCTGAAACGTCGACGATCCTCCAATAGAGCCTCTTCGTTTCGGAGCCCGAGAGTTTGGGTGTGACCGCGAGGATGATGCATTGACGTTTTGCATGGAGTTAGTGATCATATCAGAATTGGTCTCGGGGGAAATGGGCCGCTTCCGGGGAACGTAAGCGAAGGAACCACTCGCGGTTGTTGTGCGTGTGACTTCTCCTTTTTGATGCGTAGGAGATGAGACTGTTGTGCGTATGGACCGTGCCTCCCGGGAAGCTGATAGTCTGTTTCGGAAAGTGCCCGACTACGAGAAATCAAGTTAGCAAATACTCAGTCCACCTGGAAACCCTCTGTGTACGAATAGTACCTGGATGCCCGAAACCTGGTCTTGGTCGACTCGGAGCTCGGAAACAGAGGTCGGAAGTCCGTCCAAATCGAACGAGAAGCTTCTCAAAAACGGAGGTGTTGGAGCTTTCGCCAACGGGTATGATTCCAGATCCAATGGGTGCTTCCTCGGTGGTGCCGGGATGATCAAGGGAGGGTATTCGACAGTGCGAGTGGTGGTAGTCGTAACAACTGTTGTCACCTGCTGCGGCGCGAGAGCGTACCGTGCCCTATCGTCTGGGAGGTCCCGCCCCCGATGAGAGTCTGAGAAATAGTCTGTAGCGGGACGACCTAATCAATTGGCGTTATGAAAGCCTCTAAAGTCTGAAGTTGCTCCCCTACCTTCGTGTGCAACGGAACGAGGAACGGCGAACGGGGTTTCGAAGGAGGACGTCAACGGAGCTGACGAGCTGGCCGCGGCAGGGTAAGAATCCAAGGCAGGCTGCGGCGGCGCGAAACTGGGAGACAATGGGGCAGATCCTCGATTCCGGTCTGAAGGTGGGAATGGTAGCATTCCGTGCTGGACCAGAAAAAGGGCCGAGTCCAATCGACGCCACGCCGTTCTGCTCTTCTGAACCACCAACTGGCAACTGACACCGCGCGGCAGCAAGTCGAATCGGTTGTCAGTTCGTGTGGAGAGCAACAGCCTGCCAACAATGGTAGGAAACAGTCAGATTGGATTGCCAACGACTCTAGTCAGTTCGTAGGTGATGCTGATTGACACTTACTTTGCCTGGCGTTTGACAATACCAACGATAACTTCCGAAGGCTCCGCTTTGAATTGATAACGACGAATCCGAAAGCGGAGGTCACGTATGGAACACCGCCGAGTCGAATCAGACTCCGCTACCAATTTCTTTGTGACCCGAGGCGACAGTGATTTCTGATCTTCGCTCTATCAACAATTTGCGGTAGGTAGGGACGCACGAGTGAGTTGAATCGACTTTTGATGCTTGCGACGCGAAGAACGTCACGAATGCAGCTGCTGTGCAATTCTGCAATTCGAGTTTGGAGCGCAGAATTCGGCTCGCACCCAGCTTGAGCCCCGCAGACGCCTTCAGCACTGCCGTATGCCGCTCGTTTCTGGAGCCTATTTTATTCGAACTAATGCTTCTCGGATAGTCCTACGGCTCCAATCCTGCGCGGATTCTGTGGGGAGCAGCGAGGGGACGGACGCGCTCTGAACGCTCCGGACGAACGTGCGGAGCGGTGGAAGGGTTTGTCAACTTACCACTGTGCGAATCGGCCAATGAGAACAGGAGCAGGAGGGGGCAGGCCCTTGTGGTTGGGTGGTGGGTTAACGTGAGGGACTGGGAGCACAGCTGGGGAGTTGGCGGAGGGCGTGGGAAAGCCGGTTTCTGCCTGTCTGTCTGGGGCGCCGGGACGCAATACCGTTTGATCCTCTGCCAATTGAGGAGTCCCAGGAGTCCCTTGGTCTCAATACAAATGATGAGAGGACAAAGGCCGCGCGTTACTAATCATGACAAGCGGCCGTTATCAACCCGTTGGAACACGGCTTTCTCCCTGTGACATAACAGCTGCCGTCCGTCGTTTTTTATTTTTGAATTGGTTCGACCTCGATGTGACTTCTTTCTCGCTCTTCGTGTTATCTTATATGCGCAAGGTTACGGTCATCACGCCGGCAATATCAGGCCGTGCAAACGGTAATAGAGATCTCATTGACAGCCAAGAATAGAAGCGCACGTCTATCTACTCTGCATACACTTTTGTTTTCTGTGGCTGGGAACGGCCTTTCTGGAACACTATCGCCCTTGCCAGCGAAAGCACGAACCTAATCTCCTCGCCCCACACCCACTGCTTTATGGTTCGAAGCACATTAAGCACAGATGTGGGGTTCGTAAGATTCTTGGTTCCCCAGTGCGTTTTCCCCGAGTGTTTCTCGGGCCCAAATAAAATATCAGCCAGCTGTCTTGGCCACATCCGTTCACTCAATGTGCTCGCAGCGCGCCATTTCTGGTGCCGGAACTCAGGATTCTCGATGTACGCGTTGGTGAACCAGTCGTTTAACGTAGGTAAACTAGGAGCGACGCCGGAGATTTTTGGGATCAGCAGTTGCAATGGCGAATCTAGCAACCCTCGTTCCGTACGGAGAGCCTTCAAATTGAGTCGCTTCAGCTCAATCATTTCGCTGACAAACGATGGTTGGAGATGTACCACGGAGCAGTTGTCGAGGTGGTGTTCAGGGCCAGGCCGCCACCGCGTCAGAGCATCAATGGCCGCTGGGTAAATGGTTTTGTGGGATTTGTCGGATACGAATAGTCCCGGGGCAGTGTCATCTGCCAAAGTGGTGTTGAGCATGAAGTCCGTCACCCCTCCGTCCATGTAGAGACCGCAGCCGACACCGTGGATATACTCGCATCGTTCCTGTCAATGAGAAAGTAGTGAGCTTCGAAGTCCGCATGGGTAAGAGGTCCGGCGACATGCAATCTCTCACCTGAACAAATGGAACGGAGCTTGTAGCGTGCAGGACCTCATATATGTTTTGCCGTGTGAGTTTCACAAAGCGAGTATTCTCTTTCCCTCCAACGCCGTCGGCCAAGAACCGCGGCGCTTCGTCTCCCGTATAGAAGATCAGCCGTTGACAGATATATCTCATGACAACGTCGTGCGATGGTCGCTTGCGCTCCACCTTTCTGCCCAGCGCTCCATTGACCGCCGTCCAAGCAACATTCCAAACTGCTTGAAGTATCGGATAGATGATTTCGATCAAAGCGACGATGGCGAAAACGATTGGTAGCAACCACGCTGGAAACTTTTGAAACGGCGGCCGAACCGCACTTACAATCACGGCCGCATGGTATTGCGGGTGTGAGAGGATTTCGTCTACCATACTCTCTGGCGCTACCAAGCGATACATGTGCGCCATCATCGGAGCAAGCGTAGCGGGCGTGTCTCCGTGAACATAGTGCATGTAGCATAGTTGAGCGAGCAGGTCATTGGTGACATTCTTGCCGGAGATGAAGCTGCTTATGAGCGCTAAATTGCGGATGGCGCCCATGGAGGCACCCACTAGCCACTTTTTGCCGTGCAGTTTGTTCTCGTTGTGGAGCTCGCGCATACGGGACTCGAACCCCAAAGTGGTGACGCCTGCTGGTCCTGATGCCGGCAGAAGAAAAGTCCTGCAGAAGTGAGCCCGGTCAGTTTCCTCAAAGTAGGAGAACTATCACAGTGACCAAACACAAACTTGAAATAGTCGAGATCCATTGTTTTCAACTTGTCAATCTCGCTCGCAGAAGTCCTCAACGCTCTTGATGGCCATAGGCCGAACACGTCTTTATTCCGAGAACTCAAGTCAATGCCGGAATCCAGAGATTTGCTGACATCTTCAGTGAATCCCGCTGTTCGACGGACTTGCGGACGATAGTTCTCTCGTGGAGGAGTTGGGTAGGTGCTCTCGAGTACTGGCATTTTATCTATACGTGGTATTAGGAGTAATGGGAATATCAGGGCTGGAGCTGACTCTCCCTCCATCTTATATACGGTGTGAGCATCGCTATACAATATTTCTCCACTTGGCGGATTTCCTGTATAAAGTAAGTCGCTCGGAGCTCCACATGCGGAGGATGCATCTCCATCTAGCCGATGTTCTCTTTCCCTTTTTCGCCACGGAGGGCATTTTCCCTGGGCTTAATCGAGTTCAGGTCCCGTCATATGGAATCATCTGGCGGGGTACCGGCGGGAATGCTTGTTTGCGGCTTCATCGCCGATTCAAATCGGGTGAACTGAGGCGTAAAGATCGAATAACAACAATGAGGGTTGGTGCCCTTCCCCGTCCCAGGGATGTGGCCAAAAACTCAATAATGAATCAAAACGCCCTGTCGATTTGTTACGTAGGTAAGCAATCACGCTCCAAGGCGGTTTGCTGAATTGTTGAAAATGGACTGCGAGGTTGTCACTTGACAAACGGCAGCAGCTATGTGTGAACAGCTGTCGTCTTCTGCAATAGAGACATTCCGAGAATCTGCGGCCTCGATACTCAAGAATGAGAATACATTGGATCGATTGGGGGAATTGGCAACCGTGCTGCGAGAGATCCGAGCTAAAAGGATTGAAATGGAGAACTTGAAGTATGTGATCGAGATCGGTTCATCTTCATTTCTTTGAAAGGAAAGCTGAATAGTGATTCGTTTTTTCTTAGGCCAAATTCGGATGTCAAATGGCGTGGGGTGTCTTCCTGGCGCTCATTAGTGAGCCGCACGCCGTCGCCCAGCTCAAGCAGGCATGGCTCCAGATCTGCTTCGCCCGGCCCAAAGAGCAGCGGCGGTTATGCGGAAAAAGACGCGCTGCAAAGTGACATACATCGATTGAAGGAAGATGCTCGTCTCCGAATAAGAGGTTTGCCGGAAGACTTGAGGCACTCGATTGTCATGGCGGAATACGAGAACGTGGACGAGGCGGATCCTGGACAATGTGCGGGTATCGACGCAATCTGTTCTGATCTGCGGGATTCCATCAACCAAGCCTACTTCAACGTTTGTACCACCAGCTCACTTACCTGTCTGCTATTGCGCTCAATCGGTTTACAAAATCTATCCTGCATTCCAGGCGTTCGATCCACTCCCGTTCGGTTTGTTCTCGGAAGAAGATGAGCTAAGAATGAGGTGGCAGGATTCTACAGCAGCCCTTCTGAAGGTGTGCTGCCCTCCCGAAACGAGTCCCGCTGTGGTATTCTGCCGATGTTAGGTTAATTTATTCTCAGCTACCAGTGCAAACAAACGATACGACAGGTACATGAAGCAGGCCCAATGCTGCAGCAAGCGACCACGGCGTTGGAATGCATCATGTCTAGTGCACATGATGGGCAGAACTCAAAAATGGCGGGACAGGGTCAGTACTAATGTCTATGCCCAAAGGCAGGACCTTCTGCTGATGATCAAGGATTCATGGCCTCCATATAGAAGCATTTTCGTCGCTGATCCTGGCCGACACGGCACTTCATACGGCATGGAATAATCTCAGCGAGGCCGATTTTGGTTTGGGCAGTCTTCCAAACCTCAGCGCTATTCCCGACACTTCGGCCTCATCTATGCCGTTTGCTCAAGTACGCAGGATTGCGCAACATTTACAACCGGCCGTGGCTGCCCTGGTCGATGCAACAAGAGATTACAAAAGGGCGTCCAAGCAGGAAGTGGCCCGCTTGCAAGCAATCGATGATGAGATAGCCGCAAGACTCACAAGGGCGCGGAGGCGGATTCTCATGCGTTGTTGTAGTGATGTGGAAGGGTTGGCACCTGGAGCTGCCACAAATGGACGAAGCTTTGATGATCTTCCGCCGCAGTACGAGGCGGTCCCGGCCTATGAAACTCAAGCAGAACGAGATACCACCGTGACTCCGACAGATGCACCTCCATCCTATACGCTCGCACTACAAGCCTTGCAGCACTGTTACGAGGGTCGAAGCATATAACAAGCAACTGAAGTCTATAGGAATGAGAGCATCGCCCTAGATAAATGTATATAAAGAACCTTCAAAAATCTTTGAACAAGTCTGGTGAAAAAACAGTAGAGGGTGGGCGGGCAGTCACAGAGGAACTCTTCCAAGCGCTGATCTCAAATTGCGTCGATGCAGTCATATCTGCGTCAGTCTCGAACGTTCCGCCAACCGTAGCTGATCGTTGATGAGGGGGGTTTTGTGAACTTGCATGTCTCACGGCCGGTTGCTTTCGTGTTTTCACTTTCTGCCATGAGATCGTCGAGAAGAATCTGTGGTCGCGAATCTCGGCTTCATCCTCGCATCCGAGCCGCTGTTGCGGGCTGAACACCAGTAGCGAAACTATCAACGACTCCGCTGCGGGAGAGAAGTACTTTGATCTATCCCTGGGCCACCGGATCACGCCTTGAAGGATACGCTCGTACGTTCGTGCTGCGGTTTCTTCTTGAAATGGTGAGCACCCCGAAAGCATCTCGAAGAGCAGCACACCAAAAGACCACCAGTCTACAGCACCGGTATACTCCCGATTGAGCAAGATCTCCGGTGGGATGTAGGATGGAGTCCCGCAGAATGTTCGAGTAGTCCCGTCTATAACTTTCGCAAACCCGAAATCCCCGAGCTTGACATGCCCATCGCCATCGATGAGCACGTTCTCCGGCTTCAGGTCCCGGTATACTATGTTTTCGCTGTGAAGATACGATAGCGCCATGGCGACTTCGGCACCATAGAACTTGGCGAGTGGCTCATCGAAGTTGCCATATTTTTGGATCTGGTTGAACAGATCTCCCCCGGGCATGTACTCTATAATCATGTAGATGTGTTTGGAGTCCTGGAATGTGGCCTCCAGCGCCACCAGGAATGGATTTCGTATGCTCTCCATCAAGCTTCTCTCGTTTTGCACTGAAAATCACATAGATATCCGCATTAGCGAAAGCTCTTCAGCGAAACACAAAAGTGGAGAACGTGGTACACGTACCATGTTGCACTTGCTGCATTTTTATGACGTTGTCCTTGCGCATAGACTTCAATGCAAAGCGCCTCCCATCCTGATTACGCTGAACTAGATACACTTTTGCAAATGCTCCTTGACCCAACGCCTTTTGCAACGCGAAATCTCGGAGTTCGTACTTGAAGGGTCCTCGCTGATGCGTCGAGATCGCGCGCTCTATACGACGCCCTGCGGGACGCGGATCCACTCCGCCCATCTGCAACCGGGTCACTTCATCCAGGGACAGATCACCCTCGGTTTCTCCATCCACCGAGCCACGGCCAACTCCATCGCCTTTGTGCCTTCTATCCGATGATGATTTCGCCGACTGCTTTTCAGCATCAGTTCGTTTAGAAGAGGGATCTTTTCCGGCTGCTCTCTTAGAAGGGGTGTCCGACTGCTGCCGGCGGGTGGTAGGATTTGGGCGCGAAGAATGAAGTCGGTCCTCGTGATGAGCCGTATTGCGCATAGGGAGCTCCGATTCCGAGCCAAAGTCTGACTCTCCATCATCAGATGCAGAGCCGGGCTCGATCACTTTCGGAATCTGCAACGGCCGCCCTTGAGCCCGTTTTTTGGCAGACACTGACGAACTGCCGGAAACCGACCGGGGGCTTGGGGGGCCGTCATGTCCATCTCGGCTCTCCCGACTCTGCCCATCAGCAGGCGACGGCGGGGTACGATCCGCGTCGGAAACGGTTATAACAGGACTAGACGGGTCGTCGGGGGTAGAATGACCCGAACTAGCATGACTTTTCGTTACGATAAGGGTAGGTTTGAGGATCTGCTTGGCGGTTTTCAACAGCTGCGCGGCACTCGGAGCCCGTGGCTTTGCCGGGTTCCCGAACACATCCATCTTGAGCTGCGACGAAGTGCCGACTGGAGACTTGTTTTGAGTACTTCCGAGACGCACATAGTCATCCGCCACGCTGCTAAGAAAGGAGTCGTCCGAGCTTTGGCGAGGCCGGTTCAGAATTGTCGACCCTCTCGCTCCTTGCGACCCTCCATTCCCCAAAACCTGTGCTTTCAGGCTGGATACCTGACCCGGAAGTCGCGGCAAACTGTTGCTGTCTCCTGGCAAGGGACTGTGGGATCGTGGAAGTCGCGGCAAACTATGGCCATCACCTGGCGGTGGATTATGAGCTCGTGATGTTGCCATAGTTGAATGAAAAAGTGAGGCAATGCCTCGTAAAAAATGGCCACCAACGGCCGTGCACGGGTGATAAAGGGATTAAAGTAGTTCGAAGATGCCCAATGGCGCTGAAAGAAAATATAGAGCGCATACCAATACATCTGAACCGTTGCATAGCAAGGCATTTGTGACGTAGGATTTGTGAGCACCTCGCCTCCTTTAGAAATTTATTTTTCAACAATCTCCTATTATTATAAGATTTCCTTTAATAACTGTAAGATCTCTTTTATAGTTTCTCCACCGATTACCTGTCAGGTCGCGCTGTCGATTTTATTACGTAGCAGCCCGTCCGCTCGGTTTAAATTATCATTACCGGTACCTTAACAACACAAAAATAGCGACAGGCTTGACGCGGATGGCTCAGACGTTCAAGCACAGCACATGTAGGTGGGGCTGGATCTGGGGCCGGCTGCTCCGGTGCCCCAAAACGACTACCTTGTGTCCCATTCTTTTCCGATGAAGGACAGCATACGTGCTGCTGGTTTACGACCCCTGGCGCAGCGACAGCGTCATACACTACATAAGGCCCGCAAGATCGTCCAGCTCCCTTGCACCCAATATCTACCAACCCGCTCCAACGGCAAACCGAATAAGAACATCCAGTGATTCGAAAAATGTACAGCACGTACTCAAGTCCGTACTCCTCGCTCGGGCGCAGCGATGTGTCGAGCCCATCGCAGAGACGGCGATCGTCGCCTAGATTCGACCGGCCTCTTTCACTATTCACGCCTTCTAGCGGCTCGCCCGCTCCCTCAAGGCGCAGGTCTGTCGTGAAGCTCTGCTTAGAGAGCAACGAAACCCATCATTATACAGACGACGAAGTGATTCAAAAAATGGTCATCAAGGACCTGCCATGCGGGGCAGAAACCGCACCTGACGTCCAGAAATACTTCGTGCTGTCCTTCGGGAGCTTCCCAGAGGTTGGAGATCTGCGAGTTATTGGCGACGATCTGGTGGGATGCTTCCATATCGACGCCTTCAACATCTGTACGCCTTCGAAACTACGAATAAGCGTCTCGATAAATGGCTGGAGGACGCAGCATGTTTTCATCGCGACAAGGAACGACATAGCCAAGACTTCGTACGAATTTCGGATACCGTGCGGGCACGACAGTGCCTTCCCGGCGGAAGTGCGAGACGCTTGGTCCGCACAAACCAGCAGTCCAGAGGGCGCAGATCCCATCAAAGATTTTATCATGGATTTTCAATCGGAACATGATGGCGAGAAAGTAAAATGGGCCATCGTTATGAGCGTTGCAAAAATTAATGCTACAAGCGGAGCATCCGAGCGCGAGCTCTTGACGCTGTCCGAAAATGCCCGCCGTAGTAGCTACACTGGATGTTCCTCTCCGGCTAGGCGCGGCTCACCCTCCATCGGCATTCGGAGCCAGTAACCCATAGGCTGGTTGGGAGTCACTTCGCCATCGCATGTAGGCAGTAGAGTTAGCCCTAGTTTAGGATCATTATAATCTACGAATATAAACATCCCTGTCGAATGGGCGAAGTCTGTACAGTTGTTGCTCACCGGTTCGTGTCACCGCCGTCAGAAACGCCCTCGCGCGATTTGATGAGGCTGCAGGTGCATGTCCAATGTGCATGCAATACCGTCCAAATATCCGCTCATGCCAAGTGACCCATCTGGCCATCACACAGCGCTTGCGTCCAGACGTTTTTATATAAGGTGCATAGCAGCGACAGAGATCCTCCCAGTACAGCTCACACTTCATTCTCAAGCGGCCTGCTGAGGGCTTCATACCGCCCTAATGCAAGAGGTCACCATAAGACAAAGAAGTGCTTTCAAGCACTTTGTCAGCGTTGACAGTCCTGGAAAAGAACTGTGCTGGAACTTCTTCACAAGCAAGAAGAATGTTTCCTTCGGTCTTTTCAAAAAAGTTAGCCCGTCGTCGACCGAAACAGGAACATACGTGTTGCAAAGTGGAGCTCGTGGGGACGTTGGAAAAAGCATCACGGTTCTTGGCGGTGACAACGAGAGGACGTCAACGCCAGCGTCGCCGAAACCAACTCGAGCCCGCGGGCTGAGCAATGCGATTCCGCCTTCGTCGTCTCCAGCTGGCGAAACTCCGGACACCACCCTGCTTTCTCCAACCTCATTCAAGGACGTATTCCAAGGCAAGTCCTTGGCGGATTTCAACGATCTTGCTGGCACGGTCCGACGTCGAAGAAAGGAAAGTGTCATCGAAGGGGACCTGGTCGAATTAGTTCCTGTCACACACTACGAATCATCTAAGTTCACCGTCAAAGGAAGCTATTATGTTGAGGAACCGGGCACATAGTAGGTTTCTTTTCTGTGACGACATCTACCCTCCGAAGCGCTAGCTGATGTCTTTCTCACCTACAGTGTTCTTCTGTGGGACAATAGTTTCTCTGTGTAAGCACGGAGGAGGAGATTCTGTTGGCACCTGGAGCTTCAACCGGCTGACCGTGACCAACATATGCAGAAACACGTCAAAGAAGCTCTTCTTCTTTGTTGCTTTGAAAAATGTAGAGCCGTCTCAGGCGCCAGTGAAGAAGGAGATAGAGAACTGGCTGCTCAAGAAAGGGAACAAGAAAATGCAAGGATACCAGAGGCGCTGGGCAACTATCGATTCCAGTGGTGTTCTCTCGTACTTCAAGCATGCCGGAAGGTGTGTTCGTCAAGGGCAGGCATGCTTGTTCATCATTTAGCATGGACATCATCGCTAAATAATATGGGCCTGTTAGTTTTTGTCGTGGTTCAATCGATCTTGCGAAAGCTCGTGTACACCTTGACGAGGGTATGTTGCGCGGATGACCAGAAGGTTGACGGGCGGTATCGTTAACACTTTCCTGTTTCCAGAACGCGCTCTCATCGATATAGGTTCGTGACATGGTTTTGTATCGACGGGCGCCCGGCACTTGGTTGAAACTTTCCCAATTAGATTCAGGAGATGGCTTCTACAATTTCAAAGCACCGTCACCCGGAGAGTATCAGGCTTGGGTGGCGGTCATTGCGCGTTTTACATCGGCGGATGCTTTGGGAAGTCGCGTATCCCGAGGATCGCGTCAGTTGATTCCCGAGGCGGACACAAGTTTCGGGTCTGTTCGCGGACCCACGGATCCGGATTTGGCAGAAGTTCAAAAGCAAGCGGAGAGCATGTCTATATCTTTGACGAATGAACTAGGCCGTCTCAAGGACGTCATTGAGACTTCAAGGAGCCGAGTAGACCAAAAACATCAAGCCAGAGGTAGATCTCTCGCATGCTCTCTCCCTTCATGGATTTCAAAGACCTGAACACCGCATCTCGTTTTGACAGATATGAACTTGATTCTCAATTCCATAACGGACGTCATTGCCAATGCGCTCTCACATGCGAATGGAATGCAGCGCCAACTTGCGGCCTATGGGGAGACTGTGCGAGCCCAACGCGAAGTCGCTCACGATTCGAGCCAGTTGACGGATGCAGCTCTCCACGCCTGTTTGGCCGACAATAATCGTGTTCGCCGCCGTTTTGGTCTCGAGCCGGTAACGCTCGCATCCTTCTTGTCGCACGCTCACACCGGGTCGGTCAGCCGATTGAACATCAACAAAGCCGCGTCCATGTCATCATCGATGCGTGAGGACGAATTCTTCGATGCCGAGGAAGGGGAAAATGAAAACGAATCGGATGACGACGATAGCGATACTGATTCCATGCACGAAGCAGAAGCTACCATGACCAGCGACGAGGAGGATATTGAAGAGGAAAGCACTTCGCGGAAAGCATCCTCCGCCTTCGGAGCGGACACTAACTCGATCGCTCAGTCCACGAAATCTGCAACTATCCCCGCAGTGAGCGCGCAAAATGGCAGCAAACCCGTTTCAGCGAAACCGATTGTCCGCCGAACAAGACTTCGCGCTCCGACGGTATCGATGCAGAATATCAGCATCATGTCCCTCATCAGAAACAACGTGAGTGAGGGTTTCTACTTACCGTTCCCAACAAGCCCCTAATCTTATAATACCGCACGGATCACAGGCCGGAAAGGATTTGTCCACCGTCGCCATGCCGATCGCATTGAATGAACCGATCAACCTTCTGCAAAAGCTCTGCGAAGAGCTTGAGTATTCTGAGCTCCTGGAACAAGCCGCCGCAACTTTAGATCCTGTGATTAGGCTGTCCATCATGGCTGGTAAGTTGTAGGACGACAATCATCTCCCTATGCGGCTCTGATATTGACGCTTCCTTAGCCTTTGCTGTCTCAGGTGCGGTTGGGACATCGGTCTATGCACCTTTGGCGACTTATAACACCTTTGTTCTTAGCATATGCATCGACTGTCCATCGCGCGGGCAGAAAACCGGTGAGTACTCGTCACCACTAGTGGCTTGACAAAAAGGCTCGGACTCATCGCGTTTTAGTTCAACCCCTTACTCGGAGAAACGTATGAATGTCTCAGAGATGACAGAGGTATGGACAGATGGCCCGAAACTCATCGTCTGTATGCCCGTCACTAATGTTGCAAACAGGTTTCAAGTTTGTCTCCGAAAAAGTAATACCAATGTCGCTGAGTTCGTGACCCCTCTTTGGCCGCAAGAAGTCTCACACAGTTCCTTGCACATAGGTCAGTCACCACCCGCCAATAATGGCATGTCACGCGGAGTCGCCAAATTACCAGTTCTTCCAAGATAGTCAGGTGAAGAGCAAGTTCTGGGGGTATGTGCATATCATAGACTCGCTTCGAATACCGCTTATACTCACCTTCACGCAAATCTTCTTCTAGTAAGTCAATGGAACTGATACCTCTCGGCACAGGTATGTTGAGATTTGAAAACAGGTATGTTTTCCCGATGCGGATCTAATCTCGCGTTTGTTATCAAACAGTGCATGTCGCCTTCCCTGCTCTGAACGAGCACTATACGTGGAACAAGGGTGAGGCTGCCTGTTTCCACGAACCAGGGCGCGTTGCATGTTGATAAAATGAGATCCAGTGACAACGTGCATGCGGAACATATTCTCGGCGAATCGATACTTGGAACATTACGGAACATTGAAAATCACCTCCCAGTCTACCGGTACGAGACGCTTTGGCATCGCAGGAACCTTCTAGCTTTCACTGCTAACGCGATTTTATCCCGAAGGGCACTATTGTGAGCTGACTTTCAAGGAGTCGGGATACTTCTCATCAACCAAGAATGAAATCACTGGAGGCATCTTCTCATCGAATGGACAGAAAGCCATGTCACTGAGGTTCGTTCTGTTAGTCTGTTTCAATGATCGACACCGTTACGTATAACCGGTCGGATGCTTTGCAGCGGAAATTGGGATAAATCGCTCCAGCGATTCCAGGACTCTTCGCCGAACGCTTTGGAAGTGATATGGCGGGCGAAGCCGAATCCTCCACACCACGCAGAAATCTATGGATTCACCCAGTTTGCCGTCGAGCTGAATGGTATACCGCTCAGACCTGCGTGGATCCGTACTGTGTGGAATACTCAATCGGTTGCTTTCACTATGCAGAATTGACACCTGATCTCGATGGATGTTTGCCGAACACGGACACCAGATTTCGCCCGGATCAGAGGTGAGGATTGGAGATTGATCTTCGATGTTTGACGGCCTGTGTTACTGACGGCGAAGCGTTGTCTCTGGCTCCATCAGGATGTACGAGGAGGTTAGTGGATCGTTTTGAAGCGGGTAATTAATCTGGATCATTGTTGACGCTTTTGACAGGGTCGGGCGGATGAAGCTGAAGCCGAAAAGCAGCGGCTCGAGCAGAAGCAGCGCGATTACCGCAAAACACTGGAGACCCGGGGCGAAAGCTGGAGTCCCCGGTGGTTCCGTCCCGATACGACCGCTGGCCCAGACGCATGGGCTTACAAAGGCGGTTACTGGGAGCAACGAGGAAACTTTGAAAATACTATTGATCTCTTTTCCTAACATACAAGGTCGACTGCACGTCGGAAACTTCGGCTCGGAAACCGTCGGTTCTGAGCCGGTGTCCTATACGCTCAATACGAGTGTTCAAGGGACTCGCGCCCCACTCATTCGACAAATCGTCCGGTCACTTCCTGATAATAGTGCAAGCTGCTTCCTACCGAAATTTAGCGTAGTTTGGGCAGCATCCTACATCTCGCACGCTTCATAGACATCATGTACAGTAATTAGCGCTGATGCTTTAAGTGATCATTCGTTACACGTTATAAAAGTTTGCCGGAAATGCATTGGGAACCAATCGTAATCAGGCAGCTAAATTTCATGCTTTGGGTCTACTACGGAAGCTCCAGCATGAAAGCATGCTATGCTACTATCAACTACGTGTAATGCAAGGCCATTGGTGAAAAGCCCAAATTCCTCGAACCTTTGCGCATCTTCTCTATCTGACTATGGGAAGGGATGAAGTCGAACGCGCCACAAACTCAAACGGCTTGTCAAATCCTCAACTCTGTGCAGTATCCGTGAAATCGACTTCGTAGATGGGATTCTCCGTCATAGGCGCCGGGCTGATATAGAGGGGATTCTCTTGTGCCATTCGGAGTTCAGTGGCAGAGGCCTGAAGGTTCTGCACATCTTTCTTGCCCTTTCCGTATCGTGCAACCGCGAAGATTCCGGCGGAAACGACGACGGTGGTAAACGCTCCGACCGTTCCTCCGATGACTGCAGAGGTCGGGACACCACCGCCGCCACCGGTGTTGTCGGTGGTCGCGGTGCCGCCAGACGTTCCAGGGTCAGGAACGATCGCAGTCTGGCCGTTGCATAGGTCGCCGATCAACCAATCGACCACACCGCCGATAGTCACACCGTCCAGAACGTACAAAGATCCGACTTCAGTGGTGTTGCGCAAGCAAGCGATCGGTCCGCAAGGCGCTCGGTTCAATTCTAAAATTGATTGGTCCAGAGCGAAGGAATCGGTGGCAGTGGCCAAACCACCTCCGCAGATCCCTGCCGAGTTGTTTCGCAAGACCGATTGGTCATGCAGGTAAACGTGAGACCATGCACCGTCCGTGGTGATGGCGCCTCCAAACGTTGCAGCGCTGGAAAGATGTATGACGGCTTGGTTTCGTAAGGTTGTGTTGCCGGATTCGAAGTTATAAACACCACCACCACCTTGCCCGGCAACACAATTGGTTAGAGTGCAGCTGTCGGAAAGTAGGACGGATGATCCGGACTAGTCGGGTGGGCCAGACTATTAGTAAGCTCCGGGAGAAAGTTGCCAAATTGATATTGTCCTCACATTGACGATGCATCCACCATTGGCGGTAGCGGTTCCAGACAGCGTCGAACTCCCATAACATCCAAGAGTTGACTTTTCAGCAATGTACGCCACGCCACCTTTTGGTGCGCTAGCAAGGGTCACGGTCGTATCCACCAGGTTGATCGTTGCACCAGTAGCCATAACAGCACCCCCGGCGACCGCCGAAGATGCACCGTTAATGGAGGAGCTCGTGATGTTGACGACAGCGCCAAGAGAGGCGGTGACGGCACCGGCCCCGGCCGTACCCGTGACGTTGGTAATTCGGCTGTTGCTGATGACAGTGGAGCCCGTTTGCACCTATTCGAAGAGAACCTGGCCGTCAGGTCCTTTGCCGAATGCAACTTATTTTCGACAAATTGCCGAACCCTACCGATGCGATGCCACCGCTGACTGCCGTAAGCCCGCTGAACGTGCATCCGTCCAGAACATGAACGCCCTCGCCATACTGGCGTGAGAGGATAGCAAAATGAGCGACATCTTCAGAGATCGCGCGAAACACACTCACACCACTTGCCAAGACTGCACCAGTTCCAAGGGTATTGATATTGCGTACTGTAAGGTTTGTCGCACTGATCCGACTGACCGCATTTGAAGTTTCTAGCAACGAACTGGAGATGCTCGAGTCCCGGAACACAACTGACAACAAATGAACAGGCGTTAAACCAGGTTCTCCGTAGCCCGTTTTCACGGCGTTTTTCGTACCATTTTTGATGGTCGCCGTGCTAGCTGCTGTGTTCTCGGAAGTAACATACACGCAAGCCCCGTGGGTTGCATCGACTCCCGCGCATGATCCTCCAGTCCATGTGAGTGCCGATTTCGCAGCCTGGTGATAAAGAAGAAGACGACATCAGACAATATCCACCATTACAAGCAGAATCGCCACTTCCAAATCATACAATTTGTAAGGCTCCACCATTAGTGGCAAGCGAGCTGCCACTGCCGTAGAAGTTGCAGTCCGTTGCGGTGAAGACTGAATTCGAATCTAACAGCACAGCTCCACCATCTAGAGCAACATTTGACGTAAATGTTGTTCCAGTTGCGCTTGCTGTGGAAACACCGCTGCCACCCAAGTACACAGCGCCTCCTCCTCCAGACGTTGCCCTGTTATTTGTGAAGGTTGTCGTGCTCAGAGTAAGGGAAGAGGACTTTATGACCGCGAGGGCTCCACCATATGTAGTACTGCCACTATCCGGGACCACGACGTTGTTCTTGAAGGTGCATCCCGAACACGAAAATGACGCCCCATTGATCAAGTAGGCAGCACCCCCGCTAGATGCCGTGTTGCTGTCAAAGATGACATTGATGCCGTTGAAAGTTGAACCCTTCACGTACAAAGCCCCTCCGAGAGAAGCGGGAGTTCCCGTGATATTCTTGAAGGTTGTTCTTGTCGCAACCAAGTAGGAGCCCGACAGAATGCGCAACAGACCTTCATCGTCTGCGTCTGTAGACGCGATTCCGGTTCCGTCAATGGTCACATCCGTAAGCGTCAGCGTTGTCCCCGACGTTTTCAGACGAAGAGGGCCGCAGTTCTTGAAATTGCAGTTGGAATACGTGACACTTGACGAGAGAGTGACTTGACTGGTGTCGGTGCAGGTGTAGACCTGTCCCGTAGTGCAGGAATAGCTCGCTGTCGGCCATTTCAACGCCTGCACACCAAGGGTATATGATAAAACGCTGAGGAGGACTGCCGTACGCATTGTCCCAACTTGTTCGTGGGTATTCTGATCTACGAAAATTGGCAAGCTTTGTCGCTTGGGGTATATGCCCGTAGGGCCTCTGCAAATTGGCCGTGATCACAGAATGGTTTGAAGTGCTCAATCCCAAGAAACTCCTGTCCTCAGCAGCAGATATAATATGGACCAAACGCTGATCTGCAGTCGCCAACAGGAGGCGAAGATAATCATGTTGTACCTAATTTAGTGTGTTTTATGTTGCCCATCTATCTACAGGTTCTTAGCCCTTTTCTTTCTACCTTTCAGGGCGGGTTGCCAAATCCAGCCTGTCGACATGGTTTGGGTGTTGATTCCATTTATAAATACGTACCGTGAACCCATTACTCTTCACAACGCCGCTGGGATTGACAGAAAATCGACAGCGCGAAAGTCGATCGCCTGGAGTTCACTGCGGGCTGTGCTCTCAGTAAGAGAGACGGCATGGGGCTTTGTGGTTGATAAATATACTGATTCGAAGTCCACATATGACTTCTGAGACAGCTTGCGGTCTGAGCTATTGATTGATGTGCCGGGTCTGATCCACAAATTCAAGGAAAGAGCGGATACATTTCCATCGCAACAACGTGGACTTTCACCACCGAGGAGCACCCCATCGAAGGGAATTCATTTTAACTCAACCCATTCAGGGCATTGGAACTGATTGTGCCTTGCATTCAGGTAAAAGGAAAGGAGTTTTCCAGCGACAGATAAACGATTCAAAGTCTACCCGGACCAGATATTGTATTATCAATTTTTACGTCATGTGATTTCCGCCCGATCATTCTTCCCGTACAGCGACGTTGGTAGGGTCATCCATTATCCCAGGACCCGCATTTCCATCAATAGGAACCTTGTCAACGCCTTCCCCTCGGTGTGTCTCTATGTGACCAGGAAGCTCAAGGGCTGCTGGAGGTGAATCTTTTTCGCCTCCGGGAGTGTTGAGCCCCAAATTGCTCTTTTTCAATGCCGCGCTGCTCTTGGTTCTGGCGTTGCTTAGATTCTGCGTAGAAGACACGCGCGACGCGGGCTTGGTTGCCAGACGGTCAGAGGATGCCGTTGCTTTCGTTCCAGCTTTGTTGAGGCCGCTATTGCTGGACGTGCGGCTAGGGCTTCGGGACTTTGAGGCGAGTACGCTTTGGGATCCCATATTTTTCCCGTTTGCAAGATTGTTGGTGCTCCGCTTTGTGCTGGCTGCAGCTACACGGGCTGGGGCAGCAGCAGGTTTTGCTGCTGATGGGGGATGTGGTGCCACATCACCATGTGCAAAAACGATATCTATTTCCCGTGCAGCTGATGCGGGAGAATCGGATCCATGTACGGCATTCTTTTGACCGTCAGTGCCAAATCGGCCTCGAATACTGGTCGGTGCTGTCTCCTTCGCCTTAGTGGAATCGGTTGGGCCAGCCAGCTCTCTCCATCGCTTGATTGCGTTCTCACCCTCCAGGATGAGCGCGTATATCGGGGCACTACAGAGGCGGGTTGGCATGCGAGCTAGATTTTCGACGGAAGACGAATAACCTGTAGTTTACCTTGTCATCCACTGAACCAGGCCATCGAAGAATGGTTTCCCTTCATGCTCTCGGTAAAACTCTTTCGCTTTGTCGGCGGTGAATGTCAACACTTTCTCGTCAGCAATCTTCAATCCGCTCTGGTTGATTAGCTGGATAATCTCGTCTTTGTGTGCACTCCGGGAAACGTCTGGCTTCAGCAGGGCCAAGGTTTTCTCGGAGTATGCTGGTCCTGCCTTCACGGAATCACCAAAAACGATTCCAATCTCGCGAATTGCCGATGCCGCAGAGTCCGACCCATGTACGGCATTCTGGGATCCATCTGTCCCGTACAATGCTCGAATGCTGAAGGTGACGAAATCATCAGAAGACCAGCGCTTTGGAACTCAAGCAACGACGCCTCGGCGGCCATACCTGTTTGGTGCCGTATTCCGTGCTGTCTCAGCATTGGTAGGTCCTGCAAGCTCTCTCCATGCTTTGATGGCGCCCTCCTTCTCCAGTACTAGAGCGTAAATGGGGGCACTGGACATCCACTCTACGAGGCGATCGTAAAAAGGTTTTCCGAGATGCTCCTTATAGAACTCCGCCGCCTTTTCTCTCGTGAATGTGACCTCTTCCTGTTTGATGATAACGAATCCATCATCTTGTACCCGGCTGAGAATAGCATCTCTATGTAGGCCGTAGGCGTCAGGCTTGATCAAGGCTAACGTTCTTTCTAAATGTCTCTCATCTTGTCCCAGCTGTCCAGATGGGAAGGGCACAGAGCTTTCCACACTCGCGAGTGCACCCTGAGATTTCGTTTTGGGAATTGCGGCCTTGACACCCTTTGCGGTTGCGAATGGTGACACGGTCTCTCCAAAAACAATCTGAATTTCGCGCTTTGCTGATTCTTCTGAATCACTTCCATGCACAGCATTGGAAGATCCATTCTTCCCATAAAGCGCCCGGATGCTGTTCGGCGCATTTTCGCGAGCTGTTGCGGAGTTGGTTGGTCCAGCCAACTCCCTCCACCCAGAAATCGCGCCTTCCTTTTCCAATACAAGCGCGTATATTGGAGCACTAGACATCCACTTCACGAGATCAGCGTAGAAGGTTTTGCCCACATGTTCTGCGTAGAACGACTCAGCAATCTCCTTGCTGAACTGCACGTCCTTCTCTCCCACTATCGTGAACCCAGCATCCCGTATGCGTGTGAGAATGTCGTTCTTGCGAGCGGGATAGGCGTCCGGCTTGATCAAAGCTAAGGTTCGCTGGAACGGCTGCCCAGATAATGTCGCCGATGGATGTTGTGCGGCCGAGCTTTTGCCAGCTTCATGTGGGAAGATAAGCTGGATTTCGCGCTCAGCGGATGCGGGAGAGTCACTGCCATGAACTGCGTTGTGGCTTCCGTCGGTTCCATACAAGGCCCGAATGCTGTTCCAAAGTTTTCCGTCAGCAAATCATTAGCGAGGGAGCCATACTGCCATGGGAGTCGGCAAGGCGCTACCCAGCACTAACCTGTGCGGCGCATTTGCTCGTGCCTTAACAGAATCTGTGGGACCAGCTAACTCTCGCCACTCCGTGATGGCATCTTCCTTTTCCAGAACGAGTGCATATATGGCTGTACTACATATATAGATAAGCCAATCGGGCAAAATGGTGAGTTAACGCCTCGGTGTGTCTGCCATCATTCACGAATCGGGGCGTACCTGCTCATCCAAGCCACCAGGTCGCTGTAGAACGGTCTCGAGGCATGCTCGCGGTAAAACTCCCCAGCTTTCTCCTCCGTAAGTTTGATTTCCTTCTGTTGTACAATACGGAATCCAGCTTTTTGAATGCGCGCAACAATGTCGTCTCTGTGGCCAGCTGCATATGCATCCGGCTTGATCAAGGCTAACGTGCGCTGCCGTAGTATTCCACTTGGTGGCGCTCCAATGACTCTGTTGGTCGCAAAGTTTTGATGCTCTTCCGTGAACGGACTGACGTCGTTTCCAAACACGATGTTGATTTCGCGGACAGCTGATGCTGCCGAATCACTCCCATGCACTGCGTTTTGACTGCCATCGGTCCCGTATAGAGCTCGAATACTGGGAGCAATTCAAGCTCAGTGTAGGGGAAAAATAACTATACACAGCTCACCCATACCTTTGAGGGGCGGACTCCCGGGCTGTGTTGGAATTCGTGGGACCAGCTAGATCTCTCCACCCCTTGATCCCATCAGATTTCTCAAGAACCAGAGCATAAATCGGAGCACTAAACCGGAGCATAAATCAGATGGGATGAAATCTTCTTCGAAATCCGATCCTGAAACATACCTGCTCATCCACGCTACCAAGTGATCATAGAAGCTCTTCCCCTCATGCTCCCTATAAAATTCTTTGGCCTTTTCCTCAGACCACTTGACTTCACTCTCCTTGACGATTCTGAAACCATCTTCTTTGATCCGTTTCACAATGTCATCCTTCTTCCCAGCCCCATAGGCATCTGGCTTGATCAGCGCGAGAGTGCGCTGTAAAAGAGGACCGGACGGGTCTAGGAGCTCCGTAGTGCTACGCGCCGCAGCGACTCTCTGATGCGGTCGTGCACCTTCGGCGCGAGCGCTGACGGTGTCCCCGAAAATGATCTTGATTTCTCGTTCGGCGGATTGAGGCGAGTCAGAACCATGGACAGCATTTTTGCTTCCGTCCTTACCGTATATGGCACGGATGCTAAGTAACTTATCGCGGTTAGTCCGCCATGGTGCATAAGTTGAATCAACGCACTTCCAACGCACCTATTGGGAGCAACTTCCCGAGCTTTGTTCGAATTCGTAGGTCCAGCTAACTCACGCCAGGCTGTGATGGCGGCATCTTTCTCGAGCACCATCGCGTAGATGGGCAAATCCGGCCTGACAGACGACTATTAGAATGTTGCCAACTCTGGTCGCATCTGTCACAGAACTTACGTGCTCATCCACCTGACAAGATCCTCGTAGAAGCCCTGCCCTAGATGCTCCTTATAGAACTCCTCGGCCTGCGCTCGAGTGAGCTCGACCTCCTTCTCGGCAACAATCTTGAACCCAGCATCACGTATTCTTTGCACAATCTCATCCCTCTTGCCCGACGCAAAGGCGTCCGGTTTGATTAACGCGCAGGTTCGTTCTGTCAAGACATTGTCTTCTGCGGCATGTTTTGCGGCTCGGACAGCGTTTTCACTTAGTGCGGCGCCCGCAGTTGTGCTCGTTCGTGCATTATAGATGCCGGATTCCGACCGCATGAGCAGGCTAGGGAACAAAGCTTCCACCTCGCGCGTTGCATTTTCGGCTCCGTCGCTTCCGTGGACGGCGTTGCGGACAGTGTCCGTCCCAAAGATGGCGCGAATACTGAAAAGGGATCGTTCCGTCTTTCTCGAATACGGCGTAAAATTGGGCGGCTGGTTTCTTACCTCATAGGGACAGTATTTCTTGCTACCTCTGGATCGGTAGGACCAATCATCTCCCTCCATCCGCTTACGACGCCGTATCCTTTCAGAACTAACGCAACGACTGGCCCACTGGAAGCGCATCCGACATGTTCGTCTCAGTCTTCACTTAATCAGAGGTAGTCATCGTCATCAACGAAACATACCTTGACATAAACGCTACAGTATCCGCAAAGTAGGGCGTTTCTTTCTGATGAGAGTACAAATCGGCAGCTTGATCCGCCGACAGATTGATCGTCTCCCTTTTGATGACCTGGTATCCCCTGCAAATAATTCGTTCGATGATCGCATCCAGTTTGCTCGTGTCTACAATATCGGGCTTGATGATTGCAAGTGTTTTCTCCGCATGTGCTCCCGCTGGAGGCGGTGTATCTTTGATTTCAAGCATCGGTAGCTCTAGAACGGACGTGTTGGGTCCAAAAATGAGATCGATCTCGTGGCCAGCAGCTTCCAGAGACTCCGAGCCAAAAACGGCGTTCAAGCGGTTGTCTGTCCCAAGTGACGCCCGAATGCTGTAGACAATGTGAGGGAGCAGTTTTTGAAGCTTTCACTGTGTGAACTAGCTGTCCGTACCTCGATGGAGCTTGATCGCGGGCAGTGGCAGGATTTGCTGGACCCATCAGTTTCCGCCAGTCCTGCACGGCGTTATCCTTCGAAAGAACCAAAGCAAGGATTGGGGCCCTGAATTGTGAATGCGGTCAGCATCTCAACATGGCTCCTCAACAGTCCACGTTGCTCGCCGCATGATGTTGATGGAAACATACGTAGACATGTGCGTGAGCACCCCTTGGAAGTAGTTGGCCTTCTCATGTTCCCGATACAGCTGCTCCACCTGTTCCGGGGAAAGCCACACTTTCTTTTTCTGAACCACCTCAAACCGATGCAATCGGATCTGGTTCATGATTTGATTGATCAGCTCAGGACCCATCGCATCTGGCTTGATGATCGCCAAAGTGCTTTCGGCTGTAGCCGACATTGGAGTGTAAGGGGTGGTGGCTGACAAATTGTCCGATACACCGCCGGCAAGGTCGGCTTTAGAGCCTCCAGTGCGAGTCACTGGTGCGCCATTCGTGTGTGCAGAGACGCGGAGGTCTCCATGGCGATACTGTTGAGAAAAAATCAGCGGATACCATCAAAGTCGAAACCCACTCTGGACACTCATGATCTCACCGGAGGATGAGCTTGGCCTTTCGCTGCGAGATCCAGTTGATCTTTGATGGTGGACTCGATCAGAGGCGAGTTTGCACCTTTTATGAGATTGACCAGTACGCCGTTCTACGGAGGTTCATTTAGCTCAATGAACCGCATGCACTTGAGAATCATTTCCGTCTTACGAAGAAGAAAAGAAATGTTGGGCATGACTTGTTTCGATATGACTCCAACGCTTCGATGCCATCAGTAAGCGCCTAGAAATCAACGTCAACAAGATTGTCATGTGCTATCGACAGCGAAGCACGGAGTCTCACAGTGGCAAAGGTCACTTGTTCTCCATAATCCAGCTTCAATCGCTTGAAAATGTTTTGCATCGGCTCGCATGGTCCAGCCCACTTCGCTTCAGAAAGCAAGTCGCTCGTCATGTTCAACACGCTGCATGCATAGACCATCAAATGGACATTTACCATAAACATCGACGACTGTGAATCATCCGATATTTACAATAAATGTAAACGTGGATCAGAGATGCGATTGTAACTTCCGACGACCAAATCCCGCTCTTGTCTCTTTTCACGCACCAGTAAGCCCTGGTTTTTCCGTAAGGGTGTTCCAATCTTCGTCTGTCGTGACTGCCACTGCTCCCGCCAACTCGATCTTCCTCGCGTGAGCACTCATTTTGAGCTGCTTCAACCTTTAACAAATAAAGAGATCCGGCCACGGAATGCTACGAAAGCGAAAAAAAAAAGGCACTTATGTCCCTTCTCAACGAATTTTTGGTGACAACGGATTTGTACGTTTCGGTGGGATCAGGATTTCGAAAGTGACGGCCGAGAAGCGCGGTTTTATCCATCGCGCTTTTGGTAAGCACGCGTCGACATGGCTTCGGAGTCTGGCTTCGGAGTCCCATACTTCTGCAGATCCAGCTGCATCATGCAGATTCATGCTCCCGCGAGGACGGGGTCTGCGTACGTCCGGCGATGTTTAGTATATCTAAAAGAAAAGAATCTGCAATTTGTTCACAACGGCATTTCGGCTTCAGATATCGCCCGCTTATGGATTTTGGAGATGCGGTACCCAGTTTGATGCGAAAAGGCGCACCCGTATCATCATTTTTGGCAGCCAAATCCTGCGCAAAATCGTATGGCATGTCAACACTTGCTGGATCGTTTCACTTATTCCTGACTCGGACGCCCTGGCGTTGTGAGGATCCGTGTGCATACCATTTGACAGTACCGCCAAGCCGAACCCATGGGACGGCGATCGACCGCAAATTCACATGCATCCCATTTTACGCCCAAGTAACTCTACAATACGCCCATGTAATTTGCGCCCAAGTTCCAAATGAAGTTGTGCAAATGAAGACAGACTAGCAGGCCTATCGGCATTGATATATAAAAGGCCGCGCGCCAGCGGGGCCTCCCTCCTACCTGTAGATACTTGCCGCCATCCTCGCGATGACTCTCTCGACACCGGTCTGCGTTGGCTTGGCCATCCCCGTGCTAACTGCCGTTGCCTTTGGCTTGCGGCAGGCTTACCTGCGGTTTGTGGCCAAGACCACGGTGTTCATTGACGAGCATTATGTAGCAGAGCAAGGCCCACGACGTGGCAAGTCGGCGGTGGTATGCGGTGGTAGTTTCGCTGGAATGGCGGCGGCCCGGGTGTTGCTGAACCACTTTGACCACGTCACTGTTTTGGAGAGTGAGGCCTTGGACGTTGGGAACACGGACTGGAAAAGTCCGAGGAAGAACATCGTTCAAGCCAGTGCCCTCCACATATTGCAGCCAGCAGGGTTCCGGATGCTGGAGCGCCTGTTTCCGGGCATCCGTCAACGTATGTCACACCCCGGAGCAACTCGAATTCCTGGAGCTAAAGATGTTCTAACCTGATGTCCACGCAGGGTATCTTGAACTTGGCGTCGCGCCATTTAATGTCGTTGATGGCGTTTTCTCAGTCTGGGGCGGCGTGGTCATGCGGCCCAAAGCTAAAGACGTGGACTCAGTCCTAGCCAGTCGAACGGCGTACGAGGCAATCGTGCGCGCAAAGCTTTTGGAATGCGATCCAAAACGCTTGAACTTCAAAACAGCCGTAACTGTTCAAAATCTCGTCATTGAGAATGGAAGGGTGCAAGGAGTGACATGCTACAGCAAAGATGATCAAGGAACCTTTACGTTGAACGCTGATCTCGTTGTAGATGCGACCGGCAGAAGTTCCAAGGGTGGGTCTATTCTGCTGTGCATTCTACTCCTCCTTCGTAGCATCATTTGACTGACCGGGGTTTTGGATCATGCAGGTCGAAGATGGTTGAAGGATGCTGGCTACCCGGAAATTCCTGAGGAATCCTATGATCCCCATATTCAGTACGTAAACGCGATCTACGAGATGGCTGGTCCCCTTCCACCATTCGTAGCGACTATGCCACGCCCTGGTACCCAAGATCGCGATGCAATCTTCATGACAAAGATGGAAAACAATCTGTGTTATGTGGCGACACAGAAAGTCGCTGACACTACCTCTGAGGGTCCAAAAACGGACGAAGAGGTTGACGCCATCTTCGAGAGAGTTCATGACTTATGGCCTTTCTGGAAGGACTTGCGAAAGAATATTGGCCGTCGTGTTTCCGATTTAAAAAAAGTCAGAGTTTCTCCGAGGTGAGCTGCAGGGCTTTACCCGTTGTAAGTTGAACTTCAACTTCAACTTCAACTTCAACTTCAACTCCTTTCCTAGCCGCTTCGTTCGCTACGATTTGATCCGGAATTGTGTCGGATTTGTTGTTGTCGGTGATGCTTTCTGCAGGTACGTCGGAAGGACACAGTATGTGGAGTTCACTTTCGACGCTTGTCTCACATTGACCTCTTCGTGAAATTTATAGCTTCAATCCCATCTACGGACAGGGAATGGTGAGTGTCCCACGTTCACTATGTCACGATCCCCGGACCTCGCTAATTACTTTCGTCCTCGATGCTGTAGACGACAGCAGCAATGGCGGCGGTCACTCTCTCGGGTGTTCTTCGGAGCAACACTCCTGACGCCGACATCCCTACCGCATTCCACAGCCTTCTCCAACATCGTCTCCACAACATCTGGTTGACGAACCAAGTTTCCGACCTCGCGTACGACAATATCGTTCCCTGTGTCGGGAAATCCCGCACCGATTCCGACATCAAGTTTATGTCAAGCTTCAGCGCCGGGCTGTTCAAGGCCGCGCATATCGACGTGCATGCGGCAGCTGTTCTCTGTAGGTCTACCAGCTTGGTCGCTTGGCCCCATGAGGTAAGCCGTAAATGTTGCCAAATCTGCCCTTGTAGCGAGACCTGAAGACTGATGCGTATTCAGACTCTGCACCCTCAAGTTCTCTGGGCCTTCTTCAAAGCGCTTGTTCTCGGTGAAAAGTCTTCTCAGAATTGGGAATTCAGAGATGGGCAATTGGTCCAGGCCCCCAGCGCGTGAGTATGACCTTCTGAACATTCGTACATAGCCGGACTATGCTAGCGTATGTTGCGTGGACCGTATTTTGCTGTGTGCACATTGTAATCCCATTATGCCGCTCCCATATTTCATTCAATAGAACGTACTGTACTGTATGCATTCCTTTGTGCAGCGAGGCAGGCATAGGAGGACAGATAGGAGGCATAAGAAGTTATGATAAGAGGCGTCCCAGCAACTACGACAACTTCGTAGGCCAATTTGCTAGCAGCTAGGTTATCGAAAGTATAGGGAAACCTTTCAACATACGCATCAACAGAACATCTCAGCAACTCTGCATACATACACCGAAAGCCTCTCGGGCAGTGAACTCGACACAACTGGAGACCTTGTCGACGCGTCCAACGAGGAAATCCTGCGGATAGGAAGAGAACGTTCAGCATTCCGTGCAGATTTGAGACAGCTCCAACGCTTCGCTTCCTCGTCAACGGAGGACGGTGCTTTGCCGGTCCAGATTATTGATAGTGCATAGGGAGGATACAAAGCGGAATAGCGCAATAACGCGATGATGGCCGAACGGCAAGGTGCGGAGGACGCGGCCGCGTACAGCATACGACCGAACTTCAAGCAAAAGTAGGTCAGCGATCGCATGATAGGAGGGCCGCTGAGAGAGAGGGCGCCATGTGATTGACGAATCTCGCGGGAAACCTCAACTAGATTCCGGCCAGCAGTCGTGAACAAGATAATACACCAGGTGCTGGTTGACCGGCTGACTGGGGCGCAGTACTCGGCGGAAACCTGTGCGCAGTGGACGAAAGAGATAGCGGATGATGTCAAGAACCGGCTGAAAGGTGAGATCACAGCGTTCCGTTTTACGCAGAGGGATGGCTACCAATGTTGCATCCGCGCTTGGAAGATGTCTCACTTATCAGAATTCATCTGCATCTGCGGTAGAGCTGGATTATCCAAGATATAAGTATGTGGTGAACGTCATGATTGGGGAGATGCGAGGAGAGGGGATAAGGTATGCTTGCGTCGCGATTGCATGTACGCACGTACTTGATTTCCCACATCTCTGGCTTGGCGTATAGAATGGGATGTCGGTGCTTTTGGGATGCGGATACGGATAACGTCGCGGAAGACACTTTCATCAACGTTAGTATTGGCGAGATCGCAACTCGGAGCAAATCCGCTTGTGCACCTCAGCTGAACACATTTCTCCGCCTCCTTTCCTGCAGGATTCATTATTCTGCGTGGTAGCTGGTAGGGATATGCGTTATCTGTCGAACTCCGTACCCGAAACGATTCTGATGATCTGTTGCCTCCTCGGTAGCATTCGGTGTGTATTTTTACTAGAGTCCACATTCAGTAGTCGTGTGCTGGGAAACCGTCGGCTTGCGGAAGGCGATATTGTAAATGTAATCGAAACGCGCAGACTGTTGGGGGAAAGACCAGGGTGCGAGACAAAACGAAGGACCAAAGTCTGGCGCGCAATAAAAAAGGTTACGGGACGAGATGCTTCCGACCGTCCAAAATGGCGATTTGCCACACATTCATTCACCGCCTACGATATGTACAAGGAAGAACGTAGCTTCTAGCCCCAATTTACTACAGTGTGCCGCCGTCACTTTCTTCCGCAGTCGCAAACACCTGCACCGAAGTGGTCCTACCCTCCGCAAGTATACGAACGCTAGGAGAGGATAAATATATACAGCAAACGCATGAAATGAGGGCAATGCGAAACAGTGGGGGGCAGGATTCGGGTAGGTGACGATGTAGGTTGGCGCGAGGAGTCGAGGAGTCGTGAGGCCTCCAAGGCAAACCAGTAAGATACACGATAGGAGAGACGCGCATAATTCTAAAATGGACCAAAATGGTGGTTTTGTGGAAGAGAGTGTGTCGAGGAGTTATGTGTCACAGTCCGCAGTATTCGCCGTGCAAAGTCCCACGAAGAGCGTAGCAGGTTGTTCCGATTGGCGATTTTACTGCATCTCGGGATCGGCATCGCGACTGCGACTGGACTTTGTCTTGCGCGCATAATTATGACGTTTGCAGTAGCCCTTCACGTACTCCGAGATACCCGCCTTCGTCTTCTCAGAGAGGGTGTCGCGCGCCGAATGGCCGTGCTTTATCTCCTTCTCAACCAGCGCTCGAGTAATCTGTGCACGAGTAGGTAAGATGTGAGTATATTCGGGTCATGCTGGAATCCATTCTCAGGGAGTAAGAACCGTACCTGCTTCGCTCGCTCTTTGAAGATCTCTGGTGGAAGGTCATGGCTTGAGAGTACTTTGACGACGTAAGCAGTAACCTGAGGGAAGACGAATGTGAGCGAAAAGCCTGACCAGGTCGATCAGCAGGCGAGGCTCTTTCCCACGTACCGCTTGTTTTCTTTTCTTCGGGTAATCGGTCGATGAAGAGAAGGAGCTCCCGCCGGCCCCATGCTTGAGTTGCTCTACAAGCACACTCTGGGGCGGACTATGCGAATGCGCACTGTCTGTAGGTTGTGATGGCGACGCTGGTATCCCGTTGTGCAATTCTTCAATCGGAATCGCTTGGGCCGTCGGAAATTCCCACTGCGTCTTATTGTTGATATCGTAGTAGTAAATAACGCCCTCAGGGGTGATGGTGCTGCTCCACCCCGCCGGCAGTGGCGGCGCACTGTCGGGATCAAAGGAGGGTGGAGGTGGTGGTCGTCGATCATCACGGTCGCGGTCACGTTCCCGTTCCCGGTACCGGTCCCTGTCCCGATCGCGGTCGCGTGGGTCTTCGTTCCGGTATGCTTCCCTGGACGGTGCATATGAATGGTAGCTATCCGACTCGGATCTTGACGGTCTGTAGGATGTTTCGTTGCTGTGGTACGAGTAATCGCGGGAGTGCTCCACTCGATGAATCTCGGGTCGGTGGGGCTCGGGGTATCTGCGATATTCGTCAATCTGGGCGCTGGATGAGGACCAGCTTCCGCTTCGCTCGGGATAAACACCATGCCTTGGCGGCCCAATGCTCTCGCGGCCTGGTAATGATGAGTAAGAGGGCTGTGACCGATAGTCATGCCTGCGTATGGAGTCTTCCAACTGTGTCCGATTTGGCTCTTCCTGTTTGATGACTGGTTCGTCCTTTCTGTATCTTTTCGATGGAGGTGAGCCCGGTGGCCTTCGCGCGTCATGCTCATCGTAGGAACGTTTGGGTATGCTGTTGGTGGCATCCGGTATTGCAATACTGTCCTTCGGAACTTCCGTGTTTCCAGTGGCCTAATGGATGGCGGAGAGGCAGGTTTTAGTTTTACGCTTACTCTATGCGCGAATTCACGTCGCCATACCTGCAATGGCACGGCTCGCTTCGGGATCTTATAGGCTTTCTCCAAGGTGGACCACTTCTCCAGCAGCTGCATTCGCAGAAAAACGGGTGTGAGGAGGATTTGGCGTGATCTTTCGTGCTTAACATAAAGTTACCTCTTTCGCTGCAGTTGATATGTCTACGTTCGGCAACGCAGCGGTTTTTACAATGCACGCTTCCAGCTTCTCGTTCCTCGTAGCAACAGGAAGCGCTCGCAAGATTCTCAAAACCTAAAGTTCCACACATCAGTAACATGAGCACAGACGACACAAAGCGATTCCTGGGCCTTCCATACCTGGATGGGGATCTCCTCCGATTGCCCAATGTAACTGTCTAGGCACCACTTGAGTACCGTGAGCCCTCGGATCCATATGAAGCGCCTTTGAAAGTTGGCATCGAGGCTCTGCGAAGTTTCCCAATTAGCCGTCCGATGCTCTTCAAGCTTCCAGACCCATTCTTCCTCACCTCCACAGCATCCAGAAATCCGATAAGTCGGTTTCTGTTACTGACGTTCCGCACAAGGGCGCGCATTAACACCTTGAGATCATCCATGGTATGCACTCTAACGGACGCCTGGACCGTGGTTGAAGTCAGATCCCGTACGTTGCTCTAATCGTGCGGACAGATTCCAAATGCTTACCGCTCTCGCATCAAGATCGCCCTCATAGTCCGAATCATCTCCTCCCTTCTTGGGACGACGATTTGCCTTCGCTGTCTCAATAGTGTCGTCTTCAAGATCTCCGCCCTCATCTGCGTGCCACGTAACCGTCAGAAACCGTGCCTCCAGCCGCACTACGACCATTTGCGCCTTACCAGCAATCTGCCCTATCGCCAGCTCATCAGCTTGCTTTCCTCCGATAAAGCCAGAGCAATTCGATGATCCGCAGTAGCAGGATTGCGCTTTCGCTCTACACGGATTCAAGTCAGTTTCCACCGACATCAAAAAACCTCCTCAGATCGAAGCCTACCCGTATCTCTTGAACTTGTAATCGAACGTGAATTCCTCTCCAACCGCAATGTCCTTTAACGTAAACATCCCGATCCGCCAGCGCTCCCCAACAATCCATTTATGCAACGCGCAGTTTGGATCGCAGCTGTGATTCATGAACCGAGACACGTTGCCCTTTCGACCTGCGTCTATGAACTGCACGTAGGAGTTACATCCACCAATCAGTATCGGATGGTAAAATGCCACATGTCTATGTCCCCCTCGTACCTCGTTCGCCTTCAAGCTCATGAAATAGAAATGCTTCACTCCCTCCTTATCGTACTCCTGCGTTCGCTTCTTGAACATCGTCGATGTAATGACTTCGCCACAGTACTCGATCACAAAGGAACCCCTATGAACAACCGTCGGTACCACATGTCAGAGGGTCATCCCCCCATGTGAATTCGCAAACGTTCTCTGGCAACTTACGCCCGTATGGGTGCAGTGGCGCGAAGTCCAAATCCCTTCTTGGCCGTCTCGAAGATTTCCATAGGGGCATACTGACGCTTCTGAAACCTACACAGCACAATTTCGGCATCAGTTTCCGCTATTCTTACAGAATCGCACAGTTTCGACATCCAGGCTAAGCGGCTCACTTTTGGTTCTGACAGTACTGCCCGGCCGGACAAGAATCGGCGACACACTCTATGTATAGCTCGCGATTTATGCAATTTGCGTCATATCCGCATGCTTGATGTTGCATATCTTGGCCTATTCCGGGGCAGAAACCCCATTCAGCATTCCAACGTAATCTCCGTACTCCTTGCAGTCGACGCTCTGCCAACCTGGTTCGTAGGTACAGTCGCAAACCATGTATTCCTCAGTCGGCGTCCTCCCATTCGCTCCACCCTTATATTCATTCTCCACGATATGCGTATACACCTCCATAACCCGGTCGTAGATGTCCGGACTGCAAAATATCTGCCTGTCATTGGCCGACACGGACCCTCGCTTCGATTTCGGTGGCCTTGGCGGCGGTGGGGAAGTGTCGGAGGTGGAGGGCCCGCCGTCGACATGGGTCCCATTCGTTCGTGGAAATGCAACGTTTTTCGATAGGCTGTCCGTCACGGCCACCCGATGTATACCCTCGTCGCCTTCCCAAGCTCCTAACCCGTTGCTGAACCTATCTGAGTCGATCATAGCTTCGGTAGCGGATCCGCAGTTTCGCACAGCTCCCCGGTCGCCCCCTCTGTCGAATTCCAATTCCGCTGCGCACGTTCTTGGCTGAGACAAAACTCCACCCATGCACCGCTGTCCAAAGTCCTCTCTTCCGCTTGAACTGGTCCTTCTCGGGCCGACGGCGTATGTATCTGCTTGGTGAAGGGGTCTTCCTGTCTGTCGGCTTTGCTCTTGAGGGGACCCCACATTCACAAGGGGTGCTTCCTGGGCCTATACCCAAGCCCGCACCCTTGTGGCAGCTCACGTGACAGAGCTATTTAAATTGGCATTTTCCAGATGTTCCCCGCTTCTCGAGTTTCCCACTCCGCTGCTCGACTTCTCCCATTTCCCAAGGCTCAAGGCAAAGTGCGGCCAGCATTCCGACCCATGTATTCAAACAGTATTGAATACAGCACACTAATCCGAAAGCTTCTATCAAAATCGCCTATACTAAGAACAATTACGCCGTAACCATTAGGGAAAACAAACCGAGGTGACAAGAGGGGATGGAGGGACAGAGGTGCATTAAGTATCGACCTACGATAGTTATCCAGCATTCCCTTAGCATGCGCAGAATCAATGTCGCGCATTCAATACGGGGTGCTTATTCTTGTGAACCCACGGTATCCCAGACGGCGGTGGAGTGGGAAACTGGCGATAGATGACGCAGAGCTCGCAGAAAAGTCCAAAGATGAGCGTGCACAGGCCAGTGGCTATCATCGCCACTCTGCCCTGAGTCGACGTCAGCAACTGCGAGAGGCCGTCAGCGATCTGATCCCCAGACTGGCTTACGGGGTGCTTCAGTGCCTTGAATTCGAGAATGCCGACGAAGACAAATATTCCCGCTCGTCCCAAGTATCCGATGTGCCCAAGGGTGAGCAACATCCATCGCTCCCACTTCTGATTGGCCCGGCGCCAGTTAATCTCAGAATGCCATCTCTTTGTCAAGGCATTCTGCAGTTGGGTGAGGCACGCGATGAGGAACGCGACGCCCATGAGCACGAGCATCGTGCGGCCGAGGATCGTTTCACGCCAGCAGTTCGGGTAGCAGCTTGGGGGTTTGTTTTTGTAGTTGTTGAGCAGCATAATGACGATGTAATACGAGTATGCGATGTACACTCCTCCGCTTACGGCTGGCGAAAGTCGGAAGCGGAAGAAGTTGCCCAAGTTTGACAGCTTTGCCTATAAATGGTAGTTGATGCGATGAGGCATAGGCATTCATGGAATGCGATAAAGAACCCAACGACTGCTTACATCTCGGCCTTGATACGTGAGGCATTCCCAAAATCTCCATATAGAATAGCACCACAGAGCTATTAGCAGCAGAACGCAGTTAGAGACTCTCTTCGAGTGTGTGAGCTGTGAGTAGCGACAAGATTCTCACCGATCAATAAAACAAAGAGTGCTCCGGAGCCAGACTTGACGTCTCCTATCATAACAAAAGCGCCCTGTTGCGGAATCGTTCGAGGTCAGAACAAGGTTCTTGAAACAGCTGGGCAGTGAGGCAGACCGAGGTTAACCGTTACAGACCTTGGGACTCTCTTCATACTCCTTATCGTCCAACTTTGCCCCGCTGGCAACCGTCATTCCTCCTACGAGACCGTATATGACGCCCTTCGCTCCAAAGCCAATGCGCCCTACTATCCGCTGCAATGTTGCCCACCAAGGGGACGCCGAGTCTGGGTGCTGCATGGAGTAGTACCATGCTCTGAACCCGCGCTCCACCTTGTCGCGGTATTCGTGAGCGTGGGCGGCTATATCCCCTGAGGCGCTGTGGTGAATTGCCGTGGGCAGGACGCTGTGGTCCGCGCTCTTCTCTGCTTGTTTTGTGAAGGGATTCCTCATGGCGGCTGCTGTCGGCTCGTCGGGCGAGGAGTGAGCGCTGAGGGAGATAACTTGGTGCGAGAGAGGATGCGTCGGCACTGACTCGGCAGTTTTGTTGTCTTCCTACAGTCGGGCCTTCTGGGTCGGTGTCGTTTGTTGAACGTTGTTTCAATTGAGGGGGTCAAAGCCTCTCTTGCCCACGAAGCTTCGAGCGAGTTCAAGCCTCGGAAGGCTGAATTTGAAGGATTTTGGCGAGACGGGAGATCGACGTCACCCTTGTGCGCCCTCAACTTCTCTACGAATCTACGATCTATGCCGATCCTCCGCCAGCGACATGGTACTGTACTTATATCATATCTACAGCTCCCTGCTCAACTTGGAATACAAGGCCCAAGCTGAGACCCAGCTGAAAGGATGTGCAACGGAGATCAGAGACCAGGCTCAAAGAAGCCGTTCGGACCCTTCGGTTGCATTTGCTCACCAGATTTCGCACGATGGCAGTAAGTCCTCGAATCTTTGGAGCTCAAGGCGAAGATCCCAAAAGCTGTCAGATGATGAAGCTGCTACTCAATGAAGGGCAGGGCGGGCGTCGGCATCTTGTGTACGTACAACAACAATAGATGGATCATGATGTCCCTCTCCTCACAATTCAGCCGTGATTCTGGAGAACCACTCTTCTCTGAGGCAGCCTCAGGCAGCAGCCTCAATTTCAAAAGCTCAGACTGTCGGAGCATCTTCATTCGGAAGCGATGATGGCCTCCGATGCGCTGGCTATTCTTTCACACTCAATCTGACCACTGGCACTGCCGCCTCGCTCCAAAACAGCAGCATTGCTATTCACCGCCCGATACCCAGATGAGCTGCCTTGCCGTGAGGCTACGTGAGCGGGCACTCTGCGCTCTGAGGGTGTGTGTGACCAGCCCGTCGGGAAGCGGGCGCCTCTCGGAGCTCATCAGTGACCGACTCGGCGGTCTCACTGTCTCAGATGCGGTGTGGCCCTTTTTGCGGCGTGTTTCATCTTTTCGCGGTTGTGGCCCAACCCATTATGCTCCCTTCCGACCTTCGTCACTTGGATATCCATTTACGTACGTATAGACGGTGGACGGGAGCTGAAGCAGTCTATATCATTGTAAAGCTGGCCACCTTGTCGAGCAGCAGGGCGTATACCTTGAATATACGCACATTGGGCTCCATTTTCGAGACTCGCTGACCAGTCCCAACGCCGTTCACAAGACAAACCAGCAACAATGTCTGACGATTCATCAGCTACTGACCTCGTTGGCCTGTTTTCGGCCACAGGGATCCAGCTGGCTGTGTCGGCAGGTCTTATGGTCGGGTTCTCTATCCTACGGCCGAAAAACCGGGTCGTGTACGAACCTCGAACGAAATTCGCGCCCGAACCGAAACGACCCCAGGCGTTGGATTGGCGTCCAACGGCTTGGGTGAAGCCAGTGCTATTCTCTAAGGATAACGACCTAATACCGAAAGTTGGCTTGGTAGGTGAAAGAGCTGGCTCGTCTTAACGGTGCCCGGGGGTGGACTCTTTACTTACCTTACCTGCTGATACTCTATCAGGACGCCGTTATCTTCCTGCGGTTCATATGGCTTTCGGCCTTCCTGTTCCTGGTGCTCACTTGTGTCGCGATACCACTCTGCATATTTCACTATTTCATGGGGAAGTCCCAATTCGACGAGCCGCGAGATCCTGGAGCTTTCCCTAACCCGGCTCTGGAATCCCTGTCAATGTCGGCACTGAAAAAGAAACCTCACTTTTTGTGGGTGCATGTTTTCTTACTATACGTGTTCAGCATCTCCGCATACTACTTCCTGTGGAAATTCTGGAAGGAGTGGATTGCCTACCGCCGAGACTACTTCGCTGCAAAGGACACACGGGAAGCGCTGCATCAGCGCACTCTGCTGATCACGAACCTGTCCAGCGGAATGCAGTCACCGAAAACATTGACCGGCTTCCTCAAAACATTGAGGCTACGAGCGGCGCCACAGCAGGTGATCATTGGTCGGGAGGTGGGGAAATTGCCGTCGAACTTCAAAAAGCACAAGCGAGAAACGGCAGTCTTGGAGGGAGCTCTATGTGAATGTACATACCTCTGCCATCCCTTTGTAGAACAATGTCTTGCTGTTCCCTGACATGCATAACTATCCAGATCTCAAAAACCCTTACCAGCCAAAGTCGCGGCGGCCAACCCACAACATCAACAAGAAGATAAAGTGTTGTGGCGGAGAACAAGTCGATACGATCGAATACTGTGGAAAGCGTCTCCATGAATTGGAAGAAGAGATATACGCGGTTAGGGCCAAAAGCGAAGAATCGCTGAAAACCAGCTCGTACGGATTCGCGTCATTCGAGTCAATGACCGAAGCTCATAGAGCGGCCAAAGATCTATCGGGGCCAGGTGCCATCACTCTCCGCTCTAACATGTTGAATCCGCCTGCTGTAAAGCAATGTCCCGATCCCGGCGACATTATTTGGGCCAGTTTGGAGCTCTCGCCCGCAGTCAGGCGATCGCGTTTCTGGACTTCTTTCCTCCTGGTGACGGGACTGACGATCTCGTGGTTCTTCATCAGCAGTTTCGTCTCCGGAATGACGAACTTGAAAATTATTCGGAACTACGTGCCGAAATTGGAGGCATACATCTCCGCCCGACGGGACTTGACGATTTTCCTGCAGTCGTTTTTCGCGCCCGTCCTCTTTTACTTCCTCAACACGCTTCCGCCTACGATATTTGGGTATCTGGCCAAGTTGAAAGGTGTCGTGTCCAAAACTGGGGTGGAGAAGAACATCATGACTAGGCAGTTTGCTTTCTTGGGATACCAGTACATCGTGAGTGTCGTATTTGTAGAGGACTACTCCGCAAAGGACACCTAAGCTTATATCATTTCCCCACTTCTAGGTCATTATTGTTGGGTCATTCTTCATTTCAATCATGGGAGAGTACTTCCGGAATGACGACACAACACTGCAGCAGTTCTCCAAAAGGCTTCTAAACGCTCTGAGTACTGCTTTCATGAAGGTGTGTAAAGCTTGAACGCGACATATTGTGGGCCTCTCGTCGGCATACAAACTCACCGTCATTTTCCCCAGCAATCATCATTCTTCACGACTGTCATCGCCACTGGTTTCACCTCCTCCTCCATCGAGCTTGTCCAGGGCATTCCTCTTGTGGTGGGCTACATCAAGCGCCACTTCCTCGCCAACACCCCTCGCAAAGAATTCGAGTACAGCCAGCCCCTTCACATGCCTTGGGGAGCCGTCTACGCCGACCTGCTCACGACATTCGTCATTGCGATGGCGTACGCCCTCGCCACCCCACTCATCCTCCCCTTCGCAGCCTTCTCGTTCCTTGTCAACTACATGGTCTACAAGTACCAGTTGCTCTACGTCTACGAGACGAGCAGCGAGACCGGAGGCTCTTGGTGGCCAAAGTTGTTTACAATCCTGTGTATCTGCATCGCCGTCTTCCAGTTTATGACTCTGGGCGCTATCCTGGTGGTCACCAGCGCCACGTCGGGTTCCATGGCGAAACACCAGGCGATCGTTATTGGAGTTATTCTTTGTTTCACGGCGGTCTACTGGTGGTACTGCTCGAGGTACATTGCGCCAAAGGGACAGTTCGCCACGGATTTGATCACGGATGTGGACGAGAAGAACAATAATGCGGATCGCGCTCTGGAAGAGGACCATTCTGCGAGCAGCGAGCGTTTGGAAGACGAGCTGTACAATCCTGCCCTTGTCAAACCTTTGTGCAAAGTGTGGGTATGGAAAGATGCACGCGAAGTCGTGCCCAAGTACTACACACCACTGTACCACGACCTGGACGACTACATCTCCAAATGCACCCCGCCCAAACAACCTAGCATGTTCGACATGAGCGCGTACGGCGAGCAAGAACTGGCATCTTCAAAGCAACACCACCACCCACAACGCGACGACAGCCACGCCGCCGTCCGTCGTAAAAGCACGACCAAGCGAAACGCACAGCGGGTGTTGTCTCACTTGCGGCGAAAACCCATCATCACCGCAGGTGAGGCGCCACCGGAATTGGAAGAGCTGGCGGAGGACGCAGGCGCCGAGCTGCCGTACATCGCTGTTGATGAGGATGGAAATATGGACGAGCATGGATTGCGTGGGCGCTCGGATTTGGAGTCGCATTGGTTGCGCGGTGACGATCCGCACGGATATCAACCGCAGTCGCCGGCCTCGGTGGATGGGGATGGGGATTTGTCCTCTGGGTTGGGTAACCACCCATCGCCATCCCGCGGGTTGCAGCAGCAGCAGCAGTCGTACGCTCCTACCATGCAACCCGGCAGATCATACAATCAGTACGCGCGAAGCCAGACGGCGCCCAACATCGCTGGCCCCACTGCACCTTCGCCATTGCTCGCACGGCAATGGTCGGATTCGAACATTGCCCACAACATGCACGCGGGCGAGTCGGTCGAGTTGAACGTTTTACCATCAGCAAACCCCGGACCTCCGCCGCGAAGGATGCCTCAACAACATCAGCTGTACAGCCAACAACATCAACAATATCCACCACAGCCACCATTTCGTCAACACCCACAACATCCGCATCCCCAGCAGCGAGGGTACGCACCGCAGCCACAGTCGCGGCACGGTGTAATCTCTGCCGCATCGTCTTCGTCGACGCTGGGCGGTGATGATGGACAGTTTATAGATCCGAGGACGTATCGGTCGACGGAGAATCTGAGGAGGGATAGGCAGTGAGGACTTTAGACAAAAAGACTTGGCGCACGTACGATACTGGACTGTCCATGTTCATCTCAAGATGTATGCGTGTCTATGTAGTTTAGATGTTTCTGGTTCCGTTTTTGGACTCGGCGTAGGATTCTTGTCTTGGACAAATTGTATTCATATAATGTATAATCGACCTCACGGTTACCTCACTTCTCTTGTGTTTTGTGAGCTATATGATCCGTATACAGACTGCAAACCGCCCGACAAGCGAAGGAAGCTTGTGCGCTGAGGAAAGACGATTGGGTCACCACTAGATATAGACCTCCAAACTTGAAGTTGGTCCATCTTCTTACGCTCGCCCCTGGGAATGTGTGGTTTCATCCAAATGAAATCTTTCTGACCGACACATCTATCTCTCACTCTTTTCTGGTTAGCTACCATACAGACTGCTACAAATTGACCAACGTGCAGGGGAGAACATGTGGGATTTTGTATAGTTACCAACATACGGGAGTACAATATTTCGGCAGGTTCAAACACCTATCTACAGAGCAGCCTTTTTTCACGGGATTGGATGTCTAGATTATTGCGCAAGTCAAATCTACATCTAGAGTTTTGCTCCAGACAGCTGAGCGACTTTTATGCTTTGGCGAATTCCAAGGTCGATCATAATCTCCTCACTTCCGCCCGGAATCGCATACGCTGAGGAAAACAATTGGGGTCAACACCAGTTGTTGCGAAGGTTAACGCGTCCAGATACAGCCAATGCAGCCTCACCTCTGACTTCACGGTACAGTCGCTCGACCTTCTCACCCTGGCCGCCGCGGGAGTACGACAAACCACCAAAGATCTGAGCGGCTTCACGGGCGCAGAACTCCATTGTCTGGGTGGACTGTACTTTCAGCAACGCAATGGGTCCGCCAAGCTTTAGCATTTGGAGGTCATGTGGCATCGTGACGGTTTGGTATATGAGTGACTCCATCCAAGCGTGGGTTGCCTCGACCATTCGAACCCTTTGTAATAAGAGCGGGAGGTCAGTTTCTCATTGGCTGGATGAAACTTCTTGTTCCCCGCGGAATGAAGGAATCATGAGCTTACATGTGTCCAAGCTTGTTCCGAATCACTGGGTGGTCGATGAGCTTCTTGCCAAATGTACGTCGCTTGTGACTGGTGAAAAGTGAGGTCCGCGAGTATTCTCTTCTACTAGATGGACTACTACCACTATTGAGCCGGAAAACTTACGCGTATTTCATGCACTCTTCGACGCATACACGGGCGAAACGAGTTGCCTGGATACAGATTCCCATGCGCTCGTGGTTAAAGTTGAACATGATGCACTGGAAGCAAGAAAGCCAAATCAGAACATTATCTTCGTACAATCCTGCTTGGCAGTGAAAGGTCCTAGCTTACCTTGAAACCCTTGTTCTCCTTGCCAATCAAGTTCTCGACAGGGACCTTGACATCCTCGAAGGTGATGTACGACGTTCCAGACGCCCACACACCCATGCACTGCATCTGCCTGGTGGTAACGCCGGGCATGTCACGCTCAACGAGAAGGAGCGAGACTCCATTCATGCCCTCACCGCCGGTACGACTGATATCGGAGTTAGTGCCAATATATGGTTACTTCGCGACCCATCGAACACTCACCAAGCAACGGTGAAGTAGTCCGCGAAGGTGCCGTTTGTGATCCACTTCTTCTCACCGTTCAACTGAAAGAGGCGCGACCGGGTCAACCGACTGTCCACAACGACATCCATCATATAACATGCACTTACAATGTAGTGCTTTCCGTCAGCAGTCTTCTTCGCGGTGCACGTCAGGTTGGCAACGTCGGAACCTGCAGCCGGCTCGGTGATAGCCAAGCAGATGTTTTTGCGGCCAGCCAGGCAATCGGGGACAACCTTGTTCTTGAGGTAATCCGAACCGAAGTGCACAACAGGAGGCAATCCAATGCCAAGCCCACCGATCAGTCCCCAGAGGACACCACCAGACCCACAGCGGGAAAGCTCATCGCAGATGATGAATTCGTGGAAAGAGTCGAATTCTATGGTGCAAGAGTTGTGCATTAGTGAGGAGACAACCACAGTCTCCGTTATGTATGACGAGCAGCCTCCTACTCACCTTCGGGCTTCACGTCGCCAATGGGTCCTCGCTCCGCGTACTTTGTGGGCCAAGGAGAACCGGCAATTCCTTGCAAAATACCCGCCTTCGCTGCTTTGATGAAGAGCTCTTTGGGAATGCGTTTCGCCTCATCCCATTCGTGGCAGAAAGGCATGATCTCCTTCTCAACGAACTGTCTCATTGCCGCCCGTACTCTCCTGTGACTCTCGTTGTAGTACGGGGATCCCCAGTCCTGGAGGAACAACTTCTTGAGGACATGGCGTGGCATAACAGCTCAGGCTGAAGGCCACGACACCCACCTGGTACCAGCTGGGGTCACCGAATGGCACGCCCTCGCCGAACGCATCACCCTCTTCCAAGCCTTCCAAAGGCTCCTCCGCAGCAGGAGCGTCGCTCGACGGAGCCGACAAGCCGTCTCCAACGTCGCCGATATAGAGCTTTGGGCCATACTTGTCCATAATAGCCTTGTTGTGAAACTGGTCAAACTGCTTCGAGGCGTCCTTTCCTGCGACCTTCAGAATGATTTTCTTCCCTCCGGGGTGATCGGATAGGAAGTTGGTGACATCGTAGACTTTGCCGTGAACGATGATCTAAGCAATTACACGTGAGTCAAGAAAAGTCCGCCAAACTGCTGGGCTGGCTTTTCTGGGAACATACCCAGATGTCCTTCTCGGACGTGTGGGTTGCGACTTGCTCTGTGGTATAGGATGGCATAGCGAGGACTGAGTTTGTTCTTGTATGGCTTATACTAGCTGTACTTTAAGCGGAGGGAATGGCGGTGGGAAAAAGGAGTCCTTATATTAGGGCGGATACTGAATACCGAACCCTGGATAGTACTGAGCTTTGTGGGGCGCCGCCTGCTGCTGTGCTCATCAGCGTTAGCGTTGAGGATCGCGCGTGGGAACAACCTTGCGCGTGACGCTCTTTGCACATGAAAGTAGGCGCACAGCGAGGACTCACAGTTCAGACCCCTCACGTGGGCAAATTATACTTGCTATTCCCCTCCTTGTGGCACTGACCGCAAGATATCAACTCCGACGGTACTGCTCCCGTCGTCTCATTATGGGCCGTACTATCATCACTCTGGATTTTGCGCATGCGTCTCAGAGCTGCGTATTTCACCATTTGGAGGCCCATGACATCTTATGCTACTTGTGAAGTGTGTTGAAGAACAGCGAGTGATGTGTTTCATTCTGACCATCGTCCTTTATTTGCCTGTGCTTCTACATACACTCTACGAGAGGACTCTACATCTACAGCATACAGGTGGAGCGTACAGCCAATCCCAACACCATTCAGGCCGCCGCGGAACCAAACACCTCCGAATGAATCCGCTCAGGATGCACTCCAATCTCTTCCAACGCCTTCCTCTGCGCATTCATGAACGGTACAGGCCCGCAGAGATAATAGTCCGCATCCGGCAACACCACCTTCTCACTGATCCTCCTCACATCAATCCTACCCACAGTATCATAATCCACACCCTGCACGTCATCTCTGCCGACTTCCTCGTAATATACAATCTTACTAACTTGGGGATTCTCCGAGACGACTCTGTTCAAATGATCCTTCATGGCGTGGACATGGCGATTCCGCACCGCATGCACAAACACTACAGGCCGCTCTTTGCCGTTCGCCACAACTGTGTGTAGCATCGACATCATCGGCGTGAGTCCCACGCCGCCGCTCATAAGCACGACGGGTGTCTTCGCGTTTACATCGAGTGTGAAATCGCCGTAGGGCATGCTGACGTCCACTTCCGCGTTCTCGGGGAGGTGTTCGTGTAATACGTTGGATATCTTGCCAGCGGGTCTGGTGTCGGTGGCGAATTCGCGTTTGACCGAGATGCGGAAATGTTCCCCGTGCGGCGTATCGGAGAGACTGTACTGGCGAGGCTGGTAGACCCCAAGCTCAGGCACAAAGCACCGCACACTGATGTACTGTCCCGGAGCAAAAGTCGGCAGCAGGCCCTTATCAGCCGGCGCGAGATGAAACGAGACAATCTCATCGCTTTCTAGAACTTTCCGCTTCACCACGAACTTCCGCCACCCGTTCCATCTGCCCGGCATCTCCGCAGCCTTTTTGTACAGATCCCCTTCGAACGTGATGAAAATCCCGGCAAGCTGCTCATACGCCGCCCGCCACGCCTCCATTACATCCTCCGTCACCGCGTCCCCCAACACCTCCTTAATTGAAACTAACAGCTCCTCCCCAACAACCGCATACTGCTCCGGCCGCACGCCCAGACTCGCATGCTTGTTCCCGATCCGCGACACCGCGGCGCTCAACGCCCCCAGGTTGTCGATATGCGACGCGTAGGCCCATACGGCATGCGCGAGCGCCGCGGGCTGTGCGCCGGTCGCTTGGTGGGCGGAGTTGAAAATATTTTTGAGCGAGGGGTGGTTTTTGAGGAGGCGCTTGTAGAAATGCGTGGTGATGGCAACTCCGTGCTTGGCCAGGACGGGGGCGGTGGACTTTACGATGGCGGTTTGGGCGGGGGTGAGGGCGTGTGGGAGGGCGGTGGCGTGGAATTGTAGCGTGCGAAGAGCGTTGGATGGTGCTCTGGCTTTGAGACGGAGGCAAGAGAGGTGGAGGTTGCGTGCAAACATGGTAAGCGGCGGCGCTCAAGGAAAAACGACGAGGGATGCTTGCTATAGGATACTCCTAATGAATATCAATAGATGACACAGACCGTGCATGCATATGCAATCAATAAGCTGGTTTGCCTGAACCCCGAAGCGGCAACGCAGACCCTTTTATAAGCGGCGTCCCTTGTGGCGGTCATGTCGGACGTTTGTTGAGGTGGCAACGGAGGCTCTTCGGAACTTCGGAAAAGGAGGCGTCGGTTGGGCGCTTTTTCACATATGCAAAAAAAGACCCCATCAACAAGTTTATGCCAACTTTTCCAAAAGCGGAAATTTCAGACGCCAAGAGCTGTCCGTCCTCCACACGCAGAAGGAAAGGATATGAGCTGGAAATAAGAAGCAAAAACGGGAATGTATGTCTAGTTGTATGAAAAAAAATGTCCAGCATAAATGTCAGGCTAAGGGAAAAAACGCGTCGAGTTGACGCATTGGGGTGCGGCAGTTTCCGCGCATAGGAGTGTTCGAGAAACGGCTGTACGTCCAGGGTTCCGTTTCGATGTCAATCTTTACTTGAAAAGACCCTTGTTCTTCTTGGTCTTCTCCGGTGTCCCTGGTCGTCCTTCTAATCTCCTCCTCTTCTCCTCAATTTCCAATCGCTGCTTCTCGAGCTGCTCCTTCATTTCACGGTGACGCGCATACAGCTCGTCCTCGGATTGCTTGAGCTTGTTTTCCTTTTCGGCGACTTTCTGCTGGAATACCGCTTTCATCTCGGCTTCCATCTTGGCCATTTTCGCTTCATGTGCGGCTTTCTCCTCCTCGAACTTGGAAAGTGGGCTGCAAAATATTGTGGTGTCAGCGAATTAACGTTTTCGACCATCCGTCTCAACTCCATGTCACTCACTTCAGAGCGGGATTGCTGGCATCGGCATCATATCCGCCGTTCGCCAATTTGCCCATGCGGTAAGACTCGTAGAGGACCTCGTTGGTGTATTCCTTCAATTCCTCCATGTGCGTCCTAATCCAGCAACAAACGATTTAGCAAAAGGAGTGTCGAATCGGTCCGCCGCCAGCCTTACGGTACCTGATCAACATCTGCCTCAGTTTGATGAAATCGCAATGTTCCTCGTTGTCCACTTCGATCACTCCCCATGGGTATTTCCTTCCCCGAACCTTCTTTCCATTCACCTCAACTTCCCTGTCGCTTCCCACAACAGCGAAAGGAATGCGGTTGATAATATCCTTGTTCTCCAACAGAGTTTCTGGGTCGTCGTTGTCGTACATAGGTGGCTGATATATGTGAATCTTGTTGTAGTTGATGTCCTCCAGAATCTACCAGGCTCGTCAGTAAACGCGGTTTCCCGAATTCAGCTGAGGTCCAGATTGAACCTACCCGGACTTTGAACGCTTTGATTTCGTCTTCCGTAAGAGTGTCGGACTTGCCAATGACGGGGATCAAGTTCACACGGGCAGCGAGTTGGCGCATGAATTCGATGTCCAAGGGCTTCAAAGAGTGACCGGTGGGGGCGATGAAGTACAAGCAAGCGTGCACACGAGTGTCAATAATCTTCTTGCGGTTCACACGGTTCTCTTGTTCCAGGAAAGCATCGTAGCGAGCCTCAATGTTTTCCAAAATGGGGCGCCAGCTCTCCTCGTTGTTTACAAAATCTCCAAATCCAGGCGTGTCAATGACTGTAAGCTTGAGCTTCACGCCATTCTCCTCGATATCTGCATAACGTAATTCCTGATAAGCCTGCGTTCCTACACTGAAACGGGACTGGTTGGAACCTACCAGCGCTGATGGCTTGAATCTCAACGGTCTTTGGCGTCTCGTGGCTAGGCTCTTTGTTCTCCTTGTTAGGGTACAGGGAGCTGTTGAATAGGGTGTTCACCAGTGTACTCTTTCCGAGTCCGGATTCGCCTAGAACGACGATATTCTCAGTATCCGCGGCCTATTCTTTGACCACGACGTGCTTCGCCTTCCTACTAACCGACAACCATCATGGTGAACTGGAAACCCTTCTTCACGGACTTCCGGTGAACCTGGTTAGGCAGGTTGTGGAAACCGACCGGGCCAGCCAGCTTCTTTTTGACGATAGGGATCTAGGAATAGGAAATTCTGCGGTGAGCGTGGCGGTCAATGCTCCTGAAAGTCTTTCCCGCACACTTACCGAGTCTTTTCAGCGAAACAATAGGAACAGAATATGCAGAATAGTTAGTAAAATGCTTTCCAAAGGTCTCCCACGCTGGAGGAGTACGCATCGAAACACCAATCCAGTCGCCCGTCCACTGCCGCTTCTCCGTGGCTACTCTCTGCTCGAACTTCCTCCTAGTCCGCCATATCCATTCCCCAGATCACCTCGCCGTGCGGGTGTACAGTCGTAGGGTTTGCTTGCTGTCTAGTACTCACCAGCCATTTTGCCTTGTTTGTAGTGTCGTGGGAAAAAAGCCAAGGTGGAAATGTCGTCGGTTGCTTGGACGTTGCGGTTGGGCGGCGGCCGCTCGTTTGAGTCGAGTCGCTTGATCACCGCCATTTTGTCGCGTTTTCTTGTGTGACGCGACCGGCCAAAAATCGCTTCGAGAATCGACGGCGTCGTGGGCGACGTGGGGGTCCTGTCAGTTGTTTCCAGGACGATGTTTGCTGTGAAGGAGGAAAATGAAAAAGGCTCCGCGAAAACAAAAAGTATTCGCAATTATGAAGACCTATATACAGACGGGAATAGATAAATATCGGCTTGCTGCCCCATTCAGCCCAGACTGCTAGACCATCACAGCAGGCCATTGTTTCGCACCATGCTTGTGCTTCAGGGCTCCAACCTTGCAAGCTTCCACACGTGAGAACCACTCATCTTGAAACAGTTGGTCTGCAGACCACCGAGTCTGTGGACTTGGATCTAGTAAACGGTACAGTAGCGTACGAGGCCCTGGGGGTATTTTGTCGAAGGGGGCATATCCATGTGTTGCGTCCGGATGTGCTGCGTGATTGATTTGATCTTTATCCAGTGGGTTGTACACCCCAGTTATGTAGTTTGCGTAGCGTGAATAATGCGCATCTGCTCCCATTCTTGCCACGCGCCATGGCATTGACCGATTGAAAAGCGTGAAGAAGATGATGCCACAGGCCCAAATGTCCGCTTTACTCCCATCGTACGATTGCGGCGAACTCCATTCTTCTGGTGGGATATACGGCATGCTTCCACATATCCCTTTCTGCTTCCTCGGTGCCCTTTCGAAGCACGTTCTGAAGACCTCCGATACACCTTGAGGACGGAAGAGGAGGTGAATTATTCTGATGGTGGATGATTGCTTCGACCAGTCAATGAAGAACCTACCAAAATCGGTAATCTTGACTATCCGCTCATCGGCATCCAAGAGGAGGTTCTCCGGTTTCAAGTCGCGATGTGCAACACCGACCGAGTGCAGGTACTGCACACCCGACATCACTTGCTTGAAGATGCATAATCTCTCGTCCATCTCCTTCAATGATCCGTTGGCCAACAACCCGAAGAGATCACCCCCTGGCATGTACTCCATTACTTGGCACCATCTTTCGCGCTGAGAAAATATATGTTCAGCCTAGTCCAGAGGTATCAGCAAGTACCTAGTAGCCGCCTACCTCATCTTGAATCAGATCTACTGTCTGTATGACATTCTCGTGATGCATATTGGAGCTGTGAACATTGGATGAGCGACCATGCGCTCTCTTCGCTTAGTTCAGAATTGAAATTCAAACTACCTGATGCAAAATTCGGCAATCAGCTTTTTGAGATAGTCTCTGTGCGTCTCTTCTTTCCGTCGCTTTCGGAACTCTTTGACAGCGTAGAGTACTTCCGTCGGATTTGGTGCGGTAGTGTCAATTTTGTGTGCCTGAAGATCATTGCGGAAAACTGTCAACCCAGTGATGATTGCAACATTGAAACGATCCAATACTAATGGCTCACCAGTCTCACAACGGCATTGGCGCCTTTGCCCAGTACTTGATTCTTGTGCACGACCCCGTACTTCTCGGCCATACTGGTCTCACTGGCGCTTCGCCCCAATTTTTTGGCGCTGCTCTTCCGAGTAAGCAAACTATGTGGCTCTAGCTCTACCTCTAACACTTTCCCCTCATGCGGCCCCTCCCCTTCAAAGAATCCTGCATTCGCCTGCGGAGATGGTAACGGTGATTCGGGTCGAGATGATTGATCCGCCTCTGAATCGGTACCGTCAGTTGGCGCAGGTCTTCCCGGTAGCTCCGGATGCGATGAGCCGGTTCCGAAAACCTTCGGTGGTCGATCGGCTCGGGATGCACCATTCCGAGTCAGGGACGCAGACCGCTTGCGGCCCAAAGGAGATGCCGTTTTTGTAATGCTTGCATGGAGGAAACTGAGAGCTGAAGGTTGCGGTGAAGGCGCCGGCAAGCCCGGCGTGTCGTTCCCAGGAGTCACGCTACTCCTTTCCTCAGCGGCACTAGAGCCCGGTAGCTCATGCTGGCGTGGGTGTTCCGTTTCTGAAGCCCGCGACCGGCTTGTGGAAGTAGACCTGTTACGAGTCACTGAGGAGCTCCGTAATGGGGCGTGAAGGAATGAGAAAAGGTTTTTTGCCGTTGAAGGTTCCGAACGGTCCCCATTTTCTGGTGGTTTATGGGAAATCACATCTCCAGCATCTACTGTCACCTGGACAAAGTCCCCTGGCCGTGGGCTAGCCGTTGGCGACGGCTGCGCGCTGGAAAATAGGGAGGCTGGAGATGCCATATCTTCACCGCCAACGCTGCTTGTTCGGCTGGCGGGCTTCGATGACCGTGGCAGAGAGCCAGCCCGTCGTCCACGTTCCTCGGCGGTGCTCTTCAGATGCAAAAGCTTTCCTATTAGCTGCTCTGCTTTATTCTGATGTTTCCGCGGCCGCTCGTGATCGCTGTGAAGCGATCCAGGGTAGTGAAGAAGATGTATGTACTCATGCACTTCCTCTTTTTTGGAATGCGCCTTTTCGATTTCCTCCCCACTTGTTCTTGTCGAGCTGATCTTCGCATCAGTTTCCACGTCATGGTCCACACCATCTGCTTGCACGTCTGCATCGTCACCCTCTTCTTCTCTTTCCCCTTCCTGTTTCTCAGGTTCATCTTCGTCAGCATCGCCTGCATGCGTCTGGGATGCACGCCCAACGATAATCTCTTCCGGCATTTCCACCGTGTCGGGTTTGCTGAATAGGCGCTGCAACAGAGTGTTCTTTCGGCCAGGTGTTGAAAATGCCGGACTAAAGATATAAGTTGCAGGTTCGTGATGGTGCAAGTTGAATTTTGGTGAAAGACCGGTGTTTTCTAGTAGTCCCGCGGCGCTGGCGATTCCGTTGTCGGCTGACTTGCTTTGACTATCCGCCAAGTCTCGTGTGGATGCTATGCCTTCACGCTCGGCTTCATCAATCCGCGAAAGAGACATTGCTCCGCTCTGTTTCTCGACAGCTTCTCGACCCATTCCAATTGCTGCCGCGCCACCCGGCGAGGTAAGCGCACCGCAAGGTAAAAGCATCATGAGCTCCTCCCGTGGGGCGCCCAGCGCCGCGATGCTGGCCGTTACACTCTCTGTTCCATGCGATGCTATGGACAGCTCCGACGCGGTGGAAGGATGCCCCAGGGTGAATTGTAGCCCATCTTCGTCTTCGGAGCCGCTTTCGTCGGAAGAAAAGTGTGCGCTTGGTTTTCGTCTTCCGTTGCTCAACGTCGGCATCAAAATCGGACTCAGCATCGTTGGGGTAGTCGTCTCGGAAGGGCCCACGGAGGGACTGCCCCACTGAGTGTGTTTGCCATCACCATGGTGGCCCGACTCGATGCGACTCGGGCGGAGGCCGTTTCTATCTGAGGTTGAAAAGCGAGGGAACTTCTGCAACACCAGTAGGTGTTGATCGTCGAGATGCTCTATGACGTCCATGTCGCTCTCACGCATCTGTTGGAGTTGATTGCCTACTAGAGAATATGCAACTGACGCTTTTGGCTTGATCTTGCGAAAAGCATGATGCGGGAGGCAAGCCTCCGAGCGCAAGGCCCGGTAAATAACATAGCTCTTTTTTGGTTGCGTTTGTTTTGAATGAAGCTAAGATCTGGCCACTGAGAATGAGCCTTCTTGCCGAAGCAGTGCAAAGCTTCCTTCTGTCCTTCACGCCTAGATCCTATATTTATCATCAGGTGCCATGGACATCACGGTCTGCGCACTTGCAATTTCGCCGTTGTTGCGGCTCAAGTCCAAAAGCCTATCGCTTTTAGTGGGACTAAGGTCGGCCTCATTTGTCAGCAGGGCGAAGCCACAGCCGTACTTCTTGAGCAGTCGGGGTATCGTGTCAATAATGGGTTGCGGCAGGTCACCATCGTTCAAATAAGACCCCTGTCAAAACGAGATATGGCTACACGCTGTCAAATTCTTGCATAATCACTGGTTTAAAGTCCCGGTCTGATCGAAGCCTATCCTACCGACCATCAAGTCACCGGCTTCTTTACCACCGCGCCAATATTGGTCCGAGAGAGCCAAACATGACAGAGTAATTGTTGTTGTCCTGTCGGCAAACTCTTGTATTGTCTTCTCCTGTAGGACACTGAATTGCCGCCTGACAAAAACAAAACTTAGTCCTGAGTCCTCCCCACATAGGCCCTTCGAGAAAGCGCACCTCCAATCCCAACTGCCTGCAAGAAAAGACCGGCTCTGAATACCAACGGATCGTGAACAGATCGTGAGTCTCTGAGACCTGTGAATTTTCGGACTATAGGCAAACACCAGGACGTTAAAGAGCAATTGAACGTAGTTCTAGTTTCGGGTGGGCGTAACAGCACCAAGTTCTGCAAGCGACAGATCCGTACTAGAACGACCACCTTCCGCCTTTCCCGTCATTCGACCCACCACACGGAGAATATGCCGGAATTATCAGTCGTGACATCCCCGGCCTCACCTGGAGCTTCGAGTGCACAGAAGGATGAGTCTGGACTTATCCGAGTGCAACTCATCCCTCACAGCGATGTTGCCGGGCGACCCCCGATCGGTGATGTGATTGAGCGCACCTTCAAAGAAGGCACACCGGTTCGGATTGGTCGTCAGGTCCTTCGTGATGGACAACCCGCTGTCGCAAAGGGTCAAAAGGCACCTCAAGAACAAGATGTGTGGTTCTCGTCCAAAGTGGTTAGTAGAAACCACGCGGAGATGTGGGTGAAAGACGGTCAGGTGTGTAAACTTCTCATAAATGGCGCCTCTCATGCAATGCGACGAGCCTTATTTCTTTTTACTTCAATCAGATATATATCAAAGACATTGGGAGCTCGTCTGGTACTTTCTTGAACAAGATGCGCTTAAGTCCTTCCGGGAAGGAAAGTCGCCCCTACCCGCTGAAGGAAGGCGATCTAATCCAGTTTGGAATAGACTATAAAGGGAAACCAGATGGTGAGTTGAGCGCTTTTCCTATGACCCGCGAAGATTAGGCCTGACACTCGATATGGCAGACGTATACAAAAGTATCACTCTTCGCATCGGATTCTATGATCAATCCTGGGTACAGGCACAGCGGAGGAAAGCAAACCCAGTGAGGTGAGTGTCGAGATTTCATGTTTTGGCATGCTTGGTGTCTATACGCTAAGATCCTCCGTATGTAGATTCCGAACCGGTTTGAAAATGCTGCTGGCCGCAGCCAATCCATTCGGATCAAGCAACAGCGACTCTGAGAGCGATATTGCGGGGAGCACGGACTGCTGTATTTGCATTGGGGCAATTGGGCCGTTCCAAGCCCTTTTTGTTGCGCCTTGCTCCCATTGCTACCATTATAAATGCGTGCATGGACTTCTCGCGCAATCGGCAATGTTCCAATGCCCTATGTGTCGTCAAGTTGCGAACCTGGCAGCAAGCGTCAGCACCGATAGCTTATTTGGATTGGATGAGGAAGCCCAATTGGATGCGGCAATGCAAGACGGCCCTACGCATGACATCTCTCCACCACTCAGTCCGCTGGAGGAGCCTGGAGACGATGTCAGCGCAACCTACAATGCCGATAGTGCGATAGCTTCCGCGGGAGCGGCGCCTCGCCTTGCCCGTTTGCAATTGGAACAGATTGGGACGGCGAGTGGAGACGCTACTCCTCGGAATTACGAGCGGTCTGCGAGTGCCAGCATCTCTCCCGAATCAGATGCCACAAGCACAACGACAGCTGGCACTATACGAAACCCCGTCGAGCGCTTGAGGCAGCAAAGTAGCCCGACATCCCCACCTCAATCGGGTTCAGCTGGAACGCCAGCCACCTCGGCGGTTTCGGAGTATGTGCCGCAGCCATCTTCCGGCACATCCACGCCGGATCGGCCAAATACTGCGTCACCAGAGAGACGTCAAGCCAAACGGCGGTCGAGCAGTCTCACAAGCAAGCTCAACGCGCTGCTCCGAAGAGGCGGGGAAAAGCCCACACTAGCGGTCTCGACAAATGCCGCTGTAGGAGACACGAGCGCCTCGCAGGGAAGTGGAATCTCACACCGCTCCGCGTCTCCGGCACCCACCTCTCCTCTTGCCTCCCACCCCTCCGATATCTACGACAGCGTCGCGCCAGTCGATAATGCTGACACCGAGTCCGAGGTGGTATCTCCCCCATTGACTGAAGCAGAGATGAAGCGGAATATGACAGCAACCCCTCATCCGCACGGGTTGGCTATGCGAGCTGAGGATGACGATATCAGTGCAGGGGCGCTTGAGGATTGATTCTCTGGGACAAAGTCATGGGACCCCATGATGTGGTGGCGAATCGTGGAAGTGACAAGCAGTTCCTCGTTAGTGTGAACGAGTTTTAGCCGTATAGAACTCAACTGTGGAAATCATGAATAGTAGGCGGTTTCTGTCTGGAATCTGTGGGAACTGTGTGCCCGTTTCCATGAGCTGTATTTGCGCTTGCCTCGCCCAATGCCGAGGTGTGCGAATCTCATCTCCTCTCCCGGCCCCATGACGTGGGGCCACCCAATGAACTTGACCAAAATTGAGCGGGCTGCGTAGGACTGTTGCATGTTTCTCGCCATCTCCGCCAGGGATGCCAGGGATGCCAGGAATGCCAGGGATGATCGTGGTCTCGATATGATTGCTAGGTTAGCGCCGGAAACAGCTGCTATGGTCCATTGGTCCATTAGCCTATAAGTACATGCACTTTTTGAAGTAGGTACAGCTACCAAATACCGGCTCTACTTCTCCGCAGCAATCTCTTTCAACATCTGCACAGCAGCGTTATACTCCGGCCTGGGAACCCCACCTTTCTGCCTAATCTCAGCTGCATAAGCGTCGAGGCATCTAGCCAGAATCTGTAGCGCTTCGTCTTCAGAACGTGCATCCAGCCAGTCACTATACTGGGCCTCACTCCATGCGTATAGCAGTGTGGGAAATGGCATATGTGGGTGCGCACGTGCGAGAAGGTGATGGATGATGATGGATGGTGGCACGTTCTGCGAGGTGCGGAGGGCTGTAACTTGTGGTATGTCGAGGAATGGCATATGCCGGAATGCCCGTAACGCTTTGTAGGAATCACCCAAGTCCCTGTCGAGCTTCATGCCCAGGGCTGCGAACCACTGGCTGAGCACGAATTCTAGGTGCGTCATATCGCTAGCTAGTAGCCGACCAACTCCTTCGTCGGCGGGACGAACCAAGCTGGCATGTCGTAAGAAGTATTCGACAATGCGTCGCCCAAGTGACCGGATCCTAAAAGAGCAAGCTTAGCATGCGAATGCCGTAGAACAAGTCCTCTTGTATTGCTCACCATTCTCGGGATTCATCCCCACATTGCAGTTTGGAGAGCAGTTCCCGATGAACCCACCGAACTTTGCTAGCGAACTCCCCTACATACTGGCTTGTCGATGATTCGCTTTGACCGCGTGTCGGTGAGGCGAATCGACTTTAGATAGTACGCTAAGGTGGTCAATATCTTGCTAAAGTGCTGACCCACATGCCCGCTTGCACACCAACCTTGCGAGATCTTCCTTATGTATCTTCAGGATACTACTCTCGAATTCCCGCGTGATTTGAGAGAACAGTGGCTCCACCATTCCTTGCAGTGCTCTTGAGATTCCCTGCAAAGGTCACACGGCTCAATTCTGGAAGTTATATCAAGCGATCTTAACAATCGGACACCAACCTTCAAGATTTCATTGAACGTGTCGTCCAGTCCGCTCCCGGAGAACTCCGTGAGCACTTTGTAGACGCCGTCCTGCATGTACCAGAGGCAGTTTATAGACTCTATGACCAGCAATTGTCCATGCGTCGCTGTGCCAGCTGTAACAATCTGCTGCAAATTCGCATCGACATTGCACTAGGAGAAAGGACATCAGCATCCACATCAGCGGCGTGCTGCTCATTCCCTATGCGTACATATTGCTCGCATTTCGTCCAGTACATCTTGATGGCCTTACTCGCATTACGCGCCACTGCCTGCAACAGGTGCGGGTCGAACTTTGCGGCCTCCAGTTCGCTGGAGGTTGCGGTTTACTTAAGGTGAGCGACATTCTAATACGCGAGAGAATCTCAGACGTGGTACATACCTGCCTAGTGTCCTGATGACTTTATCTACGTCATCCCTCGAAGGGGGCATTCGTATGGCCAACCCGATTCGGTCCGGGAAGGCGGCGTTGATAGGCTCAAGTAACCGGGATAAGGACCGGGACAGATATGATGTCTCCAATGGACTCAAGCTCTGCAGGACCAATATGCTGTCGGGTCTGTGCTTCCAGGGGCATGTTAATGAAATCTCCATGGACAGGCGGAGCTCCGCATGCTTCCTCACATCTGCCCATCGGATGAAAAGTCCGCTCCATTCGCTACGGAGAGTCGTGTGAAGACGTTATGAACAAGTCGGAGCAAGCGAGGGTATCCTGTTTGGAACTCGTGCAACAAGCCTTGTGAAGCTGCAGCGATTGATTAGTGGGCGCCCATTAGCGTATCCGTTGACGATCGTTCATACATTTCGTCCCCAAGCGCAGCTCTCTTTCAAAAGATGTCGATAGGCCTCGCCAGAAGTAATCAAGCAAGTCACTCTCCAAGCCCTGATGTGTCAGAAGATCAGAAGGCGTCCGATTTGCTTCTTGATCGAATGCCAGGTTCACTCACTTCCGCAACTTCGTCCGCGAAAAGTTTATGCGTAGCCGAATCCTTCTTCCGTTTCAGGACCCTGTACATTTGGTAGACCTAGGCATCGAGAATATAAGTAGGCGGGCATGAGCGAACAGGATCGCAGCTGCGGACCTTGTTGGCATTGTCGTAGATAACGTCCATGAGGTGTTCAACTCTTGTCCACAGCTTCACCGGAGTCACTGCTTGCACTATCGCGGCTGGAGAACCCACGTTGCGACGTGGTGGTGATGACTCTGCACCATCAAGGTGATTAGATCGATGAGCGCACATGGCCATATAAGACGGTCAAAGGCCTTCCGAACCTTTGATTTCACGATTCACTGCCACAGGGTCCAGCGCCATCTGCATCTCTTGCGTAATCGCATGCAACATGCCGTCGCAAACGGTCTTCGTCTCCGCCGCGAGCTGATTGAGGTTGAAAAACACCTGCAGCCCTGCAGCGATGTCCGTCTGGTTCTAATAACGCACACGAGAGCACAGAGTCAGAATACGGATGCGAACTGCGTCGGATGCAAATGAGCTACCTGCATAGCCATGCCTCGATGTAGCAACTCCTCTCCGTCGGTTGTTATCTTTTGCTTGGCCTGCATGACGCCCGGCTTCTCCGCATCGACAATGTCGATCCCGTCCAGCTCTGGGTCTTGCGCGATCTCAACTAGGAAAGACCACGACGTCCGCTCATCAATACCCTTCCGATGGAGCCTTCTGATGGCGCCACATACTCAGTTCGCACACTGTCAGCGCAGCCTTCGGCAGTTCTCGCTCCCCGCCCGGAAGTTGCACATCTAGCCTCCGCAAAAGGTACATGAACCGGATCAATCGTCGCAGGATCTCCGCAGTCGTCTGGATTCGTTCCAACTGCAATGTTCGGTCCTGCATGTCCTGGTACGGCGTCAACACCTTGTCCCGGACCCTGCATCAAAAACGCCGATAAACATCCAGATCATCAATCCGGAACAGGCGGCTCCCAACCAAGCTCCCCACCTGTGGAGCGACGTGTTCAGCGAATGAACCCCTTGCTTCACCGACGCCAAAATGCCCTCGATATCCGACAGCCCCGATACTTGTTGCAGCAGGTCCTCATAGTGCGTCGACACTTGTTCCTGGATATGCTTATTCAAGTGATCTATCCCAAAGCTCAACTTTGCGAGGGACGTTGTGATATCCAAGCCATGGTATGGACTGTCCGTCGGCGCCTGGATAACCCGGGTTGCATACTGTGTCGGATCGAAGTCCTCCTCGGCGAATTCACGGTATTCTTTGGTAGAGCTCTCGGTCAATTAAGAACCCACGACCTGCAAACGCAACTTTGCGAAGCCTACCACTGGAAGACAATAAGGTCTCGACTGTCGCCCCCTGAGCTTCGACAGAAAGAGGCGCGATACTCTGCTTTCGCCCTGCTAGCATGACGCCCGTATGCTGAACCCAGCGGTGTCCAGCAGTCCCAGCAATCCTGACTTTCTCTAGCGGCACTCAATCGTACGACGCGTGCGCAGTGTCATGGTGTCATGGGCGAGGTGGGCGTTCCTCCCCAGGTTCCTCCCTGCGTGCCTCCCACGAACAAAAGTTCAAAGTTGCCCTAACCGTCAGCACAGAGACTATCGAGCAAACAGCAAGGGAGAAGTTGTGACATCAAAAAGAGTACGATTGTATATGCAAAAAAAAGTACCGAGGACGAAATATGAAGGCAGTCATATGACTTTCTATCTACGAAATTACGAGGGGCAATGAAGGAAACGCTATATATAAAAATCTTGTACATGAAGAGCTCGGACGGCTTACTCCTGAACGAAAAGTCCATTCGTCTTCCTTTGCCGTTCGTTCTCGACTCGTTGCTGCTCGGCGTGGGCGGCGGCTTTGGACACGTAGTTGTGGTTGGGTACGACAACACCACGCTGGTTGAGGTAGTATGTGTACAAGAAAGAGAAGGCGTCGAGGTTGCGCAACCACTCTTGGAACTGCATGGCATCGAGCTCCGATCGATAAATCGCGTCGTGAATGGAGTGGTGACGGAACTCAGTAATCGAGCGCTATTGAAAGGGAACAAAGTGATGTTAGATACGAAATAGGTAGCGTTGTCTCATCCCACACCATCAAAGATACTAACCTCATGTTCGTGGAACGAGATCTTGTGCGAATCACCACGCCTGTCACAGTCAGAGTTGAACGTGTCGTAGTGTGGCTCGTCCAAAATCAGACCGAATGCGGGTGCCTCTGGGATGTCAATGTTGGCGTAACCGAAGGAGTTTGCCACAATCGACCGAGGAGTGTTGGTACGGACCACCATGATGGCCATGGCGATCATCTTGCGGACCTGGTATCGTGCAAAGGCCTTAGCTTGAACCTTGACGCGGATGTACTCCATGCCAAAGTGGAGTTCAGGGGCCGAGCACTCGATGTTCAAGATGCGCATGTAACACCTAGAGTCCTCATACTTGGCTCCAGGGATGTAGTTGTGCCAGTTGTGCGTGCCGTTGTAGATGCCGATGATGTGGTTCACCGCTTTCAGCTGGTCCTCCGGGATCCTGTACTGACGAATGAGGGAGAGCTCCTCCTCGGTGTGGGGCGCCTGAACGAGAGGGTCGTAATACTGATGTTCCGGCACGGCTGGCACATCGTCTTCGTCCTTGATGGATGCGATCTCGGGGTCACGACGGGACCGACGGGAAACGGACCTCTTGAGAGTAGACATGAAGCCGAAGTCCTCCTCGGGTGCCGAAGTAGCATACTGGGCCTCGTGGCTCAAAGAATGGCTGGATGGGGAAGACCCGATGTTGCGTCCCTTTTCGGGGATGGGGAGCGTGGTGCTGTTCACGTATTGAGTCTCGGAAGGGCGGCTCTTTGTACCGCTGCGCGTAAGTGTTCGAAAGAACTTCATGAAGCCCCCCTTCTTCTCAGGTGCAGCTTCCTGGTGTTTGTTTTCGAAGTGGGAGGGGGCAACCTTTACATCTACGAGGCCCATGGAGCTAGCCGTTTCCTCGCGTCGAGAAGTACTTTTTGCGCGGTTCACAGTGCGAGTGCTCCTGGAGCGCTTGACCGACATTCCACGCTTGATCGTCTTGAAGAGACCACCGGGAGGACCCAAATTGTCTCCTTCGGGCAGATCCTCGAAGAGCTCGTCCTCGGCGAGGGGAGGATAAGCATAATGAGTTTCGGCGGATGGCGGCGCAAAGACGTACGTCTACATAACACAATAAAGCCCGATCAGCTTTTGATATGACTCCAGCTTCCGTATTCAAAATCTGTCACTTACAGGAAGGACGTATTCGTACGTCCGAGTATCGCAGGTACGGCGCGCCGAGAAGTTGGTGTTGAGCTTGACAACATCGAAGACGCGGATTGTCTCCGGGAGCAAAGCGGCCAACCTCGCAGGCGTGGGAAGAGGGGTGCGGCCGTCGGCCCCGGTAATCTCCAAGGACAACACCTGTCGAGAAGCGTGCTCTCCCTTCTCAGTAGTCGATGCACGACTGATGTTCACGAGCTGTCGATGGGAAACCTGTTAGTTCATGCGTCAGTCGGCGTAGCAACACGAAGGTATGCAACATACCGAGACGCGCTTGGTTGGGTCGGCTTCACCGACAATGTTGGCGACAGCGCTCAAAAGAGTGCCTTCAACGGTCTTCAGCCCCTTGGTCCTGGGTAGATCGAGGATGATAAGTCACATTGCTCGACAGCACAGTCGACAGCGCCACCGCCTCAAGACTTCCCACGGATGGGATTAAAAGGTCCAACCTACCTTTCCAGACCCTGGAAGTGAGCGCCATTGTAGGCGTACAGAATCGCCAGACGGCACGATGCGTCAGTGGCCATGTTCGTAAGCTATATTCGAAATTCCTTGCTGAGAACGAGTAGAGAGATGGCACGTCAGAAAGACGCAATGGTGGCGATCAGAATTGGGAGACAAATCGGCGAAAACAAATCAAAGGGGCGAGAGCGGTGACAGGGTTCCTTTAAATATTACCTGTGCGTGAAGGAATAAGAGGAGAGTGCGGTATTGCGACCAGATGAGTGAGAAGAAGTTGCGTCGTGAGAGCAATGGTCTTTCCTTTTCGGCAGCTGGGGAAGACGGACGCGACGACGGAGAGACGGCGACCTTTTGAATCGTCTCAACTTTCAAGCGATTGCGGCCATTTGATTGTTGACTCACACGCATTGTGTTCACCGCCACTGCCCATGCTGTGGCGGGCTACCCTCATGCATGCATAAGAGGCTTAGACTCACTATGGTAAGCTTAAACCATGTTCTCCTCTATACCGAATGCCATTGGTCTGACGCAACCAACAACTGCGCACCAGGGATGCGGGGACTCTTGGCGGAGGTGGTATTCGAGAATTAATCAAATCGATGTTTATGGTTTCTCAGATGAGTTGATTGCAGACCCGGCGGTCACGTGAGCTGTCCGAAAGCTGGTTCCGGCGGACAAGGATCGGACGAGACAGCTCCTCCTGTTTCAAAGTGGGGTTTTCGCGGTCATCCCGCCAGCGTGCGCTGAGTGTGGGGGAAAGAGGCCCCCCCGACAAGAGACTGAAGATTCGGGGAAAATATGTCAGAGCCCGACGTTCAGAAAGTTCTCCACTTGCCACCGGAGGAAAAGGAGAACAGGGCACGGCTGTACAGTATATTACTTTCCGGGTATTATGGAGGCGCTAGCCGGAAAGTCTCGCCGTCTGTGTTCTGAACTGAAGCAAGCAAGCCTCGAAGTGCCCATCCATCGACGACAGACTTAGGAATACCTTCAACAAATTCGTTTTCACCACAGGAAGAGTGTAGATCTAGAACACCTCTCCGCAGAACATGGCACGCCATATCCGGACACGACCGCTCTTGGTCCTACTTTCGTTACTCGTTCTGGGCTCGCTCATTTTGAACGCCGTCTCGCAGGCAGTGCCGCGTCTGATGGTAGCACACAACGTGGTCGTCGCCCCAACGAAAAGCCCAGCGGGACTATCGCCAGCCAGCCCGTCACAGATAGATCAGTTCCTCGCAGCGACGCCAGAGACGCGGATTGGTTTTTGGAAACAATGTCAGGAGGATGGCGGGTGCACGGACTTGCAGCTACCTTGTGGGGACGATGGCGTCAGTGGCTCGGCCGCAGCTGCCAGGGGAACGACTGCAGATCAACTCCGTGATTTTGCGTCCACGAAATCGAGCCTGTGCCCCAGGATGAATGCCGCTCGAGTGCTTATGGCCATTTCGATCTTCGCTGGTTTCGTTGCGCTGGTCGCTATCGCCCTCAAGATCTTCATGAGATCGGCGGACAGTAAGAACAAGGTTCTGGCCGTGTTCCTTGTACTGGGTGCGACAATCATGAGTCTCGCTCAGCTCGTGTCTGTGATCCTCCTGGCGACCATCAAGCACTCTCTAGACTCCCTGTCGGACCTTCTCCGTGCCTTGTCTCCTACGGGAACATCAACTCCGTTCACCAACATCACGACAGTCTACTCGGCATCATCCTCCTTCTTCGTTTCGATAGCGGGCACCGTGTTGGCGATGATTCTTCTGCCCCTCGTGTACGTGCTCGCATTGCGTACCCCGTCGCTCGCCGACAAGCCTGCAACCGTCGTCGACGCACCTCCAACATCAAGCGCGGCGCCGCCAGCATTCGCGCCCGTGTTCTCCAACGCGACCTCACGCCCCTCAATGAGCGCCCCTGGCAACAAGTACAGCCAAGGCACCGACTACTACAGCAGCGACGCTACGGATGCGAGCGGAAGCAGTCCACCTCAGACTTACATCACACCTGGAGCGGGCTCCTCGTCCTCACCAAGCTCGGAAAGCGTAGCTAATGAGACCAGTCGTCGCCACTGGCATCCTTAGTACGATGTGCGACAACACAACGGCGTAATAAATTACTCGAGTCCCCTTGTATCTAACTCCTGGGTCGACCAGTTGAGCTGGCTCGAAGCCCATTCCCCATCCCCAAACATATTATGCATTTTTGCAAATCCCCTACATTACAATAACTTATGTCATTCCCTGTACAGAGTAATCTTTTCTCTTGTCGAACAGTCGTAGCAATGTCTTCTGTATAGTAATAATACACACGTACAATAGCGAGCTGCCATGTATCAAAAAGACTGTGCCCTGGGCCCATATTTCAGGCGAAATTGCACGAGTTCCCTGTCGGATCGTTGATTGAAAAAGTTTAACCAGTGTGTCCTTTCCTTGAGCCTCAGTTAGTTTCTGTCGTGTTCCAAGCCTTTGGAACTTTGCCGATGTGTGTCGCTCAAACACAGGGCTTCGCGAACTCACCGGCGGAGACCCGCAATTCCCTGCGCAATTCCCAATTCCGTCAAAAACTCACCTTCGCTCGCCTGTACACGTACTCATCCCCAGGAAGCTGTCCCGCCAGCACACAACCTTGTTCCAGACACATATCCCATTGTCACGTAGTTTGTCTGGCGCACTATCCCGTCTCTCATTCATTCTGGAAAATAGACCTCAACTTATCTGCATTCGAATTGGTTCAGTGTGCAGCGAGATGCACGGACATTGAAACTCCGCCAAATCAGGCGACAGCTCGAGGCTTGTTCAAGTACGAGGCAACATCCAAAGGGCATCTGTTCTGGGGGCATAAGCACAGGCACTGCAAGGCCTTCTAGACGAGGATACTAGCTGCAGTTTGTTCCGGGATCAAAGCCAGGGCAACACACCAAACAACACCCCAGTCAAGAACCAGTGTATCACAGTAGTCAAGGGCAAATCAATCAAATAATATTAAGCAGGCCGAAGCCTATCCAAAATGAAACAGTATCCGGTAAATCCCAGCGTAGGTTCCTCCCGACACACCCGCTATACTAATTTGGTATCGTGGCGGACTGTGAGACGGAGGAACATCTTTCCAGAGGGGAGCGTGGGTGTATATATATCTAACTAAAGACGGGAAGAGACTCCAAAAGCTTGCAAGCGGGGCGATGCGAAAGAAGTCAGGGCGGAGCTGACGACCAGGACGATGTGTGCGTCGAATTTACACCCGGGAAACTAAGGTGATGGTGTGGCGGGATGCCTTTGGCTTGAGAGACTGTGCGGCTTTCAGGGTGCTCGACTTGGAATCGACGGAGGTGCGCTTCGATTGTTTGGAGTCCGAGGGCTTCTGGGTGGAGGGCTTCGAGCTCATGATGGAGGACTCGAGGGCGGAGTGCCATTGTTGTTGCATGCGGATACCCATTTTGGTTGGTTGTTTGGTGTGGTTGAGGGTGAGGCGGGATGTTGGTTGTTGGTTTGTGGATGCAAAGTAGGAGAGAAGGTGGCAGATGTGTTGCTGAAGTGTTTGTGTTTGTGTGTGATGGGAAGGCAGAGGACGGCCGGCGCACGCTCCTTTTATATCCATTGCGATATACGTTCGTCTTTTTTGTTTTCCTTTCCATATCATCCCCACGACGACATGAAAAGAAGATGATCGTGGCAGAGCCGGTCCATCCCGTAAACGGCCGCCATCCCCACGTTTAAGAACAATGGGCTCTCGTGAAGGCCAAGAAAGCGAGATGTGGAAGAGGGCGGAAGAGCCTTTTTCGCTATGACGGCTCACCCACATATCCTCGACATGGGCTCTTTTGCTTTTCCATCCTTTTTTTTTGGGCCACTTCTACACGTTTTTACGGTGTGTTGACGTCGTGGGAAGGGCAAGTGGCAATGATGGGAAACGCGAGGCGCGTTTTTCCTCGTCGATTTGACTTCACCCTGAAGCTTACCTAATATCGTTAGCAGCCGATGCCCACGACAAAAAAAGGTGGCTCCTTACTTTCGCAGTCCCAAAGAAAAAATGAAAAAAAAAGTGGCTCCGCTAATTGTTTTTCTTCACAAAGCGGCATAGGGATGACGATGTCCTGCATATTACCCCACGAACCAGTTTGAACTACCCCACGGCCACTGGTCCACCGGATTCTGCTCGACTCCAAACCATGGAAAGCGGTAGAAGCAGTTCCCAAATTCACTCGGGAGCGCAGCCGTTGAGGTTGAACTCAAATGGGTCATGCCACAACTGCGAACGCAGAGCACACGCAAGCTAGAAATCCGTTGGCCTGATATGTAAATGGGAGCAATCGGGCAATGTATTGATATAGTGCTTAGTACAATGATTGGGCAGACTATGGACACATTCCGACGGCGCCTTGCGACTGCAGCCTCCCGGGAAGTAGCCTGGAACGACCGCTTACTGCTGGGCGGGGCGGGGTCCACCACGGCCGACACCACCACGCTAGAAGACAAAGACAATATGAGAACCGGCGGAGTATAACCAAAGTTCAATGTAGGAGGAAAAACTTACGAATTCGGGCCTCCAGTCACCGGTGGCACCTTCCTTCTTCTCGCCAGCGGGGCGGTCGTCACGGCGGCGGTAGTCACGCTCACCGTCACCACGGGGCCTGTAACCCTCACCGTCACGACGGGGGGGACGCTCACCGTCTGATGGAGAAGAAAAAGTAAGGACCTGATGAAGCAGTTAAGGCAGGTGTGTTCGCAATTGACTTACCACGGGCGCCAGGGCGGGGGCCGCTCTTGGTGGTCTTGATGAAAGTGCGGGGCACAATCTCGGCGGGGAGGTGAAGGTACTCGCGGAGGTACTCAATACCCTCGTTGGTGAGGTAGTAGTAGTAGTATTGCCACGAGAAACGGGTAGCAACAAGACCGCGGGAGGTCATGCTCTGCAGAGCCTTGATGACCTGGAGGTTGGGAACATCAACGTCCTGGTGCTTGGCGGCGTTGAAGTCCTTCTTGGCAACCATGACACCCTCCTGGAAGAGGTACTGGTAGATCTGTAGAAGATGCAGGAGAGTAAGATTTCAAGAACGACATCAAGTACCCAGAAAAAAACGATATCACACGCACCTTCTTGCGGTTGTTCTTAGGGATCAGCATGTTGGGCAAAAGGCTGGATAATGGACAATAACTTGGGTCAATGAACTGAAAGCCATCAATTCACGCCCATGCATCTTCGCTGAGTTGGTTCCCGAGACAAAGGTTGTCCGAAGAATGTCTCCGACCGCCGCTCGCTATCCCCTATTCCCACCACACGCCAAAGCGAGCTTCTTGAATGGCGATCGAAGACTGAGACGCATTCGGAATGATAACTAGACGATTGAACAATTCATTCGAAAAATCAACTGCCTCGTGCGCCCCGTGCTCCTCGGACGTCCACCTTTGCTCTGGTTGGGAGACTCATGTCGAAGTGCGTAAGACCTGCATAGGCAGACTGGAATGTAACCGGCTGGCACGACATTGCGGCAACAGCGACGGCTCACACCTCAGGAACCAAGCAATGCGGTGAGAGGCAACCGAAGCTCAAGATTAGATAGTTTACCTTCTGCGCAAACAAGGTTTGGCCGTGGGGATGAATCTGCCGGTGAAGCGAGAGAGAGAGAGAAAGCAAAACCCATTCCGTCCGTCGCTGGTCTTTGTGCCTTTACGAGTTCGACAGAAAAGCAACTCAGTCACGTGGCGCGCGGTGATTCACGTGACCTGACGACAGTTTATTCTGGCAACTCTGCGTTCGACACTGCTTTTGGACCCAGCGAGTCTGGAACTTCGAGATGCGTCCGATCTTGTGCCGCTTTTGAAAGACTGAGTGCACTGCTCGCAGCCCGAGCCCCACAATATCAACGCCCGCCAGGGACGGGAACTTTGATTTCCAAAGCTCGCCTGAGGGGCCTAGTGCTGCTCTTTGAGAGACAAGATACTCCGGAATCCGAGTACAAGCAAGCGCGTTCGGTGACCCGCTGGTAATCGACCCGCACGATGTTGGCAGTCAGGGATGAGTCAGGGTGCAATCGGGCGGCCGGTGCCGTGGCATCGTTGGTGGCGATATCGATCCAGCGATAGCGTTTTGCCCATCCACTCAGCGGCTGAGGAAGAAGCGGCCGGAGCATGCTCGATTTAAGCCTAAAGCTTATCGTTGTTACGCTTCCCAAAAGCCTCTCACCGCAAGTGTCGAGCAGACGAATACAAGGAGCGGCGAGCCCCAAGCGACAAGCCCAGAGTGCAGCTGAGCGGCGCCCGGATATCCTTTGAGAAGATGACCGCCATAGTCTCCAGCTGGTCGTCGCATCCAGCAGGTAGCGACACATCCGGGGATGAGAACCGCGGTGTGGATGCCTCGGACACCTCATCTTTGAGGGTCGCTCTTTCGCCTCATACCGCACTCCCTCCGATTCAGCAGAGGTCACCAACCCCTGGCAGTGTCTATTCGGACGGCCAACAGGCCCTAGATTTCGGAGAACCGGCTTCGGAGAACGCAGGGCACACCTCGTTGTCCATGCGAGCCTGCCCTGACTGTCAAGAGGCTTTACTTGGCGCTTATAACCACTGTCTTATGGACACGGGCACAGAGAGCTCGTTGTTGGATTCACTGAATCAAATCGACGAAGAGGAGGATGGCCGACGGCTGACGGACCCCCCATTCTTTCGGATTATCCGCGATCCGACAGCCCCCAAAAACACGCTCTACACGGACGTTGGAAAAAAGGTAGAGAGAGACCGATGGGCCTTCCAAGAGGGAAAAAATGCATCCAAATTAGAGCAAGCCAAAAACAAAAAGCTACCATGTGCAGTGGCCAAGGGCGCGGGCGTCCAAGGCAGTCACCTATTCTCGGGAGCAATTTACAAGCGAACTTTAGACTTCAAGGACAAGGAAATAAAGATGCTTCGAGAGCAGTTATACGATAAGATAGTGTCGGAGCGCGCCGACCATGAAGACGCTCAGAAACTCCGTAGCGTCCTGAAAAAGGCCGTTAATTACTATGTCTATGCCGAAGAATGGCAAGCGATTGAGAGTTCTCGACTACAGGCCGACGTACGATCACTAAAAGCCGAGCTCGCCTCCCTCATGGCTTTCCTGATTCAATCGGAGAATGACAAGCGGAAGGTATAGGTCATGTGATTTTGTTCCAGGAAGAACATCACTCTCATCTCGCAAAATCTTCCTTGGGTAGCTTGCCGGTGAAATTCAAGGGCATCATGACGCCGTTGCGCAAAAAGAGGAGGTCATCAAAGAAAAGGACAACATGATTGAAGAAATGAAGAGCAAACTGCACAAGTCTTTCAAAGAGTTTCTTCACATAAATAAGACCATGGCGGTCCTCGAAGTGGAAGCGGCGAAGGGATCAGAGGTTACGCAGGGGAGAAATGAGGTTCTGCAGCGAAATCTTGATAAGCTCGCACGCGAGTTCGAAATAACGACCCGCGATCTTACAACGGCGAATGATCGGATTCGAGAGCTGGAGTTCGAGTTGGAAGAGCTGGTATCACAGTTCAATCAGACGGGAGAGGGTAAAAGGGCCGCAGAGGAGCATGCGCGGAAGCTCTCGACAGAGCTGGATCGGACTGTCGCTGAATTGACCAGCACGCGACACACCTATGAAATTACGGAGAAGCAGCGCCGACAGCTGGAGGCCGAGCTTGCCGAAGTGAATCAGGCTTTCACAGATTCGAAGTTCGAGCTGAACTCCAAAGTTGGCGAGCTTAGCAAAGATCTAGAGACTGTTACGTCACAGAGAACGGAGCTCCAAACAGCATTGCAGAACACGAAAGCAGAAAATGAGAAGCTGTCAATCTCTCTGAAGGGCGTCACTCGTTCTAAAGATCAACTGGAATCTGCTTTCCGAGTCTCCACTCAAAAGTACGAGAAGGAGATCAGCACTCGAGATACGAAGATTCACGACCTGGGGAATCTGCGAGAAGAGGATGCGAAGGCGTTGAGAAAAACTCTCGAACAAAAAGAGCAGCTCATGTATCAAGTCACTGATTTGCAGAACTCACTCAACCGTGAGACGGCGAGTCTGAATATGGCAAATTTCGAATTGACCCAAGTTAAACGGCAAGCGGACGAGAAAGTAGCCCTGCTAGAGGATCAGCTCGAAAAGCTCAACACTGCGAAGATCGCTCTCGCCGCGGATAAACGGCAAGTGACGGAGAAGTACAAACAAACGCGGTCCGAATTACAAGAGAAGGAGCACGAGCTGGGTCATATCAAAAGCGAGTTTTCACGATCTCGCGACCGGGCGAAGCAGAAGGAGTCTACGCTCGTGAAAGAACTGGCTGAGCTCACCGAAGCTCATACAACTTTGAAAACGAGTTTCGCTAATTACGCAACTGATCTGACGCACGCTGCTGAGGAAAAGCAAACCCTTGTTAGCAAAGTTGACACTCTTGAGCATGATAGGGACGAAGCTATCGCTCGCGGTGATCAGCTTGCAACCGAGCTCGCCGTCTTCAAATCGCGGACGGAAAGACTTACCGCTGATCTCGATGCGGCGAACACGGACAAGGCTGATGTTAAAAAGCACTTGGAGTCTGTGGTCATCAAAGTTGATGAGCTTACGAGGACTATGAACAATTTGGAGCGCGAATCCACGTCCACTATCAAGACGAAAGACGGCGAAATTCGCCGACTGACGAAGGAAGCGTATGACGCGAAAGAGGAAGTCAACCGCTTGAGCAAACTATCCAAGAAGCTGAGAGCAGTCCTGGACCAGCTGGACATTGAGCACACAGCCATCAAAAAGGCGCTGCAAACCGAGAAGAGCGAGCGGGAGTATATCGAGGCATCTGCCCACGATCTCCGACAGAGCCTGCATTCCGAACGCCAGATCCGACTCGAGTTTGAGCGCTTGCACGAGCGGCTGAATCGCAGTGAAGGGGAACGTGAGCGTGAGGCGCTTGCTGGGCTTCGGTTACGCAACCGGCTCCTCGCTCAAGTCGCCGCGGGACTAAACGAAGAGCAAAGCCGGCTCAAAGAGCTTTCTGCGATCCTGCCGACGGATGATCAGTTACAAGCCATTGATGGGCCGGAGATCAAAGATTTCAAGCCGGCGGAGCTGCCGAGGAACGCTGCGCCGCGACAACGGACGCCTGGCGCGGGTCCAGGGTTCAAGCTGGTGGTGCGAAGACCAATGAATGCAGAAACGGATAAGGACTTGGCTAGCCCACACCCCTCGGCGATCGCGGCGGGTGTCGGCACGCCCCGGTGACCGCTGTTATGAGCCTCATGAGGCAGCTTGTTCCCGGCTTATTTCATAAACACAAGATCAATATCATAAATCTGCTGATGCATGTGAACTCAAGTCCATAGAATCACAATGGGGAACTGGCGTGGCAGGCTTCGGCGGGATTGAATGTGTGGAATGTTACATGATGATATCGAAAGAAATGCTAAGGAAGTGTGGTATAAATTCCCTACGCTAAAGCATAGCACTTGATTGCCTGAAAGGAGTGCATTTCTAGACATAGACAAATGATATTGCCGATACGCCGCTTCGAACTATAGAAATTTCCATATGTAGAACCGGGGCAAATCGGAAAAAGCTTTCAAGTTGCGTTTAATGAACACACTTCCTGCCTGATGCGCTCCATCAATTCGGGAACACTAACGTACAGCTGGCGGGGCAGGGTATGGGTGTCGATCGGTTGGACGGGCGGGCTATCGCATGGAGTCGGTTGGTCAAGGTACGCGTCCGTTCCATTGGCGGGTATTTTGGCGCTCTCGGCCTGAAGTGTCGAATGGCTGGGTATGGGTTCAGTGTTTTCTTTGCTGTCCTGGTCCGTGGGCAGGTCCGATTCGCGGGCGTGCGTGTCAGACGACAGTTGGGCGATGGAAGCGTCGGTGGTCTCCGGCGTTTCTTGGGGCAGATCGCGGACCTTCTCACCCAGCAGCCACATCTGCATGCTCCTGACCAACTTGTCGATTCGGGTCTCTGTGCCGCGCCACATCGACGTGAAATCGTGTCGTTCCTCAGTATGCTCACGGGCAGAGTACGTACGGATGAGATCGAGCTGGATAGCCGATGTCAGAGTGTCTCTCAAGTACCGGGGATAAAGGTGACAGAAAATCCTTACCATCTTCTCCGCCTCCCATTCCTCCACTCCGAGGTCTCGCAATGTGCTCTCACCTTGCAAGACGGCTTGAAGCCGACGTGGGACCACAGTGTTCCGTCTGGTCGGTTGTGCCACGTCTGCCCCGGCAACAGAGCCCGCTGTATAACTGGGTGTCGGAGTGCCAGCCGGAAAAGCTTCGGAGGGCACTACGACGAACCAGTTGAGTTCGGATTGCGAGGTTTCCAGTTTGGGGTTGTAAGGGCCTGTTGATAAGATTCAAACCAATGAGATAGAGTGGCAGAGCAGTGCTTTTGAGAGCCGGAGATGTAGGACAGGTGTCAGGATAACATACCGCAGATAGCGCCCAAGAACGGTTTCCCGTCTTCCTGCGCCGACTCATGAGGCAGCGGCGGAGAAGGCAAAGCCCCCTCACCCATGACTCCGTGATCCTTTACGTGAGCATGAAAAGGCGGATGAAAAACGGGCCGCTGTTTCACATGAACACTCCCCATCTCCACAAACCTGCACGGCATTGCAAGCCGAGCCTCCAAACGCCATCTGGTGCGCATGCTGCGTCTCGCAGTCAATACGAGACGGCAAAGTGCAAAAGATGGGGTGGGAATGGTACCACCCAACAATCTGCATGCCAAGGCTTTCGGCAGTCGATAGTGCCTCGGCGAGGCTCTCTTCGCTGGCCTCGACCGTGATGCTAGCGTTGGCTGCAATGAGCTTGCGTTGTGCGGGAAGGGCTGTTTGAATGGTGCATTCTATGGAATCACAACATTGGGATGTAATTTAGGATCGGCCGTTTGTGTGGTGAGCAATCAAGCCGAGAATCGTTTACCTTTCGTTCCATCGTCATAAACGCCTGCCAGCAACCCGACTACTTCCGTATCCAGCAGATGGGAATGCAAGTCCATCACGGCGATCGCCTTCCGCTCGACACGTAAGCGGTATGGTTGGCAGTTCGGACGGCCGTCGCCAGGAAGGCTCTTGAAAGGCGGGCACGATATAAGATCGTAGCCATCCCTATAAAGCGCAACATGGCCCCTCAGCATCGGATGCGTATGAACAACTTGAAGTGCGATGTAACCCACTCTGCATATTGCCTCTTAGGCTTTGTTGCAGTCTCGCGGCGTGGCCTGTTCCTCCCATAGTCTGTCTTCCCGTCTTCGCCGACCCTTATGCCAAGCTGCTCCAATTGGACCTATAGAGTGATTGCATTTAGCATTTGCAGGTCGTCGTGCGCACCAGCGTAGATGTAAATCTTCGACTACTACCTTCTCGGCATCGCCAGGGTTCGTTTCGCGCCTCTTTCTCCTACAAAACGGAAAGGGAAAGGCCGTCGACGTACGAAGGAGGGATCAGCACGACGACCAACATGTTCAGTGGATATAGCGGTTGTCAAATCTTCCAACTTACAGTGGCGAATTCGACCCCTTGTTGTAATCAAGGGATACCGTTCGCTTTCTCGCGGAAACTACTTTCTCTGCGCTCTCATCAGTCGAAGGTGGGGTGGGCTTCATCTCTTCTCCATTCTCGGGCCCGGGAGTTTTATGGGGCGGGAGGACGACCGTACTCGCAGGGTGTTCTGGATCGAATTTGCGAGATCTGAGGTATGGCCTCACTGCCGCACTTTCCGGATTCAACGGCTTTCCGCTCAATGTGTGGCCTGCACCAGTTTCTTTGACCTATATGCATTCGTATGCCGTCTATGCCGTCAAACAACTGCAACATGGTCTGCCGCATGGAGATGAAATCCATACCTTCTCCGGCACATCTTTTCCCTCCAACCACAAATGTATCAAATGCCGCTGGGCGCGAGATTTCACAATGTCTTTTGAACGCGTGCCGACGTGTCGCGCAACCTGGCAGAAGCCTTGTCAATACACCTTGTCCTCCGAGCAGAACGAAACAAGGGAAAATGCTAGGATGCACCTCTGCCCAGTTCCTGCCGTGCAACTCCAACCCTTCCAGGAAACTAGCGTGCTCCACTTCCGTCCATCTGCCCTGCTTCATGCCCTGTTCACTGGTCGCCTGCAAACCGGATGGTGGTTCGGGAGTCGATGTCGATGTGGCAGTGGATGACTGACCGCATGACTTTGCCGCTCGAGCGATGGCAGGTACCATTTCGACTTCACAAAGCTTGCTCTCCGAAAATGCCACGTCGGATGAATGCATGTTCCCATTCGCCTCCTGATGAGCTCCCGATAGTTTAGATGATACTGTTTCGGTTTTGGCGACTTTCGACGATTTGGCGTCCGCCGAGAGTGTAGAGGCTTCATCTGAGGTTGGCGGGTCGGCCTTCCGCTTACGTCCGCGTTTAGCAGGTGTCGCCGCAGCTAATTTGCTCGCTATGTAAGAGACGCGAAGGAAGCATGAGTGTCCCTGGTCGCATTTCGGAAAAGATGGCTTATCACATCAATGGGGTCCCGCAACAACAGGAAAGGCGATGACTCCTGGATTTTTCGCACTGACCCTTCTTAGCCGATCCACCCCTTTTCGGCTTCTTGCGCAAAACAAAATCATCATCGTCACTTCCTCGCTCTCCAGCCGGCTTGGCGCTGGCGGCAGAAGTTGCATCGTACATTCCCGAGTCGTCCTTGTCGTTCTCTACTTCATCCTCCCAATAGTCACCGTCAGCAACGCTGACGTCGCCATAGACATATCCGTCGTCATCATACGCCTGTTGCAGCTGCCTGGCCAAGGCCTCATCTGAGAGGAAACCGCCGGTCATCTGTTTGTGCGGGGTGGGCTGTGTCCTAAAATTGAGTGAACAACCAGATGAGTTCGCAAGTTGGTACACCGGTAGACGGACGGTAAATATTCGAGCTTACGTCAAAATAATCCAAGCGCGGCCGCTATGCACCGACCCTTACGGCTGCCAGGACGCTGAGCGGGATAGCTCTTGACCGTATCGTCTGACCGGGGACAGGTGGAATACTGTCCGCCTAATCCTATTCGGAATACTGGGGTATCTATCATCCAGCTTTCCGTCGTGCTTCCCGAGTCTCGCTGAGTCGCTGTGCGGCCGTCCTCACGCGTGAATCTCGTCCGAATGCGTCCGGAACAGTTCGCTCTTCGCACTTCTTGGATTGCCCCCCTGTTGCCCCCGACTTCGAACTCTGTGTTTCCCACCAACGTACATACGTAGCGTATCGCTATATCCACAAAGCTCAACGCAGAACGCAGCCGGACTACTCACAGGCAGAAGGCAATGGCTTGTTCAGCCGCCAGCAGCAGCACGGTAAGGTGGCGTCACCGGCCGTGGTTCCCTGTCTGCGGCCATCGTGCTTTCACTACCTCCGCCCAAGTTTCCCTCCCAAGTCGCACCATCGCTTACAAGCACATAAGGTCTCCGGTGCCATATGCCCTAGGTCTGCAACTTCAGGACGAGCTGGTGGCTTACCACAGTCGGGCTCTTGCTGATGGCAAACAGAGGCACAATGTGCTGTTACTGTTGGAACATCCCCCAACATACACGGCCGGACGAAGAGTGAGGGGAACAGAGGTAGATGAGAGAAGAAGACTCGGAGCTTTAGGTGCAGACTACCATGAGGTATGCTGTACTATGGGTGTGTGATGGTTCTTGTCTGAGGAATAGCTCCACTTACAGTTGTTTCTGGCCTCAGTAGACTTTGAGAGGTGGGCAGACAACTTTCCACGGTCCAGGACAGCTTGTTGGATATCCCATATTTGACCTGCGGAGTTTTGATGTAAGACAATAGCGCTGCCTTTCTATAACACTTCTCTGACATCCTGCTTAGCTAGGAGTTCGGACCTATGTCTCAACGCTCGAAAGCATGCTTGTTCGCCTGTGCTCCTACTACAACATCACGGCCCGCACAACAAATGACACAGGCGTCTGGGTTTTCAATCCAAAGAGGAACGATGATCAGAAAATCGCAGCTTTGGGGATCCAAGTGCGGCATCACATTACAAGTCATGGGTTTGCGCTGAATTGTAAAACTGATTTGGGATGGTTTGAGCATATTGTGCCTTGTGGTTTACCTGGAAAAGGCATCACATCATTGTCTGTTGAGACTGGAAGAGGTGAGAGTCATTGTAAAGGTACCAGTTGATGGTTTCACGTATCTCATTGTTACTCGCTTCTCTCACAATCTAGATGTAACCACCACAGATGTAATACCGTATGCACTCCAGGCAGTGATGGAGGCCTTTGATGCCCCAGTGGCAGCGCTATCTGACGTGGTGCCGGAGTTGGACTCGCACATGGAGGAACTTATCAGTGTCGCGCTTGCCTAGGCACACCCTAGGCACACCCTAGGCACTCTTCGCCACGACCTTACGATAGTGACCAGGGAGGGCATTTGCATCGAAGGTTGCTCTCGCCCCCAAAGACTAGGTTTCACAGTCTCACCGATCATTTCAATCGAGATCTGGAATCAAATGCAGACACGTTGACTTTTCATCTCATTTGGCCGACGTCGTCGCCATCCACGGGAGGGGACCTGGCGAACCTGCGCCATCAACGACCCCCACAACAGCAATAGGTCCCACAACAATACGCCAAGCATCCAAAAGCAATGTAACACCCATACACGCCGCCAATACATCCGTCAACGTCCGCCGCATCGTCCACATCTGGCATACCCTCTCATCCAACCGATAGAACATTGGGAATGACACGCAGAAATACAACGCGTAGAACAAGCTGCCGACGGTGAACATCGCTCGCTGATCGGGATACGCGTAGTAAGGGAATCCCTGGATGGTGAAAGCTTCCATAAACGCCGTCGCATACGATAACGCCAGTACCACGCACGACTGGCGCAGAAGCGTCGTCGTTGCGGGTCCAGTTCGGCTGACGATTCGCAAAAGCCTGCTGGAGATGACGTGGTAGAAGTGAAAATACCCGTGCGTGATCAGATACAGCGCGAAGGGCACGTCGTTCAGCCGGTGCGCGTCGAATGTGTATTTGACGTGGAGGATGTGGTAGAAGTAGTGTGTCCATAGATAGTTGCCCTGTATCATGGATGTTAGTCTTGTCTGATTAGAAGACGCATCGTTCCATACTACGTATTCCTCGTATTCCGTCGACCTTGCTACTCGTCTACACTCGAAAGAACATCCGCCGTCTCGACTTACCACAAATGAGTAAACGCCGATCCAAACATTGGCCTTGGTCGTATACCTCCTCCTCCATGGCAACGCCGGGTCATCGCACCACCCCGGAAACATCAACGGCAGCACGCACGGCGGGATCGCGACAAACATCCCAACATGCATGTAAGACCACGGCGTGAACGATTCATAGGCTTCGGAGAGCACAATGAAAGCCAGCAGGGCAATCCATACCCCGCTCCAGACGAGGAAGAAGGTCTCGCCGTTGCGTTTAGAGAGGGAGGTGGATTCGTATAGGCCGATGCTGCGGGGATGCGTGGTGGGCGACATTTTGTTATGACGATGGCGCGCGTTTGCGGAGCCTGAGATGTGTTGTTATCCGCTTTATATCCTGCACACCGGTGTCGAGTGTTGTTCGCGAACTTGGCCTATTCTGCGAGATGGTCTGGACTCTGAGGGTTGAACGTTGTGCAACAGAGTGTTGTCCTTGGCAAGCACCTGTGAAGGCATGCCTGAGCGAAGAAAAGGTGTGCCTTTGGGAGAGTTCAGACGGCACAACCGCACACTACACGAAAGACATCACCCCATAGAAACTCCCATATGCATGGTTATTACGTTCGCAAGACGTTCTTTTCAACACCAGATATAAAGGCCATATATACACATCAAGAAACCACCCTCACAAAACCATCTACGCCCTCACATCCCGTCCATCAGCCCAAGCCCGTGATGATCCCTGCACCACCTCGACTCATTCAGGGATTTCCCCATCTTCGATACTAGGATCTACCTGAGGAGGCGGGGCAGGCAATCGCATCCGAATTTTCGGCAGCGATCCGTACTTGTTCGATATGCCCGGCACGCCCAAATCGCGCTTCTTCTTCTTGGGCCGGCGAATGCTGTCGTCGCCTTCGGCGTCCGACGCATTGGTCACGCTCGAACGTTTGTTGCGTGAAGATTTGGAGCCACGACCGCTGTTTGACGGACCTGCGTCGTCGTCATTGTCACTTGCGGCGGACATCATCGAGTGCTTGCGTTTGTTGCTCGGCGGTTCTTGGTCCTGTTCCGTGATGATGATTTGGCCACCTGGTGCCAGTTCCTGCACACGGGTGTCGAGGGCGAATTTCATTTGCACGGCGTCTTCGTAGACTTCAGACCCCTCCACGTTGTAAAGCATTGCGTTGGCGAACATCAGATGGAAGTCGGCGACGAACTGGTCGAGCGTCTTGTAATACGCGTGGTTCATACGATGCGAGATCATGTCCATGGCAATGGGCGATTTGATCAGTTGATAGTAGTCGGGGTAGTGCGCCCGAGCCGGCAGCTCGCGGAAGAGGTCACATCGAAGGCGAGTCATACTGCGAATTGCCAGAGAAAACTAAGTAACCAACGAAGTAAGAGAATAAAAGCAAAAAAGCCCGCGTGCATACCCGTTGTCATATTCGACCTCGGAGTTCTCAACTGCCTTGTAACACTCCCCAAAGATCCGCCTCAAAGCACGACGCCTGGCCGGCGGCAGAGGGTCGACCTCATTCTCATCGACCCCTGCAAACTTCTTCTTTCGACCGCGCTTGACAACGGGCGTGTCCTCATTTTCGTCCTTCACTTTCCCCCTTCGAGCTTTGCGTCCCGTGCTGATATCAGGCACGTCGTCGAGCGGCTCATCTTCAGCCTTCTTCGTGGGTCTTGACCGTCGTTTGGTGGGGGTCTTCTCAGCCTGCGGCTCCGGCAACGACTTCCCTGCAGTTCCATCCTCGTCATCCTCATCGCTCCCGTCGTCATCTGACCCATCTTCGGTCCGGCTTTCCCTCAACCTCTTCCGCTCCTCCCGTTTAGCTTTCGCAGCCCTTCTCTTTTCGATATAGCCTTCAACGTCGCCATCCTCGAGGGCAGCAACGTACTGATCGTCATTCAACCCATCGTCATATCTAATGTCCTTTCGTGCACGTGCTCCACGTCCAAAAACTTCCAACGCCTGGTCCCCTGTGATCACTTCATCGACAATCTTGAATGCATCCGGAAGCTCAGAATCCGGAATCAAACGAGGTGGAGGATCGCCCCGTTGTCCGGCCGCCCGCCAAATCTCTTTCTCTTTTTGAACGCGGTCGGCGTCCATCTTGTTAAACAGCTCAAGCTCGCTCTCGTCACGTGCAATGATCTCGTTAAGATCGGTATCCTCGAGCTGTCCTTCACCCTCATCTTTGTCTTCCTCGTCCTCATCTCCTCCAAAAAGTGATCGCAGAAGCTCGTCACGTTCGCGATCGGTGGTCTTGTTGTCGAATTTGCCGGCTTGGATGACTTTGCCGTCCATATCCAGTTTGTACTGCGCTCGTGCTAGGATCGTCTCTTCCACGGACCTCGCCGTGATCAACCGAAGAATTCTGACTTCTTTGGTTTGACCGATACGATGCGCTCGGTCTTGTGCTTGCAAATCTTGGTGAGGATTCCTAGAGGAGAGAAGAATGATGGTAAATTTCGTGCTACCGTCATATGAAAAGTGAACAATTGGAAACATACCAATCGGAATCAAAGATGATAACAGTGTCAGCAGTCTGCAAATTCAGACCCAGACCGCCAGCACGAGTACTGAGTAAGAAAATGAAGGGAGGTTCCGGATCCTCCTTGCTGTTGAAGGCTTTCAACATGGTCGTTCGGTCTTCAGCCTTGGTATGTCCATCCAACCGGAGGTATGCATGTGCGCGGAAACGAAGGTAATCCTCCATAATGTCCATGACCTGAGTCATCTGGAAGAACATGAGGACACGATGCCCCGTAACCTTGTACTTTGGCAGAATACGATCCAGAAGTTCGAATTTTCCGGCAACACGCCAAAGATTGTTGTCCGTCATGCCATATGGGTTCATGGTGTGTTCCACCTCTTCGAAGACGTACGGGTGATTGCAAACCTTTCGGAATTGCATGACCAAGTTGTTGAGAGCCTTTTTCCTAGGGAGCCGACATTGCATGTTAGCAAAAGCGCTTTTCTGATGGGTGTTACGAGCCGCTAAGCTTACCTCTTCTCCCCATCGCCGCCGAAACTGGACCGCTTATTCCGAATCTGCTCATATAAGCGGTGCTGCAACGCGGACATCGGGCATTTGACGACTGTCTCGACCTTGTCGGGCAGTTCTGACTCTACATCCTTCTTCAGACGTCGCAACAAGAACGGCCGAAGGACCTTGTGCAGTCCACGAATGATAAGCAAAGACTCTTCTTCATTCAGCCGTATGTCGTTTTCTTTCCCTCCTTCTTTGGCAAAAGGATGGTTGAACCAATCGTCAAAGGTGTCGACGGAACTGAAAATCTTGGGCAAAATGAAGTTCAGCAAAGCCCACAACTCGGGAAGATCATTCTATTGATGACATTAGGTCAGTAAATAGGCGAGACAAAGAATACGAAAGAGTTGAGGCACCATACCTGCAACGGTGTTCCTGTGAGAATCAATCGATAACGCGTAATGTAGTGTCGCGCTAACGTCATCGATAGCTTCGACTGCGTGTTCTTCATTCGGTGTCCCTCGTCAATGATCATGTACACCCATTTGATCTTGCTGAGCACGGCTTTCTCCCGAATGACATATTCGTACGTGGTTACAACCACGTTGAAATTGCCCGACTTGATGTCATTCCGAACTTTCGCACGCTCAGGCGCTGTCCCTTTGAAAACGATCTTGTTCACCTTCGGCGCCCATCGTTCGAATTCAAGTTCCCAATTGGTGATTGTCGACAAGGGGACGATGACCAGATACGGTCCCAGCTGCTTCTTTTTCTCCATGAGATAGGTGATCAGCGACAATGTTTGGATGGTTTTGCCCAAACCCATCTCATCGGCTAAGATGCCATTGAGTCGGTTATTGTACAACGACACCATCCATTGCAGCCCTTTGAGCTGGTAGTCCTTCAGCTTTCCACCAACCAAAAGTTCCGGTTGCTCCGTGACCGTCTCTTGGATCCTGTGCGCTGTGTTGTAATAATCGTTATCACCGGCATCCTCGCCTTGAGTATTGTGGTGCGTCACCTCGTAATCGTGAACGGAAGCTTTCTGATCGTGCATCGCTTTTGTTAAACTGGTCAAGTACGACTCGGTTTGGTTCAGCAGATGCATAATACGGTTGTTTTTCACTTTGTCCACGAGCTTCAAGTACGTCGCTTCGTCGTTGGCCTTCAGAGCGTTCAAACGCTCTTGTGACAGTCGCTGCTGCCGCTTCTCCTCTTCCTTTTGCGCATTGGCATGGAATCTGGAGACGGCTTGTCCCAAGCGGATGCCCTTTGTCTGCTGCTGCTTATGAAAACCGACCAAGTCTCTGCCATGCTGAAGAATCGAAAGCAGGTAGTCCTGATGCTTCTGCTTGTCCCTCTTCTCCCGTTCCAATCGTTGATTCTTTTCCAACTTTTCGGTTTGCTTCGCTTCTCGGAGTGATTGCTTCTTGACTCTGCGATATGCACCCCGATCAACAGCAGTCGCCAGCGTTGTAGCCTTCCCAAGAGACTGCAAGATCTCCGAACGCAACTTCTTCTGCTTATCCAGAAGCTTCAGGGCCTTCAACTCAATGAGCGCCTGGATCTTGGCACCTGTATCGCTAGCCAGGTTGCTCGGCAACGATTCCAGTTCGTGTATGCGGTATTGTATACGCGCCTTGATCTTCTTCTCTCGCTCCTGTATCAGAGCATGAGGATCGATACCGCTAGGAGTTCCGCTAGGTATCACCAGCCGTTGCTGCAGATCCGCCATCGTGATCTTTTTAGGAAGCACCGACTGCGGTGTGGAAAATGGACCCAATTCGAAGCGTGTAGCGACCGCTTTGGTAACCGCGGGTGGTTGTGAAGTAGGTTGTTGAGCTAAAGCCTGTCCAAGTTTATGAGAGGCCTCGATGATGGTCTGGGGTATCGGGTGAAGCTCTGGTTTTGGCTCGGGTGGCCGTAACCCATCTGGATTGAACACCAACCGACGTAGGTGCTCCGGAACAGGTTTGTTACTGGAGATAAGCTTGAAAACATAGATTTGACAACGCAGCGCTGTGAGCTGCTCTTGCGTGAAAGGTCCTGCCGCTTGCCCAGAAACAGCTGTTTGTGATCCATCCCCATCAGCATCCATCGGTGCGGCTCCAGTAACGTCGCGGGTATTATCAGCCGTTGTTGGCGGTGGAAGGGAAGGCTGCTGGTAGGGTTGTTGTGGTGGATGCGTCGCAGCATGAGCTGACGCCTGTGCTGTAGCGCTGTTCTGATATTGACGCAGTATGGCCATAATCCTGCCGAACTCCGGGTCATTGTTCTCCGTTGCACCTTTCTCTTTGAGCACCCGTGCTTTCTATTAGAGATCACGTACGTCCAAGAGCAGTTAGTCTACACATGATCCGGTTGTGCAAAATGTGGGTAAGCCCAAACGAAAGCTGTGGGATTCATACCGTAATCAGGTCTCTCAGCTGGTCCGAAGAGATGTGCGGTAGGAGTGGTGCTTGCGCGGTAACATCCCCGGACATGCGGTGAGGGAGTTGTTGGTAGGGTTGGTGCTGGGATGGGGATTGTATCGGACGGGCTGCGAATCCGGCATTGTTGAAAGGAAGTTGTGGCTGCTGCAGCAGCTGTTGCTGTTGCTGCAGCTGAGGATGTTGCTGTCCCTGAGCCGACGCCCCAGGTGCTGTCGAGGAAGCAAGCGCCGGAAACATGGCCAGCAGGGTGTTGCGTGGTGTCGTTTTGCCTGTCCTGTGGATATGTTTTGACTCTCCACCCGTTCGTACTTGTCCGTGGGAAAACGCGAGGGAAAGTCACCTTGGCTTGGGCCTTCTGCCGTGGCCGTCTGACACTCTTGTGGCATGCAATGATTTGGAGGCCCTGCCGATCTCAGTTTCGGATTCCGTTTAGAGTGGGCCTAAGTAGTTGATTAGAGTGCGTTCGCGTTTGTGTGGCAAATGATTGGGGCAGTTTGTGGTCGGAGCGTCCACTGTTGAGCACCAGCACCTCGGAAACAGAAGGTGAAATATTAGCCCGTCTAATCAAAAGCCATCGACCACTGTTCGCAAATACCCTTATCTGAAAGCCATTCATGGCTCGTGGACTCGTCACGTCACAACAGATCGCTCCAACAGACGGTGTTCCCCGGCTTGACGGCCAAAAGACTCTCCACACTTTTACGGATGCTGCGGTCTATCACTCGAACCCGACCAAAGTCAGCGACTGGGCTTATAAGGTCTCTTGCTGTGTCGTCCATTTGCGTCCGTTTTCAAAGTCAACGAACGCGCTCGCTGCATTCCAACCCGCCTAAGATGTCGGAACGACGAATCCCCATTTACACCCGCACCGGCGACAAAGGTGAGTTCATTTCAAGGCGCCTGACCTATAGAACCTGGAAAAAAACAATTCTCATATCTTCAATGCCCTAGGGACATCCGCTCTCTTCACAGGCGAACGGCGTTCGAAAGACGACGATATTTTCGAGGCGCTAGGCACCACCGACGAACTATCCAGCTACCTCGGCCTTGCAATAGATCACTGTCAGGATGCGAACAATGGCCTTGCCGAGAAGTTGCAGCAGGTAGTTTGCGAGTGGAGGTGGCCTCACAGCTCCAGCGATGGTCGTCCTCTGGCGCTTGAGTGAGCAGAACAAACAGGGGCTCGTGCTCACGTGCTGGAGTGGATCATTTTCAGGTGCAATGTTTGTTGCAGGATATCGGCTCCAATGTTGCAACCCCGAGAAGCAATGCGAGCGAGGTCCGGTTAGGTGTGTAGCTCGCTGTGAGCGCATAAATCCCGTACACGGGGTCGGAGTCTCTTGGCGCGGCCTGCCACTGACCGTCACTTGCGACAGCTAATCTCACATCTTGCATTTCTGTCATGTGAATGCATTATCTCAGCTCGTACAGAGTTCGACACGGATGGGGCTCTTGCAGTCGAGCTAGAGACGTGGATAGACGATCTGGACAAGTCGCTCCCACCGCTGCGTAACTTCATCTTGCCGGTAAAATTGAATCACCGCAAAAGTGGCAATCCTGGAATACCACATTCAATCGGAAGGAGGACCTGACATCGTCTTATCTGTAGTCTGGCGGAAAAGCCGCGTCAACCCTCCACATATGTAGGAGCATATGCCGACGCGCAGAAAGGCGGGTCGTGCCTCTCGTCAAAGCCGGCTGGGCGGACGAAAGCACGGCAAAATATCTGAATCGGTATGTTTCGGCCTTGAGGATGCATTGACTCTGACGCACGGTTTTTGGAGACTCATGTGGGCGATTGGTAGATTGAGTGATTTCTTATTCACTGCGGCGCGGTATGCTGCGAAACACGATGGCAAGGAGGAGACTATATATAAGAAGTTTGCTAAGAAAGCCAAGAGTACTATAGAAGCCTAGTATAGAAGCTATGGGAGGTGTCTCAACGCGTACTTTGGTGCAGTGCGTGGGATGTCCCTCTGACTGATGCAGAAGGTAAAGACGGATGCGTCGTGCGACGGCATCTCAGAGGGATCCGGCGTAGAGCAGCGTACGGTGGACTTTCGAACACCGCCGTACTTTTACTTAGACAATGCAGAATCTATTTTCATATGTCGGAAGGCGGAAAAGATACGTTACAGGACAGGGAAACGTAATGTACATGCCTGAACTACAGATAAACATCTATTTTGGTCTCCTGCTCAGTACCTCTGCGACCCCATCGACAGCGCCACCTTGGAAATAGGGTCCTGCCACACAAGGTACGAGTTCTGCCCCTTGGGGTTGACCTCCAACACATACCGGTCAAGCACGGTGGTGACTTTTTCCCTCAACCCCGTCTTGCCGCGTCCGTAGCCTCCCTCGAACGTAAGCTCACGCGTTCCGAGTGTGAGCCCGGTGGGGATGAATGGCAGGGCGGCGTCGTAGCCTCCCCAGTTCTGTTCAAAAAAGGCGAGGACTTCGGCTTTGTTGGAAGGTCGGCTTAGGGTGGTGTTTCGTCGCCCGTTGCCTGGAAGGAAATGTAGAGATGAAGGCAGATAAGCTGATGCGCACGTGACAGTAACGTCAAGCAACCGCTTCCATCGATGTTCCTGACGTACCGTGAACAACACGTTTGATGTCGCTAATAGTGGGCAGACCCGACATGGTGCGATGAGGATAGTCCCAGTACGTCAGGCCATTGGCAAACTTAAGTTGTGGGATGTTGTTACCACTAAAGGAAAAGACTCGGTGAGTAGCCGTGGCACAGAATCACCAGTTTACTGTTATATAGATACGCACACATTGCTTGGTAACTGGAAGTAGCCTTTCACAATGGCGTCGGTAATCTCATTTCTTCTCTCCCATGGGATGCCCCATACAGGGTCGCGCTTGCCGAAGATGGCGTTGACGCCTTCTGCGAAATCGCTTTTTTGCTAATCAAAACCGGTGCGTGAGCGACGCACAACTTATAGCTGCAAACGTCAAAGGGCGCCGAGCGCCCTCCGTACCAGAAAGTTTGCCACAAGATTGTACTCCATTCTGAAACAGTCCATGAAATCCTTCTTCCTGCCTCTTCGAAGTTGTTCCAGGGTAATCTGGTACGGAAAGGCGAAGTGAAAGTGTGAGTTTCCCATTCCAACTTCAATCGTCAGCTGCTCGCAGGTTGTCATCAAACCTTCAGGCTTAACGGAGACATCTTCTGCAACGTAGCAAGCGTGTTTGTGGCCCATTCAGAGTTCTCTTTCTCCAATGCTCGAAGGATCTCTTCCAGGTTGTTGTACTTGAAGCACCGGTCGATCGCAGCGCCGATGTCACCTCCCAGAGTCCAATTCTTCCACCGCTGCAAATCCGTGTCCGCTGCAAATCCGGTCAAAAGGTTTGAACTCAGTACAACTGGCGTCGGTTGAGTACTTACCGACAAACTCCTCCAACACCATGTTGATCACTTCAAGCTCGTCAGTCTCGAGCTCCGCCAGTCGCGTCATCAGAGCAGGCAATCGATCGGAGGGTATGTAGTGTGTTGCTATGCCTGCCATGCTGTTCATCAATTTATCGCATAAGTGAGGCTCAGACACATGCGTTTCAGCCCACCGAATGGTCACTCACAAGACTTCCTCGCCCTTCAATTGTTGTCCCGTCAGACCGAGGTAGGTGCCCAATTCCCCGTCCAATCTCGGTAAGAAAAAGCTTCCTCCCACATCCGGAAACAGGCCGATTTTGGTCTCCGGCATAGCAAAGAGCGTGTTCTCTGTGGCGATCCGGAAAGGTGCGTGCACGGACAACCCAACACCACCACCCACTGAAACACGCAAAGAAGTCGCACATTGTCAGAAATCTGCCGGCATCGAGAGTCCCAGTTTCGTACGTACTCGTGATGCCGTTCATGATGCTAACAAAGGGTTTGGTCAAAGTGCCTAGGGTATGGTTCAAAGAGTATTCCTCTTGAAAGAATGTGAGGGCTTGGGCAGCATCTGTCGGGTCCTTTGAGGACGCCAGCTTGACAACCGTCTTCACGTCCCCTCCTGAGCAAAATGCCCGGCAATCGTCCGCGTTGGTCATCACAATCACTTTACACAGATTGCTTTCTTTCCATTGCTGGGAAACATACATGTAAGTCTCGACACACAACCGGCGGGAACGCAAACGACTTGTAAGGTACCTTACCTGCAGCTGTGGCACGATGTTCCGGATCATACTGAGGTTCAGAGAGTTGAGTGCCTTTGGCCGGTTCAAAAGGAAGATGCGCGCCGACTGCATCTTCTGGTGACGGACTTCGCTCTGTTGGACATACGCGCCAGAGGCATCTTCTGCGTTGACGGGCGTGGTAGTCGAAATCATCTTCGGGAGGAGCGTAACTGATATAAGGTATCTGCCACATCAAGAAGGCATCACAGTTCCCTTCTCCCGTACCCTTTTTGATGCCCCCGAAGATAAGTGAGAGGCTACTGCCGATACTCTACGTTGCGGGGCTGATGATCTAAGGGATGTGGTGGGATGTGCCAGTGTTGCACTCGAAGTGAAGATATGCCTGCTGCTCGAAGCAGTTTGTGGTACTGTCGGTCTGCTCAGGTTTTTCATCGAGTGCTGACCAGGGCGGCAGTGGAGCCTGCAACACCGTTTGGCGATATGGAAAACCAACTGCGACATTGAAACCCTCTGAATGCAATCCTATTGAGCAGAGGTGCGGCTGAGTGGGGTTTCCAAGGAAGGCTCAGTAAGCGTGATTCAAGAAACACCAATATCCGGGAGTAAGACTGACCTTCAAGGTGTGGTGGGGCAGTTCGCTGGTTGTTGTTGGCTGGGAAAATGCTCGCTGCGAAGGTTGGACGGGTTGTGGGAAGGGGCGAGAATGAGATCCCAGTGTCCCACACCTGACTGACTGGGGACTCGCGCGCGCCCAAGCCACATGTCTGACGGCGAGTGACAGTATGCCCGTCAGTCCATCGTCAGACTCTCCACTCGCACCTGCAGACGGATATCCGCATGCAATTTCCCCCATTGACGGCCCCACTGCAGTCGGGAAAGGCACATGCAAATGCTGAAAGGCATGATAGTTTGTGACGTATATCCAGATGCAAACAAGGAAATGTGGGGTAGTCATGGCGCATAGTCTCCGGGAAGAAATACTCGAAATCCGTGAGGCGCTTCTGCAGTGGTATAAAAGCTGGACGCCCAAACAAGTATCCCAAAAAAGCACAGGTGCGGAAAGACAGAGTAACAAGCTCTGCTCCATTGCTTTACCATCAACCAACGTAAGTGCAAGGACAACTTCGTGCATCAACTGTTGGCAGAGCCTGGCGCCGGCGTCCTCAGGCACACAACCTGGATGATTAATCAAATTCAGCCAGTCCGCTCATCACACTTGCTTCTCTCACATTCTTCAGACCAAGTTACGTCGAGCAATGACAACTTCCGCTACGAAAATCGATATCTCTACCACGGGGCCGATCGTCGCTGGTCCCCGTACTCCGCCTACTACCCCCCCGCGAGCCAAGGGCGAAGGCGAAAACCCCGAGGCGTATCCCCACATCCTCCTATTTCCGGGGGATGTTGGAACACCCGAACCCGAATGGGGTGTTAATGGCGGCAAAGATGGCGGCGTCTACGACAAAGAAGCCATTCTTGCGCAACTGGCCGCCAACGCTCCCCAAGGCGGCTACGAAGGGCCTACCTCGGAAGACCAGGAAACGCTCTCTGAACCAGGAAAAGATCAAGAAGAGCAGGAACCGGAGCTGATTCGCGACGCAACCGGCGAGCCTATCCACCTCCATGGGAGCGTTGCTCCTGGTACCGGAACCCCCCTCGGCCCAGCCGGGGTGGCCAAGACCGCTCTAGAAGTGGCCGACACTCTGGATGTCATACCGCCGCTTAGCGTTCTTGAGGCTGGCGCTCGCGTAGTCGAACAAGTTCAGGAGAGGGAAGGTGAAGCCAAGCCCGAAGTCGGTTGGGGCGATGAAACGCCGAAGCAGAAGCCCAGGCGAGACAAGCATGCTCTTGTCCGAAGGGCCTTCGAAGGACCGGCTCATGTTGGCATGGCCGAGTTTGGATACGAGACAATTGAGAGTATGTTCAACGTCAGCCAAACGGTGGACCCGGAGCGTTATGATCCGCGAGTTCCCTACATTGCCGGTTTCAGCAACGGAAAGGAGATCAGGGTAAGTACCGAGTAGAAAGGGTTAGCAGTTGCCGCAACTGATTATTTGAAACTTCATCAAAAACCAGGACACTGTTATTCTCGACACGCAGTGCGCTGCAGCCCCTACTTGGTTGAAAGGTATGTAAGGTGGAAGACTTGTCCTCGTCTACGTAATTGTTGACCATCCCCGATACTCAATTCGAAATTGCACCTTTTTCTCAAACAGGTGCGCTCTATCGCAACGGTCCGGGTATCTTTGATCTCGAGATCTTCCACAAGCGTCAGGTCCACGCCACGAGCTTCCAACACTGGTTCGACGCTTTGCCGCTGGTTCATCGGTGCGTTCGTCGCATTTTCGTTCCCGCCTCCTTCGATATCCCATGAAGTTCCTAATCTAACCGCAAGTAAACATTCTGCGTAGATTTGAGATCGACGCCGAAAACCAAATAGTGAAATACCGCTCTCGCTTCACCGCAACGGGGCTTGAGAACACCATTCGCGCGCATCTTCGCAAGACGTACGTCCCTATCGTGCCCAACATGGGCTGGCTGGGATTGAAGAGGACGAGTTCTGACCCCTCGGCTATCTGTGGTACGTTTCATCGTTCGCCGTCGCATATCTTGTGTTGTCGACGGCGCACAATGCTCATCGGAATCTTTCTTTGTGATCTGGTATCGACGAATAGCCAACTTTGGTGAGCAACGCCTACGATTCGCACGCTATGCATTCACTGTACTGATGATGCTCTATCGGGCACTATTCAGCGATCCACACGCAATTCCCCTTCCGCCACTCCACCACGGCTCCGGAGAACCGCCTCGTAGCGACCACGGACACCAGCCTCCTCCAAGAGATCGACCCGGTTACGTTGATCTCCAAGCAAGCTCTTCGATACAGCGACATCAATCCAGCTTTCCAAGGTTCCGGCGCCGCCGCCGTCCCTTGGCGTGACAGGAAGACGGGCGATATGATCAACTACACGATGCAACATCTTGCGTCTGGGAAGGCTAAGTACACCTTCTTTGGATTGGCGCAGAATGATCGATTCAACCCTCCGGTAAGCTTGACGTCAATCCGTGTGGCCACACTCCAAGCCAATGATCAAAACGCTAACCGCTGACACCTCTTACAGGGCAACATCATCGCGACGATCACAGCGCCCCCGACTTACGCCCATACTTTCGCAGTTACCGAAAAATACATCGTCCTCATCGTCTACCCGTACACCCGCACCTGGGGCGAGGGTCTTAAGCGCCTGGTGCCCGGTTGGCTCGGCATGGGCGGTCACGGTCCGATGGAGACCGACCCGCGCAAGGGCATGTATTTCGACGTTGACGGCGTGACTACTTTCCATGTTATTGTAAGTGTGTCCGTCGACGTAATTCATGTTATGTGATGTCAATTGGCTTACCCAGTATCAATGTTCCTTCCGCGCACAGGATCGCTACCGCCGTGAAGAGATCAGCGTGTACCGCACAGGCCCGATGTTCGCGCTTAACATCGTCAACGCCTTTGAAGACCCGTCCGCCGAGACGGTTTCCATTGACTTGAACTGCTACGATAACGATGAGATCTTGAGCTGCTGGGACCTTGTCAACTTGCGCACGCTCGAGATGCTTCCTTGGCCGGCGGCGACTATCCGTCGCTATGTCTTGGGCAAGCTTCCTGAGGTAGGTAGTCATGCAATGGTCCCGGAAACACATTCGGAGATTTTACATTCAGATATTTGGCTTTTGGTGACGTTCTGCATTGTCTCACCAGACCGCTGCGATCTACAAAGTTGACAAGAGTAAGCTTCCTGAGGTACGTACAAGATCTTCAGCTAGGAGGTTTCGCTGTCGCTGTCTTGAAAGTACTCATCCTCACCTGTCATCCAAAATCACGCAGCCCACATTCACCCATCGCACCGACTACACGCTCGAATGGCCGACCATCAACCCGCACGCTCGCCAATACAACGAGTATCGCTTCGCGTGGGGCCTGAGCATCTCGGCTGCCAAGCGCAGGATGACCAACGTCGTGTGGGACACTATCGTCAAAGCCGACTTGTCCGACAAATCTAGGAGGGAGTGGGCGAGCGACGGTTGCTACCCTGGTAAGCCAAAATGACTGATACCGGATGCAATTTGCCCATAGACATCTTACTTCGATTTTCTCCTCAACTGTCCCGCAGGTCAACCCATCTTCGTCCCTAACCCAGCCTGCCGCGACTTCGTCAACAACCCGAGCAGCGGAGGAGACGTCAACGGCATGCGCACCAAGCTCTCGCCCTCGACCGACTCCTTTGTAGGCGACAACGCGGCGGAAGACAGCGGCGTCCTCCTTAGCGTCGTCTTGGACACGCTCAACGACAACACGTCCTTCTTGCTGATGCTCGACGCGCGCACGATGGAGGAGGTTGGCAGGGCCACGTTGCCGATACACATCCCTTTTGGCTTCCATGGTGAGTATCGACTTGACTTCTGTCGTAGCGCTTTCAACTCGCGTAGATTGCACATCATTGATCCGCGATGGCACGTCTCCGTAATGCCACTTCAGGTGCCTGGACCAATGAACTTCACGGCTGAACACGGTCATTTCTCTTCATCGAGGGAGTCTGCATGCATCGAGGAAGACGGCGTATACCTTGCACAACCTATTGATGGCAGGTCATCAGTTTCCTATTGGTTGATCCTGATCTTCTCCTTCGCCGGCTCGCTCGGCTTATATTGTTTCTTTCTCCTATGAGCGTGTGCTTGTATCCATCTGGTTTTCTCGCATTTTCATTTTGCTTGTTCTGTAACAAAGGCTTCTTCCTTCTCGTGCTCCCGATCGTTGGCATCTCCCTTCTTCTCGAAACTCCCCCTAAGCCGTTCAGCTTTATTTTGATTGAATGATTCCTCATAACGAGCCTGCATCCACTGCGTAGTCCTGAAATTCAATTCGTAAACAAAGAGCGTTACATATACATACGTTACATGGAATAGTGCACAATAATCCTCACCAACGCAGAATGGCATCTTTCGTGGCTATGGTACATCAAGGGCCCTTACGGTCTGATGTACAATACAAGTACAGAACGTCCAGAAATCCAAGTGAAAGAGCAAGGCCACGGTGGGCTTAATGGTACGCATAATACATCTTATTTTTTTGAACCAAAGACTTGAAACACAACTAGACAGCTTTTCATTTTCATAAGTGTCCGCACTTATACATGCTTTAACACGAATTTGGGGTATCTAGCATCTAGTACTCCTCGGCCTCCTCTTCCTCACCCTCGACGGAGTCGGTACCGACTTCCTCGTAATCCTTCTCGAGGGCAGCCAAATCCTCACGGGCCTCGGAGAATTCACCTTCCTCCATACCTTCACCGACGTACCAGTGGACGAAGGCACGCTTGGCGTACATGAGATCGAACTTGTGGTCAAGACGAGCCCAGGCCTCGGCGATGGCAGTGGTGTTGGACAACATGCAGACGGCACGCTGAACCTTGGCCAAGTCACCTCCGGGGACGACGGTGGGAGGCTGGTAGTTAATTCCGACCTTGAAACCGGTGGGACACCAGTCGACGAACTGAATGGTACGCTTGGTCTTGATGGTCGCAATGGCGGCATTGACGTCCTTGGGGACAACGTCACCACGGTACAAGAGACAGCAAGCCATGTACTTTCCGTGACGGGGGTCGCACTTCACCATCTGGTTCGCGGGCTCGAAGCAAGAGTAGGTGATCTCGGCAACGGTGAGCTGCTCGTGGTAGGCCTTCTCGGCAGAGATGACGGGAGCGTAAGTGACCAACGGGAAGTCTGTGGAAGAGAAGGTCGAAATGTAAGGATGTGGTGTTGAGAGAAGAGACGAGAGGGATCAATGATACTTACGAATACGGGGGTATGGCACCAAGTTGGTCTGGAACTCAGTCAAGTCGACGTTGAGGGAACCATCGAAACGAAGGGACGCGGTGATGGAGGATACAACTTGAGCGATCAAACGGTTCAAATTGGTGTAGGTAGGACGCTCAATGTCCAAGTTACGACGGCAAATGTCGTAGATGGCCTCGTTGTCAACCATGAAGGCACAGTCGGAGTGCTCAAGGGTGGTGTGCGTGGTCAAAATGGAGTTGTAAGGCTCGACGACTGCGGTAGAAACTTGAGGAGCGGGGTAGACGGAGAACTCGAGCTTGGACTTCTTGCCGTAGTCGACCGACAAGCGCTCAAGCAAGAGGGCACCGAAACCGGAACCTGTTCCTCCACCGAAGGAGTGGAACACGAGGAATCCTTGAAGCCCGGTACAGTTGTCGGCGAGCTTACGGATACGGTCAAGGACGAGGTCGACGATCTCCTTTCCGATGGTGTAGTGACCACGGGCGTAGTTGTTGGCGGCATCCTCCTTGCCGGTGATCAATTGCTCGGGGTGGAACAATTGACGGTAGGTACCGGTACGAACTTCGTCAACGACGGTCTATGTGAGAAAGGAAGAAGAGCGGGGGGAAATTGAGTCAAGTCTCGCGCTGATAGTGTCGGTGAAGAGCGCAATGACGCGCGTCAATATGGGAAGATGCAAGCAACTTACAGGTTCGAGGTCAACGAAGACGGTACGGGGCACGTGCTTGCCAGCACCAGTCTCGGAGAAGAAGGTGTTGAAAGAGTCATCGCCACCACCGATGGTCTTGTCCGAAGGCATCTGACCATCAGGCTGGATACCGTGCTCTGGGAGATGAAAAGATAGATTGAAAACAGATGAGAAACAATGACCGAGTAAAACAAGCAGAACGAAGTAGGTTGTGAAGGGTTGAAGACGAGAGACTCAAAGGACTTACCGAGGCAGTAAAGCTCCCAGCAGGCGTTACCAATCTGGACACCGGCCTGACCGACGTGGATCGAGATACATTCACGCATGATGAGTGTAGTTTCTTAGGGTAAAGAGGAGACAGAGGGAGGAGTAGAAGGCGAGAGAGCGAAGCGATAGAGTGCTGGTAGTCTTTGTTTCCGGTTATTCGATTCTCCAGTGAGGGAGAGAATCTGCGTGGGAAAAAAAGATTGCCGTGAAGAAGAGATTCCGGACGGGCGCTGGGCAAGGGCGGCTGTATTTATGCGGGAGCCGCGAGGGGGGGGGCGTCTGTTTGGCCTCTCGGACGCTTTGCTGTCGCGCCCCTCCCGTTCTCTCTTTGTTTGGTCCCTTCCCCGTCCCCCGTCGGGCTCAATTCTGATTGCAAGGGGTTGTTCAGCTTTTGCTTACGCGATCTCAATCACGCGCAAACTCCGACCTCGCAGATCAGGGAACCTTGTCCTTGTTAGTCTCGTTTGACTGAATTTAGAGGGTGCACACTGCTCGTCCACCTGCCAGCTCCCATTGCGAGTCAAGAGAAATTTCCGCCCACGCGCCTATTCCCATTGCGAGTCAAGAGAAACATCCGCCCAGGAACTGTTTCCTCTATTCTATGGCGAATCTATGCTTGAACGCCCTTCGCTGAGTGATGGAGCGACCATAGGGAGTGTGACAACCGAGCAACTTTTATGAGCGTCTTTGGTGGAGGCCGTCCTCAGGTTCGGAGGCGGGAGCTTGAAACCTCACAATGTGTTGTTGCATGCAGTCAAGTTTCCCAGCACGCATGTGGTTTGAAACCAATGCCGGTTTTCCATGCTGCCTGCGACGTAAGTTGATGTGTTCAGTCGATTTCGAGCGGAGCAGAAACAACAAGCACGTTTGGCCGAGCGGTCTAAGGCGGCAGCTTCAGGTGCTGTTCTCTTCGGAGGCGTGAGTTCGAACCTCACAGCGTGTACATTTCTTTTTTTTCTTTCTTCTTCCCCAACTTCTCCCAACTAGCCTCGCTCGCACGCCTCCTGAGGGTATAGAGTTCTGCATGCGTCACCATGTACTGAAATGCGGTTCCAAGAGTGTGAACCTCCAAACAGCAGAAGAAGTTTTGGGGACAAAATCATGTAACGGATGATAGGTCACATATATATGAAACCGATACTTGCCCAACGACTGTGAATTCGCTGAGGTTTTCCGGTTGTCTGTCGTTTTACTGCCACAAGTCGCCGTAGGTCGGGAAAGCCCGACTCACTTAGGCCTCGCGTTGCGCTACGCGTCAAGGATGTGTGTGTCCTGCCAAGAGGCAGCAGAGCTTCTGGACACAGACCCTTGCAAGGCTCTCACATATACGTTGAGGCGGACCTCGGACGTTCCGTTCCGGACGTCGCTGCCCGCAGTCCCGTGTATGAGCGTATAATGTTGCAGAAACCAATGCAAATTCGCATTTTAGATGGAAAGTCTTAGTCCATACTTTACAGTGTGTCCTGGGGTATACGCTCAAGAGGTCATCTCCTCCAGGCAGAAGATGAGATCTTCCTTTCGGACAATATCAAAACCTCTGCAATTTGTGAAAACATACGGCAGATGCTCCTTATCCTTTGTAGCAGATGCCGGAGGCCGCCTGAGCAAACCAAGTGGAACAATCCCTTTCTCAATACACCAGAGGACGAGCTCCGCATATTTCTTCCCTATGCACTCCGGCGGGACACGAAGATGTGTTACATGTGTGGAAAGTGCTCGCACCACATCGACGACGTACGGCCGGAAATACGACTGCGAAAGCAATGAGTGCATGAATGACGAGGTTGTGATCATGCCGGCCGCAAAGTGTCGATCAAAATGATAGGCTGGGAATGGCGACACTCCTGTTGCGTTGAGTTCCGCCTCGTCGACGAGTCGTTGTAGGTAAGCAGTTGTCAGCGGTACGGTCGTATCGGGCGCGTTGGCGCCGCTGACGCCTTCCATATCATCGCCGTTTTCCGAGTCCGAATCGAGGTTCACGTCCTCCGGATGAACGGAGTCTGAGGCAAGGCGGGCGGGTATCGAATGATATGTGGAAGGCGCCGTACGATGCGATGGCGAAGCTGGCGTTGCACCCGTCTCAACGGCATTCCCTCCCTCGCCAAGCTCGACCATCCCCATCTCAGCGCCTTCTGCAGCGAACAGTACCGCGCCTTCTGAGTGTGCGCCGGAAGCACTACGTGCTCTTGATGCTCTTGTGTCAACCGGGAACTTGCTCTTCCGCCGTTGCGCTACGGCCTTTGTAGCTTTCGCCGTTGCACTAGCCTCATCATCGTTTTTGCCCATTACAAAGGCCCACAGGCGCCATAAGAAGGTACCCTCTTTAGAAGCGCCCTGTGCGCGAACTTTCTTGTACAATGCAAGCCGATCAGCAATGCTCAATGCGTAATTGTTAAGAATAGACTGCATGCGGAGATTGTCGGCATTCCAATCGGTGTCCTTGGATGAGAAGAACTTCACGTTGCTGCCGTTGGAGAGCTCCACGATAAATGGCGTTTCCGGCCATTCCTGAAGTAGGGGGTCAGTGAGGAGACAAACGACTGATGAACGGAAAAAAAGTGCAATAACTCACTTTCTGGAGCATCTTGACTATGAACACGGAGTTTGCATCGGGTAAGTCAGCGCCGGCGTTGGTCGCCTTCTGATTCTTTGTAAATACAACCATTTTGGAACATCGTTCCACCCCTGCCTGAAGCAGACTCGTCCGTTTGAGCGGGGTCCCCCGGATAATCCAAACCCCGGGATGGCCAAGAATATCTGACCAGATACTATCGGCTGATGTGAGATTCGGGACAGACTCCAGCAAGCAAACGATGGGCGTCAAGCTGGTCGGGCTTCGGGAATTCGGCACAGCGGTGACATTTGAGCCTCTGATGGAACGCACAAAGTGGCGAATGGCTCTGGATGTCATCGCCCCGCATAGAATGATGTGGTTTCCGATAGAGTTCGGCAAAACTTCGCACACTGGCGACGACGAGCCAAACGACGGTCCCGCTGCGACACCTTCGCTTACATTCTGGGTGCTTCGAGTAGGTGTGTAAGACTCCTGTATTCTAGCAAGCGGTGCGGTCTTGAGTATAGGAGTCCCCACCACAACATCCATTTCTTTGCCGAGTTCAGCCAGATTGAGCTCATCGCGCATCGCCGTGTCCTTGTACTCGAGCATGATTCGCAGCATGAGTTCGTCTCCACCCTCCGCAGCGCAAAATGCAATGTCATCGTGCCGGAAGCGATAATCTCGTCCTGGGTTCAACCTGATTGGCTCCGAATTGAAGCCTGCGTTTGCGGACATGACGGCAAAAACAATGGCCCCAAAGCTCATCCACACCTCTCGCACCACATGGTGAAACCGGACTCCAACAAGACCGGACGGTACTTTGAAGGCGTATATCTGATGCCCCGCTCCATGTTGATATTCCGTCGTCCAGTCATGCCCGAAGCCAGGATCTGCGCCACCTCCATACACCAATCCTGAGAGCCCAGCTGCACCACCGATAGGAAGATTCACATTGGCGTGCGTGTCTTTGTACGTATGTACCAGATTGAAGATTAGCGTCAATATGCCCGGAACCAGGCAATTCCTGGCGAGAATCGACATTTTTATTTCATCGATGCACAGAACACGATCGCATCCACACGTTTGCGAGAGATCCTGAGATCGAATATCTTGCACCTCGCCAAAGATTGGCAGACCAGGAAAAGCGTTTTTCGCCACAAGCGCTTGCATAAGAATCTGCGCATCCACTCCTCGCGTCACTCGCAGCTGCTCATCTTCTCCTCCGCCACCCTCCTCGGTAGGTGGGCAGTCCAGATTGAGTAAGAATAATGCCGTAGCAGAATGCGCATGACATCGCTGCAAATCGGTGGCACTCAGAGCTGTCCCGCGCAAATAAACCACGCGATTTCTGTAGAACGGATGCCGCAGTAGCCGCCGAACGTCAAGATTCGGCTCCTCATCGTTGAGAATAACGACGTGACCGTCCGGATCTGCTACGAAATACTCTCGGCAGAAATCAATGACCGCCGTGTATGAGACTGTTCCGCCGAGAATCACGTGGCAGTGCTCTTGTTGCGATTTGTAGTTTGCTCGTTGGTACGATGAGGTGCTGTTATATATCTCTGCAATCTTTCCCGTCTGAATCGGGACGAAGGTGATCACGATGATGATAAGGCATATAACCACGATTCGAGATGGAATAGATGATGGAGTAAGATCTCCAAATCCGATTGTGCTGTCGTTATGAACGATCGGGTTAGCACGGACAAAAGATGAGGGAAGGCTCAACACAGCCATAGTAGGTACCTGAAGGTGACCATGATATAGTATAGACTGTCGTGCCAGTTCTCGAGACTGGCATTGTCAACCGAACTTGCGTGGATCGACTCCAAAGCGTTGATGATACTCGCACTCAGAAACACAAAATTCAGAAAACTCAGTCCTAGTATCGTCAGCTCTCGCTTTTCTTCTGTTTCACTGAAGCTTAGCAGCCGGTATGTCCTCAAGATTCGGCTTGCTCGCAAGATGCGGAGCAGTCCCAAAAACCATACGTATTGAGACGTCTCGCTGATCAGCACGTACACGAAAGGCGGGACGATTGAGAAGAGATCGACCAAGGAGGCGATGTTGAAGTAAAAGCGTAGACGATCTTCCGAAGTGTAAAAGGACAGTGCGTAGTCCATCAGAAACATCGTCGCCAGCCATAGGTCTAGGTACTTGATCAATCTCTTGTCCTGACGTCCAATCGAGTACGTCAAGAGGACGTAATTGACGATGGCGAAGAGTGTGCAGGCAACCTGAAACACCATCCAGATCCGCGCATAGCGGGATGTCTCTATCCATCTGCGCATCGCTTCTGGTGATAAGCGCTCTGACCATGTCTTTCGCGTCCGCCTGCGCAAAATGTGGAAGTAATCCTCAGCTGCATCGAACGGCGCAAAGCCGGTGATGAAACGTCGAGTCGGACTTGGTAATGTAGCTCCATCATAACCGGGGACCGTATCCCTACCACCGGCTTTCTCGAGCTTTCTCTCCGCTTTCCTTGCCTCCTTTCGAATCTTGCGGATGTCTTTTGTGTTGCGGAACCCTCGGTTGATGCTCAGGCCCAACTCCGCAAGAGGGTCGCTGAAAAGGTCTTCATCATAACCGTATATCCGCGCCTGGTAAATGCGCCAGAGATATCTGATGATTCGAACGGTAATGATTGTGGCGGGGATTCCGACAAACGGTGCCCAAAGGATAAAGTTGTACCAACGGGCATCCTGTACGAGCGGGACGTCGTCATCGATACTTGTATCATTCGATAGGAGATTGGTTGTATCAGTCAGGTTGCTCTGGCGAGCAAAAAGGAGTCCGCTCATGCTAGCTGGACGGCTCTCTTTCTGCACCTGCTCTTGTTGGTTCAAGCTTCTGCAGAACACGAAGTCCTAGACGCTGAAAACTGCCGAGGTGTGTTGGTTCTGATCTCCTTCACGAACGCAATAGTGGGCATTGAACCCAGCAAAATTCGACGGCGCGTCTGCCCTTTTGGTAATCCCGACATGCTGTCAATTCCTTGCTGTGCCCCTAATAATTGAGAAACGAAAAGGGTAAATCCGAAACTGGAAGCATAGGGAGGGGGCGCATTACATGCTGGAAAGCACACCCGGATTTGCGTTAAGTGCATTATCAAAGGACAGTCATGACAACAACAACTATACCACCACGACCAGACGGTGCCAGTCTCTTAGCTGTCTTCCCCGCTTCAGAGCTGGACACGATCCCGGCATGTTTTCTCAAAGCTGCAGGGAAAGTTCTGCATAATGACATGGTCCGAAAGCAGCTGCGAATGCTGCAAAAACAACCTGATGAGAGGGTTCCGGCATACTGTTCCCCCGGTGCGGGGGATAAGTTGAACATCATTCCCTCGAATCCCCAGACGAAGCTTCGACGGATAGGACAGCTGTCGCCTTTGCATCAGCTGAACATAGCTTCCCTTGCTGCTGTGGATGTGAGTTTCCAGCTTGCGGCGATTGCGTCGAGTACCGGTCTGGAGCACATACGGTGACGGTGATCTGACTAAAACCTTCGATGTCAACCTACAGAAACAGCACATCATCCAGCGGAAGCTGAAATATCCGACTCCAAATGCAGCAGGTAGGCTGTGCGAGGGGCATTCTTCCGAGGACTTTGCAGAGTGTTAAGCATGAACCATCCAAAGCAAAGGAGACTGGGACGGCGGAACCCACTGTTCTCGGGCGCCTGAAAGAAATAGCCACTGGCATCGAGACTCTCTCCTGGCTCAGCACAGCTGAAAAGCAGCAAATGGTAAAGCTCGCTCAGTCCCGACCTACAATGAACCACACTCTGAATCCTGATAGCAGCCTCCCAGACCAATGCCTTCATCATCGAACTCGCCATTCGGTACAACGAGCTGAAGGATTTGGAGCAACCTACGTTAAGCCCATTTCAGAACAAGACCATAGCCATGTGTATTATGGATCACATTGGCCGGCTCAAGGACACGATTTTGGAAAGATGCTTTAAAAAAAAGATGGGTAAGAGGCTGACTACCAGGCTGTTTGGCACATCTTGAAGTTGATCCTTACCGACTCAGCTGCATCATCTCGGTAGAAATGAGAGAAGTGAATGCGTTTGATCAGACGATGAACTCGGGGAGACTTTGCGCATTTTTTCGAACAGAGTTCAACCGCCGGTTGGTTTCCTTTGTTTTCTGAAGGTAGCCGGGCGGACACTCATCGCCAGTGATGCTCGCATAGTGTTGATACGCACCGGATCCTAAGGAATGTATTGGTCGAGACCGACTTCGGTAACACCCCGCCAGATGAGACGCTCCGCATCAAACCAAGCGAGCAACTCAGGAGAGAGGTTCTGGAGGTAATGAGCGCATGGGACTCATCTCTTTCGTCAGAAGGACGTCTGGGACGACAATCCGTGGTCGTGGACTACACTGAGACTCACAATCAACAGGTACAACAAGCTATCGAGAACATCACCCACCCGCAACCTGCCCTCAACCCACCCACCCTGCTTCTCAAACATCAATCGGAACTCATTCGCCGCACCATGCGCGAGGAAAGCAAGCTGAAGGCTTCCTTCGAAGACGGTAGCGCGGGAGGCTGGCGAATCGGTTCCCCAGGTCGCCAACGTACCGGACAGCCCACCACCTCACTAATCACCGGGCGCCGAGTCTCCCAAACCCAGCGTCGGCGGTCCGACAGTGTGTGGCGACGGACTTCTGCTGGAACAGAACGCGGCGCGAGACTCGATCACCCTGCGAAGACACGGATTTGGGAGATGGAGGAAGAGACCGGCGTAGAGGCTTTGGGGGAAACAGAGTTGAGTCAGACCTTGAGATACACCGATATTGAGGATGATGATTTGGATAAAGCGGCGCTGGCGAGCGTGGAAGCCGAAAACCCTGTTTTACAGGGATTTACTGGTGTAATTGGATATAGCCGACGGAAGGATACGCATGAGCCGGTAAGCAGTTTTCCTTACAATAATGCTGGCCGGGCCGTGAGAGAAAGAGGACGAGGCTGATTGTTCTTGATCTTCCCAAACAGCCATTGCCTCCAAGACAACGATATCTTCCGCCATGCAAATATCGCAAACGACACTTCACTGACTTCGACTACTCAAAGTTGGACGCTGTCGTAAGTTTTCATCTTGTGCGATGATATTCTCTGCAAGACGAAATCGGTAATCTTTGCTATCCCCATCAGCCGCTTCCCGCTGAGGTGACCGATAAAAGCACCGTTCCGAGTTTCATCAACCGGATGAACGACGAAAGTGTACGTACTCTCTGATTCGTGGTAGACATTCCCCCATCGTGCATCTGATGTTTGCTTATCACGTTTGCAGGGAGATATGAGACCACTTCCGTCAGGAGTCTCCGAGCGAGCACCCAAATCCATCATAACGCTTGCAGCCGAGCCTGCGACCGCGGTGAGCGAGTTCGGAGCCGAGAACGATGCCGAGAACTCCATGATGCGGCATGTTGGTGAGTCTCTCCTTCTCGTCTCGTGCTTGTAGTCCCCTATTTACAAACAACCATCTGACGCCGCACAGACGAGAAACTGACCCGAACCAAAGAGGTTGAAGAGCTGTACGAGGAGATCATGAGAACGGTGAAACGAACGCACTTGGACCCGTTAGCATGTGAGTACCTCGTCAGCCTGCATGTGCCCTGTGCAGGGTAGCATCCTGAGTAGTTACGATGATACATTCATAGCCGAAGAGGAGGAGCGCACCATGTGCCCTGCAGCTCCAATCGAACCACACATTCCCAAGCCTTGGCTTTGGCAGGGACTCAACGACCCGGCTCAAATACCGCCTATGATCACGCTGGCAACAACACCCCTCAACATACTAAACGCGGCAGCCGGTACGGGAGGGCACGGTGGGAGAGGCGGCGCACAAGGTCGTATCCGCGCACGCGACCATCAACAAGATGGGAAAGGAACATCTCTTCGAACGCGTCCTTCGGAGGTTGCAAGAGACCGTGAGGCGGCGACACGCAACGCCCCACAGGCCTCACAGTACCACGGGCCGATCCCTTACGGCTACGGAGGATTTATGCCTAGTACCGCATCGATGACCCGGATCACCCGAGACACAACGTCGTCGAGCTCCCCAAAGACCGCAGGCGCAGCCTCCGCCGACGCCCCAACGCTTGAAGAGTATTTCAACTATCTTCGCATACATAAAACGGATTTCATCTTCGATCTGATCTATAAGGAAGATGAGATTGCGGAGGCTAAGCGAAAAGCGGCGGAAGAGGCGGAGAGGTTGCGCAAGGCGGAGGAGGAGATGAAGCGGCGGGAGAAGGAGAGAAAGGAGAGGGAAGCGCAGAGGAAGGTGATGCTGAAATATGAGCGCGGCGAGTGGAATCCGCGGATCATTGATTTCATGCGAGAGGTGCATGATGCGTCTGGTGGCGAGCCGGAGCTGGTGGACGGATCAGAGGAGGGCCCGCTGCCCGCAGGCGAGCAAGGACCGAACGATATTCAGAAACAGAACGCAGCAGAAGGAGCTGTGACGGGCACCGCTACAGAGTAGGTCCCGGCTCGTTCTTCCCTTGAGTTCCGTTCCCACTTTCTGAAGCGACACATCGTCTTTCCCGTAGTTCTACCGCGCAGGAGTCTGTCCCGGAAGGCACAGAAAGGGAACAGCCAGGAACAGCAATTCCTGCCGCAGATTTGGCGACACAGCCGTCTGCACCACCAGCATCGCAGCAGCAGCAGCAGCAGCAGGAACCAGCCGAAATCACACCCGCACGCCGCCCGGCATCCGTCGACATCCACAAAATGCAATCCGAGCTTGAGCATCTTTGGGTCACGTTGAAGATGCCATTGGACCAGAAACTTGATATGGCGATCAAGTACGGTGATCATAAGTTCGCTGCCAAGTTGGAGATGGTGAGTTTCGTCAGTAATATTTTCGGATATGTCCGTGTCGTGTTCGCAAGTGCGCTGATGTTACTGCCCGGAAACCTGTAGGCCATCGGATTATGGAAAACTGTGTCCGAACGTATCATTTCTCGTGAGGAGCTAATGAAACAAATTGAAGTGTTCGAAAGATACGCCTCTGACCCCGAGTACGTGACGCTTTCTGCGGCACGTTTTCCCGAGTCTCTCTCCAACCATCTGCGATCCTTGCATCCTCACCCACCCATTCACTCTCATCACCTCTAGACGCTTTTTCGTACGTGGCGCCGAAGGATCCTCCCATGCGCGTCTCAAAGAGTCGAAAGAACGGGAAGATCTTCTTCGCCAGTTACATCAGCTCGAGGCGCGGATCGATGAGGTCATCAACCTCATCAAGGTCGAGCTGAAGGAAAGTGTGACGTATGAAGGTAAGATACGATTGAGGCTTTCGCGGTTCCCGAGCAGTTCTCCACGCAATCGCGGAAATCCTGTGCGCCCTTTCAGTGGCCGGACCTCGTGAGAGAGGAATTTGCGAATTTCGTGGAAAAACAAGAGCTAACAGGCCTTTTTTCGATCTCGTCACATCACGCGAACATTCTCTGTCGCTCACGCCTCCAGGCATCCCATACCGAGTCAAGATGCGAATGGACTACACGGAGCTCATCAAACGGCTGCAGCGGGAGAGGCAAGCCTCGAGACAAGCGACGTCGCCTGGTGCAAGTTTAGATCCACGCAGCAGTTAGCTGCCTATCTGTTTGTCGTGCTTGATTAGCACTATGAGTGAATGTATATAGGCCAAGGAGATTGAGATCCCGCCATTGAGAGCAGATAATGTGCGCACTGGAATTGAATACCGGAAGGTTGTGTTCAATCACTCATTGTGCGTCGTCCAGCGTGAGCTTCTGAAGACCTTTCCTTTGCTGGGAGGTCATCGAACTTGGAAGCACTCGCTTCAACGCGTCAAACACGTCCACGTCACCAGCATTTTGGTTTTTTGAGACTCCCCTGCCATAAGTAACCAAGCACTTCGCTGGGAACCGGGGCAAACCGTATCAAAGGGCCCGGATGAGGGGGCGGAGCGGCGGCTGATGGTTGCTAGGTTGCTGAATCGTGAAAAGACGTTGGTGTATGCGGGGATGCTGAGAGACGGGTTGGTGGAGTGCGGCGTCTGGAGGCCTAGGATTGTGCGGTGGGGTTACAAGGCTTTTGAGAGGGGCTTCATACTTCTGAGAAATGTGGCCTGTAGACATAGAGTAGTAAAGATCGCCGCATATCTAGACAGACACCTATGCACAATGCTTTTCCAAAAACATTACCGATAGCTATCCTTTGGCTACAGCTAAATCTACATACACTCCGGCACTTCAAAAAAAAAACCACTCATTGGCAAAACCTTCAATTCCACGCGTATCTGATCGTTCATTGTCAGCAACTCCATATGTGGGCCTGCCAACTCGGCCAGCTCCGTGATTTGCGTCTGCAGGGATATGTCTGCTCGTGTGAGGGCGTCGAGTTGTTTTTGGACTTGAGGGGTAAGTTTGGGTGCTAGCGCGGTGGTGGGGGGTTGTTGTGGATGCGGAAAGGGATGGGGGTGGGGATGAGGACCGGGAGCGGGACCTGGGGGCTTGGCGGGGGGCTGTATGAGTATTGTTGTTGTTGTTTGCGAGGGCTTCGACGATGCTGATGTTGTGTTGTAAGGGTGCCAAACTGTGACACACGGGATGGGCAAAACTTCCAAGTCGAGCGGTGACGGCGCAAAGGCTCTATGGGTTGGGAACGAGCCTGCCGCAGAAACTTAATACATTCCCATCCAACGACCAACAACACATACATATACACCATAGAACCTCCCACACATATCTCCATCTTCCGATCCCCATCGACTGCTTACTATCTAAACGGACACCCCAACTAACCCCATGAAATAAATAACAGTCCAAATGCCAAAACAGTAAAAGGCCAGGGGTGAATACGCCGATTGATACAGCAACAAGAAATACGCCGTGTTTTCGTTTCCGGGTAGAGCAAAGCCAAAAGGAGGTAGATCATTCAAAAACAGGTTAGATGAGGTAAAAAGTCGTCCAGTCCGTGAGGTATCATCGCGTATGCCGGATGTGCGTCGATATCGCCGTTTCGAATGATCATCGGTCCGGCGTCGCAACATCGGCACCCTGCTCCAGCTTAATCCCAACCACAATCTTCCCATCGGCAATCAAACACACAACCGCCCAATCCTCCTCATCCATCACATCAATCGTACTCCCCTCCTCATCACGGTACGTCAGTCCCAAAATCTTTCGTTCAGTCTCGCCCTTCCCCTCGCCGAAGAACTTGTCCTGCAACCTGTTACACACGACCTTCAAGCTAGTCGTCCTGCTCACTTTCAGCAAGATCGTGACACCGTCATGCTGCGCTTTCACATGCACGAAGTGTTTGAGGACGCTATCCGGGGTTGATGTGATCGTGTGCGAGCGGCGGAGGGCGACCGCTTTGTTGCTTTTGTTGCCGAAAGGTGAGGATGAGCGGGGTGATGACGGGGTGTTTAGCGTCGTGAGGGCTGATGAGGAGGCGGAGTGCGGCATGCCCGGCCGCGTGGAGAACCTCCCTGGTCCCGGCTGTTTGAGGGAGTCGTCCTGGGAGGCATTGCGGTGTCGCATGGAGAAGGACCGCGCGAGTGTGTTCTCAAGCGGGCCTGCGCTGCGTGGGCCGCGTGACATCGATGTGAAGGGTGATGGGGACCGGCGCACGTCGAGCTTTGCGTTCATGGTGCGTGCTCGCATCAAATTGGGTGGTTGAGTGTAGCGCACTTCTTTGCCAGCGGCGTTTCGCATGGGAGAGCTTGATCGAAGAGGTGAGTTCGACCGTGGTGGGGCCGAGAACGGAGCAGGTCCGGCGGCGGGCGCAACCGGCGGTGTCGCGGCAGTGGTATCAGTGTAAATAATCCCGTTCTTCACGAAACTATCCGTCCGCTTCAGGCCCCCATCGGCACCAGCTGCGGTGGCTAGAGGACGGTTCCAAGGCGGGATGGAAGGGTCGTTCGGGTCGAAAGGCGCGATTGGTTTTCCACGTTTGCCTATCTGCGTCCTCGTCCGCGAGAGTAACGACGGTACGCGATGCAATCCCAGTTCGCCACTTGCTTTCTTCAATAGCGACTTTGCACTCATAGTCTCCGGGCTCGCGGGCACAGCAGACGTATCCTTGTTCAATGCATCGACAGTGTCACTTTCCTCCTCGGCATTGCTAACAGCGAGGTTGGCAGCGGCAGTGTCCACCGTCACATTTGCCGTCGGGGCCGTGTTTGCGCGCTGAAGAGTCGTAGATCCAAAGTAATCCAACAGCGGTCGAGGACTGAGACGCTCTTTGCTCTTCGACCTCTTCAGCGGGCCTATATCAAACGTCGTAGTGGTAGGCGACGCATCTTTACTGACTGTCAGCCTAGACCGCAGTGGCATCTCGGGTACTTCTTCAGTATCATGAGTCATGATCTCCAGGTCGGGCGTGCTTTTATTACGCTTGAAGAAGCTCAACGGGCTCGACTTTCGAGAGATTTTCCCAGATCGAGTGCTGTCCTGGCTGGACCGCGACTTTAACGACTCTTTGGTGGCCGCCATCGCTTCTTTGACGTTCGGATGCACAAAGTCTGCAGGTGGTGACGGCATCTCGCGGGGACCCAGAGCTCGCCTCATTGGCGGCTCCAAGCGCGAAGGAGACGACGATGAGGTCGAAGACCGTGGGCTCGACGTTGACGAGTGGCCCGGAGAGTCCGGAGCGGGTGACTTCGGGTCGCTACTGCCACTACTCCGCAACGAGAAAATCGCTCTCCTTTCCTCTGTGCTTTTCCTCGTCAGAGATGGTTTGCTCTCTGCAAGATCCCTGAATGGACTAGACCTTTTCCTCTGACTCGGCGACCGTGCCGGTGTGCTTCTACCACTGCCAGGCCCATCACTGCTAATAGGTGATTGCAGCTGTTGGTCTTCCTTCTCGGTCGAAAGAAGCGGCGCAGATTTCAATTTGTACAGTTCCTCGTCTGACGGGCTGTTCTGCGTCAAGATGGTGGCGGACAGCGCTACGATCGTACGCTCCAGAGTGCCGACTCGGATCGGTAAGGACGGCTTCGACCCTGAAGCCCATTTGTGCGAATCTCTCCTGACCGGGATCGATGGTGTGCGTGGCAAGGACGGGATGCCTGCAGGGAGGATGACGGAGAGTTTTGAGGATGGTATGGATATGTCATTGAGGTTCAGATGGTTCTGTGGTAAGGACGGTCGTCTCCGGAGCGGGCCGACTGGAGTCTCCCCATCCTCAGGGATCGCATCCGTTCGACCTCTACTCGGTGTCCTCATATGCATTGAAGCGGGTGCGGAGCGGCCCGACATGAAGTCGGTGAGCAGCCGGGATTGACGTTTCACTTCAATCGGTTTTAGCCAGTCCTCATCCAATGCAACATCCTCGTTGTCTGTTGTAGAGTTGCTCTTGTGCTTGTTCCGATCGGACTTGTTGCTCGACTTTCTGCTGAGGGAACGCTTTGGGAAATACTGCAATTCGGCACGAAAGAGTGAGAAATGAGGACCAGGGAAAATACACTGGATTCACTTTTGAACTTACGGAATCGGTCTTTTCAAGCTCCGGCTCCTTGATCTCCACAACAGCTGGTCCGTCCGAGCTTGCGTCCATGGGCCATTCCCCGAAAAACTCCGCCAACAGGATATTCCTCGTCACCCATGGCGACAGTGTAAAGAGCTCCCTCACATACTGGTCCAACCTCACAACTCTCTCCTCACACACCGCCCTGGTCACGAAAATCTTGCTTTTCGGCAGCCGCGGCAAAGCCTGTCCAGGAGCCAATTGCTCTGGGTTCTTCTTCACTAGGGCCATAAATGCGTTGTGGAACTCCACAAAGTGCTCATACCGCCGCCTGACCACATACGGCGGTGGGCGAGCTAAAACTCTCCCTAGTGTGCTTCCGGGAGTCCCAGGAGGAGAAAGTGGGGAGAGCGGGATATCCAGTGGTGAGCGGTGAAAAGGGCTAGCTTGCTTTGCGCTGGTAGCTGCCCAACGAGAGGAAGTGACATTTGCGGGTATGATTTGGAGTTTGAACCATATTTTGCCGTCCTCGTCAGACTTTTCGTACGAGCCTACGCGGGCGGTCTCAATATGCGGGGCAAGCCGCACGGCAGGGGTGAGTGGCCGGTGTGCCATCGCGAACGGTATCTATCTCCGGTGTGATGTCAGGCGGAGCCTCCCCGAGTCCGCTGTGAGGAAAGTGAGTCTGTTGCAGTGATGGCAAGCAAGGCTATGAGGTGCAACTGCGTGGGAACTATCCCAATTGGGTCACTGTTATATGAACGCTGTAGCTCCGGCTGTGAAATGGACGCCGGTGGCGGCTGCTGCTATAGCTGGTGGCTGTCCTCTTCCTCTAATAGTTACTGTATGTACGGGCGGTAAAAGCAGCGTAAGTGCTGTATATGTAAGTTCTGTGCGTTCCAAAAGCCAGTCTCAACCCGCTAGTCCCGCTGGTTTGTTCCGCCCGTCGAACTTTTGAGAATGAATTGATAAAAGTTGTTGGACCGTTGGAGCGTGCTGGGATCTGTGTGGCGTGGGGTTGGTTGGGGGGGTACGTTCCACAAGTTGCTCTTCCATGCCCCTCCCCTGCGCAAAGGAAAGGACCAAGAGAAAATATCGTATGGCCGTCATCATCAACGCAAGCCGAACCGTGGGATACGTGCGGGTTTCGGGCCCGGTAAGCGTACGCAAGTAATTGAAGTTGATCTTGAGGCTGCTGGAAGTGTTGATAACTCGATGCGGATGATTCATCATCATCTGTCTGATGAGTGGAATCCAGTTGGAGCCTGAGGAGCATCACCGGAAACCAGTGTTGAGGGAATCTTGACTTTTTTTGTTCATATGTCGCATGTCAAGGGACGGTTTCCAATGCTCGAAATGGCGTGTTTTACACCGTGACCCGATACTTCGGTAAGTTCCAAAAGACAGCCCCGATTGGCCCCAAGCCTTTTTTTTTGAAAGAAAGAAAAGAGCGGGGGGCAACATCGTCTTGCTCTCTTGCAAAGTCACTTCAGGTGCGTCGAAAGCCTACGCAGGTGCGTCGAAAGCCTACGCATTTCTCGGTCATCAAGATTGTCACGGTTGCCCAACACAAAATTCGCACTCGACGAATCCCGGGAAGGCACTCCAACAAGGGTATTACAGCATAGATGGGCAATAACTTTTCGGTCAACTGGATTTGCTGCAAGGAACAGAAACGCAAGTATCAACCTGAATGCCAAGAAGTGAAGGAACTTCTCCAGGAAAAAGAAGCGCTCCGCTCCCAACTGAGGAACCGTGACACCGAAATCCGCAACCTCAAGGCCGAATTAAGAAAGCAGAAGGTCGTAACGAGAAAAGCGAAAAGCGAATTCCAAATGTTGCAGCTTGCTGGGATCCACATTCAGAACGAACTAGCCGCTATTCGCCCGCTCGCTGCAGGCACAGTCAGAACGCTCGCGGTCATCCACCTACAAACACGGTTAGCTGCACTTCCGGCCCTCGATGATATAGGCTTGGATTTCCCTGATGATCGATGCAGTCCGCGTTTGCTGCCTGCGGGTGCCAAGCGTTTGCGGACCGTCTACGAATGAGTTTCGACCCGCTGAGGGGGATAGGAATTCCTTGTGTATGGAAGCCTACTCCGGCAGAGAGTCGAGAGAACCTAAAGGAAAAGTGCCACGCTTAGTGAAAACAGAACTTTATAGACCAAAGTATCTCGCCGGGCGACAGTGAATAAAAGCCAAGGAAACCGAGGCAGACACGGCATAGACAGACAACTAACTACGCGATGTGCCGGCTATGAACACATCATAGCGACAGTCATGCAGAGATATTCAGACACCGGATAACCACGTGGCGATGTGGACCGGGGAGCACAAAACTTCCTGTGACTGGCGAATATCGAAGATACCAAGGCGGTCGACGATATTTCTCGACCGCATTGCTCGACGGAGGCAGGACATCTCGAAACGTACCGAAACGTACCTTGATTACACCATCATCCTCGGCCATGATAGGACACTAAGGATGGGCGATGTCCCGCAACCACCTCAGGCCGGTGATTACTGTCCCGTTCCCATCTTAAGGAATCCGGATACACGTAGAGAACGACTGTTTTGGCACCGATCCAAGCTGGACTCGTCAGCCGGTCGAATCGCGGTAGCCGCCGTCGTTTGTGAATGTACTATTCAGACGCAGGTAGAATGACTCGTGCTGCCATCGTCACGGGAGCGGTTGCCCTGTGATTGAGAGAGGTGTTGTCTGAGGAGGACCCTGCGCGTTTCCTACCTGGCTGATGGCGCCTACCACACACATATACATAAAGGACACCATTGGCTCCACACTGGTTGCATTCGTGGCTTCTCACAAATTTCAATGCAATGATACAACCGTCCAATAAGAGATCTACTTTGACTTCGATTTGGTATTTATATATGTCTCCCCCAAATCCAAACATCGCAAGAATGCCGGGTACATCAAGAAATACCCCACAGCAACAGCCGCAACGACGTTCAGGCCGACAGGAACGGTGGACATTGGAATGGCGCCCAACAAAAGGCGATCTAACGCTAAGGCGTAAGGTACAACCAGATCTGAGCTCTCGCTGTAGGATACACCCGCAGCTATTGGCCCCAGCTTTAAGTATAGTATATCTGCCGATCCATCCCGCAGTAAATCCATTGACCAGTCGGCAGGTGTGATGGCAGCCCAGCATACGCGCACCTCATAGGTCTGGTGCGGTATCAACGATTGCGGGAGCTTGAACACTCTCCAACTATTGGCAATTGCTACTGCGTCCAGATACTGACATCCCGCTTTGTGCTTCTGCTTTGCAACCAAAGACCCATAGACGTATGTTGTCCCAAAAATCGAAGCCGGCCCATTCAGCTCTGTGACGGCAACATCCTCTGATATGTTCCACCGTCTGAAGATGGCCGACACGTTCTCAAGAGATTGTGTTTTCCTTGGCGAAAAGATCTTTTTCTCTACGTTTGCTGAAACTGTCGATACCAGCATACAGAGCAACAGCAGCCGCAACCACAGCCATCTAGAAGGAGACGACCTCCTCGTTGGTATGGTTTGATACGTCATTGAGGAGGGGAGTTTCTCTGGGGACCAAACGATGAGTCAGCCAAAGTCCACGAGGAACCGAGAAAGCTGTTCAATGGATAGCTCGGCGCAGGACGTACTGTACTTGGGAGGACGGAAGTTCCTTTGCTAAGGATCTCTCCTGAGCTCCAATGAGCTCCGATGTCCATGTCCAGACTGTCCCGAGTCTCAAAACGCGTGTGCCAGAAAAGTGGGTTCTCCTCTTCTCACGCTGCTTCTCACGCTGCCTCTTGAAATTCCGGTCGCACACGTAACAAGTGTCCCTCAGCATCAGCAAGCACAAGCGGACTACCGGAAAGCCACGGTTTCGACATGAGCAGCACTGTAAAGGTATCGTCATGCTTGTATCGTCGCCTGTACCTGGCACGGAGGTCCCGGCATCGGCCACCGGGGTGTTGGAGACAGTCCACAGCATTTCTTACGAGCTTTCCTCTCGGTCTGTCAATACGAACACTTGCCACGCATGCGCAGGTTATTGCCACGCATAGCGGCACGTAAGTTGTCTGTTTGTCGGAAGGAATTCCTTTTGTGGCGAACGCAGTTGTTGAGAAACTTTCCGCATTGACAGCTTCCACGCCGATGAGTCCCTGGCGGTTTCCATGTTGAAGTGAGTGCCCTCAAACCTCTTCGAGAGCGGATTTAGTTCAGTTAACTTATCGTAAAACCTTGCTAGGCACCTCCCTGAGTACATCGATGCCGGTAATACATCAATGGACCCAGAAGTGGCTGATAGACCGGCATTAATGACAATCGCACCTTTCCAGATATCGTCCGGTCCCGTGATCCAGCCGTCTTGGCGAAGGCCGACATCGTCGTTGATGTTGGTGGTGAATATGTGCCCGAGAAGTTCCGGTTTGACCATCATCAACGTGGATTCACGCAGACTTTCGGCCCGAGCTATGACATTCTGTAGGTTCCTACACGCTGTTGTCCGCGGGACCATCTCATTTGACACCCCAATGAGTCTCATTCGCGATCACTTTTCAGGTTGTCATCCGCTGGCCTTGTATACAAGCACTTCGGACGTCGGGTAGTGGCTGAGATCTTGGGATGGACCAACGAAGACCCCCGCCTTGACGTTGTGTACCAGAAGATCTACGACGATTTTGTCCTCGCTGTATGCATGCGCCTGCCTACTTCTTGATAACCGAGAAGATGACACTAACGATCAACCACTACAGTTTGACGGCATTGACAACGGTGTATCGCAGTACGACAACTCCATCAAGCCAAAGTACCGCGACCCTACCAATGCTAGCTCGCGGGTTTCGAAGCTGAACCCTTGGTGGAATGAGACGAATGTGGACTATCAGGAACGGTTCTTGCAAGCCGGTGAGATGTCTGCCTGATGGTTCATCAAAGAGGGTTTCGATGCCTTCCTCGGATGCCTTTGCTGACGTGGGGGTCTTTTTCTCTCGGAAGTCGCCATGGTTGGCGCTGAGTTCAAACAACGCGTAAGCTGCTTCCCAACTCCTGGTCCCTCCCTTGACAATCGTACTTATCGCGCGAACACCCGATAGGTACTGTACACGGCCATGGCATGGCTTCCCGGCCGCGAGCTCGTCGTGAAGGCGCTCCAATCCCGTTTCGAGCACGACCCAAGCGGCCACATTGTCGTCCTGGACCAGTTCTGCCCCTGGAAAGAGCACCTGTACGCATGCAGCGGAGCAAAGCAGTGACATTGTTTGCAGCTGGAGCTCATTCCATTTGTGGTTGTGGTAGGCATTTGCTGGAAGAGGAGCAATCTATCGCGCAGGATAAGAGGCCGATTTACGTGCTTTATGAGGATGATACCGCCAAGCAGTGGCGGATCCAGGCTGGTGAGACCTCGTCATCGCGTTTGTTTACGTGTTCGTCTCTACTGGAAACCCACTCACACCCGTCCTGTACAGTGTCCGTAACCCCCGACTCATTCCAAAGCCGGAAGGCTCTCCCTGAACCCTGGAGAGTAAGCGCCCCCCCATCCCTCCAGTCGGCATCGCAATTCTGAAGCACTGATCTCATTTGTCCGCTCTTCTCCAGGGAATCCGCGACCAGGCGCTCAGCGACCTGACCGGTATCCCCGGCGGTGTCTTCGTGCACGCTAGTGGGTTCATTGGTGGCAATCAGACAAAGGTATGGTGATCATACCGATAAGTAAGGGCGGGGGCGTTTGACGACTGATCGTCTTGTTCTACAGGACGGTGCGATGGAGATGGCGAAGAAGGCTTTGGCTTTCTAGAGTTAAGAGTTGGTACAGCTGACGATGGTGGAGACATGGGGGCGATCTGCCGGTCTCTGGGAAATGATATGTTGTAGACTTGCAGTCCGTTGCCGTATGAGTTTGAACGACGTATATGGGCGATGGTATAGTCATGGCATTCGTAGCGCAGATCTATGTAGAATCTCGTCTTCACGTGCATGTCAACGGGTCGCCACGGGCAAACTGTGGGTCCGTACTGTATATACAATATCTACCAAGCTACTCTATCCTAAACTTGCATCTTATCCTCTGGTTCAATCGCCATAACCGACTCGCCTTGCCGGGCTTTCTTACCCGACACTTCGCTCCGTTCTCTCTCGCTCGTAGGTGGCTCTTTCCGTTTTCCACCGCCGCCCTGTCGCTTCCCGTCGGTTCCTTCCCCACCCACCGTACCCTCTTTCTTCCCGCCTTGATTCTTCTGCTGCTTCTGTTGTTTCCCTGTTCCCTGGGCTTTCCCCTGGGCTTTCCCCTGTCCATCACTTTTCTGCACATCATCATCTGTACTTTTTCCCTGTTTTTCGGGCGCGGTGGTGACAGAATCCCCTTTCGATGTCGCGCCCTGACTCCCTTTATCGCCCCTATGTCCTGCCTGATTCCCTTTCCCGCCCCTTTGCGCTGATTGATCACCCCCGCGACCTTTGCCCCTGCCACGCAGTGGCGCTGTTGTCCGGAAGGTTTTGATCTGGGTTGGGAGGTAGATCCCTTTCTCGGTCGTAGCCGCCGTTGGTGCGGCGGGAACTATGGTTGTTGGAGGAGGGGCGCTTGCGGGCGCTTCGTCCGGTTTCGCGATTGGCGGTGGTGGGAGCCAGGGAATGACCGGGGCCTCAACTTTCGATGCGACAAGAGTACAAAACGCGTCGAACTCTGGTGAGTTCTTCTGCAGGAATAGCCAACTTGTCAGTAGATGTCCGCAGACCATAGAAGAAAGCGATGCTTATACGCACAATGATACCCAGCGCCCCACAGCTCTTCATTCCCAGGGCATCTGCCAACCGCGCTTGAGCACCTTTCGCGAGCGGACACAGCCGTATGTCGCCGCCGGCGAGGTAGGTCAGTGTGGGTATATGCGCGTAGAGGTTGACTGAGGGCATGTCGCCCGTGCATAGAAATATGAGGCGGAGGTTGACTGGGTCGGACGTGCCGGTTTGTGAGGGTGAGATTGTTGATGCACGCGTAAGCTGTGTTGATATGGTGTTCAAACCGAGCATGATGGATTTCATTATTGAGGGTGGTGGGACGGTATCGGGGGCCGTCGCTGCTTTCAGTGAATCGAATGGGACATCCGGAAGTGGTCGCGAACTCGGAGAGCCCGCAGTAGTATTTCTCACATCCTTCTTTTTCTGCTTCTTCAACAGCTTTTGGGCGGCCTCCCTCTCCGCCAGCGTTTGCGGAAGTGCCGTCTGCGGTGCAGGTGTCGCACCGGCGGCTGATATTTGGGTGGCATCAGCAGCACTTGGAGCAGATGCCTCTTTCTCCTTCGCTAACTTCGCAAGCGCTTTCGCCTTTTGGCGAGCGGCTTTTCTCTCTCTGGCACACTCGTGCCGTGCTTGGGTGACGGCGCGGCGATGGGTGCCGATAGGAGCCAGCAGACTGTCACAAAGAGAGATGTCAGGGGAGAATAGCTTTCTCCGGTTCGGCACGCATTCGACGCACCTGCATAACAGCTCCATTATATCTTGGTTATCGGCCTCTGAGAGCGTTGGCCTGGAAACAGCGAACCGTCGTCAGAAATCCCGTCACGGCATCCACTAGCTTGGAGAGAGTCAATACCAACCACTTGTAGTTAAACGGCGACTCGAGAACATGCTTGAACACTGCCCTCCTCCCTTTCTCTTTCAACGCCGTATCGTTGTCCTTCGGGTCATACACATATCCGGGTTGCTTTTGAGGACCGCGTCCGGAACTCGCGGTGCTCCCCTTTGCAACCTTGTTGTTGCTTGTCATCTCTCTCTTTGATAAAACGAGGGGACAGTTGGAAAGGATGGTTGAGTGTTTCCGATGCGCTTTAGTTTGTAGCGAGTCCACATTTACTGCTTTTCCGAAGCACCTGGTTGAGTTGGAAGCAATAACAAGTGAGCGAAGGAGCAGGAGGGAAGGTCGCTGGTGGAGGTGTGGCGCACGGCGTGGCTTGCGCGTCCCAACAGTGACTTCCCTCAATTCACATTCGCACAGCTTTGTCTTTCGAAACTCCAAACCTCCAACTCCGTACAATCGACGAAAGCATTGGCGACAACAATCTTCGACGATTCCACATAATCGGGGACACAGGAACGGTCACTGCAACGAGATAGTGTCACTCACTTTTAGTAGTGTCTTAATTCTTCACCTGTTGTCGTCTACGCAAATCGGCGTCTCAACACCACAATGGGCGAGGAAAGACCCCGTAAGAAGACCAAGACCGAAAAGTCTTCGAAAAAGCAAGAAAGCGATGCGGACGCCGCTCAAAACAACCCATATCTTGCGCATCTCAATGTCCTCCCTACGCTAGTCCCCGGCAAAACCACGGCAGCAATGGCAGAAGCCCATGAGAACGGCGACGTCAACCTCTTTACCGGCAGGCCGTTCACACAGAAGTACCGCGACATCCTAGTAGGGCGTCGGAAACTCCCAGTGCACAAGCAGCGCGACGATTTCCTCAAATTGGTGCACAACAACCAGATCGTTGTATTTGTTGGAGAGACTGGATCAGGAAAAACGACGCAGATCCCGCAGTTTCTGCTGTATGACGAGCAACCGCAGCGGAATGGGAAGATGATCGCTTGTACCCAGCCTCGTCGTGTTGCCGCGATGTCTGTTGCGAAACGTGTGGCTGACGAGATGGATGTGCAATTGGGAGAGCAAGTTGGATACAGTATCCGTTTCGAGGATTGCACAAGCTCCTCCACCTGTCTCAAATACATGACGGATGGTATGCTGTTGCGGGAGGCGATGACGGACCCTTTGTTGGAAAGATATTCCGCGGTCATTCTCGACGAGGCGCACGAAAGGACACTGAGTACGGACATTTTGATGGGTTTGATCAAGGAGGTGAGGGAACAAACTGCAAAAGTCGAAGAAATGCATTGTCGCATGTGGCATGTCCTGACATTTCAAAACTCCGATAGATTTGCAAAAACCGAGCGGACTTGAAGGTCATCGTGATGAGTGCCACTCTTGATGCGGAGAAGTTTCAAAAGTACTTCAACGACGCCCCATTGCTCGTAAGTGGCCATCTTCCCGCTTTTTACTGGGTCGTTTTGTTTTTATCTGCGAAGGGAACTTCACCAACAGACAAATGCTAATAGATACCCGTCGTTCACAAACATGCTCACTCCGCCCTCATCGCATGGCACGCCTCTCTCCGCATTCACTTGATGTCACATTCTAGGTGGTGCCTGGTCGTACATTCCCGGTCGAAATCTACTACACACCGGAGCCTGAGCGCGATTACCTCGAAGCGGCTGTCCGCACCGTCCTGCAGATACACACTTGCGAGGAGCCTGGAGATATCCTTGTGTTTTTGACGGGAGAAGAGGAAATCGAAGACGCTTGTCGGAAGATCCGAGGAGAGGCAGACAATCTCATTCGCGCGTCACCGCAGCAAGTCGGAGACGTGAAGGTTGTTCCATTGTATTCGACCCTGCCACCAGCACAGCAGCAGCGCATTTTCGAAGCCGCACCGCCGGCGCGTGCGAGCGGCGGACCTCCCGGCCGGAAGGTTGTAGTGTCGACCAACCTTGCCGAGACGTCACTTACGATCGATGGAATCGTGTACGTGATCGACCCCGGATTCTCAAAGCAGAAGGTGTACAACCCGCGAATTCGCGTCGAGTCGCTGCTCGTGAGTCCCATCAGTAAAGCGAGTGCTCAACAGCGGTCTGGACGTGCTGGCAGGACAAGGCCTGGGAAGTGCTTCCGTTTGTACACGGAGAAGGCTTTTCTGAAGGAGCTGCAGGAGCAGACGTATCCCGAGATTCTGAGGACGAATCTGGGGACGGTGGTGTTGCAGTTGAAGAAGCTTGGCATTGACGATTTGGTGCACTTTGACTTCATGGATCCACCAGGTACGAGCGACTATGCCATGTTGGACGGGATCTTTCATCGCAGTGTACTAATAGTGGGTTTCGTTCCTTCCGGTTTGCAGCGCCGGAAACGCTGATGAGGGCCCTAGAGCTTCTGAACTACCTCGAAGCATTGGACGACGACGGCAACCTCACCCCAATTGGTGAATCGATGGCCGAGTTCCCCCTGGACCCACAATATTGCAAAGCCCTCCTGGCCTCGCCAAAATACAAATGCTCCAACGAAATCCTCTCCATCATCGCCATGATCTCCGCACCCAACTGCTTCCTTCGTCCCCCGGACCAACGCAAACAGGCCGATGAGGCCAAATCCCACTTCGAGCACGAGGATGGCGACCACCTCACCCTGCTGAACGTGTACCACGGGTACAAGTCGAACGAAGCGGACGCTAATTGGGCGTATAATCACTACCTGAATGGAAGGAGTTTGAAGAACGCGGACAATGTTCGCACCCAGTTGCAGCGGATCATGGAACGGAGAAATGTGGAGATGATATCGACAAAGTTTGAGGATAAGAGTTATTATCATAACATTCGGAAGGCGTTGACGGCTGGGTTCTTCATGCAAGTGGCGCATCTGGAGAGGACGGGTCATTACTTGACCAGTAGAGACAACCAGGTATGTATTCGAAGGAACTGGCACCATATTCCGTCCTAAGAGCCTCCATATTGACCCTTGCGTTTCCGTCACAGGTCGTACAAATCCACCCCAGCTCCGGCCTCGACAATAAGCCCGAATGGGTCATCTACAACGAATTTGTCCTCACCTCGCGAAACTTTATCCGAACGGTGACCAGCATCAAGGGCGAGTGGTTACTGGAGGTGTCGCCGGCGTATTACGATTTGTCGACGTTCCCGAAATGTGAGGCGCGCCGCGTTTTGGAAAGGATTGCTGCTAGGAGACACGTTCGGGGATGAAGGATGGGAAGGCTGGGAGAAGGGAGTGGTGAACGTCAGCATTGGATAGCCCAACGCCTTTTGTTCCGTAGGGTTCGGTGAGATGTACACTAGCCTCGGCTTCGCCACAAGTGTTAGTGGATGCATTTGGTATTTATTCTTAGGAGATATTTGTTCTTCGCTCGCTGGAATATTCATAATTATATGCGAAAAGGAAACCAATAGCGTTCGGAGAACGACTTGACTCACAATTCACCCCAAGGAACTGTGAATGAATGCCCAGACTTTCATTAGCGTAGTTCTAAAATCTAAGCATAAAGCTTGACAAAACATCGATGGCAATAGGGATTTTCATCATGCTGCCTGAACCCAGCATTCCCTCTCGCCGCCCCACCCCATCCAGGATCCTGTGTCGGAAGATCCAGCTGGTTCTTGCAAAAGTAGCACTGGAAGCATTCCACATGGTATCGCTTCCCACATGCTCGCACGGCCCGCCCGATCAAGGGGTTCTCGCAGGTAGCGCATTTTGGGGCCGTGAGGACGTGGTAATCGCGTTCGCAGTATGGATAGCCTTCGTGTTCGAATGCGTTGTCTGCCGCAAGGGCTCGTTTGCATTGCTGTGATGGATGTGGATGATCAGTCATTGGTTGTGTGCAGCGGGACCCAGGTTGTCAAAGGCCGGGGGAACCTTACCGTGCATGCAAAGCACTCCCTATGGTACTTCTTATCAGACTGGACGATGTAGTCGCCCGCCAGCGGGTGCTTACATCTCGTGCATTCGTAAGCGAACAGTGCCGAGAAGTCTTCCTCGCAATAGGCCATTCCATCTGATTCCATGAAGCTTTCGTTTGGGCCGAAAGTGCGACCACATTGCGCACAGAAGAAGTGTTCTGGGTGGAAACACTTACCAAGAGCTGATATACATCGCTGTAATGGGATAGGAGTAGGAAAACGGTGAGTGAAAGAGGTTCTGCAGCCGACCAAAAGGCTGGTGCGGTGGGAATGTTTACTCACGTCTTTGATGGCTTGCTCGCAGTACGCGCACTTCTGGCTGAACTTGTCATGGTAGCAGCCTTCACAGTAGACATCTGGAAACACCTCAAAATACTGCATTCCCGTCAACCGCCGCCGACACGTCTGCACACAACAACGGAAGCAATCTTGGTGAAATGGTCGCTCCCCTAATGCGACCACTGAGACGCCCATGATGGGCCGATTGCAACTGAAGCAGGGTGTGGCAGAAGGCACGAGGTTGCGGTCCACTTCATCCCCATGTGACGGGAAACTGTCCTGATTGGTATTCGAAAACTGGGACATCGGGGTTCCGAAAGCCGGAATATCTTTGTTGAGACCAAATCCTTTTGGTGCGCCATTTGATCCGTCATTGCCGCCTGCTTTCCCCGGCGGGGCAAAGCCTGACACCCCATCCTGTAGCTCGGAAAGCAGTTTATCTTATATGGAAAGTGAAAGCGATTTGTCAGACTTGGATTCCCACTGACGCGTATGCTTCCGCAGACACTTACCGAGTTCGTCCATGTTTTGTTGGGGAGTCTTATCGAATTTCTGTAGATGGAGTAGATGGGCTTCAGTCTAGGAATTTCTGTAGATGGAGTAGATGGGCTTCAGTCTAGGTGGTGTTCTAAGATGGGCCAACTGAGAGTGCTCTGAAAGTCTGTGAATATCGAGATGTTGCGATGGCAGCGGGAAGCCCACCTTTTATGTTGCACATAGCTTGACTTCAGAACACTCTCAGTTGGCCCATATCAGAACACCACCCAGACTGAAGCCTCAACGCATCTTGAACTTTAAACGAAAGGCCGTTACTATTCTTGGTAGGTGGCGAGATCGGATCGCCGGCTGCTTGCTAAAGACGTAGCTTGGTTAAGCGTACTGAAATATTTCTGGCAAGGACAGGGCCGGTGACGCATCCTAAACTGAGGTCAAACGAAAGGCAGTTACTATTCTTGGTAGGTGACGAGATCGGATCGCCGGCTGCTTACTAAAGACGTAGCTTGGTTAAGCGTACGGTACTGACGTTAATGGACTGCCAAGGGTGACTCTTATCCTGTGTCTCGCGGGGAGGTGGAGCAGCTAGGCTCCCGACGTCTTCGACAGCCGACAGCCTTGAACTCCGTAGCCGTGCAGAGTGGGAGCGAAGGTAAGTTCAAGGTAAGCGCCTTCTGAAACCTTTCCGTAGCCGTGCAGAGTGGGAGCGAAGGTAAGTTCAAGGTAAGCGCCTTCTGAAACCTTCTGAAGGTCTGGTGGAATCGGTGAAGTCGGAGCAGCCGACGCGTTGGCCTCGTTCTCCTCCCAGCCTTGAAGTCGATCTCCAAAGCCAGGAGAACAGACAACGAAGGTTCTTAGACTCGCCCCTCCGACCGCAGCCATGAAGTTCGCACAGCAACTGAACACCGCGGTTCATCAACCCTGGGCAAATTATTACGTGGACTACAAACTCCTGAAGAAACGGCTCAAGGACCTTCAGAGAGAGTATGTTTCCGCAGTGGCGTTTGCATGTGTATTTTGGAGGGGGGCTCCGCCGCACCGGGCCAAAGAAACACGGGAGCACTGGAGTGTTGACGCAGTGTCTTCAATCCTTGTATAGGCACGAGTCGCATGAGGTGCCGCCTCTTTCTGTTCGGACCCCGCAGCCGTCCCATCCTGCTCCGTCGGACCGCTTCACTCACAAGGAACTTCAGAGGGCTTTCTTCCAAGCGGTCGAAAACGAGGTCGGTCTCCTCCCCCAAGGTCCGCTTCGCCCTTCACGGCATCTTATATTCACGCGTGCCCGCTCCCTTTCTGCAATTAGGTTGACAAAGTCGAATGGTTTTATATGCATAGAGTGCACCACGCGCGGCGCGAGATGCAGGAACTGATGGAGCGCTGGTTTCGTCTAAGCCGCTATGCCGAGTTCGACGAGTATCCACTCTCCGCGACGGATATTACGCACCATGTGGACCAAGAGAAAGAGATTTTCTCACACTTCAACGCCGATCTCTCTGCTTTACTGCACCATCTCCAACTTCTGTCTGGGAACTACCTTGCGATGTGCAGAATGGCCATTGTGAAGATTCTGAAGAAACATGACAAGTTAGAAGCTCGACACGCCGGACTGGCGTGCAAGGAGGCGGTCGTGAGGACAATACGAGCGGATCGACGATTTTGGCAGGCGGACGATCTGATTCGCTTGTTGGATGAGGTGAAGCGATTCAAGTGGGATGTCATCAAGGCTCACATTCGCACTGGCGCCGAACGATGAGAGACTTGGTCGGCGTGATTCTTAAATCAGTGTATTACGATCCATGTGTAGATACCCAGGTAGCAGTTAGGTTATTTCGAAACGTTTTTGGGGCATTGTCTATTGTAAATAGGATAGTAAATATGATACAATTGCATATTGAACTTTCGTCCCTCCCTATCAAAACTCCGGTCGCCTTGCTGGGAATGCCGGGTACGTTCGAAGCCTCAAGCGTTCTACTTCCTCTCGTAGAATGCCGATATCCTGCGCTTGCGATCTCGCCATATCAATCAGTCTTCGCCGAGCGTATATCGCTGGGAGAGGATCATGACTGGTGGTCGTTGGGGCCGCCTTCGCCATAGCCGCTTCCCGCGGTGATGGCGACCTTCGATGAGCATCTCGCGGTAGCGGAGGCTCCACCGCCTGTGCCGCTCCAACGCTCACCACTTCGCCCAGGGCATCTCCGATGGGCACCGTTTCCTCAACCCACGCGCCTCTCCTCAGGATCTTTTTCCTATCACCAACATCCCTAGAGAGCTCCTCGAGTTTCCGATCCAGCCGCTCATTTTCCTTCAGCTTCTCTGCTACTTTTTGCCGGAATTTCTCAATGGCTTTGCGTTTCTCCTCAAGGTTGTGCTGATGTGCCTTGATGCTATAGTCACCACGCTTCTCTAGCGCGGCAATCTCGGCAGCCTGTTTGCGCTCGTCGCCGCCTCGGATATACTCCTGCATGTGTTTTGTGACTCGAAGAAGCTGAATGTCGCGAGTTTTATACAGCAGGGTCTCCGATGCAAAGTCGAGTGTTTGGTTTTCCCTAATGCAGCACCGGAAATGGGTTAGGCACGACTCCGAAGTAAAGTCCATCGGAAATTTGACACTTACCACTCTAATGCATGAATCCCTTTCCTGTACTCCTTCATCTCGTTCAATGCGTCCACTTTCGCCTTGCCCAACCCACAAATAACATCATTCAAGCGCTCAACGGCATCCCTCCCGATAAGCACCGCGCCGCTGTAATCTGTCACGACCGGTGCCTGCGGCACTTCTACCTGGCCCTGCTTGAGCCCTTCCAGACAAACCTCAAAATCGTACGTCTGGTTAAACTTGTACAGTTGGAACTCCGCGATTTGGGTATGTAAGGTCGCTGTGCGTGATGCCAACGCAGCGCTGTGTGCGAGGATCTGGTTGATCGTTATTTGCAGATGTTGCAGGCTGTTGTACGTATTGTACACCTCGGTTTGGCTGATGTGTTTCCGTTGAATATGCTCCCACAGGTTCTGGAGCATGTCTGGGGGAAGCCCATCCGGGACTTCCGATGATGCGTTGAGCGGTTGCAAAGCAGGTGGGAGAGCCGGTGGTTGACCAGGAAGCCCGCCACCTATCGCACTGGGTTGAATTGGGACGGCTACTGAGAGAGCGCCGGCTACCGAGGGCGTCCCTGGCCTCGAATGGTGCTGGCCTTGCCCTCCTGCTGCCGGTTGTTGCCCCGGACTCGGTCGGTGTACCTGAGACCCAGCAGCCTGTGTAGGAGCCGAAACATGGGCAAAATACGTATATGGGTTCAATTCCTCCCCAGCCTTGCCGTCTTCTTCCGGATCCTCCTCTCCGGCGCCTTTCCGCTTGAACAATCGCCAACATGGTTCCCACCAGCTTTCCAGCCCTTGTGCTCCGAATTCTCTCTTGAACGTCTTCTCAACCTCTTTATCCCGCTTGACTGCCGCATCATAATCGTCGCGCACACGCTCAAGCTGTTTCTTCAGCTCGGGGATCTCAGCTGCAACCATAGATCTTTCCTCTTTACATTGCTCCAAAGCCTCGTTGATTGCCGCCTCCTTGCCTTCATCTTCTTCGGCATACAATATGAATGCGTGCAGCTTCAGTAGCGTCATTTCGTACGTCAGGATGCGGGTGTCGGTCGCAAGTTTTTGCACAAACAGCCCATTTCGGATCACATTCGTGTCGAAACCATCACAGAGCTCCTGGATCCCAGCCAGGAGCTTCTTCAACTCAGTCTCGAGCGCTTTCCGCGTTTTCTCCTGCTCCTCCTTTTGCACGCTCAGCTTCTTTTCGTACTCTTTCGCGTGCTTGCGCTCCTCATCTGTCCAATCCGCGGGAGGTTTGTTGACCATGAAATCCGGTTTCTGTACAAGCATCTTCCCGCTCTCCTCTTCGGACGCCCGGTCAGCCAACGTGTTGTTCATCATCTGATTTAGTGCGCGATCGCGCCAATTGTCCTTTGCTGCCGCTTTGGCGCGCTCGGCTTCCAATCGCTGCTTCTCCGCCAGCTTGACTTGCTCCTCGGCCGTGATGAACTTCTCAGCCGTGACTTCCTCGTCCCGCACTTCCACCACGCGTTCGGGGACCTCGTCGTCATGTAGAACCGGCCGGAAGATCTCGCCAGCCGCACCGGCGTTTGTCCATCCAAGCTCTTCCATGATGCCCTTGGCCCGATCCCCGCGCTCCTCAATCCGGCCCATCTCGTCCCTTTTTAATCTCAATGTCTCGTCGAACTTTGCATTGAATTGGGTTTTCAACACGTGGATAGCGTGCGATAAGATGACCGCCTGTATGCGGCGGCGTTCGGACGTTGTCAGTTCGAAGGGAGAGTACAGCAACGAGAACGGTTCCACGGCGGGATTGACGCCATCTTTTGGGGCTGTGGGCTGGTTCGTCGCCGCACCGGCTTTGCTGGCACGGGTATTGGAGGCATCTTCGTCTTCCGATGCATCCTAGAGATAAGACAGTTTGGATTGAGAGAGGGTGTAAACGTGTATAGAATGGTATAACAGTATTACCTCGTCGCCGTCGGTGTCGCGGATAGGCTTTTTCGGCGGAGCCTAATGAGGTTTGAGGAGGGGAACGACATCAGTCACTTCGGTTGACATTTACGATGCGAGTAACGTGCTCCTCCGGAATCTGATGTGTAAGTTTTACCTTCACGGTGGCTGCATTGACCAGGATTTGACTCCTTCGCAGCATGACCACCCGGTCCACACGCTCTGTCTCTTCGGCCGACATTTTTCTTATCGGGTAGTTTGTCACCGTCGTTAATGTGTTAGTGAGAGGATCCGGGTGGAATGATTTGATCGTCTGTCCGACCGTCGCCATGCTATCCCAGCAATCACGCTAGAATGCCGGAAAAAGGTTGGGACATATTGTTAGTGAGACAGTTTGAGCAGCAAGACTATTAGTCACTCACCTTGATACGATTGCCGACGACCCTTCTTCTCAGCCACTCCTCTTCAATACTCTGCCTTACGCCCTCTACAACCTCCCCAGACTCCCGCTGCAGCTTTTCCCTCATCTCGTAGTCCAGAATGAACTCCTCTTTGTCTAATCGTTCCAAGGGAGGCAACGACTCGTTCTTCACGATGGCCCGGAGGAGGCGTTCGCGGAGAGCGTTGAGGCGGGTCTGGATGACGGATGTTTGTTGAGGGGTAGCACCATCCCCACTTGGTACTCCCGTGGCGGCGGGGGCTGCGGCGGATGCCGATGACAGACTAAGTTCACCTTCAATAGGAAGGATAGGTGGCGGAAGCGCTGCTTCGGGGAGGTCTGAGAGCTTCTGCAATTTCCCATGTGTTAGGCCCTAAAATTGCGTAATTCGAAACCGAAGAGTGGCGGATGAGAAGCGATCTCACCTTGACGAGACCCAAGCGGTCATTTACAAGCGCCACCACATCCTCGCCAGCCTCCGCCATCCTTTCCACCACACCCCCAACTTCCGTCGCCGATCGCCGTCCGGCAGCATTGTACTTCCATTCCCACAATCGCAATATTCCATCAGCACCGGCGGTGATGATGGCCCTGCAGTTCAGCGTTGCGGCGAGGCCGCGTACACCGCCAAGGAAAGGGTCGTGGACGTAGAGGCAGTAGCTTTTGTCGGGCTCCATGAGGGTGCGGACAGTGATGCGTCCGTCGAGGGACGTGGTGGTGACCCACGAGGTTGCCGGGTGGAGCAAAAGTTGAGTGACGGACTTCTCGTGATCTCTGCTCTATTCCGCCATTGTGAATGGTTAGTTAGTTTGGTGAAGACCTTCTGTGAGATCCTTTATCTCCGGACGGATGCTCTCGTCAAGGAGGAAAATGCTCACCTTGATCCCCGGACTTGACAGCACGATGAGTTCCACCGTTCGCACGGGCTCCTTCTTGGGTGCCGCTCGCTCCCCTTCACCGCCTTCCTCCGCGGGTTCAGCTTTCTTGGCCGAGGAAACTGGCGCCGCCGGTGCACCCGCCCTCTGCGGACCCTCGTATGTTTTCAGCCTGCCGTCGTTCGAAGTCACGTAAAAGGTATCCCTTCCGGCAGAGAGGTGACTTGGCACGATGGTCATACCGTCCACAGTGTCGTCAATTCGGTATATCACAATGGGGAGTTCGGGAGCTAAGGGGATTTCTCTCTCCATTTGCTGAGCACCATCGCCTTCAGGCGCCGAGGGCGGGATTTCCAGCGGCACCGGCACTCTGTAGATGTAGCTCCTTCCTTCCCCGCTAGCCAGCACAAACATATGTACGACTCCCAATTCTTCCTCCAGTTTCCACGCGCATGCTCGTATTTTTAGATCCACCGTTTGACCCGTCTCCGCCCCTGCCGGAATCTTGCTTGTGGTTGGCCGCGAAATGGTCGTAGTAATCGGGATGGCCGCACTTTTAACCCTTCCTCCCATGGCAGATGTTGGGTCGACCGCCGGCGGGACCGGCAAGGTCGTAAACCCTGCATAGCCAAAGGTATCTAACACGCCAACGAGGGCGATGCGCTTATCGGTGTGGGAGGTGGCCGCAAGGTAGCGTCCCGCGGGATCGAACGAAATAACATCGACTGCGTTGGCGAACACACGATCGCGCACAACCAACCTAGGCGGCACATTGGTTGCGCGGAAATCATACACGCGCACGCATCCGTCGGCTGTTCCTGCCGCAGCGAGCTGCGCGAAAGGTGATGCCGCGACTGATGTAATGTGCGAGGAGTGTGCGGGTGGGAGCGAGATGCGATGAAGGTGAAGCAGTTTCTTGAAGGTGTTGGTGCGCTGGATATCGGCGTCGAGGGATTGAAAGTCGAGGTGGTGAGTGGCCGCTGTGATGAGGGTCGAGGAAGGGTGATGTACGGTGAGGTTCGAGACGTTTGGAGTGTGCAGGATCTGTTTTCACGAAACGTAAGCTCATGCTGAGAGCCAACGAAGATCACAGTATCATTGCAGTACCTCTATGACGTTCTCTTTTACGACGTTGTAAACAAAGAGCTTTCCACTGACACTCTCGATCAATGCTCTCCGGTAGTCTGGGGCAAACGACAAACTTGCTACACTTTCACCCTTAGTCACATCAATTGTCTTTGTCACCGACGCAGTGGCGAATGAGTGTAACCGAAGCACGCCGTCCTGCAGTTCGCGCAAACAAACAGAAACACGAAAGAAATGTCGGTTACCAAACGTCTCACGTAGAGATGCCGAGGATCTCCGCGGTCTTCTTACCTTCCCAGCAACATACAGTCCATCTTTGGCAACAGCCACATATTCTATTTGACCATGCGGCAGCATCCTCTTCCTCCTATTCTCTGAGTCCTCATCATCTCCACCCTCGCCCCGAGAGCCCGGTTCATCCGTCCCTCCATCCTCACCGCTCGTACCAGGCCCGCCGTCGGCTGCAGCAGCCGAAGCGTAAACCCTGTGGTCACCAGTAACCGGGTCGTAGTGCACCAGTTCACACCCGGAGGAGGTCGTGCATACGATTTGTTCGTCGATCGTCCAGGCATGCGAGTTCGGGTGAGGGCCTTTCGGAAAGAGTGACGGCATCGCTAGCGATTCGTGGTCGGGTTGGAATATAGGCTTGCCTTTCCTACCATACACAGGGAACAAGTGAGGAAAGATCCTCGGGCCCTTGCGCATCACAGTCCCTCAAACGGCAAACCCCTGAACTTACACAGCAACCAATCCACTCCTCTTAAACCCAATCTCCAACCTCCAGAACCTAATCCCACCCTCACCTCCACTCGTACATATCCGCCGCGAGTCCAGCGGGTCAAACGAGATGAACTCTGCCGCGGCGCCGTTGGGTACCTCGCACACCAAGGTGGCCGTGCGCCAGTCCCAGATCGTGATTGTGTGCGTTGGGAGGGTGCCTAGCGCTGCGAGGTATTGGGTGTCGGGAGAGAAGGCTAGGGCGTGGATGGATAAATCTTTCGATGCTATTTAGGGGAGGGATAATGATAGGTATCAGATAAGATCGCGGTCGACCAGACGGACATCCCTAAATCACACAGCCGCTCCATTTCCACCATACCTTCCATCTTGGCAGTCCCACTGCCACCCCAGACCGCTCCACTAGGCCATTTGACAACCTTGACAGCCATCGAGTCCCGCTCCGAATACGCAACAACGCTTTCCCTTTTCTGCACTGCAAACGCAACGATCTGCGAACCCGCCACTACACTCCTCAGTTCCTGCTGTTGCGACGGTGTTGCCCCGCTGCTCGCGGCTGGTGATTGCGGGTGAATTTCAGTGCCATGCTCTCCGGCTGTTGCTCCGCCACTGCCGCCCACCTCCACATGCGTGCTGCCGCCCTCGGCTGTGGACGCTGGATGGCCTGGTGCATCGGTGGCCGCGGCCTCCTCGATCTCAGCAACATCGAGGAAATTGATCGAGTTGCCTGATATATACGCAACAACGGTGGGAGTGAAGAAAGTGGCGGGGCTGAGTGGGGTGTGACCTATGGACTTTCTGTGCGCAATAAGAAGGGAGTTCGTCAGACGAGGGCTGAAAGGGGACGGGTGAGGAAGGGTAGGCGACTTACACAAGCTCAAGGTCGCCATATAGTCCTGTTGGCATCGTGGGCAGTAATCCCAGAGTCCTGCTAGTTTGGACACGAATCGCAAGGTAGGAGGAAAAAATGAAGGGTCTACAAGACTTATGAAGAAAGCCCTGTCGGTCTAGCGCGAGGGCCAGGGTTGCACGTCGGAGGCAGGAAGCGGACGAAGTTAGTTGAGAAGTCGGACAACGCGCTGTCGGATTTACGTAAGCAGTTTGAGTGCAAGTTCCTGGCGAACCTCAGCAACTTCACCAGCAACAGAAGCAACAGAAGCAACAGAAAAGCACAGGGACGGGGACAGGAAGATGATTCAATGAAGATACATGGAGTAGCAGATGAATGAAAGGGAAAACTATGAAACCAGTCCGCGGCGCAAATCAGGCGGTCCTATGTCGTGTTCGAGCGATTTCCGCTCGAATGTGTACACCAGTCCATCTGAATGGAGCTTTCCGCGGATGTGCTACCCACTTCAAAGCAGCATCGTCAAAGGGTTCTCAAGCAAACCCTTAAAGACACCCAACCACTTTGCCCCAACCGCACCATCCACAACACGGTGATCACAGCTCAGGGTGACGTTCATCACCTTCGAGTTACGGACGCCCTTCTCAGCCGCGTCATCGATTACCAACTTGTCCTGCACCCCGCCGACGGCGAGGATGCCCGAGTGCGGTGGGTTGATGATGGCGGTGAAGTGGGAGATGCCGTACATGCCAAGGTTGGAGATGGTGAAGGTGCCGCCTTGGTATTCGTGGGGTTGGAGTTTGTTGGCGCGGGCTTTCTCGGCGAGCGTTTTGACGTTGGTGGAGATTTGGGAGAGGCCGATGGCGTCCGCTTGGTGGACGATGGGGGTGATCAGGCCGGACTCTGTGGAGTGGGGTAAGTGACTGCAAATACAGAAGCTTGTGATTTTAAGACCCAGACATACCAGTAGCGACGGCAACAGCAATATCGGCGTTGTTGAACCTACAGATCGAACAAGACATGTGAGCATCGATCTGTACTTCGCTTTCAGCCGCACAGTCGCTCAACCCCTCTAACTTACTGCCTGATGGAAGTGCCTTGCCATGCGCTGTTGACCTCCGGAACGGCCTTCAGCGCCAGAGCGGATGCGCGGATGACAAAGTCGTTCACGGAAAGCTTGAACTTGCCCTTGGCTTCACTGTTCAGAACCTCGCGGAGTCTAGGATAGAGCGGGTCAGTTGATGCCGCCGGCCAATGAGGAGTCCATATTTGTAGCACTTCCGCGACATACTTGTAGATTTTGTCAGCGTTGATTTCTTGTGTGAGGTAGTAGTGTGGTATTTGTTGCTTAGATTCCGCCAGACGACCGGCAATCACCTGCATTTGAAAGCTGTGAGGGACCATACAATACTGGAGGAAGACTGAGGGTCGTTTGAGGCACTAACCTTGCGAACATTCGATAATGGGATGTCGGTGTAGGCGGCTCCTGGTGCCGGTGCGGGGGCGGGCGCGGGTTTTGGCGCTGGCTTCTGAGAGGCTGCACAATGACGATTCGCCATGAGTCGCTTGTTCAGCAAACAATAGCACGGAGAGCGTCACAGGTCCTCCCATGATTACAGATCCTAGACCTCCACATCCCATCTAAACGCGTTCGGGTTGCCACCTAGGACTGTGCATTCCATGCCGGCGCCCGTAACAGCTTGCCCATTGATCCAAGCTCCAGCTATCTCTGTCAAGTAAACACCCTTCCCGCGCCGCTCAGAGGTGAGGCCCAGTGTTATTCACATACCTCCAGATTTGGGTGCCGCCTGCTTGGCATCCTCCTTTTTAGGTTCCTCCTTCTGAGGCTCCTCCTTCTTCTCGGGCTTCTCCTCCGGCGCCTTCTCCACGGGCTTCTCCTCGGCAGCAGGAGCAGATGCGGGTGCGGCGTTATCCTCTAGCTTGTAGTCTGCGAACTTCTCCACATCCTCCTTGTTCTCCACGAGAATCGCAATGGGCTAAAAGGCATGCAAGACAAATCCGTTATCAGCCACCATCCTTCCCTTCCCATCGATGATTCCGTCGCGCACCTTGTTGACCGCGACATCCTTAGTGCCAGACTCCACGAAAATCTTTGCGATGAACCCCTCATCCTGGTTTTCGAAATCCATGGTAGCCTTGTCTGTCTCGACTTCCACAAGGACATCACCGGGCTGGATTTCGTCCCCGACCTTCTTGTTCCACTGGCCGAGGTTGCCGGAGGTCATTGTTGGGGAGAGCGCTGGCATGTTGATGAGAGTGTGCGAGGGGTATGCTGCAGAAGGTGTGCAAGGCTGTCAGCAGCCGGCTGCACACTGGTCGAAACGCAACACTCACTAGCTCACATCTAGAGGCATAACCTCGTTGAGCAACGGGAAACGAGCCATTGGTAGTCGCACGCTGACGAGGGCGAGTAGACGGCGCGCTGGGGCGTAAGAACAAAGGCAAGCCAGCAGATATCAGCCCTATCTGCGCATACAGATACAGTATATGAAGAGTATTAACTTACGTTGCGAGGTGGTAGGCCCTAGTCCTGGGAGCTGTTGTTGGGCGACCCGCGGCGAGCCTGACCCGAGATGGGGCGGTCGCAAAGGCCGCCGTTGGCAGCGTTGGGCGGGCGGCGGACGCACGGCGTTGCAGAGCACGGACGGCGGACAGATGCATGGTGAATATGTGCTGAGAGTGTGAGTCTGAAGAGCCGATGGGCGGAAAGCGACGAAGAGTATTTCTGGTCGGAAAACAGAGACAGCGCCAACGCAAAAGGCAGACGCGTTTCCCATCGATAGCGCTTCCATCAACGTCAACAATCGATGCTCATGGTCATGATATCTATCCTCTCCGTTCCGCTCTCCGTGAAATAGCGCAGAGAAGGTTCAGCATCGAGGCATTTGCTGTATGCATGGACATGTATGGAGGATTCCAATGTGAGACTCAATGATCATGTTTCCATCGATTATCGGTCTCATGTTCGATCTTTCCGACCTTGGTCCCCTCGAAAACAGCCCAAATGTCCTCAATCACCCCGGCGATCCCACAAGCGTTTTGAAAGCAAGTCACAACAAAAGATCGCCAACCCGGAAACCCAAGGGACAGTCTTCCAGGTGCAGATGGGCCGCAAGGCCACGCCAATTTATTCCCTGAAGCATCGTCTCAGCTTCCTCGCGCAGCGGAAGAAATGCAACGAGGAAAGCCGGCTTTGCCAGAGTGCGGAAGCTGGTTACATGCGGAGTTGGTGTATCCGACTAATCTACACTATACAGGCGCAAACAAGCACGGTTTCCATTTGATGGACAAGAAAATCGGTTTACTCGTCGGTGCGGACGATCTGGGCGGCGATACGGTCCAAATCCTTCTGTCCGTCCTGGGAGATACGACGACCACTGAAAAGTAGAGATGAAATCAGAATGTGCTCACGCAAGGGAGAAACATTAAACGCTCACGAGCAGTGCAAACTTACCCAGTGGGGTCCTGCTCGAGCACCTTGATCTTCTCAAGGGCCTGCATGACCTTACGGGCGACAGAGCCGGAGGCGATCGCGTGGTGGTGGGGACGGTTTCCACGGTTCTGACGACCACCGTAGTTCTTCTTCAAGGCACCAACTCCAACACCGCTGCGGAGGTAGATGTGACGGGCGACCGAGGCTGTGAAAACAGTTAGAGTCAGAATGGATCTTCAAACTTTGCGAGAGAAGACAGCGTTCCTAAACAACGTTCCCAATTCACAACACGAAGTACATACCAGCACGAATGTAGAACCAGTCCTGGTCGTAAGGGGCGAGCTCCTTGTAGGTGGCGGTCTTGACAAGGTCAACCCACTTGGGGACCTCGAGCTTACCGGTACGCTTCAGGTAGGCAGCGTAAGCCTTGACGAAAGCGTGAGCGCTGACGTCCTTAACGGTGACACCTCCGCTGGACATTGTTGGGTTGTTGTTGCTGCTTCGTGACGAGAAGAGGGCGAGCTTGGTGCAGCGATGTTCGTGCCGAAAAGCGAAAGAGGGAGCAAAACGTCGAAATCGCCCAGAGCCGTGAAGAAAAGCGCCAGGCGAATGGTCTCATCACGTGACTGCTCGTGACTGTCGTTTAGATCGCCAAGTGACACTGGTATAGAGTGACACTGCAGTGGAAGTCGGTGGCCTTGCTCCAAATCGGCCGTGAGGAGGACAACCAGAAGAGACTCCAAACCCAACTGTACACGGATATCCGAAGTCAGGCTTTCACGGTTCTCGTTCCTGAGTATAGCAGTAGGCCTCAACGTCTTTGCGCCACCAGTCTGCTAAATGACTGCCCATCGTCTTGTCGCGCGCGCTTCAACCGCCCTGTCGAGGACTTCTACTAGATCGTGGGTTGATGCACCGGTTTGTCTGCGGACTGGCAGTCTCGCCAAACTTCTAGGCCGTCACAAGTCGGGTCTCCTTACGGCGGGTCGAGGCGTCAAGTCTTCGGGGAGAAGCAACTTCCATACTACCGCGCCGAATATGCTGGCATCGCAGCCGAAAAGTGACGGAAACGGGACAGAAGCTAGTTCGGGGCAGTATGGAACAGGTTAGCCTTAATGTGAGATTATCGTCGCTTCCTAATGCTGCACTGGATCTAGAGTACTGAGAAATGCCACAACGTAGGAAGTCCGCTCGTCTCCACCTCGTGGCTAGCCGACAACCTCGACAAAGTGGTCCTTCTCGACGCGACGTGGTACCTCCAACCAGGCCCCCCAGCAGCAATGGGTCCGGACGAACAATGGGCTTACGAGCAATCGCACAAGAAGCAACCTGTTCAAAAGGACGCGCGGAAGGAGTTTGAGGAGAGACATATCAAGGGAGCGCGCTTTTTCGATCTGGATAAGGTCTCTGATCAGCTTAGCTCGTTGCCGCATATGTTGCCTACCCTTGAGGAGTTTGAAGAGCACGTCAGCGAGATGGGGATCAAGGAAGATGATCATGTTGTTGTATACGACGGTCAAGGCATCTTCTCGGCGCCCAGAGTTTGGTGGACGTTCAAGGTAGCTTTCAATGCTACCTCAAAGGATTGCATCAATGCTCCACGAGCGGGAAAGACTAAACCTCGATCGCGGACAGGTCTTTGGACACAAGAATGTGAGCGTCTTGGACGGAGGTCTACCAAAGTGGCTCAAAGAATCCAGACCTGTCGAATCGGCGCTACCACAAATAACGGTAACAGAGGTCTGATGCTTGAGTTTGGCGATAAGTACTCTCACTGATAAAGAAGTTCCCCTTCTCAATGCAGAAAACTTCATATAAAGGCGAATTCGATGAGGAGCTGGTGATCAACTACCAAGACCTCCTCCTTCACCTGTCGGACTTTATGTACTCGAAGAATTTCACTATCCTCGATGCAAGACCTCGGGGGAGGTAATGATTCTGTTCGCGCGGACTCTTGGAAACAGCCGCTGACTTTCTCCATCCACCCAGATTCGCAGGCCATGCCCCAGAACCACGGCCAGGCCTCCCATCCGGCCACATCCCATCATCCATCAACATCCCTGCAGCTGAACTCGTCGACCCTACGACAAAGCAGATGATCCCACGGAAAGAGATCATCCGCCGGCTGTTTGTGGAGAATGTGAATTTGGATAAACCAATTGTTACCATGTGTGGTACGTGTTTTCCTGCGGTGAATGGGAGATCAGAAGTCAACTGTGGCCAGTACTCAACAGCCACCTATCATTGCATCTAGGGAGCGGCGTGACTGCAGCCACGCTGTTCTTGGCGTTGGATTTCATCGGAAAGAAGGGCGATGTGAAACTGTACGATGGGAGCTGGACCGAATGGGCGGCGAAGAAGGATAGCCCTGTGAAGGCTTGGAAATAGGGGCGTAGAGAAGGAGTAGCTTGTAGTACATAGGAGAGCATGGAGGCGTACATAGGATCAAAAGGCAGGGTTCGAATTCTCATTCGATACTGTATGAATCTGTTTTTATAGTACATACGTGCCAAAGCAACCGCGATTTGGAGTTTCGGGAAATCTAGTCTTAACAATAACGCTGCATCGTGAGGGTGGACTCGCACCTCTCAAAGATGGACCACATCCACCATCTCGCCAAAGCATCGATCCAGACGTCGGCACGCCCCTCCAGTGTCCGGCGAGAACCTCAGAAGGTCTGCGAGATCCGATGCCCCCTCTGCACCCGACTGATACGCCACTCATTCGGCTTCTCATACCGATTGAACAACGGCTCCAGCTTCTCCGCACGTTTCCGTTTACTGATCCTATTCGCATCCGCCGCCTTGAAGAACGCCGGCGCAACCTCCACCAACCACTTTGGCTCAATCGCAATCACCTCGCGCATATACTCTTTCGTGGTCAGCACCAACTCGTGGTAAATAACCCACTCGGGCTGCCGGTTGAACAGCGCCGAGGACGGGTGGATGTACACGGGGGTCGATTCGACAAGGGTTTTGTAACCTTCCTGCGGGTCCTTCTTCGCTGCATGGCGGAAGAACCCGCCCGTGATGGCTTTGCGCACCTTGTTGTAGTTGCGGCCGCAGCTGACAATGTCGTGCTTGTACCGATCCATGATCCCCAGCAGCTGTTTACGGACGTCCTGGGCGCGTCGGAGGGACCGTGCCTGCACAAAATTCTCGTAGCACCATGGGTTGGAGAATTTAGAGGCTTTCCAGGCGTTGTAGACGGTGAGGAGGGTCAGGTGGTCGCCTTCGGGTTGATGGAATTTGGCCTTTTTGGAGTCGGCTTGCGCTTGTTTCTCTTTGGGGCGGTACCAAATGTTTTGGACGGAGAGCATCGCGACGACGGTGAGGATCTCTTCGGAGCAGCCGAGTTCGACGGACAGGATGAGCATTTTGGCGAGGGAGGGTTCAAGAGGGAACTCGGCCATCTTGCGCCCCACGCGCGTCAACAACCCCTCCTCATCTAAGGCACCCAGCTGGAACAGCAACTCCATGGCGGTGATGAGCGTCTGCACCGGCGGTGGATCCATGAACCCAAAGTTCAACAGATCATTGATCCCCATAGCTTTCAGCATCAGCACCGTGTTCGACAAATTCATCCGCTGGATATCCGGCACCGCGTTCGGTAGCATCTCGTTCCGGTACGCTCCTTCAGTGTACAGCCTGTAGCATTTGCCCGGTCCCGTACGTCCAGCACGACCAGACCGCTGCCTAGCCTGCGCCTGCGAAATGGGCACAACGACAAGGGCGTCCATTCCCAACTTAGGATCGTAAGTGTTTTGCTTGACGAACCCGGGGTCAACGACGTAGTAGATTCCGTCGATAGTGATGGAGGTCTCGGCGATGTTGGTAGCGATAACGACTTTACGGGCTCCGGGCGGTGCGGGGTCAAAAATCCGAGATTGCATCTCTGAGGGAAGGGCGGAGTAGACTGGGAGGATGATGAGTTCGGGGACCATCAGGCCTAAGGCTTTCATCCGCTCGTAGAGGATCTCGGCCGCTGTATCGATCTCTTCCTGACCCGTCAAGAACAGTAATATGTCTCCGGCTGGTTCGGAAAGATGAATCTGCATCACGGTAATGAGGGCGCTGTCGAGATAATCTGATTCCGGCTCCTTGGCGAACAGAATCTCAACAGGGAAGGTTCGACCGGGAATGGTCAGAATGGGGCAGTTGAAGAAGTACGTAGAGAACTTCTCGGCGTCAAGGGTGGCGGAAGTGACGATCAATTTGAGGTCCGGCCGTTCCTTGATCGAGTTCCTCAGAAGCCCGAAAAGCACATCCGTGCTGACGGTCCTTTCGTGGGCTTCATCGAGCAACAGCACCGAGTACTTCTTCAACGTCGGGTCGATGAGACATTCACGCAGGAGCATACCGTCCGTCATGTACTTGATCCTCGTTTCGGGGCTTGTGCAATCCTCGAATCGGATGGTGTATCCGACTTCTTGTCCCAAGCGGCAACCGACCTCCTCAGCGACACGCTTGGCGACGGACATGGCAGCGACACGACGTGGTTGTGTGCAGCCGATGATGCCCCTGTTCGCGAACCCTTCTTCAGCGAGGTACTGTGTCATTTGCGTTGTCTTCCCAGACCCCGTGTCTCCGACAACGACCAACACTTGGTTCTCGTCGACGGCTTTGACGATCGTGGACCGCAGTTTGTAGATAGGTAAAGATTCACGCTGGTCTTTGATGGAAAGACTGGTGATTTTTCCGAAAGTGGTCGCGTTGTTGAAGGTCTTTTTCTTCCATTCAGGTATGTTATCTCCAGGCTGTCCAGCCCCCTTCAGATCCTGTGCAAAATGCCTATCGCCGGTCTCCGCCATAGGATCTGCCCAAGGCCTCGCCAGATCTTTCGGAACAGAGTCGTACTCCGACGCTGCCTGCTGTTGCCTGATCTCCCTCCGTTCCTTCGCCAGCGCTGCCCCAGCTAGTGCAGCACGATTCATGGTCCCGTCAGGATTCTTGACGATCTTGATAGGACTGAGTTGTACACTCTGCTTGGTCTGTCCCTTCAAGAACGAAGGCTCCTCGTCTCGGATCTCGATATCCAGCTCTTCTTCCGCATCTTCGTAATTCAGCGCGCCCTCTTCTTCGTCGAATGTTGGGTATTCCTTCGGGTCCAGGACACCGGACGCAATGAGCTGTTTGATTTCCCATCGTTCTGGAGATGAGATCCGCTTTACGTTGGGGGTATGCGTGTCGATATCGTCGACGATGGGCACCTCACTGAAGGAGGTCATAACCGGCCTGTCGGGGTTTCCTCGCATGTCCGCTTCCATTTCCTCCCTGGTCTTGACGCGCAGATGTGGACTCAGATCTTGACCAGTTGCTTGGTCAACATCCTTCATCGATAATCCAATCCTCGTTCCCGCCATCGTCATGACTTTCACCTTCACTCGTTGACCTCTCGACACCACATCCGACGGGTGGGCGACCCTTCCGGGTCCTGATGACAGGCTACCGATGTGCACCATTCCCTCCGCTCGTCCCCTAATGCCCTCCAAACTGACAAAGGCGCCAAAATCTTTGATGCCTGTCACTTTTCCATCGTAGATTTTGTAGAGCAATGGACTATCGTCTGGGCCCGAATGACGTGAGGAATATGAGTCTCGCCCGCGTCCCCTTTCGTCACCGCCGTATCTATCCTGGCGTCTTGGCGATCGGTCATAGCCATCCCGTCTGCTTCGTTTCGGGCTTCTACTCCTGCTTCGACTACTAGATCTCCGCTTGTGGCCAGGACTCGTGCCCCTGCTCCCTTCATGTTCCGCTTTCATCTTTAGCCTTGTTTGCTGAGCGCTTTCCAGTTCTGCAAGCAGGTCGTCCGCAACTTTCTTGTTCTCTGCGTCCAACTTCTCCACTTGTGCTCGATCGTCTTTCAGGGCCAGACCAGGAAACTTTGCGGCCTTTTCGTTTGTGCCGTTAGTTGCCGAGTCGTTTTCCCAGTCCTGTGTTGTTGTGCTGCGGTCGTCTGACACGGACGACTCCTTGCCCTTTTTGCCTTTCTTCTTTCTCATGCCTTTCGGCAGGAGCGTTGTGATTAGCCTATCGAGGTTTGCGACGAACGACATAGGGAACTCTGCGCCGGCAGCGTCCAGTTTCTTCTTGAAGCTCTCGACATTTCTCGCCTTGCTGTGCAAGTTGATAATGAACTCTGCCAGGACCTTGTCGTTGATACCGGTGTGGTTCTGCAGCTCACTGGATATCTTTGATACGAGCGCCAGCAGCTCCAGCTTTTCTAGATCTTGCGCCATGTCTGCTTTGTGGAATTCCTGTGGAGCGAAAGAGGCGATAAGTTCAGGAATCAGCAGCGTGCTGAGCAATTGTTATTCGTCCGCGTGGGGAGGGGGATACCCGAGAGTTGCAAGTTGGGGCTGGGCAGTGTTCTGCAGTTGGCTCCCCGCCGCGCAAAGGTTAGGGTTAGCGACTCTTCGGTGATCCCGCTTGTTCCTGGCGGGCTCAGCGCTCACATACGTCCGCGCGGTTGCGCCGCGACAACCTGGACAACTCCGCCGACGCTTTTTCCAATGGCAAAACCACACACACCCAACTGACCTGAGACTTTGTGGGATAACTAAAACAGGTATGAGGAGCAACTCCAGCTGGTCTGTTGGAGAAAGTAATTACTTACCGCGAACTTTTACCAAGCAGAACTCCTCAACCACGCCAACCCTCAGACAACGTGCTACTAGGAAAACCTTTGGACCTCTGGATTCTACGTAACCCCTCTTCCCATTCTCAATGCACAAAGGTATGGAAAAGCTGGCCTTCTAATCTCAGAATGAGGTCACGCAAACTGACTTGAGGATTGCAGATGCGGACCAGGACGCAAACTGCCGAGTTGCTGTGTAAGGCTGAGGATGACCGGAAAGACTATGTGTACTGTGATATCTGGAATACAGCAGCAGATAAGCCCTGCTCCAAAGCTCGAGTGCAACGCCTTCGTGTTGAAGCAAAAGGCATTCACCGCCAATTCACGCTGTTGAGCACGGATATGCGCTCCTGGCTTGGAAGTTCCAACGGTAGTTTCTGTTTGCGGGCTCCCACGGGTGACCTTCCCAATACCGTCAAGCTGTATGGATGCAAAATATGCATGAAGGCAGTGAGAGCAGAGAGACAGCGCAGGGTAGCCAGTGACAGGCCTTCTGCCAGTGACAATGAGGACGGCACTCTTCCCCCCAGTGACGACGGCACTCCTCCCCCCAGCAGCGATGCTGCCAACCTGCCCCCGCCCACTGTGCGCACTCAGTCTCACGTTGATATTCGCCTCCCAAAGCGACTCATGCGCCCGCTTCAGTCGAAGTTTCAAGGTGTTGCCCCTCCTGACGCCGAAGCTCGCCGCAGCCAGTCCCGCACAACATCTGGTGTCCTCGAGGGTTCATCAGCAAAGCCGTGGGACAAACTGGAGATGTTGTTTTTCCTCGGACTCACGGATGAGGTTGAAGATGAAGATGAGGGGGATGACAGCATTGACGAACCAACGACGCCGGGGCCTGAGGGGAGGACCTACGCAGCAAAGCTGCAGATGCTCATGGAGAACCCACTTAAGGACAAGCACAGGCAGCTTCTTTTCCCTATCGGAAACATGGAAGGGTTTATTGATCATATGAATACCACATGCAATGGGCTGTTTGACATGAAGATGACCATGGTCGTCGGGGACGTGCCTCTGAAGCGCAGCTCAAAGTGGAGTGAGAAACACCGTGATAGGATCCGCCGCAGAGTATTCATCTCGATCCTGCTCGATCTCAGCACCCGACACCTTCGTGCAAACTACCTCCAGCGCTGGATGTCCACCGAGCTCCAGCTTTCCAACGTCAGCACCGATCAGCAGACAAAGATCGCCAGGGTTGGCCTCTCCCTTGTCCCGCAACACAACACTGTCCGAGCGCAGGCTGCCATTGCCGCTCACAAAGGGGACGTGTCCGCGCGACTTGCGCTTCCCAACACATCCGCTGTGGTTCTCGTTGATGATTTCAATTGGCATCATGGGAGAGGCACGCCAAATGAGCGGGGAAAGCAATCGATCACCCGGACAACAGCAAATGTTGGAGTGCGTACTTGGGATGTCTTGGAGATGCCTCGCCTACCCTCTGGGCTGGGGCCGTTGCGCCCCAATTTTCACACAATCGGGTTTGCAGAGGATCAACATGTTCTTTCACAGTAATTCGGCTGTTGGATTGGACACTGACATCCTACATTGTCAAACGTGGGAACGGAGGGGAAATACGCCAGATGTATGACACCCGGCGCTTGGATCAGGTGTGCTCCATCAAAAACTTTGTGGCGTTGGCAAGCGAAGACAACCCGATGAAGTCTGATGAGGATATGGTGAAGCTTTATCAGGAGACGATCATCCCGAAACTTCGGCCATATATTGATGAATTGCCAATCGTTGTATCCGGAGACTTCTATGTCTGGATGGGAACCCTTAAGTTCCTCACGGGCTCTGCGGAGGGGCAGCGACACTCCGGAAAATTCTTGGATTGGCCTGGATCGTTTCACATTGCCTTGAACATGCAGGAAGCAGCATACAAGCACTAGTTCCCCCTTCTTAAGATCCTTTACGAAGCAGCATTTCCGGGTCTCGTTTGTCCACAGGTCCATCTGCGTCCCATTCAACGTGTTCTCCTGCTGTCTCTTGCACTTCAGGCACGGCAGCTTGCTCACATGCCGACGTCGACAGCCGCGATGGCGCATGACTACAGTTGGGGCAGGAATGTTATCCGTACCTTCTTCGAGGAGCATCTACCGCTCATGCTCGACGCACCAGTGATTATCACATCCCTCAACTACAATCACTTTGAGGAATTCGTTGTTTGCAGCCTCCCGTTCTTCATACAAATGGGGAAGAAGAACTACGTGACAATCATCCTTTGCATTCTTGGGCGCTTGGGCTTCTACCGTGCGCACGGGCTTCTACCGTGCGCACAACATCCCGCTTTACGAATGGATCCAAAACAACTACCGGTATCTCAGCGAGGAGGCCATCGAACTCTGGCATTCAGTCATCTGTCCCCTTATTCATCCGACGATGCAGCAGAATCAAGCCGAGCAGCGAGTCATGTTCAAAGCTGCCCTCCAAGAAGCCGATGCTCAGGAAGCGGCAGTACTGAATCTTCGCCGAGGCAAGCTACGGGGAGCAAACGCCGGGACGTCGTTGTTCCAATTCCGCAAAGACCAAAAGTGCAACCTCCAGGCTGCGGCGGATAAGCTTCTCAGCATTCTTGACCATATAATTGTCTACAACAGAGACCATGGCGGCCCAGCCTACGAGAGGGAATCAAGGACAGCTGGCAAGAATTCGGTGACCACGCGGTTGTATCATTTCACCGCAGAGCCTGACGGCCTGCTGCTAGGCGAGGCAGTCATCCCACTCACCCAGCGACGCCCAAATGCACAAGGCCACACCGTAGTCAAGGTTGGAAAGCATGTTGACATTACTCGATATGCGTTCCCATTCGACAACGCTGGTCATAACACCCCCTGCCAGCCCCTTTCCTGCGGTTGTTGCCGTCACTGCAGCAGTGTTCGAGCGATGTTCAAGCAGAGCAAGTGCCCAAACTGCTTTGCTATCACGAAGGAAATCATGCAGGCCGTTGTCGCAGATCGTAACAGCAAGGTGCAAGAGTGGAGTCAGGCTGGCGTTGCGGGAGAGGAAAGCGATGAGGAGCCCTCTGTCTTTGACGTTGATGAAGCAAGTTAAAGTAGGCATTTATTTGTTTTTAAGAGAAAATATAAAAAATGTAATGGAACAGTTTTGAAGAGCGGCCTCTGGCGCACATATCCTACTACAATACTTGGGGTGGCCGTTGCGTGTGTGCAGAGGCCGTGGGGTTGCGACAAGAGATGTCTGTTTATTCTGCGCGGAAGACCGAACGACACGCTTGCCGAAGACGTATGTGAGCGCTGAGCTGGCGGGTCCGAGACCCAGAGCCCAGCCGGCTGCACTGTCCGTGTACTGTACTATGAGTTCCAAATCCTGCTCGCCGTTCGCCGTAGCAATAATACGTTCGGTACATATAGTACAGTAGTAGCGTAGTAGGTACCACCACCACACTTCCCTCCCTGGAATTAATAGTAGACGCCTATGCTGAGCTAGTCCCAGAGTCATAATCATTACTTGTTCTTGAGCAGAGGCTTTTGTTACGTAGAGAGTTTCGCAACCGCGCCGCCACGAGGTTTGTGCTTGCTTGCCCAACTTTCCGTTCTGCCAACCTCCGCGACATACTGTACAGTATATATAAGACGACACTCGCAAGCGCTCGCTCCATCTCGTCCACACTCTCATACCTCCGTCATGGCCTATTCTCCACCACGCTCATCCATGAGGAAACCTTCAATCGTCGAACGGGCTTCAAATGCCATTGAGCAGAAACTTAGCGGGAATGGGATTCGAAGAGTATCGACAACCCCGGCCTCGTATGGAGCGTCCGGGAACACCTCACCGTCCATGTCGCAGCACAACCTTGCTGCAGGAGCGAGCTCCGCTAGCCTTCTTAGTGGTGGGGACATTCTCTCCATGAACGCGGAAGACTACGAGATGGGTGATCCCATTGGTTATGGCAGTTCGGCCGTGGTGTACACCGCCCTGTACAAGCCAACGAATAAGACGGTAGCGGTGAAGATGATAGACCTCGATATGTTTGAGAGGAACCAAATAGACGAACTGCGGGTGAGTTACATCTGCTCCCTCCACTTCAGGACCCATTGCCTGACTTGAGACGCGCATCACAGAGAGAAATCCAGATCATGTCCCTTTCAAAACATCCACACCTGTTACCAGTATATGGTTCCTTCGTACACGGATCTAAGCTGTACATAGTGACGCCCTTCCTGTCCGCTGGATCGTGTCTAGATATCATGAAGACCGCTTTCCAAGATGGAATGGACGAGACCTCCATCGCCACGATTCTGAAGCAAGCCCTCGAGGGGTTGGTTTATTTGCACAAAAATGGATTGATACATCGAGATGTCAAGGCCGGGAATTTACTGATACACGAGGATGGACTCGTTCAGCTGGCAGACTTCGGTGTCAGCTCCAGCCTGATGGACACTGGGGAGAGGAAAGGAATTCGGAAAACGTTCGTGGGAACTCCCTGCTGGATGGCCCCTGAGGTCATGGAACAAAGTGGATATGACTACAAGGCGGACATCTGGAGTTTCGGGATAACGGCTCTGGAGTTGGCAACCGGTCATGCACCGTTCGCAAGATACCCTCCTATCAAAGTGCTCATGTTGACCTTGCAAAACGATCCACCGACCTTGGACCGCGAATCCACAAAGTACAAGTACTCAAAGATCTTCAAGGATATGATCGATATCTGTCTGGTGAAGGATCCAGCACGGAGGTATGTATGTGGAAACAGCTTGACGTCTTCGTCACTCCCCGATGGGAACTGACCTCCCGAGATTTCATCAGACCAAATGCCGAGAAGCTATTGGGTCATGCCTTTTTCAAACAGGCCGCCAAGAAGCGGCAATACCTCGTTCCCGCTCTATTACAGAACCTGCCGCCGATAACACAGCGGCCACATAACAAACGCGGAGCACGGCCAGAGAGCGATGGTGCTTACCATAAGGGCGTTTCATGGGATTTCTCATCTGTCGGTGAAGAGTTCAACGACCTCGTGCGTGGGACGGACCGTGGCAACCGTGATACCATTCGAACATTCCTGTCCGGCACGTCGCTCTCGGATAGCTCCTCTCTGGAGCAGAATCCCGGGCCAGACGAGACGGAAGGGGGCCGCAAAGGTGTCACGTTCGGGACACCCACCGTGATCACGGACGGAGCGGAACCAGTACCGATCGCTGCACCCGGAAAGAAAAGCAGGTTCACGGTAGAAGGAAGTGGAAGTCCAGGGGCAAGTCCCAACACGTCCTCCGCTGCCCTTCGCGTTGACGTTGGGGACAATGAAAGCAGCTCGCAAACATCACAGCTCCAACAACCGCAACAACAGCAATCGCAAGCGACCAATACCGCTGGGAATACTGGGGTTCCCAACAGCAGTAGCCCTGGGCCCGGGGATACAAATGCAGCAGGTGTGGGTGTTCGGAAAGGCAGATTTAGCGTAAATCAGTCGAACTCTGCGACCGCCGCTGCACCTCCGTCAGCAACTTCGTCCGCTACAGATGGTTGGCCGGCGACCAGCTCGCCTGTGGATGGACGGCAAGAAGCAGAGCCTGCTCCACGTAAGTCCTAATGTTTAGATTGGCGGCAACCAAAATCGAAAAGCCGGTCTAATCTATCTCCGTCTTTCAAAATATAGTAGAGCGAAAACCCTCCAGATTCGCGGTCCAGAACCTCTCCACTGCATCCTCCGCAAATAACACGCCAACCACCCCGAACGCCCCTGGAATGCCCATCCAACAAAGCAACTCGTCCGACTCTCTCCCTCGCTCGACGTCAGACCGACGCGGCAGGTTCGAGGTAACGACAGGCGATAGCAACTCAACAACGCCGCGCACGGCTACGCCAGCGAGCTTGGACCAACTCGTCCGTCAAACAGAGGTGCAACGGCAGTTCCTGCAAGACATTGTCGGCGCGTTGCAACGGAAGGGCATGTCGCTGGAAACGCTAGGCGTGCAAGTCCCGGAAGGCGCCTTCACTCCAGTCAACGTAGACCTGTTGCAGCAAAACTCTGCCACCGCGGCCGCCGCCTCACAGCAGCCGGCCACACAGCAGGCCCCATGTGTGGTGGGCAGCCAAATCGGCGCCATGCAAGTCGGCGGCGTAGAATGGCTCCAACGAGAAAACGAGGCTTTGCGGAAGGAGATGGAGGGCCTGCGGAAGGACGCGTGAAACCCCGCGCCGCTGAAGGGTTCACATCCATCCCTCTGCAATCGGGAAGGGCCTCGTTGATGCCCGGAAACCGTGGTTCTTTATACTTATCCCCCGTTGTAACATGCATATACGCCAGCTGATATCACCATCCCGCTGACTTTCATTGTGTGGGCTACCCATGTTTGGTTTCTTGTCGCTTCTCACACAACACAAAAGGTCACTATATGATTCTCTCCGGCAAGAGGTTGCGAGCCGGACACATTTTCATTCTTGTTCTACCTATCTATGTGGTGTTTTTGAAATGCGCGGGCAAGGAGAAAATGCGCTTTCACTTGGGCGGCACAGAAAAAGGCGTATATGGCTCTTTCCTGGTCGACCCATTTCCTGCTCAAACACTCATCTTTATCTACGTTTGACACAATGACCGATTCTCGCAAGCCAGAGCGCACTGAGGGAGAGGCTGACCACCAGGTCGCAGCGCCCACGATTCCAACCGGCCAGAAAAGCCTCGCACCATTGTCTACCCACGACGGCGAACCATCACCCACCGCGGACACTGACGATGTCGCGGAAGATGAAGGAGGGGTCGACTACAGGTGGTTGCTGTCACAGGACTCGAAAACGTAAGCTGGGCATCGTGGGAAGCTGCAACTAGACCTGTGGCTGAGAGCGGGACGAGGAGATTGGAGGGAATGCCGGCGGCAGATCCGGTTTCTGACGCGGTTTTGGGTTTATCTAGACAGGCACCGATCCTCCGAGGAACCAAAGAGTTCGGCCCGGATGGCTCTAACGCACAGAGCAAGGCGCTGGAAGAGTCGCGGAATGCACTCCATACCATTCTCCAGGAGGAGCGCAGGGCGTCTAGGTGAGCTTTGAGAGAACTTATCCACATACATCCGGGGGGAGCATAGGATTGACCGACTCCCCACCAGCCGCTCAATGAACGAAGCCGAGTGGGACCCCCACCACTGTGTAGCGCGCGTCACCGTCCAGCGCGGGACATACTACCAGGCGGCGGGCACGACGGTCGGATCCGATCTGTACCTGTTGCCGGAGGAAGCGCTGTTCATGATTGAACGCAATGCGATGATGTTGACGTATCGCGGCGGGTTGTGCTCTATGCAGCAGGCGTTTGACTTGTTGGTCGGGCTGGAGGATGTGGGTGGGGATATGGTTGATATGGATGGGTATCAGGTACGTTCATGCTCAGCCGGAAGGGGTGAAGGTGCCTGGTCATAGGGAAATGCTGATTGATGTCCGAATTATAGGTCTATGCCTACCTGAAGCGACTGGGATATGCCGTCCTCCGGACACATTTGCCGCCTTTCTTACGACCGGTGCGCGCAAAACGGCGGATTGGACCATCCTCCACCACCGTATCGACGCGGCCTTCGTTCTCTGGTAAAGCATCTGCCGGTGTCGAATGGAATGCAGCCGTCAATCTAACATCCCATATCCGCCTCCAGTGCTAGCTACGATAGGAAGCTTTGGCCGGCTCTTCAACCGGCTCATCGGATGGCTGCTAGCATGGTGGCTCCCACGCAGATCCACCCCACATTGGCCCATCGTCGATCTACGGCGGTGTCGGTACTCGACGGATGTGTTTCGGCAATTGCAGATCATTCCTCGATTGAACGTCGAAAAGCCTACTATTCCGGCCGCGGCGGCGCCATCCTCTTCTCCGCCGGCACCGCCGTCTAGACTCGAAGGTCGACCTATACGCGCTTTCAATGTCTACAAGCCACGGCCCCGTTTCAAGAAGAGCGATCCTGGACCTCCCGATTTTCGCGTTGTGGTTCAAAAGTATGTTGTCAGTCATCATTTTGATTCTGCTTCTTCTGAGGTTACCCGCTCACGATATGTGTGTGATTTTTCTTCTCGGTCAGTGTAACGGACCCAATGTTTGATGTAGAAGACTTCCACGCCCAACTGCGACAAATGGATGAGGAATGTACACAGCTGAAAATTGGTATAGTCGATGGCGGGAACGTCTCGTTCCTTGCATTCGGTCCGCCTGCCGCTCCCCCTATCCCGTAAGGCGCTTTTTGCGTATCGCGGAAGACCGGAAAATCGCGCATGTATCACATCGGTGATTGGACATGTGACAGCATCTGAAACTGATATCACAGCGTGCTACCCTCCATTCCAACTCTGTTCACTCACGCGTTGGTGACCGTCCCGGTCGCTATTGTAAGGAAGGGATGGAGAGGTGGAGGACCGCTGCTTTCTCCGTCCTCGGGAGTATCGCATGGAAGGGTCTCATAGGTCCTGTACAACACTGTGGCCCTCTTGGCATCTCGAGGCGGACAAGACGTGGCGTTCTACGACGGGGCACGACGGGGCACTAGGGAGGGCAATCTTCAGCGGCAGACACTTAAGCCTAGAGAGGCGTTCTTTGTACGATCTGGCCTTCTGTGGAGGGACGGGGAGCATTCGACTGCATGCGGGGGCGTCTATATCGATCCTGAACGGACGTACGCGGCTCCCTGGTGCGATAGGACTGTTCCCGGAGGATCTATCTGCATCCTCGTCAGATGCACTGGTTCACCGATTTCGCATCACGTACATATGCAGTCCAATGAACAGCTCTGCGATGCACCTTGGCTACCTTTCCATTCAGCTGGGAGTGATATCGCGGCTTCTTACCCCACTGCTAAATCCTTTCTCGATGAGCGGCAACTTTTCGAGCGGAGCGGGATAGGACCTTGAGCGTTTTCTGAATGCTCTCATTCTTCCTCTTGATGTCGCGCACTTCAAACTTCAAATCTCTTGGAGTCCAGACGTCTCCGTACAGGGCTTTCTCTGCAACTCGCCGCCAGTATGTCAAACACAACGGATAACCTGCCCTTTGAATGCCCATGTGGCTACCCTAGCGTGTGATTGATGGACTCTGTATAGTACTCTGCTCTGTGCTTAGTTTTGTTGGATTCTCCTTCTTCCGATGGTCTTTTCCTGAATGTATTATAACCATTTAACCCCCAGGGGAAAGGCAAAAGGAAAATCGTCAAAGTCAGAGGTGACAGCATTGGGACAGAACACTGTCAAAACGACGCCAAAGGGGGTGGCTAGAACAATATGGGGGTTGCTCGGATCCATTCCCCAAATTTATTGTGCAAAAATTGGTTGGTTGCGTGACAAATCGCAAAGAAACAACGCTATGGTTTCGATCCCGCGAGCCAGAGAAGAAAAGCAATGCAGACGAGGTTTCCCTCATCCGGGTATAGAAGACGGGAAGCCGCCGAGTTGCTATCAGGAGGGTCAACTCGTTCAAGCCATAGCAGTGACGGGTCCCTTGAAGAAATTGTCCGTCATGGGTTGACCAGGAGGCAGTTTGGGAAGCACGGTCTGGCTCTGCCCTTTCATCGAGTTCTTTCCCGTTGTGGAATTGTCAACGGCGGAGGTACTTTGGTTGACGCCTGAGCCATTGATGGGCGCGGCTCGCATGTTCATGTAGATCCTCTCGTTGTATATATATGCCACGCTGTTCCAGACTCCCCCAAGATTTGCGCCTGGCGGAGAAGCGTTCGTGAGATGACGATCAAGCCGGCGTACCTTCGCAAACAACTCTCAACCACTCACCGGCGATCCCAACATAGATGCAAAACATCCTAAACCCATACGGCTTCGTCGTATCAGCCATAGCAGCCGTCAACAGCAACGCGCACGGAAGCCACTGCAAGCAAGCAGCAATCGTAAAGCTCTGCAGTCTTCGCACAGCGCGGTCCGTTCCCGCGGTAGCTTTGCTTTGAGCGGCGCTTTGCTTCTTGCCGTGCATTTCGTTCCGCACCCGGTTGACGTGCCGGACGGTCATGTAGGAGGTGACCATGACGGTTGCGCTGACGAACAAGAAGAATAGGACTGAGGTTGGGCGGAAGGGATTCTTTTAGTCATCGATGAGAGGCATGATGTCAATAGCTCACTGTATACAACACTCACCTGAGAACCAGCCGTAACCTCGACCAGGGCTACCAGTCGCAAGATTGGGGCCTTGGCTAGTGACGCAGACAGAGAAGTGCGGTAAGCAACACAATCAAGGACGGCGTTGTCCGTTCACAAGCACTCCGGCAAACGTACAAGTATAAGAAAGGACCCATCCCCTGATTGGCATTGGCAGTCCCAAAGATCAACAGACCGGGCAGAAATGCAATCACATGCAGGCGGTACTCATACACGCCTAACGGGAATTCCTTGCCAACGACGACTTTCAAGAACGACTGGATTGACAGCACTGTCGTGACGTTCATCTAAAATATTGACAGGGAGAGGGTAAGACATTCCGACTTCTCCCCACAGCCCCACACTCCGAATCAAAATGGGCGCGCAGACGTTACCTGATATGCGACGAAGCAGAACACTAACGTCCCAAGCAAACCCCCAACCCTCGGGGACGGGTATCTCTCGGTGCTGACCAAAACAATATGGTCCAGCGTGTGAACAACCGCGAAGAGGAGGTCGGCTAGGCAACGGTACAGCGGACTGCATATAGGTTAGGGAGGAAGTTGGTTAAAACACACTCAATCCATGGATCCACACCGAGCGTCCCGCGATGGTGGAAACTCAGACAGTGTCAAGCCCACACTCACAGTCGCTCCGCAAACGAGGCATAATTCTGCTGCTTGATCGCCCTCGCAAGAACGAATGTCGACCCGATGATCGTCAACCCGATACACACAAACGCGAGCGTATGCACTCCAATGAAGTTGGAGTAATCATCCCACACGATAGCGCAGGCGTCGGGCTCGGATTCCGTCCATTTACACCGTGTAGACATGGTGGTTTTTCTACTGTCTGCTCGTGTACACTATGGCTCTACGGTTCGTGTGGCAGGAAGGGGCTGGAGGCTTGGGTCTCGATGAAAAACTCTGGGTGGTGCTGAACCCGGAGGTGAGGAGGGTCTACATATTCCACGACGCCCTTATGAAGGGTCCATTGAGGGCCACCTTTGCTTGCTTTGCGAGGTGTAGATAACAACGAAACATAGTGACCTACAAACGCTCAAAGGCCTTGAGAGGCAGAAATTGACGATTGCACATGTGCACAGGAAGGAGCGGGGCCGAAAAACAGTATTTTGGGAGTGGGCATAAACAAACAACAATGCACCAATTCCAAGCGGGTATTGATCAGGCGGAAGGGGTCCAGCGCCACCGCCTGAACCCATTCAGAATGGCCGTCCAATTCGAGATACCGGCGTCACACGGCGTGGAAGGTTGCCAAGTGGTTCTCGAGCATCGCGGGTGTCAGTGCTAGATCGAGGGTGGCGAGATATTTAAGCTCAGGATCGCGCTGTTGGATCGACAGTGCCGGAGCCCGTCTGGCACTCCCGTATTTCCCTAAATGCTATAAGGCGTTCGGGACCATTTAGCAGTCTAGGCTGTTTGTCATTCATGAAAGCTCAAAGCAGGGCATGAACATTGTCCGCCTCTCGAGCCATTCGAGGACTTCGTCGTCTTTTCGTTGGCACGTGGATAAAGAATAGGTGAAACGGCGGCAAGGTGGATAAGGCGGACAATGCGGACAATGGCAAACTCCGCCTGCCGATGCGCTGTCGAATACTGCCACTTGCTTTGACAAGACAAAGGAACTGACAAAATGCATTTATTCTAATGAACGACAATATCTACATCGATAACCTTCGGTACAGATCAATACTTTTGGAACACCATCGTAACCAGCGCCACCCAATACAAAGCTTTCGCAAAAATGCCAAAACGCCAACATAAACTCTGTCCTCCCACATCACGCCTCAACAGCCTCCCTAACAGCCTCCCCAAAAATCTCCAACCCCTTCTCCATCTCCTCTTTCGACACAGTCAAAGGCGGGATAAACCTTAGCGTCTCAAACACCGACGTCGTGAGCACCAGCAGACCTCGATCGAGACACGCTTTCTGGACGCGGGCGGAGATGCCTGCGGGAGCTTCCGGGCTGAATTCGAGACCGACCATAAGACCACGGCCGCGGATGTCGCCGATGAGGGGGGCGAGGGTAGGGGATGTGCGGAGGGATTCGAGGCCTGCGCGGAGTTGAGCTCCTCTGTAGTGATAGGAGTTATAAGAAGTGTGCGGTGGAGGGAAGGATTTGGAAGGGAAACGGTACCGTGCTGCAACGTTTTCCAGGATCTTCTCCTCGTGCATTACATCTGCACATGCGACTCCAGCGGCGCAAGCCACGGCGTTACTGCATAAACGTCGTTAGCCAAAGCGTTCCTCACTCGCACTCACGACGGGAAGAAACAACTCAACCCACCCCGAGTAGGTACCACCCATACTCCCAGGCGCCTGCTTATCCATCAACTCCTTCCGGCTAGCCAAGCCGCTCAATGGGAACCCGTTTGCGATCCCCTTCGCCATGACGAGGATATCCGGTCGTACACCATATTGCTCGATGGCAAAGTACGTGCCTGTTCGGCCGAACCCGGATTGTACCTCGTCGATGATGAGGAGGATATTGTTCTCATCGCAGAGCTTGCGGAGCTGTTCCATATACCCTAAGAGCGTTTGAGGTTGAGTAGGAACCCATCCCGTCGACCCAAATGAACCCAATGCAACGTACGTTGTGGTGCTGGAACATAACCGCCTTCTCCCAACACAGGCTCAATGATAATAGCCGCCGTATCGCTCGCTGGGGTCTGTTGCTTCAGGAGAAGCTTCAACTCCCGGATGGCATGATCGGCACATCGGTCTTCGGCAGTGGCTTTGTCTCCACCCGTTTCGCGGAGGTAGTGATAGGTGTAAGGGAAGGGGGTGACATATACTCCTGACTGAGTGGGCTATGTTAACATGGGGGGTCAATTGCCCGATGAGACATCCACGCTCTTACCATTAACGGACCGAATCCTGCGGAGTAGATGGTCTTCGACCGAGTCATAGACATTGCCCCGAATGTTCGCCCATGGAAAGCGCCCTGAGTGAATGCATTCGTTAACCCCCAAACTCATGGCTCGCATAGTACATGCCGTCGGGTTGCCAAACCTGCATAACGATGACATTCTGCTTCTTCGTTGCGTGACGAGCGAGCTTCACCGCGTTCTCGGATGCTTCGGAGCCCGAATTGAACCATAGGAAGGTATCCAGTGACTCGTGTGGCATCACTGGCAGGAGCTTTTGTACCAGTTCCAGTTGCGGTTTCTACGGTAGAGCAGTACAGTACCTTCATTAGTCAAATGGGTTATCGAGGAGAAACAAGAAACATTGAGTCGCGGCCAACCTGGTACCCAGCGTTGATCTGTGCGTGTATGATTCGATCGCATTGACGCTGTGCTGCCTTGACGACTTTGGGGTGACAATGTCCTGTACAGAAATCACATTCGTAAGTTCGGTGCTTCCAGGTCCGGCCCATTTTTGCCAAGCGTCCTTCCCTACCAAGGTTCGTAACCCCAATACCACATGTGAAGTCCAGGTACTTCTGGCCCTCAACCGTATACAACCAGGATCCCTTTCCGTTGTCCCATACCAACTCCGTTGCGCGCGCAATACCCCGACCGAGGTGCTGCTTGCCGAAAGCTGCCATCTCCGCGCCTACTTTGGTGACGGCTGATCTCATGGGTGCCGCCATCTTGGAACGGTTATATCTCGCGTTCTTTGAGTGCTGGGTTGCGATCGCCGGTCAGACGTCTTCTCTTTTGACAACTTGACGGGAAGCTCCGGGGAAAAGAAAGAAATGCGTATGGGGAGCAAAAGGGTTCCTCGTCGTTGAGATGTTGGGTTGGGATACCTAGTTCTTCGTACCTCTTCATGGTCCTTTTGAGCCTCGGGTGGAAACCTGGCGTGATGTCATTTGCTCGGCGCCGCGACTCCCACCCTCATCAGAATGACACCAACCTGTCCGAATGTTCTGAACTTCGACTTCTACCCAAGAAACCATCCCAAAGCCGTCGGCGTTTCCGTTCTCTCACACCCAACAGAGTGCGTTCTGGTCTTGTCCGTCCACTCGTAAGTGTTGTCGTTCTGCCTCTGTATGGGTGACGCAAGACAGACGTCTAACCGGCGGCTTTCCCGAAGCAGTTGCGACGGGACACCAAATGAATGGCCGACGGTCCGACCGACACCAGACAAGTCCTTGTCCTCCCAGCAAGAACTTCCGTCAAGAGGTATGGGATGCTTGCTTTGGGAAATCATTAGTAGCCCTCGACAGTTCAACCCGTTTCTCCTCGCAGTCCCTTTTGCTTGCAATGCGGCGGTACGGCAGTGAAGAACAAGAATGGGAAAGCTGAGCGGCTTGTCTCTTGTGCCCTGTGTGGGCTCAGTGGTGCGTACTTCCCTTTTAGCAAGCTGCTGGGGTGTTCCACCGTTCACGCACTCACTCTCCAATCCTAGACCATCCGAGTTGCCTAAGCCTGAGCAGAATTGCAACCAAAAACGTTCAGGGGTACGACTGGTCGTGCAGGGACTGCAAGAGCTGCTTCGTTTGTCAAAAGCCATCGGAGGAACTGCTATTATGTGATCATTGCGACCGGGCGTCGCATCTTGAGTGCGTGGATCCGCCATTGAAAAAGATACCCAAAGGTAAGACGCCGTATGTGCGATCTAACATTCACAGCAGAACTCATTGATACTCTTTTGTTTGAACATAGGACGATGGCTATGCCATATATGCAAGGACGCGACGTAGATCGGTCAGGACGCATCACAAACATCTATAGAGTCTCAGATTGGGCCAGCAAAGATTACGCCGCAACGGGTGGGTGACACTTTTTGGGATTACGGACGGATGGGGGTGTGAAACCGAACTCCTGCAATCGACCTTCCCGGTGAAGATCGATGGCAATCACTTTGTCATTTTCTTCGAAGCTAGCGCGGCACAAAACTGGTTTGTCCGAGTAGGACGATGGTGGTTTAGCAATTCAGCGGAATGTGAGAGACGCATATCAATGAAAAGCAGTCGCACCTCATCAAAGAGAACATATCCCCCCTTATTCTTATCAATCTGATCGAACGTGCTCCGTGCGCTATCCCCGTCCAGCCCCAAGCTTTTCCAGCCTTTGCTGAATTCCGCGAAATCCACGCGATGATCCCCATCCTTATCCAACTTTTGAAACTGTGTGTAGAACCTATCATAGTTCTCCAGGTAGCTCATAAGCCTCCCAAACTCCTTCCTGTCCACAAAACCGTCCTTGGATGCGTCGGTGGCCTTGTAGGCCCGCATAATCACGGGTTTCCGGGAGGCATACTGAGGGAACGATTGGATGATGGCGCGGTCGATTTCGGCGAGGGAGAGGATGCCGTTGCCGTTGTAGTCGAAGGTCTTCCACAGGTTCTCGGCGTCGTCGTGGGTGAGGTCTTTCATGGTGATGTCAGTGGCTTGCGTTTACGGCCGTTTGACGATGGTGGCGGCTGCACGTCGAAGCCGAGAGCAAGTCATGACGGTCATCAAGCCTCAATCCGAGTGAGACAACTCGACAGCGCGTAACCGGCTCGAAACGCGCTCCCGTTATTTTGGGAAGGGCGCATACTGACCCAACCCTTTGAGCTTCGGCAGGCAGAGAAATGGACATCCAACACAAGAGAAGGCAAGTCTCTGAAAGAATCCCCTATCTATTTTGGAGTTGCCAGCACTAACATCGTGATTTACAGGGTAGCGGAAAGAGCGGCAAAGGAACTGAATGCAGTTTTCCACATCGGTGCATCAGATGCCGATCTATTGGGGAACTTGGGAAATGTTTCGAGGGATGTAGAGGCGGATTACCTGAGCAGGTAGGAGAGAAAACGAAATGAAAGAGCGATATATTTCTGGACTCAACGTCTTGCTAGGCAAGCAACAGATACCATCCCAAAGGTTAGCAAACTGGGCCAGAGTCGGCCAGGGCACCACAGCGACAAAGCATCCCCATACGGACACGGACACAGCCATGGCCGCAATGCCAAGCGTGCAATGTCCCGAAGGCTACCAGTCCTCCCCGTCCTGCCAGTGCAGGGCCAAAAGCTTTGGGAGGCGCCCGTATCCCAATATGAAACATTCGCAAGATCACCCACACGACGAACCTTCGAAGAAGAACAAAGCCTTCGAAATCGTACATCCCACCCCCACCGATCTCTCGACGTCATGCTCGTCGGGCAGGGGATCTCAAACTGGACCACCCAGGGCCCGAAAGAGTTGGAAGAGCCCTGGCATGAGACGTATGAGGACGCTACATTGCACGAAAATGCCGGAATCGAATCGTTCCCGGAGGGCAGAGACACCCCCTCGCCGATGCAGCTCGCCCCACTAGTCGTGCATGACACCGCTTATCAGACTGACCGGGGCTCGAATGGAAACCCGATTGAGGAGCATGCGCGCTTTCAGAGTTTTAGCGATATTGAGGCGGTGTTCAAGAAGTATTCGGCGTTGTTGGGGCGGGAGAGTGAGGGTTTCGGGGGAGCGATGGAGGGGTCGTCTTTGGCGTCGCTGCCGAGGGCTTTGGGTGCTGCGGATGAGAACGCGGACAGGAGAGCATCTGTGACGGTTGTCACTACATGTATGTCGCACGGATGCCATTCAAGATGCATGCATGCCATAAATGAGGGAGCTAACTCCACCTACTATGACTGTGGCAGCAGAGGGACCCACTACAGGTCCCCAAGACACGCCCGCTTCAACAGAATCACAATCTAAGCTAGATAGCGTGGATGAGAACCCTCCCGCGAACACGGCTATGGAGGGCATTATAGTCGCAACGGAATCAGCCGGAGATCAAGAGGAACCATCCGACCGTCCTCTCGGCGCGGATTTGGGGTCCGGGGTCTTCATGGAGACACAGCCGCCAGAAGTTCTTACGGGGCTCGGGGACGCTTCCAGTATCCGCATTACTAAGGATTTAAAGCGGGAGAATGAAGATCATCAGTCGCCGGTTTGGAGACCGGAGAATGAGGTCGCACGGCTTGAAGGGAAGGCGGGACGCCAAATGGAGGAGACGGAGTTTGGGGATGTTGAGGAATGGGTCGAATCAGGTTGGTAAATGCATGGAGTGCCTATTTAAACGTCTCAACAAACGACATAACTAAATGACCCCAAACAGACCGACAAGAAATGATAATCGAAAGCTACAAAGCCGTCATCCAATACCGCACCACCAACCGCCGCAAACGCGAACGATCCGGCCAAAAACCCAAGACTCAGAAACTTTTCTCCTTTGCTAAATTCAATGAACTGCAGGACGAGTTTGAGAAGGAGGCGTCGCTGCTTGCGACTGGGAACGCGAGTGTATCGCATTTTCATCCCGTTCAGCCGAAACCGCCCACTGCGTCCATTTATGCGGAGGCGGTGCAGCAGGACGCCTTTGATATGGAGCGGGTGACGACGCCCATCTCGAACCTGTCGGCGTTGTTGGAGGTGCAGCGACAGGCGCCGTTCCAGGTATGAACCACCTATGATGAGCAGAGCAATCTGAGACGGATCTTGTTGACAAGCGTTTAGCTAGAAGGTCGACCCATGTCGATCAACCGCATCCCTATCGCGGCGGGGTCGATGAACATTGGGATGAGTTGGACGCCGGCGCAGCCGAGGTTGAGTTTTGCGGGGCGGTCGAGGAGTGGGCATTTTGGGTCTTTGCCAGGGACTCCTAAGGTTTGTGACTTCTTCCTTTCTGGCTTTTTCTCTTCCTTCTTGCTTTACTTACAGTCTTGATAGGTTGGACAAGGACATCCTCGACGAACAACGATCAAGCCGCCAGATGCTCTCGCCACACCGGCATCCCCGGCACACGAACCCGGCGCCTCTACTACCCGCTTGCAAACTACGATCCCCACCGCCACCCAAACCGCACCAGATATACCCGCATCCCGCGAGATCTCCACCCACGTCCTAACCCAACAACTCGAAGACGCGTGGGTCCAGCCAGAAGTCCTGTACACGAGCTCGCTAGTATTTGGAGCTGAGCCGCCGTTGGAGTTGGCGGAGGTGCGTGTGCCGTCTGCGCCTGTCGTGGGTGGTGGTGCGGAGGAGGGGGTGGGTGGGAGTCAGATGGGTGGGGATTTGGATGGGCCGTTGATGGTGGAGGAGGTCCCGTCGGAGATGCCCACTGTTGAGGCTGTTGAGGATGAGCCTGTGAAGGATGAGCCGTCCGGGGATGAGCAAAACAGAGACGTTGGGACAACCGGGGCAGACGCCAGCCAGATGCAGACGCAGGTCAAGAGAGAATCCGTGAATCCCACCATAGAGTTCCCCTCGGAACCTGCCTATCCACTAGCCTTACAGCCCGAACTCCCGCATTCCCAAAACACTTCACCCGAATCCGCGGCTTCTCACCATCTGCATCCGCAGCCTCAAGCGGCGGCCCCATCTCCATTCGACACATCGAGTGAAGAGCCGTTGAGTGGATGGGGCGGCTCGGAAGCTGAATATGGGCTTGAGCGACCGCGGGAACTAGAGCGGTCGGTGGGCAGGCGAGAACAGGGAAACATAGCTTCGAATCGGAAAGGTAGTGAGAAGCAGGTGGTTGCTGATTCTGCCAGGGAAACGTCGGTATCCGTGATGAGTGATGCGTCTGAGGCTCGCGTGGCCATGAAGACCACGGCAGCAGGGATCACCGGGCCCCCAGAGACGGATGCTTCATCGGCACAGATCCCGGATGTTAATGTCCCAGGCTCACGGGAACATCAGATGGCAGAGGATCAGATGGTAGAACAGGACTTGGGATTGACAGCTGAGGCCGATGTGCAAGCATTAGCTACAGACGGTACGCCGGAGCATCAAGTCGCCGAGGCCATGACTGATATACCAGTGAATGCTGAGCTTGGCGCTGATTTGGGGGCTATGGGAAGGGGTATCGAAGGCAGCATGCTACTGGAGGAAGAACAACCAGATGCCGGAGCCGAAGAAATGGAAGAGTCCGACGACGACGAGGATTGGTTCGGCGTCAGCTCCAAATTCAAAACGCGCGAACCCTCCGCCCCACCAGCCGGCCCATCCCAAATTGCCCAAGTCAGGAGCATCCAAATGACCGCTGAGCAAGGCACGGCTCTCTACCACCGCATTCACGGCAACGAGCGTCGGCGCGCCACAATGTCGGACGACGACCGGCGGAAATACCCCGTTTTCTTCGAACAGCATAATGAGAGCGAGCAGTTGGCGCAGATGCACAAGGAGTCGAGGGAGAAGGAGATTGCGGCGCTTACCGCTCAATTGGCTGATACGGAGGTTCCCGTCCCTGCTTATCTTCGCCGGCGGGGCATCTTACTTGGATTCCGTGGCGACTTTGCCCTGGCGCTGGCTGACCTCGACAAGGCATTCGAATACGACCCGTTCAACTCTGAGGCGTGCTGGTATCGCCATCAGCTGCTCCTGTTAAACGGCGACGTCCAGAAAGCACTCAGAGACCTCGACATGATTACGGAAACTAACCGCCTGCACATGGCGGCCTTCCAGACCCGCGGGAGAATTTACCAGGAACTAGGCATGATCAAAATGGCGATCGTAAACTACTCGCAGGTGATCAAGCTAAAACCGCACGACGCCGACGCGTACTTCCAGCGCGCCACGCTGTTCGAGCAGGAAGATGAGATGGTCTACGCCAACGAGGACTATCGTATGGTTCGGAACCTCGATCCCAACAACGAGCCGGCTTTGCGCAACCTTGCGATGTACAGCTTCCAGCGGCAGCTATGGGGCGACTCACTAGCCGCCTTCACGCGGTTGATCCAACTCAACGTCAAGAACTCCGAAGCCTACCTCTTTCGCGGGCGAGCATATGCGCATCGTGGGGATTGGGAAGAAGCTTTGCAGGATATCACGACGGCGATCCATATCAGCCCGCAGGACGCGCAGGCGTATTTCCATCGAGCCTCCTTGTTTCGGCGACGGAACCCGTTCAAGGCCATCGAGGATTTCAGTTTGTCGATTCTGCTGGATACCACTGACACATTCTATGAGGCGTACTATCAGCGTGGACTGCTTTACTACTCCTTGGAGCAGTATGAGTATGCGGTAGCGGATTTGATCACCGTGACGGAGTTGGAACCGTTGCATCATCAGGCATACCTTTCTCTCGGTATCCTCTACATGCGGTTCCTGAACAACCTCCCGGCGGCGCTGCGATGCCTTCAGAAATGCGTCTCAATCAACCCCATCCAGACGTACGGATATCTGTGCTGCGGTGATTTGTATCAAATGATGCTGAAGACCCCGCCGGCAGAGACACCCCCGGCCGTCGTCTTGAGGCCATCCTCTAACCCGTCGTCGCGGGCTGTGTCGAGAGGAGGAAAGCCTAGCGACCTGGACATTCTGTTGAGGACGAACGAGCATTATATGAAGGCGGCGGTGAGGCAGTATGATAAAGCGATACATTTGTCGCCTTCCAGTGCGAATCTGTATCTCTATCGCGGCAGAGTGTTGCTGAGGCTCGGGTGAGTATTGCGTGAATGAAGGTAATGCTGCCACATGGAATCATCCTAATCATCAACTTCTCCTTCTAGTCTCATGAGAGAAGCTACCAACGATTTTCAAATAGCATTCGCACTCAACGCCGAGATCGCACAAACCTTCGTGCAGGTAAGTCCACCCCCAACTGGCCAAAGATCGATTGCACATCAACTGGTCAAGACCGAATCTAACAACATCCGCAGAGAGCTTTGATCCTGTCGTTCCAAAGGAAATACCAGCAAATCATCGACGAGTTCAATAGGGAGAGTAGACTCAAAACGGTCGAAGATCCGCAACTGTACATGCTGGTTGCCAAAGCCAGGATCAGTTGCGGCGATCATGAAGGTACCAAACCGTGCCCATTCCCTGTTCAACCCCATGATATGAAAATCTACTAACCTAGCCCTCCGCCAAATCAGGCGCCCTCAAAAACCTCGCCGAAGCGCTGCGCCATAACAAACGCGAATCCGAAGTCTACCTCCTCCGCGGCATCTGCTACGAAAAGCTGCGCGACTGGGCCAACGCCATCAAAGAGTTTACGCCGTGCATCCAGCTCAACCCGCAGTTCTCAAAAGCTTACTATCATCGCGGTATCTCGAAACTGCATCTGAGGGATGAGGATGGGACATATGATCTGGATAAGGCAATTAAACTGGATCCGGACTTCTTTGAGGCGTACATTGCGAGGGCGAGTTACTATCAGAGCAAAGGTGCGTTGCTGGGTCTCGTTGATGGCGTTCGGAGGTTGTTGACAATCGAAGTGCAGGAGAGTACAATTTGGCGATTGATGACTGCGATGAGGCATCGAGGATTGAGCCTACCAGTATTCGGGCGTGTCTGCTCAAAGGAGCTTGTAATTGCAAACTTGGGGAGTTTGATATGGCCATACAGGATTTTACAAAGGCAATGGTCATCGACAGGGTAAGTGGAGTACTGAGGACATTTGGACGTCATGAATATACTTGACTGATGTCGATGCCGTCCAGACTTCCCACTACGCTCTGTATAACCGTGCGGTCACCTACCAGCTCATGAAAGAGTACGAGAGCGCCATCAAGGATTACAGCACGGCCATGCTCCTATGCAGCGATTCAGTGAGTACAACAACACCAACACCACTCTCTCCAACCCCCTAATCCGCTAACCTCATACATCTCACTTCTCAGAACGCCTACCGGAACCGCGGGCTGCTCTACTGGCAGCAAGGCGACCCCGAAAACGCCCTAATCGACCTCTACGCCGCGCGGGATGCCTTCCCAGAAGACGCCAAACTGCGCGCACTTCTCGGGCTGTGTCTGCAGAAATTGGGCAAGGTTGAGCAGGCGATTGAGGAGTTTAGTTCGGTACGTACGTTTCGATGTGCAGAACTTGTTTAAGGGCTCTCTGGCTAAGCTTCGCTCTTACGTAGGCAATCAAACTCAACGTGTTCATGCGCGAAGCATACATAGCTCGCGCCAACGTCCATGCGATGGCAGGACAGACCGAACAAGCTCGCAAAGATTATCTCCGCGTGTTGCACATGGACCCCCGGTGCATCGAGGCACTTATTAATATCGCCTATACGTTTCAGAGGGATGGCCGACAGAAGAAGGTGTCATGTGTATCCAGAAACTGCTATAAGATGACCATCGACTGACTTCGCGTTGTATAGGCATATGATCTATTCACAGCAGCACTCGCGATCGATCCGAACTGCAAGCCGGCCTTGGAAGGCCGAGCTGTGATCCAGTATGGGCGGGCCAACTTCTTTGGGGCTCTCATTGATGTTTCCAAAGCGATCGTAAGCAATCAAGATATCCACCTCATTCCATGATAGACCTCACTGATCACGAATTCATAGGCTCTCGACCCTCGCAACGCCGAGTATCTGACGAACGCCGGCGTCATCTGTCAAGCACTTGGCGACGATGTGTCTGCGATGCAAAGCTATAAGGTACAGCGTCGTGAAGTCCGCGCCGCTTGGTCGGAAGATACTGATGTTACTATCCAGCTTGCTCTGAAATCCGACCCAGAGTACGCACACGCGCATCTCAACATGGCGAACATGTGTTTCTCTCAGAGCAAGTATGAGGAGGCGTTAAGGCAGTACACGGAGGTAAGCATGTTTCTGCGAAGTTTCATGGAGAATACAGTTTCGTAACCTTCCTCGGTATCAGGTTTTGAAGACGGTTCCGAACTGCGTTGCGGCGTATCTCAACCGGGGAATCACGAAGGCGATATTGAAAGGCAAGGCTATTGTATGAAGGGTAATTTTCCGATGCAGGAGATTCATAATAACTTCATCTTCCAATGCAGACCTTACAGGCGCACTCGATGACTTCAATCGGGCGGCAATACCGGAGAATACCACGGCGGAGGTTTTCTTCAACAGAGCACATGTGTTGCAACTGTTGGGCCGACAGGAAGAAGCTGAGAAGGACTACACACATATCCTGCAGCTATCGCCAGCAGACAGCCTGGTCTATTTGCGACGAGGCGATGTGTAAGTTTGACATGATATCCCTGCCTCCGTCTTTCAATCGCTTACGCCGTGTTCAAATTACAGACGCGGCCACCGTGCGGATATGTACGGGGCTATGGAAGACTACGCCATGGCTATATCACAAAGTGCGGATTGAACTCACTATTACATATGTATTATCATTTGCCTCATAATCAACTCTGTATATATATATGCATGCAAAATGGCTATCGAAGCATCAATAGCAATCCATGGTATTGCACGCAATCGTCCGTCTCTGAGTCTTTGTATCCAAAAATTCGGTTGTGTTTCAAGATCTTGAACCCGCTATCGTGGACCAGCTTCGTTAACTCGTCGTTGTTGAACTTGTTGAGGTCCCCTGATTCGGGTATTGTGAGTCCGAAGCAGCAGCCTTCGTTCGGTCTCATTGACTTTGCAACTTTCTCCAGTAATGCCTGGGGGGATCTGATGAAGTCCATCACGCCGACACAGACTGAAAGTGTCCCACACGCCGCTTCAATTCGTGGCCCGACAGTATTGAGCAATGATCTAGCAAACTCACCGACGGCATCGAATGGTTCATCATACGGAAGGGGCGCCTCGATATCTTGGCACCGCAGCTCTTGAAACGGGAATTGTTTTGCCTTTTCTAACATCTGTCCCCGCCACACGTCAGCTATCCAAGGACCTGCACAAAAAGGAGTCCAGATAATCTTGACCCCAATCTGACCGGCTTCTGTTGCAAGTACCTCCGGCGTGGCATCAATGCCATACATTATTATCTGCTCGTTTAATGGTGGCTCGAAGAAAGGTTTCGAACTTGGAACCGCGGAAAACGTAAGATCATCGGTTGCACTTGCCGACATTAATCACAAGATCATCTTACCTTTGCCCTGTCCCACAACCTAAGTCAAGGACCCTGAACTTTCCTCCTTCTGGCGGCTGAGAGTTAGTCAGGTGTGCCAGCACCCATGTTGCAATAACGGAAGCTGGTATGGACGGACGGTTAATTTTCCCTTTCCCACAGAGGAGCGGAGTAGTGCCGGAGGAAAGAAGAGGACTTACGTGCGGGATAGCTATCAGCGGCTATTTCGTCGTCATAAGAGTGGGCGTAGTTCCCATAGAAGCGAGTGACCTCCTCTATCGACCAGGCGCACATCTTGAAGCTGTATGGAAGCTAAAATGTTGCTGGGAGATCCAGCCTTCAGCGCTTTGTCCACGGGAGGGACGGGAGGATGCAGCTCTGTTCTGTGAGGTCATCTCCTCCATCGCGACGCGCCGTCTTCTCTTCGGGAACGAAAGCGCCGCCTGCACAGACAGACAGACCACTCTTTTGCGCTTCCGCCATCGAGAGTTGGCTTGCAGTTTACAGCGGCGGCTCACTCACAAACCCTTGTCTATTGTATATACTATACACAGGTCTCGATGGAGTCCCGAAGAAGCAGCAACGCTCGGCTCCAGCGTGCACTTTGCACATTGCTTTTTCTGGTCGCAGTAGCCTTTTTCCTGCTGTCCTTCACTGCTATCGACATTCCGAAGGTTAGCTCTCTCCCTAGACGAAGAGTAGACCAGGTCCCCTTCGCGGATAACGCACTGTCGGCCCACTTGCCGGCCGACGACAGAGTAACTTCGCCCGCACCCGAAAACGACGTTCTTGTTGTGTACGTCTACTATGACGGGGTTCAGTCGGAGGAGGACCGGCGAGCGAGCAAAGGCGCATTCGATACGGGCAAGCAGGAAGAAAACCCGACGCAGAGCGAGAACCTGAAGTTCTTCCTGCATCATGGCCTGCAGTCCAATGCGGACTATCTGTTGGTCTTCAATTCACCGGTGCCCAAGGACGCGAACGTGCCAACAAAGCTGCCCAACGTATTCACCTGGACAAAACCGAACGAGTGTTATGATTTGGGCTCCTTCAGCGCAGGGGTGGATCGAATGAAGTCAGAGTATGGCAGGGCGTACAAAAAGTACATTCTCGTCAACGCCTCTGTCCGTGGTCCTTTCATTCCCACCTACTCGACACAGTGCTGGACGGATATCTTCCTCGCCCCGTTATCCGACAAAACTAAGATGGTCGGAATTTCCTTCAATTGCGATCCGAATCACCCCCGGCATGTCCAATCCATGGTGCTGGCGTTCGATCAGATAGGGTTCGACACAGCGGTTGGGCCCGTCGGTTGTCCGAAAACATTGGACGAAGCAATAGTGGGTGGAGAGACCCAGTTGACGAAGCGGTTGGTGGATCGCGGATATCAGGCTGCCGCGTTGATGACGGCTTTCAAGGGAGAGAAGGATTATGCGCACACATGCACGCATCTGGATCCAGCATGGAAAAACCAGTATTTTGGAATGTCCTTTCATCCATATGAGGTCGTGTTTCTGAAAGGTATGAGCAAGTGACGTCGGTAGGGAATTCATGTATCTTACGGCTATCTAATCCTTTCATCTCGACAGCAAATCGACATATAGGCAAGTGGACCGCCAGTTCCCCAGAAAGAGGCAATACTGTGATTTGCATGCTGGAAACTTATACGCTCCCCTTCGTCCCTACAGATGATCACGCTCTAGCGCAATACACCAAATGGCATGACAATATGCCCTCCACATGCGAATACCACATTCAGTAGCCGTTTCATTGCATAGGAGACGTTGCGCTTCGCACAGAAGCACACTCGTCTCTGAACGGACTCGCCTACATCACGAGAGTCGACGATTTGCCTTCACCCCAGGGCACCTATTTCCAAGTTATGTACCACCGCCCGTCTCGCTTCTCAAAATTTTTGCATCGCTGGATTTGCCGCCTGCAGAGAGGGATCGTTTATGTGGGATTTTGGTGTATTTCAGTTCAGGCGTTTATTTATTCGATAGTTGTGAGAATAGAAGCGCCAGTAGTTTTTGGGCGTGTATATAGGCTTTTCTCAATTACTGATTTCATCGGTGATGCTTTTGGACAGCTTTCTATGAGCCGATGGCGTTGGAGGCACTGGTGAGGGGTCTGTCGGCTTGTCCGAGCTGCTCAGGCGGCGTCGGACCGTCGGATCCGCGAAAAAGGGAAGGGATCTTACGCTGTTGATGAATTTCGGACGAGCCCCGACTTCCGGACGAGTATTTGACTGTGCGTTTTTCGCAGCCCAATTTCCCACGACTCTCACACGAGCCCGCTCAAGGCACCAGAATGAACTCACCACGGCGGACGGAATGCGAGACGCTCACAGTGCAGCTTGAAGGTTCGGCTCGTGTGTGCATATCATCGTGGGGTTCGTTTAGTAACAAGTCATCATAGGAATCGCTGAGGAACTGTGTCGTGCTGATATCTTCATCAAGCCATCCGTGGCTGCCGAGTGCGAACGGATGTCAGATGCACTGCTTCGGTTAAAGCAGATGAAAGGGGATGAGAACATGACGGAGGCATTTTGGGCGGTCGCAGACAGACTCGATGACGCTGGCGTCCGGATATGGAACCGCACAATCAAACGGACTGGGGCGCGAGACACACAGCCACCGGAAGCTTTAGCTCACCTGAGAACGACCGCCTTTGCATTGCTGGAACTAGCAGCCCCGAGCGATGGCGAGGATGTGCGAGTCCTGGCGAAGATGGCTAGACTAGCACTGAAAATTGGAAAGAGCTGGCTGGATTCTGGCGATTTTTCCAAAGCCACGATGTATTACGAGACGGCATCGAATTTCCTCGAGCGCGGCTCAAATGGTCGAAGCAGGACCACCCCAAAGGAGCTGAGAACGATCGGCAGCCTCATGTTGGCGTACAAGGCCGAGCTGGAGTTCAGACAGAACGAATCCGCCGTCTCGTTCATGTTGATGCGTCAAGCCTCGCAACCAGAGTCCTTGAGCAGTTTCACCCAACGCGAGCTGGAGGAGGTGTCGCGGATATGCATCCAATGTGCGCGACAGGCCTCCAAATCGATCGACGCTATCCAGTGGTGCAAGCTGGGGATTGATCTGATCGAGAATCCTTTGAACGCTGGAAAGGAGTCGGAGGGCGGGCTGAAGAGGGATGCGCTGCTGTTTCTGTCGAATCTGTATCTGGAGACGAACGGTGTGGAGGCGGCGGAGAAGGCGATCGACCTGACATTGGAGGGGAGCCCGAATCTGATCGTCGCGTACCACTTGAAACTGAGATGCCTTGCCCAGCGCGGGCAGAGCGAGCATATCATGCAAGAGGTGTTTGCGACGGCGTTGGAGAATTGCTCAGACAAAGCGCTAGACGGGAAAGACTTTGATATTGTGCTGGGGATAATCCATCTGATAGCAAGAAGCGCTAGCCCGATTGCAGCAGTGAATGGAATCAACGCGATACTTCGGAACCATCCGTCGAAAACTCTGAACAATGATTACCAAGACAAGCTGAGAATACTGAGATTGTACTTCCTTACCAACGGATCCGATCATTACGATGCTGCACTCCTGAGCTCGATCAACGATTGTATAGACGAGGCGACGCAAAACGAAGGCACACTCGAGCTCGTTTATGCATATCGGCTCCTGTTATGGCAAGTCGCGGATAAAGCAACGCAAGACTCACGATGGGAGGACGCCGCAAATCTGTTCAAATGCAGCGCGCGGCTGTTACTTGGCGACATCGACAAGCAGAATAGAGACCTTGTCAGAAAAAAGCTTGCCGTGTGCTACCTGGAGCTAAGGAAACCACGACAGGCGTACGAGTCACTACAAATAGAAGGCGACCTGAGTCTTATCCCCGCCGACATGAATTTCCTTGCCTATGCTGCGTTGATGGAGGGGAACAACGATGTGGACGCATATCGGCATATTACTGCCATCGAATGCACCGAAGAGACGATCAAGCTATTCATCTGCGCAGCTCAGCTCGCGTACAAGAAAGAAGACAAGGGTGGATTGCAACGGATCCTCAAACAGGTCATCAGCTCGTCGGTGGACTGGATCGGCGATAACAAATTATCGGACCTGATGACGGTCATTCGGTGTTTGATACGGTTAACGAAAGCACTGCTGACGGCTGAGAACAAGGAGACCATGACGGCCGAGCTACTCGCATATTTCGGGAAATCACTGACACTCCTGAGGAAATGGAAGGCGAATTCCACCGCTGGCCGCGTAGTCGATTCCGAAGCCGAATGGCTCTACCGAAGCAGCTGGAACGTCGCCCTCACGGCTGCATCGCAAGGGCTCACGGAAGTCGCTTGTGAGTTGTTCGCCGTTACGTCTGAGTTCATGGATCTCTTCGACGACCAGAATCTGCACAATTTGGAGACGCAGAAGATGTGCTTGTTTGCTGTGGTAGCTGGACATATCTCGTTGGCAAGGAAACCGACTTCAGAGTCTGACGAGGCGCAACACCTGACGAGAGCGATGGATGCACTCCAGCGGTTGCGGACACTCTGTCAGCGTATTACCGCATTAGGTCCCGCCGCGAGCGCGAGCGAGGATCCGGTGCTTCAGCAAAGCATATATCTCGAGCTGGAGATCAAGGTGAAACAGGAGAGCTGGACGGATTTGGAGCACATTCTGGAGTTTGCGGAGGCGGTTGAGGCGCCTGTTCAGGTGTTTGAGAGGATGGCAGGTCAGTTGACGGTTGGCGGACAGACGCCCTGACGGGCTTGGGCTAAAATAGTGGAGCCATAGATATTGTCACGCGGCATGATTGTCCAAGTGCAGGTACGTTGAGTTGGTTGTGAGTTGGGGTCAATTAGATATGAGGCTGATCAAAGATTTCTCAGTCGTCTTCATGACGATCCAGGTGCGTTCAGCCGTTCAACATCCAAAGTCATTGTCGTCTTGTTGACAAGGAAAGGTATATAGGCTACTCTAAACACCATCTTGAAGCGAGATCCCGCCTTCGACATGCGGAAGTTCAGTCAATGGTAATCCACGAGAGCCAGCTGGTCCTTTCTTACCCTGCGACGCTAACCCAGCTACCAGGTTCCGCATTTTAATTCGAACCTCATTGGTGGCGAACAAAGCAGCGGCGTTCGGGCTCTATCAGCAAGTCTTGACTATCTTGCGGTCAAATTCTCAGCAAGTCAGTGGCGAGCCATGTGAATCGATGACCGCCATCAGAACTCAACTGATACTTGTCAAATTGCCAGGAAACGTCGTATCCCAAGCACGAGGTTGAGTGGCTGATGGTTACTGCGTGGTAGATTACCTGATATTGGATGGATCATGATTCTCTGAAGTTTGAGGCTCATCTTTTTACGCCCGCAGGAACCATGGATGTGAATTCTGGAGGTGGGCCAGGCGGATTTGAGTCTGACTTCGAAGATACGTTGCTAACACTCCATCGGGGTAAAAGCGTCAATCAGTTGGATGATGCGAGATCGTGGTGCGAGCTGGCCATCACGTTAGCTGAGCACGGACAGGATCCAGCGGCACTTGAACAGGTTCCTTGCCGAACGTATAATGCTGTGTACAATGACCTTCCATTAATGCACTTCCTTTATGACACTTTGACAGATGCGCCAAAGCTATTCGGAACTGTTGGCTGCATAATGGACGAGAAGAGAACGAACCCTATTAGAGAAAGAATGCACTGGTGTATTCTGGTCGTAGTGTTGTAATTACCAGTAGTTCTAACTACTCGCATTTTCCCCTGCCCCTATTTCGCTACCGTTACAAGTCAATATATTGTGGTACGCTTTTCTTTGAGAATTGTTATTGATCCCCACCACTCGCGATTGCAATACGCCGCGCCGCCAGAATCTTCGTAAGCCTCGATATCTCATTCTTGACATCTAACCCCTCCATATGCAGCACCTTCAACAGCAGCCGCTGATGCGCTATGGTGGGAACAGCTATGTTCGCGACTTTGAACGTCCGTTTCCGAAATTCCTCCGCCGGGCCCCTGTGCCGCATGACCCTCCTGCACCGCGCCAGGACCGGCCGTCGAAGGTCGAGATGTTGGCAGTACGTTGTCAGGACCTCTTGCAAGTCCGTGTCCCTGTCCGCGAGGTGTGCACCAACGGCTCTGGAGCCCCGGCTGTTGGCTGCCGCCGGGAAATACTCATCACCCCTCCCCGCGGCATCCATATCCTCATCCCTCTCACCGCCCGCCGTTCCCGCGCCTCTCCCGTTCCCTCCGCCTCCATCATCCGCAAACCACGGCGGCGTCTGCACAAACCGCACCTCCTTCTCCGCCCTCACCAGCCTGCCCAACACCGCCTCCCCGCCGGACCCCGGGCCGGCAAGGACCCTCAACAACGCGAACACCGTATCCCGGTCGTCCAGATACAGCAACGCTTCACAGGTCCCGTCCTGCGCGAACGCGCGGGCCGAGGCTTGTAAGGTTTGATGGGCCGCGGGGCACGCGTTGGGACAGCCTGCGTGTTGCGGTTTGGACCCGCAGAGGGTGCAGATGGGCCCGATGGTGATTTCCTGGACGAACGTGATGTCGAGCTTGACGTGGCATGGTGTACGGTGGGGCGGCAAGAAGGAGTGCAGGTGAACGGGCACGGGGGGTTCGTCTGTTGGCTTGGTTGCCGTGTCCGGTTGCAGCGGGGGGTTGGACACGGTGATGGACGTGTTTGCAATGTGATGCCCGTAGAGCGCTCCGCGGCCTGACATCCGGATAGCCAGCCGCTGGAACTGGACCAGGGCGCCGGGCAGCAGGCCCACGGGATACGGATGCAGCCGCATGTCGAGGTACACGCCGATCGTCTCCGGATCCTCTTTATCCCGCAGGCGAATAAACAGGATACGGTCGTTCCGCCCCGATCCGAATGTATGCGTCTCAAACAGCGCTTTGGCCATGTCGACACTCAGGAATGCATCTGCCTCTTTATCGCGAAACTCCCGGTGTTCGAGAATCCCTTCGAGATTGACGAGGTAGTCTTGGAAAGTGTCTGGTCCGGCCTGCGTGTCGACGTGGCGGTTGATCACGGCGCCGACGGAGCGGAAGATTGGGTGGGTGCGCGCTAGCGCGATGCGGTCTGCATCGTATTTCGCGAGCTGGAATGTATTCGTTGCTTGGTTCGACGTCGTGCCGGCCATGTTGGACGTGGTGGCAGTGCCTCCCTCCGGTTCTGCCAAGGAGGACACGATGGTAGACGCGGTCATCTTGTAAAACGCAGGCCCACCAGCCGAGTCGGGATGCGTCCGATTCCCAATCCCTCCTACAAGCTGCGCCCCGGTCACCAAATAGGTAGCATCCAGATTCCAGGTCTGGCGCCCTTCACCCGAGGGATTGACCTCAATACAAGTGCTTCTCCCCTCTCCCACCGAGTTCCCACGGACGACCATCCACGACATGCCGTCCACGATCTGAATGATGCCGGCGGTCCCATACGCAATCTTCGCCGTCCGCGGGCCAATCAACTGCGGGACAAACACGAACGACGCCCATGTCGGGTGTTGACGAGGTCCGGACGGCGGTGACTCGGTGACACAGAATGCGTCTCGTAACGACCACCGCAGATAGGATGTGGTCAGCACCCCGCGGGTTCCGTGCACGTCAAACCCTCCGAACGTCTCCGTCACCAGCTCAAAGTTCCTGATTCCAAACAACCGATTCGCGTAGTTGCTCAACGTGTCCGTCACAGCCCCCTCGACGACCGTCAGGATCGTGCCCGAGGAATCCCTCAACCGCAGATGATCTCCCCGTCCGCCTTCCAGCCACGCAATCAGCCACGAGTCCTTCATCCCAAGATGAGCCGCGTTCGACATGTGGAACGTCCAGGTGGGTTGGGCATGGCGGTTGTCCGCACCGCCCGCACGACTCGCGACGGCGCTCGTGATGTGTGCGATGGTTACAATGTCAGGGAAGGGGTATCGCCATCGAGCCAGTTTACAGCTACTGTCGTGGTTGAGTAGAATGGCGTGCAGATCCGTCTCGTAAGGGGCGTATCCAAAATGCTTGAGCAGTGGAATGGTCGTGAGTACATCCCACTTTCGGCGGCGCGACGACGACGCCGTGCTGCTCTCCAACTCATTCAAGTAGTCTGTCAGGCCGCAAGCGATCGTGAGGTCGGGTATATTCAGCAACCTCATCGCCTCCATCGCTCGTTTGCGGTAGCTGTTCGGAGACAAGCGGCATGGATCCCGTTCCGTCGAAAACGCCCGCACTTTCAACGTCGAGCAGGGACAAGCCACGAACGCTATTCGATGATGTTGGACGCTGTCTTTGTCCGCCGGCCCGGGACGAGGGATAACAGCGTCGCAGGATATCATATGCACGTTGCGCATTTCGAGTTCTGCTCCTACGCGTAGCCCGCGGCCGAGGCCGGGAAGATAGTGAAATGTGGAATAGAGATGATGCTGTCCGTCTATTTCGTAGATGCCTAGGAGTAGATCCAAAATTTTCGTGATTTTTCCTGTATATGAGAGGTAGTATGACGGTCTATGGGTGACGAGCGAGGTGGGCCCAGATTCAGTTTGCCCTATGGGTGATGGCACCGACTCTGATCCCTCTTGTCTGACAGCATTGTTAAGGCTCGGAAACGACGGCAACTGCGGTATTTGTGCTTGTTCATAGCCATCCAGACAAAACATTTTCGACGTCTTCAGAGAGAAGACGAGCAATCTCCGTTTCTCACATGTTCCGTTTGAAAGCGGTATCTTGACCTGAGTGGTTCTGACATCCACCAAGATATAGGTGCTTCCGACGCATGTGCTTTCATAGTACGGCAAGATGTCGTTCAGAGAGTCACTGGAGTCTCTGTACAGTACAAAAGCTGTGATGATGGTGTCTGACGATTCTCTGCTGGTGTTGGAGGGCTCGAATCGAAGAGAGCATTGGATTTCCACGAAATAGCATGTCTGCCCTCGGGGGAATGTCAGCATGCTCTTCCCTCGAACCCTCCCACATACTGTGATGATTTTGGCGGCGCTCAGATCGTTGTTGATGATCTGCATGCTTGATGACCTTCTAGGGCTTGCAAAGTCGGAAGGAAAGCAGACTGGCGGGCGCTTCGACAAGATGTCGGATATAGCTCTATGGTCCTTTGCTGCCACCCGGCTGTTTTCCCATTCCTGCTCGACATCGCATTCCCATTTGGAGAATTGATAGCTCCAATGGGTTTCCAAAAAGTGGCCGTCAGCTAGCACGAGAGGTACATCCAAGACTTCCAAATAATGATAAGCCAAATCGCCTCCAATCCGTTGAGCGCTGGTGCCGGGCAGCGCCCACAACACGGGGACAAAGCTCCACCGCACGAGACAAACGAGCTGCCCAAGCCAGCTCATCTGAAAGTTCGAGAACTCGCATGGCACTGCTCCAGTGCTATCAGAGAAGCATATTGCGGCGGACACTTTTGACAGGTTTGAGGTTGGGTGGTCCTTCTCTGCCTCGCGTTTCGTCACGAACTTGCCGACCAATAAGCCTTTTGTTGTGGATCCCTCGCTAACGGGAACTGTGCCTGCTATATGAGAGACGTCGGCCGTTGCATCTGACAAGACGGTATCCTGAGCCGTGAGCCGGAGCTCTGCGATTCGTCGGATTCGGTACTGGGAGACGGAGTGTTCTCCTGCAGTATTGGACATTCCGTCATCTTGTGTGGACGGCAGGCGTTGTGACGACCGCAGGTTGGAACACTGGAAGGAGGAAGCCGGAGCGAACGGGAGTTCTGTCGTCCGTAACGCTCTTCACGCCACGAGAACGGAGGTGTTGATTGGAAGAACCCCTTGGGTGTTGTGTCCGACATGTCCGAACTGATTACGTGATTCGTCGCCTTAGGGTTAGGGTTAGGGGGAGGTCTTGCTATGGCCGTCGTCTTCTTGAGACCAGCATTCGCCAACGAAGAAGGGAAACACGCGCTTGGACAATGGATCTGTCTGCCCCGGCGTGACGTGAGCGCCAACGGTGACTCACCCGAATTCAAATCCTTCCCTCGCCCTCTCTCTTTCCCACAACCATCTTCGCACCAACCGCTGCCACCGCCTCCACCCACTGCAAAACCCCCACCAACCGTCATATATACTGTATGCATATAGAAGCATAGCCGGGAACCCCAAAGTAACTGTTTCCTCACGATCACTACGACCACCTTCGATATAGACTCCTACTCGCCGAAATGGCCGCCGCGTCGGAAAATGCTGGGCTGTCGCAAGACGAGCTGGACGAAAACTACGAACGACAGAAGGAAGAGCTTACTGCACTCGAGGTTAGCATGCGAGACTCTTTAGATCGCTTGTATTATCCTAACTTGCTTCAGGCGACTTGCAAACGATCGGGTCATTTCTAATGCTATTGTCTCACTCGCGACGTTTAGGCAATTTACGCCGACGATTTCACACTCCAGGATACATCACCTGGCAAGGTCGAAGGAACGATACAGGCGCGGGTCGAGCTGGATGGGGATACCAGCATAATAGTGCACGGGTTTACCGGAGATGCCTCGTCAGAAACACTTAAGCCGGTCTCGGAAGATGAGGACTCCCCCACCGTCACAGTGGACGTCCGTTTCCTGCCACCCATCGCACTTCACTTCACGCATCCGCTAACGTACCCATCCCACTCGCCACCCACCTTCGAGCTCGAATGCCGATGGATAACCGCCGAACAACGCCAAATACTCACCGACGCACTTTCCCGGATATGGGAAGAGGAACGGGATGTCTGTCTGTACAGTTTCGTAGAATACCTGATCAGAGACGGTTTACACGCTTCAGGCGTTTTCCGGCCCGGACACGACGCAATACACATCTCCTGCCCCTCAGGCAGTCTGCGACCCTCCGAGCTAGCGGATTGGATAGTCGATCAGGACCATAAACGATCCCAGTGGGAATTTGAACAATCTTCGTTTGACTGCGGGGTTTGTTTGTCGACGAAACCGGGAAAAGACTGTTTTAGATTCACACGGGGGTGTAAACATGTGTTCTGTAGAGAGTGTCTGCTAGACTACTTCTCGATGCTGATAAAGGAGGGCACGGCTCTGTTGGTGGGGTGTCCGCAACCGGCGTGCGTCAAGAAGCGGAAGCAAGCAGACGAGCCACATCGGATCGAAGGAGGAGGAGATGCACCCGACCCATCGGTCACGTCGCCGACATCTCTCCCGACACCACCACCACCAAACCCGACCTACCCCACCCCTCAAGTCTCCCTCCCCGACCTCCAATCCCTCCTCCCCCCCACCCTCTACACCCGCTACACAACCCTCCTCGAATCGCACACCCTCTCCCTCCGCCGCGACGTCACGAACTGCCCCCGCCCAACCTGCCAACACCCCGTCATCCGCGACCCACACTCGGAAAAACTCTGCATATGCACCCAATGCCGATTCGCCTTCTGTTTCTACTGCAACCGATGCTGGCACGGCGCGGCGCAGTTCTGCATGCCGAACCATATCGAGGTCCTCGTCTCGCAGTACACATTGGCTCTGGAGTCCAACAACACCAACAAGATCCGAGAACTCGAAGTCCGCTACGGCCGCAAGACGCTAGAACGACTCACGCGGGAGTGGCTCGCGGAAGCCGAAACGCGGAGATGGAAGGAAGAGTTCACGCAATCGTGCCCGAACTGCTCGCTGGCCGTGGAGAAATCCGAGGGGTGCAACCACATGACGTGTAACATCTGCCGCACGCATTTCTGCTACGTGTGTGGGGTCAAGTTGAACGCGTTCAACCCGTACGCGCATTTCAATGACCCGGCGTCGAGGTGTTTCCGGGCGCTGTTTGATCGCGCGGAAGGTGGGGCGGGGTTGGGGGAGTGGGAGCAGGATGCGGGGGAGGAGGAGGGGGAGTGGTTTCCCGAGGAGGTGGTGGTTAGGATGGCGTTGGAGGAGATGGGCGCGTGAAGGAAGATGCGGGGTTTGGATGCGATGTGGCATGTCAGACGGCGTTTGTGCAGGAACAGTATAGGTTTTGAGGTAGCTCACATTCTTATTTGTATATAGATCGGGGCGGGTTTGCCCCCAACATGTGTCAACAGAAGTATATCCTCGATCAACGGGGAAGCTATAAACTGGGACACTATTTTTCGTGAGATTTCTAGTGTAGTGGTGGGTAACGATCGCAGTTCGAGAGAACGAAAGAGTGGGTTGGAAGACGCGAGGCAGGGTGGGGTCACGTGGTTTGTAATGGAGCAATTAGTCCGGACGGGATGGATAACTGCCTGATTGCTTCGGAGTTCTCTTTCCTTTCTTTGCATCTTTACGCATTTTCCCACGCCGTAGACATTCGAACAGCTTCGCTTTGGAGATTAGACAGCCGCATAGAGCAGATTATCCTAGACGTAGAGAGCCAGTACACCACAAATAGCATGTCCAAGGTCGGCGACGATGCACAGGATTTTGAAGTACTCCCGGAAAGTTCCGCCCTTGCTATTAAGATTCGAGCCGCCGAGAAGCGCAAGCGTCAGGCCCTTGCCAAGACCGTTGAGACCGATGATACTGGAAGCGAGATCGGAGGCGGAGCTAGCTCGCAGCAAGGCACTGAAGATCCCCCACTCCCAACTCCCATGCGAAAGAAGGCTCAGCCAAAGAGCAACCGTACCCTCACTGCTGTGCTCGCCGAAGCTGGGCAGCGCGGAGATATGGAAGAAGGAGATGGAGACGATCAAGAGGAGCGCGACGCTGAACGAGAAGAAGGTGGCGATCTCGAAGATGAAGGGAACGCTGCCCTGTCCAAGCTTCTCCGACACGGCCGTGGGAAACAAGCACTTAGTGGCGGAAGCGATGGTGAGAGTAGCTCCTCGGACGACGACAAAGATGCTGACCCCTTTGGATATGTCGCGCGAGCTGCCGGGCCGAGCAAGCGGCAACGTCGACCACCTACGCTGCTCGAACGTACGGCTGCAAAATACTTTGGAATCACACCGATTACGAGCGGATCAGGGGATTCTGCGCTCATTTGCGCCACTGACCCGAATGTACGGGACACACTTGAACGGCGCGCCGACCACCTACTCAATCTACGCGAAATCCAGCTCAAGTATCAACAGAGCGCAGCTCCCCAAATCCCACAAGCGGTACTGGATGACGTTATCGGATTACGCTACGTCGACCTGGGAAAGATCCACCCTCAAGCCCGCATTGCTGCGTCTGATACTCGCCGCTTCGAGTTTCACGAGACAGCTGGGAGTGAACTCAAAATCTACTCCCGAGCCCAGCGAGAGATTAGTATCGACTGCAAAGAAAAATGGGATCAAGCTTACGACAACTACGTGCTCATTCATATGCACTTATACCCGGCGCGCGTTCAAGACCTTGAGGCTTATCGGCGGAGCATTACGTCCCTTACGACTGGATGGACCTTTCGCGAAATATATGAGTATGACAAGGCGCACAGGAAACACAAAGCAGACAACGTATTCGAGCGCATGCAAGATCACGTTCCGCTTATCGAGCGACAGTACCTTTACGCTAAGAATCGGAATGCTGCTGTTCACACTGGAGGTTTCGGAGGAAACGGGGGAGGCGCGCATCCTGCCCAGCCCTACCGATCACAGCAGATCTGCCGCGACTTCCAGGAGGGAGTATGCCACACGAAGCGAAAAACGTGCCGGTACCAACATCGATGCGCCCAATGCAATTCGCGCGCGCACGGACAGAAGGCCTGCCCCGATAACAAGAACAAAGGAACAGAAGGAGCCTCACGACGACAATGACCTGCGAACTCAACCGGTGACGGAGCCACGCCGCGATCCGCTCCAGCATAGCTATAAATATATCGCCAAAGAAAACCAACTACGCGGAGTGGATATTCGGCCCCGGGAACTCAGGCACATCATACCGAACAAGAGAGTGCTACCAACTGCCGAATTATCGGAAACCAAACTACCTTTCCTCGAACCAAGCTTATCGCATCAAGAACATGAAGCCTCGCTCTATCTCTTACGGCACCAGCTATTCCACATCAAGACACCGATTAACATTGCGGGGCTCCAATACCTGTTACGAGCACATCCCAACCAGCCACTCGTTCAGGCTATTATACGCGGGTTTGCGACGGGTTTCCCTACCAATTACCACGGCGAACGGACGCATATTGTACACCAGAATCATCGTAGCGCAGAAGTGTATGTCGATGCCGTACGCAAGAACTTGCTGGAAGAATTGGAGACTGGCCGCCGGATCCAAGTCGACCCCGAAGTACTGCGCAACGCACCGTATTACAACGTGAACCCCCTCGGCACGGTACCAAAGGACCCTCGCAACCCGGAAAACGGACGCCGCCGAATCGTGCATGATGCTTCATTCCCGGAGGGAAAATCTCTGAACGACGGGATCCATAATGAAGATTATGACGACGTACCACTTGACAAGATCGATGTACTCGTGCAGACCATCCTGGATATGAAACGCAAATACCCCGCACAGAACGCACTCGCCGGATGGGTGGTCGATACCGTCGCCGCTTACCGACAGCAACCTACGCGCCCAGCTGATCAACTCATGCAAGGCATCGCATTCGAAGACGTTTTTTATCTCGACTTCATGACCCAGTTCGGTATACGATCATCAGGATACCACTGCTGCGTGATAGGCGACGTGATATGCTGGGCCCTCGTGCAGGAAGGCATACCGAATGCGACCCATTATGTCGATAACTTCGTGGGGATCACACCGGCTGCCGCGCTAGGCAGAATCCTGGCGCAGGTCCACCGCGTATTCGCCTTGGTGAAGCTCCCGGTCAAGGTGTTAGCGAAAGGATGGATGTTCAAGACTCACGGCTTCGATTTCGATCTCCGGTCCTGCACGATTGCGGTACCCGCTGATAAAAAACAGTACATACTCGAACTGCTCGCCGCCATCATCGGAAAACCCACTTGCCCTGCTAAGGAATACACGAAATTGATCGGTAATTTGGCATGGATTTCCCAAGTCTTACCCACATCCCGGACATACTTAGGCAAACTGTGGCGATACGGGGCAGTATTGGAGCGCCTCCAGCTCAATACCGCCCAACTTTCGAACGACATGCAAAAGGATCTCCGGTGGTGGTCTTATACGCTCCTCCACTGGGCGGGAGTCTCCCTGATCATCGAGCAGCAGTGGGAATCGCAGGCGCTACTCCGCGCGGCATCCGACGCATCACCACAAGGTTACGGATTCCAGTCTACAACGCACTACTCTTATGCCGCTTGGTGTCCGGAATGCATACAGCGATTGCACTCCACGCAACTAGAGATGCTCGCCCTCGCCATCGGGCTCACGACTTTCGGGCCACATTTTACACGACGCAAAATCCTCTGGTTCACCGATAACGAGGCGGACGTGCACAACTTCAGCTCCGGGTATAATGCAGATACCATAGTCGACGACGCCATTCGCCACATACGCACGCTCGCGATCCAGAACCAGTTCGATATTCGACTAGCACACGTACGCCGGGCCGAAGTTTTTGGATGCGACCTACTCTCCAAACAACGCGTCAAGGAGTTTCAGGCGCTATACCCGACCCTGACATACCGTCGATCCACACTACCCCCCACTATGACCTGGACGCAGGACAAGCCGCCACTTGTCGCGATACGCGCCCTCCACCATCATGAGAAATATTGAAGAACGCAACGAGACCTACACCGGTGTAGCCGCCGCGTATACTACGTTAGCCTTAACGCATGGTTGGCGGAATCATGACGGCAGCGTGTTACCGATAAGCGAAGCGAATTTCGAGAACTACCTGACATACCAGATCGGGAGGATCCTCGACGGCAAGATCGTTTTACAAACGCTTCGCGGCTATCTCTCGGCGCTTAAGGATCTCCACAACGCGGCGGGCATCCCTTTCGATTACATGTACAAAAATGAAATTACTAAAGCACGATTTTCACGCTTAAAAACAAAACTACGAAACAACAACATTTCTCAAGCTACTTCACAAAAACCAGAGGTCGAGCTCAAACACTTACGGAAACTACACATCATCGAAGATCACGACCTACTCGTCCTGCGGACAATCGCCTTCGTCGCTTTCTGGGGGCTGGGTCGTTTACGCGAGGTTATAGCGGATCCCAAGAATGCGCGGCGTGACGGGATTATCAGGCTTTCAGATGTATCCCAAGTGGAGGTGGAAGGGGTTCGAGGATGTTGGATCCGCATCCCAAAACCCAAAACGCTCACTGATTCCCATCAACATCTTGTACTGGCGCCACAGGACGAAAAACGCGTTTGCCCGCTTGAGGCGATGGAAGCTCTATTACGTTGGCATCGGAAGCGCCAGTCGACGCCGGAAACCCCCTTGTGGACGCTGGAGTCGGGAAAAATCGCGAGCAGGACCTATTTCGAAACCCTGTTCCTGCAGATAACAGGTTTAACCGCCGGCGCATCGAGCTTCCGAGCCGGGGGGGCCACGCTATTGGCGCTGCGAGGACATACATCGCTGGATTTGCAACTTCTCGGGAGGTGGGAGTCCGAAGCATGGCGGAGATATGTTCGGAGCCACCCAGCGCTATTATTGGCCATTCTGATACGCAACCCGAGACAACAACCCCGGTGAGGACGAAGATGGTGTAAATTCCCATATGCGTCTGTGCTAGCCACTTTCTGTTTTTTTTTCTTTTTCCTTCCCCCCTTTTTGTAGATAGATACCTTTCGCTTTTTACACGTTGTATTTCTTTCTCTCGCAATATACGCTGCATGCCCGCCGCACTCATAGCTCAACTGGATAAGGAAACGCAATGGCGCTTGCCACAAAATAACGCGCTCGCTGCACTCTCGCTCGCTCACGGTGGGGATCGCTGGACAAATGCTCGCTGCACTTTGACGCTCGCTGCATACACGCTCGCCACACTTTGACGCTCGCTGCATACACGGTCGCCGCACCCCCGCACGCTGCACTGCACGACACTGATTGCTTGCTGCACCGCTACGACACGGGATGAAGGCAGAGGAGGCGTCGCATCGTGGTAGTAACCACGTTGGGCTGTTGATGCACGCCAATATACTGCCTACACATCCACGTCGTCGTTAGTAGGGAAGGGCGCCGAGCACAGGAAACCCTCGCAGTTCGAGAGAACGAAAGAGTGGGTTGGAAGACGCGAGGCAGGGTGGGGTCACGTGGTTTGTAATGGAGCAATTAGTCCGGACGGGATGGATAACTGCCTGATTGCTTCGGAGTTCTCTTTCCTTTCTTTGCATCTTTACGCATTTTCCCACGCCGTAGACATTCGAACACCACTCCCTCCCACCCCTTGTGTTCTTATGTACTATTAGTGCTGTTGATGCACGCCAATATACTGCCTACACATCCACGTCGTCGTTAGTAGGGAAGGGCGCCGAGCACAGGAAACCCACGACACGCTTACTTGCTTCGCAGTGATTCCTCCCTGTTGCGAACGCGTCGGTTCCCTGTTGCAGCCGGAATTAAACCATGTTCTCCGCGTGACTTTAAATGCCAGTTCCCATTGTGGGGAGGCGCAGCATGGTTCCATCACGCATCACGCGAGCAATACGCAACTGTCCCTTTGGGAACGATATAAAACGAGGAGGGTGTTCCCAGCGGCCCCTCACGCCCCCACTCCCCAGTTTTTTCACCTGCTCCATATCTCTCTCGTCGCCGTTTCAAACGTACACATACAGACAGCCCCCCCCCCCCCCCCCCCCCCTCCGCCTTCCTCACTCACGCAAGAAAACCGAGCACGATATGCCCAAAAGGAAGACCAGTGTCTGGGACCACTTCACGGAACCTGACAACCATGGGAAGAAATACAAGATTGCGAAATGCTCTTATTGTAATGGGACCCCCTTTGCCGGCCAGGCGGAACGCATGGAGAAGCATCTGATTGTGAGTTTCCGAGCGGAGTGAGCTGAGAATGATTGAAGGTTCCGAGCGCGATAGCGAGCAGAATGCTTGAGGGAGTGCTTGAGGTTGGTTCGGTCTCCCAGAGCGGACGCACATCCTCGCAGGGTATCGGCCAACTCGGTCAACCATCCATCGTTGAATCCGCCATCGCCTCTCCCAATCAATCAATCAATCAACCAACCCATCCACGTAATATGAACCAAAGCTCACTCTAACGCACATGTCTTTCACTACTACAGAACTGTTCTAACGCCGATGAAAGCGTCAAAGAATTCGCGCAAGACCTCATCGAACGACGCAACCAAACAAAACTTCTCAAAATGCAACAAGAAGCAGGCGACAAGAACCTCGCTCTCACACCCATCCCGCGTCCACGGCCCGTTCTCGGCGCCCACATCGACTCGCCCTACAACGTCGCCGCGACACCATTAAGCCACCACCACCTATCCGCAGCGGCAGCGGTAGCAGCAGGCAATTCGGCCGTCCCGCCCATCCAGACCGCGGCGGACATCCATCTCCTGATTGCGCTGACCGAGTTGGGGATCCCGTTCACCATCACCGAAAACCAGAATTTTAGGAAGTTTTTGAGGATTCTGAACGTGGAGTATGAGATCCCGACGCCGTTGCAGCTCAGTAGTTATAAGGCTGCGCTGGGGCCCGGGGATGCGCATGTGCAGGAGGGGCCTAGGACCAGTGGGGGGCCGTCTCATATGAGGGGATGAGAGCGGGGATGGGAACGAACGATTCTGAGATGGAAGAATCCTGCGATTTTCATCGCTGTAATGTCACGTATACAATGCTTCCCTCTCCTGTAGACTTCAATAGTACACTCCGAGGCATGAGGTCAAGGCTTGGGATTCCCAGAAACTGCGAAGTGTCAGAATTGTTTGAGGGCTTGGATCTGGATATGAATATGGACGCATGACAAGCGGAACCGTGGAAAGGCTGTGTGAAACATGATACTAGAGGCTTGTCCAACGTGAAGTTCTATAACGGAAGGAAAGAGAGAGGAACAATTTAGCACAGCAACGTACGAATGTCACTCGAATGTCACTTCGAACGCGTGCAGCTGCGGGTGAGATAACAGCCTCAGATCTATTATCATCTGGGCTTCCCTGGGAATCTGGACGAGGGACAGCCAGCAGCAGCAGCAGCAGCAGCATCGTCGTCAACGTCTTCAGTTCACGGCTTTGCAATAGAGTAGCACCACCCGAGTCCCACCGCACCTCCATTCCCACAACCTCCACCACCCCCCCTCATCCCCCCCCCAAGATGCGCCTCCTCCCCCGCGACATCGACAAACTCACCCTCCACGCGGCCGGCGCCCTCGCCCAAAAGCGTCTCGCGCGGGGCCTGCGCCTCAACCACCCGGAAGCCGTCGCGCTCCTCGCCTCCGTGACCCTCGAACACATCCGCGATGGCACCCACTCCGTCGCCGACCTCATGTCCCTCGGCCGGCGGATGCTCGGCACGCGCCAGGTCCTCCCCGGCGTCGCGGAGATCATACACGAGGTCATGGTCGAGGGCACGTTTGCGGATGGGACGAAGCTGGTGACGGTGCATGAGCCGATCTGTAGGGAGGACGGGGACATGGGCGTTGCGCTTTATGGCAGCTTCTTGCCGGAGCCGGATCTGGCGGTGTTTGGGGAACGCGGAGGGGGGAAGAGGAAGGCGGATGTGGCGGGGTTGGATGAGGGAGGTGCGGGTGGGGTGGTGGAGCAGGAGAGGGAGAGGGATGGTGTTCGGATGATACCAGGTATGTAGAGAATGGGACGAGGGACTTGCGTCGTCAGATGTGGGATGTCCGATGTCAAGCAAGCTTATTCTGACACGTCTGTTTGTGCCTGGCCAGGAAGGGTGATACCTCTCCCGGGAAAGATCACGCTAAATGCAGGTCGGAGACGTGTGGCGTTGACCGTCACCAACAACGGTGACAGGCCGGTCCAGGTGCGTGTAAATAAAGTCGGAAGCAACTGGGTGTGCCCTGCCGTCATCTCACTAAGTATACGACGGACGGACCCCAGGTCGGCTCCCACTACCACTTCATCGAAGTCAACCCCCAAATGTCGTTCGATCGCGCCCTCGCGTACGGCAAACGCCTCAACATCCCCGCCGGCACCGCCGTCCGCTTCGAGCCGGGCGAATCCAAAACCGTCGTTCTCGTCGAGATTGGCGGGAAGAAAATCATCTCCGGCGGAAACTCCCTCGCCACGGGCCTCGTCGACACCCTTCGTATCCCTGAAATCCTGCAGAATCTGACAGCAAAAGGGTTTGCACATGTAACGCAAAGAGCGTTACCGGAACCCCCGGTGTGTGAGATGGACCGGGCACGTTATGTGGACGCGTATGGGCCGACGACGGGGGATCGGGTCCGGCTTGGGGATACGAACCTTTTTATTACGGTGGAGAGGGATCATACGGTTTATGGCGATGAGTGTGTGTTTGGTGGGGGAAAGGCGATTAGGGAGGGGATGGGGCAGGCTACGGGGGTGAGGGATGAGGATGCGCTGGACTTGGTTATCACGAATGCGCTTGTTGTTGATTATACGGGGATTTACAAGGTATGTGTTTTCTGTGGGAGCCTTCGAGGGGTAAGGTCTAAATGATTCCCCACAGGCCGATATCGGCGTTAAAAACGGTCTGATTGCGGGAATCGGCAAAGCCGGCAACCCCGACGTGCAAGCCAACGTAACCCCCGGGATGATCATCGGCGTCACCACCGAAGTCCTCGCCGGCGAAGGCAGTATCATCACCGCGGGCGCGATCGACACGCACATCCACTTCATCTGCAAACAGCTCTGCACCGAAGCCCTCGCCAGCGGCATCACCACCCTCATCGGCGGCGGCACGGGTCCCAACACCGGCACGAACGCGACGACATGCACACCAGGGTCCGCGCACCTCAAGATGATGATGGAATCCACCGACTCCCTTCCCATCAACATGGGTTTCACGGGTAAAGGCAATAGCAGCAGCCCCATTGGCCTCGACTCCCAAATCGAAGCGGGCGCCGTCGGTCTCAAGCTCCACGAAGACTGGGGCACCACCCCGGCGGCGATCGACACCTGCCTGTCGATCGCGGACGCATACGACGTGCAGGTCACCATCCACACCGACACTCTGAACGAATCCGGGTTTGTCGAAAACACCCTCGCGGCGTTCAAGGGCCGCACCATCCACGCCTACCACACCGAGGGCGCCGGCGGCGGCCACGCCCCCGATATCATCCGCGTCGTGGGGTACCCCAACGTGATTCCCAGCAGCACCAACCCCACCCGGCCGTACACCACCAACACGCTCGACGAGCACCTCGACATGCTGATGGTCTGCCACCACCTCTCCCGCGCGATCCCCGAGGACATCTCCTTCGCCGAGTCGCGGATCAGGGGCGAGACGATTGGCGCGGAGGACTACCTCCACGACGTGGGTGCCATCAGCATCATCTCGAGCGATTCGCAGGCGATGGGGAGGGTCGGGGAGGTGATTTGCAGGACGTGGCAGACGGCGGATAAGATGCAGAGCGTGAGGAGGAGCGAAGGGACGGATGACTTGACGGATAACGAGAGGGTGAGGCGGTATATTGCCAAGTATACCATCAACCCGTAAGTTGCTTCTTTCAAAGCTCCCCCCCCCCCCCCCCCCCCCCCCTTCAGATCGACCACCAGACAAAACTGAATTCATGTTTTTCTTCGATGATTTCAAATACAGAGCCATAGCCCACGGCATCTCCCACGTCGTAGGCTCCATCGAAGTCGGCAAGCTCGCCGACCTAGTCCAATGGAAACCCGAGTTCTTCGGCATCAAGCCCGAACGCATCCTCAAAGGCGGGTTCATCGTCTGGGCCATGATGGGCGACGCCAACGCTTCGTGAGTGGTCGCGAATTCATCCCCGCGCGCGTGTTTTTTTTTCTCTGTACCCCCCCTTCTGACTCATGTTATTTTTTTCATGTGGGTTAAAAAACAGCATCCCAACACCCGAACCCTTCATCTCCCGCCCGCAATTCGCGCTCCCACGTCACACCTCCCTCCTCTTCGTCTCCCGCGCCTTCGCCGCCACGCACGCCTCGAACCCTACCCACCACATCACCAAAAAAGTCACGGCGGTCAGGAACTGCCGGACGGTCGGGAAGAAGGATATGAAGCTGAACGATCGGTGTCCGGATGTACGGGTGCATCCCGAGACGTATGTCGTGAGTGTCGATGGGAGGGAGGTTAGGGTGGGGCCGGTCGGGAGCGTCGGGTTGGGGAGAAGGTATGCGTTGTTTTGATGAGGGGACGGCGTAGGTTGACAGTTTAGGGGCGGACCCCTGCGATACACTTCCCCGACTGGACGGGGGTTATGGGCACGGTGCTGTTACATATGGGAGATGGACGGACTGGTACGGGAGATGCAAACGACTTGCAGGTGGATACATGAGAGGTGAATGGCTATGTAGGGGCCATAGGCTTTCAAGTCCATCCTACACATGCTACATGACACTAGAATGAAAGCCGACCATAATGATACTGATGCCTCCCGCGGGTCCTGAGGAGACGGATAGTCTCAAGGGGGTGGTATAAACGCAGCGGCCTAGCAGTCGCTAAAACTGGGATGTGGTGTAAAATACCGTGTAGTTGCTCTGTTTTGGCGTCGTTGATCAATCTTATAGACGTGCCGTCTCTCCATCTCACGCCCAGAAAGGTAAGAATTCTCCGCTTTCCATACCGCCGTCGCTCCCACACCCACAACCCCCATCGCCCACACACACCACTGATTACCCGCCTTCCAAATCCCCCCCAATTTTCAAACTCCCGCCTTCCGCCTCCACACCCTCGTATTGCCGCCCACGCCATCCACAACAACGACCTCAAACAACCTATCCCTGATCCCATTAACCACCCTCGGATCCCACAACTCGCTCGCGACCCCCAAATCCTTGCCCACCCTCACCATCGCAACATGCGCACACCTCCGCTCTGCCTCGTCCCTGTCCCCGCCCGCGGTGGCGAGGCTCCAGTCGCCGACGGCTTCGGAGATGAAGCGGTTGTTGATGGTGAGGATGTACGAGCGGAAGAGGGTGCGCCCGGAGCGGGAGGTGTGGAAGGGCGTTGTCGGCAGGAGGGACCAGGAGGTGGGACCGAAGGCGAGGTTGAAGAGGGTGCGGTAGGCGGGTTCCGACATGTACAGGTAGCCGCGGTCTGTGACGATAGTGAGGGATGGGGAAAATATGACCAAGGTGAAGCGGAGAGAAGTTCCATCCCGTTCCTTCAACCATCATGAACCACCATACATCCACCAAGAACCGCCATCATCCATCAGCCATCATAACACCGATGTTTCAGGGGAAAACATTAAGAACGACCGTTCGCTGTCGCTCACTGCGGGGTCAGCGCTCGGTCCCCCAGAGCGACCCAAAGCTCAAGCAATTCAGCGCCTCGCGGCACGGACTCCCATCGCAACCCACGACCGCGCTCGCTTACGCCGCACGCCTCCTCCTTCCCCATACATACCAGCATCCACTTCCAGATCCTCCTCCCTAACCGGCCCTGTCAGAACCCTCCCAACCTCCGCATCAAACCTCTCCATCCTCTCCACGGCCTCATGGTACAGCTCCCTAACCCTCTTGTCCTCCTCCGGGAACAGCAAATCAGTCGGGAGGCGCCCCAGGTTTGAAGCGTCTGCTTTTGGGTTCGATGCGGTTCTGCGGGGTTTGATTTGGGGTTTTGAGGTGGGGTTGTGTTTGGTTGTGGGAGCGGAGGAGGGGCGGTACGTTGTGGTGGACGTGGAAGGTTTTTTGTAAGTGGATGAGCTGCTGCTGCTGGTGGTGGTGGTGGACTTTGGGGTGGGTTTCCATTTGGGGGCGGGTGGTGCGGCGCACGATGGGGATGTCGGTGTGAAGTGACGGATGGTGGATGTGGCGAGGGATGGTGGGATGAGGACGGGCCTCACGCCCGTGCGACCGGGGACGGATAGACGAAACATGTTGGCGATGCTGTTTTTGCAACCAAGTATGTTTGAGAGAGAAGGAGGTGTCTGTGACGACGATGAACAGCAGTTGAAATCGTGGAGAGTCCAGGAGTCCAGGAGTCCCTTTGGACAGATGGACGCTCCCAGTGTCCGAACGTGTCCGAACGTGTCCGAAAAGAGATGCGCGCGTCCGAACATGTTCGCAACCGCTCGTAACAGCTTCCCTCTTGCGCAACGGTTCGTAACCAGTGTGATGTCGGGCCTTCCGCACTCTCCGCTCTCCTCCCTCTCTGCGGCAGAAACCCGGCGCTCAACCAGCAGCTGACAAAAGGTGGGGGACAGCACTCGCTTACATTCCTGCTCGCAAACCAGAGCCCCTGTACTCCCCGTGTGATACTCATGTTCCTCCTCAGAAGACTCTTCGGCTCCTCCGCTACACCTCAACAAGTCATGGCCGCTAAGGATATCGTCGAGAAGGCCATCACCGATAACAAAATCGTATGTGTTCGAAACACCCCGTCCCACCCACGCTCCAGCTCCCCCAACTAACTCCACGTCTCCTCTCCCACAGGTGGTCTTCTCGAAGTCATACTGCCCCTACTGCAACAAAGCAAAGAAGCTGTTGGACTCGTTGTCTGCAAAATACACCGCGTTTGAGCTCGACCAGCGTGAGGACGGGAGTGCGATTCAGCAATATTTGAGGGAGAAGACCGGCCAGAATACTGTGCCGAACATTTTTGTTAAGGAGCAGCATGTTGGTATGTATCTCATGCGGGGGGGGGGGGGGGGGGGGGGGGGTGTCAGCGACCGGTCGATTTGCGCAAGGGAGTGTCACTACCTGGAGCGACTGCGAACTGCGATGAGAGGAGCGAATGCGAACTGCGATGAGGGAGGCGAGGCGCAGGGATGCTTGAGGCGGGCGAGCCTAGGCGAGCTTAGGCGAGCCACATTGCTCCAAAGGCGAAATATTCCCTTAATCACAGCTCTTAGCGAGCCTGAACTAGCGAGCGGAGCGGAGCGAGCTTCGCGCATTCGCAGCCCAACCTTCTTGTCCCGAGCGGAGCGAGCAGAGTGTCGTTCAATTATCCTTCCATCCACTTCGCTTCATCCAACCAACCTGTTCGCGTTTCAACTTTATAGGTGGCTGCGATGACCTTCACGCCGCCAACTCCAGCGGCAAGCTGCAGAAGCTTTTGCAATAAACCTGCCTCATTCCAAGTCTAGGAGGAATTGTGGCCACGATCCGTAGCTCGGTCTCCATCCGTTTCCCATAGTCAGTTTCTCATTTTTGAATCATATGTACCCAATGACACTTTAGAGTTACGCTGTTGCAATATATGCAATCTAATGCTCGAGAGAGTGTTCATTGGCAGATTGCTATATGCGCTGTGGTCTATGGGCTATGGGCTATGGACTATCTACATACAGTGATCGGAGGACAGTGCACTGATCTTTATAGTGGGCGAAGTTCGGCCTGACGGAGGAAACGCGTTGTCGTCTGGTTGTCGTCTGGGTTGTCGTCGCAAAGACAATGAGACATGCGCCGTTCGTAGCCGTTCGCGGTACCGTAATGGAAGCATAGCCCAGGCGGCAAACTGCAGAGAGACCCCAGCAGAGCTAACCCATACAGAAACGGTAAGGCTCCAGGTCCAGTAGAGACGGGCACACGCTGCCGACCGGGCGTGGATGCTGCCAACTCTCCCCTATCATCCTAACCTCACACCACTCGCAGATCGCTACATCATGTCCGTCTCCGCAACGAGGATCCGGCGACCCAACGCAGGCAGCCGCATGCGTGCGCTCGTCGAGCAACAGCAGCAGCAGGACTCTCTGTTTGATGAAGATATCCTCGACGACGCGGAAGACTATGTCGTAGAAGGTAAGATACGAGTTAGTCATCGCGTTTGCCACAAGAAGGCAGTTTACTCAACGAGCAACATAGCACAGGAGGATGTGTTTGATGAGGATTTTGGAAGCACGGATGAAGAGGAGGAGGCGAGGGATGATGAGGCGCAGGTTCATGCTGAAGAACGTGCTGCGCGGAAGGTAAGGCAACACCACACCTTTTGGGTTGACTGTGTGCGCTGTGCTCATATCCACATATCCCAGAAAGCAGTGAAAGGATTGGGGATAACGAAGCGAAATCCGGTCAGCATCACACCCAAACCGCCGCCCGGACCCACACCGAAAGGCGGCCGCATCGAAAAGAAAAAGCCCACCCCCCGGCCAGCCCGGACCCACGACCCCACCTCAATCCGGCAATCCAACCGCTCCTCCACCGTCGCCTCCAAACGGCAACTCCAAGCCAAGATGTCCGAACAGCAAAAGCGCAAAGCAGCGATCCCACAACGCGTGCGCGTGGTGGAAGCAGAACTCACGCAGGAGGAGAAACTGGAGGAGGCCAAGGAGACGGAGCGGATCAATCTAGCGAGTTTGCAGAAGATTCTGGAGGCGGAGGTTGTTACGCGGATGAGGAGGGGCCAGAGGGATACGCAGCTTGTGGGGCCGCTGATACGGATCAGATCGTTTAGTGTGAAGGTGTTTGAGATGGGCGAGGCTGGGCCATCCAAAGAAACGCATGTGGAGGATTCGACAATTGCGATGGACGTAGACACGTCGCCACCTACAGCGGGAGAGGCACGGGCGCTCGAGCCAGCATTGGAGAGCACTATGGAGTTAGCAGACGAGAGCGCAATGGAAGCTTCTTCCATGCAGCACGAAGACACAATGGAGAACTCTCCCGACCAGCAGACACTTGTGCCTCGTGAGGAGCCAAGTCTCTACGGGAGATCCACTGTCACCTTCCAAGGTTTCCAAGACGATCCACTAAAAGCATGGCAGGACCAACCAACAGGTATGGCCCCATCTGCAGCACTCCTCTCCGCCCTCTATCTTCATTTCAACTGACCAGTCCCCTCCAAGCCCCCTCAAAACCAGTCTGCCCCATTACCGGCCTCGAAGCACGCTACCGTGACCCCCGCACCCTCATCCCCTACGCCACAAAGGACGCCTACGCAATTCTCAAACGCCTCATCAACGCCGAATACGCGTGGAGTCCAGTCGTACAGGCCTACATACACCCGTTTGACGTCGTGCCACCCGCAGCGGTGCCGCCGCCTTGGTTGGAGTCGACGTTGGGGACGCCTGCACCTGTGCCGGAGATCGAGGTTAAGGGGGAGACGGAGGGGGTGGGTGAGGGTCAGGTGAAGAAACCGAGGAAGGACGGGAAAGCGAAAGTGCCGGTTGATGCGTCTGCCCCTATGGTGGAGGGGACGGAGGGTGCCGCGGGAATGCGCGCGACGACGATCATGGATTCGAGCGATGTTGCGCCAACGTGAGGAAGATCGGGGATGGAAAAGAGTCTCAAACACAGTCCCGTGTAACTCAGTGTGAGTGAGGGGCCGGTCTCGATCCTCTCGAGTCATCCCGGGGCGTTGCGGTCAGGAGAGATCTCTTTTGCGGCGGCGACGACGAGGTACTTTGCACCGGCCGCCAGCGGGCCATGCCCGTTTTAATCAACTGCCCTGGCGTTGCTCAGGGGAACCTAAGTTAAATAAACACACTGAAACGCCGCCCCTATGGAATTACGCCAACCTTTGATATGCCCTCAGTTTTTTCCGCGCTTGCTCAACAGCTTAATGGAACGGGACACCTCCTTGCGTGGCGGGCCCACGGGTAGCCGCTAACGGATCCTGCTGACTTTGGAATAGTGCGCCACTTCCAGGTGTGCGTGGCGCCATCAACGGCGTCTCGACGATTTTGGTGATGCCTGCCATCGATTCCGGGCGTGACTGTGTTTTTGTAAGGAGTCTGTTTGGAATATGATGGGGAAGAGGGGTAGGAAGCGCCGACTTTTGGTACTCTTCCCAGGTTCTCGGTAGTGATGTGGCAGTCCCACCATGCTGAGAACGAGAATGGAATGGTGCAGATTGAGGCTGCATATATGGCATTCGATTCATTGCTGACGATAGGAGAACTCTCGCTCTGGTGATTGGTTTCCAAAAGACGAGCGGGAACGAACGCCAATCCATTTCTAGCTCATGTTTTGGTGCCTCTCGCTTTACTTGTGAGTTGTTCGAAAACTGCTCGCCGGATGGGAGTAGTTCTTCCTTGATTCTCGCATCTGATGCGGTCTCCAAACCCGTGGGCGACGGGAAATCGGTTTCATCTGCTGAAGGTTCTTGCTTCACTCGTTTGCTCAGTCGCTGCTCGTCGGATATGAGGGCTTCGGTCACGTCCACCGCTCCATGGTGACGCTGGGGCAAACGAGGCGTATCTGACCCTTGGGTTAGCGGCACTTCCTCGGCGACTCTGGGATCCGGTCGAGTGTCTCCCATATGACTGAGGACGTTGTCTGCGACACCGACGAGACCACCGGGAGCGTCCACATCGAAGGGAAGACCATCGAATCCTCATACATATGCTCATGTTCCTGGATGATAGCGTTGACTTCTTTAGCAGACAGACAGAGAACGCAGTTGTTGTCCGGCTTAAACGTGGCGGGCACTCAACGTCCATATCCGGGGTCAAGTCCTCATATATGTGTGGGGTATAAGTCTGCTTCTTGAGCAGACTGGCACTGGACGCAACGGCTGTCCGGTTTGAAGGATGGCGGGCGGTCCTCGCTGGAAGGTGATCTGGTTGGTAGGTGAAGCTTCATGGCTGTGCGGTGGTTCTGGCGATAGGGTTTCGGACGGCGTGCTAGGAGGGCCCTATTATAAAAGTGAGCTGGTGGAGGTGCGTATGGGAAGTGCACCGCCTCTATGGGTCCTCCACATCCTGTTCCTCCCTGAACGTTTTCTACAACTGTACAGTAGCAGCGAGGGCAGAAAGTTGGGAACCGTGGTCTTTCGCAGGGAGTCTCGGGGCTCTCGGGGTCTTTCTGGAGACGAGTCGTACTGCGTGACACTCCCAAGCTCGCGAGTGTAAGGCTGCTTTTCCCACGGCCCTCACTTGCACGTACAGTACACACACACGGCACTTCATACAGTATATACAGGTCCCCTCGGGCGGTTGTTTGCTGCTACACTCTGTACTCAAATAGGGCTTGGACTCGGTGGTATCGTCAGGTCAATAGGCCTGGATTTCGGAACCCTTCGATAGCTGCTCCCCCGTCCCGTGGCTGCCTACGTGGACATGAACTGGGGTCGGGTTTTCGTGGTGGGAGTTATCCTGCTCATAGCGTTTGTCCCCATCACCACACAGGTATGTGTATCTTCCTCACTGTTAGACAATCCCTTATGCCCACTTGACTGACACCCAATTCCCATAGTACTTCATTTTTGTCCCGTGGCTCACTTTCCACCCCGAGCGCTCCCTCTATCTCTGGCTGGGAACCTTCAACCTCGGCGCGGCGTCTATCATCGTCAACTATCTGCTAGGAGTGTTCACGGATGCTGGGAGGGTTCCAAAGGACTATGAGCCGCCAAAACCGTCGGCGGAGGGCAGCAAAGGGCTGATGAAACCGAGGTGGTGCAAGACATGCAAAGTTTTCAAACCGCCACGGAGTCATCATTGTAGCGTGTGCAATCGATGTGTTTTGCTGATGGATCATCACTGTGAGTTTTGGATATTGAAGATCCGATTGACTGCTTCGAACGACATTCTGGTGGCTAACATTCTCATTCACTCCAGGCCCATGGCTGAACAACTGCATAGGACATCGTAATCAAGCATACTTCCTGCGCTTTGTTGTCTCAGTGACTCTTACAGCCATCAACTGCCTCGTCCTCATGGCGTTGCGAATATGGGACATCTACAGCTACCAAAAGCAGTTCGAGAAGGCACCTTACACCGCGGACTTCTACACCCCGCCCCCAGAAGGACCAGAGGTCGTCTTCATGATGACGAACCTCATCATCCTCTTCCTACTCCTCGTAACCGTGGGCATCCTCTCCCTCTACCAACTCCACTACACCGCCTCAAACGTCACAACCATAGAAAGCTTCGAAAAAAGCAAAATAGAAGAGCTCACACGACAGGGCAAGATCTCCCCCGACGACGTGATCCCATACCCTTACGACCTCGGCACCTACCGCAACTTCCAACGCGTCCTAGGCCCGCACTGGTACCTCTGGTGGCTCCCCCTCCCCGCCTACGGCGACGGCATCCACCACCCTGTGAACGACGCCGCCCAACGCACGAAAGAAGAAACAGGCCTCCCCCTGCAATGGCCGCCCAAAGCGTATTTCATCCACAGACGATTCCCGCACGGCCGCCCATCCCGCCGCGAACGGGAGGAAGAGAAACGGAGGGACAGGGAGATGGGATACTCCCGGCGGAACCATGTACGGAGGGGCAGTGAGGGGTACCTCGTGCGACCCTGGACGGCGGAGGAGAGGGAGGAGGAGGTGCGGAGGGCATTGGAGCGGGATAGGTGGATGGCGAATAATAAGCCGTTGGTGCAGTTGGATGTTAAACTGCCGGTTGTACGGCCACACGAGGAGCAGGAGGAGGAGGAGGAGAGCGAACCTGAATCGGTGGAGAGCACGGATAGCGATTCGACGGATTGGTCGTTTGAGTCGTATTCGGGGACTGAGAGCTCATCTCAACAGGATCAGGATGATGATGGTGACGAGGATGAGGATGCACCGCTGGCCAAGGAGTTTACACCAACGCATGTCAGGCACCGTAGGAAACCTGCGAGTGGGCGGCGGCGGCAACGGGAGCCGGAGGAGTATGTGGATGATGGCGCGGTGGATGCGGGGTGTACGGGGGATGTGCATCCGGTGGGGAAACCGGTTGCGCATTGATTTAGGGCTTCGTGAATATGGTAGGCGATTGGACATCGATAACAATGCGTCGGCTATTAATGAGAAATCAGCGTTATGAACAGCGTAGTGCAGATAGGAAAAACGGATGTGGGGCTTAAAAACTTCCTCAATGCGAACTTTACTCTGCGGGCATTCAGACGGGTTCGCCTCCTGTGGACGCGCGAAATCCAGTTTGTCCCGTCCGAAAGGTGTGTCCGAATATCTCGGATGGCCACATTCTCCAACCCTCTATCCTTTCCTGCCAGTTCCTGCCTTGCTCACAGCCTCGGCGCTTACCCTCAGATTCCCCTTGACCGTGGCATGCAGTGCCAGAGCAAAATGAGGAAGCAGTGGGTAGGTGCGGCATCCTCCTCCCTTCCCTCGTTCACTTACCTCCCCATAAGGCAAACGACCACCAGTGATAACCAACCAAACACTTCCTGAACCGCACCATGGCGGCACAGCCCTCCCAGCCTCGCTCATTCCTGTGGAGCACTTCCCATGACTGCCGTTAATGGACGACATTTATATATGCATACACAATAGCTCCGTTGCTGTGGTGCGAGAATAACCGCTTGGGGGTTGAGAGAAAAGCCGATTGACAGTTTGGAATTGAACGTGGCTGCTGTCAGTCGAGGCTCCATGCCGTCATTGCTTGCCGCTGCGGCTCTCTTGCAGGGGGTTTTGAGAATTCGAACCCACCAAGGTGGCCAGTCTCTCCCAACACTAACCCTCCCTTCCAGAGAGCTCAGCATGCGCTTCAGCCTACCCACCGGGCCATGGCTAGTCCTAGCAGCAGCCCTCACCAGCGTCGTCTCCTGCGAACCCGCCCTCGACCAAAATGCTGCTGCCGCCGCGGCCAACCAGTCGCTGTTCTGGGGGACATATCGACCCAACTTGTACTGTACGTTAAATGCTTGAGCTAGCTATGGTGTGTAACGAGTATGAAAGGGGGCTGATATGTTGGGGCTTGTGTAGTTGGGACAAGAACGCGGAGCGCCGATACGTTGCTTACTGGGTTGATGTGGTTCGGAGTCAATGAGGTGTCGCAGGCTACCATCCAAAGTGAGTTCCAACATATCACCGTCGTAGGTGCTTTCTACGGGTTTAGAGGCATAAAGCTCATCCAGGTTGTTTCTGCCAGACATCCGCCACACCTGCGAACAAGGCGACGATCTCTCCGGCTACGCGTGGCAAAAGCACGACGGGCGCACCTTCGGCTCCCAGCTCATCAAAGACACCCTCAACAAGATCCACTTCAAGACCGAGTTTGTCAAAACGCCCGGCGGGGACCACGGTGGTGACTGGACCGTCCGCGTGTCGGGCGAGCCGTTCGCGGGCGAGACCGCGGATATCTCGGTGGTGTTTTATGTCACCCGGTATGGGAAGGGTGAGATGCGGTGGACGCAGGTGGGGGGTCATGAAGGGGTGGTCGGACACACGGAGGAGTTGGGCGAGTTCACGTTCGCGGTGGTCGACGGGCCGAACAACAAACCCCCGGCGACACCCTCACCAGGCCCCGATGACGCAGATCTGCGCTCAACGCTGAAAGCGCAGTTCCGCGTCCCGGAGAAGGAGTCATGGAAGGCGAAGGAGATTCTGCAGCAGCATCTGGTGCAGCACGGGCGGGAGAAGTTGCAGAAAGCGGCTGCGGCGGGAACAGCGCCCTCCGCGCCGCTTGTTTTCACGTTGGAGAATGAGGATGTGCGGGATGCGAATGTGTTTATGTTTCAGAAGACTCTCCGCGCCCCGTTCTCGTTCGATGTCGCGTTCCTGTCCCATTCTGCAAGAGCCGGGGGAAAAAAGCCTGATGTGACGGACGTGCAACGCGCCACGGGCCCCGCGCTGCAGGAAAAGCTGGGCGAAGCCGAGGCTGCGTTTGATCAGCGGTTTGAGGACACGTTCGGGCTGGCTGCAAAGGGGTACGATAAAGACCAGCAAACCTTTGCACAGTCGCTTTTAGGAAACATGGTCGGCGGGCTGGGGTACTTCCACGGCACCAGTATCGTCGACCGCGCCCTGGAAGGCGTAGAAACGAGCGAGATCGTCGATTTCGCAGAGGGCGATGATGACGACGATGAAAACGAGGACAGCTACTTTGAGAGCGGCGGCTCCTCCCAAAGCAGATCCTCCAAACGCGCCCCGAACCCGCAACTCGAAGGCCCCACCGCCCTCTTCACCGCCGTCCCCTCCCGCCCCTTCTTCCCGCGCGGGTTCCTCTGGGACGAAGGCTTCCACCAGCTGCTCATCGGCAAATGGGACAACGATCTCAGTCTCGATATCCTTTCCCACTGGATAGCGTTGATTGATGATAAAGGGTGGGTTGCACGTGAACAGATCCTCGGTGATGAGGCGAGGAGCAAAGTGCCGCAGGAGTTTCAGACGCAGTACCCGCATTTCGCCAACCCGCCTACCCTCGTTATGAGCCTCATGGCCTACCTGGATCGTCTGACACAGGCGAGGGACACGTTTGATGTGTCGTCGTCACAGCAAAAGATTGTTGCGGCGAGTGATACGGCGTTTTTGAAGGATAGGGCGTTGCTTGATCGGGAGGCGGCTGTGGAGTTTCTGAATGCGACCTACCCGCGGTTGAGGAAGCAGTATGAGTGGTTCAGGGAGACGCAGTGGGGTGAGCCGGGGTTGATTGAGGGGAGGGCGGTGGAGGGGTATCGGTGGAGGGGGAGGAAGGATACGCATACGTTGACCAGTGGTGAGTTTACGTACGAGAACTGACCTCGTAAGGCAGTTCATGAGGGGTCAGGATGGATATCAGGACATGACGGCTGATGCGAAAGGTTCCCAGGCCTCGACGACTACCCCCGCGCAATGCCCCCCCACAAAGGCGAATTCCACATCGACCTCCTCTCCTGGATGGCCTTCTACGCCTCAACCCTGAAAACCGTCGCCCACGAAATCAACCGCACCAAGGACATCAAAACCCTCACCGCCGACCTCACCGATCTGCTAGCATCCCTTGAATCCCTGCATTGGAACGCTGACTCGCAATCCTACTGCGACGTCTCGATCGACGAGGGGGGGAAATCATCTTTTGTTGTGCATAAGGGGTATATATCCCTCTTCCCGCTGATGCTGGGGTTGCTACCGGCGGATCATCCGCATCTGGGCGCGGTGCTGGATCTTGTGGCTGATCCGAGCGAACTGTGGACGGAGTTTGGGATTGCGTCGTTGAGTCGACGGGATCGCTTTTATGGCACGGGCGAGAATTATTGGAGGGGGCCCGTGTGGATTAATATGAATTATTTGGTTTGTGCTAGTTTGCATAAGGTGAGTGAAGAGATGGTCTTGGCGGATGGAGAAACGAGGGATGGATATATGATGGATATGGCGAATATCTTAACCGGTCCTTGCTTCTCTGTAGAACTACGTCAACGTCCCTGGACCACATCAGAAGCAAGCGCAAGAGATCTACACCTCGCTAAGAAAGAACCTAGTCAGCAACGTATACAAGGTGTGTCATCATCCCCTCACCGCCGTCTAAACATACTCCAATCCCCCATCCCATCATCCCCGAACTAACAAACCCTCTTTCCCCTTTGCTACACAGGAATATAAACGAACAGGCTACGTATGGGAACAGTACTCATCCCAGGACGGCGAGGGCAAACGGTCGCATCCGTTTACGGGCTGGACTGCGTTGATTTTGTTGATTATGGCTGAGCAGTATTAGATCTTAGAGCGAGGGATGTCATATTATCATGTTTGACGACACGCCGCGGTGAGAATGAGACGCGGGTCAAGCTTAAATGCGAGTGGGTGCAGTTGTATCGCCGATTTAGTTCAGGGTTTCCCAAACCGACGTGTTTCGACAACCCAACGCCATCTCCGTCTAAACATATAAGGGTCTTAACCCTGCATGCAGGCTCAAGACCAGGGAAATGGGCGACGCGACGTCACCAGGTGCTTGGAGAGATGACAGTTATTTGACAGTCTGGGTGTCATTTCCATTTTTCACCACTGCGTTGCTTGGCGAGACGCTCACACCAACTCTCAGAAGAGGAAAAGGAATGGAGATACTCTCCTTCACATTGCCTATACGTACGCCAAGAGAAAGCATCATCGTTTCAATGGAGACATGGATATAAGCGTTGACCACCACAGCATCTCACCCCCTTATATCATAGCTGATTGACCCATGTCGAGCCGCTTTTCACACGCGCACGCGCAGCAGCCAGGAAGCCAAGATCCACAACCGGGCGAACGCAAAGTCGCAAGCCAACTACCCCCGGAAAACAACGCGAAATCCTTAATGTCGTGCTTAACAAAATCGCCACTTCTGCCCTGTGATTATTAGGACGGGCGGGGCGGTTGACGAGGACAGCGCATCATCGCCTTTGCCTTCTGCTGCTGCGAGCGGTGTCGCCATATTCCCACCGCCTTCTCTTCCGTCCCATTCCTGGTCCCATTCCCACGAGCCCTCGCTGTTCGCAGTTTCCCACGCATATCTCCCCATCTCTCATACCACTCATATCCACATCCTCATACACTCACTCTCACTCTCAACCAACACTCAAGGGATACCCACAAGCAGCCATGGTCACAGACCCCGACCACGTCCTCGTCGACCAGGCACAGGCCGAACAACCCGCCCCGATCGCAACAAAACCCCTTCCCACCCAGGAAACCGCCGACGAAGTCCCTCTCGAGGTCTCCTACGCTGACGCCGTCACCGCTCACCACACTGCCCAAGCCGCTGAGCCTGCTACCCACCACCAGGCCGCCGAAGATGTCTCCGCCGCTGAGCCTGCTTCCGACTTTATCAAGGACACCACCAAGATCACCGTCCTGGACTTTGAGAACAACTCGGCTGCGTCTGTGACCGAGTCGGTCACTGTCGCTAGCGAGGGAAAGCTTTCTGCTGCGAACGCTGGGGATCAGGGGAAGCCCCCTGCCCCATTGAAAAAGAAGCGATCGGTTTCCAAGCTTGTTCAGATGTTTGAGGTAAGCTAACTTCTCCCAAGGGTTCGTGTGATCTTCATAACCTAAAATTAACCACCGACCGTATCTGCAACAATTAGACTGGAACTGTTATACCCCCGACTCGCACCGATTCTCAGGACGTAGGCGATGTCGCTGAAAACAAGACTGAGAGCGAACCTGTTGCGGCCGAGGATGAGAAAGCCGCTACCGAGAACGTTACCACTGAGGCGCGTGAAACCACCAAAGACGTGGCAGCCACTGCGGAATCTGAGAAGGAGCTCCCCAAGGACGAGACGAATGCTACGCCCGTCATCGACGTCGTTGACGAGGAAAAGACCGCCGCGCCCGTTTTGGAAGCCCGTGAAGTCGAAGCCGAGCAGGCCACTGCGGAATCTGAGAAGGAGCTCCCCAAGGACGAGACGAATGCTACGCCCGTCATCGACGTTGCTGACGAGGAAAAGACCGCTGCGCCCGTTTTGGAAGCCCGTGAAGTCGAAGCCGAGCAGGCCACTGCGGAATCTGAGAAGGAGCTCCCCAATGACGAGACGAATGCTACGCCCGTCATCGACGTTGTTGAGGAGGAAAAGACCGCCGCGCCCGTTTTGGAGGCCCGTGAGGTCGGAGCCGAGCAGGCAACTGAAGAGGCTACTCCGGAAGAGCCACCCATGGACGAGACGCATGCCACTCCCGTCATCGACGTTGTTGACGAGGAAATGACCGCCGCGCCCGTTTTGGAAGCCCGTGAAGTTGAAGCCGATCAGGCAACTGAAGAGGCCGCCTCGGAAGAGTCTACCGACGATGTCCCCTCCACTATCGACCTCCAAAAGACTCTTGATGAACATTTGAAGCTTTCGTACGAGCTCCAGAGTCAGTGGGAGGCTGCTTTGGCCTCTGCTGCCGAGTCGGAGAAGGAGCATGCTGTGTCTGCGGAGGATGTGCGTGACGAGAAGGAGCAGAAGGGAGAACCCAAGGATGCCATCACCGACAAGGTAGATGCCGCCGCCGTAGAGGAGTCGCACGCTTACACGGTTGATCACCAGAAGACCATCGACGAACATCTCCAAATGTCTTACGATCTTCAGAAGGAATGGGAAGCTTCCCAGAACGCTGCCAACGAGGCATCTACCGTCGCCCACGAGGAGGAGCAACCCCGGGATATCAAGACAGCCGCCCCAGCTGAGCATGAGGAATCCGCGCGCCCGCCTAAGCGCGATCTTGACGCTGTCTTCCAGGACACCGTCGTGCCTGCAAAGCGTGGCGTAGCAGCCGTTGCAGCCGCAGAGGACCCTGCAAGCAAGAAGGCCAACTTGATGGCCGACGACGAAGAGAAGCCTGAGCCTGCGCAGAAGGAAGTGACCGATGCACCAGTCGCTGCTGCTGACGAAGACACTGTCACTCCCGTCATTGATGTTGTTGACGAGGAGGGCACTGCTGCACCCGCTTTGGAGGCCGGCGATATCAAGGCTGAGCAGGCTAGTGAAGAAGCTGTCGACTCGACCGCTGCCCACGCCGAAGCTGCCCCTGCTCTGGAGCCCGAGGTGGCTGGGGAACCCGTCGAGACTGACCGCGAGGTTCCCGCCCCCGTCGAAGTTGACAGCGACGTCCCCATCCCCGTTGAAGCTGACCGCGAGATCCCCGCCTCCACCGACCCCGAGGCGTCTCCCTCAATCGATGTCGTTGACGAAGAAAAGACCGCTGCTCACGCATTGGACGCCCGCGAAGCTGAAAACGACCAGGCCAATGACGAAGGCATCCACGCCCCTGCAGCCGTCGATCGCGAGTCCTCCACTCGCGCCGAGGAAATTCCCATCCCGTCGGAGCACCAGACCACCGACTCCCATGTCGCTGAACAACAAGAGGAAGCTACCAATACTCCCGTTATTGACGTTGTCGACGAGGAAAAGACGGGCGCGCCCGCATTGGAGGCTTTGGAGGAAAAGGCCCAACATGCGAGCGAGGATGCAGTTGAGGACCGCCACCACCACCAGGCTTCTGAGGAGGTGGAGGAGCCTGTTGTCCCCGAGCGCGACCCTGCTTCCGGGAAAGCTGAAGAGCCCGCTGTCGCTGAGCGTGAACTTACTCCGGAGAAGACTGAAGAGCCCGCTGTCGCTGAGCGTGAAGTTACTTCGGAGAAGACTGAAGAGCCTGCTGTCGCTGAGCGTGAACTTACTTCGGAGAAGACTGAAGAGCCTGCTGTCGCCGATCGTGAAATCGCTTCCGAGAAAGCTGAAGAGTCGACCCCAGTCATTGATGTCGTCGAAGAAGAGAAAACTGCTGCTCCCGCTCTCGATGCCATTGACGCTAAAGCCGAGCACGCTAGCGAACACGCGGTCGAGTCCACCCACGAGGCTGACAACCGTCAGATCCAACCCGCCGACGGGGGTCACGAACACGAGAAGCAGGCTACACAGGAGGCTACGGAGCCCATCGCCACCGCCGACGAGCCTGCTCCCTGCAAAGAAGCCGAACAGCCCGTCGTCCCCGATCGCGAGCTTGCCGACGATGCCATCGCTACTCCCGTCATTGACGTCGTTGATGAAGAAGCCACCGCGGCTCCTACTCTGGATGCTCTGGACGCCAACGCTGAGCACGCTGCCGAGGATGCTGTCGAGCCGCACCACGTTGCTGCTGACCGCGAGATTCAGGAGGACACTCCTGTTGAACACGAGGAGAGCAAGGTGGTTGAGGAGCCTGTGGCCGCTGACCGTGAAATCCCTGCCCACAAAGAGGAATCTACCCCCGTCATTGACGTCGTTGATGAAGAGACTACTGCTGCGCCCGCGCTGGATGCGCGTGAGGAGAAAGTTGAGGAGGCCCACGAGGAGGCCGTTGAGCACCACGAGGACACCGTGGACCGTCAAGTTCCTTCCGTCCATGAAAAGCAGCCCGCCGCGCCTGCTGAAGCCCCGGAGCCCACCGCCGCCGCTGTTGACCGCGAGATCCCGTCCCACCACGAGGAGGAGTCCGCCGCACCTGCTGAAGCTCCCGCTGCTGCTGAGGAAGAGATCCCCACCAAGCAAGACGAATCCACCCCCGTCATTGACGTCGTTGATGAAGAGACCACCGCCGCGCCTGCTCTTGGCGCGCGTGACGAGAAGGTTGAGGAGGCTCACGAGGAAGCTGTTGAGCACCACGAGCGTGAGACACCGGCTTCCGAGCAGGTTGCTGAGGACGTCCATGACGACGCTGCTCCTGTCGCGGCTCCTGTGAAGGAGGAAGAGGTGGCACCCGTTACTGATGTTGTTGATGAGGAGAAGACTGCGGCGCCGGCTTTGCATGCGTTGGAGTCTGAGGGTGTCAAGCGTGAGGTGCCCGCGGCTGAGGAGACTGAGCGCGCTGCGAATGAGGAAGAGCAGGTCCCTGCACCCGTTGAGGACAAGCACACCGAAACCGTCGAGCAGCCCGCTGAGGTCGCCGACCGTGAAATCCCACAGGAGGAGAACTCCGCCGCCGCCGTGGAGCAGAAGCAGGAGGAAACCACACCCGTCATTGATGTCGTTGAGGAAGAAACGACCGCGGCGCCTGCTTTGGATGCGATTGAGGATAAGGCTGTTGAGGAGGCGAGCGCTGTAGAGACGGAGCGTGATGTGAAAGAGGAGGAGGCTACACCTGTGAGCGGCGAGCAGGTTGAGACGCCTGTGGCGGATGTGAAGGAGGAGGAAGGTACCCCCGTGAGCAGCGAGGAGGTTAAAACTCCTGCGGCGGAGCGCGATGTGAAGGAGGAGGAAGCTACCCCCGTACACACCGAGGAAGCCGCTACCCCTGTCATCGACGTGGTTGACCAAGAAACGACGGCCGCTCCTGTTCTGAATGCTCTGGACAGTCATGCCGAGTCCAAGGCCGAGGATGCTCTCCCTACCCCTGCTCCCGCTCACCATGAACCCGAATCCAAGCCCGCTGACCGTGAGATTCCCCAAGCTCATAACGAGAACGCCGTCACCGAGGAGCAACCCGCCTCCGTCACCGGTGACAAGTCCGAACCAGCCAGCGAAACTGCCACGCCCGCCATCGACGTCGTTGACGAAGACACCACCGCTGCGCCGGCGTTGGAGGCTCGTGAGGCTCAAGCGGACGACAAGATCGACTCCACCCTTCCTGCACGTGAGGAGGAACAGACCGCCGCTGAGCCCGAGCACGCGCAGACGGAACGCGAGGTTCCCCAGACTTCTAGCGATGTCGTCGAGAACAAGGACGTCGCTGCTGAGGAAGAAGCGCACACCCCCGAGACCAAACCCGATGCCAAGGAAGAGGAAGTCGTCTCCCCCGCACAAGAAGAAGCTGAAGCCGACAAGACCGCGGAGTCCCCCCGCGACGTCACGGACGAGACACCCAACTCCAGGGAACCGTTGGTCGATATCGTCACGGACGAGGTCACGGTCGCCGCCGCTGTCGAGCCTGAGGTGCCTGTCGCGCCGGCTGGTAGAGGGTACTGTCTTATTATGTAGAGGGAATGACGACTGGATAGGACACTACGCATATCAAGAACAAGACGAAGATACGCTTTTTTCGGCTTTGTCTCGCCTCATTCAAATCACCACCAAGGACATCGATCACCCATTCGGAGGAAGGAAACGGACCCACCTCTTCGCCATTTGTTCCTCCATTGAAGCAGGGTTTCCCTTCGAAAAGCACTCTCAATCTATACATCCTCATTGTCATATATCTGATATCCCCCATCGCGATCTTCATTCACTCATGTATCAATCCCCACGGACTTAGTTTTCTTCACACTAGTCCCTCCTACACTAGTCCCTTTTCAGTAGCATTTTTCCTCATGTAGTGTTCTTTACTTTACTCTTTTTTTTATTGAATTCATCTTCCCTGCCGTACTCTGGCTGTTTTCATTATCTTTTGTTTCACCCCCAGCTATTCATCTTAACGGATTCAAGCCTTTTAATAACCTCATGTCTTGTGCTCTCATCCTGGGGTCTGTTGAGGTTTCGCCTGTCTTTGAACCTCGCCGCCGCCACCAACAACCGGGTGTGTGCAGCAAGCAGGGCGCTGGGGTTACATCATAATGCATAGGTCCTTATAACCGCGGGAACGCAGCGGAGGAGGACGCGCCCATTGAGGCTGTTTTTCACGGTCGTCGACGGCCGGCTTCGGGCCGTTTGCATCCGGGCTGGAATTACATATTATATCACACCGTCCAACTCCGACCCCTGGAATATCGGACATCCGACCATATGATGAGAGAGGCGGCCGGCCAAATCTGCCCCTGTTGTACATTTTGTTGCGGAGGACGGTCGTAACTCGTTACTCCAGATGTATTGGATCCGATAAGATCCGTGCCGCGCCATATTTCTTTTTCTTCGCCTTGCACATGTAGCGGCCGGTGCTCCACATGGAAAGAATACACTGGGAAACAGGATCCGTACATATATATATACGGCGCTCCCTCCCACCCGCACCCCCATCAATTCATAGATACAGTATATGGGCATTACAAGTTATCAAAGCACATCAGCATCTCCACTCTCAAACTCCACTCTCAACATCACATCACTTCAAAAACACTGACCCGACACCCACCCGAAAAAAATGGCCTCGACAACCACCCTAACAGCCCCGTCGCTCCTAGCCAGCAAAAAACCCTGGGACGCCCGTCTCGCCGGCCCCGTGCCGCATGACGCGACGTATTATGCAAAGTGCTTCATGTCCGGGATTGTGGCGTGCGGGACGACGCATACGGCTATGACGCCGTTGGATGTTACGAAGTGTAGTATGCAGGTGGGTTGAGATAGGGAGTCCGTGCGCTTTGCTGTCCATTCTTCTCGCCGAGTCGACGACGTAGGAGGAGGTTCCTCATGACACAACCGTCAAGCGATTGTAACAGTGGTATCACACTTACGCGTCGGATTCCTCGGGGACGCGTCTGGCGCTTTTTTTCCCTCGAGATCGGAACAAAGCTAACGCATCAAACGCTCTGTACAGGTGAATCCCGCAAAGTACACCGGTCTCGGCCAAGGCCTACGAACCATCATCGCCGAAGAAGGCAGCCGGGCGCTCTTCAAAGGCTGGGCGCCGACCGCGATCGGCTACGGCGCGCAAGGCGCCTTCAAATTCGGCCTTTACGAGTACTTCAAGGACGCCTACTCAAACCTCGTCGGCGAGGAATATGCGCACAAGTACAAGCAGCTCATCTGGTGCGCCGGGTCCGCGTCCGCGGAGTTCTTTGCGGATCTCGCCCTGTGTCCGATGGAGATGACGAAGGTGAAGGTGCAGACGTCGGCGTTCGGGACCTTCCCGACGGCGCTTGGACCCGCCCTGTCGACCATGATCTCCAACCGCGCTGACACGAGGTTCCCGTACGGGTCGCTGGGTCCCCTCTGGGCTCGCCAGTAAGTGGCCGCTGCTCATGCCTGAAGTTATAATCCCACACAATCCGTTAACTCGCACCCCTTTTCACCACCCCCCAGAATCCCCTACAACGTCTCCAAATTCTTCTTCTTTGAGCAAATCGTCTCCGGCTTCTACACCTACCTCCTCACCAAACCCAAAGACTCCTACTCCAAGACAACGCAGCTGGGCGTCACCTTCGCCTCGGGGTACCTCGCGGGCGTCGTCTGCGCGATCGTCTCCCACCCGGCGGACTCGATCGTGTCGCTCATGTCCAAACCCGATAACAAGGGGAAGAGTGTGGGGCAGATTGCGAGGGAGACGGGCGCGAGACGGTTGTTGACGGGGGGTTTGGGGACTAGGGTGCTTATGATTGGGACGCTTACGGGTATGTGTCTGGTTGCCGCATCAATTCGTGTTGCGAAAGGCTCGCCCCGCTGGGATGATGCTGGGCTGGGATATCCATCGCATCGCTAACCCTCTCTTTTTCCTGCCGATTTCCGCGTTTCTAGGCATGCAGTGGTGGATCTACGACTCCCTGAAGACCGCCATGGGCATGGGAACCACCGGCGGCGCCTCCCCGGTCAAGTGAAGTAACCCCGCCAGTAGCAGCGTGCATTCGACGCGCGGCGGCTTTCAACGGACCACGGATCGCCAATAGAACCCAGAGGCTGGAAAAAGCCGAAACTGTTAACATCGAATCAGGAATATACCATGGCAGAGAAGAGTAGGGAACGTTCAAAGCGCCAATTCAGTAGTCCTGCATCTAGACCGCACAGATGAATAAGGTATAGTCAGTAACCCCGCGCATAGAACGCGATCCACCCCATTTCTATACGTAGAAGTAGTGTCTTAGTCTGCCACTCGACGATTAGATGTGATTTGAGCGATGGCTTTGTCCTTGAGCAAATGGTGAATGAAATGGAATTTCCTCATGAAATATAAAAACGGATGCACAAAATTTTAAAGGGTGGTTTCAGAGGAGCGCGCGAGACCGTGGGGACGATCGCGCAACACAACGGAAGGAGATGCAGCACGAAGTCGGCCGAAGGGCGGTCGTCAGCGGGCCCAGTTATGGGCAACGCCCCCGCTCCCCAGATCTCACACCAAGGTAACTATAAGCTAAGCATACCCCCCGTCTACTCCAATCTCACCCCATCCAAACTACTACTCATCATCTCCACCTCATCCTCCGGCACCGCCAGCGTCTCGTTGCCAAAGATCGGCAACGGCGCCGCGACATCCATCACGGCATCATCGTCGTCCTCGTCCTCCTCGTCGCTGCTCTCATCATCCTCGTCCTCGTCGTTCTCCCACGGCTGGTAAAGCGGGTCGACGAACCGGCGGGAGGCGGGGAGGGTGATGGGGTCGAAGGGAAAGAAGGCGTCGAGGCGGTCGGTTGTGGGTGTTTGGGTTGGTGGTGGTGGTTGGGGTGTTGTTGTCGCTGCTGCTGTTGAAGTGGGTGGCAAATTTGTTTGGGCGGCGGGTATGTGGGGCAGCGAGGCCGAGTGCGGGAGGAATGGGCGGCGGGCGGTTGCGGATGGGTTGGTGGTGGCGTCGTGGAGGGAGTTGGAGGAGGCGGAGGTGGTGAGGAGAGTAGGGGTGGAGAGGGAGGCGGTGGGTGTGCCGGTGCCGGCGATGAGGGGGAAGCAATACATGATGTCGAGTTTGTGTGTGATGCGGGCGAATTCCATGACGATAGGTTTTGCGCAGATCTGTTACATTTGCGGAAAGACGCAGTGTCAGGGTCAAAATCATTCTGAGAGCATCGGAACAATAATGTGACACGTACCCTAAACGGAGCAAATCTCGACATCAACACCCTCTGAAACCCACTCATCTCCGGCGGCAGCATCCCATAACCTCTCAACCCATCCAACCGGCCATCCCACTCCCTACTCTCCATCAGCTGCTTCCACCTAAAGCAAAACACATACACCACCGCCTGCACAGCCGAATAAAACACGCCATAGCGTTCCGTATCCGGGACCGTCAGGTACCCCATCCCCAGCCCGCCGGCGCCCGTCGCCTCGTTGTTCTCCACGTACGCGTACGTCCAGCCGTGCAGGAGCTTTAAACACGTCCGCACCGAGGACTGATTAAGGAAGTTGGCCCGAGCGATGAAGGAGCCGAGGTACGCCGATGCGGAGATGCGGATCACGCTGGGTGCGGAGACGTCGAAGAGTTTGCTCACCAGCAGGCCCATGAAGAGCTCAGGGAAGGTGGGGTCGAGGGATACCGCGTAGAACCAGAGGAACTGTGTGCATCGCAATTTGTGGGTGGGGAGGATAGTCCGTTCAAAGATGAGCAGGAACGAGTCGAAGAGGGCCCGTAGTTCGTCTCCCGGATTTTGTGAGGCAAAGTCGCGCAGGTAGCTAAACACCAGCCGGAGCATCGCGTCGAGCTTCTCGACGACTTCTTTCAAATTCGTTGCTATTGGCGTGATTCCTCCATCGTCGTCGTCGTCGTTATCGCTCCCTGCATCCGAATCGAGGAACATGTCCTGTTCGTTGAGCTCGTCCATCAGTGGGTCGTATTCTCCGTTTGGGTGCGTGAAGGCTGATGGCCGCGACGACGGTGACAAGCTCATCGCCACATCGCTCATTTTGCGAGACCACAGCCCGTCGCTGTTCTCGTGATCGGTCTCAAGGACGGCCTCCTGGACCTGTGCCCACACCTCGTCATCCAAGTCATCCAACTCGACCTGGATCTCGACGTCCACTTGCACAATCCTGTCTACAATCAGGGCCAGGACCTGATCTCGCAGCACGGGTGCGTAATCGATCATTCTCAGCACATTTCGGAGGTAATATACATGTGTTTCCATCGATTCACTTTTGTGCGGGAAGTTTTGCGTCACAATGGGTAGCATGAAGGAGGGACCGGTTGGGATGAGGGCTAGTACGCCTTGTAGCATGTTATGGACCCGATCGAAGTGCACTGACGGGGAAACGGTCGAGGTGGTAGATGCTGGTGCTGTGCAGAAAAGGTCGATCAGCAATGTACAACTAATAGCGGACATGGAAGCTTCAGTCCCCATACCTTTCCTCAGATTCTTCACCAACAACTTGGCGACGGGCAGCACATGCACAGCGTGTGCACTAACAAGGTTTTCCAGTAGGTGCTTAAATATGTAAATTGTTTCTTCGCTTTGTGTCACCCACTCCACCGACAGCACGGCGTCAATCATTGAGCTGAAGGCAGATGTGAGGCTGGACACAATGTGTGAGAACGCTCGAAGCCAATGTATCAGGGTCTCTGGCTGGATTATCGGCCCCGGTGGTGCTTTCCGCGTGAGTAGGTGTAATATTTCGTAATATAAGGTTTGGTTCCCCTGTAAGACATAGATTGAAGGTGAGACAAGCACATCCTGATATACGGCCTCCACAGCCTTCAGTAAACCACAAAGCCGACCCACCTCGCTTTTCTGCTTCAAAGCCAATAACAGATATTTAGCAATAAGTGGCGCATCCGTCGCCTCCCCTCCCAGGACTATCTGTCGTTCGGTCAGTGCGGGCTGCCCCGGAGAACTAGGCGTCGGAGATGGCATATCGAACCTAACAGTCTTCTGCTGTGACTTGAGAGCCGAGGCTGGTCCTTCGGAGTGCGACCGCCGAAGGATAGTTGGGGCTGCCAACGGTGTCCGTGGGTCCGTGGCTACGGCGGAGACCATTGCGACCTTGGGTAATAGCTGGCTGGAAGGGTTCGACGACGGCTGGAGCGTATTAGACTGTCCAGGTATGCACTGGTCTCTTGTGGACTAGTCAAGCTTTTCCTTGCTTGGTCGCAGAGGCGCTCCTCAGGGGTTCGGACAACGAACACAAAGGCAAGTCACAAGAGTGGCTTCGAATTCTACGCCAAAGGTAAGCGTCCTCCCCTTGCTGGAAAATGCTGCTCCTCTATGTTAACGAGGTATGAAATAGGGGACTTTAAGAGCCTTGCCTGGCCTGCCTGTGCATGCAGCTTGGGGGGGGCCAAGCAGGAAAAAGAGCGACGAGAAAAGAGGGATCAGCGTGTGAGAAATCAAATTGCTGTGCGCGGGGGGGCATTAGGACTCGCAACGCGCTCGTCTTGCGTTACAAGCCGTTCCAAACAGAGTCGCACATCGCAGCGCACACCCCTCTCCAAGGATGCGACCGAGAACGGACAATATTCTATCTATGATTCTAGATCTACGGATGGTCACGCCGCCTGCAGCACTGTCATGTACTCCGATACAGTTGAGTCCCTCCACAGCGCAGGGTTCCCATCATATCGGCAAGTGTTCCCTTAGCGTACCATCCCCCTTCGGCAAGTATAGACCTGTGCCTGCAGGGCTGTCCCTCCACGCAAAGCCTTTTGCAACCTCGCTCTCAATGCCGCTCACCACATCCGCAATCACATCCCCAATAACAGGCGCAAACTTGAATCCGTGTCCGCTACCGCCCGTCGCGACATACAATCCTTCCCGGTGAGGGACGGCCGAGATGACGAACCGTTCGTCAAAGGTGTTGGTGTACCAGCAGAGCCGTGCTCTGGCAACCGGCGCATCAGCGAGGGACGGGAAGAGCGTGCGCAGGAAGGAGAGCATTTCCTTGTACTTTGGCGCCGGGATGGTGTCGCCCAGGGGTGTGCCGACTGGGGACGGAATGGAAATCAATGTTGACGGATCAGAGCTCCAGGGAGCAGGTGTAGGATTGGTAAAACCCAGGCTATGGCAAGCGAACTTCAACACCCCTTCTTGCACCGGAAACCCGTAGATCCCCGTCTTGGTTATGTCAGCTGTCCACACCGGAAAGTTCTTGGAGGAAAACTCCTCGCGCAGGTTCTCCGGTACACTCACATAAATCACCGGCTGTCCAGACGCGACGACCAGGCTCGCCAGTTCGGGCACGATGGACGCCGACCACGCCCCAGCTGCGACCAGCACCGCATCGGCGTAATGATGAACGCCATCTCGCGTGGTGAGACCCGCCACGCGTCCGTCCGCGTTGCTTATGAAATCCGCTACACTGCCATGGTCCTCTCCAGTGAAAAACTCGACCCCCATCGCATCCGCTTTGGCCTTCAAGTACACCATCGCTTTGTTGGCGTTCACCATCCCGCCCAGTTTGTTGTAGTATGCGCTCTGCATAACCGAGTTGGAAGTCGCTTCTGCAAATGCCGGGAATTTGTCACCCAGCTCGGATGCCGAGAGTTCTTGCAATAAAGGCCCGTGGCCTATGCTCGACAGAAACTCCACACATCCCCTCTCGTATGGTCCTAGCACTTTGTCCTGGCATGCCAGAATGATCCCGCACTCGTCGAAGAGGGGTCGGTCGTCGTCCGGTAAGACCTTTGTCGCGTCATCGTTCCTGAAAGAAAGAGAAAGATCAAACACCTGTTCCACAAGTGCGCATCCCACGGTACTTCCATCCCTCAAATCCGTGATACGTAAGACACACCATTCACGCCACTTCAAAATAGCCTTCTCCGCCAACCCCTGTTCCAGCCCCTTCGCACCATAGTCCATCCGCACGATACGGTTGATATCGTTAGAGCTGCCATCCTCTGCGGGTATCGGGAGACGATCGAAGACTATGACTGTGTGCTGGCGTTGGCGGAGAGCTATGGCGGCGTTGAGGCCGAAGACTCCGCCGCCAACGATGAGAAACTTTTTTGGCGTTGGCGAGAGGATGTCGTCCGTACTCGTGAGCATGCTAGGAGAGACGAATGGAGTTGGCTCGCTTCCTCTCGTCGACACACGGGAAAGTATGTACTATAAGCCGCCGTATGTAGTCCCAGTGCCGGTGGACCTCCTACTGTAGTTCTCAGGTAGTTCTGTCGGTGTTCAGTGATGCAATACAGGATGCGTGTGGAGAAAGTGGAGAAGCGTGTGCAGGTCCACGTTCGCTCTCTATTCCTCCAGCAGCTTTCGGTTTCACACCCTGCATCCCGACAGCCAAACACACAACCCCTTCAACACAACCCCAGCACAACCCATACCCACAGCAGCACAAGCTCGTCTCATTCCAGACCGTTCTAAATATGGTACGTGAGGACGGTGATGGTCCGACTGGTGTCCAACTTACCGCTCAACCTGTCAATGTCACGCTTCCAGACGCAACACACAATCTTGCTTCTGCAGACGCACGCGAATAGGAAGGATACGAGGCAATGGGAAGGTAAGGGGGTCATAACCCGTGTTGACTCGGGTTGGGGAGTTCGAACCTATGCTTACACCTTCGTTAATGATCTGTGTGCAGATCACGATACAGTCAGCCTCGCCGTCGAATGTGAGTGAAGACAGGCTGGAAACCAAAATTCCACCTTCAAAGTAGGATCAAGCGTTGGAGAAGCTGACATGGACATCTGTGCCTGCTGTGCAGCGGTCATCAGTAAATTCGAGCAGCGTCTGAAGCAGTCAAACCCGACCGTTCGCAACATCCAATGTAAGGGAAACCCTGCATTTCTGTTGGACATTAGCCGTAGATGTCAAACTGAAGGTGCTTGTGCCTCTAGATGATATCAACGATCTACAGAAGTATATGTGAGTTATGCCCAGCGTAGTTTTCATAGCATCCAGCACACATATTGTCACACATTCATCGTCCCGATCTTGTACCACAAAAGTGACTCCCTGGGCGATGTGGCCTGCCTAGTGTAAGTCCGCGTCCGCTCCAGCGTCGCCATGCATATAATACTCACGCCTTCTTTGGGTGATATAGGCTCGACCCAACGGCGCGCGCGTACATTCCGCATGACCGGGATTGGTTCAAAGCAAGGGTATATAGTGGCCGGAATGACGGGAGTTCGTCTTTTGTCTTCGTATGCTGATTCGCTCACATCTCCGTCCCTCGCCGCGTTTCTGCAGGTGTTCAACCACCTCAAAAGGGTAACATTCATCCCATCCCACACATCACGATTCCAGCACCGCTACCCCCCACACTAACTCGGTCCCCATCTTCCCATTCACAGCAAGCGTCCGCAGCCCGATAAACACCGGAGGCCACCCAAATAACAGGTTATGAATGGAGGATACTTCGGCACCCCTTCTTGCTGCGCAGAACGAACGGGAGAGAGAAAGCGGCGTACAATTTACGCAAGGGGTTCTTATACATACCCCATGTTGTCCCTTCCTTATTGAGTGCGGTCTGGGGATGTGGTGTGCTACGGTGGGGCATCATAAGGCCCGCCACGCAACCCCACGGAAACCGCGCAGATGCGCTTAGTGAACCATCAAGGCTCTCTATTGAACATTAGTTCATATGTCTTGAGAGAAGGTCTTCGGATTGGCGTAAGAGGGTTTGAAGCCAATAATGAAAACGTTTCTTTGACCTCGAATCTGAATCCGTCCAATATCCGAATGAAAGACTTTCTCCCGTTGATCATTACTTCCAGCCAATGCGATAAATACGATTTCTATTTACTTCTATGAACGAGTGAAAAAATAGATAAGGTATGCTCCAAAAGAAAAAGACAAGACCCAGCTATGTACAAAAACGGATGGCTAACTTCTGAGAACTCCAAGAACCTTCCCCATTCCCACGAGTCGCCTCCCCTCCCACTCCATAGGTCCCTTCACAAAACATTCCACAAATCCTCAAACGCACACGTCAACTTCCCACACGTCACCGACGCCGACAACGGATACTCCGACACCGAGATCTTATCATCCACAATATCATCCACCCAATTATCCGACCCGTGCGCCATCGCGCCGATGAAGAAGACAACAGGCTCGTCGGAGGGGAGGGAGGTGACGTAGGGCCCGAGACGGACGGCAGGGACTTCTGAGGACATTGCTGCGGGAGGGGAGGAAGGGTTAGGACGGAGTGGGGATGGGATGATGGGGGATGGTCGGCTTACTGATTTTGCGGGCATTTGGTGGGAGGTGGTCGGTGATTGGGTTTTTGATTACTTTTAGGAGCTTTTCGGGGCCGTTGACGGCTCGGATGCTTAGTTTGTGGAGGAGTTGCACTGGTGGCGGTAGGGGGGTACACGAAATGAGTTTTCTCAATCGCCCCTCGACATTGCCTCCGAACAACAGCAGACATACCCATCAAACCACAAAACCGCTTGAAAGTCCTCGGTATCCGCACATGCGGGTTCACCTCAATCAACACATTCTTCGTCGTATGAATATACACCTGCAACAACCCCGCCTTATTCAGCGGACTATCCAACAGCGTCAACAGACACTGGTGGGTGATATCCGGGCGGCTTTCCGAGACATCCTTCCCGTGCTTTTTGAGGATATGGTGGTGGTCGTCGCAGTTGAGCAGGGCGTAGTGCCCTTCTTTGCCTTTGCCGAGCTTGACGGTTTCGAGCGAGGCTTGCTCGAGGACGACGATGAGACGTTTTGTGGAGGATTTTTCTTTGGCGACTTTCGGCGCTGATTGGGGTTGGGATATGCTGTTCATTGTGGGTGGGGGCTTTGCTGGCGGTTTGCGAGTGAAATGTGAACGGGAGTTACGGGGTGCGAAAAGGTTGCTTGGAAGTCAAAACTTCGACAACTCATTTGGGACGCGTCACGTGATTCGTGGGCATGATTTATTCGTGCGCAGTTTTGAGGTGGGATGCAGGAAGGTGTCTCTGGGCTGCTATGTATATGTACTTGACGATGTAGGGACCTATGGGATGTGAATTGTTACATATGTAAGAAAGATCTACTCTAGATCGCCTCTGGTGGTATCTACTCTACAAACGGAAGGATGAAAATATGTGGGATCTGAGTAGCACGACGGAGGCCAGCTCCCGCCCCATCCTCAGTTATCATACTCCGACCTCACAAGACTCTTTTCAATCTGCAGATTGTAAGTATTGCGGACCACATTCGGCTTGTAACCCGTCGCCCTGCTCGCATCCAACTTTGTAATCTTGACATCATGGCAGCCCGCCCCAGCCCCAGGGAGGCAGTTAAGCTGGATCATCGGGCGCGGCTTGTTGGTCTTCCCATCGATCTTGACGTTGGTGAAGGTGACGTTGGAGACACGCAGGTTGCCCCGGTCGGCCATGCAGGGCCCGGGGACGCACCAGAAGGTGTTGAAGGAGATGGGGTAGGCGGCGTCGGTGAGCTTGATGTTTTCGTAGTGGAGGTTACGGACGTAGCCTTTAGAGATGGGGTAGGACTTTAGGAGGATTCCGGCTTTGGCGCCGCCGTACTGTTGAAACGATGGGACGAGAATAGACGGTTGATTAGTGGCCTATTCAGAGCATCTGGATAGTTGCTAAGATCTGGAAGACTTACGATCGTGACGTTCTTGTAGGACACTCCATCGATTTGGACATTGGTCCCCGAGTCCCGTCCAAACGACCCAATGTTGCATCCAGCAGTCGACTCACACACAATATTCTCCGCCCTAAAGTTCGTGGTCGGAGTCTTGACGGTAACGCACTCATCCCCATTCCTCACAAACACATCATGCACATAATTGTTGTTCCCGGAGACATCAAACGCATCCGTCTCGCCCAACACATCGCTCACCACCCTCATATCCGAAATCTCATTATCATTCCCGTTCACCGTCAGATGGAACTTGGGCGAATTGATCAACGACACCCCGCTGATCTTGCACCGATCACAGTCCTGGAACCGCAGCAGCCGCGGTCGGCCCGGGTACCTATTCAGATGCGCCACGTCCGGCCGCCACGGGGTGCCGTTCCCGTCGATGTAGCCGGTGCCAGAGAAGGTGATGCGTTGGCAGGATTGGAACTGGATGAGCGTGCCGCCGAGGGTCGGGATGAAGGGGATGAAGATGCCGCCGTCGAGTTGGAAGACGAAGGGGGTGGGGTGTTTGAAGAGGACGTTGGTTTTGAGGATGTAGGAGCCCTTGGGGACGATGAGCTTGGGGCGCCGGGTGGAGGTGCTGCCCGGGTTGGTGGCGATGCATTGCTTGTACGCGGCGAGGAGGGCGGGGCCGAGGTCGGTTTTGTTGTCGGCCTGTGATGATGGTGGGAGTTGCAGGGCGTCAGAGAGAACAGCCCTTCGATGTGACGATGTCCCGAATGGATGACATGTGCAACAAACCTTTCCGCCAAAGTCCAAAACGTTGCAAATCTTCCCAGCGAGCTTCGTAACCGGGGCAGCGCGGGGTGCAGCGGGTGCGATCGCAGCAGCCTGCACGGCAATAGCCAGGCAGCTGACGATGAAAATGGCCAGAATGGCGCGTACGTATCCCTTCATTTTTCGGTGTTGTTGTCGGCGTCGAGGTATCTCTAGTGAGGTTTCGACGGTCTGGTCGCGAGAGGGCACCCTCGGTCGTCTTCCCCTTTAAGAACGGGAGCTGTGACATACACCATGAGCCACCGCTAAAGGTCCCGTCGGAGCCTGGCGCATCTGTACATTTCCGGAGCGGTGGTTGTTCGTCTAAATTCCAGATCCCAAGAGGAACGTGCAGATTGCCGCTGACCGCATCCAAATCGAGGCCCCGACCAGTGACAAACCCTTCCATTTGGGGATGCAATAAATTGACAGCGTCATGTTGTATGCATACCATCGACCCGTCAATCGCTGATTGTTCCGAATCGTGTTCCGCTTGTTCGACCCCTCGCGATTGGAGATGTGTATTTTGATATGAACACCGGAAACTGGTAAATAGAATCTAAATGTTATCACCGACACCCGAGACCAGGGATTCTTGATTTGAGAACTACAAATTGTTTTTGCTGGTATCCCGAATGCTCAACGCCAGACGCGGACAGCCCTCGAATGGCCACAGCGGGATGGATTCTCCGGAATCTGGATACCCCAACGTGTTTTTGACAATCCTTCTCTTTGGGATGGGACGAACTTGAATCTCGGGCGTCGGTGATGTGGGATGGGCTTTGGACCACAAATAACTCATAGACCATGGTTGGCCACGTCCTGCCCCAAGTCGACGTCCTCATCCATGTCCTCATGCTCGTCCAGGTCCCGACCATCCACGTTCGCCACAGCGACGTGGTCTTCACCACAACGTTGATGAAATGGTGTGGTCAGCATCATATGCTAACTTTAAATATTTAAACTTCAAATACAGAGCATGTGAACAAGATCGTATTTCACGTGACGGAAAGATTCACGACTTTCGCCTGAGAAACCCATGTTCCACGGGCCCAGGGCACAGTCTGCTCCGCAAAGCGCACCTTAACTTGCGTTCGGACCAACAACAACAAAAAACCAACCAGGCTACGCTTGGGATCAAGCGAACATACATATGTAAAGGACTCGGACAACGGACGGTAAGATGTGCTAGACACTATCAGTCCCTCAAGCCGGTTTTAAATGGTCTTTGTATTCACAGTGTTGGCGTCCGGCACATTCACCGTCAAGTGGCTCGACGTAGATACCCTTGTGAGGTACAAAATCTACAACAACTACGAAGTGCATGCGGATTTCACCTCCAATGCTCGGTCCTACACGTTCAAGCTGCTCGCGTGGAAAAAAACAAAAGAGGGAACCAAAGATCCTTATAGGTCGTTCAACAGATTCGCTCAGTTTGCGTTGGACGCTTTCGCAGACACCACATTCGCGTTCGGCAAGTACCAGGCAAACGAGAGCGGTGCACCAAAATACGAGTGGGGAACCAAAGAAGTCATTACACTCCTGAAATACTCCACCCGCGAGGTCTTTATTTGTGCAGAAACGATCGCCCGAACGTACCAGCGTAGCGTGCTCGACTACGCGATCTACAGTAGGCTGCCAGATATCAGGTTACGACGGGTTGTTGAGCCTCCCTGTGCAACCCAGAAGTCACCGGCCAGCTGTTAGTCCTGCCCTGGGCTAGCGGTCGTGCTGAAAGGATTTGCATGGGGGTCGGCAACTTGAGCCGGTGGCTATGCTCGGAATGATGTGTCCTTGGCGTAACCTGATATCTGGCAGCCTACTGTACCATCGCGACTACTCTGAGTACAGAGCTCCGGTCAATTATGCTCAGTACATTCATCTCGTCGCATGCCACGCCCTGGTCCACGGCAACTATCTTGGTCCCGCTGTGCATCCTTCTGTGGTCGAGTACGCAATCAATGAACCCAGCTATCGCGGGGATGCAAGTCTGATGAAGATTACGGATGATCAAAGCGAGGTGGATGGCTCAGAGCAATCTGACGGGCTCTCTGATAAGGGGTCGTATAGCTTGCGGCCGTGGTGCTCGGGGTGGGCCGTGACAGTCATTGCATGTTGTTCTCAGCCGAAGAAGTATAGACGTCGTAATTGGATTATCCAATTGTCGTCTATACTTCTTCGGCTGAGAACAACATGCAATGACGACGACTGTAATTGGATAATTTTTTTATACATCGGATGTCACATTGTTCTAGTATCAAGTGTTGTGTTCCACGTAACCGACGACAGACCTTTGATTTCCTTTGCAGCAACTGGGCAAGGCTGCCGAGAATGGGGAGGAGGGGACAGCACAGAGTGGGGGGCTGGAGTTGGAGCTCGAGGCCGTGGTCATCGTACTAAACTTCCTGATCAACATCCGCGGCTCGTACAAAGCCGCCGAGACATTCCACGACAAAGCGTGATGGGGCTCTCTCGCGCGCCGATGGGATTTTACGACGGCCAACCAATCCGGAGGATTATTAAGCGCATGACGGCCGACGTGCAGTCGTTGGATTTGGAATGGGGTGATGATACACAATTTCGTGGCCAACGCCGTTATGCTTAACCCTAAGACCAGGAATGAACATCGCTACCCGTCCTATAGCTCGGGAAGGTCCAGGTCGTGTTCGCAACCATGGTCAAGGCGTTGTAAGCGTACTCCCCAGCCGGTATGGTGGAACTCGTGGGTACTGCAGGGGTACTTGCATTCAATGCGGGAAAATGGGTCACTGGTGGTCTCCGACGTCGGCGCGAAGGCAACATAAAGTGATGCAAATAATGTTTGACCCTAAGTATATATCAATCACATGGGGTCCTCGGGGAGCGAGGCAAATAGATTACTGATTCTATTCGCGCTATCCTATGCCTACTGCCTGCAGCTAGCTCCTTTCGGGCGCTAGCTGTGGTGAAGGCTTTCAGAGGTTGTGCGAGGGTGGAAGTGTGCGCAATTGTGCGCAATTGTGAGAAGGAGCTTGGTCTCGATGTGAAAGCAGGTCTGGAATTTGTCTTCTCGCCTGTGGAGCCGTCCCGGGCTCGGCCGCTAACCGTAACCCTGCCAACGCGCGCTGAAGGCTATATATATAAGGCCGAGGGTGAAGGCTGTAAGCCCGACAGCGAAGGCTGTACAAGTCCGCGATGTGGGATGTGGGATCGCTCCCACCAGGCCTTGATGGTCAAAGACCAACCCGTCAAAGTGTACCGAATATCCGGTACCGCATTTCTGGCGAGCCCTGGCCAGAGAAAGTGCCCGACACCAAACGTCGTCAAAGTGTACCGAATATCCGGTATCGCACTTCTGGCCAGCCCTGGCCAGACAATGAAAGAGAAAGTGTGCATGAAACACTCAGGTTTTTCTTCTCGCGGTGGCGCAAGGCGCGCGCGAGAGTGCGTGGCCCCTCTCTAAGTTATTGGGCTGCTCGCAGCAACAATCCTTTGCGTGGGCGTAGGAAACGTCGACTGCTTCCTCATCGGTTCGACTTCAACACACTCATAATGATCAGCGCAATATTTCGCAATGCTCAGGACGTCCGTATCGCTCGCATACCTATTGGCCCTCCCCCTGCCACCGTTCGCTTGGACGACGTTTATCTCGTCCTATCGACTCTCACCAACACACCTGTCAGCAACTTCAAAGACCAGTACAACATCCGTGTCACTGCTACAGGGGAAACCTTACCCGCCGGTTGCCAGGCCATAACGGCAGGAAAATATCAAGTTCTTCCGAAGGCTGATGCCGTGGACCTTACGGAGGCAGCCCCCGGCGCTGGTTTGTTTCCGCCCCGCAGTTCTTCGAAGCCTGGATCTAGGACGCCCTCTCGATCAGGAAGCTCGGAGAGTCTCACCTTGGAGACGACTGCCGCCGCCGAAGTGAAGAGGTACGCTCGCTTCACAATGTCGCTGGCACTGAGAGACCGACGATGCATTGTGACGGGCAAAATGGACCCATACATCCTTGTTGGCGCGCACATTATCCCCCACACATGGAAAAACCGCGAGTATATTGGCCTCCCGCCCCACATAAGGGACGCCTTGGATGACCGCGGGGTGGACCACATCTCAAACGGGGCCCTCATGGAAGGAGGCATCCACACGTCATTCGACTTTCAACACTGGTCAGTCGTAGAGGAGGGTGATGGCAAATGGCGTATCATCAGAATTACGCCGTCCGCTCCAGAAGAGATCATTGGGAAATATCTTATCACGCCCGACGCAGGGGGGCCAAGCGATGGCATGTCCTACCCCGATCTTTTCATCGATCCGATATTCCTGCGATTCCATTTCAGGACTGCCGTCTTCCGGCACATGCAAGCTGCCGGCGACGATGACGATCACCCCTTCGACGATGGTGAGGACAAGCTGATGAAGGATGTCATCAAGGTGTGGGGAAACGACCAGCGGTTCAACTTGTTTGTGGAGTCCGGAGGGAATATCGCAGAGGCAACTGAGTAGAGGTTTTTTGGGAGGGCCCATGTAGCGATTCGCAATACCCTTCGCCGGCAGCGGCCGAGGTCGGGTTTCATCGCGGTGAGTCTAAGACCATATAGGTGTGGGCCCATTAGGTAACGGCCCCTGCCCCATCTCATTACACTCGGTGAGCGGCTCCTGAAAAGACGTGGGAAAGACTTGGGAAATGGCGGCCGGACGACCACCTTCGCAATTTGGTAGGGTTATGGCGTTAGGGTTAGCGTTAGGGATAGCGTTAGGGTACATTACGCCCTTATGAACCTTTAGCGTAGACCGTAGAATATGGACAGAGAGCGCTTATACATCTATTGAGTCATTCCAGTTCACAGTCTCGTATATGATGTGCACATCCACGGAATTCGATACTAATAGTACCACGGGCCAATGTCATAGCAACGCCAAAAACTGCAAACCTCAGCTTGCCTACATCCTGTATCCCTCTACTAGCTTCTACCAAAAAGTCAGTTCGCAATGGCTTCAGGTTCTTACCGAGGGCCGCGACCTCGTGTCAATGTCCGTCGCCCCCCATAGTGCTCTATGATTTCTACCAGTCGCTTCATACCTAGTGATTTGCTCGCGTACTCATCAAACCAAAAAGAACCCGCCCGTTCCCATTACTGAAAGGATGTATGTGAAGGAAGTTCGTCATGAAGGTTGCTGCCAATTTAATGCGATCAAGCGGTGCGTTGTGGGTGGCAAGGCAAGCCCGAACATACAGACACAGCCGTCCGAGCTCCACCGAAACTCGCTGCGGGATGAGAAATACGGAATTCGTCGTACCCACTTACCCCCAACATTCGCGTACGGTAAGATCCAGCGTCTGCTATCAGCCCATCCCCTACCGCGCGATGCCACTCTCGCAACAGATCCGGTGTGAATGCTTCGGGCGAAGGGTCGGTAGGGTGGAACGGGGTGGGGAAAGCTGAGACGATAACGGCGTGCAGGTTGGTTGCTTTGCGAGCTAGGCGTTTGTGGTCGTGTGGACTGAGGTCGTTTTGGCTCATCAAACCCTCTAGATACTCCATCGTCGTCCCGCGAGGCACAATAGCATCCCCAATGAGACATTCGCGAAGGTACATGATTCTGTGGTAGTCGGCGAACCCGTCCAGAAATTCTCTCATACTAGCGTCGACAGCCGCGTCTCGTACTTTGCTTTGCAGTTCGGTGAGGTCGTTGAGGAGCTGCTGCACCGCTATCGAGTCGGTGGTTGGGGCGCCCCACCAGGGCCGCTCAAGCACGTCGTAGTTTGTTGTGAACTCCATGTTTTGCTAACGAGAGAAGAATAAGAATGGCGCATACGCGGGGTTGGGTTACGGTCTCAGCGCTCACATAGGTTTGCGCATCGCGACCGTCGCCAGGCAGATGGGGAGGATTTGCCAAAAGTGCTGTCATAATGGTACGAATAAACGACAGCGGGACTCTCAGGGAAGTTCGTTGCAGTTCCGCAAAGGACCTTACTTCCTCGACTTCAGCGCGGACCGAATCTGAAGAAGGACTGAAAAGTAGCTTCGGAGCGCGACTGTCGTGGTGGTAGGAACCACCGCTGAACCACTGCTGCCGGATGCTTCCTTAACTGTTGCGTTTAGATGATTGTTTTGTAGCGCGTCATCCCTGCTTCTGGCTCCTGACCCCTCAGCGCGCCGGTTAGGATGTCAGCCAACATATATACCTACTGCTTTTTTGAACAGGGTCCATCTTCGAGACCTGGCTATCACACGTGGGTTGGAGCGAAAGCGGGCAGATGAATCAGGAAACTTCCGCAGAGGAATGTAAACCTGTACCTGGCGTCCAACATGACGTTGAATATGGGGTTACCCGCCGCATTCCAGGCGGCAGGGTTATGCGTGTTTTCGGTCGCTTACTTTTGTGGCATGAGATCAGCTCTGATGCAGAAGGTGCAATGAACATCCTCAGAAACGGGATGCAAATGTAGACAGTTCGAACCCCGGGACCGTTGGAAAGTGTGATGCAGCAGCTGCAAGGTGGGCGTGAAGAAGCGCTTGGCGCAATGGGCACGACAGTGCGGTGATCGGGGAATGGAAAGGTAATCAGCACAACCTATGCGAGAGCCTAATACATTCCGAGCTCAACGTTAAGGGTAAGTGGCTGGGAAATCTGCAATGTGATTGGAAGACCCCCAAGGGCCATTGAGGGTGGTTCCTGGGGCCGTCGGAAGAACTACAAAATTGTATGAACTTCCACACCATTGATCTTGTCCGCTCCTACGCGCTCCCAGTCAGTCCGTCACGCACGACAGTCCCCAAGTTTCAACACTGGCGGGCATAGGAGGATGGGCTCGGGATCTGCCGACGGGAAAGTATAGTCCTTCGTAAAGGAGAATAAGCGGCTACCAAGGCCGCCTCTGCGCGCCTTTCGAAATTGTGGTGAGAAAGACCCGATTCACCTAGTTGATCCAGAAAGCCGCGCACCTTCTTCATATATGTGTATGGACTAGGCATTCGGTTAACAAACATATTTACGTAAGAGCTATACGAACGAGCTGACAGGCTGCCCTGTGCACCTTCTAGGAGTTTTCGGCAGCAGGACGGGTTCGAATCGAGATCCTTCGCAGTGCGTCGGACATCGGATTGCAGCAGAAATAGCTGGACACATTGCCAGAGTGTCTCCGACGCTATAATTCCACAAACACGTCGAGGCTAAGGCCGATCCTGAAAGTACGAGGGATAAGTCGCTGATAGAAACAAGCTTTCTTCTGTTCTGTTGTGTGTCTCTGGTATTGTCTTTCCGTCGGATATTTTCATGTCCAGTTCGCACCCATTTGCCGTCGCAGGATCCTGCGAGTCCTCCGCAACGACGTTGGCTCGACCGCCACCCGACGTGGTTACCAGGTCGCGCATGTATGTCGCCGTATTCATCAGGCTTCAAAGCTCTTTCTTGGTGCGGAGCCCGTATCGCTGTGCTTCGTGCCAAACAAGCCTTTAGCTCCGCCGCTGCTCGGCCCGCCGCTGCTGTCAACCACGTCCGTTGGGGTTCGATGTCCGGGCGATACAAGGGCTTGGGCATTATAAATGAACACCTGTTGAGAACAACCTTGTCGGTTTGAATGAACGTGGATTGAGAGCAACGCGTTATACGTACCAATGCTCCAGAGAATTGCAAGGGTGTGCAACAGAAGACAAACTGAAAGCTATAGAAAATCTTCGATGGAACGAGAAAGAGGTTGGCGGCAACCAATGAAAGGACGGATATCCACATAGTGACGCAAACGAAAGCCAAGGAGCCCACGACGCGGGCCCATTCCTTTCGGCGAGTTCCTCCCAGGATAGCCTGGCACTTGTAGACTTGAGAGATGAACATGAAGGATATAACGTTGTCTACCAGCAGGACGTAGGCGGTCCATGCTGCGGTGAAAAGGCTTTGGGATTTGCGACTGCCGATAACGACTCCGAATGGAATGATTGTGGTGCACCAGAGACAGACGGTGACTCCCAAGAAGATCCGATCCTTTGGCGCATCGGTGAATATCTAATCACCTTTACGAGAGAATGAAACAGAGCAATCGTACATATACATCACCATATGGCAACAAGGCTTTTATGGCCCGGAACCTGATCTGAATGATGATGGTGTACATTAAGGTGGAAACACCGTAAAGTGCGGTCCATATTCGCATGTTAGGATAGATATTATACTCATCGTCCGTTTTCGCAGCTAGAACAGCGGGGAACTTAGTACATCGGACATGATAGAAGAAAACGAGACGGCATACCGAACAATGGAATAAATGAGCCCGCATATGTCGCACAGCTTGTAAGGAGCATCAGATTGTACGTCACAGGTCGCATCCATGCATGTCTAGCAGCATACATGGAGTTGCCGAATTGCAACGCGAGTCCTAAACCTAGCTTACCGTGAGCTGTAGCGGCTCATACTATGGATGTGCGTGCTTGGAAGTACGTACCGAGAAGAATCTTTCTCAACAATTGCAAAAGATCTTCGTCAGCCATCCTGGTACCCTGCGCTTGCAGCTGAAATATGTTAGAGAGCGGGTTGGGCGAGGTGCGGCGGCCTTTCTGTCGCCAGTTGGCAAACATTACAACTCCGTAATTGACAAACTTTGACAGCGCGTTGCCTCCGCCTCCAACTTTGTTGCAAACCCGTCGCCCGAAAATATACCCTACCACTCCGGGCTCACTCCCCAAACGCTGGACAACGTAGCCTCTTTAATACGTCCTTTTTCTTCTCGCTACCATTCAAATGCTATTGCCGACCTTGTGTGTTTGTCTTGTCGTGTCGAACACTGTCCCATCCCGTTATGAAGGTATTCTTCGCTACACCCTTGACCCTGATCTTCCTGTGCTCATTGTTCTTTCCATAGAGCAAATCCATGATCTTCTTCAGCGCATTGTCCTTTTTGCTCCCCGAGCGCAGCTGTTTCTTGGTGCTTCACTCCTGAACATACCGCTCCTCAAGTCCCACTCCTCAAAAATGTGCCAACCGTTGCTGATGCAAGACATTGTGATATATGTTGTAATAGTACGTACTATACACTTCTGAGTACGGGCAAACATAGCTTTTCGACCGACAAAATGGGAGGCTCGTCTCGCGACCTCCAGTATTCACCTTCAAGACACCACCCAGACAGATGTGTGGGATATGTTTCAGCAATCCTACAGTTTGATTCTGCGGGGATCGTGTACTTAAAGAGACCACCTGCGAAGTGGCTTTGCTTTCAAGGGTTCTCAACACGGGCACGGCTGCAGAAGTCCTGGAGTGTAACTTATCCAAGCGGACTTGGTTGGGTGTGAGCCAGATTCAGGGGGGTCAGGGCGAGTTTGTCCCAGCGGGCCTGAACTAGAGATCGGTATCGTGTCTTCGAGCGACAGCTTTTCACCGGAAGTGATGCATGCTTTGCTTCGGCCGTTAGGGATATTTCGCCTCAACGTCCCCTGCGTATCGTTTTAGCTGGGTAACCAGCCAGTCCGTTCGCAAGGAAGCCTCAACAAACTTTGTTGGCGTTCCGGCCGTGATGGACATTGGAAAGTCAACTTTCATGTGCGAACGGATTGAGGTGGAGGAGAACTCGCAGACGGCAGTTCGGACTTGAGCTCAGAAACGGAATCCGATTACGCCGCATGCCGGGCGGTCGGGGAAGGCACTACCAGGTGACCTACGCACATCGACGGATGGAAGTGTGCTATCGTAACATCGAGTTGAGTAAGTCATGGAGGGTGTTGCCTGTGATCAATATTAGCTCATCCGAGCGACACCAAGGACGCGGTCACAAATCGACTGATCAACAGTATTGACGGGCTCTGGCCGCGAGGTGCTGATAATCTCAGTGTCCCGAGTCGTCGGCGCAAACAAGGATGTACGCGCAGTCAGTATCTGACATAAGCTGGATTCTGGTGGGACCCAAACGGGGCTGCTTGTTGACGATTCTTTATTGATGAATGGTCACTTTGATAGTGCTTGCCAGTAGCTTGCCAAACAGTGCTTTACACGAATATTTCTTTATCTATTCGTTCTTCGAAAACGGTGCGCCAGCATTGTGTGCGCGAAGAATAATGGCGACCGTCAATATTACGGCGTGTATAGCGAATCCCACCGTACAGAAGTTCTTCACCGACTTGGGCACTCCAATTGCGCAAGAAGCTGCCGTGAAAGCCGCTCGTAAGTAAATAGACGGGTGTGGCTTTCCTTTTCTTCATCTCAGGCTCCATTGCTGCTTTCATTTAGTCGCATACGGCCTGCCTGGAGTTTTTGTCGGTTGTATATGGCCGCTCGGCCTGGCTGGTGAGATGCACGTTCAAATGCCAACCGTTTGGTCTGGGTGTTTTCACTGACTCTGGCTGGACCATCCCCAGCTCTGATAATTAGCACATGGCGGTTATTCACCCATGCTTCCATTCGCGCCTGGCTGCTATTTATTGCAGCCCTCCTGGTTATCGGCGACTGTACGGTGCAAAGCTGGGCTAAGTGAGTCGGCGAAGCAGGAAGGCTTTCTCAGTCCCTCGCCGACTCACCTCATTCCTACACACCGCAGAGCCACTTCACCGATTCTTCTGACTTCCCAGACGCCGGAGCGAATGGTTTGAGACGTAGCGCAGTGTTCCCGGTCGAACCTCCACAGCATTGCATTTGACAAGCAAATCACTATGCAGAAATACATAGAGCTTTCCATCAGTATAGGAATGATCAGAAGCACTGTGCTGTTTTCTGCAGCTTCCTGGAGGTTAGTTAACCAGTTGCCTTACCCCCGTTCCCCGTCCCCCCTCGCGGGAATGCGTACCGTCATTTGAAGGTTGACCAAAATCGAGATTACCGTAGATTCGCAATTGTGTATCCAACTCGCAGCGCACGCCGCATGATCATCTGGGGCATGTCACTCCTTGCCGTACGGTCTCTGCCATGCATTCATTCAGCTGCCCTCTGGTGATTAGGAGCTTCTTTCACGTGTCTAGGTGGCGATGTTCGTGATCTCCATGGGAGTTGGGATTTCCGACGTCCATAAGGTATGAGTAAACCTGTGCCATTCCAATCGTCAACGACTCTCACGTTGCATATCGGTAGATGTGGCGTGCAAGTAAGCTTTATTGGGGCCTGGCCGCTGTTCTCCCTGGGAGTTATGCGATCATTGGCACGGTAACATTCACTCGCACGGTAAGGGGAGGAAGTGGGCCTCCAGTGAGAACTTTTCACTAAGACCTTCTTATCGAGATCCGTAACACCAGCAACGCTCTCAAAGGAGCCCAAGGTGCCCATCAAGGACTGACTCAGCTGCAACTGTCCAATAACGTTCTCATGGTCGCAACGATTTTGGATGTAATCGCCTTGATTCTTGTTTCACAACTTCTTGATTGTAAGCCATGTTCTTCACTCCTGCTCCGTGGTGGTTCGCACCAATCTTCTGACCTCATCTCGATTGCTATGTCCGCGTTCAGCCACGAAAAACCCGTATGTTCTCCCGGTCTCTATCGGTCTTTCCGGATTCTGGACATTTTTAGAGAACGCTTTCGAGGTCTGCCGCAATCCTTTCGGATAAGTGGTCCCAGGCTCACACCCCGCCGCTTCTTTTTCTTGTTCTACACAGGTTGTTACCATTGGACAGAAGGTCGTGTCGGCAGCATCCCCTGTCCATTCCGTACAAGCCAGTGGGACTGGGGCGACTGGGGGTCGCCCGAAAAAAGAAGCAATGCCCGGACGGGGGTACTCTCCCACAAACCCCATGCTTGAGGTATAAGGTCCGCAAGGGCTGGAATCAGTGGGGGGTGCTCCACGGAAGCAAAGAGATGTCTAACGAGAGCATGAATAAAAGTCAAAGCGTCTTGAGCTGAAATATATTCTCTGTTGTGCTTTTGATATTCAACACAAGTCATGTGAGCATTGTAACAAGATGAACTAGGGTCCACCATGGCTTCACTGAAAACCCGTTCTTGCCGACGTTGTGGGGATATCCATTGGAAATGGCTTCAATGTATTGGAATGTATTGAGTTAAGGTCTATATGATACGCGAAATCTACGTAGTACTCTATATACATAGTAGTCCTAAATTGACAGAAAGTACTGTACATGGTGATCGGCATGGTGACCACGGCAGCAAGAGCTGCCAACCCGGCCGTGGACGCCGAGGCCGAGCTCGATGGAGATACCGCGGTCCCGCTCGCCTTCTTTGCACCGTTTGACGGAAAGTTGCCGGTGGAATTGAACCCGCCGACATTTACCAGCTCCACCTCTGGGAACCCGGAAGGGTAGCCATCCACAATCCTGCCCTCCTTTCCATTCCAGCGCAACGTCAAAAAACCGGCGCCGAGCAAAAATTCCTATCAACAACCCTGTCCCCTCCGCTCCACCCAGCCCTCGCTCGGACCATAACAGTTTTGTAGTCAACCCCTGCAGATAAAACCGAATTGATATTTTGCCCCTGAATCTGTATAACCCCTGAACAAACTCAAAAACAAGGACTCTATCCAAAGCACCTGAATATTACGTGCCTTTAATGGAAGCTATTGTCTTGTAGTATGGAGAGACTTCAGACATCCGTTTTTGCCGGCCACCACCACAACATGTGTGTCATCAGCTACTGAAGAACACGCTGAGTGTGACTTGGATGTTAGGGTTATTGAACCCTCACCCCAAACTATTCCATGCAGAGGGCAGGAATTCCGCGTGGAAGCTCAGGCGTGGCATGGCACCTGGCCATCCACATCACAATGATGCTCAGGTTTCCTTAGATTACTGTTTTCCTTTGTTTTTGTTGTAGTAATTGAAAAGCAATGAGAGAGTTTTGACACGCAGCCTCCTGTGCACATAATGTACTACAATTGTTGGGGTTCCATGTTCATATTCAGAACCCGGGGGGTTCAAACATGACGGATGGTAGTTCAGCAGCTGTCTGGCGACACGACTGCGCAAACGTACATATGTGAGCGCTGACTACTTTTGGCCACCGGCCACTCTGGCCACCTACGTACTGTTGCTACTCCAGATCTATGGTGAAGACTCTACCTCGTTCTTAGCACTTGTCTGTTCTAATGCAAAGGGTATTTTACATATCATCTACGCCAACGCCATGCCCAGCACGACGGCACCCAGGAGAGCGGCGGCGCTGGCGCCAAACGAGTAGAGGCCGGGGTCTGCAGCAGATGACTTTTGCGCAACTGGAGAAGCAGAGGTAGAAGCGCTGGAGCCATCATTGGCTCCGCCGGCCAAGGTAGAGTTGTCCCAGGGCCAGGTAGGCTCATTTGCCAAGCGCGGCACAATCTTTTCAGTGGAATTACGCGACTGGCAATCGCAGATCGCAACATCCCCCCTGTAATCATTGACCGGGCCACCGAGAATGAGACCCAGAGCCTTGCAAGCGTTCGTACAGGAGCTGTCAAACGTTGGCGAGGACGCTTTGTAGACCGGGGTGCAGTCCGTCATGCCTGGCATGACAATGGGAATGTATGCTTCTCCGCAGGCTTCGCAATAGCCGAAAGTGACGCTGAAGTTTCCAAAGCCCCAGAATTCTGAGATAAGACCCTTGCAGGGGAGTTTCGCTTGAGCGGCTTGGCAGGCAGCGGTGTAAGCGGCGTAGCCGTCCGGAGCAGGTCTCACATGTCCGGTTGTGGGGGTGTCGGCTTTGACGGTGGCGCCTGTGATGAAAGCGGCGGCGGCGGCGAGTAGGGCTGCCGCGGGCGGAAGTGCGAAGAGACGCATGATGGATGACTGTTGCGAATTGGGCCTGACGAGGGAGGAGAGGGGATGAGGGGATGAGGGGACGAGTGGTTCGCATCTTTCTTTTATGCGCAAAACGCCCGAGACGCCCGGGGAGATCGAGCGCGTGGATTTCGGGCGATGGGGTGCGCGCAAAAGCTGACGCAACGACAGCGTTCGCCCGTTTCCGCTTGCCGTACACCATTCATTGGCGAATATCGGAATCGGCCGCAACTTATCTCAAACCCAATTAGTAAAAGCGCCCGTAAATTGTCCGCCTCAGTGAATGTCCGATCGATACTGCCGGTTCGACTGGTTCGACTTATTCGACATCCCAGTTACCAGGAAGGAAATTGCAGGGTGCTATTTCAAACGTGTTGATCTGGATAAGGCACTCTAGCAGCAGGGCTATTACGGACACTCCCACTACGGCACTAATCCTTAAGCTGTCCTCTGCCGAATCCCTACAATGGATTTAACTTTTAAAACAGTCCGACCGATCTCTGTCGCCCTGCGGACACTCCCGCTGTACTTCTGAGTTCTAGCAAGACGAACGTCTAATCGAGAGCAACATAATCTGCATCGGAACTGCTCGGCGTCTCTTGCTTGAATTTGAAAGTGCCAGCCCCCGCATGGAAGGCAGAAACGCCTGCAATGGATATCGTTGACCACAAACTTCAAAGCGGGCCCGACAAGGCTTGACGGACGCATGGTGCGTTTATGTAGGATCGCCCGGCCAGATGGTCGCTCGCGGTTTCGACAGCTATCTTGAAGCATCCGAGGACGGTGAATGCAACACCTGGTTGGAGAGCGGACTATGGTGAACGTCTTTCATCTCTGATCTCTCTGCATGAGGGCCAGACACGGCGGTTAGTGCTTTCCTCACTCACCCTTTAGGAGCGACGATAACGCGAGATACCTCATAGCATTATTCTCAGGAGCCATCGACCTAGTCTGACTGACCAGTGATGCTTGCGGATGCGCGCAGGAGGTTGACTGTTTCTCCATCGCTGATGCGTGAACCCTCTTCGTTCCCTCTTTGCGACAGGGACAGGTACGCAGTGAACTGCTGTCCCAGCAGGATGCCGGATGTGGGCCCAATAGCATCCCCTGTGACATCGTCCTGGATCCCGCCTTCCGGTCAATTTCACACCGGACAGCAGCTGGACCTTCCCGGTGCCTCGCAGCGGGCCCTGCCTCGAGTCAAGAGGTACAAATTTTGCGAGAACGTAAATCACACCGAGCTTAGGGCCTCTTTGAAACCACAAAAGTTAAAGTGTTCTTCTTGACCGACTCGTGGCCGAAAGCGTTTTGGTGCAGGCGCGTTCCGCATAAGATTACTATGGCCGTCTGGGCGGTTGGGCAGGCCTTATTCGCAAGGATGTTGACGATGGATTCAATGCCACAACTCTTTGGACACCCTTTACGCTGCCTGTGGCAAGGGGCAGGACGCGAAAATGAGGCAGGTAGCGGGCGACGTTTCGAGGAACTTGATACCTTCGGGGACTTGGTAGACAATTGCGCCGGGGTTAGCAGCAGCTTTGGGATGGTCGGGACAATGGATTCCACGATCGTTTTGTATGAAAGCGATCTGGTGATAATCTATGAAGTGGAGGTCGGGACTGTCGTAAGGCTGTACGGCCACTAGGTGTGGAGTCGGGAAGGTTACTGTTGTGTTGAGTAAAGGTTCGGCAAACGCTGTCGCCGAGGGTCCATATGAAGGGAATGCGCTGCTGGCGCCCGCAGCCTGAGCATCTTGATGGGAGGGCAGAGTGTGATTTCTCATTGGGGTCGCAGGAGGAAGAACGCAAGGGGGAAGGGGGAAGTATTATAGTACAGTACTCTTTGGTGCGAGGCGAGAGCAGGGTTCGAGAAAGCTAGATCTGACTCTTACTTGGACCACTTTGCGTTCTCGCCGCTGCGGCAGGGTTAGGGCAGGGATGCAAGCGTCTCTTCATGCGGTGTCGGACTTTGTATCGCTTTGAGTGGGATTCCTTCACAGGTGGCCGCAGTTTGCACTAGGAGGACGTTCATGCCTCAACCCTGTCCCTAACCCTACTCCAACTGTACTTCAATCACCGCAACAATACGTTCGCTGGGCAGTACAAGCTCCAAGCCTTCATCGGCATTTTGGCTACCGTCAACTTCGTGAGTTACTCCGCCTGTATGTGGTCGACGGCCAGTGTCCCGCCGTCGTGGTACTTCATCACCAGCGGGGCCTGTCGGATTTTTTATCTGGTGTGCAGCTCCATCGCTTTGTATCAAGCTCTGGTCTGGTCCACCCTTCCGCGGTCCGGCAGCGCGCAAATGTGGCGGCAAAAGAGTACACGCCGGACGAAGACGTGGAGGACGTCGAGCACGTGGAGTGAGGTTCTTTCTCGGGTGTTATGTTTCTTGCTGCAGCGACACGCCGGCGTTCGCCACATTGACATTATCGAATATCTCCGCTTGCTCAATCCCCTCATCGGTTTTCGCTTCTAGATATTGTGGCACTATATCATATGTAGATACCACCTTGGGCGTAAAGGAGCGTAGGCTCTGAGTGGTGGTTGCGTAGTCTAACAGTAGGTAGCTCCCCATTCTCACGCTTTACGGCCGGCGTACGTTGGGCAATTTAGCGGTACTGGTAGAAGGCACGGCTTGATGGATGAACGGTAAGGAGATCAACCTGCCACCGAGTAGAATTCTTCCATTTCTGATCCTGGCGGATACATTCGAAGTACGCAATCCGCACCGACGCCTTCTTCGCCGAGAGACGCAAGGAAGCAATTGACGAGGTGAATCTATATTATGGTTCGTGTGGTCACTCCGCTGTCAAAAACCTGTCAGCGCCCGCCTTGGGTAACACGGTGCGCTGATGGTGCGCGTTGCACAACTTCTGGCAACAGCCACCCGCTGCTTTTTGATATTACTGTATGGACAGCTTGAAGAGAAAGTAGTGAACTTGGACCGTTGGGAGGCAGCCTTATTGGGAGGAGCCTCACTCGGATTCAGAACTTAATCTGGAGCGCCTTCCGGGTCCCTCCCAGGTGTGTGCGGGCAAAAGCGAAATGTGTACATAAAACCATCTTGTTCGTTTCCGCCCCCCTTCCTTAAAGGCAAGCGTCCTTTCGTGAAGGATTTGGGATCCCCCAGGAAATAACGATAAACGCAGCCATGAGCTCCATTGTAACTAGGTCTGTATATCAGGGAACGGTGAATATTCAACCTACGCGACCACAGCCATCTGACCATTCCATCGTTCATGCTTATGACAGGTATGCGTTCTACGACTCCCAGCCTTGCGATCCGGCAGGTATTTGCCAGTGCTTTTCTCGCGGAACGGTAGCTGAGAATATGCTGAAAGTCGAACCCGCGCTCTTGTTTTTCTTTGTTTTCTTCCCACCTGGAAAAGTCCAATTGCCCGCCTTGCTTGCGACCAACACAAACACCGCTTCCTGCCGGGCCCCTCGTGTGTGCAAGCGAACCATTCTTAGAGGGTCCTCTTCTACGCAATCCCCCATCTACGAAACGGATGATTGCACCATGAATTTGCCGGACTTGCTGAAGCCGGCACAGGACGGGTATCAGATGTACATGAGGGGGAGGCGATACGTCGAGTGAGTGGCCCTACATTCCAAACCCGCAGTAACTTTACTTGCTTTTAAATCTTCTTCTTTTCAGTAGCCCGACTTGCTCCGTCCCAAGCCCATTAGAATCGGTGGATTACTATCTCGGTAAGTCCATTCAAGATCTTAGGACTACCTGAGATCAGCCTCTCATCTGGTTCTCCACCTTCAAAGCCGACGGGAAATGCCACAGGGCGAACTCCGGCGTAATTTGGTTTACCGCCAATTGCACTACTGGCATTTTCACCCAGTACACCGATCAGAATTGCCTGACGACCCCGAACGCCACGTCCTTCCGGGGTGACTCCCAGTGCATTGAACAGTACATCGTCAATGGAACAACCAGACAGTTTAGCGTGTTTGACGTGGGCTGTCTCGACGGCGGTGCTTTGATGGGGATGGTTCCACAGCCCATGTCAAAGCAATCAACGTCATCCATTCCTTCCGCGACCTCGTCGACCATGCCCTCCTCCGGGACCTCGAACGCGGACGATGCTGCTGCAGAAATCCAAGGAGTGGGGGACCCGGATAGTGGCAACACTTGGAAAATCGCTGTCGGAGGTACGTCGCCCGAACTGATATCCTACTTTTCTTTTTTTCACACTCGCGACATATCTTTCTCTCCCCACGCCATCGCTAACATGCATCACCGTTCTATCCTCCCCAGTCGTCATTCCAATTGTTGTCCTCGGCCTAGCCCTCGCCTACTTCGTCTACCGCCGCCACACCCGCCCGCAATCCACAAAAGCCACAACCCTCCCGTCTGTCGTGCAGGCTTCCACCTACGGCCCCCCATCCGTCTCACCGGTCGCCTCAGTCATCCCTGCGGAGAGGTATGCCCATTCCTACGCGCCAACCGATACCGTCCACAGCACCGCCGTGCACACCGAGTCCCAGATGAGCAGGAGCGCCGCCTCCCCCAGCCGCGTCGGCTCCCCGGACGGCAGCACCTACTCCTACGTCTCCTCGCCACCCACGCGCCATCCCTCTCTCTACGCGCGCAACCCGACCCTGGACGCGCCACCCCAATACGACACCCTCCCCGCGCGCACGCCCGCGGAACCCTTGCAGGAGATTGCCGTCCCGTCGCACATGACCGGGGACAAGATGAGTTGATTACGGTTCGAGCGATGGTAGCCCATCATCTCAACCCTCGCCGCGTCTAGATCTACTCCCGTTCACCCAGTACAACACCCCCACATCGCAGGTCCTGCGCCCGGGTCAGAGGCCATCTGCAACTCATAGACCGCTCTCAAATGTATGTACATATCTTGTACATTGTTCATAGACCGCTCTCAAATGTATGTACATATCTTGTACGTTGTTCATAGACCGCTCTCAAATGTATGTACATATCTTGTACGTTGTTCGTCTGAAGAAACACGTCTGGCAGCCGCGCGCAGCACATGGACCCGAACAGCCCGGCTCACGCATCTAAATAAAGTCTTCCATAGTTGATCTCGTAGTGCACGAAAAAGGACCGGGTTACTTGGTGAGAACTCTCCTTACCTTCTTTTGTTGCTGGGACGCCGGTATTGAATTGCTCTACCCCTGCTCTCAGGAGAACGAACTTCCGGCCCCTGTCCACGGCGGCGGGAGGACCCCCCTGACCAATCCAGTCCCAGACATCAGTTGTCCCACCTTGAAAAGATAAGTGGACCTTTTACCTTAAAGTGCCCTGGAATTGGAAGCGGCGCAAGTTGCATGCTGTTGAGCTTCATCCCTCAACAAGGGTATCATGCTGGCAAAAGCAGTGTGACGAGCCTGAATCCGTGTAATCCCATTTGCTACGGTGTCGGTAGTAGAAGCTCGGGGCAAAGGCGTCTGCTCTCGTCCCGGAAGCAGATGAGAAGATGATTACCCGGTGTCGTTCGCGCCCGGAGGTCTCCTTTGTTCGGCTCTTGTCCCAGAGGGATGGGCCACTTCAGCGTAAGGGTATGATACCACATAAGTGGGTCACAGGCCTGAACCCGTATAATCCCGCTTGCTACGGTGTCGGTAGTAGAAGCTTGGGGTCAAGGCGTTCGCTTGAAAAGCGGATGATAAGATGATTAGCCGGTGTCGTTCGCGCCCGGAGGTCTCCTTGGCCCTGCCCTTACCTCTTACTTGCGTCCATGCAATTGCAGCAAGGCCATGTGCAGCGCTCGAGCATCTGTGCCCGATTCTTCCCTTTCGCTTATTTGTTTTGCTCAGAGAGGTCAAGATTCTGAGCAGAAAGTTAGTAGGCTGATCATAACCCAGCTTCGCAAGCCTATTGCGTTCACATCTTTTCAAACGGCCAATTTTTCCAGAGTTGAGTAAGTGAGTGGAGGCAAATATGTTTCCACACGTAGATGCTCGATGCTTTTTTTCATACATCTTTCTGGGCTTTTACCTTTTTGTACCCGAGCTGCCAACTTTGCGGTCGAGTCACAATCAAATACGCGGCCCGTGATGAAATCGTTCCACGGAAAAGAGAAGGGGAAGAGACCACTCACTGTCCATTTTCCCAAACTTCTCGCCAATCCAATCCAGTCTTCCATTGGTCGATTACGCTTTGTGAGCTTCTGGGGAAACTGGCGTAAGTCGCATCACGGTTGCAATCTCGATCAATGCATGATACTGATGCCACTCTGAGTCGCAAAGTTTAGGGATCAAATTTGCTGCTGCGTTTCCGGATATGCTTGCGAATTGACCGCCGAAAGGCTGCGGACAGGAACAAACGAAAACCCTCAGCAGCATCGGCGGAGTGGCTTTGCCGCAGAAGAAACCGGCAGTGGGCCTCCGCGCTCCTATATACCCCCCTGAAGCATTAGGAAACATCAAGCATCGGCAGAATACGCATGGAGAATATACTCTTGCGCCATGACTTCACGCCACAAAAATAACTCTTTGGCTCAGTTGTGACAGTCCATAACATCGAAGAGATGAAAGATTGCCCAATATTCCAAAAATAATCAGGGTTGATCTAATTGGCCCGGGCCGAATACTGCGCGTATGATTTGGGCAAAGAATGGATGCGGCATGGGGAGAATACGCGTTGCCGATGTAGATGGGCTGGACATCATTCAGTGTGGGACTCCCAAATGAAACGAACTCCAGCTTGAACTCGCACTTTTATCCAGCTTTTCCCACGCACGCACACAAAAGCTTCTTCGTCCCCACCCACCCTCACCCATCCCTTTTTGAGTATTGCTTGCATTTATAGTGGTGGTGGGCGAGTACGGAGATCCGGCTTGCAGACTTCGTGGACTTCCTTTAAAGAAGGTTTCGCAGGTTTGCTCTTCCACTTCTCCGGTACTTTGTGAAGTGATAGTTAAGGGATTCCACAACCAGTACCCCGACAAACCCTGCCCCGCTGACCCTTTCGGACGGACTCGAACCGAATCGTTATCCGGAGGACGCCGCAAAAGAAGGGGTAAATGTTATGGGTGGACAAAGCATACACTTATTGCATGGGCCGTCCCAGTAACGATCATGTCACATCCATCATAACGCCTGTCCAGCCGGTCGCATGTGCTGCTCTCAAACCTACATGTAAACTTGTCCCCTGTGGTCTCTTACTGTACCGACCACCTATTCCGTACCCGTACCCATATTTACCGACCCCGTATAAGAAGAAGGACTCCATTCCAAGCACCTGGACATTAAGGTGGCAAGACGACGCTCTAACGAGAGCTATCCTCTTGTGCTATTGAGACCGGCAGCTTATTTTCGCGACACCCGACCGTACCCCCTCGATTCGGCAGACCCTCGCTTCTGCCGGCCACCCCCACAGCGTTGCGTCTTGGGGGGCGACTCTGAGACCCTGTCATCCGGGCAGTAGGGACAGACAGCCCACATCCAGGGAGGTTGCGAAAACGACCGTAAATATTCACAAAGTTACAATGCACAGAAAAAAAGTATAAAAACACATCCATCCAAAAGGCGAAGACGTGCTCGCCGCCCTTCCCTAGATCTAAGTGTCTAGTACACTTTTCATCCAATCTCAAACTCATGCAAACATCAATTGGATAGGGATGCGAGCGGAGATGATATCTGGGTTGGTATATGGCGGTGAACGCATGTGAAAATGCCGTATGCGGCATGCATGGGTGCGATTGCAACGGTCGGCCGCCGAGGCTCGGTCAGAGTTCGAGCGCACGTTCCGCGCCAGATGATGTAGGGCATATGCTATGTGGGATAGTGTGGCAGGTGCGGCGTGCGTGATCCTCTCGATGGAATGGCTCTCGCCGCCACTCGGAAAGCATATCATAACGTACCGCGCGGAGGGTTGATGCGACAGTAAGTCTGTTCCATCCAGCCGCCGCAACCCCATCCTCCTCCCCTCCCTCGTAGCCTTCAGCGTCAGTCCACATCAATCATCTACAGCTTCGCAAACGATGCCAACAACGCCACCGCCCTGCTCGGATGCGCCAAATGCCCTAGGAAGTCGGCATCGATCACATCATCGTTCTCCGCGAACGCCTTGTTCAAGCTGAGATCTTTGAACCCCATAAGCCAGCAGTCGAAATCTCGATCCGTGATCGCCTGGTCTAGCAGTATTGCCATGTATTCGTGTCTGCGGTCCTTCTTTATTCCCGACATCAAGGCCTCGACTTCGGACCATGGGCCTTCGATACATTGCTGCCGAAAAAGAGGCCGTCAACTTCATCCCGACCACATACATACCAACAACATAGACAAGGATACCCACCATGAACTGGCCCGAATTGAAAACAAGCATCCCTGATATCTTGTTGTGATCGTTATTTGTCCGGGCGGTGTTGAGGATGGCGGCCAGTTGCCGGGACGTGAGATCGGTCCGTGCTTGCGAGACGTAGACGATTTGCCGTAATGTTGTTGGTTTATCGTCTGGTGGGCAACTTGTTGGTTCCGGTAGAGATGCTGCGGGCAGCGCTGTGCTGATGTCGGTCATGACTAGCGGGACGTCGAGAATGATGTGGTGACGGAGAAAGGGACGTTGTTCTGGAACCTTTCGGCGTGAGAAAACAACAAGTCTCATGGTGACACGGAAATTCTGGTTTCTGCCGCACATACCTTCACCCCTGGAGTCTGACGCCCAAGCTTTGTTTCTTTCGACTCGGCTTCCTCTTCCTTATGCCAACGGTTATGCCAACAGGGAAGTTGTCTCGGGCGTATGCTGGTTCGCGGGGCGAGAAAATTCAAAAAGTGACGGTGGACGTGTCTCAGGTTTCAAGAACGATGGTCCTCCGTTTATTGCTGGGAGAAGCCGTGTGATGAGTGAAGATGCACTTGCGAACGAGGGGACGAAGTTGCGAACGTTATGACTGGTGGGAAGATGAGAGTTGATGGCCAGTGAAGATGAGATGAGCTGTGCTGCGAAGAAAGGAGTTGCGTTTGTCTCCATGTTCCTCAGTTGGCGGAACAGACAGCTCTGTCGATCTGGCATTGCGAATATGTGGCGATGGCCGGGTTTCCCCGCATTTCGGGGTCTGGGTCTCGGTAGTGCAGATCCCCAGACGTGTTCAGACGCGGCGCCGGCGGATTCGCTCAAGCCACGAACTAGCAATGAATTAGTTGCTTAGGTGAAGTGTCCGAAGAAGCGTCAGGAAACCCAGCACCTACGGTACTGTGCTGTACTTCTGCCGAGGCAATCCTTCGACTCAATCGCTTAAGCCTCAAAGGAAGAAGCATCTCGACTCCGAATAAGCCTCAAGAGCCCAGATCGACGCATTCGCTGACCCTCGCCGACGTCCCAGACGTGTCCAGTACAGTCTCTTCTCGCGTCGATTCTCTTCTTGTGGTCGTCGCCGGAAACAGTTGACGCGCTTTGGATATCCTACAGCATCGGATACGAGCGTGGATGCAGTTTCCTTGTATCTGATCTTCACAGTTCATCTTATCAAGATGAATTTTTCACGATAGCAGAGCGTCTACCGTGGAGGCTCATGGCTGAGGCCACATGGCTCGACAAGTCGTGCGGGCGTTCTGAGAGGTCCTAGTCTACCTCATTCGAGCCATTGCGGACAATATTAAAACTGGACCGTGAACAAACTTCCGTGACAACGCGTGGAGTTGGACAGCTTTCCCACCGTTACGCACGTTCGCATGCGAGTACGCCAAGAGGATGGTGCGAAGGAAATAGCAAAGCTCCCAGAAAATGTTCGGTGGATTGCAGTAACGGCGCGATGGCACTCCCTTCGCTCCATCGGTATGCCAACTTGATCTTGCGCTGACCCGCATTGCTGCTGAGATTGGCCTGGAATTCTCGGGGACTCGGCAACTGGGGCTCTACAACGGCGGCAAGATACTCGAAATTATGTTTCACACAGTCTGAAGCGGTGGAGACGTACGACGAGAACATCACCATGTACGTCGCCACGGCCATAAAAGCAAGAAATTTGATAAATTGCGATATGTGCGTGTGCCGGACGGGAAGGTCTCCTTTCTTGACCCTAACCTAAGTATAATCCCTGATGTATGATTCTCAACTACGTGGACGTGGAAGTAAAACCCTTTCAGAAGTAAAGTCGAAATATATTGGTTCTGGAAAACGACCAAACTGTTCAGAAACGACACAAGTGCCGACGATAAGAAAAATGTTGGTGAATACAAGAATGGGTTGGGACCGGGAAGGGAAACCGCCCAATCCCAGGATAAGGTTACGGCTAAATACGGTGATTTCGGGACGCCTCTCTTGTGAGGTACAGAAGAGTTTATATCCCGTATGTAGGTCACTTCCCCGTCTTGTCACTCTTCGCATATGATGAGATACAATGCCTTCCTCCGCCATCATCAGATTTGGGTTTTCCAAAATTGACCTCAATCGAGAGACCCGATCTCTTCTGCAATGAACACCTCCACATCCATCGGTACCATCAGCATCGCATACCAAGCCTCTCAAATCCCGTACGTAGAGTCAAGCAACGCCTTTCGAAACGACCCCCTCCCCATCCGCCAACTCAACTGGCGGATCTACCACGCCTTGTACGCTGCCACAGCAAATGATGGTGCAAAGATCAAAGAATCGGTCCAAGAAACGTGGGAGTGCAACGCCACCGAAGCGCACACAGTGCACGCACTCGATCATCTTTTCGAGAGCGTAAAGGTGTTCTTGACGACTATGAAAGCGGTGGGCGGGGCTACACCGAGATCGTTTCGTTGCGCTTCGTCGCCCGTCACCAACCCATCGTCCAATGCGGCGTCTTCCTCGATTTCGGATCATAGCCTCTCACGTCGTTCATCTTCCGCACGCTCCACGACGAGCTCTCGCGACTCGAGAGACGCTCCTGACGCCAGCTCTCAAGACTCGAGAGATAGTCATGGAGAATCGGTCCATCCACCTCTCTCCCCAGTCAGCTCTCACGACCCTATCATCGAACGAGACGGCCGACTGAAAACAGAGGCGTTGAGGAGAGAAACTACCGATGCGTGTACTCTGGCTTCATGTCGTCTTTAGCGCCTGCGGAAGTCGTGGATGCAAACCGGGAATCGATGCTGCAGATCACTGAGGCGGTGTATATTGTTCCTTTTGGTATTTCGAGAGTCCCGGTATGTGTAAAAGCTGGGTTCATGGTCTCGCGCTGTGAGAGCTCATTCGACTTCCAGGGCGTCCGCCCCCGCTTCGAAACTGCGTTGCCATTGTTTGGCCATGGCGATCTGGACCTGGACAAGGTCGATGTCGTATCAAACATCGTCACCCTCGGCCCTTCGGAACAGCATAATTTCGCTCAATTCTACTGGATTGTTGAGACACACGAAGCGACAGAGAGCGGGATAGTTTACACGATCACTCATCTGCGACCGGAATATGGCCCAAGGTATCGCTGCGCGGATCCCACAGAGTTGGAGCGGATGGATGACGGAGAGATCTTACTGGTGGATGGCACGAGGTCTGGGCGCCCGGATCCAAAGTTTTTCGATCTCCATGCAAAGATTGGAAAGGTGCTCCATGCAAGCGGTTTGGAAACATTAGTGGACAATGTGATGAAAATTGGGCAGGGTCACGAGTTGGGGGGAGATTGGCTAGTAGGAATCAGTCAAGCGGTTGTGGAGGCGGTGGGGATCGTCGATGACTTTTGGATTGAGAAGGCTCCGACCGGGAAACTATGAAGAATAAGAGAAGGTGGGATTGATAGGCGGTTGTGTCATGATATTTCATATACCTTGAAAATCCTGGCTAGTAGCTTCGGCGTGATGAATGAAAGCGATACACAATAATGCTGACCATGCTGCCCCTCGTTTGCCTGAGCTCATACGAGTATACTATCCTTGTTCTCGAGTAGTTCGACGAACTGCGTTCAGGCGGCACACCAGTCTCCGAACCCTCCAGTAGTGTGCTTTTTCGTTCGTTCCGAGGAGGTCGAGAACGGGCATGGACGTATGGCTGTGGGCTTGAACTACGGATGTTGTGCAAGACCCTGGTTGTGGCTACCGTTGAAAAAAAGGCAGCGCCTATAGGCTTGTGAAGCCGGTTATCTTGCAAGGCATCGCCGGTGAACAAACACATCGAACCCGACTTGGATACCTCGACCGCGGACATACACCGCATGGAGGCGTCGCCATCCACTCCCGTGTTTGCGGCACGGTGGCGAGTGCCCAAAATGCCTGCATAGTACGCTGGCGTCCTGCGCATGGTTGTCCTTTGATGAAGTGGCGACGCTGAGAAGCGGCCACGTATAGGCCACAGAGGCCACGCGTCGAGCACTTGAGAGGATCGCGACGGCCGACGCAGACTTCAATTCACCGCTTAAGTACTGTCCAGTACGGTTTGCGTCTTCGCAGGTCACATTTGGGGGTGATCTACACACCCCGCAGCCCGCAATGCGAGCTTCGTCGTCGGTCGCAGGCAGCAGCAATACCAGCAGTCCTCAGCGGCTGCCGCCAGGGGCTGCAACAGCCTCCGCAGCCCACACCACTCCGAGACTCAGCAGGACAACGAAGGGCCAGTCCCAGAATGACAGCACCCAGTATGCATTCCACACAGCGAGCCGCAAATCACGCCCAGAGCTGCACTGGAAGTACATAGTTCAGAGCGAAATCGTCAGCGTAACAAATGCGCTCAAAAAGTCTCAACGATGGGGCTTTCCGTCGTCTTCCTCCGAACGCAAAAGTCCCCACGGTGACCCCAACGCACCGGTATTCACTCCCACTTACGACTTCTGCGTGGATAATGCAAGATATGGACACGTTAGCCTCGACGGTGTGCTGGAGTTTACGAAGATGCAGGGGAAGAATGCAAAGCAGGAGCTTGCTGGATATGAGATGATTCACGAGGTGGGTTATGGGGCGACCAAGATGGCGTTAGCCTGGGAGTTCATCGCAACTCACCACCGGGGCCTTAGAACACACCCCTATTGCAGGGCTTCTCTTTCTTGCGCGCACGTCTCACGCTGCTACACGGTAACTGAACGATGCATGCGTTTTCCCCACGTTGCCGCGCTGACGTCCTCGACCTCCATCAGAGCTCAGGGATCTAGATCCTGCTCTCTTGCTAGAGCCGTTTCTAGAGGTCATTCGTAGTCCCGATACTACGGGGCCTATCACTGGGGCGGCTCTGACAAGCGTCGAAAAGTTTATCACCTACCGTGTGCTGGGTAAGCAGTCTTGCATCGGAAGTACAGCATCGGATTGTAGCTGAATGCGCGCTTGCGATTGCAGATCCTAACCACCCGGGACTACCTGCTGCTATTGCTGCCTTGACGGACGCCGTAGTGCGTTGCCGATTCGAGGCCACAGACACCGTGGCCGATGAAGCGGTTCTGGCAAAGATCCTTGCCTTGCTTCGCGTGATCCTCACGTCGGACACGGGCCAAAAATGTCTGCATGATAAGGGCATCTGTGAGATGGTGGAGGTGGCTTTCGGAATGATCTTCCAGGGTCGAGTCAATGGTGAGAGTCTTTGCAGGAGTGGTGCTGAGGACGGGGTCTCACCGTGACCGCATGCAGAGTTACTTCGAAGATCCGCTGAGCAGACGTTGGTGGTTCTCGTACAAGCGCTGTTTGAAAGGTTAGGAACGTTGTGCCCGTCCATATGCAGACTATGGCCTCACTCGTGCGTTACAGACTGTCCGCAATCGTGAAAGCGAAAGAGCACGAAGCAAACTTCCATCACACACGGACGAGATCAACCGGCCTCGACCGCGAGCCGCATCTGACCCACAATCGAAGGGCAAGCTTTGTTGCTCCTGGAATCTTACGGCGGGGCTCTCGGGCAGACTTGCAAGATGGAAGCGGCCACGCCTCTTCTTCCCAAGCGGTGGACACCACGTCGCCGTCCATCCAGATGTTCGATGAGCCAGATGAAGGCGCTCCCCGAGACGTCAGTGTGATATCAGTTGGCGGTTCACCGGGAAAGAACGCAAATGTCGAGCGGACTGGAGCAGATGCCGATGGACCACGGATAGGAGTATCGCGAAACGAGCGGATAATGGCCGACGGAGGGATGCGAGTCGTGCGTCACGACAGCGGAGTCGCGCGGCCCGTAAACGACAACGCAGCACCTGCAGACGAGTCCCGTTCAGCAGGGAAGCAGCCAGAGCACCCATCATCAACATCACCCAGCTCCTCCTCCCACCCTGCCAGTCCAGCAAGATCAGCCGCACCTCCACCGCAGTACCTCCAACCGTTCGGACTGCCGTCGATTTTGGAGATGTTGCGTGTGTTGATCACGTTATTGGATCCAAAGAATCGGATGCATACGGATTCAATGCATCGTACCATTTCGTTGGGGCTTTTGCACGCTGGGTTGGAAGTTGGTGGGCGGTCGCTGGGGAAGCTGATCTCGTGGGAATTGCATAGGGTTGATAGCAAGCCTGCGCCCGCTCAACAAGCGCCATCAACATTGCCGTCCACTCAGATCCCTACTGTGGGCGCTGCACCGGAAGGATCCGGTGCCGCTGACACGGGCAGCTCAGCTGGGCCGGATACCTCGGCGGGAGCTACTGGTGCGGAAGGAGGTCCCGCCGAGCGAGGATCCGTCGCAACCCCTGAACCAGGCCTCACCGACCCAGACGCTGAAACCTGGGAAGAAGCGGAAGACCGCACAATCCTCATGGCCAGAGACCTTGTCACAAACGACCTCTGCAAGTATCTCTTCCAGCTTCTCCAAAACAACGCCCTAGCCACCAACGCCACCCCTAGCGCCACCACCACACGTATCCTCTCCCTCTCCCTCTCCTGCATCACCACCCTCTTCCAGTCCGCCCCGCAGCAACTCAAATTGCAGCAGGAGTGGTACCTGAACTGGGCGATGGAGCGGTTGAATGTCGGAATCGCATCGTGGGATATTGAGGAGTGGGAACGGAAACGGCCTGATCGACCTGATGATTTTAGACAGAGTGCTGCGTCGGCGGCGGGGCAGGCGGCGCAACGGAGGGAGTTACCGATTGGCGGGGAGGCGAGGGACTTGATATTGGAGAGCTTGTCGCAGCTCTGCCATGTCCCCAGCTTTGCAGTCGAGCTGTACGTGAATTACGACTGTGCCATGGACCGGCCTGTGGATCTGCACGAAGATCTTGTCAAACTGTTGGCAAAGCATTCTCTCCCCGACTTAACCCCCGGCGGGCCCGTAACCCACACATCCCAACAAGGCATCTGCTTTGACGCCCTTCTCGCCCTCCTCCAACACATGGTAGAACGCAAAGGCTTCTCCCAACCCCATCGCCCCTCAGCCCCCTCCGTCCCTGCACCGGACGACACACCCACCAACGACCTCTCCCCCGAACGCCTCCGCTACAATAAAGAACGCAAGCGTGTGTTGATGGAGGGCTCCAAACGCTTCAATGACGACCCGAGGAAGGGGATCGCGTTCTTGCAGGAACATCAATTCTTGCCGGATCCGGTCACACCGGATAGTCTCGCGAAGTTCTTGAAGGCGACCCCGAGCATCAATAAGGTGGTGTTGGGGGATTATTTGGCGAAACCGAAGAATTTGGATTTGTTGAAGGCTTTTGTGGGGTTGATGGATTTTGCGGATGTAAGTTTTCTCGCCCTTTCTTTTCGGGGAAGGTCTTATGTGCGTTCCGGTTTTCTGACGATTATCGTAACCCTCTTTTGCAGAAATCCTTTGACGACGCGATGCGGACGCTTTTGGAAAGTTTCCGGCTGCCTGGTGAAGCCCAGCAGATCGAGCGAGTTATGGAAACCTTTGCCAACGCGTACTTTGACGCGGATAAGAGTGAGTTGATCGCCTACCGAACCGGCGTGCATGGCTTGGAGGGCGAGGGCTGATTGAGTGTGTTGCGTTTAGAAACCGGCCACCAGGATTTGGAGAACGTTAATGCGGTGTTCATCCTTGCGTTTGCCGTTGTGATGCTGAATACTGACATGTATAGCAAGAATGTCAGAGTAAGTACTTCTTGGGTCGTCGCTCCAGACAGAGATATGATCTAACGACCCGGTTATTGTCAATCAGGCCAAAATGACACTGGAGCAATTCGGGCGCAATCTCCGCGGCCTTAACGGCGGTAAAGATTTTGCCCCCGAATACCTCGCCCGGATCTACAATGCTATCAAGGAGAACGAAATCGTCTTCCCCGAGGAACATGCCGGCGACCTAGGGTTTAACTACCAGTACAGGGAGCTGATAAAAAAATCTGCGGAAGCGGGCCCGTTGATCTCGTGCCATACGAACGTGTATGATAAGGATATGTTTTTGAGTGTTTGGAATGCCTTTTTGGCTTCGTTGTCTTATGGTAGGTTCTCCGCTCGGGTTTGCCAGTGGACATCTGCATAGTGAGGAGATCGCTGATGAGCGGGTTCTCGAACACAGCCTTCGACAACGCCGAAGACGAGCTCACCCTCCAAAAAGCCATCGTCGGGTACCACCACTGCTCGATCCTTGCGGCATACTACGGCAATTTCGAGATCCTCGACAATGTCATTGTCGCACTGAGCAAGATGACCGGACTTCTGAAGGAAACGCAACGACTGCCGGCCCCGCGGACGAAAGTCGGCGGTGAGGCGCAGGACGCCTCGCGCGGGTCGGTGGATCCATGGAGCGTCGAGATTGGTCGGAACTTTAGGGGCCAGATCGCGGCCGTGTTGATGTTTAGCTTGGTGGATGAGTATGGGACGAGTCTCAAGAAGGGGTGGCGATGGGTAAGGAGGATCAGATGGTGTCTGCGTTGTCGCAGTCCGTTGACGTTTATTAACATGCTCTTTTCGCAGGTCATCGCCTGCGTCCGCAACATGTTCCTCCACAACCTCCTCCCCGACTCCCTGATCCAAGCCGAGGACTTCATCAAAGGCACCATCCTCATCCCACGCGTAGCCGATGCGGGCGCCGTGCAACGCGCAGCCGCGGCAAACGCGAGACGCGAAGCAGGACTGTTCTCGACGCTATCCAACTTTCTGTCTTTGGGATCCAATACGGGGGATGAGTGGGATGATTATGAGCCTATGCCGGGCGATATGGAGTGGCAGGAGCGTGCGATACGATGCGTCGCAGCTTGTAAGATTGATGTGATGTTGGCTGATACGAGGTGAGGCATGGTGTGCTTTCACGGCGGAGCACAGTACGCAGCATAGTCGCTGAGAAGGGAATGTCGTATTTTCTATTTCAGATTTTTGGAAGAAGATACCCTCCGATTCCTTATCGATGCCCTCGTCCAAGCCTCCATAGCACCCGAAAACGGCGTGCCCGGCCAACTCAAAGCAAACGGATCCCAACAGCAGCGACCACCTAACGACGACGGATCTACAGGGCCGCCATCTACCCCGCAAACGACGGTGGAACAGCCGCTGAAATATGATACAGCGGTCGTGTTTTTGTTGGAGGTCATTGTCTCGATTGCGATGCATAACCGCGATCGGATATCGGTTGTGTGGCCGATGATAGCGAACCATTTCAGGAAGATATTGCAACATGCGAATGAACATCCGCCTGTGCTGGTGGAGAGGGCTGTCATGCATCTCCTGAGATTGATTGGTCGGACTGGACATAAGGTACGGACTTCAAAGAATATCGTTTCAGTCTTCCGGAGTGAGAGTTCTCACCTACTGACACCATTGGACTTCACAGGACGAAATGCTCCACCAACTAGTCGACGCCTTCACCCCCCTCAAAACCATGTCTCAAGACTCTTTCAACGCCTTCGCCGAACAATTCATGACCGGTCTTGTCACCATCCTCAAATCCGACCCGACTATCATCACCCGCAACACCCGCTGGACTCTCTTCCTCGACCTCCTCGCCCGCGCCTCGATGCATCCCGATGCATCTCGCCCGAGTTTTGAGGCCGTGTGTATACTGCTGAGCGATCATGTTGATTCGTGTGTCAACCAGGATAATTTTGGAGATTGGGTCGATCTGCTGATTGGGTATGCGGCGGCTGCGGGGCAGGGTGGGGGGGCGACGAGTCCGGTTGGTGGGAGTGCGAATCTGAGTGCGAGAGCGTTGGTCAACGGAACCGGTGGGAGTGGGAGTGGGCCGTCGAGTCCGAGGTTGGGGAGGGAGAGTACGGCTTTTAGGAGGTAAGGGGAGGAGGAAGATAGGGCCGGGCATGGTGTTGGTCTGCGCTTTCCTAGACTGACCGTGTATCTCCATTTATGTTAGCCAAATTATCTCACAGGCGCATGAGCAAGCACTGCGTGCGCTGGAAGAGCTGTACAGGCTCCACACCAGAATCCCGGTTTTGGTGGAGAAGACGGGGATGAACCGGAATCGAGGTATGAGCTAAATCTGTAAGGGGAAGGGGCTCTGGCAAACGCCGTATCCTAACCGCACGTCGGTTTCGTTTCTACTAGCCTTTTTCGAGTTCTGGCTCCCAGTCCTCTCCGGCCTCAGCCAACAGTCCTCCCACCCCGCCCTCCAAGTACGCGTCTGCGCGCTAACCTTCCTTCAACGCGGCCTCCTCTCCCCACAACTCGAATCCGCCTGCTCAGGCGGCACCGACGGGGTCTCGCAAAACCTCTGGGCCGAATGCTTCGAAAACGTGCTCTTCCCCATGCTCGACGAGCTCCTCCGCCCCGAAATGCAGAAACTGGACCCGATGGAGATGGATGTCACGCGAATGCGCGCCTCGGCATTGTTGTGTAAGGTGTTTTTGCTGTCGGTGCCAAAATTGCAGATGTGGAGGGATTTCCCGACGCTGTGGGGACGGATATTGGATTTTATGAGGAGGTATATGGAGGCTGGGACTTCGGATTATTTGGTACGTGTACATTTTACCCGTTCGGGAACAAGACGGGAGAGCATGTGAGCTGACTTTCGCCCAATCGCTCACGTTACAGCGCGAAGGCGTCCAAGAATCTCTCAAAAATATGCTCCTCGTTATGTCCACCCTCGGCGTACTATACCCTCCCGCGGCGGACGCACCACAAAACCAACCGAATCTGTGGGATCCGACGTGGCGGTATATTGGTACATTCCTGCCTGACCTCCAGTCGGAGCTGTTCCCTCCCCCGACGGCGCCGTTGCAGGGTGATGCGCGGGTGCCGCAGCAGCCGCAGGTGGAGGGACATCAGCAGCAGCTGGCGAGTCTGCCGGCGCAACAGACATACCCCGAAGTGCAAACACAGCATCAGCAGGAGTATCAACAACACCAAGAGGCCTCAGCGACCCATGATGAGCACCACCAACAACCCGCCCACCATCCATATCAACAATTACAGTATCAGCAATCATCCGCCACAGACGCGCTCGCAAACATCGCAGCGAAAGCCGAGGCCCTCGCCGGCGCCAACGAGACGGCGCCTTGAAAGTAAAGTTATGCGCAGGGGATGCTCTGGGGGGCGTATTCACTGAATTCGAGAACAGTATACTGTATATATTCATATCGCCGTATAATCGAGACGAAACGTACTGTACGTGCAAAGCAGGTTAGGCCGTCGCTTTTGTGTTTGTGTTGGATGTAGGCTATTGTCACCTAGTACCTGTACATATATGCAATTCTGACCACAGTAGTCATCTTCGATGATCGGCGGGTTGTCTATATGTACCTACTATGTATGTACAGTCCATCATATCACGCCGTGTATCCGGCCATGGCGAGGAATCTCTCATAGTAGAGGATTGCTTGTGGTGTGCTCCCACGCGTGCCGTCATCAGCAGGCGGCGTGAAAACGCGTCCCATCCGGTGGCATCTTGACTGAAATGCACACGGCGACCAACCAGACCCACCACCGGGAAGACCTTATGCAGGCTTCTCTACGGCTGAGCAGATAGATATAGATATAGTATCACAAGCAGGCGGTGCCTCTGCGCGGGTCATATCAAACCCAGCTCTCCAACGACCACCTTCGTCAAGAACCGAAATGGCGACCACCGCCCTCCCGAACCCCACCCTGGACGTCTACTCCCTCGCGCCCCTCCTAATCATCAACAACGACGGCGCAGAGCTCGTAGACGGGCGGTTCGAAGGCGAAGGCAGCGTCACATTCTCCACCGGCAATACTTATGTCGGGCCATTTCGGAATGGCTACATGGAAGGCAACGGCACGTACACTTGGGCGGCGACTGGGACGACCTTCCAGGGCGATTTGAAGAAGAATAAGATTGTCGGGTCGGGGACGTACACTTGGTAGGATCTGCGAGCGATTGTGACCGACTGCGATGAGGGACGCGAGGAACCGGGATGCTTGTGGCAGTCACGAGGTTGACCAGCGCGAACGCCTTTGCGAGCGAAGCGAGCACGACATTGCGTCAAAGGCCCAATGCTCCCCTCACCCCCGTGTTGTTGATGGGTGCGTGGTAGTGGCCGTTCGATGGTTGATAATTGATAAGTGACGTTCGATGGCTGATGGCCGATGGATGATGGGTGATGGTTGATGGTTGATGATGGTTGATGGTTATTGATAACCTCGGCTGATGTGCCTTCTTTTTCGTGTGGTGTAGGAAGAGCGGCTGTAAATACGAGGGCCAGGTGTCGGATGGCTTGCGACATGGCAAGGGAACGTTCTCGTGCGCGCCCCTGTCATCGGCATGGTATGAGGGGTCCTGGAATGCCGGCAAGATGTGCGGACAGGTCTGTGCGTGAACTTCCCTGTCCAGCATAAAGGTTTCACTCAAAATCTGACGCCTGCCACTCTTCCATTCTCTAGGGCAAATTGACATACACCGACAATGCCTCATATAATTACGAAGGCACCTGGCGTGAAGGCTTGAAAAACGGGCGCGGCATCATGCGCTACGCGTCTGGGAACGTCTACGATGGCGAGTGGCTGAATAACGTCAAGCATGGCCATGGGGTGATGCAGTGGCTGGATCGGGGGGAGACTTATGAGGGTGCTTGGCAGGTAAGGCGATTACCCCGGCGGGAAAATCTATCGCAGGATCTAAGGATCGGTCTTCTGATTTTTTGTTGGTCTGCAGAACGGGAAACCAAACGGATATGGACTATACACATGGTCCATGCGGCCTGCAAAGTCGCATCAGTTCCCAACGCAGAATCGGTACAAAGGTGCTTCTCCCATGGATTAGACCCCTCTTTCAAACAATGCCACGGATTAGACCTCTCATGTTTACCCTTCGGACAGGCAACTGGGAAAACGGCAAACGCAACGGCCAAGGCACCTTCGAGTACGCCAACGGCGCCGTCTACACGGGCGACTGGAAGGACGACATGAAGCATGGGTTCGGCAAATACATCTCGGAGAACGGACGACGTTATGTGGGCGAGTGGAAGAACGACCGGCCCGTGGGCGGGTTGGAGCCTTATCGGAATGGTGAGGGCCGTCTTTGTGGGAGGGGAAGGTGTCTTGGAAGCACATGATCGCGGACCCTTTTACTGAATGGTGACTATGATCAATTAGAATGCCCCTATACGTTCCACCTCGCCGATCTACTCCCCGGAAGTGATGCCAACTCGCTGGAGACCGAACTGCAGCAAGTAAACGACATCGTCATGCGACATATCCGTAAGTCCTCCCTCCTCACAATATCTTTTCCAGCCATCCACTCAACTGACCACATACTATTCACAGAGGACCTCCGAGCGATCTACAGCTTCTACGCCGATAATGGCCTCTCCAGACGGTCTCATAAAGGGTCGCCGATGACATTGGTCGATCTGTGTCGACTGATTAAGGATTGTGGGGTGTTGGATCGGAAGGTAACTTTGGGTAAGGTTGGGATTTTGAAGTGATCTTTTGAATGGTTTGGAGAGCGAGACTGATTGGTGGAATTAGCGGATTGCACGAGGATATATGCACGGCAGTTTAAGGATGATGATTGTCATGTGGAGCAGTATCAGGTATGTGTGTTCCCATTCGCGGCTACCTATGGAAACCTGATCCATCTTACCCTCCCTAGGCACCCCACGACCCCGCCCAAACCTTCATCCTCCACGACTTCCTCCACTTCCTCCTCCGCGTCTCCCACCTCCTCTACGCCCACACCCCAAACCTGTCCCTTCACTCCACCGGCCTCGCCGCCTCCTTCTCCCACTTCATCAAACACGACCTCCTGCCGAACATCACCTTCCACACCCCAACCGACGACATCACCACCTTCCAAGCAGAGCTCCGCTGCTTCTTCGAGGACAGGTACGCGGACACCCTTTACGCGATGTATGACGAGCGCGCGCGTTTCAGACCCGGGAAATCACTGCCGGGGAGTAGAGGGGATAGGACGTGGACGTTTAGAGATGTCACGCTTGTGGTCGGCGAGTATGGGCTGCTGACGAATAGGGATAGTCTGTTGACCATGACGACGGTTGTGGAGGTGCTGTCTGGGGGTGGGAAGCGGATTGTTGAGGACGGGTGTTATAACCTGGAGCATGAGGTATGGCTGACGGGTTCTGGATTTACGGCTGGATATCATATGGTTTTGGGTGCCTGATGGCATAACCTGTAGATGTTATCCACCGAATGGTTCGACGGAACTTACGACGCCATCCTCCTCGTGCACCACTCCTACTTCACCACCCACGTCCTCCCCACCGTCTTTGGCATCGACCCGCCCCACCACCCCAACCCACTCCAACCCCACGACCAGCATAACCACAACCATAATCAGAAAAACCCCAACCACAGCTCAACAGACTCCTTCCTCAGCGAAGTCAAATCCTTCTCCCGCCATCTCCTCACCGACGACACGGACCAACCCTCCCCACCTGCGGAAACCACCGAGAAACATGCCGAGAAACGGGGGAAGGACAAAGAAAACGGGAATGGGGTTGGGAATAGGCCCGGGTCGTCGGGCAGGGGGCACGGGAAGGAGGAGAAGGACGCTCGGGTGCATAAAGAGGAGTCGGGGCATCGGAGTCCGTTGCTGGGGCACGAGGGGCCGGCGGCGGTGGCGGCGGGGAAGGAGTCGAGGATGTCGACTTCGGTAGGGTTCATTTATCGCTTTCGCATTGATTGTTTGCGGATCAGAGAGATGGGGACTCACGCGCACCCATTGTTTTTTTTTTCTTTTCTTCGCAGAACGCAAAACGCAACCCCGCAGCCGGAGGCCGTCGCCACTCCAATGTCCGTCCGACCGAAAAAGACCGCGACAGACAAGAGAAAGAGAAAGAGAAAGAAAAGGCCGAAAGCTTGGAGACGTCCCACGCCTCATCCCGCGCTAAATCGAAATCCAAGTCGAATCTCCGCCTTGCTCACCCTGCCCCCGCTCCCGCTGCCAATAACATTAGTAATGCGCCTGCCGCTACGACGACAGCAGCGGTTGGCGCAACGGGTGTCGGTGATGGTGGTGCGGCGGCGGAGGGTGAGGAGAAGGAGAAAGAGGATACGAGCAAGCGGGAGACGCCGGTGGGGAGTGTAGAGGCCTTGGAAGAGGAGAGGGTGGCCCTGACGCAGGAGCAGATTGGTGAGTCCTTTCCGTCATCTCATCCGCTCAACCCGGGGTTTTTGCCTCCTCTCACATCCCATGACATAATCTTCGATCTTTCTTTTTTTTTTTGCGGTTGCCAAAGTCACATCGGTAATCGAAGAATACAAACGCCGCATCGTCTCCAGCTACGAGAAGCTGGTGCGCGAACATACGGAGTGGCGAAGGCGCGCTTCGTATATCAAGGAGATCCAGCGGAGGTGATAGCGAATAGAAACACAATATGAGAAGTTGGTGAAGTTCCGTTGGGTTTGGATCGGATTATGTTTACTTGGGTGTCTACGTACATACAGTACTTATAATGATCCATAACACGGATGGTCGCGGTTGCACTAGCCGGGCCATGATTCACCTATTCGTCTACATATAAAGACTGATTCTTCTCCTATGCGCAATAAATCCTTTGAGGACATACTGTACACTCGCTTCTTCGTCCTTGACAGCCCCTTCATCGAGGATTACCGTGCGGCGGTCGTGTGCCGAAGTTCCATGGCCGGTGAGTAGATCTATATCATACAGGACGTGCATCGTGTGATGGATACGAACATGGATAATTATGACGCCGAAGCGTGCGATGTACATACGCCCACCAGCCACGACCCAGCGGTCCAAGCGCAAAGGCGTAGATTGTCGCGTCCATTCGTGCGGCGAGTGTACAATGTGTAATTACAAGCTATCGGATAGGGGAATGGTAAAGCGAGGTCCCAAAAATGTGGTGCGAGTTGCCCATGCGTTGGGAGGATGATGCTGCGGACTGGGTGCGCCGAGGGACGGTTTGCCTATTTACAGAACTACAGAACGGAACAAGAAGTGGTGTAAGTGAACACATACGATAAGGACAGACGATGGGAAAGATTCGCCTGCATCCATACCTTATCGCTTTTGAGCTTTGCGCGGCGGTCCAGCAGTGTTTCGTTGATGGTGCCTTCCTTGTTGGCGCGCCGGAGTTCGGCCGTGTCCTCTTGGGTTAGGACCAGACGGCCTCCACCCCAGCTGTGGAACTTCTTACTGTTGAGAGGAGTTCATGGCGTTAGCAGACATTTTCGAGAACCCGAGAGGAAGCGTCCCTGCAAAACGTACATTTGCTCAATCTCCAACGCCGCAGCATCAACAGCGCCTTCCCTCTTACTCTTCTTCTTCGCCCTAACTTTATTCTCCGCCTGACACTTAACCCTAAACGTCTCCCGAAACCCCACAACCGTCGAATCAGCCCTTGCCTTCCCCGCCTCATCGCACTGCAAAAACTTCTCAAACGCCGCCGACTGCAACGCCACCCCGTCCTCCCGCACCACAAGCTCCCACTCCTCAGCCGGCCCCATCGCCTCGCGTTCACACCCAACGACCCCAATCCGGTCGCTGCCGAGGTACCTGTCGTTCGCGGCGCGGAAGGACACTTTCGTCGAGTCTGGGAGGCGTTTGGCGACCATGACCTGCGTCACGGCCGAGGGGTCGAAATCGACGAGCGTGTGGTCGGACGGTATGGGCATAAACTGAACTTTGCTGGTGTTGTCGGAGCAGACGAGGACGCTGGGCGGTTCGGTGGCGGTGGAGAGGAGCATGATAGGCCCGCGGATGTCGTCTAACGTGTCGATGAAGACCCAGCCTTCCTGCGGCCCGGAATGAGAGGCATCCTCGCGGCCGGGTGGTGTTGCTGCGTCGTCACCGTCTGCTTCGACTTTTCTTTTCCGCTTCTTCTTCCTGAAAAGAAACGGTACATGGTGGTGAGCGTCGCGCTGGGAAGGAGTTCCCAGACGGCCATTGGCTTACTTTTCGATGGGATTTTCGCCTTTGAACGCTAGGCGAGACGACTTGCTCATGGTTGTGAGTTCTGGTAGTGCGGCGATATCGTGCAACGGTGAGGACGGTGGGGTTGGGAGATGCCGTGATCTGCGGTGAGTTGTCACTTCCGGGTTGAGTTGTCACGTAAGTCGCTTCCCCCCCCACATCTATCACCTCCAAGCCTGGCATCCCGACAGTCCGCAGCCTTACAACAGAGACACCAGAATTGAAGCCCTCGCAAACAACAACAGCAATGCTCAGAACAGCCCCCCGCAAAGCCCCCAGGTCCCGCTCCCGGTCCTCATCCCCACCCCCATCCCTTTCTGCATCCACAACAACCCCCTACCGCGCTAGCACCCCCAAACTCACCCCGCAAGTCCAAAAACAACTCGACGCCCTCACACGAGCGGAGATATCCCTGCAGACGCAAATCACAGAGCTGGCTGAGTCGGCAGGCCCACATATGGAGTTGCTGGCGATGAATGATCGGATACGCGCGGAATTGAAGGGGATTAATCGGGGGGTTGAGGTGGGTTTTGAGATGCAAGTGGGGATGGAGTGAGCTGGGTTTTCTTTGGCGGGGTGAGTGAGTTAGGGAAGTGTGAGGATGAGAACTTATGTGTGCATTTCTTACGGTGTAGAATTTGAGATTTTTGGCGGAAGAGGAGGATCGGCCGTCTGACGCGGAGTTGATACGGGAGAAGGCAGCACAGCATGAGGAGCAGTATAAACGGTGAGTCAATCAAAGTCTCACCGGCGCTCGGTGTCAGCGTCAAAACCCATGCTGACCAGGTATTCCCGAATCCAGCCTCCAACTATCACTCCGCCGCTCCAACCTGCAAGCAAAAGCCAACATTGACCGCGCCGCGGCTGCCGAGCGGGAAGAGCTGCTGAAAGGCGGCACGGACCGTCGGCAGCTGCGTATGCGCAAGATGGCCGACGCGGCTGCCACCGCGCAGGCCAGTTCGGAGCTGACTGACTCGCTACGACAGGCGTTGGGCATGATGACGGCCGAGGTGCAGAAGGGGGTGGAGATCACAAAAGCTTTTGGTATGCGGCGTTTTGGATTTGCAAAGGGGGGGGGGGGGGGGGGGGGGGATGTATGTTCTGAGCTAAGATACGCACCTCCCCATGAAAGACGACTCGACGAAAATCATGCAAAAGACATCTGCCGAATACCGCAGCCTGTCGATGGTCATCCGCTCCTCCCGGCAACTCATCACCAAGCTCCAGCAGCGGGATTGGACAGACCGGCTGCTGCTGCTGTTCGGCCTGCTGGTTTTTTCGCTCACTGTGCTGAGTATATTGAGGCGCAGGCTGTGGATTTGGGTGCCAGGGTGGAAGCTTGTTACGGGGCAGTGCAATGGGGATGAGTGGTTTTGTTTTTGAAGTGCAGGGGTGTTTGCAGATTTAGCTGTAGCCGAAGGATAGCTATCGGTGACGTTTTTGGAAAAACATTGCATAGGTCCCTGTCTAGATATGCGGCGATCTTTACTACTCTATGTCTACAGGCCACATTTCCCAGAAGTATGAAGCCCCTCTCAAAGCCTTGTAACCCCACCTCAATCCTAGGCCTCCAGACGCCGCACTCCTCCAACCTGTCTCTCAGCATCCCCGCATACACCAACATCTTATCGCGATACCCAGCAACCATCAGTCGCGGCTCCGCCTCCTCATCCGGGCAACCCATAAATATCTGAAGATCCGTCGGATCGCGGCACTGTTAGTATAGCCTAAGGTGCTCCGAACGCATATCCTTCGAGGAGGTCTGTGTCGTGAGGTTCAGATACGCGTACAGTGTATGAATTCCTGGTGCCAATAAACGATCCATTGGACATCTTCAATACAGGTTGGGCCGGGTGTTGGTGTCCCGAGATAGGCGGCGAGGGCGGCGGCGGCGGCGAGGAGGGCGAAGAAGCAGCACAAGTGGGCGGCGGTAGAATCGTGCCTCCAAGCAGCCTCCAAGACCTCCGTATGGACATATACAAGCGTGCAATACTTCATCTACTCTTATTAATATGGATATATAGGGATATGGCCGTTTCCCACAAGTACGCCCGGAATTCATCTGCAAATAGGACATGTTATATGGACGGCGTTTGCCTCTGACTATTTGAGAATGTGCGATGCCCCCCCCCCCCCCCCCCCTATTCTCCTTCACAACCGGGTGATCTCCAACCAAATAAGGCCTCCACACACCTGTTCCTGCATCGCCCTAGTCTGTCCTGCAGCTATTCCCTCCAGCGTGATAATCGTGTATCCAAGCCGTTTCTCCGTACTCTTATCGATCCTCGTCTCAAGTAGTTCAACAAGCAGCGCCAAGGCCGGCACATCCAACGGCTTCAAATCCACAGCTGTCTCGCCGAGAAAGCCACTCCAAGGCAATGCATGAGTCGCTTTAGCCAGCGCCTTCGCATGTGCAGCGGCGGTCGCGGGCGTGACGACCGCCACCCCGGGCGGCGGCGGGGCCGGGTCGTGGAAGATGACGGGGTCGTCACGGAAGAACAGCGTCGTGGCGTTGCGGCGGGACGGGTAGAGCGAGTAAGAATGGCCTAGTCGCGAGAGACGGATGTGAACGAAGTGTCTGTCGTGCGGGTCGGGCGCCACGTTGGTTGTCTGCTTGATGCGGACTGTGTAGCTTGCGCGGGAGTGGGAGGAGGACGACGAGGAGCCGCCCGAGGAAGAGGCCTCTCGCAGCACCCGCTTTTCTTCCGGAAGACGCGGGTATGTGCTTGCCGAGGCGACGGAGCGGGTGACGGGAGGAGCGTACTCTGGCGGCGGGGGTTCCTGTGGTTGGTGCGGTTGGATCTGGAAAGAGTCCGTTGCCGTTTGTGATGGGGGAGGAGGGTCGGTGCTGAGAGACTCGTAGTATGTCGGCGGGGCCTGTGCGTTGCCGTTGGACGGCTCGCCTGAGTTCATGTTTATCATATTGGGGTTTTCGTCCGATAGACGGCGGAAAAAGAGAATAGTCCCCTTTTAACTCTCCTTACGGTCGAGCGCTCTCAAAAGAAACGTAATTCCGATCTTGCGGGATATTGCGGGAATAGGAATGACGGCATGGAGTCGCGGAACGGCGTCTGCGGAGAGCTCCAACTGTGGCGTTCTCGTTTATGCAACGCGCCAAGGTGATCTCCCGAGGAGGACGAGCAGAGGCCATGTCTACCACACAGCTATATGCTCCGCGTTGAAGGCCGTACTCCTGCCTGGCTAAGGCCGAGAGGTGTCACATTTACGTATACAGTATATACACAAAGACAGGGTACAGATTACAGATACAGATGGATCAATGAGCTGAGATGCCAGCGCACTTGCGTCACGACAGGGAGCTGGGGCTGGCAGGAGGGCTTGATGATATCTACCATCCCACCTCTTCCGGCCAATCGCCTCTACTTCGCCCCCGTCGTCGTGGTTGTTGTCGGTGACGACCCACTGCCCTCTCCACCCTTGGCCTCCTCAGCTGCGTCCCCACTATCATCAACAAGGGTCTCCGCATGCGGCTTGTCAGCCTCCGCGGCCGGTGTATCGGGGACGGTGTACGGTTTCGCCGCCTGCTCCGTTTGCGATGTTAATGATGACGGCGGAACAGGCAAAGCCACTGATTCCTCCGTTTGCACATCCACAAGATCAGCCACAGTCGTTTCCTTCCCCGCTGCAGCATCACCGCCCTCCCCATCCTCATCAACAACCTCAAACTCCCCACCCTCCTCCCTCCTCCTCTTCTCATCCTCCACAGTGGACAAACTCAACGCCATCGCAAGCTGCAGTTCATAATCTTCCTGTTCTGCCGGTGACATCGTCGAGGGTCTCCTCGGCCCCGCCCCAATACCCCCGACCGCATTCGCTGGCGGACGCGGAGGCGGTGCGGGTGATGCGTCGTTCAGTGGGCTCATGGGGCTCACAGTCGGGGAGTGTTCCATCATCCACGGCGGGTGCACCGCGCCAGTGGCTTGCAAAGGATGCAAAGATTGCTGCTGTTGATGTTGTGCGAGTTGCTGTTGTTGCTGTTGCCGGAGTTGTTGGCGGAGTTGTTGGCCGGTGGGGGTTGATTGGCGGTGTGGGAGTTGTGGAGAGGTTTGTTGGTGATGGCCGGGGTAGGCTGATGTGGATGCGGCGGACATGGAGGAGGAGCGGGTGCTGCTGAGGAATTCGACGCCGGGCGGGCGGGCCGGGATGGGTGGGCCCCCGCCTGCAGTGTGTTCGGTTTGGTTTGGTTGTGGTTCCCCGTGGGTTGTGGTACCGGGTATGGGTTGGTACTGGTTTTGTTGGTGTTGGTATGGACCCTGACCCTGCCCCTGATTCACACGATTATCTTCCTCGTCACTATCGCCGACGACCTGATTGACAAAGCCATCTACCTTTCCGGCCGCCTGTTCTCCAAAAACTTTCGCTTCCCTTATCAAAGAGTTGAACCAGCCGGAGGTCGAGGTGTATACTTTGGATGCGAGTTGCGAGACTTGCGGGACGGCGGGGTCGCCGCGGGTCCCGGAGGAGGATGACGAGGAGCCTTCCCCTGCTCGTCCGCCCAGTCCACCACCTACGCCGGCGTACCGCTGAGCTTCCTCCTCGTTGAGAGTGAGACTCTTTGGGGTCATGTTGTAGATGAAGCTGACGGCGCTCATCATGTTGGTGATGCAAAACTGATTGGTGCCTTTGTCGAGCTCGGTCTGGTTCCTGAAGCGCATGATGTATTTAATGTTGGCGATGAGATTGGGCGGATTGGCGCGAATAATAGTGAGGATCAACGTCGGGAGGAGGTGATCGTTGCCGGCGGCGTCGTTTTCCGACGCCTTTTTGATCAAATCGACGACAATCTGCGCGGTGTTTTGCAGGATGACAAGCTTGTCCCTCGGCGCGCGGAATCCGTTCAGCCGCAGCAGCTCGGCCTGGGCGACCTCGAGGGTGTGATGAAACGAGAATGGCAGGTCGAGATGTTGTTCCTGGACCCACTGAAACGAGTCGATCTTGCGCTGGAGATGGTTGCCGAGTTTCGTGTCGTCAGTCTCTGCGGCGCCAAACACGCGATCGTAGATGTTCATCATAACGAGCTTCTCCCAGCCCTCGCGGATATTCTCGAGGTCATCGTCACTCGTGCAGTGGGCAAATATGTCGTTTTGGAGGGACTCGCCGTAGATGTAGTGGAGGAAGCTGGCTACGAGTTTGCGGTGTTGGAGGATGGGACGCTTTTCGGAGTTGAAGCGGGCGAGGAAACTCTTGAGGTGGGCCATGAGCGGGGCGGCCTCCTTCTGCCGCAGTTGGGCCAGGAAGTGTTCGTAGTCTACCATGGCTGTTGTGCCTGCCTCTCCGAGGGTAATTCGGTGGACGTCGGTGTGAGTTTTTCCAAAGCCGTTCGCTTGGTGCTTGCTTTGGCGAATACTAGGACGCAGGATTAGAATGGTTCTCCGATTTAATTTCTTTCCAGTACAGACGACTACGCGGCAGTTGCTGCTTGGTTTCCTGAGTATTTGAAGGCGGTTTTGTTTTGTTTTGTTTTGCGAGAGAGGGGTTCTGGGATGTGGTCTGTCTTGGCAAGGCGAGAGGTGGAGACGTGTCCATTACCGTTCCCAGCATCCCCAGCATCCCCAGCACTGCCCCCTTCCGCAGTTCACACAGCGGCCCCGCTGCCCCTCAGTCGCCAAGAAATGGTTGACCGGTTGCCAGCAGTGCCGCATATCTCTTCTACCGTCTGCAGGAAACTCCATCCTGACGGTCAAGTGGAATACGACTATGGCATACGAGCCACATTCACCGGTCACTTACAAGAGGAGGCGGACGCGGCCCCACGTCTGTCCGTCCTGGACAAAGTCATCCTCGGAGGTCCATAAGCCTCCCTCATGCCTTTGCGCCCGTCTTTTAGTCATTAAAAGTGATAGTCTGGGACCGGGCGGGTTTCGGCAGGCAGGAGAATCGCTCGCGGTACTCCGAGCCCGCCCCTGACGATAACGTCTTCTCGCAATGGGAACTGCTAAAGGAAGACGACAAACACTCAGTTTTGGTTCAGGGGGACCGGCTGGTTCTCCGACACGCTCAGCAGAAGTTCTTGCGCCTAATTGTCAAAGAGAGGAGATTCAACATGGAGAATCGCTCAGACCTGCTTCAATTTGAGATGGAGTACGATTGTATCGTTCGCGCCAGACCGGCTCCGGCTGCTTCAGATCCTCCGGGGCCGCAGGGATGGACAGGCAAAGCGCCCGCATTTCGACTGTCGGTCGGTCCTGTTTGGCTGGATGACGCTGCCTACGCTAGCAGCATATCGCCTTATTCATAGGCTGCATGGAGCACCGACAGATCCTCACGTTCGGATTTGGTCCGGCCGTCGACCCTCTGGTGAGAGCCATCATTGCAGTACATGTACTGCTTGGTATTCGAGCGACCCCGCCGGCGGACGACGAACTCAAGTACATGATCAGGGCCGCGCGGACGCCCGCTGAACCAAGATTCTTCAACCCCCAGCCGGCCAGATTCGCGTCGAGTACGAGATCTCGAACGGCCTTTCGGATCGACAAATACGCTTCCACTCTGCCACGGGGACGTGTACTGCGGCTGGGTTGTCTTCACTTGCTTTGACCAGGATTCGAGGAGGTCTCCACAGTATCAATCACCGGAAAACATCCCCATCAAGTATTTACATAGGGTTGTTTCCGGGCAGGTGATCCCGGGGGTGCTGGTGCGAGGACTTCCAACTCGAGGGAACCCTCGAAAGATGAATCCGGGTACGAAATCAGGGCCCCCGCAGATCGGGACTTCTCCTGGGAGCAGGCAGAGATTTAGTTCGATTGGAAATCTAAACGCAAAGGCTAGGATGGATCGCTGTACTGGAAATATGTCCGCCTTCCAATGGGTGAATGACATGAATTGTCGGCGTAACGTAGATCATCACGTATATACTGTATATTTCCTTCCGTTACGCCGAATATCAATGATATGAATGTATGTATAGTGTTCCCAGATGGGGCAAAATGACGTATATATACAAACCCCGGCTCTGCGGACCGGCGGGTGGGAGAAGAAATCGAATATCATCCTCATCCAGCATTCTCACCCTCTCACGCAGCCCGCACAGCCATCCTCCTTTCCAAATACCGCCTCGCATCCAGTTTCTCGGGTGTGTCCGGCCCGTTAAACACACAGAGCACGCGCATGCGCTCGTGGTACTCGAGATCGGGGAGGAGTTTGGGTGTGATGAGGAAATACCTGGTGGTTTATCCCAATTTTCCACAATCAGTACACTATCCGGCCCCTAAGTTGGAGACACGATGATACTCACTGGCTAGTCCCCATCTGACAAGCAGCCCTGACCATCTCGCCATGCACCATACGTTCATTGCGCGGGTCCATGCCCTGGTTGATCTCGTCGACAACGCGGAAGGGCGTGTGGGAGAGGCTTTGGAGGGCCATTAAATAGAGGATTGTTGAGACGGAGCGTTCCTATGGGGGAGAAGGAGAGGAGTGAGGATATTTTGTGGGATGGTGTGGGGAGAGGGAGAGTACTTACACCGCCGGATTGGCGTTGGCCTGTTAGTTGATTAAGACGCTCTGTGTCTCTGTAAAGAGTGGGGGAAGATGAGCAAACCCAGATGATTCGGGGTTCACATCTCCAAGGCTTTGCGCGCAGCGTACCTGAACTTGACAAGGATGTCGATGCCCCATTTATCGTAATCCTCGTGTGTGGCTACAGGGATTCAAAAAGGAACAAACGTCGTCTCAGATATAGCTAAATGCGTCGCGAATGGGGCACAGGATATCCCTCATGACCTGAAAAACGACATCGACATACAGAGCTTGACTTCCCCAGCGCACCCAATCTCTGTTGAACGTTCAGTGGCAGATATCCAAAAGTCAGTAGCTGTCAATGAAGGACCCATCCTACCCTTTTATCCACACATACTCTCAAAAGCCGTCGCAAAACCAGCACTAATCCTCTCAACAAGCGCACGCAATTCCGGCTCCCACTTATTCTGGAAAAGGAACGTGTCAGTAAAATCTTACACGGGAAACATCAAAAACGGGTAATCCTGCTCAGCGCCACTTATTGTGTCTCACCTTAATCCGCTGAATCTGGGCAGTCCGCTCGTTCAACTTCCCCGCGTCCGTATCAAGTTTCTGGCGGAGTCTTTCTAACTACACATCGTCAATGCAATGAGCAACGTCCCAAAGTCATGCACCCAATACAGCACCATCTGGGAGCACAAACCTCAGCACTTCGCCGCTCAAACTCCTCAATGATCCCAGCATCGGTCTGGTTGATCGTGTCGGCGCGCGCTTGTTGCTCTGCTAGGAGCTGCTCTAGGGCGTCTACGTCCAGGTCGGCGTACTGCGTGTCCCAACAAGAAAAGGGGGAAAAACAGAATGCAAAAGCCATGGCCGTGTCAGATAGCAGCGATGCGAGGTAAATGAGAGATAAGCACGCGAAAGCCCCCCCCCCCCCCCCCCCAATACTCCAAAGATTGGAGGATGGGAACAACGCGGCATCATGAGTCGGCCCTTTTCAACTGACCAATTGAGCACATACCGTCTCGTACATCTCTGCAGTGATAGTACCCGAATGTTTGTCCATCGCCGCTTTCCACTCGGCTTTTACGTCGTCGCGGCGGGTTACTATCGCTTTGAACGCCGTCTGGGCTGCAGGATAGGAAGACGAAACGATAAGGGGACCACCCCTTCCGTGATGTCAATGTTGAGTGATTGATTTTCCTTACCATCATCCATCTCCAGTTTCGCAGCCTCCTTCTCCTGCATCGCGTCCGCGATGTCGCGGTCACCCTGCAGGATCTGAGCGGAGAGGGTCATCTGTCGCAGGTCGGCGAGGGTGCGTTTGAGGAAGATATCTGCGGCTTCTTTGTACGCTTTCTATGTTCGTCAAGACAGAATACAACGTGAATGTCATTCTCTGCCGTTGCACGGTGTATGGAGTTGTTGACCGTACAGTACCTCCAATTCAACAGCAATCCCCGCCCTTCTAAGCGCCAGCTTGCGAATCTCCTTCTTCGTGCTCGCCTCCTCCTCCTCCGACGAGGCCGGCGCGGTGTCATCCATGTTCTTCAACCTCATTTCGAGGATTTCTATTCATGAAAGCGCAAAGTGTACGTGTGTCAGGCGGGAGAAAAGGCAGAAACAGAAACACGCATTTTGAGCCGTGTGGCGAAGAGGAATACGCACCCAGATCCGCCTTAGCATTGTCATACTTCTTCCTCTGCTGATGAATCTCCTTCTTGCGCTCGTTCAGCGCCGTCTTATCAGCCCGGAGCTTCGCGTCCTGCGCCCTGACCTTGTCGTCGTCCGCGCGGATGGCCGTGATGCGGCGTTGTACGTCTTCCAGTTGAGTATGCACCTGGTCGAGTTCTTGTTCTAGGGCCGCTTTTAAGCTCATATCGACTGAACTCTGCAGGAACCTCGCTGGCCGCATTTTGGACGCGTTCACTGAGGAGGTCCCGTACGCGCGTCTGATGGCATATCGCATCGGGCCAGAGATATACGTCCCGACGCTCGTGCGATCCTCGAGTAGGCGATGATTCGCTAAAGGGATCTCCTTTGCTGCCACGGGTATCATATGTATGTTGGCGCTTGCGCATAAAGCATGCAGAACATCTGGCGGGCCCTCAATGTAATCCGGAATGGTGCCTTCGAAGCCGCAGCGTTGCAGTTCTTCCTTCGTGTGAGGCGGGGTTTTCAGCACATTGTCCGCCATCATTACGATGTTGATCCGCATTTTCCGCTTATCGATCATTTCGTCGGCGAATGTATCGTAGTCTTTCTTTGTCAATGTAACAAACATCAACATGTTGCCCCTGCCCAGGCAAGTCTCCACTGCCTCCGAATAGCGCGGGTCCTTGACATTGATCTCTAATACGACGGGTTCGTAGACCTTCTTCTCAAAGAGGCCCTGATTGTCCCTAAGCCACATGATCGCATCATAGACATCTTTTGCCTCCCTCTTTATAAGCTCAAGCTTCTGGTTCCGCACCGAGTCAAAGTTCTCCAACTCAGACATCTTGCGATCTCTCTGCGTGCGGAGGTGCTGGGCCTCTCTACACAAATCAGTGTTCGCTTGCCGGATGGTGTCTGATTTCTCGGCGAGTTTGCGGAGTTCCTGGTTCTTGCCCTCGATCCGCGCGCTCAGCTCCGCCAGTTCGCCGCCAACCTCGCCTTGGGTTTCGCCGTCCTCGCTCAGGATCCCGCTTTCGATCAGCGCTGTTTCGAGTTGCCTGACTTTGGCCTGTGTCTGGGCGATCTTGGTCACCTGTTCCTGGCGTTTCTTTCGGTGCTCCTCCTCCCTCCTGCGAATGAGAGACAGTTGGCTGTAGAGGTCGTTGGTTTCGGTCTCGGCTGCGTCCAGCGCGTCGTTGCGGCCTTTGACGCCGTTCGTGAGCATTTCGGAGTATTCGCGGGTGTATTCTTTGACCTTGTCTTTTAGTTCCCGCAACTCCTCTTTCTTCTCGTCCTGTTGCGCAAGCAGAGGTGCCGTTCTGTTCTCGACCTCTCGGAAAGCTATTCTCAGCTGCTTCCACTTCTCGTGCGCTCCGTAAGCCTCTGCGCGGAGCTGGACGTATTTGACTTGCGGGATCTTTGTCTCAATGATGGCGATGTTTCTGAGCACCTCCTCCCGCTCCCTGAACCGTTCCACGTCTCGTTGCATAAGAGCATGTCTCCTCTCCAGGTTCTCAAACTCGGCCCTCGTGGTCGCCGCGGACGCTTCCAGCTTCTTCTCCTCATTCCTCATGCTCACAAGCTCCGCATGCCATTCGGACAGTTTAGCATTTCCAGCCGACCGCTCCGTCTCGCGCAACAACTCAGGCGGGTTCATCTGCGCAAACTCGGAGACTTTCTCTTGCGGCAGGAACGAGCACAGATTGTCGACTTGCACGTGCATAGACGCCATCTTCTCCTTGACGTTCTTCTCCGTCGAGTGCTCACCGTTCAATTTCCACATGTTGGCGTTCGCGGTGCCCTTCTTGAAGATACGGCGAACGATGACGTTCCTTCCTTTCCCACGACCCTTCAACTCGATCTCGATGTAGGCTTTCTCCTGCCCGTCTTTGATAAAGTCCTGTAGCGACTTTTGCCTGCCGAGCGCATCTGGTCTTCCAGCTAGCCCGAGAGCGATGGCACACACCAGGGAACTTTTGCCCGTGCCGTTTGGACCGATGATCATGTTGAGATTGGGGCCTGGTCTGAACTCCACGGCGTCGTATGTGATGAAGTTCTTTAACTTTATCCGTACGATTGCTCCAACGGGATATCTGGAACCAATAAGGTTGGATGAGAATGGCTCAGAAAGGCTGCCCAGCATGGATATCCATGTCAAATCCACTTACGTAGGTTCCTGTCCTTGAACCCGCTCTTCGTTCTCGTCATGGCCGTCATCGAGTCTCTGACGCTTGACCGGGCGATCATCTTTCCTTCTACCCCCACGTCGACTCGGAGGACCCCCGTCCTCCTCTTCCTCTTCCTCGTCTTCTATCTCTTCCTCATCATTCCCCTCTTGCTCCTCATCTGGAAGCTCCTCGTCCTCGTCTCCCTGTCCATGCTCTTCCTCGCCCCGGGAACTTCTGACAGGCTTGGCGGCAACGACAGACCTCCTACTACTCCGCAGCCTGACGGCGGGGTTTGCCTCCACCATACTAGCCTATGGGGAGGGTCAGGGGTGGTGGAATGTCTCTGAGCTATCAGGGGCAAATGGTCGCCTGAGCGTGGGGAAACTGGGCGCTGTCTGAATGCAATTGCAAGCCACGGACGGACGGACAACATCAATGGAAATCGCAGGCGTGTCCGAACGCAGGTGGCTCACAGTTCCGCCAGAAGTCCCTCTCTCACAGACGGACACTCGCGCGCAGACCCGCCCCTCGTCCCTCCCTCAACGTCAATCTAATGGAAACCGTGGGCTAGTCTCTACGTTGGACTTGACAGTAGTGATGGTGAGAGCGGCGGAGGTCTGTCTTTTGCCTCTAGATGACGTGAGAATAATGAAGGACGCTCCCGATGTGCATGTGGATATCTACCAGTCTTCGCCCATCCCATATTACTGTACGTTTGATGACGAGAGTACGTTATGGTTGCGCATATGGCCTACGTAGCTTTGCGGCAGCGGTAATGGAAGGTTGATATACCCTTCCGGCGGACATTCGGCCTGGATACGCAGCCGCTTTTCCATTCCGAGCTGTGTTCCCTGCTCTTCACGTTTCCCTTTCCCTTCTCTGCTCCCTGCTCTTCGCACCACTCCCATTCCCTGCTCCCGGAGATTATAAATAGTGTGACTTCCCTCATGCCCTCCCCTGCTCGCCGGCAGATCAACACCAGTTATCATCGTATCCTAGTTCTTGCCCCATCGCACAGCTTCATAAATAGAAATGAGTTGAAACGCTATGGCCTCCATTGGAGATCTACCGGAGTTCCCGAATGGCACGTACATTCCGGGAGCGAAGGATCTTGCCGAGATACTCCGGTTAGCCGCTATACAGTGCCCCCCTGTCTAGCGTAGTCTGATGGCCGTTGTAAAAGCATTTGTGAGCTCCACCTGTAGACGTTTTGTACATGCTTCTTCATGTACGTCCTTCGTGACGTTTGGAAGTATGATTTCACTGCTATACAAAATATAATGCTGGCTACGTCCCGCATGTTCGCTGAACAGGGTTTCTTCGAAAAAGACGTGGACGAAGCGGTTTTTGCAACGAGGCTCCGACTATCGCACATTCCAGCATCAGTATCTGTAGCCAGCTCGCTACCGGCCGAAACGCTCTCGGCATGCTCAACATCCGATGAGGAGGTGCCATGAGACTTCAGCATAGACATCGTTACACAACGCACGGGGTTTTGAAAAGGCATCCGTCTTAACAGGGCGAGTTAATAAGAATGCTCATAACACCCCAAAGATTTTTATGCCCTGTGTGGCCCCCCAATGGAGATCTATTCAGGTTCCCTTGTTGAGATACTTCGACGGCCGCTATCCATTGCCCGCCTATCTAGAGCCTAGCCTAGTGAGGATGGCCAGTGTAAGCGCATCTTGAGTCTCACGTGTAGACAGTTTCAACACCTTCGCCGCTGAGAGCTATCGCGAGGGCGTGTAGCTATGGGACGGCCTCCAACACCCGGGGTGCATCATACAGGGCCTCAGCGTCGCTTATGCGACCGTACAACGTGTTCCATATCTCCGACATGCGCGCACGCACCGTACTTGCTTTGCCCGACATCGTTTCGCTCGACACAAGCATATCGGGTCCAGTGTCATCGTATGTTATCATGCGGTACGTTTGCCCAAACTCGAGCCATACGGACATGTTGTGGAAGATTCTGTCGTTCATCCGGGAAAGTCGATAGTCCCGATACAGATCCAGCATCTGCGTGACGTACCACTGGTAGTCTTCGCTGTACCTGGAGTCTAAGCAGGTCCTTGCTCATAACCATGAACGTCATGGAGTCCACCACTTGGGCCCGCTCTGTCTCGGGCAGAAGCTTTAAGGACTCGATAGACATGCCCTAACGCTGGAAGGCACATGGCTAGAGAAGCGCGAGCTATACACCCTATCCCCTAAGTCGGCCTCAACGTCACGGTCCAGCTGGTCGTCGAGGTTTAGGTTTAGTCGGGCGATATGGAAGGAATGGAGCAACGTGGTACCCGCTATATTGTATACAGGGCCGCTCTGCAGCAGAGATGGTGTTCATGTGAGCGTGTGTCGAAGTCGTTCGTCCCTTCCTTACCGTTTTCGCCTTGCAGTTTTTGCAGTTTCACCGATCGTTATCCCTTTGACCGTAGCAGCGCTTCCAAGGCGCCATACAAGGCAACGAACGCGTGACGCTAGTACGTAGGAATGAAGTGGCTTAGCATGTGGACCGACTCCGACCCTAAGGTGCTCCCCCCCCCCCCCCCCCCCCGGGATACTAAGATCTGGGAGCAGATAATAGCCAGGTAAGATATTGACGGCTTCCAGCTTCTGGATTTTCGGGGGGAGTTGATCACTCCTTCGAAGCCCTGCCGTACTGAAATGCCACTCAGGCAATGGTCGTCCCGGTCTGCTCAGAACGCCGACGTTGTGTTCGCTCTTCTCTGCCGCTTTTATCACCGCGTTCGTCGCTGTAGCTACTCCACAGGATGGCTGAGTGTTCGACGGCAATCGCCCCGGTCCGCTATCCGAGCAAAGTGCCGCAAACGAAAGGCAGAGATCAGCTTCAGCCGCATTCCGTTTATATTCCCTCTCTGTTTTCAAGCTTTGTCAGATTGCATTGCACGTTACAGCCTTACGTAGAATTGCTGCTATTACACCATCTCTTTCCCCATCCCTCTCGCATCGTAGTCGTCATCATCGCGCTGTGTTTTGCTAACGGGTCCCTGGTGTGCAGACGATAACGCTGTGAACCTCTCGTGCCTCTCCCTGACGTGAGACCGACAAAGTTGATGATGCTGCGACCTACAAGATCTACTTGGAGATCTTCGATGGCTGGGTTTGGGCTGGTGAGGCGGGATGATATGCTTTCAGGACAAACGGCAGGCCCGGGATGGGGACAGACAGGTTTCGGATGGACGCCCTGCTTGGTTTCTAGTCACAGATATCCTATATATGTAAGAGTGTAGTGCCAGTTGTGAGAATGACTGGATCATGGCTTCCGTTGGCTCGGCCTCCTGACGATACTCCGATGTGGATTGGGGAGTAACTCTGTTTGCATGGGCAGGTCGGGAGACCCGCATAGGTTTCATATGATCTTCACTTGCTACTGCCCGTGTATCCTATAGACGGCATTGAATTCTGTGAGCGCACATCAACTGCGGACCACGTTGACATTGAGACCTTCACACGCTACATACATACACAGAACCTGGTGAAACGGAACCTCATGTCACGGAAGTCGAGGCAAGCGGCTCCTTTACTACGATTTGTCGAAACCAAAAGCAGTAATATGGCGTCGATCTACCAATTAGTATTCTTTCTATTAGCCGGCTCCGACGGGGGGCTAGCTATTCGTGTTACGCCGGATCGTGACAGCCCCCCGTTGGAGCCTGCTAATAGAAAGAAAACTAATCTTGAACTGCCGCTTCGGATCCGAATTCTTGGGATGAACGATCCTTCCTCTTGCTCGTGAAGATTGGGTTCAATACATGATGACAGCCGCGCGCCTACTCCTCGTCTTCACTCTCGTCGCCGGCCCCAACATCAAGGGTCCAAAGTTCGGTATTGTCGCTCCCTTGAGGGTTTGGGCCTTTGACCACCGGCGTGAATCCAGGGAGGTCGGTCAGGCATCGAGCAATGATATCCGCTTGCAAATCGTCTTGCGAAGCGAAGGGGCTTGTGGTAGGTGATGCCGTCTGTGACGCCATCAGGAAAAATCACAAATGGCGCAATACGTTCGAGCGCTCGTCGTCTGTGACCGCGCAGAAGACTCTCGCTTGATGCGCCTTTCCGTCGTGATCAATGTACAGAAACACCCACCCCCTGGACCCGATGAGGGCCCCGAAAACCCCCGCGTTCTGCTTGCCAGCTGACTTCCGGCCGCATGTACCATCGCCATGTAAGCCACCACCTGTAGCGACTCTTTTTTTCCCGCGATGTCTGCTCCCGCGTTTTTTGCTTGAATGATCAGGATTGAATTGGCAACCGCAGGGTTGGGCTCCTCTCCCCAACCAAAGACGTAGTCCATGTCTCCCAATAAAGTTGTTCCTATATCGAGGTTGTGCTGCGAGACACTGATGTCCCCATAAAAGCAGAGGTTGCATGCGGTTGTCGATCCGGTGGTGGGAGAGTACATCTCTGCGGCTTCGAACGAGAGTGTCCACAAACGAACGGGTAAGGGCCTCAGAACCCACATCGAACCATTTTTCTAGGCGTCTCCAAGTTTCTTTGAACGTATCGGAGAGCTGAACAGCTTTGACAGGGTTGATCTTATCAAGGTCCCAGTTGTTGAAGTTCCACACATTGTGTGCGCTGACGTTGATGCCTGCTACTTTGCGGATATCTTGTGATGTAGCGGAAGAGACTTGAACTACTGTCGCTTTGTCGAGTTCGAGAGCACTCAGAAACTCCTTCATATCTTTGTGTTCCAGATTTTTGGAGAGGGTGGCCGTATCCCAGGCCCTTACTATGGACCTGGCGTTCTTCAATCTTTTTGCGGCGACCACCATTTCGAATTCGGTGCTGGAAGGCAAGTGCGGAAGTAGTGGTTGGGGTTCAGCAGGCAGTGCAGTACCGTCGTGCTTCTGAAAGTGCAACTGATAGATCTCACGGTGGTTAATGATAGGTGGTTCTGTGGTTGGGAGGCCGAGTTACAGTACGTATTTAACAAACTTGTCTGCGTTGGTAAGTCAATCACATGATTCACATCCTATTTTGATTAGTTGAATTTGTCCGGGATACCATGGCCCACGTTCTTGGTAACGAATACATTGGGGGTAACGCCTGTTGGCTCGAGGATGCAGCAGTCGTCGAGTTGCTCGAGTTGCAATCCGTAAGCGTTTTCCATCGCCCATGACTTCGATGGAGGCAAACCACCGCCGCAGCGCCGCAATCACCCTGCCTCAGCTCGGGTACGATGTGCTGCTGCAAATACTAACACGCCTCTCGCCCGTCGCCCTTGGCCGGTTAGCGCAAACCTGCCAAGAAATGTCGGGTCTGACGCGCGATGAGACCCTGTGGATGCGACTCTGCGAGGCGGATTTCCGGGTGATGCCTTCGCAGACATTCCGCAACTTCGGGTGGAAGACGCTCTATTCGCGCCTCGCTCACCCGGCTGTCTTCACCTGGGGTGAATCGCAGAGCGGCGTTCGGGCTGGTCCTATAAACGTTCCTGGCCGGGTGGCTACCCTCAACCACAGCGGCATCAGCCAAATCTGCTGTCTGGGCTGGTCGATGCTGGCCTTATCCCGCGATGGGCGGGCTTACCTTTGGGGCACCCTGAATCCAGAAGGCGGCTGGGATTCAGACGGCAGTTGGAACGGCCGAAGCACACGTCCCTTTCCCTTTCCGACGGAGGTCGACACCGGCCTTCAATTTCCGGGGGACAGGATCGCCCAGATTGCGGGGTCTCGCGGCTTTGGAGTTCTCCGAATGGACTCGGGGAACGTGCTGGCCCTGACCGAGATGGAGTCTGCCAAAGGCTTGAAGGTGCTCTCGCAGCAGCACACGACGGAATTGGGGCGGGTGACGCGGGTCGCGGCCGGCTGGACCCACGCTCTGGCGCTCACCGACCGAAACAAGATCCTCGAGTGGCATGCGGGGCGTAACTATTCGTTCGATCTCAAGGTCAACGACGACCACGACTGGGTTGGGGTGGCAGGAGGGGAGGGTTTTACAGTGGGTTTGACGCGAGCGGGGGACGTTTATAAATGGCAGGATGGTCACGACAGCCGGCCGGTTCTCGACACAGAGATCAGCGGGCGTGGGTACACTCACATCTCAGCAGCGTTCCGCCACCATGCCCTCTTCCGCCGCGGTAAGAAAGGCGATCCCTCAAAGGTCAGCGTATTCTCGACGGCGGAAGGCAAATACTCCCCCGTATCGCTCCCCGACGACGCACCCGCTGGCGATCAGATTGTCGAGATATCCTTTGGCGACTGGCACGCCGCCATACTTACTCAACAGGGCCATGTATACACGTGGGGCGGAGATGGCGGTGGTCAACTTGGCCAAGGGACGCACCGTCAAAACGTGTTATCGCCAAAACTTGTCGAACAGCTCAGAGACGATGGTTGGTTTGTCTTCCAGATAGCGTGCGGCGGGTGGCACACTGCTTGCCTGGCCGTCAGATTGCAGTAGGGAGGTTGATTCATATCTTAGGTAGTTCGCATCTCTGCGAAGACATCGATCCCGGGTAGGCTATGTTGTGTAGGAGAATTAGCAGTTGACGTAGTTCTCTTGGCAGGTCGCTGATATCACATTGACGAACAAGCAATACGTGGCTGTCGCGGCGGGCCCCCAAACAGCCCGGGTATGCAAAAACCTTCGAACCACTGTGTGCAGTTGCAGATCACGAATGGCAGAACTTAGAAACGGTACTCGATTCACGGGGAAACCTATCACTGATCGACGATACCCTTGAAGTACTCAACCAACCCAATATATCCATTGGGCCGAACGCAGGGCCGAACGACTACGACCAAGTTGCCGCGCACGTCGTAGGACTTGTAAAGTGACTCATTATCCACAACAGCGCCATCCCTCATGCTTGTATGGTTGGACGGAAGAACAGCTACATGGTGGACAGCCGGGGCACTGTTGGCTCGCACGGCGCGGCAACCCCTGGGACCTCATTGTTCCTTTCATTCTGGGTAGTTTATCAAGAGGCTTCTACACTCCGCATGCATGCGTGAAACCGGGAACCGTTGGGACCTCTGCCTTGAACTCCTTAGAGCCTTCAACCGAACATCAGCCTGGAAGGGGTTACTTCAGCCATGTGCAATCAACCTAGAATTGTACCTCTGAGACGTGCTATTTGGCACCAGAGACAGAAGTCCCCATCCTTGCGCTTGGTGCAAGCGGCTCCTGAGTCGGACGTCCGTTTGCTTGGACGCATGATGCAGTATCTGCGCAAAAGCAGCGGTCACAAGCTCCTCTCGACAGTCTCCAGCAACGCCGTCCGCTCGCAGCATATTACAGGCCCTCCTATGGAGGATAGGGGAGCACTCGAAACCCCGCCTTGCGAAACCGCCACCCCTTGCCAACCGGACGCACTGTCTCGATACCGCTCTCTTCTGTCGAAACCACCAGATATTGACTGTCTGTGGGACGCCTATCTCGCCGTAAAGCGACAGAACGATCTGCACTCACAGCTCCTCCGAACGGACTTTCGTAAAGCGATGGTGCAAATCCATACTTCGACAGTCAATGAAAAAGCTGCGATGCTGCGAACACTGTTGGACGACATGCAAAAGAACGGGCTGCGACGCGGCGTCTTTGATTGGAATGTGTATATGAGGGCCTGTCTCCGCGAGAACCTGTACCGTCCTGCTTGCGACGCTTATGCAGACATGGTCGATGGCGGCGTTAAACCGAATGAAAGGACGTTCATCACCCTGATGCGCATGGCGGCAGAGAGAAACAATGGGGCGGATGCCGAGGCGTGGTTTGCGAAACTCACAGCGAGCGAGTTGAGAGTGGGGCCACGGCCGTACATGGAGCTGATTAAAGCGTACATCAACGAAGGATCGGAGAAGAAGATTGCGGAAGTGTTTCAGCAGATGCGAGACGCCGGAATTGTTGCTAAGTCTGCGGCGATCAGTATCATGTGTACGGAATGCATCGGCAAGAAAATGCTCCCGCCGTTCCAAATACTGCTAAGGGAGCTGTTCACTATCGATCCACCACTGGCGCGGGAGTCTTTTGACAGATGTATGAAAATCTGCGCAGATAAAGAAGACGAAGACCTTCTCAACCGCGTAGCATCCCTTCCCGAAACCCTTGGAACAAACGACGACGCTGCATGGTTCCACGCAGCTCAAATGAAGAACCGGATGCTTCAGGGAGACTTCGACGGGATGAAAGGCGAACTCATCAATGCGACAGCGTTAGGCTTTCGCCCTTCGACGGAGGACTTCAATTTCCTTCTCAACGCTTGTAACATGCACGACAAGGTATCCGCGGTCGAAGGGATTCTCAATCTCATGGGGATGATGGACGTGCCGTGGAACGAAGGGACGTACGCAGCACTCATACGGGGCCGCGCTCGGCTGGGCAATGTGGAGGCGGTAGAGGAGATTCTGACCATTGTGGAAGGTCCTTTACCGTTCACTGTAGCACAGCCAGCGCTGTCATTGTACAAGGATATTGGCGATGAAGGGAGGTGGCGAAACTGTTACAATCGGGTGGTTGGCGAGAAGCTTTCGGTCGATTACAAAGAAGTTCAAGCCTTGATTGCACTTCATCAAAGGCGTGGGAATCACTTCCTGTTGTGGGTAAAGGAGCTGATTAGCGGAGGCAGCTTAGATGCATCTAAGGCTACAAGGGTGCACCTCACGAAGCAGGTGCAACTTGCACAGCAGGACCAGGACATTGATGGATTGCGATGGATCCTTCGGCAATCTCGGAAACTCAACCAGCGGCTGAACGTGCCTGGGGTGACCGAACTGGCCTTGAAGCATATGGATCAAGATCTGATCGAACACTGTATTTACATTGCCGCGCACCACGAGGACTTCCCACCCTTGGAATTCGTCAACTTGGTACAAAAAAGCAGCCAGGTGACGCTCTCCGACGATGCCCTGAAACATATAAAATTGGCTTCCGTACGTCTCGCATCCAAGAGAGTGCTCGTTCCTGCCGTTATATCATACAAGCGGTCGCTTCCACCAACCGAGCGTCTTTCCACCCGGACACGGGACGTTGTGGTCTCAGCGCTCATCGTCGCGGACCTCGAAGGCGCTGTCAGATACCTCACAGTTTTCGGACCCGAATCGATCGGCACAGCCGAAATCCTCCACACGGCATTACGTAACGTTGCCTCGCGGGCGCAAAACGAACGCCCGCAAACGCTCGAATCCCTCTTAACGCTTCTCCTCGACTGGAATCGCTTACCACCCACACGCATCACCAATACTTCCCTCCGTTGGCTCGAGAAGCGCGGTGGGCTTAACCCGCGGCTCGCTCTTCGGACGCTGGCCGTCATGGAGGAGGCTGAGAAGGTCGATAAGGGCTTCGAGCCGAACGTCGGCACCTACCTTATTCTGTTACGTGTCTTCTCAGACGGAAAACACAAGAACCTGGAACGGAAACTGTGGGACCGAATGAGCAAGGCGCGACTAAAAATGAGAGTCGACCGTACCCTGCATACGACTGAGATACACGCCATTCTATCGGGGATGGAACCGAACAAGGTTCAGAAAGCCGCCGCGCGCCTCATCCAGGCGGAAAAGAGTGCCGGGTCGTTGTCGATGACCACCTACCTAGCACTCGTCAAAGCATATCTAGAACAAAACAATATCGATGGCGCTCGCAAAACTTTGGAAAAACTGCAACAACGCGGGGGACAGGATACAGTAGACATCTGGAACGCGATCCTGAACCACTGTCTCAAAAAAGACCTCCACACCCCGCTCAACGACACCCAACAGCGGATGAAGCGGTTAAAAATCCCGCTCAACGCCCTCTCGTACTCCATCCTCATCACCGCCGCCTGTCGACAAGGTCATCGGCGTCGCGCATATCGGTTGCATTACGAGATGGTACAGGTGAATATGGAGGCTAGCGAGCAGCATATGGACACGCTGCTTGAAGCCCGCGCGAATGACACGGATATCGATGCGATGACGAAACTATACCTTGCGGCGCTCGACGGGGAGAAGAAGATCGAGCGGGCGACTTTGAATGCTGTTGCGGCCGCGTACGTGCGCGATGGGGACAAGGAATCCGTCAACGCCGTGTTGTCGGAGATGATGAGGCGTAAACTGGGTCCGGATGCCACGACGTACGAGCTGCTTTGCGAGGCTTATGGCGTAGCGGGCGATGTGGAGAATATGACGGCATCGTTGGCGAAATGTCTCCTTGCGAGACCGGTAGGGCCGTTCACGCTTTCGTTTTTGAATAGGGTTCTTGAGGCGCATGCGAATGTGGGCGATGGGCGTGGGGCTGAGCATTGGTTTCATGCCATTCCGGCTGCGGGATTGGTTCCTGATGCGCGGAGCTACAGGTTTGTGACGCAGGCGTTTGCGAAAGAGGGGAATATGGTCAAGGTTCAAGAATACTGGACCACAGCGGTGGACGTTACCCCGCCCGCGGTGGACTCGTCAACATTATGCAAGATCATTGAATGTTTCCTGATGGGCAATCACATCGAACACGCTCGCACCGCCCCGATCACACTCAAAAACGCCCAGCCCCTCCTCACCGTGGACGTCTACAACACCTTTCTCGCCCACTGGGCCTCCCGCTCCCTCACACAAGTCTCCGACCTCACGCACGCGATGCACACCAACAACGTCCTCCCCAACGGCACCACCTGGCTGCATCTCATGTCCGCCCTCTGTCATTCCCACCGGTACGTCGAAGCCTGGCGGGTCTGGACGGCCGTGCAGGCCCGGTTGGCCAAGACGCCTGTCCCGCGGGCGGATATGATCACAGCCCCGGAGCTTGCGCCGCATTGGAGTGTGTATGAGGACACGAGCCGCGCGGAACTGACGCGGGTTTATGGTGGGCTGGCGCTGCTGGCGTTGGAGAGGTGTGAGGCGATGGGTCGGGTGGAGGATGCGTGGGAGGTGTGGCGGGAGTTGATGAGGCGGTCTGAGCTTGGGGAGGATTGTGCTGCTGCTGATGGGGACTCGCCGTACGCCACTGAGGAGCATCTCGCCGCATTGGTTACCTGTCTCGAAAGTCATAACCATGATGCTTTTGGTCTCGTTTTCGAGCGTTCAGATAAGCATGTCACGGTGACAGAGGGTGTGGATGCGCACGCTACACATCCAGTTGCGGGATGCAAGGGCGGAGATGGGTACGCCAGACCTAGGCCGGGATGTCTGACCTTCACGAAGCTGGCGCAGATGGGCGCGCGGAGACGTAATGGCCAAGCTTGTGTCGACATTATGGATACGGTGATCGAAGAGAATGGGGAGTGGATGCATCGGAGGATGAAGAGAAAGTATCCGAAGATTTATGAGGAGATTGATCGCGCGGTCCAGGCGTGGTATGAGGTGCTTGATGATGAGGATGGTTGTTGAACGAACTACTACCGCTCGAGTCGCTTTGGTCGCCTCGGAGGCAAGCCAAGAGCCCGTGAGCCCTCGTTGACATGTAGATATATTTAGGCTGGTTTTGCATGTATATTCGTCGAGAAGCAGATCTATCTATACGTGTGTAAATACGAAAATCATCTTTACAACCCACATCGCTTTCATCTGCCGTTACGGAAAAACCGCCGACATTTCCCGCATGCAACCTGGATCTCACGCAGACGAAAACGGCCCCGTCCTCGACTCGCCCCCCACCCCGGGCGCCAAATACGCCCTCGCACACTTCCTCGCCTGCTCCCTCACCAAGACCGCCGGATCCTCTCTTGCCAACTTATCCGCCAACCTCCGTATCTGCTCCCTCCTCTTCACCATCCCCTCGTCCAAGTCCTTCTCCCTGAAACACCCCCCAATCCTCAACACCACATGCAACAAATTCAACCTGACCCCCGCATTGGGGTGCCGCGCGACGCGTTCGACGAGTTTATTCATGAACAGGTCCGATTTTGCGAGGTTGTGTGCGACGGATGCGGAGGCGATGAGGATGCGTTGGAAGGGGGTTAGAAGGTTTTCGAAGCCGGTTGTGGAGGAGGAGGAGGCGAAGGCGAGGGCGAGTTCGTGGGAGGGGTGGGGGTGGGAGAGGGGGAGGTGAAGGGTTGTGGGTTGTTCGGAGACCCTGTTGTGATTATCAGAAGGTTAGCGACTCTTTGTTTGACGGTTAAGTCCACAAGAGGGGATGCAAGCGACTTACCAGATTGAGATAGCCTCCACCGCACTAACCCTCCAAGCGGGATCCCTCAACAGCTCCAAATAACTCTCCAGCACCCCACACCTCCTCATAACCTCCCAGCACTCCTTCCCTCCCACGTTAACGATATCGCACAGCAACGGTAACGCAAACTGTCGAAGCGGGGACTTGCTTTTGATGAATGTTTGTAAGTGAGGTATGACGCCGGCGCGGACGGCGACGAGTTGTCGCGGTTTGGAAAGGCGACAGAAGTTGTAGAGGATGTTGACTAGTTGGTTTTGGGTGTCCTGTGGGTGTGAGAGGATCATAGATGAGCATACAACTCTCACACTGCATGCTTATGAGATGAAACCCCGAGACTTACAACGAAGAACGGAATCTCCCGATGCCCCAAAAGCTCACAAAGGACAGGAATCATCCCCGCCCGATCGAACGAGTCCAACGTCTCGGCCGACATGGATATATTCTTCAAGCATTTCAGCAGCGTGACGGTCGATTCCGGATCCGTTCGGCCCAGGGTGTTCACAAGAACTATATCACGTTCCAAATCAACAACCGCCCCCAATGCCATCAAAGCATGTGATAAAGCAACAGCCCATACCTCTCAAACAACTCTCCTCCGCCAACGCGTCCTTAATCTGCGCATCCGCCAACGACAGAGTCAAGAACACGTTCAGAATCTTCCGCATGTAAAGCGCGGCTTTGGGGTCCCTGTCGAGCGTTGTGAGTACCAGCAGGTTGGTGAGGTTGGGAATGAGGCTGTGGGAGACGAGGAGGAGGGAGAGGGATGTGCGGGATATGCCTGTCTGTTGACGATAATCAAGAAGATGTGCTGTTTAGACATTAACAGGTGGGGTATGACCAAAAACACGGATTCGTTACCTGCCCACAAATCCCCCCCAACCCCTCAACCGCACACCACACCACCTCCCTACACCCCTCATAATCCCCCGCCAACATCCTCAAAATCGTCGGTAAGGCTCCGCAAGCCACCGCCAATTTCGGATTGCCCACACAAACCCCCTCCAACAACCTCGCGGCCTGCACCCTCGTCCTCGGATCCCCTTTCCCGAAACTCGGGTGAATACACCGCATGACGACGGAAAGGCCGCCTAGTTGGCAGAGGGTTTCGGAGAATTCCGGGTGGTGCGCGTTGCAGGTGTTGAAGAGGATGAGGAGGTCGGCGGCGAGGGGGGTGGAGGTGTGGGGAAGCGAGCGGAGGAAGGTTATGAAGGGGGGGATGCCGTGCTGGGTTAGGAATAGTTTGGAGGAGGTGGGGTGGGATTGGACGATGGCTGCAAAGTCGCGACAGGCGGATGCAACGATGCTCGGCTCCGTAGAGGGTCTCAGACTCGCGATGAATCGTTGAGCAACGAGTGTATGTGCGTGCGTATGGTCATCGTGCTCGGGTATATCCCCCGTAAATGCTGCCAAATCTGTAGCGAACGTGAACGGATCTGGGTCATCCTCAATATCCAAAAAGTCTATCGCGTCCTGCACCCTCTCATTCGGGGGGATCAAGCTCAGATCACCGCCGGGGGTCACAAATGTCTTATCGACCTCCTGGCCGGTGAGATCAAACGCGCCCGCATAGTCCTCATCCTCGTTCGATTCGACAAAGGTGAGGTCGGACAGCATAGTGGTGTTTGTGGTGGATTTCGATTTCGTTGAGGACATTGTTCGGAGCTTTTCTGAGAAGACTGTTGATGAGATGTTTTTGAAGTCGGATTCCCATTCCGCGTCGTCCGAGTCTTCGACTTCGGCTAGGCTTAGAAGGGTTTGGGCGTCCTGTCTTAGTGTGCCTGATGCAACTCGTTGGTGTCGTGAGGCGCGATCCCCGTTTTCAGAACCGGACGATCGTCTATGGTCAACCGGCCTCGACGTCGCCGTCCTTTCCGCTATCCCACATCGCTCCTCATCCCCCGTTCCTGCCTTCCTCTCCCCCGCTTTCCTCGGATCCCCACCACTCTGCCCCCTCTTCCCCGCCCTCGCACCCACAATCAACGGATGCTTCAACAACCTCACAGCACTAATCCTCAAATTGGGATCTTTCTGAAAACACTCCAGCAAAAAATGGCGTAACAGCTGCGAGCAGTTCTCGGGTAGCGGCGGGTACTCATCGTGCACAACGCGGAAGAGGGCCGACATGGGTGCCAATTTGCTGTACGGCGGGTGCCCGTCCATCAGCTCGATGACCGTCGCGCCGACGCTCCACACATCCGACGCGGTGGTGGCCCCCGCAAGTTCAATGACTTCCGGCGCCATCCAATAAGGTGATCCAGCCACGGCGTTGGATGTAGCATTGACTTTACTAGCGATCCCGAAATCGGCGAGTTTGACGAGGCCGTCTTTTGTCGTGAGGATGTTTGCGCCTTTGATGTCGCGGTGGATGACGCCTTGTTCGTGGAGGTAGACGAGGCCGTCAAGGACTTGGGCGGTGTAGAAGGCGACGAGGCGTTCGGGGAAACGGCCGAATTTTTTGACGATGCTTGATAGGGAGCCATTTTCACAGAATCTGATGGGCGGGGGCAGAAGAAAAAGGCTTTAGCGACATCGGCCTTGCGCGTATGCAGAATCGAAGGATTCCGAGGTTTACTCCATGATGATGTTGAGGCACGACGACGTTTGCGAAAATCCGATGTACTCCACAATGTTGGGATGCTAGGGATGTGTTGAGAAACATCTCACTCAACCGACTATTCCAAACTGAAAGCAGCTGACCAGACGTTTCATACATGCAGCTCCTTCAACAAATCAATCTCAGCCTGCGCAAAGAAATCACATCAATACAAAGCATCCTGCTCAACCCCCACCGCAGTCCCTCGAACAAACCCCACCCACCCACCATAATCAACGTCAAATCACTCCTCGATATATCCACCGTCTTGATCTGCTTGATAGCGACCACTTCCCCCGAGACCATATTCAGGCCGGCGTAGACGGACCCGAAGGCGCCTTTGCCGAGGCAGTCGCCCAGCTGAAAGGTTTTGGCGCGTGATCGGGGGGGCATCGTTGTGGATCTCTTGAAAGGGAGTTCTGTTTAGGTTACCCAGGGGTGCTATGAGCATAAGGAGGACGTTAGGATGCTGTTGGAATAGTTGGGTTGAGTTGGGGAAAAGGCTATGGGAATGCTTACAATGCTATCACGGCGCCAATAGCAATCACGGGAGGATTCCGACGTCGACGTCGCCGTCGCATGTCACCTCACAAATGTCCCTGCTACGCAGTCAGCGCACCACCAAGGCCCTATGGTACGCTCAGAAAGTAGCCTGCAACATCCCTGCCGCCAAAAGGTCTGTCTTGTCCTGGGAATCTTGAGGAAGTCCTGACGCGTGGGAACTTTCGCCCAAGTAATGGGAGACGCGTGGGAAAAGGCATTTCTGACCCGGCCGGGGGCGAATCTGGACGACGCAAAAGACACTGAGCAAGACGGGAAGGCTGTTTGTCCGAGTGCGAAGGCTCTCATATATGCCATGCATTTATCCCTGCCGCCCCATAATGCACCTTCATCGAAGCGGCCAAGTAAACCCCGTACCAACTTTCTGCAACATTCCACATCCACATATGTGTTGTTGAAGTGTATGTACATTGATGCGCTTCTCTCGGACATGGCATGTGGCATATTGGCATTATCATGCCAGTCAGCTTGCCTACGGATGAACGACGAACCCTCCCCATCTGGGCGTCGTCTTCGCCGAAACGTTTCCAAGCCTCCGCTTGCCTCCCCACGGCAGGTTCCTTTGAAGCGCTACGCTCTCGCTCCCGTCTCCGAATCCCCTCTCGTCTCCGAATCCCCTACATCCTCCTCTGGTATACATAATCGATCTGATGCAAGGGTACGCCGGACCCTTCCCAACCCGCGGTGCACCCAAAATCACTGATTGCAATCCTCCAACATCGGCGCATCGGGGTCGATTGGCGGGTGAAGCACCTCCCCAACATAAAAGTACTTTGGACTGTCGGCGTAAAAGCTCGTCCATGTATCCAGGCTCTGCAACAGCAAAAGCAAAATACAGTAAGCGCCTCATCCCCTCTTCCAAGATCACCCCCGACCCCGCATCCATACCTTAATCTGAGCCTCATTAAGCCCCCGCAAATCATGCGTCAAATGCTCCTTGAAACACCCCGTGATATACGCTCGCGCCGCATCTTTACCTGCAAAGAAATGGTAGCCGCCTCCCGGCCCGTAGTATTGCGGGGACGCGCTGACGTCGTACACTTTGCCGTTGATGCCGATGTAGATGGGTTTGGAAGGGTCGGAGCCGTCGTAGGTGGATAGTTCGGATTCTGTCAGTGTCACGGGGCGGGTCTGAACGAAGCGAAGCGGAGCAATGTAAATAAGAGCTAGAGCGATGATCAAACGAGCTTTCCTCGTTGGGTCGATGGATGGTTGGTGAATGGTTGGAACGATACCCTGCTCGCTCCGCTAGTGACGAGGAGGTTGGGCGAGAGAAAGAACGAGGCAAGGGTGACCTCGGCTCGCTAACGCTCGCCATCCTCCCTCCCTCCATCCTTCCCTGACTCCTTCCCTGACTCCCTCCCTCCCTCCCACGTCCCCTTTCGCTGTCGCTCGAACACCTACATAAACAAAACGCCTCCAATTGGGCACGGTATACCCAAAAGTGAGGGAATCCGTCACCAGATAAGACAAGAACGCCGCCGCCATGAGTGATCCCAGGATGAGTACGAGCAAGGTGCGGAGGATGACATGCGTTGTTGTTGGGGTTGTGGGGACTGCGGGTGTGCGGTGATTGAGCGTAGCTGCCGCCGGTTTTGGAGAGGAGGCTGGGACGGTTTGTTTGCGGTTATGGAGGGACATTTCGGGTGAGGGCAGTTGTGAGGGAGAGCAGTGCAGCTGGGTGTGGGGGCGGTTGTATTGAGGGCTGTGCGTCCAGAAGCCAATGTCCTGCCCTTCCCAGCTGTACTGTACTGTAACAACGGACGGAAGAGCAGAGAGCGAGACGGGGCGACGCGAAGGGGGAGAGAGGGGGAGAGGAGACATCACTCCCGCACTCAGTCCCGCACTCCCAAACCACCCGCCCGCTCACTCACTCGGCATATACATACGCACGCCCAGCTCGGCGACAGGGAGCACATCAAGCAACATGTCCGCCGATAAAGGTAGCGTGTCCGTCAACCTCAGTCGCTGCTCGTGTTCCAACCTGACACTTGACCTCCGCGTTTACAGGAGCGTACGCGCCGATAGCGGACGTTCCCCTCGTTTGCAACATATACCGTCCGCCGCCAAAGGTATGTGCCTGGGTGGCTGTCTTGGAGAGGTGGGGGAGAAAGAATGGCGGGCATCGACATCCTGATTCGAACGTTGTTTGATTTTAGTATGTCATCCCCGACCCCATCCGAGCCCTGGTAACAACCCTCATCGCCGACACACTCAAATACGATTTTGCACTCGAGAAGTCTGTTATCGATGATGCAGCGAGATTCAACACCCAGCGCGAAGCCGCTAAAGCCGAGCGGATTGCTAGGCAACAGCAGCGTGAGACTGAGCGATTGGAGAGGGAACGGAGGCAGGCACCCGGGTTGGAGGTGGGCGGTGGGATCATGCTGCCTTTGGCTTATGAGGTAGGGAGCGAGGAGATTCGGAGCGAGGGATAGCGAGGAGATTTGCTTGAGAATGCGAGAAACAGCGAGGATATTGTTTGAGGACGATTCGCACAAGGGAGCCTGCGAGCTGGAGTGAATGCGGCGACAGCGAGCGCTCCCCGTAATTACGGCTTTTAGCGAGCCTTAGCGAGCGTCAGATCTTTTGCGAGCGAAGCGAGCACCACATTGCGCCAAAGGCGCTAATTCCCTTACCCAACCAACCAACCATTCAACCATTCGTCGGTCCGCTCCGCTATCCAACCTTACGGTCGTTCTGATTAGTTTTACCTGATCATCGGTGGTTGATGGAGGGGATGGATGTTGATGGGATGATGATTGATGATTGATGGGTTGATGGTGGTTGATGATTGATGAATGTTAATGGTGGTTGATGGAGGTTGATGTTTGATGGTGGTTGATGGTGGTTGACATCCCTGTCCCTCCCTCGGGTAATAGAACGCATCCTCATCGACGGGTGGGGGTAAAAACACACCATCCCCCATCCCACCCCCAAGCGACGGAGTGTTGGGGTTAGACGGCAGGCGACTAGACACACCCTCCCCCAATCCCCCATCATCCCACAACCCTCCGTTACCACTCCGACACCAGGAAGCGCGAAGCGGCACCGGCGCAGGCGGGATCGACTACCTCCAATTCGAGCAAGGGCTGCCCCCACCCGATCCGTGGCGGACACAGGACGACGATGACGATCTGCGATTGCTCAAGGAAGTCATGTCGGCTCCTGATCCAGTTCCCGCATATTCAGAGTCCGCAACCACAGGCGACGTCTCCACAACCCGTCCACACGACCTTAACCACTCGACAACAACCCACCCCCACCCTCACATCGACGACGTAGTTTCCCGCGCCCGCGCCCTCCTCGCCAACCTCAACATTCACGGCCCCTACCGTCGCGCAAATAACAAAAACACAACAACATCCGCAACCTACTCCTCAATGTCCCAATCACCCACCCACGCACCCCCCGTCCCTGCGCCGCCGCCCAAACCGGCGAATTTGAACGTGGGGGGTGGGTATGGGGGGGAGTATACCAGGTCGCCGACGGGGCTTGGGGCGTCGAGAGAGTATCCGGTTTTGCCGGGGGCGCGACCGGCGGGTGGAGGTGATGGTGGCGGTGGTGGGAGTAGGGTGCCGAATATCCCGCCCCATTTGCAGGTACGTTTTGCAATGTTTTCGATTTGGTTGTATGAGTTTGTCTGTGTATATATCTAATCGCATATACTGAAATCCACTCCAGGAAACATACGACAAAATAACCCAAATGGGCTTCTCCCCCGATGCCACCGAGCGCGGGATCCGTGTACACGGCAAAGACGAGAAGAGGGTTGGTGGACACACCTGTTTCCCACTTTTACTCCAAACCCAGCCCGACTAACCATCATCACCTCGACCGGTCTCAGGTCCTAGACTTTGTGATAACCTTCCAAGAGCTCCTCCCCACGCACCACCCCGACGACATCCAAGACGCGCTCAGCGCCGCGTACACACCGACATCCCCCACCTCGCCCCAATCGAAGACCGCAGGGATCCCACCGCAGGACGGAAGTCGAGAACGTCGATTTTTGAGTGCGTTTGTGGCGTTGAAGGAATTGGGGTTTGAGAGGGAGGCGATTCGACGGGCGCTTGTGAGGACGGGCGGGGACAGGGAGAGGGCTGTTGAGGATCTTGTTGGTGGCGGTGGGGCGTGAGGTAGGAGGGGGGGAATATCTGATGGAAAGGGTCAGTGGATCCGCTCATATGTGACGAGGTCTCTTGTACATTTTGCGGATGTGTCCTGGAGGCGGTTGCTTGAAGTACTGTACTACTGTACATAGATTGTGCTGTGGTTCCCAGCAGTTGTTCTGTCCCAATCAATACAGGGGCGGGTTGAAGCGGAATGCGGACGTGGACGCGTTGAGTCCCTTGTGCAGGCGAAACACAGACCACCCCATCGCTCTGTCCGCGGGGCCGCCGCAACCTTCCCGATCCCATTTGGCTCGCTCCCACACTCAGAACTTACAGCTGTAGTCCCTCCGCTGCTGCCAGACACAACAAGCCAATATACCCCAGCCTCGCCCTCGGCTCTCACCTCAGAGGCTACTGTCGTTCGCGAAACAACTCGTTATTCCTATTTGGCTCGCTCTGTGTTGTTGAAACTCCCATAGAGGTGGTGGTTTCCATTGCAATTGCATTTTCCCACCACCGCATTCGCCCACCGCCTAGAGACGTCCAGAGAACCGTCAAACACCACACACAGCAGCGGTCTGTCATCCAGTCCTCACCCCGACATCCCTCGAAAAACACATCGGCTCACAAACGAAAACGGATACCGGCAAAACGAAAACAGCGCAATGGACCCGCCCGTCCCAGTCCCAGTCCCAGTCCCACCACCAGCAGTGCCGCTCCCACCACCCCGCAAAAGCAGCGCCTGCTCATTACCCGTCACCGAGCGCCGGGGGAGTTCAGGCGCACGCAGCAATACCGGGACCATCCCAGAGGAACCTGAGCCGCCCGTAGACCCGCCGAGGAGAAAGTCCCATGACGCTCGGCCCGATTCCGCCGGAACGGCATCATCTGCAGCGAGTGACCGAAGACCGGTATCGAACGGCAGTCATGTGGAGCTGGAAGTGCCCAACCGGACGGTGTCGCTGCAGATGCTGAATAAGCCGGTTAATGTGAATGCGACGCCAACGTCGGGGGTTAAGGCGGTGGCGGGAAGTGCGATACCAGAGAATGGAACGCCGCCGCTGATGTATCAGTTTGAGCAGAATGTTCATGTGGATGGGGAATTGCATTGGGGCGCTGATAAGGACCCATTTGAGATTTTCGAGATTCAGGAAAAGCTTGGCGAAGGAGCATTCGGGGCCGTCTTCAAAGTGTGTTTGAAAGAAACCGGACTCGTGATGGCGGTGAAAGAAGTCCTCGTCGGAAAACTGAACGACCGAAACAGCATCCAGAAGGAAATCAACATGCTGAAACAATGCCGACATCGAAACACCGTCCAGTACTTTGGCTGCTGCAACGTTAATGACGACTCGATCTGGATCCTTAACGAGCACTGCGCCGCAGGCTCGATCAGCGATTGCATCGAGCTCACAGAGAGTACATTCTCCGAAACACAGAGCGCCATCGTCCTCGCCTCGGCTCTAGAAGGGCTGGCCTTTCTCCACAGCCGCAACATCGTCCACAGGGACGTCAAATGCGCGAATATCCTCGTGACGGACAACGCGGTGGTGAAGATTGGCGATTTTGGCGTGTCCGAGAAACTCACACAGACGGTGTGCGTGCGCAATTCGATCGTGGGCACGCCGTATTGGATGAGTCCGGAGGTTATTACGGGCGCGGATTATGGGACCAAGGCGGATATCTGGAGTTTAGGGATCACGGCGATTGAGATGTCGGATGGTGTGCCGCCGCATTCAACTGTGCATCCTATGCGGGTATGTTTGCTATCACACTTTTTGGACACCGCTCGCCTCGCACGCGACTGACGTACCGTATTATCGCTTCCCCAGGCCATGTTCAAAATCCCCTTCCTTCCCCCACCCACCCTCCTCCAACCCACCCAATTCTCCGCCTCCTTCAACGACTTCATCGCCCAATGCCTCATCAAAGACCCCGCCAAGCGCCCCTCAGCCGAAGACCTTTTCAAACACCCCTTCATCTCCCCCTACGTCGGCGAAGAGCACAACATCTCCCTCCGCCGGCCCTTGCTTAGCAAAGTTCAGGAAGTGATGGCCAAACGGCAGGTTGTGAAGAAGGCGGGGAGGATGAAGGGTACCCCGACCCAGGGGTTGAGGGCCTCACACGTGGTTATGCAGAATACGATGAATATGCGGAAGGCCCCGTCATCGTCATCGGCGAAACCGACCCGCCAGCTCCGCACGTTATCGGACTCGTCGACGGATAGCCGCGGGACGGTGATCATCCATTCCGACGACGACGACAATACGGGTGACGAGACGTTGATTGATGATGAGCTCTTCCGCCCACTGACCCCCGGTGCCTTTGCCTCGGGGACGATGGTTATTCATGAAGAGGAGGCGGAGGTGGAGATTGCGTTGCCGACGACGCCGCGGGGCGGCGTGTCGGTGCTGAGGGATATGGGCACGGTGGTGATACATGAGGATGCGGAGGAGACGGCGGTGGAGTGGGGGAGTGGGAGGAGTGAGAGGCGACCGTCAGAGGGGAGTCGGGATGCGGGGGGGTCGGATGAGGCTACGGAGGTTGATAGTATTCGCTCGCGACGGACTTTGGAAGAGGGACGGCTGCCGAGTGTGATTAGGGCGTCGCATACGAAGCCTCCTGCCGCTGCGGCTGTCGCGGGCGCGGAAGATGATAGCCACTTGGGGACGTTGATGAGGAATCAGCAGCGACAGCAGCAGCGACTGGAGGAGGAACGGCGGCAAAAGTTGGAACAGGCTCAACACCAACAACAGGCGAAGTTGGACCATCCGCAGCGATCAAAGATGGCGAAGAAGCTGAAACAGCGGCTGGAGAAGTTCCGTCGGACACTCAAAGGACAACATGCCACCACCTCAGCGGCCGAAGAGTCCGGGGATGACCACGAAGGCCAACGAACGATCGTCGAAAAGCGAAATAAACGCCGTCCCTCGGGTCTCTCCGCGTCGCCTACACCCCCACCATGGCAAAATGGCACAACCACAACCGCAGCAGCAACCTCAGCACCCCCCGTAGTACGGCCCCCAAACATCCAGTACACACCCCTCAACGTACCCCTCCCCGCACACGCACACGCCCGCCGCCACAGCATCGATTCCCCACTCACGCCCTTCGACAAACCGTTGCCGGAACTCCACATTGATCTCACGCACCCGGACCATAACACCCCACATAAGAAAGGACTGGCGAGGTTCGTTGATGCGGTGTTTGGATCGCCGCACCAGCACCAGCAGCAGCAACACGGTCAACGCCGCCCCCACCCGCATCAGAACGGGAAACGTAGCTTGAGCCACGGATCTGCGGTGTCTGATTCCCCATCCACGGTCCCAATCCCATCAATAGCCACCACCCCGCTCCCCACGACACGTCTCCGTTCCGCGTCCTCAACAAGCACCAACAGCAGTAGCACAACCGACCTCCATGAACTCATCCGAATCCACGACAGCCTCGTCCGCGAAATCGAAGAAGCCAAAAAGGCAAACCGGTTCTGGAAATTCCGCGTACCTTCCATCCACTCCGTATCCTCCAACGGGGATCTCCTCGACGACGACGATAACGATGGCGAGAGTACCCGCCAGATCGACCCCGACGATGACGGGTCTGTCAATAATGGGGATTTCGACGATATCGATTTGGCGGCTTACGTCCTTGACAGCACGACTACGGAGACGGGCTCGCAGCATACCCTCGCCACCCGCCGGCGAGCCGCGACATACCCGTTTGAGGAGCGACCGTCGTTTTTGGATATCGACCCGGCGACGCTGGGAGTGTCTGATTACTTTGATGATGATAATTTGCCGACTCCGACCATCACTGACCCGCTTGCGCGTCGGTTGGGATCGTCGCACCGCCATATCGATGATCTGATTCCCACCGAGCCTGATACAACGAGTTCATCATCACAACGGAGCATTCTGAACCCCACGCACGAGTCCGAGTTAACGCACCAAATCTCGACGCTGGCGCTGCACCACCTCCCGTACATCAACTCTGACCAAGCGGCAGAGACGATCGGAGCGACGGCGGTGCTGTTGTGGAAGATTTTCTGTGTGTTGTGGCGACAGTTCAAAGGGCGGTTTTGGTTGCATGCGTTTTATATTGTGTTGATCAGTAGTTTGGTGTGGGGGGGCAGGTCGGGTGGGAGTGGGAACACGAGTGTGAGAGGAACGGCGGGGATTATTGCGAGGACGGAGACGGGGAAGGTGGGGAGGGTGGGGACGGAGGCTGGGAGTGCCCTCGAGCGGGAGAGGGAGCGGGAGAGGGAGAGAGAGAGGGAGAGAGAGAGAAAGAAGGAGGTGGTGGGTGTGGCGTATGAGCGTAAGAACGTCGGTTTGGGTGTAGGGGTAGCTGAGTAGTGTATGTAGCTACCTCTTCCCCCTCGCCCTTCTGTTTTTTTGGATAACCCCCCCTCCCAACTCCTGTTTTTTTTGGCTCACTTTTCGGTCCCCCACATCTCGCATACTCACAGTGCATATACATATTCATTCATGCTCCATGTACCATAGCGACCTCGAGCGACCTCCATGTTCAAGAACAGACACGCAGTCTTGTTAGGGTTGACATGGCGCGAGCGAATAAGGCCAAGTGACTGCGCGAAATAATTATTAACCCCACTCCTTACCTCTCGGCTCTCCGTTTTCCTTCTTCAACCTCCTCCTACTCCACCACCACCACCACCACCACCGCACAACCGCCACAATGCCGCCCAAGAAGGCCGCTCCAGAGCAGGCCAACGTCGTCAGGTACGGCTGCTCTCTTCTTCTATCTCAGCGGGGCGCGGCTTTTGTATTCACCTTCTTTTTGAATGGTGCAGGTTCGGGCGTGTGAGGAACAACCTCAAAATGGGAGGTACAGTCCAATCCACCACCTCATTCGCTCGCTCCTCAACCGACAGAGAGATACTCACCCCCTGATTCATTGTTGATTCGGCGCAGTGGTGGGCCTGCCCAATGTGGGGAAATCGTCGCTGTTCAACCTGTTGACGGAACAGGCGGCTGCGGCGGAGAATTATCCGTTTTGTACGATTGAGCCGAATGAGTGAGTTGGGGGGGATATCGAGGGGGGATTGAGGGGGGATTGGCGAGGGGTGGGAGATTACCTGAGGGAGCGACCCCTGACCACGGCTCTTAGCGAAGCCTTAAGTGGGCGGCAGATGACTACTGCCCAGTATCCCTGTCGCGAGCGGAGCGCCTTCCATCACTTTGCTCATCCACTTTTTTTACATCGCCCACTCATCCGCGCGTTCTCTTTCCCCCAGATCCCGCTGCCCCGTCCCCGACGACCGGTACGACTTCCTCTGCCAGATCTGGTCCCCACCCTCGCAGTACCCCGCCTACCTCCACATCACGGACATCGCCGGCCTGATCAAAGGCGCGAGCGAGGGGCAAGGTCTCGGCAACGCGTTCCTGTCGCATATCCAGGCCGTGGACGGGATCTTCCACGTCGTGCGGGCGTTTGAGGATGATGATGTGGTGCATGTGGACGATTCGGTGGATCCGATTAGGGATCTGGAGACGATTCTCTCGGAATTGTGCAAGAAGGATTTGGAGATTCTGAAGAAGGCCGTCGCGGCTGAAGAGCTGGCTGTCAAGAAGGGCGGTGGGAAGTATAAGCTGTCGCTTCTCTTCACGGACACGGTGGCGAAATTGAAGGATATGCTGGAGAAGAGCATCCCGATTGCTAGTGGGGAGTGGTCGACTGGGGAAGTGGAGCTTATTAAGGAGAAGGTAGATATCAGAGGGGTGGATTCTATTTCCCCCCGAGAAGCACTGGCTAACGTCTCTTCCCTCGCAATCAAAAGATGGCGTTCATAACAACCAAACCGCAAATCTACCTCGTGAACCTCAAATCCACCGAATACATCGCCAAAAAGAACAAATGGCTCGGCAAGATCGCCGCGTGGGTCGGCGCACACGGCGGGGGGAAGATCATCCCCATGTCCGTCGCATTCGAGCAAGAACTGTGGGAGGCCAAGAACAATGGGAGTGCGCCGCCGGAGGGAGCGGGCAGCGCATTGCCGAAGATCATCAAGGAGGGGTATGCGGCGTTGAATTTGGCGTATTATTTTACGGCGGGCGAGAAGGAGGTCAGGGCTTGGTGCATACCGACGGGGTGCTTGGCGCCGCAGGCTGCTGGGGTGGTGAGTCTACCGAATTCGTTTCTGTCCCATCCATCAACCGCCTCTTCCCCTCCTGTCTTACCTTCCCCTTGCTAATATGGGTGGTTGTTGTTTAGATCCACAGCGACTTTGAACGCGGCTTCATCAAAGCGGAGGTGGTTGCGTTCGCCGACTTTAAAGCTCTGTGCGACAACCAGAAGAGCATGGCGCCCATCAAGGCGGCGGGGAAATATAGGATCGAGGGCAAGAGTTATGTTGTGCAGGATGGGGATATTATCTTCTTTCAGTTTAATGTGACTGCGCCGAAGAAGAAGTAGTGTCGGGGTGAGGATGGACAGGGGTGAGGGGTGAGAGGACGGCGTTTTTTTTATGTATTGGTGTGGGGGGTCAATAGAATATGCATAGAGCCCGTTTTTCTGAAGTGGACCTCGGGAGTCGTTGGTCGGTCGGTTGGACATGGATATCCATGGCACAACAGAAGAACCTCTAGTAAATCCATCGCTATGTTTGCGGGCACAAGTCCAATACAACAAATATGGCTTCCCGGCGAATGAACGTCCATTGTTAAACCATCACCATACAGTACGGGACCATAAACCTGCGCCCACCCCCAACGATCCCAGTGTCGGGTGGGGGCTGCTTTATGGTCCCATACTGTATGTATGTGAGCACGGTGTCATCCCGTCCAGTTCCCATTCTGCGGGTCCAGTCTTCTGAATACGGATCCATCCATCGCTTTAGCGCGGCGTCGGGGTCGTCACCCACCAAAAACACAACTCTCCCCGTCAGATCATGTGCGTACATTCGAGCCGTCGCATCGATCAAGACGACGAAGGGGTTACTGTACTGTACGCCAGCGCGCGGCAGGAGTTGGTTGTTGTGTGAGTCCGTGAAGCGTGGTTGTTGGAGTGGTCGTCGGCCATTGATCAAACACTTGGCTGGCGTCTCTCGTCGGGGCCTTTCTTCGCCGGTTGTGGTAGTAATATAATGGGGGGCGACTTATTAATTGCGTCAGCTGACGACAGAGTGCGGTCCACGTGACCGCCCTACGTGAAATCCATTGCCCATGGCCGTTTCGTGATCTCTCTCTCACCCAGAGGCAAACATGCGAAACAGTGAGATCAGACCGTCTGGTCATGACGTGTTTTGCCCTCCCTTCCTCGTCCTCCCTTTTCCTCGCGCTCCCGTTTCCATCCCAGGCATAACAGCCCCGCCCCCCGCCCCATCACCAGCGCTTCAGAATCTAGTCCGATTCCCGTAAAGTGATCGCCCCACCCCCCGCTTTGAGAAATGCCTCGCTTACCATCCGCCCTCCCGCGCCTCATCCCTCCACCACGCCTCCTCACCGCCATCGCACACCTCCAGCACCATCACCCATCTTCCCACCTCCCACGCACCTCCTCCCACTTTCAGCAGCAGCAGCGGAACGTGGCTAGGGCCTTGTCGACAGCCGCGCCAGCGAAACCTGCCACAGAGGCTCCGGTGGGGAGGACTGAACGGGCTAGGCGGGCGGTTTTCTATGGTGCGTTTTTCTGCATGAGAGAGATGGAAGGGGAAGTGGGAGGATACGCGAGCGAGGGAAGGGGGTGTGGTTCGCGTGGGTGTTGGTCGCTGAATGCGCTTTCTCTCTTGCCTCCTTTTTTTATTTAGTGCCAGGTAGCGATGACCGCAAACTAGCTAAATCACGCAAACTCGTCGCCGACAGCCTGATCTACGACCTCGAGGACTCGGTGCCGCTGAATAGGAAGGGCGCGGCACGGAATGCTGTTTTTCAGGCTTTGGAGGTCCGTGCAGGGTATCACGGGGAGGATTGAAATGAAGGCGGGGGGGATGGGAGGAATTCGGGCTGATGTGGGTCCTTCTTTTTTCAGCAATTTGATGTGGGGAAGAGCGAGAAGACTGTTAGGATTAATGCTGTCGGGTGAGTGCGGCCAGAGGAGCCGAGGGGTGGTTTAGCGCGTCGTTGGGGTGGGAGCGCCCGTGCTGATTTGTGATTTCTATGTGCGGGTTTTTGTAGATCGGGGCTAGAGGTGGACGATCTGAGTGTCGTGGTAAGCCTCTTGATGTCTCCTCTCCTGTGTAACAGACATGCCTTAACAGACATTCGCACGCATACAGCTCCGATCCCGCCACGTCGGCGCCCTAGTAGTTCCCAAAGTCCAATCCCCAAAAGACCTCGAGTTCGTCTCAAGGATGATCGATTCGATAGCGCCGGAGGCTAGGTAACCTTCTTTCGCACGGAGCGGATGATGCGATGATGCTAACGGTGTTCTTTCTTTCTTTTCTAGTCGAGCGAATATTAGGGTGCTGGCGTGTATCGAGAGCGCGTTGGGTGTTTTGAATATTCGGGAGTGAGTTGTGTGCTTCGATTAGCTCTCGTTTTCGTGCGAGGGTTGAGTGGAAACGAGTTCTTGTTCCGTACTGACCGAAGGCCCACTTGGCAACCACCCCACTCGCAGCATCGCAAACGCCGACGCCCGAATCGACGGTCTCATCTTGTACGTCCCTCCCTCCGTTCCCCACCCGTTCCCAACCCACCTACTCACCTCTGGAATCATAAACAGCGCCGCAGAAGACTTTGCAGCCGACACAGGCCTCGTCCGCACACCTTCCCGCACAGAGTTCCTGTACGCGCGGCAACGGGTCGCGACTGCGGCGAGTGCTTTTGGGTTGCAGGCTATTGATATGGTATGTGGAGGTTGGTTCATGTCGAGGGATGTGGTTTATAAAGTGATCGATGCGGTTTGGGGTTTTAGGTGTGTGTGGATTATCAGAATCCGGATGTGCTCGTAAGTCCCTCTTTGGGTTTTGTTAAGTTAAGATGCGCACGGGCGAAGATGTCGATTTTTCGCGACTCACGATTATATGCTTGGGTTGGTAGGAGGAAGAGTGTCGCGAAGGCCGCGAGTGGGGGTTCACCGGCAAGGTGGGGGTGTGAAGCGAAACTCACATGCGGAAAGCGCAGAGTAACTGACGGATATTGATCTGATGACGAATAGCAAGCGATACACCCGAACCAGCTCGAGACTATCCAACGGATATTCTCGCCATCACCATCAGGTAAACTTTCCCCTGTCCCTCCCTCTGCCCCTCTCTCTATCTCCCCAAAACTAACTGCAACGTTCCACCCGCAATAGACATCGAACGCGCAACAAAGATCGTAGAGGGGTATCAAGAGCACATGAAGAAGGGCATTGGCGCGTTCAATTTGGATGGGAAGATGATTGATATGGTGGGTTTTTTCTTGTTTCGGTTTTTTCGAGCGGTTGGATTCGGGATGAGTAGGGATGAGAGTGTTAATGTGGGGTTCTCTTTCTTCTCTGGCAGCCGGTCGTGAAGTGGGCAGAGGTAAGCAGGGGATGACGAGTGGACCCAAAATGCCGTTTCTTGCCCGCTTGATGGGCTCATTTTGCTTCATTCCACGTTTTCCCCTCACAACAGCGCCTCCTCGCAAAAGCCAAAATGATGAACGAGCAATCTGCATAATCTGCGCCCTCAATTAACCCCATATATAGTCCCAGATATCCCCCCCCCCCCCCCCCCCCCGTCTCCTCATCTCCTCAGCTATAGCATTCCCCTTCTCCCCTCCATCAACCCGCGGTGTCCCACTTTTGCTATATCGGCGTGAAATCTGTACAGTTCCCCCTTTCCCACTTTCGTTGTGTATCATCGTTTCCTTCCAGGTGGCCTTCGCGACCACACTTTCTGAAGTCGTATGTGAACTTATTACTCACAGCACGTTTGACAAAACGTGACGCTCAAGTGGGTGCTGCTGCTGCTGCTATACTGCCGGGTTGTCAAGTCTCAGAGAAAGAAGTGCGTTTTCGAGCGGCCGTGTTCGATGGAGGTGGATGGGACCGACAATCCCCCGGGCTATTTCGTGATGGGTGTGACATTGCACACGCATACCACCCGACCCGCATACGGGTGACGATGGGGCCGGACGACCACGTACAGTAGTACGTTGTGGCCACGTCTATGTAAATGTATAGAGCGTGTGATGCCAGCGGACTCGTGGGAAATCATCGCGGGGCCAACGTGGCGAAAAACACGTTGAGAGTTTTTCGCAGACGTCAGACTCTGCGTCAGACTTCTTGGCCGCTCCCAAGTCTCCAAAACGGTCCCCATGCCAAAGGCATCTCCCGCATCCCTCATACATACATTACCACATTCCCAACGGTACCAGACTAGCACCAGCAGCATCAGGGGACCAGTGACACGAGTCGAAGACACGATAACAGACACGGAAAAACTCGACAACACCCAGCCAACCTCCCACGCCCCTGTGATCGCTCAGAGGACCTTGCCGGAATGTGGCTTACAGACACGCAAAGTAAGCGGAGGAGGAGGGAGGGGAGGTGGCTCGGCGGGTGTTCCGTGCCGCGGGAGCACGATCGCCACTGACTGTCACTCATGGAGGATCCACGCTGACGATTAAATGTTTTTTTTTCGAAATCTGTGTAGAAATCGGGGTGGGGCTGACTGCGTTTGGGATACTGTTCATGCTGATGGGGGTGATACTGTTCTTTGACGGGGGGCTGTTGGCGATAGGAAATGTGAGTGTCGCCCGGTTGGGATTGCTGTGGACGACAGCATCGAATGCAGGCCGGAGATCACAGGCTGACTTTCTCGACTCTCGATTTTGCCAGATCCTGTTCCTCGGCGGGCTAACACTAGTGATCGGCCTGCAAAAAACGTTCCTGTTCTTTGCGCGGCCGGAGAAGTTGCGGGGCACGCTGTGCTTTTTTGGCGGGATATTGATGGTGTTTTTGAGGTGGCCGGTGATTGGGATGGGGGTGGAGGTTTTTGGGTTTGTTAATTTATTTGGGTAGGTTTTGGGTAGGATGAGAGGGGGGGGGGGGGGGGGGGAGGCTGCTATGGGAGGGAGCAGACGATTCTCTTCTAGAGACGGGATCTTTGAGAGGGTGTTTGCTCTCGGTCACCGATGACCGTACTCACATGTTTCCCTTCACCCTGAATAGGGACTTTTTCCCCGTTGTCATTGGCTTCCTACGGAAAATGCCCGTCATCGGCACACTGCTCAACACACCAGGGATATCACACGTACGGCTAGCCAGATTTACACATACCCCTGTCGTTCATGCTAACCCTTTTCCGATCTCGCAGGTCATCGACAAAATCATGGGCTCGAAACTGCCCGTCTAGACCCTACACCCGCTGCGAACGAGACGGGAGAACGGGAGAAGGGGGATTTTGCCAAATACTATACATAACATATCTATATCTAATACGCGTCGCTGGGAGTTCCGGCCATTTGGGAGGAGGAGGGAGATTAGAGCGAGATTTGGTTTCGCAATATACCTCATCAATGCATAGATATCGTTGGTGGTTGGTCGATTGCTCATGTTGGGTCTGCGGCCTTGTGCTGGGGAGCATGAGAACACGCTTTGTGTGGTCTTTGCGAATTTCCAGTCGTTTCTGGACGTGGACTGCGGTCTCATCTGGACGCGTGCGGCTTTCCAACTGCCCGCTTTCTCTCGTTTTCCATCACTCCATGTGGGCATAAGAGCACGCTCCCCGTCAAACGGAACTTGCACTGAGAGTATCATATACCACTGCCCACTCACTCCCTTCCGCTACTCCTTCCCAGCTAACAAAACGCACAATGCCAGTCGGTAAGTGTGTGGTTAGCTCCCGCGGTGTGCATTTCCCGACGACGCGCAGAGGACGATGATGGAGCCAAGCCAATGAACACTGTGCAGTCCAATTCCATATCAACTAATCTCGCTATTTCTCTTGCCTTCCGGGAAGACTACAGCAAATGGGACAAGCTAGAGCTCAGCGACGACGAGGACTTTGAATGCCAGTATGTATAGAACCAGAGGCCAGTATATTTCAACACATGTGCACACTGCACTCACAAATCACACCGTCACAGCCCGAACGTCGACAAAGCCTCCATGGTCCGCTGGCGCCAAGCGGACATCCACCGCAAACGCCGCGAACGCAAAGACAAACTCCAAGCCCTCGCAGAAGAATCCACCACCACACGCAAAGCCATCACCGCGCTCACCCAGATCACCCGCCTGCCGCCCTCAACGAACCCCGCAGCTCTCACACCGGCCATCACGCTGTTGAATGCGGATTTCCAGAAATGGGAGCAGGAGTTGAGGGAGAGTTACTTGAAGGCGATGATGAGGGAGAGGGATGCCAGGTGGGGTGCGCCGGAGCCGGATGCGTTTGTGCAGGGGAGGGTGCCGTATGGGACGTACACTGAGGGGATCCTTGCCGCACTGAATCCGACTCCGGAGGCGAGAGGGGAGAGGGATACAGCAGATGTCAAGGCGGCGTTGGAGAAGAGCGTGGATGAAGCTATTCGTAAACTGGAAACGCGGCAGAGGGAGTTGGACGCGGAGGTGCAGCGGGAAGAAGCAGAAGCCAAGAAGAAATTGACCACGGACGACCTGAAAGAAGGGTTCAACAAAACGATCGTCTCCAAACCCGCCGCTGCACCGCCATCGACAACAAAAACATCTCAGAAAACAATCGAAACTATCCACACCCCATCCATCGCCACCACCTCGGCCACCGCCGCCCCCGCCGCGGGCGCAACCCAACCCACCGAGGAAGAAGACGACGACGAAGCCGACCACATCACCTTCCCCCCCGCACAACTCTTCGCCGACGCCCTCAACCTCGATCAATCCTTTGGCATCATCTCCGCCCACCCTGCCCTCGTCTCACAACGGTACTCGGACATGATCCTGGCGGAGGGGTTCAGGATGGAGATGGCGCGGAAGCCGAAGGAAGCGAAACGATGCGTGCATCAGGCGTTGCTTTTGCAGTATTGTAGTTTGTTGGGGAAGGATGGGGTCAATCTTTTCTTCGCGAGGTGGGTGTTTGGGGTGTTTTGCCCCCGTCCCCAGTTTTTCGTCCCAACTCGTTTTCTGCTCACTGTGAATTTCCTCCCTAGACTCCGCTCATCCCAACCCTCCGCAACAGCCATGTTCCTCAAAGACGTCAACGAGACCTACACCCGCATCCAAACCCGCGTCCGCACCCTCCACGCCGAACAGGCCCAGCAAGAAGCCGCCGAACGCGCCGCCCTGCAACAACGACTGGAGGCGTGTACGTTACCCGATGGGTCGTATGCGTTACCGGTGGGCGAGGAGGCGGATGAGAAGGAACGGCGGAGGGCGGAGGTTTTTGCGGGGTTGGAGAGGGCGTTTCAACGTGAGTCACTGTGCTTTTCTCTGAGATTGTTTGGGGGGAGATGGGGGTATTGATTGGATGTGATCTGTTTTTTTTTTTTATTTAGGTGCGTTGTTGTTATCGGATGTGGATGAAATCAACGCGCACCTCGCGTCGTTGTCCAAGACGGAGGGGGAGGAGTTGGTGAGGAGGTGTAGCGAGGTTGGGTTGTTGGATTTGGAGATTGAGGGCGGGGATGGGGATGGGGGGGAGGAGGAGGATGCGTGATCTCTTGGTTGCTCAGATGGATGCGCTTTTCCTGTGTATCATCGTCCTTAGTAGATCAATGGCAAAAGATCGGGCTTTTTTTGCTTGCTTGTTCAATAGAGTTTTGTGGATAGTTCACTCAATTCATATCCCGCAGCAAAGACGTGAAATGTCCATGATACCCGGCTGCACGCAGCAAGTCGACGAAAACAACTTACCGTCATTTCCCAGGTCAATTCCGGCTTGCTGTCAGTCCTCCGTCACGTGACCACCATTTTCTCTTCGCAACGTTCTTCGACTATAAAAAGGGGGAGCGGCAGTGTTCCCCACGCCCATCGCCACTTTCCATCGCAACCTGGACTCAGGAACGACATCTCCCTCCCTCCTCTCAGCAAGGTAAGCACACTCCCACGTCCCACGGCCCGACTACTAGACAGCAGTATAGCAAAGCCGAGTTGATGAGATAAAAAATACAATCATAACTTTCGTTCTTCCGAACGTATTTTTTACGTGTGGAAACAATTGATTTCTGATCGAACAATACCCTTTCCCGGCTGGTGTGCGGGGTGACGGGGGATGGATAGGGGGAACGGTTCGTTAGAGGTTGACTCGGTGAAGCCGGTTCTAACGACATATTTGCCCTTTCTGTTTCCAGGTTTGATTGCCCCTTTCACGACAGGACAACGACCGGTTACCGAGGGGACCCGAAGGCGACGGTTTCACTCACACTAGCCGTTCAAACCCTTCCATGAAGGCAGAGCACTAGCGTCAGTGATCATCGTCTTCGCTCCGTTTGCTACACCATTAAAGGTGGGACCGATAACAGATGACAATGATGAAAACAACCTCAGACCTGTTCTGAAATAGAATGAGGACAAAACCTAAATTGCCAAATTGTTATCTGAGCATTTCTGTTATCGGCTTCCCATTCATCTTGGGTGCTCGAATGGTGTCGTTTGAACCGCCCTCTTTCTCGGGCTCCACTGCGCTCGCACATTGCAGCACATGCCCGTAAGACTGCCGTTCATCCGACCTTCCATCGTCGCCCCATCTACACCAACGAAAACGATGTTGATATTATCTTACCCCATGTCTTTGATGATGATGAACGAATTTCGTCAATGGGAATCTCTCCGAAAATTCCGTGTGGAGAGAACGATATCTTTATGATAGTTTCTGAATCAAAGAATATGAGGGGCGAGAAATGTGATGTTGTGATTTGAGAACAACGAGAGTTTTCCATATCGGCGGGAGAGCCGTTGATGTTCCCTTTGATGCAATACCCGCAGGTCTTGGGATAACGAAAGAAAAGGGCGAGAGCCCACGGCCTATCATAAATCACATCGAAATCCCAAAAAAAAACGATCTACCGCCATGAGTATTCAGGCTATGGTCGCCATCACCCATCTCCATCATTCCCACCCATCCCCCCAAGCTGAAGCACCCTCCGCAACCCCTCAACCCTCCCCAACAACTCTCTATCCATCACCCCCCTCAACACGCTCGTGACAAGCTCGGATTCCAGTCGTCTCAGTTCCACTAGGTCCATCAGTTCTGTGACCGGGTCTCCTGCTGGGTGTAATTGTTGTTGTGAAAGTGGTGGGATAGGAGATGAAGCCGCCGGCGGGGATGTATTCTGATTTGGTGGGTCGAGATGCGGGTGTTCGGGTGGAGTGGGCGCTGGGGGGTATGTGCGATGAGGATGATGCGCGGCGAGGTATGTGGTGTGTTGTGAGGTGCTCGGGTTGTCGTCGGTGGCGAAGACGGAGTGAGGATGCTGCTGCATATCGGATTTGTCGCCGCCGCCGCCGCTCACCGCTGATGACAGAAAGCGAGCGTGATCAATACTGTGGAATTGAAGATGAGACGCCAGGGTTGGTCCGGATGTCGGGAATTGCACCAACGTCTCTAATCCGGGTATGAAGGGTGATACCCGGAACGCATTCGCTGATGATTGATGGTGTGTCGAATACACGTCCGTTGCTGTCCGGTGTCCAACATCGTAAAGGGGAACCTGAGCCGGAACCGCCGTCCGAGCCGGCGATGTTCTCAACCCCCCCACCTCCCCACTTGTGGACTGTTGCTTTGCTGTAAGTGGTGCCCGACTCTCGGCGTATACGTGCAATCCACCTCGTTGCTCCGCGAACAGAAAATCAGGCGCTCGAGGGGGGAGTCGTGCGAACTTCTTTACCGGTGCGCGTGGGGGTGGGTTTGCGATGATGGTTGCTGGATGGTTGGTTCGGGCGATCGAGGGTTCAGCGAGAGTGCTATGGCATGCAGAGATGCGGACGTGTGGTGTAGTTGCGGGGATGTGCGAGAAGGCAGGGACCGATATCGTTGCACTGGCAACTCCTTTCCGCATCGTTGCGTCCAAAAACGTCGTCGGTCCGCCTCGGTTCGTCAACTGTGCGACATCCGAATTCCCCTTCATGGCTCGTGCCGCAACAGTCCGCGCCTTCCATATCCTCACACACTTCCGTACATTCCTGCTTACACGATCCTCACTCCCTTCCAGCACCCCTCCCCTCTCCCTCACCCAACTCACACCATCACCTCCTGCAACCAACCCCTTTTCCACCCTAATCCCATCCGCAACCCTCAACCACTGCCCCACAACCTCCCTCAGAACCCTCTCCGCCTTCCACCCCATCGCATCCCTAATCCTCTCCCTCTGCACCCGTTTGTCACGCACATAAGCAGCCCACCCTTTTATGACCTTGTATGAGAGTTTGCTGGCATAGTGGGCGAGAGGTTGCAGGACGCGCGCGGCGTGGAGGGCTTTGTAGGAGGGGCGGAGAGTGTGCCAGTGGTGGAAGGTGCGGGTAAGGAGGGAGTGGGTGCGGAAGGCGAGCGTGCGTTTTGTGGTTTTCTGTGGGGTGTGGCGATTCGGGAGTGAGTATGATAGATGAGAAAAAGGGTTGCATGAGTGTATCAACATACCCGCACCCACTTGCGATGCCACCGCGCACACCGCCACAACGCAAACGTCTTGCCCAGCTGCACCCGGACGAAGAAATCGTCTGCGCGGGCTTCCAGGGTGCGTTTGTATTGCCGTATCCGCAGTGTGAGGATCCATTTCTTCATTGTTGATCGTAGTTTTGCTGGTTTGGGATACGCGGGAAGAATGATAAGTGTTGTGAATTGGTAGCGCATAATTCTCGACGCGAGAGTGCATACCTCTTGATAACACGACAGCTGCCTCCGCGAGACTTTTCTCTCTCTCCAGTCTCTTTTTCCGTCTCGTGTCGGTGACATATTTCCAAGCTTCCGTAACCTAAAACCAATTAGCAAAATAAACCATCACCACCGCAAATTCCCGCAGCTCCCCTCCCACCCCCCGCCCCCACCACCTTACCGTCTTCAAAACCCCCCTATCCCTCCACGCCGCAACGTTCGCAAGCTGCTTCGCATCCTCGCGCTCATCGCGCATCCGATCTCTCCAAAACACAAACACGCTGCGTATGAACTCGCCGTTGTGGCGCATGCCGAAGTCGACGAGGACGTGGCGGAAAGATGTTCGGGCTGTTCCAAAGTTCTGTTTGCGAGAAATTTTCATGCGTAAGCTCTTGCGGTTTCTCGGAGAGTACGACTAACGATGAATCGAGATTGCTGCATTGGAGATGAGATGCAGGAAAACCCACCTTCCAACTCATAAGATACTTCTTCATCTGCATCCTCTCCGCATGCGCAACCGAAATCCGCCATTTGACCCTCGCCTCATGTATCTCCCTTACATTCTACACCCACGAGACCCCCCAATCAGCTTCACACATCCCATAATATCTCCTCCAAACCCTCGCCGACGTACCATTTCCCATTTTCGCCAAGCAGCACGAAGTGAGTGGATATAAGCGTACCGCACAGCAGTTTGCCACCTGTTGACTCTTTCCATCGCTTGTTCGGTGTAGGATGCCCATGCGCGGAGGACGCGAAGGGCGATGAGGCGGTTATTGGCTTCTATAGCTAATTTCTGGATACAGAGAACTATTGATTAGTGCCGAGTTGATTGAGGAGAGACGGTAGATGAGCTTACGAGGTGTGCGCGACCCGTTATCCGAGCCTCTGCATTCATTCGCAAGGCTTGCAGCACGCGGCGAAGGAGGAGGTGTTCATGGAGTGCGGCACCCTGCACATATGATTCGCGTTAGCATGTATGCCGCCAAGATTGTTCGCAGCAACATAAACGCCCACTAACCGTCATGGCCGCCTCACGTTTCTGTGCATGCTCTTGCTTGGCGTTGATCCAAGCCGCCCATGTAACACGTGTGAGAGCAGCCGCATACATCCGCTCCGCTAGTCCCCAACGCTCTCGACGTTGTACAGCGGCAGTATAGTGTGCTATCCATGTTTGCAAGGCGGTTCGGCTAATTCCAAGGATCCTTGATCGTTGGACATCTTGGCGTCGACTCTGCAGGGATCCGATGTTGAGCTCAAAAGGGCCAACGGCAGAGCCGATCAAAGGTTAGCGCAAAGGACCCTTACCCGCACATCCCTGTTCCGCAGCACGACGGCAAACCACCCCCTGATCATTCGTTTACTGACAGCTCGGCTGTGGAATGCGACTCCTGTTTCGAGTTCGCGTTGCTCGCGTTGATGAACTCGCTCGCAGAAGCGTGCTTTCCATCTTCGCCAGTTTCCCACCAGACTCTTTCGTATGTATCGATGGTTCGCGGTCGTGCGTTGTTTTAGCATATGCTGTAGTGTGCCGATGGTTTTGGTCTACCGCCTTTCATCAGATTGGTCTCTCCAAAACATCTGTAAATGGGGAGGCTAAGCACGCATACCTGCATTACTCGCTTGTGCCTCTCGTCCGCGATCCTACAGGCATCCTTCTGCAGTGCATTCCGTCTCACATCTGTGCAACAGCGTGAATAACAAACGGTCTCACCAAACCCCACGGGCGGGGCGCGCAGGCCAATGAAGACCCATACTCACATGCCCTCCAAGCCTCCACAACCCTCCTTATCACATATACCTCCCTATACCTCTCTGCAACGCCTCTTAACGCCTCCATCCCCATCTGATGCTGATGCCTTAATCTCCATAACTGCAATGCAGAGGTCGCGAGGTGGCGGTTGTAAAACACCATGGCCTTTTCTTTGACGGGGCCCCGAGATCAGTAACTCCGACATGTCATAGATTCTTGATACGTGTGCTTACTCACCGTTCATGAATCGTTTACGCTGGCATTGGTCGGTGAAGGTCTTCCAAGATCGGATCAGGGATGAAGATGTATGTGCGGCATGCCATCTCTCGGCCCGCTCATACTGCGCACGTTCATCCCACACCGATGCTGCTCTCCCAACCCATCGTAAAAAACAACCGCGGGCGAGGCGCTGCTCGTACGCTCTGTTTGCGTCTTCCGATGCGGCGATTTCGGCCCGGCGATGCTCCAACTTAGCGCGCCAGGTTGCGACGGTGCGCTTTAGGGTGGAGTGCACGGATAGTTGGGTCGCGCAGTCGTCGAGGCTCTGGAGTGTCCGGATGAAGGAGAGCCGTCTCGACCATTGGTTCCATATCCGGTGGGTGCATCTGTTTCGCGCTGTGGTGGACTGAGATGGTCAGATCTCTCTCCCTTGCTATGGCTATAAAGCACATCCGGCTTACCAAACTCCTTGGCCCTCTCCATCCGCGCCATCTTTGCCCGTCGCATCTTCATATACACCCTATTCCAGGCATTAATCTTAAACACTCTCCCAAATCGCCCGACGCAAAAACCCCGATCAACCATACCTCCACCCCCGCCACGTCCGATTAACCTCGCCATAGTTCCAATGCACGTCTGCCTTGACTTGCATCCTCCAAAGCCTACGCCGCGTCACATACGCCTGCCGCCAGGCACGGAAAGCTCGTCTCGACACTCCGGCGGCCCAGTGGTCGCGAGCTGTTTTCGCAGATCGTGCGCGGGATACCAAAGTCTTCCAACGCACTACGGCTGCACGAGCTACCTCCTCTTCCCGCTGTGATAGTGTCGGCCCTGCCTTTGTTGTGGTGGAGGGTTGCTGATTGCTAGTTGGTTTTGACATGGCTATTGGCAAGCGGGACGCCGGGACGTCTTTTTTCGCAGGGATTGTGACGCTTCGCATATGGATGCCCGCCAGCGGGTTTGAGACTCGTCGCTGTGGAAGCTTCCACAGATGGTGGCCGGGCAGCTGTTTGTTTAGGAACCGCGCTAAGAGTTCTGCAGCCTCATTTCTTGTATCGAGGATGTCGTCTGCCTCTGCTGTGATCATCTTGGTGGCAGCTGGGAAAATTCCTCCATTTCGGGAATGGACGCGTCCTTAGGCGCAGGGATGGAGTGCAGAAAGGGAAGTGGAGGGCATTAGAGTCAACGAGTCGATGGGACGCAGGAACTTTGAAGTTGAAGTGTGAACGCTCGAAGCATCATGCCGTCTTCAACTGCTTGGACTTCTCACCACAGCCAGGACATGGGTCATTCTAACTTCGTGGCCATTTCCTACGCATTTTTCTGGACAGACGACGGCATAGATGCCACCAGCAGAGTTATAACGGCGACGACCAGCAAGTTCAGCAAAAACAGCTGGATCCATCTTCCGTAGAATTGCACATCCCTTACGAAACAAGAAAAATACCAGAATATGGCTTCCCTGGGTGATGTTGATAAACGACATTTTTTCTGATTCGAGTAAACCAACGACCTTATGAGAAGTTCCTTTTTCGCAGAGCAAACGTATTGCTCCACTTATTTTCTGTTGGCCTTCTTTTTGACTCGAGAGGACGTGCTTTGCGTGCCCCGCGAGCTTCGATAGGGCCGTGTATGTATTTAGCAGGTGTGGGACTCAAACTTGCCCTCGGCCAATTGTCTGACTCTACGGAACTGACTGCGATGAACGAAGATGAGAACGACGGATAATCTCATGCTTCCTCGTTGATGGCAATAGAATCGATTCCCAGTGGGTCACAAGTACAGGCGACCGATGGCGAGGATGTTGAAGCGGACATGAGGAAAGCTGGCGCCTTTTTATGCGTTTTCCAGCAGTCGCTTTTCTTCTTGAACGGTGGCGCAGCAGCGCGTCGGAAGTGGCTTGTGCGAAACCCGTCAGTGGGCGTCAACACCTCTACCATGCCTCGACTACTGAAAGCCCGCCAGAACAATATAGATTACAATAATAAAAACATGTCGAGATTCTTGCGGAGATTGATGCCAGACGTATGTATACAAGGAACGGAAGATACCTACAATCTCACACCACTTATCCTCCACACGTGTATACGCCGTCAAATCTCATCCAACCACGGCGCCATCCAAGCTGCGGTTGGGACACAAAGGGTTGGTATACTCCACATAAGTGAATCCACATAAGGACTCCAGGTCTTGATACCACATCTGGATCCTGTCGTGAGTAGCTGAGAAGCCGCGGAGAAATAGTTCCTCTCGGAAATGGTGGGAGGAGGAGACATCGAGGATGTCTATGTATCGCAATCCCTTGTCGCAGATTAGGTACATTCGCACGAGAGTCTGACTGGCAATGAAAAGATACGCATCCTCGACCACGGTCATGCTGAAAATGGGACATTCCAAGTATACTTCCCTAGGCTTGATGATCACAATTGGGAAGAGCAATACCTGCACCGTGGTGCCGTGACGGGTGTCGAGAACGCGAACGCGGCCGGCGTGATCGTGGTAAGTTATGCCCGGGATGAAGATGAAGTGGCCCGAGCTACAGGGGCGGGGTTGTTCCAATCCTTCAAAAGCGAGATAGGCGTCCGCATCAAGTTCTTTGGGAATCTCCGCACCGTCACTTGCCCATAGAATCTGTCGAGCTGTCTTGCAGATGCATGTTGCAAGAGTGCGCGTTTGCGGGGGATCAGCCGTCGTTTGGAAGAGAACAGCGAGAGATTCAGTGTCCAATAGACTGTAGATTTTTCCGTACTCGGGAGAAGTCAGTGGTCGCCCTTGCGCATGAACAGCCCCGAATTTGTCGTCTCCGGCATCGATAAGCAGGAACTGAGGGAAGGGCCCACCGATGAGCACTCCAAATTCACCAAACGATGACCAAGAGCATATGCGCTCGGCAGCGTGACCGACGCTTATCTCCCGTTTCCAAAAACCAGTGCGAATGTCGAGGAGGCGTAGATCTCCATAGCATTGAGCAAGCAAATGATGTCCGGAAATCGCGATGCTGTCTGTCTCGAGCGGGTCGTCGCGATTCTCCCAAAAGGTTTTGACGGTCCAAAGATGCTGATAAGGAGCTTGACCATTCCAAACCACGAGCAAGTAAGCATCGGTATACTGATCGAATGAAGATTGATCGTGAAAGCGCGGACCGTCTAGAAATCCATGGTCTGATATCGGAATCGAAAATCCTTGCCGGTCATAGATAAACACGACAATGTAGTGTTCACTCGAAGAAAAGGCATAATCCTGTGGTTCCACGATGAGGCTGCTGCAAAGCGTTATTGGCAGCGCACCTAGCTTGTGCTCCACCAGAGTAAGAGGACCATTTGGTATATGACTAATCACTCTCCAGCGGTCAGAGAAAATCTTCAAACTATCTAGGACATGTCGGTATAGGACAGATACATCGCTAGGCACACATACAGGCTGCATTTTCGTCCGCAATCCTGTTCGCACTGTCCATTTTCTGAGAAAGAGCGCAAGCACTAAGGCACGCCGGTACCATCGGCATGGGTGGTTGAAGAACGGCAGCTCGTACTGTTCCTGCAAGCGATCCAACTGCGCCGCAGGGACGGACGATTCAATTTGCGGCATTATCGAAATATCTTCGCACGAGATCCAAGGGATGGTTGAACGCTCGTAAACTTTTCGCCAAAGATGTTCGTCGTCTTTGATGAAATTGTTCAAATCCTTGGAAGCGAGACCCAGACGGCGCAGAGATTGTGCGTCGAGAAACTTGGCGACGATGGATCTGCATTCCAAGGGCAGCTTCAGGAATAAGGTCATGGCAGTTGGAACTGGGTGTGCGTTGGGGAAAAGCGTTGTCTGATATGCTTTCTGATGTTCGTGATCTCGTCACTGAAAGGCAATGGGTGCTTTGGTGAGACCGATCGACATCAGAAATTGCTGGAATTGACCGAACCTCAATGCCTTGAAATTCGAGCTTAGACTGCGCGAAGAAAAGATGAAAATACTGCGACGATAGACGTTTTCTCTTGCAGTGAAGGATGAAACCAGCGTCCCTCTTCGGTCCCCTGTCCCTTTGCATGCATCATTGGGGGACCGTCGGGTTCTCGCGCTGTCGAAATCTTCTGCGATGGAAGGCAATAGAAGTTGTGGCGGGAGTGGCTTGGAGAAGTGGCTTGCGCAGGCACTGCTACGTTGACGACCACGGGCATTGCAGGCTGATCTCACCACACACCGTATTCCAATCTCAAAACAATATACAAGGTAAGACGGGGCAAAGATAGCGAGAGGGAGCTGTTTAGGGTTTTGCAAAAGAGGAGTCGCTTTAGGTGCGGATCGTGTGTGGATGTCACCGCAGGATGATCCTTGCAGAGCTCTCGAAGCGCCGAACGAACTCCCATCGCCTTTTGGATCTGAATGAAAACATATGTGACGGCTCGCATTGACTGACCCACAGCTTTCATTTCTTTTCAACCTCACTCTCATTCTCCATCGCTCGATCCTTTCTTGGTTATCCGCACGTTCACTCCCGTCATCTCATCACCATGGCACTTCGATTCTCCAACGTCCTCCGATCTGTTCACAACGCGGGTTTTCGCCAGATGGCTCTCCCTAAGGTTTTCTTCGACGTCACTGCTGACAACGAGCCCCTTGGCCGTATCGTCATGGAGGTATGTAATTGAGCGAAAACCCCCATCATTTCCTGATAAAAAGTGGTCTCGCTTTGTCAACATCCGACTTATCCCTGCATTTTTCCAATCCAGCTCCGCTCCGACGTTGTCCCCAAGACTGCTGAGAACTTCCGTGCTCTCTGCACTGGCGAGAAGGGTTTCGGTTACGCCGGATCCAGCTTCCACCGTGTCATTCCCCAGTTCATGTTGCAGGGTGGTGACTTCACCAACCACAACGGTACAGGTGGCAAGTCCATCTACGGAAACAAGTTCGAGGACGAGTAAGTTATATTCTTCGTGGAGGGCTGAAAGGTCCGCCTATGCTCATTGCGAATCCATACTAAACGTGTTACGTCCGATCACAGGAACTTCCAACTGAAGCACACCGGACCCGGTATCCTCTCCATGGCCAACGCCGGCCCCGGAACCAACGGCTCCCAGTTCTTCATCTGCACTGTCCAGACCACCTGGTTGGACGGCAAGCACGTCGTTTTCGGCAAGGTCACCGAGGGTCTGGACGTTGTCCAGAAGATCGAGTCTTTCGGCTCCCAGTCTGGAAAGACCAAGAAGAAGGTCGTCATCGCCAAGTCCGGCCAATTGTAAATTTGATCCCTTGATAGATCTGTAGTGCCTATAGTAACCCGAAACTAAGTGTGCTATTGTATTTGAATACATGTGATCAGCCAGACCTCCCATGTGTCTCTATGGTGACGGATCCCAGCGCACTCGCAGCACTCGCATCTGGGGAAGATGTTAGCGAGACTTGGGCGTATGGCAAAAGCAAACTTCTCATGTGCACAGTGAGTCACAAATCAGTCGTTGACAGGTCACGTGGTTTTATTCCTCGCATGAGAAACGAAACCACAGGGGGCCGATCAACACCAGCAATGAATAGACAGCGACGCGCCCCCTACCTTGTGTTTCCCTTGGCTTCTGCGCTTTCCGAGGAACGCAAAGGGCAAGAGGGACGGGACAGCAAGGGTTTGCCATTGTGTGAAAGCTCAGCAAGGAGAACAATTTTCCCACGCCCAGACAGTCGCTGATTCCCCACGCACCGTCTTCAGTCCATCGCCACTTTCTCTGCCTCCTCAACTTCCCATTCGAATCTCGCTTCGTTTGAGAAAGACATTCGCTCGGTGCACGTTTCCCCACTCCTTTCGGACGTATTCCCACCGATCAACAAAACTCCCAAGCGTACCCAATGATGTCAGGTTACTACAACAACGATAGCTCCAACGGATACAGGGGCGGTTCCTCTGGTGGAAGCTACGGTGGAGGAGGCTACGGTGGGGGTGGTTCTTCCTACACCGGCGGGGGCTCCTCGTACGGTGGAGGCTCCGGCTATGGTGGCGGGGGCGGTTCCTCGTACGGTGGAGGTGGATACGGCGGAGGCTCTTACGGAGGTGGCGGCGGTTATGGAGGTGGTGGCGGTGGTTACGGGGGAGGTGGCGGCTTTGGTGGCGGCGACAGAATGTCTGGCCTCGGAAACAGCCTGAGGAAGCCGGATTGGGATCGCGAATTCGCCAGCTTGCCCAAATTCGAAAAGAACTTCTACGTCGAGAACCCCGCTGTCACGGCGCGTTCAGAGTCCGAAGTTGAGGCCTTCAGGAGGAAGCACGAAATCACCGTCGTCGGAACCGATATCCCCAAACCTGTCGAGGCTTTCCACGAGGCGTCGTTCCCATCCTATGTTCTCAGAGAAGTCGAGGCGGTCGGATTCTCTACGCCTACCGCAATTCAATCACAGGGATGGCCCATGGCCTTGAGTGGTCGTAACCTGGTATGTATTATTTTCACTTGCTACCGACCCTTAGTTGCTTTGCGAACCCAATTCTCACGTTCTCGTCGTATGTAGGTCGGTGTTGCAGAAACAGGTTCCGGAAAGACTCTCGCTTACGTCCTTCCCGCCATTGTTCACATCAACGCACAACCGCTGCTGCAACCCGGAGACGGCCCTATTGTTCTCATTCTGGCCCCTACCCGTGAACTCGCGCTCCAGATCCAACAAGAGTGCTCGAAGTTCGGACATTCGTCAAAGATCAAGAACACCTGCTTGTATGGTGGTGTACCACGTGCGCCCCAAATGCGTGCCCTGCAAGCCGGTATCGAGATCTGCATTGCAACACCAGGTCGTCTCATCGACATGCTGGAATCTGGAAAGACGAATCTGCGTCGTGTCACATATCTCGTCATGGACGAAGCTGACAGGATGTTGGACATGGGTTTCGAGCCCCAAATTCGGAAGATCGTTGACCAGATCCGACCTGACCGTCAAACGCTCATGTGGTCCGCTACATGGCCAAAGGAAGTACAAGCCCTGGCTCGCGATTACTTGAGGGACTACATCCAGGTCAACGTCGGATCCATGGAGCTGTCTGCCAGTCACAACATCACACAAATCGTCGAGATGTGCGCTGAGTTTGACAAGCGTAACAAGTATGTTCGTCAACGCCATTTTGAGTCGAGGTCTAATCGTTCGAATACTAACAGCTCCTTTTCAATCAGGCTCGTGCGACTCCTGGAGAAGGCTGCGGACGACCGGGCAGCAAAGACCATCATCTTCACCGGAACAAAGCGTGTCGCTGACGAAATCACACGGTACCTGCGCCAAGATGGATTCCCAGCACTCGCCATTCACGGAGACAAGAAGCAACAAGAACGTGACTGGGTCATGCAGGAGTTCAAAACCGGCAAGGCGCCAATCTTGATCGCTACGGATGTCGCTGCTCGTGGATTAGGTACGTTTCAAATCTTGGCATTTGGGTGATGGCTTGCTCGTGGAGCAATACCACGCTCCCTCCCTTTCTCGACTGGCACCTTTTGTCGAAGTTTCATACGAGACAGACACACCCACCGCGCTCACTGACCACAGAAGGATCCGGGACGCTGATTGGAGCACACTTCATCGGCGTATTTTTCTTTTTTGTCTAAAGAAAGGGGAATGCGCTCATTACTCCCACGTGCTCTTCAACGGCGTCTTTGGATAGTCAGAACAACTGCGCGAGCGGGCGGGAAAGGACACGTACATCACCTCACCGCAGGCGAAAAGGACAAAAAAGGAAAATCACCCTTTTTCTTTTGTGAAAGGCTTCCCCCTCTCTTCTGAAAAAAGCCTTTCTGTGTTTTTTCTCGGCGGTTTGTTCATCTGTGCAAAAATACCGAAAAGCTCCGCATTCAGTTGGAGTTCATTCTTGTATTTTGTTCGTGAACAATACCATCACTATGTTGAGAAAACTAAAAACAAAAAGGCAATGGGGAAGTGAAGCAAAAGGAATTGGATTGAGCTGTTTTTTCTGTTTTTGGTGGTCTTTTTTGTGGCCGTGAGGAGTACCGTCTCTCTCGTGTGGTGTGTGGTCTGCATCGGCGTTGGAAGGCGATATCGTCGTCGTCGTTGCGTTGGGCTTGTCATACACCCCGCAAAGCGGGGCTGGGTACTCTTGTCAGAGGCCTCGTTCAATCTTTGGCATTGGTCGGATACTTTGGGTTGCGCCTTAGAACATCATTGTGCTCCGCCGTATGCTGAACGCACCTCCCTTCGAAACTTTCCCCATCTTAAACCGCAAACCGCAAAACGTCAGTCTAACCGATTTATTTATCTCTCCCTCTTCTTCAAAAACAGACGTCAAAGACATCAAATTCGTCATCAACTTCGACTTCCCCAACAACATCGAGGACTACATCCATCGTATTGGACGGACTGGGCGTGCCGGGTACGTCTTCCAGATCACTGTTGTGTATCTAAGGGCTTCTCGACTAAAATTCGATGATATGATTTCTTCTTTTAGAACGACGGGAACAGCCTACACCTTCTTCACCGCCGACAACTACAAGCACTCGCGCGAGCTGGTCAAGATCCTCGACGAGGCGAGGCAGGATGTCGATCCCAAGTTGAGGGAGATGGCGCAGAATAGCGGTGGTGCGTACAACAACATCCCCCTCTTACCATCCCCCCATCTCATTCCATTTACTGACTCTTGATATTTTTGATTACTTATAGGTTCGTACGGGCACTCCCGCTACGGCGGCGGCGGCGGCCGAGGAGGCGGCGGACGCGGTGGAGGTTACGGTGGAGGCGGCGGTTCGAGCAGATACCAGCCTTATGGACGTCGTTAAACACCTCGACGTGCCGTCCCAAAAAAAACTATATCTTTGGAATCCCCCAAAAAAACACAAAACGCAACACGACCCGTCCTTCCCTGTATGGACGGGGCGTGTATGGGAAGGACGGGTTTTGTTTGATTAGCTATCCCTTGATGCCGCCCATTTGCCCTTGTTAGTGGGTGGTGGTTGTGTATTGATTTATGTCTGTTTTTGTTTTCGTCGATGTGTTTGGATGTGTGTGTCTTTTTTTTTTTACTTAATCTCTATACGTGGTGACTTAGCTTGTGCTTGGTGCGCATGGATTATGGTGTGGATTGGAGGTAGACCTAGTCAATGGAAGACATAGGTCGCTGTTTGGGATGGACTTTGCGGTTAATCGCGAGACGGGGATCTTTGCGCCCTGTTGAGCACCAAGTCGCGCAACACGAGGAGGAGATGCGGCTCCAACCCGACAAGGCGTCCAGCAGCATCCTGCAGTGGGTGAGCGTGTACAACCGGTACATCTCCTTCTTCGTGCGTAACTTTGGCGAACCGGCAAACGTCCTCGGCAAACAGCACATGACACAAGTCATCGCGACACTGCGGTCTATCCTGTGCAAGCTGTTCCCGGATCACGGCGGCGACACCGTCAGGTACCTGAACGACATGACCCGCAAGAGGTTCCCGCTGGTCAGTCGTGAAGCTATCCCGGGCGCCGATGTATGCATTGGCCGATTGCCGCTGACGGACTTTGGCTGCATAGCCCTTTCCTGGACGCTTTTGCTCTGCACGCGTCGATGAAGTTTAGCGACGATTCCACCAAGGCGCAGCCAATGGCGGCTCATTAGCACAGCCGGATCTTGAAATCGTTCTTCAAGAATTGCCTTGCAACGGTCCTGCATGCCCTTCGAGGAGTACTGCAATGCACGGGAGGTGTCCACCGCTAAGCAGCACTGGATGTGCGCGCGTACACACGCCCCATGGGCAAGCCGGAAACAGCTCGGCCGACCAATACGTCTACCTTGCGTACGGCGTTGGCTGCCCTGCGCGCGCAGGAGTTGCTGTTGACGCATTTGTCGGCATCGGCGGCGTCGCCGCACAATCAGGAATGGACGGCGATGAACCCGTATTGGCAGTGGGTGTTCTGTCATTATGGCGGGAAGCTGTTGATTGAGTTGGGATCGCTTGCATATTTCAACCGCAAGTTGATTCCGCTGGGAATGATATCGGCGTTGAAGAGTGCGAGGCTGAAGTGGAAGTAAGAACTGGGCGAGCGATGTTGATGGAAGTGTGGCGGGAAGTTTTGGCGGTGCTTTGTAAATATGTGAGGTTGACAGCGTAACAGTGCAGCCTTTCCATTGTGAATACAGAGATTTGTATATAGCACTGCTTATTGATGACTCTTTATTGCCCATGAGGTTTTCTTTCACCCAGCCGAGCGGGAGTGCTGGAAGGACCTGAAATTGACAGCCAGTGACGGCATCTGATTTTGGACTGACAGGACTGTCATTTCTTGAACTCCGACCGCGTCACCCGATCGCTTGAACTTTTAGATCCCCGTTTCCCCCAAAGGTTCTTGAAAGCCAAGCAGCGAATCCACGTCACCCCAGACCCAAGCTATGGGCTCGAGAGAGAACCCGCTACTCTAGTAGCCCCAGATATTTCAGGCCGTCCCTTCACCGAATTTTCGGCTCATTACCCCTTCATTTTCACATCCAGAAAAATAGGGACTCATTCGAGTACAACAGAAACCTGCTCTCCACACAGTCCATTCGGCGATTCCACCGTTCCTCACGGTCTTGCGCAAGATGGACGACTATTACGAGCACATGGAAAGAATTTTGGCTGAGCATGTAGCAACATCTATCAGCAGCGAGCCGGACACCACAGCAGGCTTCGCCGCTCTCGGCAACTTCTACAAGTGCCAAGCGTTTAGAAAGCATTTCGGCCTGGACACTCAGCCGGCCTCCAAGCTCAATCTCGTCTGGACCGTCGAAACCGGAGACCAGAAACGTTCGATCCAGCGAAGATGGGACCCTGCCTCTGGCCTGCTGCCGACAGTTCGTTTGGGAAATGTCTATCGAGATTTTCATTATATGGCTGATGAATGGACGGGTGGGAAGACGCCGGCGCTGTGGGTGCTGCAGGGCAGCGTTCCAGCAGAGGCTGTTGAAGAGGTACTTAGCAGCTTGAAGGAGAATGGGCAGGATGCAGTCACCGACCAAGCCGACGGCACTCTATTCTCGTTCATGTTTGTCAGCGCCGCTGGAACACGCACTCGCCGCCAGTGTGGGATTCCAGTGGAAGATGTGATGGCGCTTTTGGAGCAGGCCAAAGCTGTGGAAGAGATGCTTGACGACTTGGAATCTTGCGGTATTTGCTCCGTCTCTTTCGGACAGTCAGAGCGAGAGGAATTCGGGCGCTTTGGCGGCGCACACAAAGGCGTGGAAAGCAAGCACACAGATCGCGTCCTCATAACGGCCTTCAATCCCAGCGACCTATCTAGAGTGTGGTCATCAAGCACTACCGATTGCCGATTTGGGTGTGTCCATATCAAACTCAGGAGATCTCCAACTTTTCGCCCGCAGGTGGACTCGCAACAGCTCTCTTGGGAGCCGTTCACCGATACGCAAACTCGCAATCCTAAAATCGAATGGGAGGGAAACGTCTTTGTCGATAAGCATGAACAATGCCATATCCGCGACCCGGAAGCGAAACTTTTTGGACTCCATTCTGTCGAACGCTGCGACACGCTCGCAGATTATGCACCGTTGATCCACTACGTCTTTTACCGTCTGCAAACGCTCAACACAAACATCAACCATCAAAAAGGCTGGCCAGAGATTCGGTTTCCGTTCCCACGCATCTTTGACTTTTTCAATGAACCTACGGCCCGCGCGGTGGGGTACAAGCCGCCGCAATGCTTCAAGACGTCCATGACTGCCGCACTCGCCTGGGCATACGCCTTTGTGCGTGGATTCACCGTGACGGTCATATTGCGCAATATCGGTGCTCGGCAGACAGGCGTAGTGGGTTTCAAAACGAAAGGCATTGCCACAATCAACAGACACATCCGCCGTTTCATCGAGGAAATAGCCGATCAGATTCGCGATAACGGGTGGGACGAAGATTTGGAGGACGTGATCGAAGCGCTCTCGTTGAATATCAAAACCGACCAAGTGATGAAATGGGGCGAATCCAACTCCCTTCGCAACACGCGCCTCTCAGACCCTCGACGCGCGGAAGGGTTTGCGAAACAGTGCGACCGCCTAGCGGCTGAAGTCAACTCGGTCCTGGTACTCCCGCTCAACATCAGCGCAATGTATTTGTTTATCGAGACCATGAAGAACGTCGGCCAGCTCAAACGCACGGTAGTTATGATTGATGAAGCGGATGAGCCCATTTCATCTTATGCACGTAACGGTACATGTATTGAAAGAACTATGTACCCAACCGGAGCGGGTCCCGGCTGTCTTCAATCGGAACTATTTGATGCAAACGAAGATGACGACGAGCGGGACGAAAGCGAGGTAGAAGAGGAACTCGTGGACCTGTTCAACGACAATCACATGAAAAGCATTCCGCACTTGATCGGAATCACGGCGACCATTCATCCAATCCTCTTCACGAATCAAGACACATTGTTTTATACCTTTGTGATGCCGGTGGCGCCCAACTACATCGGCATCAATACGCCAAAATACTGCACTCATCGAGTGGCCATCATCACTGATAGACTGCCCGTGCAGCCTTCGCAATCGAGAATGCTCGACGCCGATGAATGGTGGAGCGTGGAGAGACCCGTGCTTGAACGAATATACCAACGCTGGGAAGCGGACAAAGCGGACTTTGCGGCATGCCTCATCACGACGAGCGGAACCACTTGCCGAGTCGCCAAGCAGCAGATTGGCGCGATCGCTATCGCGCACAGCACAACGTTCCCGATCGCGGCCGTCGTGACCAACGGTGTATCTACGGAAATCAACTTTTCGCGTCATTTCTGGCACGTCACCCCCGAAGCGATCCGAGTACAGCTGGTCAAACGTCTGAAGAAGCGGGGAGATCTCAAACTACTGCCAAAAGCGTCCTTCGGAGCCTGCCGGCCCCGTCTGCTTCCCGTCGATTTTGAACAGCTCAAAATTCGCGTGCTACCTCTAGCCAACAGCTTCCGCATCGAAGACGAGACCGGCACCATCTACACCCGGCAGCATCCGAGCGTCATGATCGAGTTGGTGCTCGCGGCGTTTGAAGCAGCGCGCCTCCCTCACCCGCGGTGCTGCTTCCTCGGCACCGACGTGATGTGCGGGCGCGAGAAATCGTACGTCTCGTTCAGCGGACGCGAAGCTGTCACCGATATGTACCAAAACTATCCAGCGGGGCAGAATATGACCAAGGCGTGTCAGACAACGGGCCGGGTGTGCGGGGTCGTCACACATGCGAATGCGAAACTCAAAGTGCGGCGATTATGGATCAATAAAGATGTGTATCAGGACATCCTGTTCATGCAGAGCCTGACCGACAATGTTATTCAACTGCTGGGGAAGTTCCGTGGGGAGTCGCTTGACAAGATCAGTCAGCGTGTCGTGGCGGGGAGAACCGGGCTTTCGGCGCAAGATGTGGAGCACTGGAATAGGGTTACGGAGATGTATCGCCGCACGGTTACGGGCGCACAAGGAGGTGGACGCCGCCGCCGAAACAATAACAACAATGAGGATGAGCAACCGAAGAAGAGGGTCAAGTTTGCGAAGCCGCAGCATCAGAAGGAGGTCAACAAGATGGTTGAGCATATGTCTTTCTTGTCGATGGCGGCGGAAAAGCGTATGGTGGTTGCCGGAGGTCAGTCTGGGTGATATATGCCGGAAGAGGTTGAAACATTCACACCTTAGCGGCGGGGTTTTGTCAACCGCATCGATGGAAGAACCGCCAAATCATTTCATGCAAGGGGATTTGCCCATGAAAGCGAACGATATCTGGTCACCAAGCAAGTAACAACGAACGGAAGCGCACGATGCTGCTGCATTTGGATGAGACCACGTTTATGCCTATTATCGGGTGGGCTCACCGAAGACTCCCCTGCCTTGATAAGTGTACGTGGCCCTCGCTGCTTTTATGCGGTAAATGCAAATCAGCGAAATCGCCTCCCACCTGCCTCATGTATATAGCTGAATAACTTATATAGTCGCTCCAAAATAGCTGAAGAAACACATTCAATAACATTCAGTCGGCAATCAATGCCTCTGCACTGGTCTTCAACGGTTCTTCAATCATGAGACGTGGTCCTCGGGACAAACGGAAGAAAGAGCTACATCACCCAATGTTTTGGTGATCCTCCATCACGGGACTGACTGGGCCGACCCCAGCTTAGCTTCGGACATATGGCCGTAGTCCGACGCCTTCCGCGCATCGTGTGAAAAATGACGGCGGCCGAAATCCTTTTTAACATGCATTTCCTACGCACTTCGGGCCTCATTGCCATCTTCACATCTCTCGCCTTGCCTTGCCCCACGGCGTCCATGTCTTACGCAATTAGCGGCGTCCACTCTTTCTTCCCCACCAACACGACAACATGAGCTGCTTTCCCGTTGATGTGCCCGTTCTCAACCTCTTTCAGAAGGCGTAAGCGTGGTATCTTCTTTCCAGCCAGTTCATCTTTGTTCATCTCTGCCGCTTCGAGAAGCAACCACCGGCGAGTGCGAATCAAGGCCAGCGCCACCTACATTACTGATCGGGCCGCGGGGAATAGTTTTACTCCCTCCTCGGACCGAGTGAGGGAAGCAAACTCAAGCACCTCCGGCGGCGCAGGGCTGCCGTTCCCCGAGCAAAATCTGTTACCTTCCGCGTCCTTCCATCACGCAGGGCCAGTAACTGGGGCGATACTTGGCGAGGCAATTCTTTGGCCGTTTATCCAAACGTGAGCGTTGTTCTTCGGTTGACCTCTTCGGGAGACTATGCGCATGGAGCCTACAACTAATTGTCTTAATGAGTGGATATCCTACTACAAGCCCGTGCCCGTCCGTGCGGACTGGTTAGCTTCAAGTTGTTTGCTATGAAGCCCTCTCAGTAGTCTCCCGGGGCTGTTGTCAAGGCTGTATGCTTCACTTGGCCCACTTGGCCCACAAATCTCCGTCGGCGTGTCCATTGCGAACATTGCGACGTGGCAAATGCGAACATCACCCAAGCTTCGCACTCTGCTTCGCACTGCAAGAATCAACGGCTACCTGGATACAGAGTGACTCTGAGACCTTCTATCCCGACGAATATATTCGTCTTGTAGGCCATATCCCTCCTCTGTCTCTCTCTACTGGGAATTAGCTTGTTTGACAACAACATCGGGTTGGAGGTGGTCACTAGACGACGTTTCCCAGACCATACAATGGAACCCACAAACGGCAACCACCATAAGTTGCTGCGGCAGAAGGATAAACTGGGGAGACTCCGAGCGTTAAAGTCGGCACCATTGTCCTCCGAAAGCCACCTCATACTCCGCTCATGTTCCTCCTACCGCCCCTGCAACCTCCCCCTTCTCGGCGGCGACGAAACCTCCACCCCTCGCCCAGCATCCTCAACCCTCGCTTCCGCTCTCACCGCTCTCGGCTCCATTACCGGCGCCGCTGTCCCCTCAGCCGTCCCCTCCGGCCCCGACGGCTTTATCTCCACCTACGTTAGTGATCTGTTTCGTTCCTCCCCACATACAACCCTGCAAATCCTGCTAGGAACCTCTCTCTATGTCTCACACAGTGTCGGATTGACACCTTACCACAATTTGCTGTTCCACCCTCGTTTGTTCTGGGCACCGAGATATCAGCTATGGCGGGGTGTCACGGGTTTCGCAGTCACAGCGTTCAGTCTGATGGATGTTGTGAAGAGCGCTGTGGGGATGGTCTACTGGCAAGCGCCGCTGGAGAGATGGTTCGACGGATCCGGCGACGTCGTCCGTGGAGCCATCGTCGTGCGTGCAGGGAGAAATAGGTCTCGCAAGAACGCGAGCGGCGGCAGTGGCGGCGGCGGGCGCAAATCCGTCCTGGAGTGGCTGCTCCTGGACAACAAATACATCCGCGCACAAGCCCTCGCAGCCGCCGTCATCATCGCCATCGAACTCATCCTTCAACGCTCGACCGCCTCTTACATCCCCACCTCCGTCGCCAACGGCACAATCGACCTCTCCTCACTACCCTCCAACATCACCCAACACCTCCCGTCCGCAATCACATCCATGTTCCTCTTCCCTTACTCCCTCTTCCCGCCCCTCGAACACGCCCTCAGATGGTTGTGGGCTCTCACCGCCCCAACAACGACGGCAACAACGGTCCTCGGCGTTGTGCCCATCAAACCCGTCTACCTCCCCCTCGCACTCTGCGCGATGGGCGGGTTCTCCTCTTGGAAGGATATGCTCAAAGGCCTCGTTGCCGCCCTCGTCGTTGGCAAAATCATGGATGTTAGACGACCGCGCCCCGTTGATTCATATGTTGATTCCGGCGCCGGGTCGTCGTATGCGGCTGCTGGTGGTGGTTACGACGATAACATCGCCGACCCGCTCTCGCAGAATGTGGTCGATTGGTTCGCGGATACGGTGGCGAGCTGGGTCGTTTGGGGGAAGCGGCAGTCCGTGTCTGTGATCGGCCCGGCTGCGCCTGCATCTACGACAGCGACGTTCACACCACCCGCAGCATCGGCATCCATTGTGCAGACTGTTACGGGCTTCTTTGCGTCTTCCGTCACGCCACCGCCACCATCGTCTTCGCAGCAGCAAGGGTACCGAACGTATAGACGTCACGACAACCCGCGAGCGGCCGAGGAGATTCGTATGTCCGACCTCGATTCGGGATATTTGTGAGGTCCATGCGATATATCATCGCGTGTGTTCCTGCGGTTGACGGATGCGTGACTAGGGCGTGTTGGTGGGAATACGTTTCGGATCGGGATCGGCGTCCAATTCCTTCTGCACGCAACGCCAGCTCAACGACGACTGTCAATCAACGCCATCCCACTCAACCTCTTGTTCTTTTTTGACCTATTTCCGAGTTTGCGTATCATTGTATTCCTTTGTACCTTCCAAGTTGTAGGAAGCCAGTCCGGGGGGAGGTTTCGTAGTGGGATCTGCTGGGCGGACGGGAAAATCATACAGTGTACATGTTCTTTTGCTTCTGTTTCAATACATTGTTGTGAAGCGCACATACGATGATCTGTGGGATGCTGGTCTACCCCCTTGAGACAGCTGAACTGGGGCTCGCTGTTCGATGGAAATGAGAGCGATCAAAAATGCGCTAATATACTTGTTCTGCTCACGATCCTTGGCCTACAGATATGGGGATGCTACATTTCTGCAAGTATTTTTGATTTACTACACAAAGGAAAACCAAAACCCTAAGGTGGGAGAAAAAACCAAAATCCCTTCCCACTATACTGTCCTAACACCTAGTCACTATTGGATGAGTCGCTGGATGTGCCCTCATCACTACTGTCTGATCCCAACCCCACTTTGGGTGGTTTTGTCCGAACGAAGATGAATAATGGAACGAAAAAGAGGGAGAAACAGAAAAAGAAGGAATGAATGCATTAGTTTCCATCAGCAATATCTCAATCCCCAAAAGAACATCTTGCGCAACGATGAATCACTGAAAGCCAAGATGCTTACTTGGTTTGGCGGCTGGTGGCTGCGATGCGTGGGCGGAGTGCGACGCAGCCACACTTCCTTTGACAAAATTGAACAACCGCCGTTGGGTCGGAAGATCCAGAACTTCAATATCCAACTCGATTTCTCCCGCATCGCTCGTCTGGATGGCGGGGGGTTGCGAAGTATCAGAAAAGGATCGGAGATGACTCCGTGTTCAGAGGCAGCGACATTGGAACCAAAAAAACCCACCCCTAACGCAAACTCACCTCTGGTAGCCCTGACCCCGCTCTGATTATATCCATGACGGTTTCGATCTTCTCCGCCGTCAACTCTCCAACCAACTCGCTGAGTTCCTCTTTCTCTGCCCACGAAAGCGGCTGCATCCCCTCCTCACCCTTCGCCTTCCCCTTCCTGCCCCCTCGAGGCGCGGCGGTCGCTGCTTTGCGCTTATATGGATGGAAGGTCTCCTTCGCTTTCATCTGCTTGCGTCTCTTAGGTCCCGCGGCGGAGGCGCTGGGGCCGGGGGAGACGGTTGCGGCGTGGTATTGATGCTGAGGTTGTTGTGCGTGCTGCTGTTGGTGGTGATGCGACATCGACTTACGCTTGGCCTTTTTGCGCGCCCGCTTGTCTTGGATGATGCCGATCTGCGTCATGATTGACTGGAGTTGCGTGTTGAGCAGGCCGAGTTGTTGGGCGTCGACGGCTGGATGTGCGGTGATAAAAGAGGATGGTGTCCGTCAGTCACTGGTGTCGATGAAGGGCAGTTTTACAACTGCAGAACAGATATAACATACCGTCATCAGACTCATCGTCCGAGCTCATGCGCCCCTGCATCATGGGCTGGTACTGGGGCGCCGCCGCAACCTGCTGCTGCTGCTGCGGCTTCTTCACCTTCTTCCCCGCCTGCCGCTGCTCCCCTTTCGCAACCATATTCGCCACAACCGCGTCCTTCGCCGCCCATTTCCTCTCAAACACTTCCTCCAACTTCTTCCCATGCGTATGGATATCATGTCCGACGGGGTTAAAAACAAAACAGTTCCTCAACATCAACCTCACGTCGCCGGCAAACGCGTCCGCGTCGGCGTACGATCCGGTCTCCAGCTTGCGCCGGATGGTGGACAGATCCATGGGGTGGGTGACTACAGTGCGGTAGTGGGGGATGCCCAGCGCGTCCGGGTCGACGGGTTGCAGGAACGGCCAATTGTACGTCGCGCGGGTTTTCTTGCAGAGCTCTTTCAGGACGTCGTTGCAAAATTTGAGTTCAAGGTCCGGGTGGGATGCGCTGGACTGCGGGGCCGCGGCGCTGGCGAGGTTGAGGCTGTCGCTGCTTCCCTCGCGATCGATGGGTGAGTTGAGTTCGAGAAGGCCCTTCAGTGCGAGCTGGCTAGCCTCGCGGCGAGGACGGGTGTCGGCGATGGAAGGTTCGCTCGGAGTGTTTGTTGCCAAGGGCGGAGGGATCATAGAGTCGCGCTTGCGTTGTTTCGGCTCCTTAGGCTTGAGGATGGAGAGGATGCCATGTTAATTCATGAAAAGAGTCGCGGCCAAACACCGCCTCTCCAAGAAGCCGACAATCAACATACCTGCAAAGGCATCTTCTCTATCAACCTCTCAAACGCCCCCTCCAGCCTCTCTCCACTCTGCCCGGTTACCGACGCACGTCCATTATACAGGTAACAATTTGCAAACATGAGCTTCACATCATTCACGAACTCCTGCGGCGTCGGATATTGTGCCGTGCGCCACTTTAGCTCGATGGTCGAAAGGTCCATGGGCTGCTTGACTATATCGTAGTAGGTAGGGATTTTGAGTTTGACTGGGTCGACTGGCGAGAGGAAGGGGCGTGCGTCTTTGAGGCGTTTGAGCTGTTTGAGTACGCTGCCGCAGAAGCGAAGTTGTTCTTGCAGGAGGCGTGGGTCCGTCTGTCCAGTGACTTGAGTGTCCGAGGCGGAAGCTTGATAGAGAGGCGCTTCCGGCTCGCTCTGTTGGAAGGCAAGACAATGTTGATGAAAAGTAGCGTGAGGGCCAAGTATAAGTGATGCGGGACTCAGACTACCAGCAATGGAAGACCTATGCCACATACCTTCGCTGTGACTTGGGCAACCTCGGCACCCACACTGGGGGTCGGTTGGTTGACCGCGGCATCACCAGTCTCTACACGACGCTCCACACCTTGCTTCTGAATATCCAACTCCATTGGCGTGACCTTCGCATCCGCATTGCCCGTCTCGACATCTCTCTCCCCACCTTGCTCCCGAATGCCTATCTCCATCGATGTTTCCCTCGCATTTTCATCCGACCGCTTCTCCTGGCGAAGTTCACTGTCCCGACGTTCCACTGCTGCATGTTTCGACTTTACTGCTGAGTACCACTGCTGGGTTCCAATTTCATGGTGCACCCCGGCGACCGCCGCATCCCCGTCCGCGAGCGTGTCCTGCCGGGTTTCGACTTCCTTCGCCATTGATGCGTTCGCTTCCTGCGCCAGGGTCTCAGGTTGACGAAACTCCTCAGGCAACCCACGGTTCTCCACCGCGACGTCATTCCGAGCGCTATCCTTCTCGCCGACCGTCTCCAGCGTCTTCGCTCCTTCAGCCGAGGACGTAGGCACGGGCGTCACCAGCACGGGCGTCTCCGCCGTCTGCTCCGCATTCTTCTCCTTAGCCACGATGGTTCCCGGTTTCATCAACGGTGTCACCAACGGCGTAAGCGAGATATCAACCGTCGGGCTCTCGAGCTCCTCCTCCTCCATCGGGATTTCCAAAACCATCTCCTCCTGCCCCTCCTCTTCGATCATCTTCATCTCGCCAAATCTGAAATCCCCCGGTGGGGAAAACCTCGTCCTGCCGCCCCCGTCGTGGCTTGCGCCGGCAGCGTGCGGAGGGGGGTACGCGTCTTGGAAATGTTCGAAGCCAAGTCTGTATTGGCGCGACCGTTTGCGGGTCGGGGATGAACCCGCACCGGATGCGGGACTGGTGGCTTCGTCATCGGTCGCATCGGAAGCCTTTCGCTTGCGCGAGGGAGCATCGTCTGTGTTGAGGACTGAGTTGACGTCCATTGCGTAGGGTTTGATGTGAGGTTATGGGGTATGGCCGGCTGGTGAACATCGGCATGAGAGTGCCGCCAGGATCAGCTGCGTCTCGGTTTTACGCCACAATTTCTTGCTTGGTAAGTTGTCTCGGGGTTCAAATGCTGTGTTGCGAAGTTCAGAAGCGTTGCCACAACCGGCTCAGGCGGTGAGACCGAGGTGAGGAGGATGTGCGATGCGTGGGCGATATGCACCAATCTAACTGTGCGTACGTATGGCACTGCGAAGCTCGGGTTGGGGTGAGTTTGCGGGGATGTTTGTGTTGTTGACTGCAGGACACCGACTGACAGGATGGCTTATGTCAGCGACCGGATTGACAGTTTCCCACTGACGTCTGAGGGAGAATTATGCGAAACTTTGGTCGGATGGGTTCGTCTAGATCTACGGAGCAGAGCTTCATCTATCCACTCTCCTTCACATGCCGAAAGCCTCTGGCCGTGCATTGCGCTCACCAATGCCTGCGGTCAGAGACTCTAAGCATGGAGTGGCACTGGGGAACTTGTGCGAGTGTGGACATCTGTTCGACGCAGAGAAACCACGGCCGCATGTCAAATCTGCAACTGCTAACGCAAGGTCGCTCGAGCATCCCTTAGATGCATGCACCAATTCACCATAACTACAGTACTATGCTTTCATTCAAGTTTACGGCGAGGATGTCACTCCGACCTTTATCAGGCAAATTCGACAGCGCGTGTTCCAGCTCATGGTCCTCACTTCCGATGGCGATGGGTCGGGCCCGTTACGCTTCTGGCGCAAGTCCGACTTGCGAGCTTTGAGCAGCAGGTCTTGTAGCATCTGCGTGGGCGGCATGAATCGGCCTATTGTGGAATTATTATGGAGTGTTCTCGTAAAGCTCGTTGAAACGTGCAAGCTAAAACAGCTCGAACGAGCGATCCTATGTACAGAGGCCAGACACCACACCTAGGTCTAAAAAACAATCAACGACGGCCAAATGTAAACATTGGCAGTGGCAAGGACGAACAGCATGCTGGGCAAGGCAGCGATCTGCAACCCTGTGCCGCGGACCCAAACCTAGCGGCCGAGTCCTCCGGGTCCTTCCAACCCGGCGGGGGAGGGGTAACATCGCGCATTCCTCCGTCGCATTATAAAACACCTCTCCAGCCTCACGAATGTAGCAGCCATCAGGCAACTTGAACGCGAGCGTCTCGACCCTCCTCCGGATATCCAAAACAACGATATCAACCCGCTCAAAAGTGACCATCGCGGATGCTGTGATTGGAGATCCCGTAACGGCCCAGAGACAGCGCCGCGCGGAAAAGACCGTATATACATGGCTGCAGTACTGCTACATACTCCTACGCGAGAAGGATCATGACGGGTGGGGTATGTGATGGATGTGCCGTCTCTACGATAAGATGTAGCAGAGCACAAAAGAGAGGAAAAGAGAGGAAAAAGACATGCTAGTCTAATCTACTTGCGAGCGACCATGGTAGCCGCGGCCTGGGCGGAGGGCAGGACGAGCATCGATGCGATTTGAACATGGGGTGGGCGGCTGGCGGCGAATACGACCGTCTGTGTGTGATGTAGTGTGTGATGTAAATAGATGTGTGTGATGTGAGTATGTGCGTAATAGATGGGGATGGGCCCTCGGCACACACTCACCTCAGCAATGTCCGTCCCACTCAACGGCGTGAACCCCTTGTACACCGCATCAGCCTTCGCCTTATCGCCCCCAAACCTAATCATGGAGAATTCCGTCTCAACGGCTCCCGGGTCGATAGATGTGACGTTGATGGGCGAATCCACCAGTTCCATCCGCAGCGTGCGTGTGAGTGCGTCCACGGCATGCTTGCTGGCACAGTAGACGCCTCCGCCGGGGTAGACTTCACGGCCGGAGATACTGGATACGTTGATGATGTGTCCATTGCCCCTCTTCTTCATCCCAGGCAACACCGCCTGGGTCGCAAACAACAGTCCTTTGACGTTCGTATCCAGCATGACATCAATCGCCTCCTCGGTGACCTTCTCGATCGAGTCCAGGCCAATCACCAGTCCGGCGTTGTTGACCAGGACATCCACTTCGCTGAACTCTTTCGGCAGGGCGTTGATGGCTGCAAACACCTTTGCGCGATCGCGCACGTCAAGTTCGAGGGCGTGCACCGCGATGGAGGGGTAAGATGATGTGAGGGCTTCGCGCAGGGAGTTGAGCTTTTCGGTTCGGCGCGCGGCGAGGATGAGGCGGCTTCCTTCTTTTGCGAACTCGTGCGCGCAGGCGGAGCCGATACCTGCTGAGGCTCCAGTGATAAGGACGGTTTTGTTGGTGAGGCGGCCCATTTTGGGAGGGGAGGTGTGGAAGTGGTGGGAGTGTGATCTGGAAGTCTTGAAAGCGGCGGAGATGGCGCGGCTGAGCATGGAATGCAGTGGGAAGGACGCTATGAGTTCGAGGTGGGGGTGGGGTTGCGTACCTTGCTCTGAGCTGTTCTATTCCGGCAAGAGACTGTGACTAGCTGAAGCTTTGAAATTGGGGGGTTGTTCTAGCCAGGGGCACTGAGGGCACGGAAGTGTGACCTCGGACTGCCTCGGACTTTTTGTTCGCTTTCCGACGTGATCGCGGTTTGGGGCTTTTGGGGCAGGTTGTGAATTTGGGAAGCAAACCTACATCCCCAAAGTGCCCGATCCCCAACCCCCCACTCCGCCGACCCCACCCCACCACCCAGCCATGTCAACCCGCTCAAAAGCAACCTTCGCCGCCTCCTGCGTCTTCACCGCCTCAACAATAGCCGCAGTCTACTACTGGCAGGACATGAGCTTCCAGGTATCCATCTTCCATCCTCCTCCATTTCCTCATCCCCATTTCTAACCACCTCTTGGGAACTGGTGTTATTTAGACACGACGAGTCGGCCTAGTACGAGATGACGAACGCCGAGCGCAATGGCGGGAGAACGTGCGTGAGTTGGAACGGCAGGAGGCGTTGAGGAAGAAATTGGAGGTGGGGCAGAGCGTTACGCAGACTTCGTAGGGGTTTTGGACATGTAGGATGAGGGAGTGGGGGGCCGGAGGAAGGGGAATGACATTGGCCGACGTCAGGCAAGAAGGGAGTGGACTGGAGGGAGGACACACTCGACACCGAGGCGCACATTGGTTCACTCGACACTGCACCATCACCACCGCCATCTACTGTAGAGTTGTGAGCCGATCCAGCAACTCCCGGGATGAGAACGTCCCCTCAGGATCAGCTCAGTTTCGCACCGTCTGCGGCCGCCATCTACCCTTTTTGCGGAAGCGCTCCTGACGGGCGTGAAGTTCCTCTCGGCATGATGATTGGGAGCCCCAGACACAAACGACTGAGGGTGTTCACCGAGTCATCGTTCGACCAGCGAAAACTAGCAGGCATCGATTATAGATATCGCCATCATATAGGGTATCTCTCGCCCAAATCTTATTTCCAAACTGTATGCATATATACCATTGCGACAGCCGCGCAAAACACACATTCAGCACCCATCCCCAGCGCAACACCTATGTTCTCTTCACCTCCTATACTGTATGACTCTCACCACCCTGCTCCCGAACCCGCAAAACAAGAGCCATTCATTTCACAGCCACGTGATGAGAGGCGAATTGTATTCCCAGACTCCCCGACTCCCCGTTCCCAAGTTCCCGGCATTCCAAACTTTCCGATCGATCGGTGATGGGCCCTTGTGACGTCATCCTGTCCGACGCGCCCGGTGGGAATGTTCTGCTGCCCGCCTGGCTTCTTCAGAAGCAACGCGTCACCGTTCCGGTGTGTTTTTGCATCCAACATTTGGCCATCCTCGTCCTACGACGGTGTCGCTGGCTGTCAACTTGTCTCTGCGTCTGCCATCGATGCGCCGGCCGTATGTATGTAAAAGAAGAGGGGAGAGTGAGGTCCTCCTCGCATTCTACCCCATCTCCAAATTGCGAGCCACCTGGCCAAAGCTGCCCAGAACCAGCAAGTAAGACGAGAGAGCACTAGAGCACTTCTAGCGTCGTCTCCTCCGTCCAGAACGCTGTTCCCATTCTCCTATCTCACCCCCTCAGATTGACCTCGCCAAAAATGCTGACAACAGTCCAAGCCCTCGTGAAACTCTCCCGCGCCCAATTCTGCGTCGAGCCCATCCTCCGCACCATCGTCGCCGCCTCCGCCTACGCCCACGACCACCACACCCCCCTCAACCTGCACTCCCTCCTGATCACATCCACCCTCATCGCCCTCTTCCTCATCGCCCTCAACTATTACAACGACTACGACGACTACGAAGGCGACCTCGCCAACACCAAACGCGCAGACTCACCGTCGACCGGTGGCGCCGGTGTGCTTGTCGCGGGCACGTTGCCGAGATGGTCGGCTCTCTTGGCCTCCGTATCCTGCGTGACACTCGCAGGCGTGTTGATCCTCACCGACCGCGCCCTGCACCCAGAGACAACACCCTTCAGGAACCAAACCCTCGTCGCCGGCCTCCTCTTCATGGCTCTCGGCTCGCAGTACAACGCTGGCCTGCGACTCGCTTATACACCGTTTAACGAGTTCCTAACCACCAGCACGCTCAGCATCGGCACATGGCTGTTTGGGTACAACACCCAATCCCCCGACGCATCCTTCACCCTCCCACACGTGGCAACATCCATCGTGATCCTCGACGCGGTCCTGCAGTTCAGCCGCATCCTCACAATGATGGTCGTCGACACCGAAGCCGACCGGTTTATCGGTAAACTCACCTTTGCGTGCACGCTCGGCGTCAAACGCACCGCACAGCTGTACCTCAACCTCCAATACCTCCTCGCTGCCCTCGCGGTGTACTTCGCGTACACGTCGACCAGCCCCGTGGAACGTGCGCTGGTGGGCGTGTTGGCGGCGATCGCGGTGCCGCAGAATTTGGGCGTGGCGAAGGAACTTGCGGCGTTGGGGGAAGGGAAGGAAGGGGCGGCGAAGGATGCCCCGTTTGTGGTGAGTAAGGTCATGGTGGAGACGAATCTGGCCATGTTGGCCGTTTTTGGGGTTAGTTGGTGGGGCGCTTGAAATGGCGATTGGTTAGGTTAGTGGGACCGGCTCGTTTGGGTTTTTGCGGATTTTGGACGGCTTTGGGGATGTTACGGGTTATGGCGTAGACGCAATTCATACAATCTTCTTCATCACCCTTCGCAAGTGTCAATTTGACTTTGATAGAGTAGTTGATAGGTTTCTTCCAATAAACACTCACTGCAACTGCCCTCACATCGACAACCCGCCCATCCCGCACTGGGCGATAAAGACAAGATGAGGACGCGCCAGCTATTGAACCCTTCGCTGTCTTCGGGCTCCAGGGGCTCCTCCTCGCTGACCGGCCTCTAGATCGATCGATATAGAGTCTCTGTATATATGTATGTAGATCCAAGTGATATCTGCTGCCGAGCTGTTGCGTGGGAAGATCGCGGTCAGAAGGAAAATGTGGGAGATTTGGCCAACTTCTCCCGTCCCTCCAAGTCCTCCGATGTTTCTACACGGCCTCAGGATCAAGGCATATACTGTACAAGAAAGGAAATGGCACTGAAAGAAACTACATATGATTAACCTATGGGATCGCGGCTGGAATACAAACACTACATACGACAATCTACACTACATTCAACTACTAATTCAGAGTGCAGATTATGAGAGAAGAATGGCTCCGGCTACCACTAATCCATGGCATGACATTGAGGAGGCCGCTCAAGGGTTGTAGCTATGGTACCATACATATCCCGACACATTACGACCCTTTTCACTCCTCCTGCACAAACAAAAAATGGCAAATATTGCCCGTCCATCCCCCATGTTTTTCGTGGGCATAGTTGTCCCCGTCCAGCCAGATCCACATCAATCAACTCAACGACGCCATCGTCTTTCATCGCCTGATACAGGTCCATCATCTTCAGCCTCCGCTGTTCATCCTCGTGGACGGGCGAGGCGCGGTCTCCACGGTAATACCAATCGAAAAGCTTGTCGAGGAGGTACTTAGTCGTCGCGGCTTCATCTTCCAGGAGCACCCGTTTGAGCCCAAAGTACTCCCGAATGTGCTCCGGGACTCGCAGACGGATCAGGAGGGTTTCGAGCAGGGCGACTTTGCTCTCACTTGAATCCCGTCAGTGCATCCAGTTCCGGGACAGGTGCGATCAGGAACGCGCACTGGAAATCGCCTGCTTCTTTGCCGCGGCCGTAGGCGGTCCTGCCTCCCCACACTTCCCCACTCTGAATAGACGTTGATGAGCAGCAACGGGGCCCCTGACGAACTCGAGATCTTTGCTGAGGTTCATCCACTCGGAATCGTTCTTTGGCGCATTCCGGGGGGAGCGAAAGAGGAGCTGGAGAATCTTCAAGCAGACGAAAGCGCATCTCTCGGAGAAAGCCAAACTCGCATATCAAGTGGGCGATGTGAAGCTTGTGCCAAATAGTGTAGCCGGCGACGTCTAGCGTATACTCGGGGTTATAGTCCTCGTCCACGTTGAACATCTCTCCGCCTTCGTTCGGAAAGTCTTCAATCTCGTCGAACTTGTAATTGACAGGACAGTGTTCCCTTGGGGAGAGCGCCGAATTCCATGCGTTGCATACCAGGAGGCAGTTGACGAGATCTTCTGGGGACGTCAGAGCTACGAAGCACAAGATGCGAGGAATGAGCTCCAGGGGCGGAGGAGCTCTGTACTTCGCTATCGTGGTATATAGGTCCGGAGGTAGCCATGCCGCTATAATGGAATGCCGAGAGTGCCTGCGCGGGAGGAAAAAGAGGTATTCAGTCTGTGATGTTGGCAGATGCGGGAGTGGTCCGAGTGAGCCGCCGAATAGTCGATGTCGACAACCGAGATGTCGCGCCGCTGTCCAAGCATTCGGGCATTCGGGCCGCAATGGTTTTTTACGTCCATGTCGAGACCGCCCCAGACAATGGACTCCTGAGTCCGGATTCGTCCCGCAACTACTGTATCCAACACAAAGCGACCAGCTCTCAAAGTGGATCTGGAGTACGCCAGCAAATACGGGTAGATGTAGTTCTTGACACCCCTTTGTGAAAGGCTTCCTTGCCAACGATTTCACGCGTCGTGAAGAACTGAACAGCGAAAGCAATGGATACGAACATTGATAAAAGGACGAGAGGAGGGTGAACGGAGAGCGGAAGGGGTTTGACGTGGTAGACAGGAGAGTAAGAGGAGGTTGCCGCCTGGGAGACAGGAGAGGCCTAGGGGTCCGGGAGGGAAGGAACAGGAGAATTGCTGAGAACGCAATCCAGTTTTCCACGCGTAAGTGAGGTTCGCGTTGTCCGAAACGCGCGCTTCCCAGCACGCTCTGGGTGCGCTCTAGGTGTCGGAGGACGCGAGGGAGTACTATAATACGAGATGCGCAGGGCCGCGATCAACGGCGACAATGAGACGGAGAACGAGTGGCTCCTTACCACCTATGTGGACCCTTATAAATGTGACCCGGCTGAAACCGAGAAGGAGCGGTTGGACAGGCGCAGGGAGCAGTTGGAGAGGAGCATTGAAATGTCATGAAGGTCTTGTACATGAGGGTTTCCAGAAATGATTAGTATCTCCATCGAACGGCCGGCCGGTGCAGATTGGGCATGCACCTTCTGCGACTTCGTGGTGCGCCGGAGGAGGGAGCCCGGCCGCAGCCTGCTGGGATGGCTGGTATATTGGACGCTGAGTGATCACGATCATGCGGAAGAGTTCCATAGAAAGGGGATCCTGTACAGCGCTAACGAAGTTTGCCATCCTCTTTGCTCCGCACGCAAATCCCAGCAGCAGGTAGACAAGTCAGCCAGTGGAGTCCATATCGTGGACGAGCGAACGGGAGGAAGAGCAGCCAGTGTTAGGACGTCCCCAGTTCACGGAACACACCGCCTCCTCGCATTCCCGCCTCCCAACCCACCCAATGAAGACCTCCTATTCTACAGCGAAGTGCAAACCTCTCCCTCTAGAGCTCCTCCCCCGCATCCTATGCGTAGTCGCTCTCACCGATCCCTCAGACCTAATCTCCTGCCTCCTAGTCTGCAAGGCATGGAATCGCTCGCTCTCCATCGGATTCCGAGACGTTTTCGATGACAAGATGATTGTGATCCACCAAGCTTCGCGAATCGCCAGCGGCCGTGCCTTGGAGAAAGACCCCTCTTCAATCACACGTCAGCTCAAGTGAACAGAAGCAATGCTGGGCCCACTAGTACTGTACATATGAACGCCCGTTTGCAATGAGTTTGCGATGACGCCCGTTTGTTGTGCAGGTTGTGCGGGGCCCACTAGTACTGTACATATGAACGCCCGTTTGCAATGAGTTTGCGTTGACGCCCGCTTGTTGTGCAGGTTGTGCGGTTGACCGTTGCCTCTTGGGGCCCGCTCCAGGTGGGCGCTTTTTGGTGTGCGTTAGGGGGGTGCGGGCCAGGCTGCGGGCGTCGGCCTGTGGCGACTCGCCCAAGTGCTGGTCCTCGTCGGGTACAACATGCCGGTCCCACCGACCTAGGTACAGTGCAGTACCGAGTGCAGTATGTATTCGGTGGTTGTTGGGTGGTTGTGAGCTTATGAAGTGCAAAAGTCGTCCAGGCCCCCGGGAACAATTGCGAGGAAGAAGAGGAACTGACAGATCGAGCAGAAGAACCCATCGAAAATGTTGGACGCCCCCTCTCAGGCCGCCGAAAGCGTCCCCCTACTGGGCGGTTCCAGCACCAATGCCCAGACCAATGCCCCGCAACCATCGTCAAAGCTCACCGCTCGCATCAACCGCGCTATCACTATTGGGACGTTCATCTTCGTGCTCGCGGCCGTCATCACAACCCTTGCCCATTTCAAACGTGATCACCCTCATCAGCCGCTCCCACTGCGCGAATCGCCGTATGGGAAGTTCCCGAAGGCCGATGACCCGTTCGCTTTTATGCCTTGCACGAACGTCACGCTTCCACCGGCGCTTGATGACCAGGATCCGCTCACTACCTGGTCGAAGTTGTTTGACCCCGAACCGTCTCACTGGAGCTGGGGGCGGCTTACTGGAGACGACGTCGCTGGCAATGACAAAGATTCTCACGAGGGCAGAGGGATATATCTGTGCGGCTACCTCGATGTCCCGCTGGATTACACGAATTCCAGCGATGAGCGTATCGCGAGGCTGATGGTGACGAAGTTTCAAGTTTCGGGTCTGGCTCGCAAAGATGCCGCAGCTACTGAGGATGGAGCGGGGAAGAAGAGCGCACGCACGATTGTGATGAACCCGGGCGGTCCGGGTGGCAGTGGTTCGTCGTTGGTTTGGAATAAGGCCGAGAACTTCACCCGTCTGTACAGTGATAGCAAGTTCGATGTGCTCAGTTGGGACCCTCGAGGTATCTATGCTGCTTGCCCTTTGGTATTTCGCCTTGTCTCCGTCTCACTCTTGATTCTCTCGGAATAGGTGTAAACTCCTCCCTCCCCTCCGCGTCCTGCTTCCCCCACGAAGCCGAACGCGACCGCTGGCTACTCCTCACAAACCAATACTACGAATCCGCCTCCTCCCACCCCCGCGCCCAACTCGAGCTCGCCGACGCCATGAACGAGGCCACTTTCCGCGCCTGCCACGCGCGACTTGGCGATTTCCCCCGCTTTGTGAGCACGGCGTTTGTGGCACGGGATGTGGATGAGATTCGCAAGGCGTTGGGAGAGGAGGAGTTGACGGCTGTGATGATTAGTTATGGGACGGGGATTGGGCAGACTTATGCGAATATGTTCCCGGATAGGGTGGGGAGGATGTTGCTGGATGGGACGGAGTATGTGAAGGATCATCGGTTGTTGGGTGGGTTTGGCTGGACGGTGAGTTTATTGTCCAGGATATATTGCAATTGTGCGTCGCATGCAAACCTACTGATCTCTCGCTTATGATCTAGGCCCTCGACAACGCCACCGACGCCTGGCGCGACGGCTTCCTCGGCGAATGCATCAACGCCGGCCCTTCCCACTGCGCCCTCGCCAAATCCACAAAACCTGTCACCCTCTCCTCCCTCACCTCCCGCATGTCCCAACTCTTCAACAAAACCCTCCAGCGCCCCGTCCCAGCCTACCACCCCACCACCGGCCCAGGCCTCATCACTTACCCCTCCCTCATAGGCATGCTCTACCAATCCCTTTACAACCCCGCCGAATGGCCTACAACAGCTCAAATGCTCGCGGATCTCGAACAGGGGAACGGTACTCTGGCGTTACTAGAACTCAACAAACATTTCGTGGATCCCCTTTCCCCACCCGTCCCACGGTTACCAGCGACGGAGGAGTTGGGCTCTCTCGTCATCTGCGCGGACTCCTACGACGCCCCCGAGCCCCCCACCGGTCTAGATTGGTACCTCGACCTCTGGCGCACCATGACGACCAAATCATTCATATCAGGCAACTCGCGGTTCTTTGATGTGTTGCCGTGCAGGCATTTCAACACACATTGGAAGCCGGCGGAGGTTTATAGAGGTGATTTGAACACGACGTTGAAAGGACCGGTTTTGTTGGTTGCCGAGACGTATGACCCGGCGACGCCGTTGAGGAATGGGAGGAGGTTAGCGGGGGAGATGGGGAGGAATGCTAGGTTGGGTATGTTTTCAATTTGCTCCGTTTTTGTTTTGGGTCCTTTCGAAGGTTTGCTGGTCATTGACGTTGTCTTATCTCAATGTCTTATCTCAACCAGTCGTCCACCACGGGTACGGCCACTCGGCACCCCGCGACCCTTCGGCCTGCACCGCGCGGATCGGGAAGGAGTACATCTTGCATGGAAAAGTGCCGGAGGCGGATGAGACGGATTGCTATGCTGATTCCAAGCCTTATTTGCCAAAGTAGATGCCAACTGGGAAGGGAGGGAGTGGTAGATCATACGCGGACATGGGTGTCTCTGTAGATGACATTTTCGGCGTAGTGCAGCTTTTAAAGCTTGCGGCATTAATGCGGCGTACCGGGACGGTCTCTCCCCGTCCTTTCATATCCATAGAATCGCTGCCCAGTAGGATACCTTTTAGCCCATCGGATGTGCATCGGATGTGGCAATGCTTCCGAGACTATGCAGTCAGTCTCGGACTATCGGACATGCTCCCTTCGATGCAAACACCGACGACCAGAGCGCTTCCGCCTGCCATCGCGCATAATTAAATACAGTACACAAATACATCCAGGGCCAAGAGAGAAAGGGGTTCAGGCAGACAAAATCATTCTCATAAGCAAAGCCAGAAGGCCTTTTTCGAAGAGCTGGGTTTAAAGTAGCATTGTATGTCATCACGTTTTCTCTCTCTCTTTGGGCGCTGGGATGGTGTGACCGCCGTTGTTTAGGGCTGTTAGTGCGCATCCATGGCGATGGATGACTGACATGGGCGAGATGGGCATCCCGGGAATCAGCAGCTCATCCGAGTGTCCGGATACTTGCGCGGACGGGTGCGGGATGAAGGGCTGGTCCCGGGATGCTTCTAGACTGATGGATGGAGTACGGACGAACGAACGGAGGGATGAATGGATGGATAAATGAAGGATGGATGGATGGACAGGACGATGGGTACGTAGAGATGCGTTCGAGTGGAAGTTCGTCGGATGCAGGCGTTCGGACATCGCTAGGATGTCCCAGAGGATGTCCGAATCAGGTACGCGTTTGCAAGACCCGTCAATTCAACTCCGCTTCCCACCCCAATGTCAAGAGCAGCGAGGTCAACTTTGGGGTCAAGCGGAGGCGCTGTTGGTGTGGCGCGCACGGCTGTGGTATTGCGTTGGCCATACCACCGCATATTGCTTCCAGGTACGTCTTCGAGAACCGCAACGTGTATACGTGTGCTTCTGCGTTCACCATGATCACGCCGAGTAGCCTCAAGTCCCTATACGTCCTGTGGTTCTCGTCGATGACTCTATGCAATGCAACGGCCAGCATGTTGCATACAAGCTGGTTGTGCTTGGCCTCGAAGTGCATGCCCTCGGGCCGCTGCTCTCTTTCTCGTGATGCTTCTATCACTACAAAGTTGTTGGCACCCTGGGCCTTCCGCACCAGAATGTCTATCTTCCGCTGAATGTAGAGGTGCGTGCTCTCGAATTCGACCTTGTAGTCGCTGAGCACGCATAGGTGCCGCTTGGCTAGCTCACTGTCGCGGTTAATCATCTCGGTAAGATATGCCGTCAGCATCGATTGGTACTCCGGCTCGGCCACTAGCAGGTGCGAGCATTCGTTTCGCTCAATGAACTCCAGGATGCTGTCGCCGACGTTGTGGTCTGCCATGTTTCTGGGGCGGCTCTCGTTGTACCATGTCGTTGCATCTTGATCGGCGGCAGACGACCCCTGAACAGTGTCTGCTAGGTCGTCGACAACGCCTTGATGTTCCGCGTCCGGGTTGTAGCGCTGCCGCTCGCATGTGTGCGTCGCCACCTTTAACTCAGCCAAAGACGGCAGTCCTTCGCTGTTGGTCTCTGACGCTGATATCCTCCATTGCACGGGGGCTGGCGTGCGGCTGCTGCACATTATGCCTGCTTTGTTCCCAGACAAGTGTCGCTCCTGCTGTTGTGTGGTATGTGCCGCTCCGGGGCTCTTGAGTCTTGCCTGAGTTGCCTCGCACCCCATGCCGCGCCCCGTATGGGCTTGCTCCGGCGGCCTGTTTTGCGGGGCCATCGTCCCCGGGTCCCCGGGTTGCAGCGCCGCCAGGGCAGCGTTCCTAGGGTGGTCGAGGGTAGTTTGAGTTTGAATGTCAGCGGGTTCTCGCCGGGGTGCAAGACTGGGAACGGCCCGAGCCAAGCTGGCAGGATCTTCAGCGCGGCGGACGGCAGGTCTTTGTACTCTGGGATGTTGATGGCGCTCCTGTGGACGAGGACGTGGGCTCCTTGTTTCATCCGCGGGTCGGCAGGGGCTCGTCGCATGTCCGCGCACCGGGCGTATCATGTCCTGCTCGCCGCCAAACAGCATGGATGAGATGGTTCCCATCAATTCAACAGATCCACAAGTGCAAATCTTTCAAAGTGTTCATCGGGATGCGTAGAAGCCTCCACTCACATGCATCGACGCCGATTCCAGGTTCGATGCCCATAAAGTGTTCTTTTGTCAGACGGTCCCAAACAGACCATAGTCGCGAGCAACTGCAATAGGAGTCCCAACGGCGCTAGCACCGTCAGGCCAATGCCAGAGGATCTCATGTCCGCCTCATGTCGAAGGTCAAACTGGGTTCGATATCAAATGCACGAACAAAAGAAGTTCATGGAAAACCAAAGAAGGGTGCTGGAAGTCAATCCAGTTTACAAGCTCGGGCTCATCCTCGGTGACCCTCTCGATGAAAGGAAGGAAGTGGGTTTGCAAGATTTGCGTGTAGGCCTCCGCATTAAGGCATCCACGGTAGCTGACAGATTCACCCTAGCCAGCTCCGATATCTCTCCACAGAACGCCCTGAGAATCAACCAGAGATAGAGCGACGATCAACGATTGCAGTCGTGCGTCCGCCAAATAACCCGCTCGGGATCTGGGTCGAGGGATATCATCATCGCAGCGAACCAACCAGTCTTCCTAATTCCACGCGCATGCATCCGACTGCAGCCGACTGCACAGATCACACAGGATTATAACGGCGCAAAGCGGTTGTAAAGCAACCATAGAAGGGTTACCGTACCTCTTGGTCGCCAGGGCTTTTTGTCCCGGTTATAAAAACCCATTGCGAGGCACTCCGCAAGGAGTTGCCCATAGACCTTTTCGATGAAGTCCTCCTTACTACATCGCTTCGCCTAAAAGATTTCTTAAACATACCGTTTTCAGTAGGAGCGTACCAAAAATGGAACATACCTCGATGCCGCCCAACGTGATACCACCCACCAATCTTACCCGGCAGTTCCTTTCCGTGGTGGCGGCTTTGACCAACGCAAACCACCCATCTGTCTTGACGGTGGCTGGTAATCCACCACAAAGCAATAACGTGCGCTCGTGAGGCTCCTGACTACAACAGTGACCGGACGTTATGGTTCAATTGATTCACACGAGAGTGAAGAAGAAACGTAATCGTACCGCAACTCTATGCGATAGGCCTGTCAGTAAGTCAACAATCATCGCAGGGTCCAAACGTGCCCATTCCTCCGTCGCCTCCGTCGCCATCCGTTCAAGCTCATCATGAGTGCTTGGGCGCTGTTTTTCGACTTGATTCTTCCGAAAAGCCCAGAGATTCTCGATAAGATTCAAATCGGGACTATATGCAGGCCATTCCATGCAAGGAATGAAATTTTCGTCAAAAAACTCCTTTGATCTTCGCGCGGTGTGAACGGGGGAGTTATCCTGATGGTGCCGTAGTTGTATAGCACCCGCGTACGGTCACATAAATGTCGTGGTCTCCGACTCTCGATGTCGGGCACCATTGCCCTGATCAACTTTAAGAAGCTTTCATCATCCACCAGCTTCATTTGATCGTTGATATCCCCAATATGAAGCAGCCGGCGCACTTCCGGCCAATCACAGTGTATCTACGTGTATGTGCGCTGTCCTTCTCCGCCCCCGTGCAACATATCCGCAGGTATCGCCCAGTTTTGAAATGCAAGCATTTCCGTCACCAGACAGTGTTGGTTTGGGTAGTCAAGGCTTGGTCCGAACCAACTCGCATCGGGTGATGCAGCACTGCCAGAGGGTTTCAACTCTGTTGCCCAATAATTCAATAACATCTCGTCCGCCGTGGGGTAAGGTGGTCGGGCGGCGAGGAATAAGGGCTTCTCATCATGCTCATCGAGTTGGCAATGTCTCGGCCCGGATACCAAGCGCCGACACCTCCAGGGTCGCACTCTGATCCGGGTGCGATTGCCGAGGGACACCGTGCAGGGGCCGGGGCAGGCCGTAGATCCAAAACATAACCGTGCGATACACTTCCTTCAACCTGCCGGCCATTTTCGCGACCGTGTGTCGTGGACATTGTGTCTTCTCAGTCGAGTTACGAGAGAATTGTCGGCAGTTGTTTTCTGCAAGCACTCCACCTCAGGTACCCTATGAGAATCGCCGACGGTCAATCTGTTGAGTTCTGTGGTTTGTGGGGTGCTAATTTCGGTACGTTGAGTACAGGAACTCGTAGCATCCGCCTCTCAGTGTAGTTCGGCCGCACAAGATCGAGAACCTTCGCTCGAAGCATTTCATCCTAGTTTCTCACTCAAATTGTTTGGCGCCAAAGAGATTCCAAGTCATCCCCGGCTGTGCAACATCCCGACAAGTAAAGACTTGATGCTCGCATTCTCCAGTCACCGCCTAGAATGATCCGACAAGTAACTGAAGAATGCGAACACCAAGTCCGCTGCTGACGAGGTGGCTCCCCCTGACTATGGAGAAGAGGAGAGTCTCACCCGCTTCAATGAAAGTGTCGGTGATGAGATAAGTGATACTTTCAACTGGTGAGTTTCCATTCTGTTGCGCCGAGGCGTTTGGATCTCCCTTCCGTACTGTTTTGAACGGGCTCGGAAGAACGCATAGCGATTTCGTCGAACTTTTCACGCCCGTGAAGGTGATGCCCGACCCGAAGTAAACCTTTGGTTTTGAGTCCAAGCGGAGTTATCAAAGTCCTCGTCATTCCAGAGGTCGCTGTTGACCAATTTTCCCCAGTGAATTTGCCACGGTCTCGCAACTCAACTAACACGTTACACGATCCGTGTCATCTTCAACTGTCGCTTCCATCTCCCAAACCAAAGTCTGATAATCATATCGCCTCTCTTCTGATAAATGCAGCCGACCGCGACAATTACGGGCCTGCACATTGAATCATGGCATAATTTCAGTGCCTCGACGTGCGTGTTCTGATACTCCACCTACTCGATGAAGCGTTCGTGCCGCATCGAAAAACGAGATGGTGTGTCCCGTTCAATCTCCGCGATGGGTTACTTCATGTGCAGCAACGTGGATATCCCGTGCAGGGAGCCCGTGCAGTCTCACGCACTTTCGGATATGAACTCCGAGACTTGGTGCTGGTTGTCGACGAGGTCCCAGAGTTTTACCGTCATTTCTGCGTCCATATCAAAGATCTCCGCGAGGGGCATTGCATTCAACCCGCGCTGGGTGCTCCCCCCGGTCGTCAACTGTTCGAATGTGTATGTCCTTGGTTCCCCCAAATGGTAAACGTCCAAGATTAACAGATCTTTTCCAAAACCAACGTGGGCCCCGTGCACGGGCCCACCGTGCAGGGAGCAGTGGGCAGGGCTGGCCTACATCGTGGGGCTATGGGGTAGCTTTTCCGGCTTTCCCTAGATTCAGGACGCCAACGTGCAGTTTGCAAGAACTCTCCAAGATATAGATATCTACACTACACTTGTATGCAGACTTGTATGGCCCCGGCAGCCTACAACCTGATTGCTGCCTGATTGCGCGGAATCAATTCTTTTTCGCAAAGGATCCTGCAGGGAACGCTCTGCCCTTCCCTAAGAGCAAGTTTGAAGCTTTCAAAGACATTCTCATTGAGCTCGGTTACTAGTCTGGTTACTAGTCTCCCTCGACATGCGATTTCCAACTATCATCCTTCTAGCCAGTCTCTTACCGGGAGTCGTAGGAGATCAGCCATCGTTCCGCGAGACGCTATCGAGTATCCCTCACACCATCTCGTTCACTAAAGAGACTTTACCTTCACATGTCTCTACAACCACGGGCAGCACCCTCGTCCTAGCAGGTGCTTCTTGGGACGGGCACTTTCGAGCGCAAATCTATCCGGGGCACTGGCAACGTTACCTGCAAGCACTTCCTTCAAGCGTGCAACACGGCTATATTCTGTATGACGGACGTCCAATTGGGCCCAATTCACTTCCCAGAGGTCTTGTCCGAGCTTGGGACGCCTGGGGTGGGACTGCGCCGAGCTATGAACTGTGCTTATTCAAGGACGGCAAAGAAGGCCCCGCACAAGACCGCGAGTTGATCAACACTTATCACAGCTTTGTACGAAACGAAACCGACGCGACAGCTATAGGGGATTTTTTTTCGAATAGGTGTGGAGGGGTTGGAGCGAGGTCTGGGATTTCCCATCCTGAGTTATAGATCAGAGTCATAGTTCTATGTACGTACTTGTAGGTTGTGCTTCAACATTACTCTTGCCCTCGCTATCCTGTCGAATGGTCTCTTCCTCCATGCTAGGAGGCGGCTCTGTTGAATTCTCAAATGCTCGCTTGATCAATCCCTTCGTCATCCCATTCTCATTTCTTTGGAGGCAGACGCAATAAGGGCAGGGCGGTGAGCCAATTGTGTCCATGAGTGTCAAATGGCTCTCCACGAAGTGCTCGAGCGCCTGGCTGCGAATAAGCAAGATGTCGCCGGGTTGATACGGTAGCATGATTCCCAAGTCAGGAAGGCAGAATCTTCCCCGGCCTTCGGGAAAATTTGCGAAGCAGCACATCGGTGCCCAGCCGTAGGGGACGTCGCGGCGATCGTGGTGAGGACCTCGAAGCCTTTGTACCGAGCCAGAAGTTTTTCAAGTCCGGCCTAAGACCGGGTACGGTACCCACCTTATCTGTTGCCGAGGCAGCCGAAGGGCTCCCTTTACACGCGTTCTTGAACACCTCCTTCCATTATCGTAGCCCCAGAGCCTCGCGAGGTGCAAGTCCGCGTTTGGATCCCAATTACGCGCGAGCAGGTCGTGGTCAAGACGAAGGATGAGAGACAAAGGTTGGGTGGGTGGGGGGCGGCGGAACACCTCGAATTTTTAGACGATTTCCACTCATGTAGAGCACTCACTGCATTATCAATGCGGACGTGCCAGCGCAAAGTCGCTCGATGCATGTCAGTGCAAGCACATGCGCACGGTTGCCCCCACTAACGATTCGGAACCTTTCGCCGAGGCAGGCACATCGGGAGCCCACAAAGGTGGATGCGGGATGACTCCAGTGTCTTTTCGACGCAGGATAGTGGTGTTTGCGGTAAATTGTTATCAGCTGGTGTGGGCAGATTGAAGCTGGAATGATCCCGGAGAGGAAAAGGGCGTAGGCTTGTTGCAGTAGGTGGAGTGCTACCCTCTTTCCCGATCGAGAAGACATTGTCCGTATGGTGGAGGCCGGTAGTTCCCTCGACTCCTGCCCATATCGCCGACGCTCCAAAAGGTTGTCTGGAAGTGGTTTCTCACCGGATCTGCCGACCCAGAGGCTCTCCAGCAATATATCGCGAATAGTCGGTAACCTTTTGGAGCGTCGGCGAGTGACGTGGGAAAGTGCCTTGCACGTGGGAAAGTGGGGGCCCAACCGGACAGCGAAAAGTGGCGGAAAGTTGCGTCAACCCCGTCGACAGAAACACTCACAGAAGGCCGCCATGGCCAAGAACCTCATCAAGGCTCGCTAGCGTCGGCTCAACAGTCCCCACAAGTTGCTTGGAATAGCTTGCTCGTATCCCCACCGCCCCGCCCTCGTCGTCCGGTCGACAACATCCACACAAGTTTTAAACCCCCCACCACTACATATCGCAGCCATGGACGCCTTGCCAACCCTCTTCACTTCAGCCTACGCTTACTCGGGGTCCCTGGTTTCCCTTGCGATGAGGTTTCCAGAGGCGGCGAAGATGGGTTATAGGGGTTATAGTAGGGTCTATGAGTACTGGAGTGGCTTGAGTCCGAGAGCAAAGGAGAAGGTGGCGAAAGGGGTGGGAATTGTGAAAGATGGGGTCGTTTACGGTGTTAGGTAAGGGACGCGAGAGGGAGGGCGGTACACGAGCGCTTGCTTGAGGTTCCGAGCGGCTGCTGAGGGCTTCCGAGCGAGATTGCTTGTGGTCGATTCGGAAAAGGGAGCCTGCGACCTGGAGCGAAGGCGGACTGCGCCGAGCGAAGCGAGGAGCAGGAATGCTTGAGGCAGGCGAGCCCTAGGCGAGCCTTTGCATTTGGTTCGGTCGGGAGACCGAGCGGTCGCGAGGTCGACCAGAGCGAACGCCTTCGCAAACGATAACGAGCGGCGAGCGACAGCGAAGCGACTTAGCGAGCACCGGCGAGCGTCAGATCTTCGCAAGCGGAGCGCACGAGCGACTCATTCTTCAACCCATCAATCAACCATCCCTTCGCTCATCCATTATCCAACCATCGCTTGGCTCACTCCCATCCCCACTCACCCACCTCTCTCGACCTTATTAGGACAGGACAAGACATCTACCGGACGGCAATGGCGTACCCCACCACCCCCGCCGACGAATGGGAACAACCCCCACACTGGGTCCTCGTCCCGCTCTCCAAACTCATCCTCACCGTCCTGCCAACCGTCACCGTCTGGGACGCCTCTCTCTGCGACGACGTCGACTCCATGTCACCACTACCGTCATCCGTCGAAGACGTTATATCTGATTTAATAACGACATCACCGACGGAACAGAGTCCGTTGAGAATCTACCTAACACCCCGCCCCCCGACCCCCCTCCTCCCCCTAACCCTCCCCCTCCTGAACGCCACCATCTACGCCCACACCGGCGCACTCCCCCGCTTCGCCCTCCCCTCCGCCCATTTCAGCATCCCCCTCTGGAAACACCTCCTGCAATCCCTCGGCGGCGTCACCCTCGACCAACTACATGACGGAACCGTGTTGAAGGCGGGGTATAGCATCGTCATCTTCGGAGACGAATCCGAAAAGGCAACGATGTTGACAGATGTCACGACAACGGCACTACATGAATCCTACATCCTCATACCCACCTCCACACTCCCATTCCCAACAACATCCCTGAACATCCCGCTCAACCCGCTTCAACGGCTTACCAATACCGCGAAATCACTGATCCCCGCGCCTCTCGTGTCTGTTTTGCCTGGGTTCATCACCAAATTGTCGGAGGGCGAGGGCGGCGGCGTAAGAGTGCGGTATCCCGTAGGCTGGGAGAGGTGGTACGTCAAGTTCGGCCCGGGTATCACGCTGCCCCCTCACGTCGCCACCCAAATGAGGGAAGAAACCCTCGCTCTCAAGACCTTATCATTGGATGGAGACGATACTATGCGGGTAAAGCAACTACGGTCTCTACAAGTCCAACGAGACGCCCTACGCGCGCGGGAAGTCCTAGCCGACGTTTTTGGGAGGGTTGGGGACGGGGAAAGAGAGATGAGGGCGGTGAGGGAGGCGGATGGGGATCGGAAGGTCTTGAGTAGGGTTTACAGGGGGTGGGAGTGGGTTAGGGGTGGGGGTACGGCTGCTGGGAAAGCGGATGAGACTGTGGTGGGGAAAGAGGTCGCGGGAGACGTGATACCTCCCTTACCGCCGTACGAAGCCCGACCGACAATCGAACAACCGACCGGGGATAGCCGCGCCGAGTCACACCAACAAGAGCAGCAGGCGCAACCTCAGAGCCTCTTACCCTCCCCACCACCGACACCCCGTCCTTCCACAATCACATCATCACCCGTAACATCACCACCCCCACCATCAACAACAACAACAGCAGCATCAACCCTCTTCACCATCCCACCTCCAGTCCCCACACAATCCGTCCTCTCCGACACAGACTCAGACATCGAATGGTTCAGCTGCGCCGACGACAGCGATATCGACATATAAGCGGGTAGCACGCGCCCTTGATATATGTACAGACGGCGCCGGGGGTCTGCTTACATGCTATAACTTTTCGCGGGTTTGGGGATTTCACCGCGTTGGCGTGTCGAGGCAGGTGTTGGGGGGCGAGGTGGGATATCTGTTTCTCTACTTTCGCATTCACGGCGTATAGATCGGCGGCGGGGGGGTCTGTGCTTTTGGGGTGGCCCTGTTTTCGAATCCCCAAAACCCGGATTCCACAATGTCGACGGGGGCGGCATGCGACTTGCGTTTGGTGGCGTAGGACATGATTTCGACTGCTTCCGTAGTCGAACATGGTAACGTAGTTTTCCACAGTCTTTAGTTCACCGCGTTCGTCTCTCCCCTCCCTCCCTGTATTCGTCCCCCGCACCCCCATTGCTGATGAGAGCCGGTATCGAAATTCGATGTGCCAAAGTACGGCTTTCGGTCGAGGATATTATGTACAGATGCGCGTGGGTGGGTTATTATTGCCACACCCGGATTTTTTATGTCTAAGATTTCCGCGCCTTCGGTATCGAGCCGCGATGGCGGGGAGGCGGTGGTGAAGTCGGAGGCGGGGTCGGTTTTGCCTTTGCTGGCTTGGATGCCACTGTTGATGATGACGGCGCATAGGGTGGTTTCGAGTCTACCGTGGTCGGTTTTATCATCGTCGTCTCCAGCTTGATCTCCTTGATGTGTGGGTTGGTTGGTGTTGGTGGGATAGGACGTAATTTCGCTGGTGCTGGCGTCGCGGCGGTGTGCGATTTTGATGGGATCGTGGGCGTAGGCCCCACCGTCGTCCCGCTTGCGGTCGTAGTCGCACCACCCCTAACCCCACCCTGCACCGCAAACACGTTTACCCCTTCTCCCACCCCCCCAATCGATTCCCTAAGCGGCGCAGTAATAGCGGCGAGCGCATCCTTCACCCTCCTCCTCCGCCGTGCAAGCGTCCACAGATAACAGTTCTGCGCGACCGAATAGAACGCCGATGTCGTCCAGTACAATGTCAACGCCTAAAACAATATAACAAAATATGCTTAAATCCTCGGAAGGGAAGGGAAGGGAGATATGAGGTATAAGATGTGGTAGGTTACCATGGGAACTTGTGAAGCGACGGGAACGAGGGCCAGCGAGAGGCCACGGAAGAGGTAGACGATGGCGCGGGAGGTGCCTTGCGGGTGGGTCATCTTTGTTATTGAGTTGTTCAACTGGGGTGGGGGAGAGAGAAGGGGGATTAGTCAGGATGCGAGAAGTGGTGGGAGGAAAGTGGTAGGAAAGGCTTGCTCGCTCCCGTAAGGAGCCTGCCCACTCTCTCCACCAGCGCTCGCCTCTCGCCTCCGCTCGTCAGCTCACCTCGACATTCAAAAGATGCGCCGCCCCCAACGCGATCGGCCAGATCAAGGTCGGATCCGCACTCGCCAGATCTACAAACCACGCCGTACCCCCCTCTCTAAACCCCTCGACCACCTCCCTCGGTTCACAAAAGGGCACCGGGTACGCGCTCATCTGCCTCAAACTCAAACTCAGACAAACCCACATTGGGATCTGCACTAACGGCCGCCAAATCAGCTTGAGCGGACTGGCGTCCATCGCGTTATATATCTCCACTCCTTTGACGTGTAAGTGTCGCCGCAGCGTGGGCTCGTCGGCGAGAGTGTGATTGATCCCAACAAGCCCTTGTAAATGTTTCCGGCGAAACGTATTCTCCCACGCCTTGATCAAAGTCGTGGCGGTGTGGAAGCGCTCGAGGCGCTTTTTTTGGTCGAGAGCGAGAGGGAGGGTGAGGCATGTGCGGAGGGTTAGGGTGGCGGTTATGAGGGTCAGGTACCAGGGGAGGTTGGTGGTTTGATGGAGGGTTGTGAGGAAGGTAGTGCAGGCGTCAAGGACGAAGTGCCGGCGGGGGGTGTGGTTGGAGTGCGTGAGGAGGTGGGATGTTGGGGATGCCGCCCATTGTGGCGAGTGGCGATTGTGACGATGTGGATGTCCGCGAGAGAGGGCGACCGCATGTGACCGACGAAGGAGCATCCTGTGGGAGCGTTGTCGCTGTGAGGGGTATCGAGAGGGGTAATCTGGCGGAGTTGAGTATGGCCGAGGGGTTGATGATCTTGGCTTCCTGCAATGCGGACGACGGAATGTCCAGGAGTCTCGAAAGCGCAGACATCCATCACGTGCGCTCTCATAGGGCCCGTCTCCGTATAAAAAGGGGCGCATCTCACAACTCGGCAGTTCCCCAACCCACAGCTACAGTCGCAATGCCGTCCTCTCCGTCTCCCAGGGGCAAACCCAAAGGACCCACCGCTCCGTGATCGTCCAACACTTCCAACCCCGGCGAGCTCACCCTTCGCGTGTTCACTCCATAAGTCAGGCAGCATCGACTACCAGCAACTTCGCCACCGATATATGTACTTCCGCCAGCCGGCTTCTCATGGTACGTTCCCGTCTGGATATCTAGAGTGGGAACAGACTCTGGCTCTGTGCGTTGGGCGGTGTCGACATGGAGGGAGAATGCAGATGGAGCCATTTTTTGGACATCTGATGAGATGGCGGGTGGGGTTTTCTCCGTTGAGAGACATCAGGAAATGGGACCCTCCCGAACCTCGTTCATTGCTCGATGGATGGATGGATGGATGGATGCCTGCTTGTCCCTCATCTGTGGATACATAGTCGGACGGATGGATGGATGGATGGATGGATGGATGAGAACGCGTCCCTATGTGAAGCCCATATCACACGGAGCAGAGAACTAATCGACCCTGTACTCCCACTTCTAGACAGCATCGTCGACCCATGGCGCCTGACGATGGAGGCGGAGTCACTTCCTCGAAGCCGAGCAATGGGCGATGAAGCCGAGAGGCCGCAACGCCGGACGCTACGGTCGATGATCCAAAGACGATATTAGCAGCGGCCGTCACCACCGGATTGCTCCGTTCATTTTAACGAACGTCCGTCCCGTCACCCCCCGTACCCAAGGTAAGCCTCAACCCCTCCCCACACCCCACCCGCAAAGAGCTATGAAGACACGAAAGAAAGGGGTTCGCAAAGGATTATATCATACCATATTTGCTACTTCAGAGGCTCCTTCGGGGTCGATGAGAAATATTTCCACCCATAGAAAATGATGCACATACCCCTTTTTTGCGTTTCATCACTCTTCTTGCGGTCGTGCTCGCAGCCTGTGTTCTTGTTGGCAGAGGGCTAACCGTTTGGTGATTGTCTTCAGGCATTTGGAATCGGCGACATCTCAAGATGACGGCTAACGACTACGACCGACAACGACGCCATCGTTCGCTAACGGTCAAGATTGTCGAAGTCAAGGTCCGACGAGGCCCCTGGCTGAGTGCCTAAACATTGAGGGTGGCTCCCCCGGCTGTGAGCCGTAAAGCGCTTGGGGATGGTCTCCCCGGCTGTTAGCCGTAAAAGTACCTGAGGATGGCTTCCCCGGCTGTGAGCCGTAAAGCGCTTGAGGATGGTCTCCCCGGCTGTGAGCCGTAAAAGTACCTGAGGATGGCTTCCCCGCTGTGAGCCGTAAAGCGCTTGAGGGTGGTCCCCCCGGCTGTGAGCCGTAAAAGTACCTTTGAGGGTGGTTCCCCCGGCTGTAAACCGTAAAGCGCTTGATTTGAGGGTGGCTCCCCCGGCTGTGAGCCGTAAAATGCTAGAGGGTGGCTCCCCGGCTGTGAGCCGTAAAGCGCTTAATTGAGGGTGGCTCCTCCGGCTGTGGGCCGTAAAGCGCTTTAAGAGAGGGTTGTTCCCCTGGCTGAGAGCCCAAAGCACCAAGTGAGGCGAGCGCCCTGACCGAGAGCCTAAGCAGAGAGAGAGCTACCGGAGACGCTAAGTGCATGAGATGAGCACGAGATTGGGTTGTCACCGTCACCCTGGCTGAGTGCCTAAAGCGGAGAGAGAAGCGAGGTACTCGGCGGAGAGCCGAAGTGAAGGTTAAAGCCCGGAGAGGGTAAAGTGAACATCGGTGGACCTGGTGGAGCACCGAACCTCCCGCTCGGCCGCAGTACCTCCCCAGTCTTCATGGTTACCAACCAACACGCTTGAAATGGCGCCAAATTGTCGACTACACCGGCATCGAAGTCTTCCACGAAAACGATGAAAGCCATTCTGATCATCAAGGCACTACATCATCGGCATTGACGACATTTACGCCAAGGCGTCCTCCTTCTAAGACCAGCGCACCTATAACGAATTTCTACGCGAGACGGCAACGAACGCGGCTTCATCCACAAATGGCCTTTGTAGAAGTAGAACATTGTCGGCGTGTTCTCCGTCATGTGGATAACGTGCGCGTTCAAGAAGTCGGAACCATGATTGCTCGCGAAGGAGGTCGACGGTGCGGACTTGCACCTTCGAGGACGTTGTTGGAGACGAGACGGTCGAGTTTCTGACGCCGAATGGCCCGTTGTAGGTCGGCGAAGGAGAACTCGGGAAAGCAGCGCTGAATGAGCTCCGGCTTCCACCGTTCCTGGACGCGAATGCGCTGGCCCGTTTGGGGGCTGCGTTGGCGAGACGTTGAGGAGGCAGGGAGGGTGCTGCCTGTCGTCGCTTCCGTGAGGCAAAGCCATTTTGGCGGACAACGTGTGTACTATATGTCCCGAACGGCTTGGATGGTGGTGGGCTTATCGATGACTCTGTATCATATCGGTGGTTGGCGCTGCGACAACAGAAGTGGGTGGCGCATGACTCTAGGGGGTCGAAGCAATCTATGTGTCTTCCAGAACACTACGTAGATAGATGCGGATGGGATGTGTGTGTACCCCATTTTGACGAAAGCCATGAAAGTAACGCAGAGTGTTGCGAATGACATTGTGTCGAAGTGACGAGCGAGGGCACTGGGGGGATAAACACGAGGCTTGTCGCGCACGCCCACACGGACTTGCAACGTCAACTGTGGGCACTCGGACTTTCTTCCTGCCTTCTTCCTGTCGTCACAACTCGTTTCTCCGCATCCTGTTCTCCACACCCCCCCCGCCCCTATAAAACCCTTGCCTATCATGTCTCACCCCCTTCTTATCGCCTGTTCTACGGAGTCTCGCAACCAACCGCATACTCAGCACAACCATCATATTGTCTGCACACAACCATCATCATCATGTCAGGCCCACCAGCCCTCCAAGACCCACACCCGCGCCCGCTCTCCAAAGTCGCACGCCAGAGCGCAAAGAACACGTTTCCGCTTTGCGAATGGCGCAGGGTGCCGACGTTGGGCGACGCCGCCGCGAACTTGGGATACTCGGTCGCGACGGTCGCGACCGGGGTCGCTAGTGCTGGGTATGTGGGGGGGTGAGAGGGGGGGCGTCGAGAGCGACGGCGAGGTTGCTTGAGGCAGGCGAGCCACAATTGCGCCAAAGGCGCAGTGCTTCCCTTAACCATGGTTCTTAGCTAGCCTCAGCGAGCGTCAGACATTTTGGCGAGCGAAGCGAGCTACGCTTCGCCCACCGCAGCCCAATCTCTTTGATGCTGTATCGTTTTGTTAATGGTCGATGGGTGACGACTTGGATGGTTGATGGTTGTTGACTGAATTACCATTGTGATTGTCTAGATTCACACTGGGAGTCCTTGTCCCCCTCGGATTGGTAAAAAGCCTATTTGCTGTTGCCAGTTGGGTGTTCATGAAGAAAGTGGATGATGAGCCGAAGGTGGTTGTCGTCACCGGCGCCAGGTATGTCACGTCTCTTACCATCTTCACGATCCCACCACCCGCATCACCATCACTAAACACCAACCGTTATAATTCAACAGCAGCGGCATCGGCGCCGCCCTGGCCCTCGAATACGCCCGCCCCTCCACACACATCCACATCATCGCCCGCAACAAAGAGCGTCTCGACAAAGTCGCCCACGCCATCCACCTCGCCGGTGGCACACCGCACATCCATCAACTCGACCTGTCCCTCCCCTCCCCTCAACCCATCACGGACCTCATCAACCGCATCGACGCAGAGCACGGCGGCATCGACCTCGTCATCCCAGCTGCCGGCAACATCGGCCTCGGCGAGGACGGGGAGGGTGAAACCAAATGGGACGCCGCGATGGCGGAGAAGATGGTAGATCTGAACGTCCGCGGCGCCGCGCGAGTCATCTTTGCGGCCTGGGAACGGATGAAGGAACGCCGAAAAGGCAAAATCTGCGTGATTGCCAGCATCGCTGCGTGGGGCGGGCCCGGGAACTTTGCGCTGTATTGCTCGTCCAAGGCGTATTTGTACCGGTTTGCGCTGCATCTGCGTCAGATCTCCATCCCGTACAATATTCAGGTCACCACCGTCTGCCCCGGTACGTTCCCCTCCACCTTTCTTCCCGCATACCCCCCTTCTAACCCCACCCCCCATAGGCCTAATCGACAGCGCAATGACAACCTCGATGCGCAAGCTCGGCTCCATCGTGCCCAAACCCCTGCACAGCTCGCCCGCGAAACTGGCCGTGCATGTCAGGAAAGCGGTGAAGGAGAACCGTGGGGTGACGAGCTGGCCGTACCACCAAGGTGTCGCGCAGTATGCGTTCAGGGGCCTGAATCCGGTCTGTGAGGAGATTGCGGTCTGGGTCGGGGTTGTGAGTGGGGGTGCTAGTGATGTTTTGACCTAAGGGTCACACCTGAAGGTTGGGTTTGGAATCGTGTCGATCGGGGTTTGGGTTAGGCCCGAGAAAGTGGGGCTGTGAATGCTCTTTTGGAGTAACGATTCTTGAATTTGTACATACATACGTGGAAGGGGTTGGCGCATCATACCCACCCCTTCCTCATTTTTCTTGCCCTCATCGGAGGATGAATACCATTTCTGGTTGCATACCCTTCACATCGTCTTCCTCGCTCCAACGTACAAACGAAACTTCCGTATCGCCGACGGATAAAAGAGAGGAAAAGAGGCCGCAGCCGCTCATCTCTCAGATTCCCCAAATATAGACATGATGCGCAAACGGACACATAAAGCGGGGAAGGGAGGGGAAGCGTTCCTCTGTCTGCAGCGCCGTCATTTCGTCTCCATACCATCCATCCCATCTCATCCAGCTTTATTCCGGTATCTCCCCATGCCGCCCACTGCAGACATGTGCTCTCCAACGACGAAACGCCACCCGCAGCCAATGCAGCGCACACCGTCCGCGTGTGTGTTTAGGCATCTCAGAGCTTTCAAGGCCATGTTTCGGCTGTAATATCTCGCCCTCCCTCGCCCCGACGGCCTCCTTCATACCCTCACCCTGCTCACCCCTTGAGCGCCCAACACTCCACAGTCCCCCCCCGTATTCCCCCCCCGGCAATCGTGCTCTAACCCCTCGTCGGCGGGCTCACAAGAATAACGCTATCCCCTCTTACGAACAGCATCTCGTGGCTGCGTTTCACGATCTGCAAAAAAAATGAGTGCCCAATTCTCCCCACCGCGGAAAGACAAAATAGGTTGGGGAAACGGTACCCGAACAGCCTCGTCGAAGGTCACCTCGTTGACGTCGACGACCGTGATGGATTCCTCGACGTCGCCCATCACCATGTTCATGTGTTGGTCGTAGGCCTGGGGAGAAGGAAACGGGGGGCGTTAAAAGCGACCCGACGATTCTGCCTTCCAGCCCAAATTGCCCCGTTTTCAAAGAGTACTGGGTCCCCCAACCGGGGGCACAAATCCAAAGGCAGCCAGTCCCCCCTCCCACTCCGTCCGTCTCCCAACGCATCCATCCCATCCCCACCCATCCGCCCCCCAACTCCCATCTCACACACCACCGGACCGGCATGGTTTCCATTCCAAAAACGTACGTGGAGCTTCCCCCTGAGTTCGCGATCGCCGCGCATTTTGACGTACACCCGTTCGTCGAGGGAGAGGCGGACGAGATCTAGGGGCTGGTATGTGTAGACGGAGGATATATGAGTTGGATGTGCATGAAGAGACTCGGACACGGGGATCGGGAGTGGGGGCGGCGAAAGGAGACGTACCTCGGTTGTTTCCCTGGCTTCTCCCTGTTGCTGTGGTGGTGCTGTGTCCATTGTGCTTATGTGGTCGGCGTCGGAGGGGATGAGCGGGTGTTTGGGGGGGTATTGGTTGCGCAAACGCAGTTGGGAGTGAATTTGGAGGGCGCGCTCCCCTTCCCTTTCTCTTTCTTCTTTCTTCCCTCAACGTGGACATACGCTCACAGCTGCACAGGAATGAGCAAAGACGACTCGCCGAAACTCGCCGCAGCAACCGACGCAATGGACGTCGTCGACACAGCAGCCGCCGCAAAAGCGGCCAAAAAGGCCGAAAAGAAACTCAAGAAGGAGAAAAAGGCCGCCGCTGCCGCGAAGGAAGAGACCCCGGTCTCTGTCGGTGAGGACGCTGTCGTTGCTGAGAAGAAAGACAAGAAGAGCAAGAAGAGGTCGAGGGAGGAGACTGTCGCTGCGGAGGAGGTCAAGACGACTGTGACTGTGAATGAGGAGGAGGCGGACGGGAGGGAGAAGAAGAAGAAAAAGAAGGAAAAGAAGGATAAGAAGGAAAAGGCCGCCGACGACACCGAGTCCGCACCAGCAAAGGCGAAAAGCTTCGCAAAATCCGCCAGCCAATCCTGGGTCTACAAACAAAGCCCCGCCCTCAGCGCCGTCCCCCAAGCGACCATCGACGCCTTTTACAAAGACAACGCCGTCGAAGTCACCGGCGACTGGGACACGGCCTCCCACCGGCCCATCCTCGAATTCGCCCAGGCCGGCCTACCCGCGCAGGTCGAGCAGCACCTCTCCGCCTTCCCCAAACCCACCTTCATCCAGTCCGCCTGCTGGCCCGCGCTGCTCAGCGGCCGCGACATGATCGGGATCGCGTCGACGGGGAGCGGGAAGACGTTGGCGTTTGGTGTACCCGCTTTGATTCATGTGCAGAACCGCGCCGCGTTGGAGGGGACTGGGAAGAAGGGTGGGAAACGCCTCCCGCAGGTGCTTATCCTCTCCCCAACCCGCGAGCTCGCCATGCAGATCCAGGAGCAGATGGAAAAATTCGGGGCGGCAGGCGGGCTCAAAAGCATCGTTCTGTACGGCGGTGTGCCCAAATGGGAGCAGAAGAAACTCCTTCAAAAGGGTGACGTGAACATCATCGTCGCGACCCCGGGCCGTCTCATCGACCTGATTGAAGAGGACGACGCAACCTGCAACATCTCCGACGTGTCCTACTTTGTCCTCGACGAAGCCGACCGCATGCTCGACCTCGGGTTCGAGGAAGCGATCAAGAAGATCATCTCACACCTCGCCAAAAAGAACCGCCAGACCGTCATGTTCTCCGCCACCTGGCCGCCCGCAATCCAGAAGATCGCCGAGCAGTACCTCACGACCGCGGTCAAGATCACCGTCGGGTCCACCGACCTCTCCGCCAACAACCGCATCGAGCAGCGGGTGGAAGTCATTGACAACTTCAAAAAGGAGCAACGGCTCATCGAGCTGCTCAAACTCTACCACAACAAGCAACGCACGAACCGGATCCTGATCTTTGCACTCTACAAGAAGGAAGCGGCGAGGTTGGAACAGATGCTCCGCCGCAACGGGTACAACATCGTGGGAATCCACGGCGACCTCTCCCAAGCCCAACGCACAGCCGCCATCGACGCCTTCCGCTCCGGAACAACCCCCCTCCTCATCGCCACCGACGTCGCGGCGAGAGGTCTGGATATCCCGAACGTGGAGTACGTGATCAACGTGACCTTTCCGCTGACCGTAGAGGATTACTGTCACCGGATTGGACGGACCGGGCGGGCCGGCGCGACGGGGATCAGTCATACGCTGTTTACGGTGAATGACAAGGGGCATAGTGGGGGGTTGATCAATGTGTTGAAGCAGGCGGGGCAGAAGGTGCCGGCGGAGCTTATGAAGTTTGGGACTACGGGTATGTTTCTACGGGTTTTTTTTGGGGGAGGATGTTGTTGCTTTGCATGATCCGCCCCGTTGTCTAACACAGTCCCCCGCTCTCTCTGTACTGTAGTCAAGAAGAAGGTAGACCCCAACTACGGCGCATTTGCAAAAGACATCGACATGTCCGTCAAGGGCAAGAAGATCACCTTCACGGCCGATTCCGATTCCGAGTAAATTCCGTAGATATTTCTTCGTGCATGAAGCGCATGGAGGATGGCCCTCAGGGGATAATTACCAGACGGGCAGTTATCCACTACGGTTCATATTTCATATTCGCTTATGTCATATAGGAGGATAGAATAGCGTAGGTGGTCGGGACCGGGGGATGGACGGACGGATGTGGGGCATGCGTTTTTTGTGTACCACTTTTTTGTTTATGTATTTAAGAATTTGAGTCTCCGTCCTAGTTCGCTCCCGCTTCCAATATCCGTGGGGGATATGCGCGTGAGATCACCCGACTCCCCTTTTTCCCCAACGACATTCCGGGCTCGGACTACTTCAGTTGACATTTCTATTTAGTCTACACACACAACGAAAACACTTCCTCTACAGCGCTCTTCCCCGTCGTCCCAACCTGCACAGGGTATACCAAATAACATCGCCCTGAACCAGCACCAATGGCCCATTCAACCTGCACGGCCTCCACCCCGTCCCCGCTAAGCCGCCTCGCCGACCAAATCCTCCTCGGAGCCTCATCTCCCTCCTCCACCAAAGGCCGCCGGCACTCCACCCGCCCCGAGATCCCACACAGGCCGGGCTTAGCATCCCCCACGTCGACATTCTCGCAGAACTGGGACGGGGAATTCGCGCAATTCGCTGCCGGGCCGTCTCGGGACACAGCGCCGGCGTGCCTCACAGACGAGGGGTCGTGCCAAGCCCGGGATAGGGTCCACGAACCCATCTTGCGTCTCCCCACGCTGTCAAGCTACGTGTCGGGTGGTGCGGGGGATTCGGACGAGGAGGGGGGGGAGGAGTATTCGGCCGCGTGGTCGAATGAGGCTCTGACCGCCGCCTACCTCCGGTCCAGCCCGCCTGCGCATTGCGAGCAGAAACAGAAACAGACGATACGTGCGCGGACGGCGGGGACGACGTGGGCGGCTGAGTTTGTCGCGCGTGTGGACTCGATAGCGGATGCGGAGGCGGCGTTTTGGGAGGCGAGGGGCGGGAAGGGGGGGTGGAATTGGAGGGGGTTGTTTTGTGGGGCTGGGGACGTGGGACGGGGAGAGGGGAGGGATGGGGAGGGGGAGAAGGGAAGGGAGAGGTTGGCGTTGCTTTTGGGGCATTTTCGGTGACTGCTTGAGTGCCTTCTTGTGTGGGAACTACGGGAACATGTTCCCATCGACGGGATGGGTGCGATGGCCTTATAACGCATTCGCGGCCATCGCCCACAACCCGGATCATACCCACCACAGGAGGTCGATATACGTGACATCGCTGTGAGCTTACCGCATACTATCGAAGTGACAGCGGCCCCCCCGGAGCTCCAAAGTGACGAAACCGACACCTCGCCGTCCGATATCGCGCGGGGCCACGGAGATGGGGCAAACCCGCCGGCGATGGTAGTGGACAAGGGTGACCCTCCTCGCCACAACATCATCACAGAATAACGCTGGTGCACAGTAGAAACGCCTCGACGCTGTGTATGCATCACCGAGTGAATACGCAAAGTATGAATTCCCAGACCGGGCACGAAAACTACCCTACACCCTATCGAGCTCAAAACATCGCATCTCTATACTGCGCTCCACTCTGTTCGTCTGATCCCTCCACCGCTACGGATCCCGCACGCATTCCTACATCAACACACCCTTGAGCATACATCTTATATACACCCACGAGCAATCCCCCCCGTCCATCCCTTCCTACGTAGAATTCTCCAAATCGATCGAGTTGCTGAAGATGTAGATCGACCGCGATACATGGTGGAAGATCCTGTTTTTCTGTACTACCCGCCGTAGGCCCAATAAAGGCGCCTTCGGGTTCACGTAGGCGTGCCGTCCGTATAAACTGGTGGTTTTGAGAACTTGTGGGGATTATTTCTCTGGGCTTCTATTCGACCCAATCAGGACGTCGTTGGGCCCCGAGTGTCGGGTTGGGCTTTCGTTTTCGCGTTCGAACCACAAGCGGGCTGTCCTTCGGTTCATAACCACAAGCGGGCTCGCCCCCCGAGACAGCCTCTAGCGCGGCATCTCGGTTCCACATCCGTTTCGGGAAATGTTATTTCGCGAAGTGTTTACCCCCACCCATCAGTTCATCAGCGGCCCCACGCCCTCGCCGAGCTCACATCTGCGGCGTCTCGGTCCCACAGACGGACGACAATCTTTTCGATAAACATCCGATTTCGAGAACGATTCCACTCATCACCGGCATGCCCCTCACTCATCCCACAGCATCAACCCTCCCCCCACCCTGGCTACTATGCGCCAAACTAAACAGACACGGCGAACAATCCAGCACGTCCACCCGATACTCGGTCCCCTGGTACTCGCTCAACAGCGTTAACGCCGCGCGGACGGTCGGTACCGATCTACTCAAATCATGTCAACTCTGTCAGCAACTTAAAGGGAAAAATGGACGCATTTGTTTTTTTTGTGGGGGTTGCTTACTCGTATGTAGTCCGGATGATACCGACCCTTTTGGATTCCGAGTATCTGAGCAAATCAACATGATGCGCCGCACCAACGATCCGAAACACCTCCCTTAGCGCGTGGTTGATCGCGTTGCGGAAGTGGAGGGGAGTGACTGTGTATGTTGGGTCAGATGATGTGCTGTGTGGGGGATGGTTAGGGGAAACGGAGTGATGGTGAGCTGGGGACGGGGGAGGGGAGACTTACAAGCGAAGACGGAGGTATGCGAATGGGGATGGGGAGATTGTTAGTTTCGATGGCCTGAATCCCGCGCGTGCTGTGTCCGCCGCCGGTGCTGGGACAGTGACCTGCGCATTTTTCTCATTCGGTGTCGCTGCTGCTAATGGTGGTGGATCGGTTTGCTTTCGCTTTTTGGTGGCTTGTGATTGTTTGTTGGCGATGCTCCGTGCGGCGAGGGCGGATGCGCTGAGGGCTTGGGAGAGTTTGCGTTTTGGCGGCTGTTTTTGTTGGAGAGCGGATGCGGGTGGTGCGGGTGCCGCTGATGGTGGCCCTGGTGCGGATGTTGACGATGACTGTTGTTCTGGCATTTTGGGGTTGATGATGCTGCCTGTTGGTGAAGGTTTTGAGCCTCGAAAGTCGGCAGAACGGCAGGTTGGAAGAGCAAGCCACTTAAAAAGAGTCTCATGCACGTGACACCCCGTGACCTCCCCGCAACTTGCCCTTTTTCGCAACTTCAAACTCCCTACGAACTTTTTTTCGTATCGAGCTCAAACGACCCATTTCCTTGAAGAAGCATAACGGACGCAGCGGCAGTAAACAACCAATCTCCACTCAACCACATATACAAAACCTACGACAGAGCAGCAATGGGCAGAGTAACCGCCACCAAACCCGCCAAAAAGGCGCCAAAAACAAGTGCCCCCGAAGACGCAATGGACACCTCCGACGACCTTATCACCATACCCGGCTCCACAACCACAACAACAACAGCAGCAGCAGCAGCGGCGGCCCCATCACCACATACAACCGACGCCATGGACACAGATACACCCACGCCCCAGACGGATAAGCCAAAGTTTAAGAAAGTGAAGCCGTCGGAGCTTTTGGTATGTTTTGGGGAATGAATGGGAAAAGGTGAACTGCAGTGGGTGGGGAGAGGTATCTTTTTCGGCCCCAAGCTGGGAGTGATGATTCCAATATAGAGTCAAGCCCTGAGTTTTTTCAGGTACTGGGGAGGTGCCGGCTTATATACGGACCTTACTCGGTGCCTTTGATGAGAGCACTTCATACCTGACCCGCTTGGAGAAGAGAGAATGCCTCGTCCCACCCCTGCAATCTATTCCCGCACAGACAGTGACAAGGGACAGTCTAACTCATCCGTGTGTTTCTAGTCAGGAAAACAAGAATCTCGCAAAGTACCCGTGCCCCCACACCGCATCACCCCGATCCAGAAGGACTGGATCAAGATCTACTCCCCGCTCGTGGAGCACATGAAGCTGCAGGTGCGGATGAACCTGAAAGCCAAAGCCGTCGAGATGCGGACGTGCAAGCAGACCGAGGACGCTGGGGCGTTGCAGAAGAGTGCGGATTTTGTGAAGGCCTATTGTTTGGGGTTTGAGATTGATGTGAGTGAGCCGTTTTATCAATCAATTCAATCGAGCAAAGATCTGTATCCACATGTTCTCATCACCTCCTCGGTATCCCGATAGGACGCCATCGCCCTCCTCCGTCTCGACGACCTCTACCTCGACACCTTCGAAATCAAGGACGTTAAAACCCTCACCGGCGACAACCTCTCCCGCGCCATCGGCCGCATCGTCGGCAAAGACGGCAAAACCAAATTCGCTATTGAAAACACATCCCGCACCCGTGTCGTCATCGCTGACACCAAGATACATATCCTTGGGTCGTTTGCGAATATCAGAGTGGCGAGAGATGCGATTGTGAGTTTGATTTTGGGAAGCACGCCGGGGAAGGTGTATTCTCAGTTGAGGACTGTTAGTTCGAGGATGAAGGAGAGGTTTTGAGACATCTCGCTTTTCTCGCTCTGTCTATGCGTGCGAATACAAGGGGGTTGCTTGCGAGACGAGCCACTCCCCCCCTGTTTTTGCTTCTTGTCGTAGCGGAATCACATTTTGGCAACCCACCCACCCGCAACCATCTTTTGTATCTAGTTTACTTATACCTCATCCTCACACGGCGGGTGCAACACAACTCTCCCCTCCCCCCAACCTGTGTAATTTATAGCTATTCACATTATCATTATGCATATATGTACGTCCGAAGCTATAGAGTACCACAGAGGACCGTTTATTCTATTCTTCCTATGCCCGCAAAAACGAGCTATGCTCGTGTGAGATACCTCAACACCCCCGTTCGCACGCCCTCATTTGGGAACCTCGCGCACGAACACCAACACCATCATTGGACACTCTAAAAAAGTGGCCCTCAACATGTGTCGATCTTCGTTCCTACGCAGCAGCAGCAGCCGCCGCAGCAGCCTCCTGAATCGTCCGCGGCATACGTCTCCTATCCGGCTCCACGACACTGCAAAGCCAAACAAACTCAACATCCACACATCCGTACAAGAACCACCTCAGATACGAGGTTCACTCACCGTTCCCGTGCGCCTTCGCTCCTCAACACATCGGCGGAGTAGTACCGCCCGACGACCCGGCGGTCTTCCAGCACGGGGTACCGGGCGATGAAATCCAGAAAGTCTTCGTTTTGGTTCACCGCCGGTGTTATTCTGGTGGTGCTGTTCGGCGCCGAGCGTGATGCGTCCGGTGGGGTTGGCGGAGGTGACGAGGAAGATGAGGATGCGGATGCGGAGGAGTGAAGATGGTGATCTTTCAAGGCGAGATCGATCAGGTGGAGGTAGAACCAGGTGATGGTTTCGTTGTAGCCGTGTTTGATGAGGTGGGCGTTTGCGGCGTTGTGGGTTTGGATTGCTTTTCTGGGGTTGTGAGGGGGGAGGTTAGAGGGTGGGCAAATGGGGGAAGAGGGTGGGTGGGAAGACAGGAGCACGTACTTGATTTTGGGGAATGCGTCTTCCTTTTTGGTCGATTCGCGGAGGTAGATCCATGCCATCCTAGGAAACCCACAAGTGGTTAGCACGGGGTATTGCACCATGAAGTAAAAGGCTCCCAAATGAAAGACGGCAGCCCCACCTCAAATGCGCACGATGCGTCCACTCCCTAAACGACAAACCCCCCTTCTCCAACCGCTCCATGAACACCTCATCCCCCACACTCCTATACGAACTCTCATAATACACCAACGGCTCCATGCTCGTCTCCCCACTCACACTGCCCACGCCAGGTACAATCCTCACCACCTCGCCAAACCACACTTCATGATCCCCGACCTGCACGCGTTTGTCCTTACACACTCTACATATCAGCACGCCGAGGCAGTTATGGAGGATGGGGAGGGAGGTGCAGGCGTCGATGTGGTGGGGGAAGGCTGAGAGGTCGTGTTGGGTACGTGGGGAGGAGAAGGCGAGGGAGGCGGCGGTTTGGTGTTTGGAGAGGATGTGGACGGCGAAATCGCCGGTTGGGTGGGTTGTGAGGACGTGCGAGGTGCGGGAGGGGGTACGCACGCAGAAGGAGATGATGGGGGGTGTGAGGGAGACGGAGGTGAAGGAGCTGCAGGTTGTGCCGAGGTGCGTGGTGGGAGTTGAGGGGGTGTTGAGCGTTACTACTACCACTGAGAGAAGAAGGGAGGGTTAGAGCGACGGCAGGAGTCGGAGTTCGGGTTGAGACCCCTCATCGAACCTTGCGAAGGAACCTTCCGCATGACAGACCGGAGCTCGGCAGGCGTTATCTGCGGTGCTGCTGCTTCTGTATCGGGGTCGGCTCGTGCTGCTGTTTGGCTGAATGCTCGCCATCGGGTGCAGATCGTTGGCGGTGGTGATGGGGCAGGCTCTGGACTACGATGCCGCCGCGTTATCGCTGAGGCGCTGGGTAGACTCCGGCGGCATCGAGTTAGCCGGACGGTTAGTATCTGGAGACTTCTGTGTAGTGGAGACATCGTGCGGTGTCGACGGCGAAGTGGAGGATGGGCAGGCCAGGAGTGAATTCTATCCTCCTGGGAGTTGCAGGAGGGGGGGGGAGTGACGTGTTGACGGGGTCGCGCACGGCATTCGGCAAGCTCCGACTGGGCGTTTCCCTCAGGGGCAAAGAAAGACATGCCCACAGATGGAGGCTGGACCTTCCACGGTACGCCTGCTGGACATCCCCCCCCCCCCCCGCCCTCAACCTCGCAGGTTGAATTCTCATGCAACCTAGCATCACACCCTTCATAAGAAAACCTACACATCTGAACTCTTTGCAACTCATCAGCCGAAAATGTCGACAACCCACTTCCAAGAAACAGCCCTAGAGCACCGCTCCTCCCTCGGCAGCTCCACCTCCCTCCTCCGTAAACACCCCCACCAATCCTCCAACCCCTCCCTCCCCCGCGCCCAAGGCAGTCTCCGCGCCTACCACTCCGACATCTCCCTCGCCCCTGGCGGCGCCTGGGCCGCACGTCTCTCCCGCTCGACCTCCAACATCAGCGACGACTCCACCGCATCCTCATCCGCCCTGCAACGCTCCCATTCCCTCCTGGATGATCTGGACGCCGAGGAGCAGCATACGTGTGCGGAGATCTTGCTGGCGGCTGAGACGCTGGAGAATATGGTTAATGAGAGCGTGTTTGTGGGGGCGGCGCCGTATCGGAAGATGAAGAGCGGGAATTTAGGGCAAAGTGCGCTTTGGAGAGACAATATGGGGGATAAGGTGCTGAAGTTGGTGTATGGGACTATGAAATGTAAGGGTTGCTTCCGCTTCATGCGCTCGGCTCATTTCTTCTGGCCTTGCAGCTAATGGATATCTGTACGACCCATAGATCTGCCGTACATCGACACGATTCTCGTAAAAACCCAGTTCCTTGTATACAACAACGAGGTAAACTGATAATGCATGCCGACTGAGCCAAGCCAAGTATCTCACTACCATCTTCCACCACCACAGTTCCTAAACCAACTCGCCATCGTGAAGATTATGATCTACGACCTCATGAAAAACCACTTCGACTACCACAAATACCCCGGCATCGACTACACCCTCCCCGCCGACGCCCTTCCCACCGACAAAGACCACTTCGAGCTCGTCAAAGAGCTCGACCAGACTCTGCGCGGGTTCCAAGTCAAACTGGCCGCCGCGTACGCCCGCGTGCGGATCGCGCGGAAGGCGAGCGGGAACACGAGTAAGGAGCAGATGGAGAATGTGTTGCCGGAGGGGATACGGAGGAAGGAGTACATTGCGGGGGATATGCCGAAGTGTTTGAGGGTGAATCATTTCAAGACGACGGTGGGGAGGGTTTTGGGGGAGCTGGAGGCTGCGTTGGGGAGTGAGAGGTGCGTAAAGGAGAAAACACAAACGGCTGGGTGTTGGTATTGGGGTAGTGGGGAGCCTGGGACTGATGTGTGTGTGTGTTCTTTTTTGGTAGCTTTCAGCAAGGAGTGGTCATCGACCCAGACTTCCAGGATCTGATCGTAGTTTCGCCGGACTGCTTTGCGGAAATCAAAGCCAGCAAGGCTGTCACTGAGGGCCGTTTGATCGTTGAGGTAGGGCCATCGTCTGCTCCGGAAGGGGTCGAGACCGATCTTTAAGATCTCCGCAACCTTCAGGACAAATCTAGCTTCTGGCTCCCCCAACACGTCCGCTCCATCCTCCCCGACCTCAACCTCGAAGAATCCCAACCCATTCAAGTCCTCGATGCTCGCGCTGGCTGCGGTAACGAGTTTGTTTTTCCCATCCACGTCCATCAACCCCTTATTCTTCCCACACTCACTCTTCTCTTGAAAAATTACACAGGCATCAAAGCCCTCCATCTCGCATCCCTCCTCAGCGAATCCGGCACCGTCTTTGCCTGCGAAGCGCGGACTGGGAGGTTGGAGACGCTGAAATTGCATAAGGAGATTCAGGGGTGTCAGAGTAAGCCCCTCCCAAAACCCATATTATCCTCGGACCCCCTCTTTAGTTGGCAAACGCCTGACGTTAGCTCTCTGGATATATAGATTTGGAAATAATCGAGTCAGAATTTACCACCCTCGACCCCCTGGACCCCAAATTCGCCAACGTGTCGGTCATCATCGTCGAGCCGTTGAACTCGGGGACGGGGATACTCGACAAACTAGGGTATCTGCTGCAAGAGGAGGGTAATGCTTTGCGGGTTTTGCGTTCTGAGGATAACTTTCGGTGGTTCTGACTTGGGGTTGATGTCCGCAGAGTACTCGAGCGAACAGTACTCGCAAAAAGACCTCTGGGCACTCAAATCCCAGCAGCTAGCCACGCTTCGGCACGCCTTTTCGTGTAAGACCAACACTCCAATTCCCCACCAACATCACCATCGCATGTCGCTAACCCACATCCCACTCCCAGTCCCAAACATAAAAGCAGTAACCTACGTAACCCGCTCCATCAACGCCGAAGAGAACGAGGAGGTTGTGCGCGAGACATTGGAGGCTCTCGATGATGCGTGGGAGCTTGGGTGTGTGTTGCCGGAGGTGCCTGTTGAGCGGAACCAGGAATATGAGATTGGTAAGGAGACTCTCATGCCATCACCATCTTAGTCCATTCGTACTCAGATCCATCCATGCATACTGATCAATATCCAACCCACTCTGTAGAGGAATGCCTAAAAATCACCCCCTCAGAAGCAACCGGCAACGGCATCTTCATCGCCTCCTTCCACCCCACCCCGCCCTCCCCTCCCACTCCCCCAGAAGAAGTCGATCCGTTAACCAACCCCACCGACCTCGACACCCCCCAAAAACGGCGGAGGAAACGCAAACCCCACATCCGCCGTAAAGGCGAGCTGTTCGAGCCCCGCCTGACGAAAGCGATGGCGGCCAGTGTCGCGCGGTTGAGTCTGCCGCGGGGGTTGAGTACGACTCGCGTGGTGGGGCCGGCGGGCGAGCAAGGGGCGGGGAGTACGCAGAATCTCGCGGGCGCGGCGGAGGGCGATCATAACCCCACCCTCAATCCCGCTGTTACGGATCCCGCGGATGCGTCAGATGCGAAAGAGAAAGAGAAAGCACCGCCGCGAAAAGCGAAACAAGCCGCCCCGTCATGGCAGAAACAGATGGGGATCTACGGGCTGAGTTTGGCGAATTTCTGGGGCCCGAGGGATGCTGCGTACAGGACGATGAACGCCGGCGGCGGGAAGTGGGTTAGTGCGCCCAAGTTGGTTTCGTACCCGGTGAGTGAGATGGGAGACGGGTGATGTGCGATCTGGGTTTTTGCGATGGCATTTTTCTGATCTGTGGATTCTTTCCTTTTGATGTGATGAAGGTCCCGAATCCAAAACCGTGGAAATGACCCTTTTTTCGTCCAATGTATATATATCCTTTGAACGGATTGACGGGACGCACCTATTTCCATATCGTTTTGTTTTGTATGTGGGCGAAGCTTCCACTTCGTTCTTGCTTTATCCCGTCTTTCGTCCCGCCCGGTAAAAAAAAGTGGGCCTCCTTTTATTTCGCTGAACCGGAACAAAGAGCCGCACCTTTTTGCCTCACGGTGAGCCTCACATGTCGAATTTGGGTTGATGGGTCGGTGAACATATTCCCTAATTTTTGGGTAGGTTATTGGCATACCACATGTTGCTGGTAAATCAATTGTTACGTCCATTACTGCTTCCATTGTTTGTCGACGGTGTGTTCTATGCGGGCTATACCCGTGACCACATCTTTGCGAGGCGGCCACCGATGCAGTCGGTTCCGAAAGGAGATGAACTTCGCAAATGCCGTTGTCCGAGGACTCCTGACCTCGGCAGTCCATGATCATCCACATTCTAGATTGAAACTATGTACATCCCAAAATACCAGCAATCTAACCGCATCTACAATACGCCACAGAAGAAAAACCAACCACTCACACCTTCGCCAACTCCCTAACCTCCCTCAACTCACCCTCCCGAAAATGTTTTTCCAGCCTGTCCAAAACCACTTTCACCTTCTTCTCCGCGCCCTCCCCTTGCATAACCATCCCTACGAGATTCCTCAAGATCTTCTGATCCACCTTATCTAGCTTGCGCGACTCCTTCAGCTCCTTCCACCATACCACAGCGTCGACGGCCTCTGTGACGTGTCCAAGCCTCACGAGGGCCTCGACGTATGAGCAGACCTCGTTGTCTTCGAGTTGTGTCCGGGTGGATTTGCGGCTGCGTTGGATGGCGCTCCAGGCGTCGTTGACGCGGTCGGCGGTGGAGAGGAGACCGAGGCCGTCGAGGTAAAGCGAGACGGCCGCGCCGGGGAGGTTGGGGTCGAAATAGGCAGTCTTTCTCACTTTGTGTGGCGGGCGGCCGGGCCAGGAAGCCTCCTGCAGCCACTGCCAGCACTTTTCGAGTTCCTCGAGATTGCGGGTCCTGACGTAGGCGTCCATCAAGCAGACCACGTGTCCCACTTGGACAGGGACGCCTCTAGAAATCATCTCGTCGATGTAGCTTTGCATTTCCGTCACCTTCCCTGCCTTTGCCAACGCGTTAAGAATGACGTGGAAGGTGATTTCGTTCGGCCGCATGCCGGTCTCGTCCATGATTTCCAGAACGGAGCGCATGTCGTCGAATTTGCCCTGTTTGCCGTATGTCGCGAGGAGGAGGGTGCTGGCATGCACGTTCAGCGGGACGCCACTGTCCATGAATGTTTCGAGCCATTTGTCGAGTTCGGCGTCGGTGTTGCCATCGGGTAACGCTGTCCGCTGACTGAATCCAAGCATCACAGCGTGGGCAGCTTGTTCGCCGACGTCGCCCGTGGTTGGCATGGATGCATAGTATTCGCGGGCTTGAGCGTCGCGACTGGTGCGGCACATCCAGGTCAAAAGAATGCAGTGCGTCGCGATACTTGGCGGGATCCCGGCTTCTTTCATGGCAGCGACCCATCGCGCAACACCTTCCGCATCATCCGCGTCCGCATGTCCTCTGATTAACGTCATGTACGTAATGGCATCAGGCTCAAATGCATTGGCGGCCCCAAAACTTTGCTTGTGCGTGAACCACTGTTCGGCACCCTTCAAGTCACCAGCCTTGTAGAAGGCCAATAACAAGGCATTGTGCGTCTCCACGACAGGCGTGATCCCTCTCACGAGCATACGATTCCACGTCTGCAACGCCTCCTTCAATTGACCATTCTTACCCAGCGCCGCAATGCACGTCGTGTACGGGACGTGGTCAACAATGCGAGACGTGGGGTCGATGTTCGACTTCGACTCGATTGCCTTCAACAACTCGATCGCACTGGACTTCGCTCTTGACGTTCCGACATTCCCGTACCCTTCCATGAGAAGGACATAAGTGAGCTGGTTGGTCCGGATGCGACTGGTTGCATAGTCGGGCTTCCACTTTATCAATTTCCGGCGCCACCTACGGGCGCCTTTCATGTCGAGTTGATCGACACGGGCTTTGATGATGGCGTTCAGAAAGCCAGCGTCGAGATTGACGCGTCGTTTTTGTATCTCTTCAAGCAGGTTCTCAATGTCCTCGTCAGTGCCGATGCGGGCGTATGCGCCAACTACGCTCGTGTAAGTGTGCACAGTAGGTGTGATCCCTGCCTCATCCATGTCTTTCAAGAGGCTTTCGGCTTTTTTCAGATCATTAAGGCGCGCAAAGTGGTGGATAAGGACATGATACGTGATCTGATTCGGTTTGAAATCCGGATGTGCATTCATATCGTCAAAAAGCGCTAGAGCTTCTTTCACTTCAGATTTTGCTAAACGCTCCTGTATCTCCATCGTTCTCCGCTTGATCTCCTCGTCATTTTCAGCTGATCCAGATGTCGCGTGCTTGCCAGTTAATCGAGATGTAAACAGCAATCGGTCCTTGGTATGAGCCAAGGAGCGAGGAGTTCCAATCTTCGCTAGAGAACTCCTTGCGGTATTGCCGGGAATGTGGATCCCCCATTTTTGTTCAGCTCGTTCTACCAAGCGCTTGCCTTCCTCCAAACTTGCACTACCCTCGATCAACAGCGCGACAGTCGACACAAAAGGTTTGATGCCTCTCTCCCAGTAGCGTTCAGCATAAGCTCGAGCTTCTTCCGTCCGTCCAGCGTTGGTAGCAGCTAGAACTACAGCGTGAAGGGTGAATTCATCTGTGACCACAGACCCCTCGTGTTCCCCGATGAGCTTCTCCACAGCCGCGAAGTCTCCGACTTTCGCAATGCTGCTTGCGAGGACGTTGACCATCCTAATCGATGTGGCGACTCCTTTCTCAATCAGCTGTTTGTAAACCTCACGAACACTTTCGAGCTGTGCGACACTGCCCTGGGTCACTTTGCCTGCCAGGGACATCATTCGTGCCCCTACGTCCGCCGCGGCAACCGCAAGCCCCTTGTCTTGGAGCATGTCGTCGATAAGCTCGTACGCCTGTTTCCAATCTCCATTATCACACGCAACTTCAATGAGTTTAAGGTAGCTCGACTTTGGCAGCGTAACGTTCCGCCGGCGGGAGGCTTCGAAGACCTTCCGTGCCTCATATTGCCGGTTCCCACTCGTGCAATGGAAAACGAGACCGCTGAATGCACCGGGCGAAAGGGCATAGCCTTCGGCCTCCGCGGTCACAAAGAGATCATAGGCACGGGTGACGTCCGGTGGTTGGCGATCCAGGGCGTCCCGGATGTCGCGGCTGTATTTCTTCCCAAAGGCCTGATGCCGATTCTTCTTGGCAAACTCAACTCGGCGCTTCACGTCCGCGTCATCGTTCAACCGATCCTTGTACTGCCTTGATCTTGCGAATCGTTCCAGGGCATATATCTCTTCAGCTTGTCGCGTCGAGTCGAAGGCAAGGACTGTCACTTCGTAATCTTCGACTGTATCGTAGTTGAGCGAGCAGAGGAGTCGATACACATCAAGACCGTACCGAAGCCGGCCGGGTTGAGCCTCAATGAAGGCTCTGAGGAGCGCCCGGAGACAATCTGACGTGAACGTCCGGTTGATGAGGGCAGAGTCCAACTCCATTACATTCTTGAAACCGTGCTTCTCGAGTACGCCCGTGAGCGCCGATTCGTCCATGGAGCGCAGGTGACTGCAAACCAGCGCCTTCCACGCCGCGATATATCCCAGCCTCAAAGTCTTCTCGGTCAGCATTTCGGTCTGGTACTCCGTCCGCTGCAAAAGCTCCCAACATTTCGCCGTCCCTTCCCAATCCCAGTTCTTTGCGAGCGCAATAGCGAGCAGACAAATGGTTTCGTGTTTGGGCTTTCTGGGTTTCGTAAAAGCAAAATGCACCACGTCTTGCGCCGCTGCCATGTTACCCGCGTAGACATTCGCAGCCACGACGTAATGATAGTCATCAGCCGACGGCGAGACGCCGTACCGCCGGTGCGCCTCCCCAACAACCAGCGCAGTGGCCTTCTGGATATTCTCCTGATTGTTTCGTTGCGCGGCTCGCTCCTTCTTGTTGTCAACGAGGCCAAATACATCAAAGAACTGTCCACGCGAATAGGACGATGTTGTCAAGGTCTCGATAAGGGCCGCCAACAGCTGCTTCTTGATTTGATGAAGATACCTCACTCGCACTTCACCACGGCCCGCAGTCTCTTCGATTTTGGTCGACTGCGCATGCGCTTTGTCCAGTAAGGTCTCGATCTGCTGGGACTGCAACGTCCGAAGACGGTCTCTGAAACGAGTGTCTGGCAATCCGGGATCGGCCATCTGGCGGGCTTTTGAAAGTTTCTCCTCCGCATCGGACGCCAGTAATCGGGAGAAATAGTCGATGATATCTCGGCCTCGTTTCAACTCTGCAGAACGAAACGAGGGTCGTTTCAGCAATAATCCATGAAGTGAACAACCTCAATGTGGAACTCACCATTGAGCGGGTTCCTACGGACGGGACTAATAGGCCCCTGATGTACTGTATTGTTGCTCGTCACAAGCGCCGTAGGCGGTGCATCCGTCGTTTCCAACCCTACTGATTGGCGGTGGGGCGCGAAAGTGGTGAAACCCGCATACTCTGGGTTGTGAAGACGACGGTGAGGAACTCTTGTCAACAGACATCCCGTACAATTCCTTTGGAGTGGCCTGAACATTGTATGGCCGGCCACTGTTGTCCGGAACAGTCAATGGAAAGTGAGACGAGCGGGATTCCAATATGCTTCGTTCTACAGCTGCTGGTAATCCTCAGTTGGACAGACTCGTCTTCCGACCGACCGAACCACCTGCCAAGCACCCTACTCCGTGCAGCTCCCTAGAGGTTGGACTAAGTTACTCCAGAGGGTGAAATTCGACCAATCGAGGCCTGATCGAGGCGTGGGAACCTTTGGCACGCGCGGATTGTGAAGAGTCGAACTCCTGAAGCTCAATTCCGAAATCTTCTGGCAACCTCCTGGCGACCTCAAATGTACTCGCAGCTATGACGACCACAGCAAACATAGCGTTCGCGAACCTCGCCTCGACGTTCGTTAATTTGCCACAAGAGTGGGCAAATGCGTTGTGGGACCAGCTACAGGTAACGTCGCGATGACCAGTGTGTTTCCGGTGATCTTGCAAACCTTGCCTGTATCCCTCGCTTAACATGCTTCATTCTCCAGAACCTACGGTCCGGAAGCGTCATACTATCGCTGAAATGGAAAGACAAGTCGGCGCGACAAGGATTGAACCGCGAAGTGTTTGTGGCATGGGCGGGCGGGGCGGCTGCTGCGAAGAGGACAAGTTACCCTGGACAAGCTCCGCAGGGGAAGGAGAATAGGCTGGAAATTGATGCACTGTATGGGAAGTTGTTGGGGTTGACGGAGGGCCTGCCGGTTAGTTGATTGCGTGGATTGTGAATGTGCGATAGAGCACGAGGGGCTGAGCCGGACGCGCGCGGAGTGAGTTTGGTACGGTCTGGGAGACCGAGCGTAGCGAGGTCGACTAGAGCGAACGCCGACTGCGGGGAGGAAGCGCAGGGATGCTCGAGGCTAGAAAGTCATGAGGCGACGACAGCGAAGCGCGAGCGGAGCGAGCCACATTGCGCCAAATGCGCAATACTCTAAGAAATGCGAGCCTCAGCGAGCGTCAGATCTTTTGCGAGCGAAGCGAGCACCACATTGCGCTGAAGGCGCAGTACTCTCCTTAATAACGCTACTGTTTGTTGATGGGTGGTTGATGGTGGACGTGCGATGGCTGATGGTTGACGGTCGATTATTGATGATAAATGAAGGTTGATTATTGATGATGGTTGGTCGTTTCAGGTCGAAGTGGAGTTTTGCAAGAACATACCGAACGGGACGTCCGTCAATGTGGAGCCACTTTCTGTGGATGATTGGGAGATTTTGGTATGAGGAGAGGGTTGGGAGACTTCAAGACAGCGTACTTGGCTAAATAACTGACCCTGCTCTGGCTGAGAACAGGAGTTACATGCGGGATACCTAGAGGAGCAGTTCCTCAATCAAGTCCGCGTAGTATGGGATGGGCAAATCATTCCAGTATGGGTGCAAGGAGGGACGGTCATCCGATTACGGATTGGTGAGTGGTGCAGTCGCTATATAAGTGGACAAAAAGGTGGAAGTCTTATAGATCGCCCGACGCCATCGTAGTGGACACGGAACCAACAGCAACCTGCGTGAAGCTCGACACCGACGCCGAAGTCATCGTCGCACCCAAACAGCGGCGGAAAGTGAGCTTCAAAGAACCAGAGCCAGAGACAATGACCCCTGTGAAGCACGCCAAGAAAGTCCCAGGACTTCCGTTGCGTTTACTCCCCACGGACGCGCTAGCGCCAGGCGATGCGATACACACACCCGCCGCACCAACCATCTACATCGGACCAGAAACAGCCCCTTGGGCCTCACAAGATGGAAGTGTATTGAAACTCTCCCCCTTTCGGTTCAAAGGATCTCCAAAGGACAAATCAGCGAACCAAACGCCAGGGGATGACGAAACACCCGACAACAATACAACAACAGCCACAGCATCCAAAACCCTCTACGTCCGTTGCCACATCCGCATGAACATCCCGAAAGGCCATTTCTGGGCCACGAAAGCAGTCCGTGATGCCCTCGATCTGCACCCCTTCGCCCGCGTCAAAGCGTTTCCCCCATCTTCCCCCCCGCTCAAGAAGTTCCAGATCATCCTTCGTCCTATCGACTATGGCGCCGCGGCGTTGAAGTTGAGGGATGAGACGGCCAAAGAGGAGACGGTGGAGGCGTTTAGGCGGGAGCTGAAGCGGGTCGTGGGCGATGCGGGGTCGGTTGTGTTGACGCATGGGACTGTACAGCATCTTAATATACCTGGGAAAGCAAACGGCAACACAACGGTCCTGGTCACATTGATCCCGACGGAAGCGTCAACAACACCCGATGACCAAGTAACGCCTCTCGACAACTATATCGAAATCGATCACACAAACCAGCATCAGATTCCCGTGAAAGTCCATACCACACTGTCAATGAAGAAAGCCGCGGAAAAGAGCGCACCTTCGGAACCAGCACCTCGACTGGCGGGAATAGACGAACTTCTCCACTCGTTAAAGTACCAGGTTAAACATCGCTTGATACAGCGCGGGCTTCGCGGGGCTGTGGCTTCTCCCGGTATGGACTATTATGACCCCGAGTGTATTGTTTGCGGCCATCCCCTTTGGAGATGTCAGTTGCTTATGAAAAGATGATTTGTAGCACCCGGCAACATCCTATTACACGGATCCCCAGGCGTTGGGAAGACCAGCATCGTCAAAGCAGTTGTCCATGCTCTTGGTATTGATCCGAGCGTACTAGCCTGTAGGTTCCCCATCCATTCGTTATCCATTCGTTATCACCATCTGTTCTAGTCACCCGTGAACTGACAATATACGACCCATCTTTCTCCAGTCTCAACGTACATAAACTGCCAAGACCTAGTCCCCGAACGCATCCCCAAAGTAAAAGACACCCTCCAAGAAGCCATCTATAAGGCCGCGTTCCATTCACCCGCAGTCGTCGTGCTGGATAACCTTGACCGGCTGATTCCTGTTGAACAAGAGGTTCGCTACATCCCCTCTCCCGTCTCTTCCCCTTCCCTTCCCCTCCTAACATTCATCTATCTGTTCTCTTTGATTGGTAGGGCACAGACGCATCCCGCACAACCCAACTCTCGTCCCTCTTCCTCGACCTCGCCCTTACCGCCACCTCTCGCCTCGGCATCGTGCTTCTCTGCACATCCCTCCAACAATCCTCGCTTCACGCGTCGGTGATGACGCAGCATGTGTTTGGGTATACCGTGCATGTGAGGGCGCCGAGCAAGGCGCAGAGGATGCAGGTGCGTTGTGTCTGTCTGTCGGAATGTCTGGCACGATCGATGATGTTTTTATATTGGCAATGGTTTTCAGATATTGGAATCGACGTTATCAAACAACCCAGCTATCCAACGCCCCACCGCTGGCCTCGACCTTTCCTCCATCGCCGGCACGACCGAGGGCTACAGCCCCGCCGATTTATGTACGCTGACCAAACGGGCGTTGCATGAGGCTACTGTGCGGGTTTTGCATGAGTCTGTACGTGATGGGGTGGAGAATTCAAGTGATGGGAAGGGGTATGGGGGAAATGGGGGCGTGGAGGTTGGCAAGGAGGATTATGAGAAAGCGCAGAGGGGTTATGTCCCCGCCGGGTTGAAGGGGGTGAAGTTGGAGAAGGATACGGGGGTTGAGTGGGGTGATATTGGAGGTTTGTCTTTGAATCATTCCTTCGGTCGTGTGGGTGGAAAATGTCACATTGTATTCATCACTACGTTGCTCGATGCTAGGACTACATGCGACGAAACGCACGATTTTGGAAACCCTCGAATGGCCCACAAAATACGCCTCAATCTTTGCTAACTGTTCGCTGAGGCTGCGGTCCGGGTACGTCCTCCACCCCATTCCCCATCCCTTCCCTTCCCCATATTTACAAACCAACATGCCCCATCACCCCCAGCCTCCTCCTCTACGGCTTCCCCGGCTGCGGCAAAACCCTCCTCGCCTCCGCGGTCGCCAAAGAATGCGGATTAAACTTCATCAGCGTCAAAGGACCTGAATTGCTGAATAAGTATATTGGGGCTAGTGAGCAGAGTGTGAGTTTGTTTTGGGAGTTTTTAGGGGAGGGTGGGCGGGAGGGCAGGGATTGATGTGAGTTTTGGGGGCGCAGGTGAGAGATGTGTTCGAACGAGCGGCGGCAGCAAAACCGTGTGTGTTGTTTTTGGACGAGTTTGACGCGATTGCGCCGAGAAGGTACGGTAAAAACACGTTCACCAAAAAAATGACTTCGTGCCAGGCTTATGGATTTTTCTGAACGTTCATCGGAATTTTAGGGGAAATGATAACACAGGCGTAACCGACCGCGTAGTGAACCAAATGCTGACGCAGATGGACGGCGCGGAGGGGTTGGATGGGGTTTATGTTCTCGCCGCGACCAGGTGCGTATCCCACGTAACACGAAAACTGTTCCTTGCCGGGATTTTGTGGGTTGATACCTTGTTTTTCGCGAAATAGTCGACCGGATATAATCGACCCAGCCCTCCTCCGCCCCGGCCGGCTTGATAAGAGCCTGTTGTGTCCGATGCCCAACTACGCGGATCGTCTTGAGATCCTGCAGACAGTCTCTCGCAAACTGACTCTCGCCCCCACAGTCGACCTCCCCAGCCTCGCACGGAGAACGGAGGGTTTCAGCGGCGCAGACCTGCAGGCGCTTGTGTATAATGCGCAGCTGGAGGGTGTTCATGGGGTTATTGATCATGTCGGGGGTGATGTTAAAGGGGAGGATGAGACGGGGACAAAAGAAGGGGAGAAGGAGGGGAGGGATGGGGAGGGGCAGAGGGAGTTTGTCGTTGCGGAACGTGGGAGGGTTGTGGTTTTGGAGAGGGGGGAAAAGGGTGCAATTGTTGCTAAGGTATGTTGAGGGAAAATGGGTAGATTTGACATGCGTGCGCCGCGGATGATGTTTTCATTGACCGGGCCTTTCTTTTGCAGATCGAAGCGATGGAGAAGAGTGCCAAGACATCATCGGAGAACAACGGCCGATCAGATACCGACAAAAGCACTCCGACACATCAGGTACCCCCCTCCTTCCTCCCTTTTTCCCTACATCCCCGCATCCCCTCTGACCACTTCACCCAACCTCAGATAATCCAAATAACCCCCGACCACCTCGAAACAGCCCTCTCCACCACCCGCCCCTCCATCAGCCAAAAAGAAGTGTCACGACTCTCCGGGATCTACGAGGAGTTTCTGGGGGGTAGGGTGCCTGGTGGGGCTGTTGGTGTGCGGGCTACTTTGATGTAGATTTGATAGAATGTAGATGTATGGGTAGTATGAGGGTAGAGAACGATGAATCGGGATACTGTTACGGCTTATGGGTAGCAATAGGTGCCTCAAGACGGAGGGTACCATTTTCTATATGAGATTGCATAGGTTCCAAACGACAAGAACCGCACGTGATTGAACAAAAAACGAAGGAAAATCCAGTCCAAAGAACATCCCACCCATGTCGCTGCTTTCAAATACATAGGGTTGTGTTGTCGCATCAGCGGTGGTCCGGAGTCGTCCGTTCCAACCATTTCTTTCCGATTTTCCTTTTCCAGGACAGGGTCGGCAGGTCGTTATGCGGGTAGGTGGGCTGCTCAAGGACCCGTCTACTACACTGCCTCCACATTCCGTCCAATGCCTACTTTTTTCCGTCCACGCGTGGGTCACAGACGTCTGACTCAGCCAGGTAATCGCCCCCCCTGCTGCGATGAGACGGTCACCAGGGCGGGTGTTGCCCGGCCCACTCATCGAGCATCCTCTGTGGCTCCTGTCGTAGGCGTGGCCGCAATGGGCGAGACGAGATTAGCTACCATTTGAGGGCTGGAGGGAATGTCGTCGTGACGGGATTTGCGCGGTCGGAGGTAGGAACTGCGTTTGCAGGTGTGAACGGTGGCGAAGGTGTTTGAACCCGGGTGTGCGCTGGTGTCGGTGTCTTTCGTCGATGACGTTCGCCTTCCTTTTCGACTACGGGGAGGACAATGCCTCCCAATGTCCACACAGATTGATCCCCCTCTCCATCCATTCCTCAACTCAAAGCTTAACAGCCGCATTCCTCAACTCGAGATACATCTGCACATGCTGCGGCTGCAACGTGCGTATGAACTGGTACACGTCGCTGTTGTGGTACCGGAGGGATGTTTTAGGGTCCGTGTAGGGTGCCTGAAGCGATTATAATATTTTGAGGGGGATGTAGATGGTGGGATGAGGGAGGTATGGGGGATGTGACGTACCTCGAGCCCGGTGATATCGCAGTACTTCTTTTGGGGCATGAGGGAGGGTGGGGCTTGGATGCTCCAGTCTACGATCAAAACCGAAGCCCCTGAATCAGGCCCCACCTTCTTTCAGCCAACGTTCTTCTCACAAAATCTCCACTCACAAGTAGGAAAATCGACCCCAACATCCATCATCCTCTCCAAAGCGGCCATCTGCTTCAACTTCTTGATTGCCTTCGGGGGCACATAACTCGCGCTTTTGAATGGCTTCGCGACGCTGCTGATTTCCAGGCGTTGGACGACCTCTGCGGTGCTGATGGCCTGTTGTACTTGCGGATTATGGCGGGTGGAGGGTGGGTCGGAGGAGCGGCGCGAGTGGGGAGGGGAGGAGGTGGGGGTTGCCGTGTCGTCGAGCTGTGAAGGGTGAGGTGGGGGTGAGTGTGAGATTGGGGTCAGGAATGAGAGGAGAGGATCCTTGCTCATACCTTTGCGCGCTTGGCGGCTGGACCACCGCTGGATCGGGAGGTTTTGTTAGATTTCGCCCTGTGGATGACTGACTGGTGAGATGGGGGTTCGCTGGGACATTCAACCAAACGCGCCGGCATGGAAATGCTGGCACGACGACGGGCGCTCACGAGCCAACCTACATGTTTCAGCGTTGAAGGAAGACTCTGAACAGGTCTCACGAGTTGGTAGGGGTCAAGCGGGCGTGCTCTGTGGGGGTTCAAGCGAGTCCATCGTCGGTCCGTCGGAGGAGTCTCCTCTAGTCTCCTTCACGCGTTGCTGGCCATCGGAGAGCACGTGACCGCCCCGTTGTTGTCCGTATAAAAAGGGCGCCCCCGTTTTCTTCTCCTCGCCATCTCAAAGCGTTTGTTGAGAGGTTCCCCTGTTCAAGTTCTTGGTCGATAGTAGGAAGGAGCTTCACGGTCCGTACGTACCATCCGTTGCCTCGGTAAGTTCAGCGTCGCCCACCATAGCACACTCACAGACAATAGCTGGGGGAAACGGCGTGGAAAGCGGAAAGGAGGGACACTCCATTCCATGCGGCGCGAGATGACTGCTTTGCCGCCCCAGGCGGAAACCATAGTGTCGATAGAATAAGCGTTATTTCTGACTTGTCTGATGCCCAAAAACACACCACCACGGAGGACGGACTACACTCTGTTACCACTCTTTTGCTCCTTTGCAAACGCTTGCGCTGGATACCTAGGCCCAAATCTATCGAGATGTGGTACTCATGTTCTTTCCTCTCCTCCGTTATTGCGCACAACAGGCTATCGCTCGTCACTACCGCCAAGGCATTCGCTGCACTATCGGAGTGCATCACAACAGGTAAGCTTCTGAACATAGCATAGCCCCACACCCCAATCTCCTGCCCTCACCCGGCGCCGTCAACGATGAGACACTTCATGCACCACGCTTAGGGGCCGTAGGCTCTGAGGCTGAGAAAACTGAAAACACCATAGAAACTTTCTGAGATATGCCCCCAAAACATGTGGGGACGGCGCCATGAACTGTGTGCGGGATGTCTCGCCCTTGGTTTATGTGTTTCTCGTTCAGTTGTTGACCCTTTTCCCTTCCATTCTGTTTGTTTTGAAGGTTGTAGGTGAGTCGAAACGATAGTACCCCGGTAGATCAGTGTATCAGTGGATCGGTGAGCGGTATGGGTAGATAGATAGTTTCCGCCCGTGGTGGCCAGATAACTGGATGTGTACTTGTTCCTATCGCTTCGAAGACCTTCAATATCAATGCATTGCTTTCACGGTTCACGACGGGTCTCTGATCTGTATATGTATGTGCGGGAGTGGACGTCGGGAGTGCATATGTACTTGGGGTCCCGGCGACGACCTTGGTTTCCCGGAAAGGGAGACGGGCTCGAGATGCAAGTTTGCGTCTCCCCGGTTCAAACTTGTTCCTTTTGAAGTCCGGCTTTTGGAAACTCGGACACAGCCAAGAAACCGTGGCCCCCTTGTCGACTCTTCTTCGTCCGTTTCCCACAAACCCCACCAGGGCCCAGCAACATAAAAGCGTCAGGAAGAGGAGCGCCTGCCGAGAATCTATAGGCGTCTCCATATTTGCGCTTGAAAGAACCAGGGGCTGACGCGATCCTCGCATTTGATCTCGACCTTCCACTCCCTCCCTAGTGGCTAGCATGCAGGAACCCTCTCGCTCAAGTCGGATCAGCAACAAGAGGAAGGAGGCTTCCATGGAGTCGATGAAGGAGCTTGCCGTTCTTTCGGTGCATATCAAAAAACGTCGCTTCTATAGAGACTACGCTGAGCGATGAGAGCTGTTGCTGGTAATGTCGTAGGATTGGGATCAGCGGCAACTTTTATTAGGAGAAAGCTTCCTGTCCAAGAATCCTAGAGACGGTATAGGAAAATAACCGGGATAGTTTAGCAAGCGGCGGAGGAAAAGAGGAACATCAACCAGGCGCACGCCGCTAGCGCGGTTGCTATGCCGGAGGGAGTAAGCCCAAGACCCTAGCGTCTAGCGGTGCGACTTTCTATGGTCATGTTATGCGGGGAATCCGCCATTTCGAATTTGGGATGTGGCCTTGCGGACTGGGCTGTGGAGATACAAGCGGGCTGGCGGAAGCCATCATCGCAGACGAGGCGGGGCGCAGCACTCGACGAGAAGTTGAAGGGTTCATTATAACCAGAGAGCCGGGGAGCAGGAAGCGGAAAGAAGGAAGACCCTCAGAAGGAGTGTTGGCAAGGGACCTAGGAAAGAACGACTCCACGTTACGCTGGTATACGCCTTTTTATTGTACGGCAGGCCGAACCCGATAACGGCAAGACTCTGATTCTTCAAGGCGGCACTCGAAATCATTATGAGTAATGTAAAGCACTTTGTGGGCGGATATCTGTGGAAGGACGATCCGCATGACGCTGTTGGAAGTGGCGGTGGTCTGAAGGGTACGTCGGTACGTGGGCCCCAGGCGACAACACACCTGTTAGCGGCGAAAATAGCGGCGAGCAGAGGGAGCGATGGGGCCCCTCGTCCCATCCTCGTCACAGCACTTTCTACGGTACCTTGGCCATCGACTTCTCAAAAGGGACGTATCCGAAACGAGACACAACGCTCCGCCTGGGTCAAACTGGATGTTTGTTGCAGTTGGCAATCACAGATGTTAGGGGCAGCGACGCCGCTTACAACGACGCTGCCGACATCGATTCCACCAACAAAGACTCATTAACGCAGCTGGCCTCGGACGTAGGCGCATTGTCAAACACTGTCCGGTGTGTTGCTCAGTTACATTGGCCGCTGTGAAGGGGACCATCAGCATCACGCTTATTGAGTGGAGACATGGGCCTTTGCTTGCTGCCATCTGCCACCTATTTTCAGACAGGGTGGAGGAAGGGAGTCTTTTGGGATGCCGTATACAGTACTGTTTCGCTGCCTTCTTTGTCCAAATTACAGCCGGTCTTGCCATCCTATAAATGCGCGGGTTGGGTGAATGCCACTGTCCTGCTGTTCCTGCGTGTTGGACTTCGACGTTGCTGGCGCGTAGATTGAATGCGTTGGCGATGCTTACCTCACGCGTCGCGGTTGAAACATTTCGGACAGCCATTTCGGACATTCAAATATGCCCATTTTCCTTCCAAGTCGTTGATTCTAGAATTCCGGATGAATGTGAGCTCTGTGAGCCAGATCATCAGAATGATGCAATATCAGAGCCGTTGAAGAGCATGCATGCCACATCATAGCAGCTACGTTCTCTTCATTGGATGAACGACCCATTGGCATGGCAGAAAGTCGCTAGGGAGTGGCTAAGAAATTCATGAATTTGAGGCAATCGGTGTGAACATCAAAGTCATGGCTGAATTTTCAATGCACGGCAATGGGAGCAGCGGTAGCTTCCTGAGTTTTCAAGGAAAGTACTCGATGCTTCAGGTAAAGTATTCGATGCGGAGGAACATACTCCGGCCACTTTTCCCACAGTCCTGTTCATTCAACAACTCCCAGGCAACCGTACGGGACAAAGGGAGGAGATTCGGACTGGGACTGGCTGAACACGATAACATCGACTTGTGAAGTCTGAAGTCTGAAGTTTGAAGGAGAGTGTCACGCTGAAGAAGAGGCGCTGAATGTGACGTTCTTGGTGCTGTTCAACTTTAACGCCAGCTTAGGTAATAAACCCTAACCCTAACCATAACGCGTTCGCCCGCGGGACCTTGGGCAGACGAAGAGCCGCCGACGTTATAGGCGATAGCCTTTGTCATGTTGACGTGGGAATTGTGAATTGTGAGAAGAGCGAGCTGCCGACAAGCAGAAGGCCCCGCAAAGGCATGGAAAACACAGGATATAATTTCGTGCCCTCCAACAATCTCCAAGAGGGCCAAGAGGTAGATAGAGCAACCAAAGGAGGAAGCTCTTCCTCAGGTTCTTCAACGCTTCTATTCCGGAATCGCACCCGCCGGTAACACGAGGAGGAGCAAGTTTCTCGCTCCTCACCCGCAAAAATGGATGATGTCACCCGACAAGTAAATGCCAGCCCCCCGCTACACTCCTCACGCACCTCACCATCTCATCCCCACCTCTCCCCAACAGTGGCTCGAACCCCTCTGGTGCGACTTCCGTCTCCAAACCTGGTCCTGCACCGACTCCACTCTCTGGACAACTGTATTCATAATCCACTCAATATGGGCCTTCCTCCTCTTCCTCATGGGCCTATGGATCGTCGTGAAGAAGATCGGGCAGCTACGTGAAAAAGGGCTCGGTATCTTTGAGGTGTGCGATGGAGCGGTGAGACCGCGCGCGGCAGAGGCGTTGCTTGTGACGGCTGCCGCGCATATTTTGGGACGGGGGGCGCATACGACGGTGGTGCTGGCTGGGGGGTTTGGGAGTTGGGCTGTTGGTGAGATTCTTGTAAGTGTTCGGGCGGGAACTGCTATGATTGGGGGCATCAAATTGATCTGAGGTCTTTCTTGCTGATTGCCAGTTCGATATTCCGTGGGTGATTCTTTTCGACGGCGCGGTGTTTTACGTTATTGGAATGTAAGAAACGTCCCCCGTTGCGTGTTCCCTCGTAGCATTCCTGGTGGCGGGCCCGGGTACAATTTTCCAAAACAGCCAATCCCTCATCCTCCCACCCGTCACAGAATCTACGGCACACCCCGACACCGCCTCGTCGGCTCCTCAACCCAATCCGAGCGTCTCCCCTCCCCGCGCATCCTCAACCTCCTCCTCTTCCTCCTCACCCTCCTCCCCTCCACTACCCTTCCCCTCACCGCCTACCTCAGCGGCTGGGGGCGCGACACAGCCCAAGTGCACTGGGCAGTGACGTTCACCCAAATCCACTACGTCCTCTGGGGCGTCTACTGCATTGCCCTCTCCGGGCTGCTGCTGCATTTTGGGCTGAAGCTGATTGGAATTTTGAGGGAGAATAGTGGCACGATGAAGGTGTTGACGGAGCAGGTGGAGTTGTCCCATACGAATTTAGAGGGGAGTGCTGGGGAGGAGTTTCGGAGGACGTTGATTACGGTAAGTAGTGTCTGTGTTTAGAGGTGCTTTGTCCTCACAGTTCTGATCCGCCAATTGGGTCTAGCTCATCATTACCGTAGGGTGCATGATAACAATGGTCATGGGATCTAGCATAGTCCTGCTCGCCTACGCCTTCCGCCGGATCGAGATCCACAACAGCTTCCCGCTCTCTCTACTCATCGGGTTCACGTGGATGTTCATGATGCCCCTGTGCCTTACACCGATATTCATCGTCACGATCTACGGGTTGGTGCTTGAATGTTTTCACGTCTCCTTGCCGCACGTGCGGCTTACCGATCTTTCTCATTAGGATGCTTCGAACAAAGAAAGAGATAAAAGCCCACCAAGATTCGATAGAGAAGAGCGGGTCGCGATCTAATCCGGGGCAAAGGGCTGATGCCAGGAGGGCTTCGGTGAGGCCGGGGGCTGAAGCTAGGAGGGCTTCGATGAAGCCGAAGTTTGTAGATACGGCGCGCACTGATTTTGATGAGGTGCTTTGAGTGACTGCCTTTTGCAGCACAATCGTTCTAGGGATAGGTGGAGGACAGGGGCATGGCGCGATTGATCAGACGTAGTAGAAAGGATAAAGCGGGGGGGGAAACGGAAACGGTGAAGCGAACGGCGAAGACAATATGTGTTCCTACTGGGTTTCCTCGCACGCGGGAGGACGAACTCACCTCGGCGGAGTCCCTTATCCGAGCGTCCCGGTCGTTGTGAGAACTTCAGTACTGCCTCAGAATACTGATCAGAATAGCTGCGGTCAGAATAGACGCGCGAGGAGGGCAGGAGGGCTGCGCGTGGGAACTCGTCCCAACCCTTGCACGTTTTGGACTATTGATAAAACACCCGGCTCATCTTGCCTACGGGTCGTTCGACTAGACGCACATAGGATAATACTACTGTACTTTCCGCTAGGGGTTTCTCGAGGCGACAGACAGGAGGCCGGGACACGCCGTCCCTTTTCTACGGAGAGAGATCATGTTGTCCGGCGTAAGGATGAGCGCACCTGAGGAGCCGCAGCAGAAGGTTGCTCCCTCCAAGCCAGCCCAACTACCAAGCACCCTTTCTCATGCCGTTGGCGATGCTCGGATACGGCCCACTGGCGCTCAAGACAGTGAACGGGATTGGAAGGAGGCCTCGCAGGCAAGTCTTCAACGTGACTGCGCACAGTGGAGGGATATTGAACTAACATCCTTTGGCGTCTCGCTAAACAGGAATGTCACAATGCATGGCTCGACTTTATCTTGGAGAATGGTGTTGCTGTTCAAAGGTCGTTTGGCAGCAGTTTGCCTTGTCTTCCTCGTACGTCATTACACGCGTTAACGGCCGATGATCTACGACAATGGCGAGAACAGCTCAGACACGGAGACCCTGACTTCAGCAACGCTGAACCGTCTCCAAGATATCATGAGTGGCTACCGGGAGCATATTCAGAAGGCTTCGCGGATTAACAAGTGAGTTGACGTCAGTTGTGTCGCGTCCTATGGACTTTCTACTCACGCAGATCTAAGACATCGCATTATGCGGAATGCAGTGACTGTGTTCGCCTCGCAGGTCGCTGGGATTCTGTCAAACGGGGATGTGTTTGAACCCGCTGTTTTGGATACGAATGTAAAGCGGGCGGAAGCTACCATGTAACGTCAACGCAGCACTGTGGTTCTTGCTTTTGGAGTGGAACTCATGGGTCTGGCAACAGTGATGATTGGATACAACGAAGTTTGGGCATCAAGATTGCGGACAGTACACATGTTCGAGCGTGCGCTCCGCAGGGAAGCTACGAGACTGTGAAGTCGGGTATGGGGTGCTTGATATCACGAATGTTGCGGTCTTCCCCCAACCCCCTACTGAACCTACGCGGCAGCCCTGAACACTGCTCTGAATGCCGCACAAACAAACACCACCTTACCGGACCCGGTCATTTACATTACGGACGATGTGCAAGCCAAAGCCCTCGAGTACGCATTAACTACCAGCATGGTGAAGCTGCGCAAGAACGCCAACGCGTCCGTGCGAAGAGGTACACTCATTGTTCTCCGTTCCCACTTCCGCATCACATGACTATAACGGGCACGCTCAATCCTGTTCTTCCGATAGTTCCTACTCTACCCGACGGCGACAGCATGGACTTGAAAGCGCTGGAAAACCTCATCGTGGAAGACATCGCCAACAGACGACGCCCGTTTTTTGTCGTCGCTAGACTTTTCAGCTACGTGACTGAGGAGGTGTCTGATCTGGATGCGTTGAGGAGGTTGTGTGATTCCGAGGGTTTATGGCTTCATGTCGAAGGGTGGGTTTACTTATCATTCCGCGTGGAGCAAGCCTCAAACAGCGGCTGATAATCACATGTTTCAGAAATTTCGGACCACCGATATCCAACCGCGCATGCAATTACTACCCCAGCGAAGCAGTCGAATCCACCGCAAACTCGTATGCGATCCACTTCGCGCAGTTCTTTGGACACCTGCCTGTTCCCTCCATCGTACGTAGCGATTCTCTCCATCCATTACTTCTTCTCGAACTGACCGTTCCTTTCTAGGTCCTATCACACAGATCGCACTCAGATCACCGTCGAGAGATCCACGAAGACTTGCGTCCACCGTCTTCCAAAGTGGTAGCATTGCATGCGGATCCCGCGTCGGGGAGACTGGAGCCGACGGAGCATCTGTATCCGGCGCTACAGCTTGCCAATAATCATGAGGATGCCCATAAATTGCAGTGCACGCTGGCGCTGTTTGTGGCTACGCAGGTGCTTTCCTTGGAGTATTTTATGGCTGAGTTCAATTTGCGGTGGCATGCTGTACGTGATGAAAATCCTATCAGCTTTGTCAAATCTCGCCTATGGTGAACTTTCAACACGCTAATGCACATCGAACATAGCTTGAGACGTTCACAGAGCAAGTACACCGATCGCCTTCCCTCAAGCTCCTCTCGGACACATGCCACAGCTCGTTGTTGATCCGGTTCGACTCTGGGGACGCGGGCTCGCCGACCGTGGATACTTCAGCGGTCTCGTTAAACCGCGGAACCAAACATGTGCGTAGACATCTTAGCGATCATAAAGGCATGCGAAAATGGCTCACCTGGTTGTATCCGACTCCAGATATACCTTGAGATGCTACGTGCGTTACCCCGCCATCCCGCCTTTGATCTCCTCGGCATCTCGTCCACGTTATATATTAGATGGTCCCTCTTTCCCCACGATCCCCGTACGTGCAATTGCATTACCCACATCCCTTCAACCTCTCACTCACACACTTCCCGCAGTCACCACAGCCGAGGACCCCACCCCAGCCGCCCACCTCTCCCTAATCCTCTCGGAAGCGGAAAACATCCACACCGCCATCTCACTGCAAGACGCCTTCCGACAAGCGGTCAACACGCGGAAAGAACTGGAATTTATAGAGGATAGCGCGAATACGCCCTCGGGTGCGAATGAGGAGACGGGGGAGGTGGCCCAGGTGGAGGATGATTGGATTGGGTTGGGGGCTGTTAGGTGAGTGGGGGCTATCAGTAGAAACAGGCGATGCCAAAACCTCGCGTGGGTGCTGAGCAAGAAATTCTCTTTTCTTAGGTACACACCCCTCTACATCGACACCAACGCCGACTCGATCGCGACGGAAGTCGTCGACAATCTTGATGGGCTTAACTCTGAATTGACCGAGAAACTGCAACTCGCCCACGCCGACGAGACGAATAGAGGGCTGTTTACGAGATCGTTTGCGTTGTCCGAGTACCTCCCCTCGGCGCTGCGGAGCGGGAGCGGGGCGTGTGTGCGGGTTGGGTTGGTAGGTTTTTCTGTTAAGGGGGACGAGTGCGGATTTTGCATCGGGGTTTCTTTCAATTGACAGGCTTTTGGTAGACGCGTGAACCGCATACGACGGTTGGGATTCAGAGGATTGTGGATGCGATCGTGAGGGAGGGGATGTTGTTGGAGCGTGATTCTGCGGTAAGTAAGGGCTACCGTTTCAGATGCGTGTAAGTAGAGGTATGTACGTGCGCACGTGGCTCATGCTTTCGTTTAGTTTGTCGCACGCATTGCGGACGTGATCAAGAAGGGCATCGAGGAAGCGGAACGACAGCTGCAGAACGAGTCGGAAGAGGAGGTAAGAGCCACATCTCCCTTTCTCATCACCTCCAAAGGATAGCCCCTCGCTCACCTTGAACCCGCGGGATTTTAGCAACCAAGCCTCCTCCGCATGCTCCCGCTAGTCGGCTCGGTCCTCTCCTGGTGGCGCCCCGAAACGCCCAAAAACCGCGTCCCGGTAGCCCGCACATTCTCCATCGCCACGGGGTTCACCACCATCCCGCTCGTGGACGCGCCCGCGTCTTCGCGGCCGAGTATCTCGTTGAGCAGGATGTCATCGCTATTTGGGAATGGTGGGTTTGGAGGGGCGGGGATGTTGTCGCCTGCGATATCGAGTTTGTCGACGACGAGTGGGGATGAGGGGATGGAGGAGTTGGGAAAGTCGTTTGAGGGGTTGCAGAGGGACGATGGCGGCGGGGATGGTCGGTTAGGGAGGGTAGATGAGACCGTTGCTGCTGTTGCTGCGGATGTTGTTGCGTCGCCGATCGGTGGAGGACCTACTCCCGTGGTGAACGTTGACCCCAAACCGGAGGTGGAGTTCGAGGCTAGCACTCCGGTCAAAGATGCGGAAAGGAAACACGTCCCGGTGGACGCAGTGGGTGAACATCAAGCCAGTGAATCCAATGGCCAGGACGCAATCATCACAGAACGACCACTCCCAGACCCGCAAGCGGATCTGACACCCAATGAAAACAACAGAGCAGCAACGCCTCCACCGCACACCTCCACTCCAACGGTCAACACGCCGCCATTCTCATCGGCCGCCCCTTCAATCCAACCACACTCATCCGAAACAACCGCCCCACCACCCGACCGCGCTCAAACCCAATTCGCAAACCTAATCAAGAAAACCCGGTTCGGCGAGGCCAGCACCAACCCCATCACCACCCATACCCATACCCACTCCAACACCCAAACCAAATCACCCGCCCACTCAACCCGATCCTCCCAACCCTCCTCGGGCCGCGCGACGCCTGTTGAGGGTGCGGGGAGGGACACGGATGTGGGGAATGGGACCGTTACGGTGGAGCAGGTGACGGATGAGATGCTGGAGGAGGGCGTGCGGGGGTTGTTGGAGGAGTATGGTAAGTTTTCCGGAATCTCTGACACCCCTTCCCCGTTTATCTGTCTCTGTCCAAACCCCCCCCCCCCCCCCCCCCCCCTCACTCATATATTCTTCCTGCAATTGGTAGAAGGCAAACTAGACCAACTCAACAACCGCAAAGTCCGCATGCACCTCCAGGACCGCTTCGGCGGCGTTGATTTGAAACCCCGGATTTCGGCCATTAGGGAGATGGTGGATCGGTGTTTGGAGGAGCGCGGGTAGCGCATCGTCGCCTCCGAGCATATACCCACACGCTCGTACGGACCTCATGGGACGCTGGAACCCGTATTTTGGGATTCATTAATGTGAACTGCAGAACGGACTTTGAAATGTACGCCACCCGCCCTTCTCCGTTCCTCTTGTGTACTATTTATTCTATGTAAATGTGATTGGCGGATTCTTGTGATTGTGCAGTCCGGCCTAGGCCGTGTGAATTTGAAGCTATTAAACACTAGATTCCCGTCAAGGCACCAGTAAACACTAGATTCCCGTCAAGGCACCAGTTTCCATTTTCAAAAAATTTACAAACAAACGGGTTTTACAGGTAGAAAGGCCGGTTTACAGATACAAAGCAAAAGCAAACACAAGGAGAGGTGGAATATTTGCAAAGCGGGGTGTAAAAAGACGGCCGAGAACACCAACCCAAACAAGAAGGAAAGGAGGACAGTAAAGGACTAATAATCACATCACACGACGGGGCGTCGACCGATGATGCACGCGTTGTTCAAGAGTACAAATCATCATCAGCGCCAACATCTTCTGCAAACGCGCTGTTACCCGCCCCACCGGCACCAGCAGCCCCAGCACCCGTCGACCCCGCGGCCTCCGGGAACTTGAACTGCCCGCCAAACCCTTGACTCTGCTGCAAGTTCTGCGCAAACATCTCGTACTTGCGGATATCGTTGTCCGAAACACTCCTCCGAGCATACTTCATCGCTTCCTCGAAGTGCGCGCGCGTGATCTCGGGGACCGGGTCGTCCTCCTCGACACCGTCCATGGGCTCCTGGCCGGCGGCGAGGGCTTCCTTGCGCGCGCGCTCGCGGCTGATCTCTTTTTCGATGGATTCGCGGATGGCGAGCTTGCAGGCGCGTTGGCAGATCTCGGTCAAGTCGGCGCCGGAGAACCCGTTGGTGGCTTTGGCCATGTGGTTAATGTCGACATCCTTGCTGACGGGGGATTTGCGGAGGGTGGCTTCGATGACGCCTAGGCGCGATTTCTCGTCGGGGAGAGGGATGTAGATCAGTTGGTCGAGACGGCCGGGACGGAGGAGGGCGGGGTCAATCTGGTCGGGCCTGTTGGTGGCACCAATAACAAAGACGTTCTTCTTGGCGTTCATGCCGTCCATTTCCGTCAGGATCTGGTTGAGCACACGGTCACCGGCACCTCCGCCGTCGCCGGAGCTGGAACCACGGGCCTTTGCGATCGAATCAAGCTCGTCAAAGAAGACGACACAGGGTGCGGCGGCACGTGCCTTGTCGAACACGTCACGGACGTTCGCTTCGGATTCACCGAACCACATGGTGAGGAGCTCAGGACCTTTGATAGAGATGAAATTTGCTTGACATTCGTTGGCGATAGCCTTGGCGAGCAATGTCTTTCCGCATCCGGGTGGTCCGTAGAACAACACACCCTTGCTGGGGTTCATGCCGAATTTGAGGAACTTCTCTGGGTGTTCGACCGGGTACTGCACAGTCTCCTGCAACTCCAGCTTGACCTTCTCCAGACCACCAATGTCGTCCCAAGTGGTGGTTGGCACTTCCACAATGGTCTCGCGGAGGGCTGATGGGTTGGAGATGCCAAGGGCATACTTTTGGGAAAGAATAAAATAAAAATGTCAGCTATAGGTAAAGCGACAAGGCGGAACATCTGCGAGGATGACACATACCCTAAAGTTGTCCATGGTAACAGCCAAACTGTCCAAAACCTCCGCATCGATCGTCTCCTCCTCCAAATCGATAAGGTCCATCTTCTCACGAATCTGCTGGATAGCAGCCTCGGAACACAGGGAAGCCATATCAGCACCGACGTAACCGTGGGTCTCGGACGCAATCTGCTCCAAATCGACATCGTCGCCGAGCTTCATGTTCTTGGTGTGGATACGCAGAATCTCAAGACGTCCGGTCGGGTCAGGGATACCAATGTCAATTTCACGGTCGAAACGTCCGAAACGACGCAGGGCGGCATCGATGCTGTTGGGTCGGTTGGTCGCGGCGATAACAACGACGTTGGAGCGGGCCTTGAGACCGTCCATCAATGTCAGCAGCTGGGAGACGACACGACGTTCAACTTCACCGTTTGTCTATGTTTTGGAAACAATGTCAATCGTTCGAATGCAAGTCAGGAAAATCACACTCGGCGAAAAGCCCTTCATCGGGATATAGGAAAACTCACCTTGTCACGCTTGGGGGCAATGGCGTCAATCTCATCAATGAAGATGATAGCCGGGCTATTCTTTTCCGCCTCTTCGAAAGCTTTCCTCAGGTTGCTCTCAGATTCACCAGCCATCTTGGACATAATCTCGGGACCGTTGATGAGGAAGAAGAAGGCACCGGTTTCGTTTGCGACCGCACGGGCAATTAGCGTCTTGCCCGTACCGGGAGGACCAAACATGAGGATACCGCGGGGTGGCTTGATACCGATGGACTTGAACAATTGTGGGTGACGCAGGGGCAGTTCGACTAATTCTCGGATCTGCGCCAACTGTCTTCGGACGCCACCAATGTCGTCGTATCCAACGTCATTCAGGTTTTGTTCCTCCTCCTCACGCTTGATCGGATCTCCTTCGCAGTGAATGACGGTGTCATGGGCGACCTGTTTGCGATTGAGATTATGATGAGATATACGCCGGGATGTGCTCTTGCAGGAAAGGAAGCCCGATACTTACGATACAATATGGGGACGGGTCGACCTCTACGACCTTGAACTCCACCTGCCTCATCGCTCCTCGAACAACAAAGAGATCACCCTGTCTAACCGGCCTGTACGCTTCCAAAAAGTAGGGTTTCAGGTAAATGTCGAACAGGTTGCCCGTGATACCCTCGATCGTGTCGTCGATGGGAAGGACGTGGATACGCTTTCCGTATTTGATTTCGGAGCAGGAGTGCACCGACACGACATCACCAAGACGAACGCGGAGGTTGTTCCTGACGACCTTGTTCAACCTGATCTTTGAGGGCTCGACATTGTCGTCGGACAGGACCATCAACACGGTGTCCTTGCGCTTCTTGCCCTTGAGAAGGACGGTGTCGCCACGAAACAAGTTGAGCTGCTCGATGGTAGCCGTGTTGAGCATGCACACCGAGTTGTCGTCATTTGTTGCATCGTCAACGATGAGCTTGTTTGGGGACGCCTTCTTTTTCAGAATGGCGAGCGCAGTGTCATCGTTGTCGGCGGCTGCTTTCCCGTCCGACGGGTTTACTTCACTGTTCGAAAAAGAAAAGGAACGGGAAATGTGAGATGCAGAACAGAGAGAAGGATGCATGTAGCGTTCGCCGAAACCATATTCGCAGAATCTCGAGAAACCAAATCTGCGTGGAAATTCCGCGAGATCACGCGACACCGACATGGCCCCGGCTGAACTCTCTCCCGGTCTTGTCCCACCCTACGAATCGCTTCCCATAATGAGCACTGCCCGAGTGGAACCGAATGGTTCTACTCTCGTCCTTCCCAAAGCGAGCGTTTTCCCACGGGGCCCACCAGAGGGACCTGACGGTGACGCGCGTGTAATGGCCTCAGCGACGTTTTGATCTCCGCCCTGATCTGCTCCTCCGACTGGAGATACTTACGGCAGCTTTCCTTTGCCGGTCATGACTGAGCTGGGAGTTTGTATATCTAGCGCTGTTACAAGCTGTGATTGGCGAGATTAAGGAATGAGAGTCGGATGCAGTTTGTGGGTTTGTGGGTGGTTGTCTGAGTTGCAGGGTGGGAAAATGGGCACAGGCGCGCTTTATGGATTGCTTGTGGGAGAGCAGGGGGGCGACTGTGCTCTGTGCGGTAGTTAGTTATCCTTTCTTTAGACAAGCTGGGTCTCGTGTGGAATGGCTTTTGCTTAGCGCGCAGCTTAGACCGCAGCAAGTTCGTTGATGGCAATGATTAGGGGATCGATTATTGAGATGACAAACCTCAATTTTAACCACGTCAACGGGGCTCCTGGGTGCGCTGCTCGCATATAGAAGGACGAGGAAAGGCCCCTCGCGCACCCATTAGAAATCGAGTGCGGACCTCACACAAAGACGGTTCTGAGGGTCGTCTCAAATGGAAGCCCCCCAATCCTGTAGGTGCGCCGCCAGTCAGATACCGGCTTCCGCACCCAATTCGGAGAAGGCGAGAATTGCCCAAGCACATCAGTGTCTGGCTCCGTACCCCCCATCACTCATCACAGCTACCGCCCACACTCCACATGCCATGGTTCAGAACCCGCTGATCCAGGACCACACAACGCAGCGTCCCCGACGTACGAGTAGGTCACCACCTCGCAAGGTCCCGCGCTTGGTCAGAGAAACAAGTGCGGTTCGCCTCTTGCTCCTAGCGACGATCCGTGCGACGGTATGCCCTCTGCACTTGGCAACGATGGCATTGCCGAGTATGAACCGCCATCACGCACCGTAGTTGACTGGAACAAGGGGACCACGACCAGAATTCCGGCCGGCAGGCGCTTCCTACAGGAATCCGATGTTGTTGGACTGGCCCCGTTGGAGGTCATGAATCTAGTCCAAGGATTCTGGCTCTGAAAAGGTCGGTGGATGATGGAGTCCTGGACCTGATGCTCTTTGCGTTGAGCCATACGGAGCTTTATGAGACATACGAAGGAATTGCTCATAGTAAGTAAAACCTTGCATTTGAAACTTCCAGTGCCGTTATCCAAACGGTTTCACTTAATCTGACCACACCTACTTACAGTAGGCTGCCAGATATCTGGTTACGACGCCCCAAGGACACATCATTCAGAGCATAGCCACCGGCTCAAGTTGCCGACCCCCATGCAAATCCTTTCAGCACGACCGCTAACCCAGGGCAGGACTGACAGCTGGCCGGTGAACTTCTGGGTTGCAAAGGGAGGCTCAACAACCCGTCGTAATCAGATATCTGGCAGCCTACTGTAGAGCCATTAAGAGAATCTGTCAAAACACCTCTAAACCAAGATTTGTTCACAACATTTACAGGGACAGGCATCCGCGCATCACAAGTAGCCATGAAGCTATGACTGCCGGATTGGTGAGCTGATTTCCAACAAGAAAACCCTGGCACTCACATGGCGGGCAGCCGGGAACGCTGGTCACGTGTTCGAAGTCAACATCTGTGCTCTGTATCCTCTCACTATGCCAACGGTGTGCTACGTTGCCCGCCATCGGGGGTATCATTCCATCACCACAACGTATCAAGGAGTGGGGCCAGACTTGGAGGTGCAATGTCTTGGCCCTAACGAACTGTTGAAGTGCAATGGTGCCAACATCTTTTCAGGCGACACAAGCATCACTCAATTGGTAGAAGATGGCTTGCCGTCTTCGATCAGCTGGCCACAGGATTGGGAACCGCTGTAACGTCCTCAAGCATGCCTGTGACGGGAGTCAGAGGACCACAGTTGAAGAGGCACAGAAGCGATACGGACTACAGCCAGCCAGCGATCACCCATTTGCCGCCCACCGGGTCGTAATTACCTATCAGCAGGAACTGGGGAAGTTGTAAAGTCTTGCGTCTGAGAAGGAGGCAAAGAAGCGCATGCTGTTCCACCCATTCAATACCCGGACTAGCCCCACCACCACGGCCTCATGCAGGTTGAGAGAGATCTGTGCATTAAAGACCACATACAGCGATATATGGTGGGCATTATACGAGGGATCCCTCAAAACCGACCGACATCATCTTTGACCGGAGAAGACTCGAGAAGAAACAAGCCAGAGCTCGGCTCGAAAACGCAATTCCGAAGAGTGAAGTTATTACGACACTGGCCTACGCGCTCCGTGTTCTAATAAGATTGCCCGACCTCACAGCAGGCCAGGCACTGGTGCAAAACCCTTCTCAAAATGCGGATGATCAGTACTGCCACCACCTAACCCCTTTGCCTTCGGTGAGTCGGCCTTACTATACCACGCTCCGCTCGGCAACTGCCTAACTAGTCTAACCCTAACCCGAGTTGCTTACCCGAGTTACTCGCCTTCACCGCCACCGGAATCCAATCATCCGCGTTTCCCTGCCTCATCATCTCCTGTTGGCAGCACCATCCCTAGCCTGCACAAGAAGCATCGCCGACTATTCTTCTTCTTGGTCTCCAGTATATTCGGATCAGAGAAGTCGTCATCATCCTTGAACAACCGTTTGCTCGCTTCACGCCCAAAAACCGCCCATTGTTCCTGTGCTGACCCTGCTCAAACCAAGCAAGTCCCCTCCCGGCGAATCACATCCTCCGCAGCTTTATACCTCCCCGGGGTCATTCAAAAACTGTTCCAAACAACGTCGAGCCGAGAGCCTTCACCTACCCTTTCACATCCCCGGGTGCTGGTCCACCATCACGTCCAAGAGGAAGGTGTAGGAATTCAGAGCCATACGCGCCGCTTTCGGACGTTGCCGGCCGACAGTGAGGATAAGTGTGCAGAAACCCTGTGTGTTTGGACGAGCCAGTGGTGTTTTCCGAGCAGGTCGATGCCGGAGTGGAAGAGGGTGTCGTGCGACCCGTGAGTTGTTGGCGGTTTGAGTAAGACGCGTTTCCACCCCGTCCCAAGGCAGTCCCAACGTCCTTCGCCCCAGCAACATCCGCGTATATAGATCGACGACTCATCCACAGCAAGATGGCCACCCCGACAACGTTAGCCAACGCGTATTGCATTGTCAAGGCCTCGAAGGACGTGACCCTCGCCGAATTCCTCGCAATATGTGAGGAAAAACTCAGCAAAGACCTCGTTTATTCAAAGTCGGTGGCCGACTGGACATCCATTCTGTGCGACGCCGTCAGGAGGAGCGGGCAGGAAGTCAAAGTAAGTACTGTGCACCAGTCTCTTAGACTTCCAGCGAAAGTTCTTGAAGCAGGGCAGCCTGCTGGGGCTCCGTGCTACCAGCAGGTGATGGGCTCCGTGCTACGCCCGGCTTTGAGATCTGTTGGTTTCGACAACTAGTCCTCCAGGACGAAAAGAACTCTTACACCGCAGCCTGCTGGGGCTCCGTGCTACCAGCAGGTGATGGGCTCCGTGCTACGTGGTGTGCGATTTTCTGTTGTTCTGAACCAACTAGCTGAAAATTCCTTAGCGCCAAATGGGGTGCTGGTTTCCGCTGTCTGATGGCACGCTATGCTCCGTGCCTCCTACCACATCCCTATATGTGTTGAGCTTCAAATGTTCTTATTATCACAGGATCTCGGACAAGCCTCTGCCTTCCTCCTGAATCAAAAGGCGTATAAGGAAGCGCTGTCCTTAATCGACATCTACTCAGATTTCCGGGACCAATCGCACAAGATGCATGCGGGGATGTTGTCCTCTAGAATCTCATCCATGGTCAGCACGCCGGGAAAACGACCGCGGTCGGAGGAAGGGGTGTCCTTCGTATCACTAGACACACCAAAGGCGGCGCCAAAGGAGAAAGCGCACCTCGTAGTCGAATCATCGGACGACGCCGAGGGCGAGTATTTGCTGGCAGAGGAAGATCGCGAGCGGCTAGAGGTTGTTCTGAAAGCAAAACCGCAGGTATTCTAAAATATCGTCCTTTGACGAGTACCCCGCTGAATCTCATCACTTCGTTTTTGCAGGAAATGAAAATAGGGGGACTGCACGTGGATGAGCTTCTTCAAAAAGTCCAAAAATGGATCCTGAGGGGGAAAGAATCATCCAGCGAAAAGGAGACTGCAGCCGTAGCGTGCGTATCAACTTCGGCGCTGTTGGCGTAAGTACCCTCCCATCTCATCCCTTCCCTCCATCAGAGCCACACTTTCTTGCGTGATCATATGACGCAATCCACCTAACATTTATAAAAAGTTCATGCCGAATCATAAGGCGGTGTGGAGGGCAGTGAGAGAAGCATTGCAGCCACGAGAGATGGATATCTCTGCAGACACGTCGCCGTTTTCCTCGTATATGAAAGAAATGCGCGATTCCAAGTATCGGAACGAAATTTGGTTCCCTGCGGCACCCACAGACGTGAACGAGATAAAGCGGGTTAAAATCTTAAGCAACATGTAAGTGGAGAAACAGGATGTTACCGAAGCCGTCAGGAACGCCAGGAACCCCCGCTGACCCCCTTGCCGTAGATCTAACATGCTTGACGTCGAAGAGAAAGCGCCGATGACTGAAGCGACCTGGATCGCATATCATATCTGGCCGCTCTTCGGAGTGTCGTTTGATTCGGAGATAACAGTAACGTTGTAAGCATGGCCTCCCCGTGCATCACTCTTACTGCCCCTATTGAAACTCCGTTCAGGGATCATTGCAGCTCCGGTCGCACGCGCAAACGACCAGATCTAGTCTATTCTTTCCAGGATCGGGGTCAAACCCGCGTTCTGCTTATCGCCGAGATCAAGACGCCTTACGCGGCTCCATCACAACGAAACAAAGAGTTGGCACGTTTGGTAAGGCGCGGCCTAGAGAGCCTGAAGCAGGACACCATCTCATTTGATCACGGGGGCCACCTCCCCAACGGTGTTCTTGGCACGCTTTGATGGTGAGCGAGCGTCAGAAGCATAATGGGTTGAAGAGGATTTGCTGCGTTCTGACTCTTCTATATTCAGGCTTAGTTTGCACGATTTTCGAGTTGACCCTTGGGAAAGGGATATTCCTCTGCCATGAGATTGGTGTTTTCTCCTTGGCTACGCAAGTGTCGGCGGATCAGGAGACAACTGTTCTACGTGCGATGTTGATGGCCGAGAAGTTGATTACGAAAGCAACCAGGCTGAAGGCCGCTTATGCGAGTCATAAGCTTAGGCGATCGGACGACGTGGGCTCATTCTTCGCGCCTAGCACCCCCGCGAAAGTGGAGTCGGTGAAGCGCACTCGCAAACGTTGAGCTTTCCAGGGCGCCGGTCGCACTACCAAAACGTCAGCATGCTTTGGACTTGGATCTGGGGAGGTATTTTTGGGGCCGATGTTTGGGCTCGATTTGCGGACGACGGTTTACGATGCACATTAGTTGCGGAGGAATGTTCCACGTAGAGTCATAGTAGGTTATTTGATAAAGATCGGTTTCTCCGTACGTCGTACATATGTAATTAGACAGTACTGTACAAGTTTTTCGAGGTCGCGAATAGATACGGTTTCTGTGCTTCCTCAGAATTGGAATGATGTTGGCTGGGGACACTAACCCGTTACTAACGGCGTCACGCTCGCTGAATCTCCGCCCTCGCACTTCTCGCAGCATTCGAGTTTGAAATCCGTCTCCAAGAAACGACGACGACAGCCGCAACCCCCACAGCAACAGAGCCCCCCCAGATGACCACTCTCTCCACCCCGCTCGACCAACTCCCCATTGATTGTATTCTGCTCATTATCGACTGTAAGATTCCAATAACTTTGATTTCAAGAATCGAAATTCTTGGCTAGGTTTCCGACGGGTATTGACATTGAATTTTAATTCCTAAATCACAGGGCTCACCCTCCCCGCCATCTCAAACCTCTCCCTGACCGCCAAAACATTCCACACCCTCACCCGCACGAACGCCGGCCGCATCTACGCCTCACTGGTCAGCCACTCCCTCCCGCGCCCACTCAAACTCTGCTACGATTCCGCCAAGGGCGAGCTGCCGTTCAGGCGGGACGATATCCTCGTCGAGAGCCGGTTGTTCGCCAAAGCGCGGGCTGCGACCGCAACGGGGAAGAATGGCAAGCTGAACAAGTCGTGGGCGGATGGACGCGGCGGGGAGGGCGAGTGGATGGGCGAAGGCGGGTGGAATGCGGCGCTGTATCATTTCTTGAGACGGAGGGAGCGGTTGGTCGTTACGGGGGAGAAGAGTGCGGTTGTGGAGAGGTTGGCGGGTGATCCGAGGGCTGCGAGGCATCTGCTGGAGAATGGGGTGAGGATGGGCACGGTTGATCCGGACGATCCGGGCGTGATGGCTGTGTGTGGCGGGCATGTGCCGTTGAGTCGGAGTAGCAGTACGGGGAGCGGTATCAGCGTTGAGGGTGTGGCGCCTGCTCATGGACACTCTGCTACATCGTCCACCATCTCACCACCACCGGCAGCTTCGTCCGCCCCACCCCTCAACCCAAGCAAACCCCCAACCCACCTAACCCCAATATTACAAACCGAATCGCTCCGCGCCAACCTCCTCCTCCACTCCGCCGTTGAAACTCTCAGGCTCTTTGGCTGCGCGGCCACAAAAGCCTCCAAATCCTCCCCCGGTCACTCCTTCATCGCCTGCAAATACGTCCCCTGGATCCTCGCCGAGCTGCACACCGCCGAGCTACGAGTCGTCATGTGGGCTGTCCTCAACCTGGGAGGATTGAGCTTTACGGAACCGAGTCGGAGGTGGAGACATGATGCGATGGGGTTTGAGGTTGCCGATTTTGAGAGGGTCTATTTGCGGCCGTTTTTGAAGAAGGCGCTTGCTGATAGGGGCGATTTTTGGGATGAAGTGTGACATTTTGGGAGGAGAATCCGGGAGGATGAAACGGCTGTTGGGGCAGGTGTGGTGGGACGTGGGACAAATCGACCGGTGGGGTCGTTGTTGCTTTTTGGCCTGTATCTTTTTCCGTACTTTTTGTTCACTAGTGTCTGCTCTTGCCCGCAATTTTCGACATGTATACCCATATAATCCTATCCATTAGGGAACTGGTGAACAATTATGAACCAAAGGCGTTGGATGGACCTGGGCACTGCTGAGAAGAGCCTTCCTTTTTTTTTCAAATTTACCCCGAGGGTTCAGGGTCCTGATGGGATTTTGCACACAACGACGCGAATGTGGACAATGATAGCACATCCCACTGATGCCGGAATGTGTACTAAGCTTTACGGTGCTGTGTTTAGATGGAAGCACGAGTGTGGTGAATAGCCCAGGACATTCACCCCGCAGAACTGGCGTCGGCCCGTCATATCCGCCCGCAACAGGATGATGACAGAACAGACTTTGACGACGTTTTGTGGGAGCAGAAACATCCAAATGGGCGGGCAAGAGACCCTAGTTCCATCAAAATATGACTATATTATTACGCAAATGGAGGCGCCATTATATATATTTTTCCAACCGGTGGGGCACTCGTGGCAATGTCCAGCGCTGCCATCGAGTATGGGGATCGATACACCGAGTGGGCTATCTGTCTGTCTGCTCTCATGGGGTGTTTGACTAGTTGGTCGCGGGAGGACAGCATGGTGGCGGGACGGCAGGAACCGCGGCTCCTGCGCCCGTCGTCGTCGGTATTCCATCTGCGCGAATGATCGATAGCAGTTGACTATATAGAGTTCTGCAAAGAAAAGAAAAAAAAAAGTTCAGTAAACCACGCCCTTCCTGGCACATAACGTCCTCTCCCGTTTTCCAACTCACGTTATTCATCCCACACTTCCGACACTTCTCCTGGTTGCCCGGCGGACAACAGCAGAAGTTGAACGGACAGAAGAAGATACACAACACCCAGTCCATCGCGGTCCAATCGCCCGTCTTTACAAAGTCATGCTGGCAGCCCGCGGAGACGTAGATAATCTGCTGCGGGGGGAGGGGCGTGCCGTCGGCGGCGTAGGCGGGTTGTTGCGGTGGGTAGGCGGCGGGTTGGGCGTAGACGATGGGTTGGCCGGTGGGGGCGTAGGGTTGTTGTTGGGGTGGGTATTGCTGCATCTGCATGGCGGGGTGCGCGGCGTAGGCGGTGGTGGGATGGGCGGGGTGGGCGGCGGCGGGTTGGTACTGGGGGGGAGCCTGCTGTTGCGGGTAGCCCTGCTGTTGCATTGAGTAGGATTGCTTTTCGGCGGACATGGTGGTGCTGAATGGGAGGTGTGAAATGCGGTATGTTCTGGGACGGTGAGGGGATTTCTCTGCGTGTCAGGGGGTTATATATGTGGGCGCCGCTGGACAAGCCAAGTCTCTGCAAGCAGCAAGGAGACAATTTAACCCCGCCGCCCAACGGTCCCTTTTTCACGTTAGTAGATATGCCTGGTGGGGCGAAAAGTCTCCTTCCGTGGAGAAGCGGGTCTTCGCCGTCAAAATGCTCAAATTTGGAGGCTCCGATGGGGATTTTTCGCGTCAAACTGCCCGAGGGGATTTCCACGTGTGCTGATCCCTCATCAACCGGTGCGGCGTGCCGCTCTTACGGGGCCGTATGGGGCGCAGTCAAGGGGCAACTTTTATGGTAAGAGTTCCAGATCCAGGCTGTTCGACAGCGTGTGTCCGCTACCCCCACCGAATATGGCGCCCAGTAGAGAAAGGGCGCTCCCATCAACTCCATTCACACCATCCCTACCCCCCTCGGCATTAGCCATTAGCCATTAGCAGTCATTAGCTCTCGCTCCAAAGAGATAGACGGGAAGAGGGAGGGGGGGGGGGGGGGGATGGGGAGCTGTATGTATTTATATCTTCGCTCGAGTGAAAGAAAAGAAGCTTTAGTAAGCACAACCTCTCCTCATCCATTGAACTCATGAACTACGTTCCTCGTCCAGAGCATAATCCTGACCCGTACCCTAATGCTTGTTGACGTTTCCGAGCTTTGCGTTTTTTAACTTCGATCAGCATTGTGAGAGCTGAAGAGGTACGTAATGGAGGCAGTCATACTACTTACATTTCATGTCGTGAGGATTCAGGAACCACTTCCTATCCTGCTTGGCAGAGACTTCTCCCAGCGCTTCGCCATAGGCAGAGGAACGTTCATCCCCGTTTTCATACTGTGCATGATGACTTCCGGCGTCCAAGTATACGTTTCTCCATCACTGGGGTGAGACAGCTGGTGTTCTTCAGACTTGTAAGCCCTGAGTATCTGATACAGTGCCATCTGTGCAGCCATCGTGTCACCGGAATAAGTGAACCAAGGTTGCGCATAGACGTTCCGTTCTGACATCGGTTGTGTGCGATGTACTGACACGCGGACCGTCTCCCGTACACAGCGTCGGTGACCTTGCCGCACAACTTGACTTGCTTTCCCTTCGACGACCGGAGACCGTTGACGTGCCGCTCAATGTTGCCCGAAGACGGGACAATCTCCCTCCGGTGCTTCCCGACTATTTCGTGGAGGAGGACCTGGGCAAGTCTGGGCAGGCTCATCTGTGGCGGGGCGAGCATAAACCCACGCAAACAAAAGTGGCAATCAAGGTCTTACAAGCACAAAAACGTTTTGAACATCTTTGACGTCGTCCCAGGGATCGGAATCATCGTTACGCCTTTCATGTTTCATGGTGATCTGGTCAAATACATCAGCGACTGCTTCCCTGGCCCTATGGAACCGCGGGTGCGGGAAGCACGGCGCATGGCGCTGGGCATCGCGGAGGGACTCGCCTGGATCCACGAGAAGGGTGTCGCCCATCGCGACATGAAGCCGAGCAACGTCCTCGTCGACGATGCGGGAAACCCTGTCGTCTGCGATCTGGGTCTCGCCAAAGGGCACGAAGATAAGCTGCTGCAATACGCTCTTATGTCGGGGGCCCCTGGCCGGCTGATTGGCACTTATTGTTATCTGGCTCCTGAGATCCTTCGTGGAAGCCCCATGTTTGTGGAGCAACACGGTGAGACCAACGGGTCGCGGGTTCTGTACAGCAACGCCATTGACGCGTTCGCTTTTGCTGTCATTGTGTGGAATATGCTGTCCAAGGTGCGAGGGTAGACGAATCGCTTTGTTCAGAGGTGTCGCTAAGGGTTTTGTAGGACTGCTTTGTAGGCAGAAGCCTAGCGGCCCATATAAAATTTTCTAGCGACATTCTTGATGGGATACGCCCAGCTCAAGATCCGGAGTGGGCGATTATGGACCCTGTTTTAACGGCAGTCATGAATGCCTGCTGGAGGTCAATCCCGGGAACTCGTCCCAATATGGCCACGGTCGTGGCGGTCCTTGAAGGGAAGCTCACTGTCGCGTACCTCCGCGACGACCCCGATCGCCTGCTGGAAACTAAGAGGGCCGTCGAGGCTAGAAGGAGACAGCAAGACGAGAATGCTGCCGCCAGAAAGTTACGAGACGAGGAGGACGCCCTAGCCAAAGAAAAACGAGACAAGGAGGACGCCTTAGCCAAGAAAAGACGCGAGGACGCCGACGCCGCAGCCAAAAAACGACGCGACGACGCCGACGCTGAAGCCAAGAGACTGCGCGAACTCATCCAGCAACAGGAAGAGAAACGGGAGCAAGAGGAGCGACGGAGACGGCAGGATGAGTCGCGAAAAATCGAGGCTGCCAGAGCAGAGAGAGCCGCCCAGAACCCGCGCTCCATGCGACCCAGAGTATACATTGACCTTACATGGGAAGGTGGCCTGCGTACTGGGCAGACGACAGCGGCCAGGTCAACTTTTGGGCAGAATAGTTTTGGAGGTGAGGGAACCACTTTCTCACCGTCGGTAAGCTTTCTACCTTTGCACGAACCCATTTGTCAAATATCTCTTAGCTTCGCTCGGCCTTGGTACCCAAGGCGGCGGAAAACTTCAGGTGCCTCTCCTCCAACTCTCGAAAACACAGGCAAAACTTCCGAAACTAACCTTAGGGTTAGGGTTAGGGTTAGGGTTAGGGTTAGGGTTAGGGTTAGGGTTAGGGGTTAGGGTTAGGGTTAGGGTTAGGGTTAGGGTTAGGGTTAGGGTTAGGGTTAGGGTTAGGGTTAGGGTTAGGGTTAGGGTTAGGGTTAGGGTTAGGGTTAGGGTTAGGGTTAGGGTTAGGGTTAGGGTTAGGGTTAGGGTTAGGGTTACAGGACTGTTCCCGGTTATGGGTTATTTTTGGCCATCCAAAAAGTGTCAAATAAAGTTGCTAGCAATGTTCAGGGGCGTCTTACTGTACTGTACATAAAACTTTGGGGCATGTTTTCCACTCAATGCTCCCGGAAAATCTGTTTTTCAGATATTTTACTATGAAAATGTCACCAAAACGCATTTTCTGAAACTCTGAGTGGATGGAATTTGCTTAAAGTGGAGTATATCTCAGAAAACATCCTCAAAAACATCTAGGAACCATCATCTACTCTAGTATTTATCAACTCCTGGCACTTTTTGTTTCCGGGCAATATGGGGGTGTTCTGCAGTTGGCAAGTGACTCAGTTTGGTTTGCTCTCAATTTGCTACGTGTTCAAATCCTTTTGAGGCCCACATACTTTCCTTTCTTCCATTGCTCCTCCGGATGGTGGAGGATGGCAAATGCCTTTTTGCATTGCAATATATGGATATGACAGGGTGTTTGTCAACTAGCAAATCATGCAAAAAGCATGCAGTGCATGTCCGTTTGCATGCACTATGTCATCCGTAGGGTTAGGGTTAGGGTTAGGGTTAGGGTTAGGGTTAGGGTTAGGGTTAGGGTTAGGGTTACAAGACCCCCTGGGTTGGGTTTTATTATTGGGTTGCCTTGAACCCTAGGGACTTAGGGTTAGGGTTAGGGTTAGGGTTAGGGTTAGGGTTAGGGTTAGGGTTAGGGTTAGGGTTAGGGTTAGGGTTAGGGTTAGGGTAGGGTTAGGGTTAGGGTTAGGGTTAGGGTTAGGGTTAGGGTTAGGGTTAGGGTTAGGGTTAGGGTTAGGGTTAGGGTTAGGGTTAGGGT